ACCCTAACCCTAACCCTAACCCTAACCCTAACCCTATATATGCAATATTTGGACGAGTTCTGCCTGTTCCTCAGGCATCTGCACGCATTGCGCGACTGATTATATTTATTAGTAGGTGAGCTTAAAGTGGAAATTTAGTAGGAGATTACTTATTTGTAAATATAGCTTATATATTTATAAATACTATAGCCGGCTCTTGCTCCTAGCAGGCGCTTACAATCCTACACACAACCTAGAGACTCTTATTAAAACTTCTTTGGTGTTGGTAATACTTATATAAACCTCTGGTAGCTAGTTGGGTAAGTAAAACTATAGTTCTTGCGAAGTGATAGATTTGGATCACTCCGGCGTGGTTTGGTGGATGGACTTAGATTGATGGAAATCTTGCTTTGTATCTATCATCAGTGTTCGACGTCCACCGTTCTCCAAGGGAAGGTGTATCTGGGACGAGCTCGCCTATAGCAGACCTAACAATGTACCTATACGAGAGGGGAAGGGCATCATACCAATCCTATAATACGCGAAGGAGTTGATTACTGTGTTCGATTCTCTTCTAAAAGTTACAATCCAACCCTTCGCTGCGATAGGACGCAAACTTAACGCACTTAGCGCATATGTATAAGATTCTGGTAGCGAGTTCGTCTGAATCTAACTCGTCGAGCCTCTTTTTGGGCTTCCAGATTGTCAGAGTCGGTCTCTTGCCCCGGAACGCCGCCCATATATCTTGCCGTAACCAAGCCTACTAAATAGCTCTTCGCAGACCGTCAATGGACTCCCCGTCATTATCCTAGGAGCGCTGGATCCAAAAAGCCCCGCGCAAGTGGCGCTCCCAGTTTCCACCCCCGGATGCTCCCTCCGCATCCAGCATCTCGTATGTGCCGATGAGGATGGCCGTCGCCAGAATTTCGTCCGATTCCGCATATGATGGGTACAAGAGAGTTTGGGATAAGTAGTGGAGTGTTTCGTAATAATATTGCGTCGCTACATGGGCCGGGGATTCGCCTAGCTCCAGTGCACCGCCACTACCTATTGTCGCAGGTGAGCATGCGCTGTTGCTCTCAACTGCATGAGGCACCCCATCGCCTGCGATGGAGTGGTTTGCGGGGAGAGAAAGGTGTCTCGCCGCAACCGCCAGAATTGATTTCAGAAGGCCGATATTCCGCATGCCGAGGTGAGGCACGATCTTCGTGAAGTGTTGCGCCGGATCGAATAAGTCTAAAATTGGCCCGATCACGTTAGTGTAGTAGCGCAGCAAGCTGATGTCTTCAGCCGACAACTCGATGTCCGAAACTGTGTTCCATGGTTTTGATGCTGAAAGATTACCCAGAAGCCGGGCGGCTGCGTCATCGTCCAGGAAACTGGTCGCAGGCGTTGGCTTCCCAGGGTTCGGGCTAGTCTGGTCTCGTGAATCGGATTGGCCATCTGGAGCGCGGGATTGGGCCCGCAAAAGGATTCCGTCGAAAGGTTTTAAATGTTTATGGCCTTGGGTATTATCTAGACGTCGGATATTGCTTATAGCATCCTGTGCTATTAAGTCGTACCACTCAAACGGGGAAATGTTGAACGAGGATGCCGGACTAGCCGTCAGAGATGGAGAGAGCGAAAAGTTGATAGCTGTGAGACTCTGCCCTCCGTGCGATATATCTATAGCATTTTCGGTTGCATAGGAGCCATTCTCGCCCCTCGAGGTATCCCCGTTGGACCCGGAAGGTTTGTCAAGAGAATTGGAAGCCTCGCCTGTATTCGAGTAAAATTCATCCGAGTCGTAATATGACTCTTGTACGGACTCGTATTCAACTGCCGAGGCTGTCTCGTGATCCATAGCTGTCATTCTCGACTCCGACTCCGAGACGGACGGGGAGACAATTATGTTCGAGGCCGAGCCGTCTAACGAAGACTGCCCAGAATTCGGGCGACCATACCAGCATTCGCGGTCCGCCTTGGTGCACCGCGCGCAGACGGGCTTCGCTTCATCACATTTGATACGTCTCTTTTTGCATGTTGAGCTAAAGTGGCGTGCCGGGCGATGATGCGGTGTCAGTCGGCCAGAAGTGATGGTGAAGCAAGCACTGAAGACACAGCTTCCAAGGTTTGCACTTACCAACCCGTCGACGTCCTCAATCCGCGAGCTCGGGATGGCCTGGCTCGACGCGGCCGGCTGTCTCGTCTCAGTCCGTTGGTGGGTATCTCGTCGCCTGGTTTGCGTCTCGAATCGCCTTGGGATTCCATATCGAAATTACATGCTGGGGCTTGTCTCGTCTCGAGGGACCGATATTGTGGGAAGTATTAAAAGGGGCTCGCTTCAGGGCTACCCCGCATCCCCAGAGCCACTGTTGCTCCTGGTGTGGAGAAGTTGGGGTTCCGGGGTAATGGAAAAGACTGCTTGGTATTACGTTAATTATTTCTTCGGGATTGGCCGTGTACGCGCCACACCCGCTTTGGTTGAATCCTCACCTTCACCCCACACATTCTGCTTACATGACCAGAAGTTACCTCAGCCCAGCAGACACATTTTTCTCTGTAGCTTAAAGTACCTCCTCCCCCCCCCCCCAAAAAAAGCCATTGCCATATCGTGAGGGGGGCTTCTGTAGTGATTATAGCAGCACTCAGAACATTAGGGGAGTAGAGGTCGTATATTGAAACCTGGAAGCTCTTTAGATCACCAGCCCTAGCTTACTTGGTTAACTACATCAATAAGCCTGGTTAGAATTGAACACTTTAGATACTCACTTAAATGTAAGGGATATGGCTGGGGCTATTGTCGGCAAGGGAATGTGGCACACGACGCCTTGATAAAAGACCAACAGCAACGCTAGGGTACCGTCAAACCTATTACAGTAGAAGCGAATTGACATACTCGACGGACAGACATGCTATAGATGTTGAGTAGTGCCGGATAACATAGCGTATATAGGTTAGACTACCATGTGGCGTTGCATGCAATCTAACTATCTACGCCTTGCCGCTACTTCCACAGGCATCCATCCATCGCTCAACCTCAGCTTGCAAAATCGCTATACTGTCATCGATCAGCTGCATCAGCGGCTTGTCCGCGTTCTTTCTGAGGTGATCATTCCAACATTCCAGGATGAGTTTGTTGATATTGAGCTTGATGGCGCCGTTCTCTATGCAACGTCTAATAATCTCTGGTGTAAAGTCATTCGTACCATGTAAAGCCATCTCCACGCGACCCCGAATCTGCTCGTTAACTCTAGCTAGACGTTCATAGTCTAGCTGAGGTCCAGCCGGGCCATAGTCTCCGTGAATATTCCCAATACTTGGCGCAAGCATGTCGATCTCGGCAGAGATAAAGTCCTCGACCTCTTCTGGAGTCGTAAACAATGCTAAAACCCCCCCCGAAAAAAAGGGTAGAAGGCGAGGGGGAACTCGTCAGCAACCTCGTACAGGCTCAGAGTAGTCAAGTTACAGCTCTCGTTTTCCTCACCTTCAAGGGATCCGGTGTCCGCGATGCCCTCTTCTCCTCCGTTGATACGGCCACTCTCAGCTTCGACAGCGATGCCTCTCTCGTGGCACAATAGAGTCAAAACCTTTGTCTTGGCCAGATTTTCGTCATGCTCGTAATGGCTCATATCCACCATAATCGAATCGAAGGGGAGATTTTCCGCAATCTCACGGATTTGCTCCTCATCCTGCGCATGATCAAGATGCAGGGAAATCGGCACGGTAGCTGACTTCACGGCAGCAGCAGCAGCCCATGCCAGCGTTGGCAATTGCTGCACTGTCGATGGGAAAAGTTGGAGGATGAGAGGAGATCGTTTGGCCTCGGCGGCTCGGACAAGGGCAGTGAGGTGTTCAATGTTGTAGCTAAAGCGGTCATGTAAGTAAACTTCGGCTTGAAGAGTTGAATGAAGCAAGATAGCAGGAAGATAAAAAAAAAAAAAAAAAAAAAAAAAAAGGAGGGCAAACTCCCAAATTAAGGGTGGCTTACCAGATTACGGCTAAGACACCGTACTGGCCCTCGGTCGCAGACCGAAGGATTCTCAGTGTGCGGTTCTGAGCCCGACGTGTTGACCAAGGTTGCATGGCTGAAGTACAATTAGATTCGTGTGCACGGATCAACTTCAAAGATATTGTTCACAGAGCAACAAGCAATTAATGCTTGTTGAAGCGCAGGCCTGTATATTTGTCTCGTAAAAAAAAATTAACCCTTAGTGTTGCATTTTTCCATCTCACCGACCTGTTTTTTTCTTTCTTGGCATTGGGCCTCGAGACGGGGACGAATTAGCCTCGCATCGAGGCATGGGAAACCGTGCGGTACCATTTTCTCCACAGCGAACCACGACGCGAATTAACCAACTCTTTATGCCTTGGCCACGAGGTACGGCTTCCTCCATGCCTCGATGCGAGGCTAATTTATGCCTTCGCCACGAGCCCGTCCATCCCCATTGTCCCAAAGATCACGAGAAACCCCGTGGGGAAGCAATCGTTAATCTTAGTTTCGTCCATCTCGCTGGGGCGAGGCCAGGTGCCACATGTGACGTGCCGTCACGTCTAGACGCCGTGCTTGGGCCGATGCATTAATATAAGAATTGCGACACCCTTCACAAGCTACCTGCTCCTCCTACTGCAAGTACTACAAGCACGTATCGGTTTTAGGTCCTTCCCCAACTGGGCAATCGAAGTCTTTACGATATCCGAGAACTACGTAACGATGGTTCCAATTCTCGAAGAAAAGACCAACGGCGTCCCGGTCCTTGCGGACATCTCGTTTGAACCTCAAGAGAAACACGACTTGGTGCTGAAAGTTTTCAGGGCATTCATCGCAGATCAATGTCAGCAGTACAATGGTGGCCATCCAGGGTATGATACAACGAATCTATGTCCCGGCCAATGTTCGAAGCGTTGACTTCTTTATAGGTCGGCAATGGGAATGGCCGCCATCGGAATTGCCCTTTACAAATACGTCATGAAGTACTCCCCGAGAAATTGCAGCTACTTCAACCGAGATCGCTTCGTCCTCTCGAATGGTATGTATCCAGACGCTTATTGTGTGTAATAGAATGAATGGAAGTCAGAGCTGACCTCCGATGGCTTGTTTGAATAGGGCATGCGTGCCTCTGGCAGTACCTCTTCATGCATCTAGTCGGCGTCAAAAGCATGACCCTCGACCAACTAAAGTCCTACCACTCTTCAAGGACCGACTCGATCTGTCCCGGGCACCCTGAGATTGAGAACGAGGGCGTTGAAGTGACGACCGGTCCTCTCGGGCAGGGCGTTGCCAACGCCGTCGGTCTAGCTATGGCCACAAAGAACTTGGCAGCGACATATAACCGTCCGGGATTCGATGTTGTGGATAATATGACATGGTGCATGATCGGCGACGCTTGCCTCCAGGAGGGAGTCGGTCTCGAGGCCGTCTCTCTTGCGGGGCACTGGAAGCTTAACAACCTCTGCGTCATCTATGATAATAACTCTATAACTTGTGACGGTACTGCGGACGTTGCGAATACAGAAGACATCAACGCGAAGATGCATGCCACTGGTTGGAACGTATTGGAGGTTTCGCAAGGAGATACTGATGTTGTCGGTACGGCGCCCGGTCATTTATTTCCATGTCAAGCCAATAATTTATCCTCTCCTCTCCCGTTTGCGTTTCGTCACTTCGCATACCCCTTGACACATTGAAGTCCGATATCAAGCATATTTCTGACACGTCTTTTCTCTTTAACCAGCAATTGCCAACGCTTTAATGGCAGCTCGCAAGAGCGACAAGCCCACCTTCATCAACGTTCGCACAACCATTGCTTATGGCTCGGGTAATGCCGGTAATGCCAAAACACATGGGGCTGCTCTTGGCGTCGAAGACGTAAGAAGGATCAAGGAATCGTTCGGTCTGAACCCAGACGAGCAATTTCACATTCCGAAAGGCGTATATGACTTCTTCCAGGATATCCTCGACCGTGGGGAAGCACTAGAGAAGAAGTGGCAAGACACGGTCCAGAGATACTCGAAAGAACATCCTATACTTGCGACAGAGTTTGGTCTTCGTGTTGCGGGCCGGATGCCGGATGACTGGACGCAGTGTATACTGCCTGAGGATCAGCTGCCAACCGAACCCACTGCGTCGCGTAAGTCGGCTGGTCTTATTACCAACCTCTTGGGTGAAAAGATCAGCAGTTTCGTCGTTGGCACAGCTGATCTCACCCCGTCCTGCCATGTCGCCTTCAACAAAAAAGTTGATTTCCAATCTGTGAGTCTATAGCCCTTCCAGCGAATTTCAGCTACTGCAGTTGACCTTGCCTCTCTAACCACTAAGCCTTAAGCCTGACCTTCGAACTTCATGTGGTCTAAATGGAGACTACAGTGGTCGCTACGTCCACTACGGTATTCGTGAGCACGCAATGTGCTCTATTTCCAATGGTCTTGCTGCCTTCCATAAGGGCACTTTCCTACCCATGACAAGTTCCTTCTTCATGTTTTACCTCTATGCCGCCCCGGCAGTTCGTATGGCTGCTCTCCAAGGCTTACAGCAGATCCATATCGCAACCCACGATAGCATCGGCACTGGCGAGGATGGTCCTACGCATCAGCCCGTAGAGCTCGCTGCGCTTTACCGTGCGATGCCCAACACACTCTACATCCGCCCTTGTGACTCGGAGGAAGTTGCTGGAGCCTTCATTGCCGCTATCCAAGCCACCGAGACGCCCACAATCATTTCTCTCTCTCGACAAAACCTCCCCCAGTACCCGAAGCGTTCGTCGCGTGAGGGGGTAGCTCGAGGAGCATACGTGTTCTCGGAAGTGGAAGGAGAGCAGTTCGATGTGACGCTAATTGGGGTTGGCTCGGAGATGGTCTATGCCATGGAAACTCGCGATTTGCTACTTCAGAAGTACGGCATCAAGGCTCGCGTGGTGTCTTTCCCGTGCCAACGCCTTTTTGAGCAGCAGCGGCGCAGTTACAAGCAGTCGGTGCTGAAGCCCGGCTCCGGAAAGCCTACCGTGGTTATCGAGGCATATGCTGCCAATGGATGGGAGCGTTATGCTGACGCCTCGGTTTCCATGAGGCGCTTCGGCAAGAGTCTTCCTTCTAAGGCCGCTTACGAGTACTTTGGATATGAAGCGGATAAGATTGCCCTCAAGATCAAGGACCTGGTCGAAGAAGTTAGAAAGGATGGCATCCAGGTACTGAGAGGAGACTTCAGAGATCTTAACGGTTACTTAGGAGTAGGCTTTGAACACTAGATTTAGCTCTTACAAACTGTTCTGCGTAAGCTCATAGGACTATAAATAGTATATCCCTGGGGCTGAGCTTGAGGGAAGACGAACTGCGCAAGCGTTTATTGGAGCCCGAACCAGTGGTTCTCTGTCGGAGCTTCAAGTATGCACCTGTTGAAGAGAAGACTACTCCGGGGTCTAAGGTAGAAAACGGTGAGGAGGTCTTCGGCATTGGTGAGCATACAGGTTAGGCGGCTCAATGGCACGGGAGACTCTTAGAAACTCGCTGACAAGCGGTTTATATATTTCGGATACCTCACCATACTGATGGTGGACTCGCACAGTCTCCAGGTAAGTACTGTGATGTACCTGCATCCCCGTTTCCACCGCCCCAACTTACCGGTTGTTTGAAGATTCTCTCTCCATCTGACAAGTGGGTGGACGTTCCCTTCGTTGAAAACTCCTTGTTAATAATCAGTAAGCCACAGCTCACTCCCCACTTCGGTTGTCTTCTGGATACCATCCACCAGCAGTCGGCGACATGATCGACCACCTTACCCACGGCCGCTACCGGTCCCGAACCCACCGCGTCCGCCGTCCCGCGCCGGGCTCCGCGCCTCGCTTCTCGTTTCCCCCCTTCTTCGAATTTGCCTGGGGCGCCGAGATGAAGCGCCTGCCACTAGATCACCTGGCCCCGCAGTCCGACAAGGAGAGGCAGCTGGCCAAGCAGCGCTGGGCGGCAACCACGTTCCCAGGGGTCGAAGGCAAATTGTCGCAGTACCTCCTCTGATATGCTCCACCTTGCGGGGGCCGACGGTGGGGAATACGTAGGGCGTCTTCTGCCTGTAGTGCGCCAGAGCAACGTGTAGTAGCTCGCACCCCTTTCACTTGGATATATTCTCTAGCACCGCTGATACCTGTTTGTCGCGGGATGAGGTCGGGGTGAACTTGCGACTAGGATTGTGCTTCTCGCGCTCCTCGAAACCCTTGGCTCTCTGAAAGCGACCCTGATTGAGGACTCGGTACGGCGCTAATCCCATGCCCTCGGCGCGACACATGGGGATGATGTCACGCTCAAAGTTGCGCATGACGGCGTTCCACATGCCCTGGTACAGGACAAAGAGCCGTAGTCCGTTGCCTCGCGCATACTGGTCCGCAGAGGCCACTACCCAAGCCGGGGTTTCGCTTATGCCGAGATAGAGCACCTTACCAGCCGCCACGAGCTCATTCAGACTATGGATCTGCTCTGGGGCCGACGTAGTAAAGTCACACTAGTGGATGTAGAGGATATCAATGTAATTCGTCCGCAACTTCTTCAACAACGCCTCGACGGAGATCTCCATGCACTTGGTACCATTCCCGACAAAGTTGGACTGGATCTCATCCTTGTGAAACAGCCGCCACGCGCTCGTGTACTTGGTCGCGATCATCATCTTGGTAGAGCTTCCTCCGCGGAACCATCCACTCGCTGAGCCACTCTTCCGACTCGCCGTTTGGTACACTGAGGCGGTGTCGATGAAGTTGCCGCCGCCGGCGTAGAAGGTGTCAAGGATTTGGATAGCGGTCTCCTTGGTTATCTCGCCGTAGCGTTCCTGCTGCGAGGATCCAAAAGTCATCGTGCCGAGGCAGAGGGGGATGTTTACGGGTGCCGCAGTAATTAGGTGTGGCACCTAAACGTTGCCTGAAACGTGACCTTCAAAACCCTCTTCTTAAGGGCCCACACATCAGGTCCCCGATCAGTGCCCCATTTTAACATAACCCCTTCGAATTCCCCGCGGCGAGTCAAACGGATTTTCACCGCTTCAAATTCACGATGAGCATAACTACGGCTATCAACCCCGGAAATGCCCTCAAAATCGTCGATTCCCTCCGCCGTGACCAAACGACCGCCACCTTTTGTTTTGACACAGACCGGAAGCGCCTCTCTGGAAAGCAATGTCAGGTATATGCCGTCTATTTTTCCGACGGGGACACCTGGGCAGTTCGAATTCCACTCAATGCGGCCATCTCGTCGGGCAGAGGCGGCCAGGGTCCCCGAGTCACCCTTCCGGACTCAGCCCGTTAACTGCCCCGCATCCAGCCTTTCGATCACTTGAGTCGGTTTCTGCTCCGAATTGTTCTTCGGCGTTGTGACAGAACCTTCCGAAGATGCCGAAGCCAATCGGCTTCAAAACCAAGGCACGGGAGATCACATGGTGCATGGCGAGCGTAATCCTTGTCCAAAAGTCACGCCACGGTTGAATGCCATGGGCCCTCACAGTGAATCATAATCGAATACTTCCCCATGGGGAAAGAGGGCGTCTGTCGTCCATGTGGGGAAATAGGCGTATAAGATGAAGACAATCGCGATGCTTCCTGAATGGTTCTCTGTCGCTTAGATTAAGAGACAAATAAAGTCAATTTCCATATGAGTCACCATTAGATCTCCTTCCGACATGTCTTCATCACTATCTCTGTGGCGTTCCTTGTGCTACCTCACGGCGTTCGGCGCTGGGCTGCAGTCGGCAGCACGGCCTACAAATCCCACGAAGGCTATGGAAGGCAACGGTTTCCAGTCCCGGATCGGACCGTCTATCCTCGAGGTTGGCGGTGGGCTACGGAACGTCTTTCCCGCGGACAATTTCAACCGGAATGTATCCACCGCTTGGTGGGACACCGATGTACTCGACGACGGTAACTCGAACGAAGAGGCCAAGAATACGGCCAAAGACCTTAAGGTAGCGTCCTTTATCGTAGTGGATAAGGACATGTACTAGGTGAGTCTCAATCCCATGATCCGGAAGGGTTGGAGGATTATTGGCCTAATTGCTTACCCTCCTAGCTTCTCGGCGTGGGTGGCTACGAGGCGCCCAAGGAGATAGAGAAAATTTTCGAGTTCCCTCCAGGGCCGTCTTTTGCCAAACGCTTAGTACATGATGGTACAGTATTTTCGCCTGAGTGTAACTGCATCTTCCTTGCCGAACTACATCCCCCCATGGAGGGCTTTTCGGCCGATGCAATGCCATGGGTCTGGCGTGTGAACCTCAATAATACTCCTCTAACAACCGAGAAGGTCTACCCTTCGCCGCAGATGACTGTGCCCAACGGCGTATATTACTACAAAGGAAGTATCTACTGGGCTCAAGAGGGCAACTTTACCGTCCCGGGTGGTATCGTGCGTATGGACCCGTTGACTTTGAGTACAGAAGTTGTTCTCAATAACTTCTATGGTCATCGGTTCAATAGTCCCAACGATGTAGTTATTACCCGAGATAAAGTGGCATACTTTACAGATGGATACTATGGCTATGATAATTTCAACGATACCCTCAAGCCAGAGCTAGCTAATGGCGTATGGCGATGGGATATGAAGACAAATGACTTGAGAATGGTCTCCGGTGCCGGAGGTGGCCCGTTCACCAATCCCAATGGTGTCGCCTTGAGCCTGGAAGAGGATAAGCTTTACGTCACGAACCGAGGGAATACTTCTGACAATCCAGCTGGCGGCCGGACGATTTACGAGTTCCAGCTTTCCAACTCGGGCGGTATTCCTGTAACGGGAGGCGATGTCTTCGCTTACGTCGACTCTGGGTTTCCCGATGGCGTCAAAGTCGATCGAGACGGCAGAGTCTACGGTGGAGTTACCGGTGGAGTGACTGTTTTTGACTCTGCCGGGAAGCATTTGGGCATCATCAGGGTGGCCGACGGTGATGTTGCAGTGAACATGCAGTGGGTGGACGACTGGCTTTATATCGCTGGGCGGGATTATATTTACCGAGTGCAGCTAAACTCGAGTGGAGTCCAGGGTCTCTAGAGTGAGGATGAGTCTGTGCTTGTCAAATAATGATACGGAATGAGTCTGAAATGCGACATTAAAGCTCTTAGCAAAGAAAGAAAGGAAAAGGGGGAAGGGGGAAGGGGGAAGGGGGAAGGGGGAAGGGGGGAAGTAATCCATACCACGGTGGTGACCTTCAGCTAGTTGAGTGTTCGTCCTGGCTACATGTCTATGTTCCTATCCAGGGGCTGCTAGAACCCTGCCCGAGTGTGGCTTCCTGATGTTTGCTTGCCTAGTTTGTGGTTAACATGCATCGGCATTCTGGTTGCTCTCAGTCAATCGATACTGAGTAAGAAGAGAAGTGGTGGATACCATGTAGCTGTCAGCTTGACGATCGCGCTCTGGATCGGGCTGAAGACGACATCTTTTGACCAGGTGAACTGGTTACCAGCCTTGCATCATCCGTTTTCTATTCGCTTACACCACGCTTTTCATAGTAAAGCGACTGACGTTTGCACGGAGCTATTGAAAACTAAGGGGTAGACCTATTATCGGTAATCTAGAAATCTATATAATACGAAGGGATAGTTTCCTTATTATACTAGATGCGGAGGCTATAACTAAAAAGAGAGATGGAGAGATCCTCGCGGGCATATCATCGAAGGGAAGAAGTTATTAATCTTATTAATTCGTCAAGTCGATTTACGTAGAACCTAATGCGATTGTCCCTAGACGTCGGCTACGTCCTTTGTCCCCCTTCTCGCCCACAGCTTAGCAAACAATAAAGCGCCGCTTTGCTGTGTCTCTGTTCGAAATCCGTCCGGAAAGGTCTGACAAGGGTAATTCTATTTTTCTATTTAAGCGATTCTAGAAAATGGCTAGAAAATGGCGACAGCTCCTGGGGGACTCGCGACGCCTCCCGGGATATGCAACGGCACGCTGACAAACATAAAGGTCCATCTAGCCTCCTGCCGACACGTCTCTGCCAACTTCTCCAGGTCAAAGCTTTCTCCAATCGGCATACCCCATCCGCTTAAGAAGATCTCGTGCATTCGATCGCCAGCCGGCCGAGGGCTAGGCCAGACTTCGTACGCCACTGTGTCGCTCGCCACGGCCGCGAACGCATTGTCCCAGTGCCAGCGAACGGCTTCTTCACTTGCGTCGATCCCGCAGGACGACCGCGTCGGCCGGTGCGCAAGTGCATCTTGAGCTTCTTTGGGCAATGCTCGGTAGGCTTTGAGCCAGCCTGTACGGACCAGGAGGATATCTCCAGGACGAAATTGGACATCCTGGGACTTTGCGACGGTTAGTAGCTCGGATAAGGGGATTGCGTGCCTCGAGAAAGGGTCAATAAGGATGTTGTTCTCCTGAGCCCAGGAGAACCAATCGAGGAGAACGCCGCGACCCGTGATAGTTTTTGTAGCAAGATCTGTGGTCCCTCAGCAATTTAGTCGATGGAGAGAAGGTCTTGTTCCTTACTCTGAATGCCTATCTTATTGCTCGCCTCTGGTCCTGAGATGTCGTCCTGGGTCAGGTCGTTGTAGTATTTAAGAGACTCCTGGTAGGGATAATGTCGAAGGCCATCCCAATGACTTGACCCTTGGGTGTTGATGTGCAACTGGAGACAATACTCGTCAGTGTGTACGGCCCCATAATTGAATGCCGGGTTGGTGACTAGCCTCGTCATCATTGGCATTGCCTTTGGCAATTATTCGGTGGAAGCATGCTTTTCGCACAGGGTTCATAGGTTGACCAAAGGCATTCAGAGGAAGGCTTCATCCACCATTAGCCTGGACAAGAGTTTTGCCATCAGCCCGGTGAACGGATTTCATACTTGAGTGGGATGTGAGTTGCTACGGTGTTTTCGGATGCCGAGTGGAGAGAGACTTTGAAGTAGTGCGGTTGGCGCTTCGCAGAATCGCAGCTGTCACGTTGCATCTGTCATGCAACCTCAAACAATGAACACCGTATCATATTTGATGGAGAGCTCCGGCTTAGTCACCACACGTGTACTACTTCGTACATTGACTGTAGAGGCAACGCAGAGTGAGGAAAGTTTCCCGAATCCGATTTTCATGACTACGAGCGTCATGCTGGAGTGGCTGGCTGTCATCACGATATGTCGGATAGATATGGCGTAGCCGGGTCGTCGTGACTCATGAGCGTAGGCTTGGATAGGTATATCTTAACCCTAACTAAGAAATACCTTGCTAGGCAATAGACAAACGAGGTCGCTATATTCCTATCCAAACTACTTACCGTCCTGCTTCTGAAGGATAATATCGCGGGCCTGGCAAAACCGTATACTGATCCGACGTAAAGCTCAGAACTCCCCGCTGCCGCTGCTGCTCTGGATCTATGAAGACTTTGAGCCCGATTGACCTCCTTCCTAGATTAAAAACCCGGAAAATTGCATAAATCTCATCTTGTCTGGCGTCCCCAGAGGGGCCATTAGTCGTATTCTGCATCTACTTACAATGTCAGTATTAATCAAGCGCCTCACCGCGAACAAACAGGGTCTTGGCGCGACACTCACCCTGGTGTATTGACCCCTGCTGACATAGAAAGGGGCAGTGCACTCCTCCGTGCTAGTCTTCACCTCTATGAAATACATCGGCATCTTCCTTATCTAGTAAGTGTTTGATAGATAACCCTTCTGGATTAGAAGCAAAGTAAGTGTTCCAGATTCATCGCTGTAAACAATATCCAACATCTCCACTTCTGTAAAGTCTGATAGGCTCGCATATTCCAGATGCACCTTCACGTAGTGTCGGATCCTACTCCTCCAATTGTTACGGCCGAACGAAGGCAAGCTTGGTTCGAGGTTAGAGAGGAGCTCGAATACCTGCTCCTCGAGTTATTAGGTCTCTATAATCTTCGAGCACGTATGTCATTGTTCTGGTTTCCTATTTACTTACGAAAAGCTCGCCCGCTGCACCTGTTTTAATGCGGCGCTCCCAATCAGATCCGTAGCGCACGGTGCTCGACACATCCAAACTATAATCGGCGACGGAGAGGTTCTGCAGTGCAGTAGACAAGTCCGAGGGGTTGAAATCAGGAAATACTGTGCGCCGGGCAGCACTAACTACCTTAGCAAGAAGATCTCGGTATCCTGAGTCGCGTACGGGGCTGCTTGGTATAGGTAGTCGTCTGAAGTGCGCTAGCGTGCCGACGCGGCGGTCCTCGTCAGAGTAGTCGTCCGGGTTGGTCAGGGGTGTCGGGAACTCCGAAGCATTGCTCGGCGATGCAACGGTCTGTGGCGTCCATGGCGACGCGATCGTCGAACCCATCAGTGACGTGTCCTGTGGTGCGTGGCTTGGCCGTGTAGGAGTGATAGGTGGAGCTGCCGCCAACGGGGTTGAAGGAGTAACAGGCTCTTCAATTAATAATTCAGGTATATCAATCTCAGGCACACCTTCTCTTGTCAGGATATACTGCAAGGTTGAAACGCGGCAGTTCAGAATACTATTGATGAAGTAGAGCACGGTTTCTTCATCGACCGTCCTCAGCATATCAGCTCCTGGCCAGGACTAAGAGGGTTATGAAGTACCAGGAAGCACCCAGTTCTGGCGTTCTCTACTGCGCATCTTTTTACTGTCCACCCTTTCTTGTTCTTCGCCCAGCCGTCCGCGCCCTGAGATAGCAAATTTCGGAGTCTCCTTGTGTCCGCTCCCAGCCGCCAGGTGCAAGGCTCTGTCTCCTTCCACAGTGACATTACTTGAGCCTATATCACCGCTTTTAGGCACAGCTCACGACAGGAGACGCATATTATTCCATTTTACACACGCCAGGACAGCATGGTCCAATCCCGCTCGCCACGCCTCATGGTCGGTGGTTTCGAGCTGCCTCAAAGCCCAGATAACAACGGCGTCGTAGGTCTGGTCTCCGCATCTACATGCGAGGAGACATAGGCTTACACCGATATGAATAAAGGGACCCGCATCGGTTCCTTGTAACCGGGCTGCGGCCATATGGTAATAAATAATGTTAATATACTTACAGCACTAGCTAAACAACGTCTCTCTCAACCACGGGATCTCCACGCTGATTACATCGCCAGCGCTGCTATTAGTGAACCTGATTAAATCCATCGGCTCGTTTCCATAGTACATCGAATCCGTACCTCTCCACTCTTCGCAACCTCCGTCGAATATAGACTGCTTCTCTACTAGCGTTGGGGTATTGATCACTGCTCTCCACGCGTCTCCTTCCCCAGGCGCCCCGCTTGGCTGAAAACATACTCTGACATCAGAAGAATTAGAGCTATTTCTCCTGGAAATAAAGCTGCTAGAACCTTCTGGCGTACTAGAGGCCCAAATCTGGCGTATTTTCTCCAACATATTCGTCTCCTTGTAATTCCATCTCATGGCCTGGAGACAAATCCCGTCCTCGGCGAGCTGTAACTCTAATACACTTGCGGTACTATTTGTTTCTTTCACCGATCGATAGGTGCCTGCGTACCTGATACGGGCGTGCTCCGATCTCTTCTTTTCGACAAAACTGGAAGTCATCCGGATTAAAGAGTCGAGTAACCGCTTCGGCGCGGTATCCGGGCCCCGTGCTGTCAGAATGACGACACCAAACCCATATTCGGGCACCAGTGCTATTTGCGAATAGTACGCAGGACTGACCGTGCCGCCCTTGGTGTGGATGGAAAATGGAAAGCCGCCATTGAGGCTCTGGACTAACGGCCGGTAGGTTTCCCAGGCGAGCCCGAGGTACGCTCCGTTCGTGACTGTACTGGTTTGCCATGTGAGCCAATCCTGCAGGACCTGTTCTGGGACACTCATTGCGTTGGAGGAAGATGATATTCCTCGGAGAATTAAAGATAGAAATCGAGACAGGTTGGCAGAAGATGAGTAGGCTCCGTGGGATGCTTGGGTCCAGCCATGACTTTTGTCCCAAGCTTGGCGGGCTGTCTTATCCGGTATAACGACATTGGCGCCCGCGGGGACAGTAATGCTCGTATCGGTCATATTCATAGCTCCCTTGATATCGTTGTCAATTAGAGTCGAAAAATTTTGTCCGCTTTCGAGGGCGAGGATATGGCCGAGGAGTTCAAAGCCCATGTTCGAATAAGAAGGAAACCTATTGGGCTGGTAGAGTAAAGGTCTTGTTGTGAGCAAACGAAGATAGTCTGCGCCTGTGGAATTAGCATATGACTGGTACTGGAATTTCCATGGGCCTTTGTCCTATCTTACCATACACTCCACACTGAGGGCGATGAGAAGGATCTTCATGACTGGCAGCACATGGCGGCTTATCCTGCGCCCTCAATACTGGTAGTCCTTGATACGCAGCTTCTTCGTCACTGAGCTTCCAAGAGAAATCGTTATCGGGGTCTAATGTGTTCCCCAGGTTAGTTCTTCAACTTGCCAGGGTAAGGGTAATGGTATCTTTTCTCTCACACTCCCTGGTTAGCCCGCTGATATGTCCCGCCAGTCCTCGCAATGTAATTTTATCGTAGGGCTCCTTTTCAAACTCGGGAATCCACTTCGCCACTGGCGAGTCGAGATCGAGTCCGTGTAGTAGCACCTCGTAAGCCGTCAAGACCTTCGTTACGCTACCGATGCGGTAGATACTCTCACTGGTTACCACACTTTTATCAGGCCCAAAGTTGAAAGTAAAGAGAGGGCTATCATCGGCGGCGGTAGCGATAGAGATGGAAGCCGAGATGTTAGCATACTGAGGCGCAGTGGCAATATCGGTCAAGTAGTCGTTCAAGTAGTCGGATAAGGTCTGCTGGAGTGATTTCGCATCCTCCGGACTAAGGGAAGGGATTGGAAGATGAGGCGTCACGGGTAGAGGGCAGAAGGCGGCGACAGCTGCCTCAGCTGCGACAAGAAATTGGATTATCTTCATCGTATCATGGGGTAGTACGGAATGACTGAGGATTTTGGTTCAAGCTCCAGCCTCCTGAAAACCCATCTCATATATGTTAAATACCCACACCAGTTGTCATGAGGTCCCATTCATCACAAATAAATTCTCTTCCTGCTTCGCTTCTATTCCTTCCGGTTCAAAGATGGCTCAGAAATACCGACGATTCGAGCTTGCGTAAGACACCCTAAATTCGGACGGAAACGGTCCAATTCAGGCTCGGGGTCGGAGCTCGTATTGCATCCGACATTGGCAAACGCAGGATGGAATTGCTTGATTTCTTAATCCTACTAACTATTAAGACTTCGAGATTACGCGTCCCCTCTGGCAACAAAGTAAGACGGCCTACGCCCCTGTCAAAATATTACCCAAAGTAGATATTAATCGGCAGCTCGCTTGGCGTCTACCTGGCGACAGCGTCAGCCAAGGAGACAATTTTGTCTCATCATTAAACAGTACTCCGTAATTCCCTCTTTTAATGCTTCTCTAAGGCTTCCTGGCACACCCTCGCTTAGGGGGGAATTTGTCTTCGTCGTCAGTGCGAGCGCCAGCCATCGGCCCCGGCAATACTCAGAAGAGTTCGGCGAAATACAGAGCCGCACATTTCTTGCGGGGGATTCCCCTTCATACACATCACCTTCGTTTTCTTTGTTTCAGACTCAGATTTCACGTGAATGCTAAGCCGGCTGGATGGGCGTGGATGGCCGTCGATGGGCTATGGAAACAGTCGAGGGCAGACGTGCAAGAGTGAATGGATCCCTACTGCGTGGCAGGTGAGTGTTCATTGACATTGGCTAGGACTAATACATCTCATGTGGTACCATGCTTGACAAATACCACGGAACAATAGAACTTCTGCACCCTTATTTTTACTCCTCCGGCTGGAAAGCGATATTGCCAAAATAGCCTCTAAACCGCCAGACGTTGGAAGCCACCATGAGCTGCCACCTCCTTCTGCAGCTGCGCCATCTTCTTCTGGTCACCGGTTGGGTCCTTCGATTCTGGCTCGAGAACCCAATCCAGGAAACGGTTGGTGTAATTTGGTTCGAAGTTTTGGTCCAAGACACCGAGCCGCTTACCATACTTGGTAACCTTGGCCCAGTCTCGCTTGACGTTCTTGAGATCCTTGGAAAAGTAGGCATAGCTGCGCTCAAAAATCTTCCGGTTGAGCTCCGTACCCATGACAGGCTTAAAGTCGACGTACTCAGCCCAGGCCTTCTCGGGCTCTTGGATAACGAAGTCGGTCGCCTTCTTCACGGCACGGAGGAACGCGCGGACCTTGTCTGGATTCTCCCGAATAAAGCGCTCATTGCCGATGTACAGGATCGTACAGAAACAGCAGCAGCCGAGCTCTGCGAGCTCGTCGATACGAAGCATTTGCACGTCGGTTTTGGGACGGCCTTGAGACGCGAGCCACTCCTCGAGTTCCACCATCTGCACGTTCTCGAGACCGATGCCGGCATCAATGTCACCTTTAATAATGGCCTTGGCGACGTTCATGCCACAACGGACAGCAGTGTAGTCCGAGGGCGACATGCCGTAGTGCGCGGTAAGTTCATCGATCTGGATCTTGCCAAACTCTCCAACATAGCCAATGCGCTTTCCCTTTAGGCTGTGGAAGTCAGTCGTGATGCCCGAGTCCTTCAGGTAAATGACGCCGGTGAACGGCTCGTCGAGCAGGCTAGCAATAGAAAGAACCGGAAAGTTGCGAGCCTTGGCCTAGTAGGACAAACGAAACGGCGTTAGCCAACATACATAAGACTAGCTTGAGTGGGTCCTGCTTACCGCGAGAGTGTGAATCATGGCTTTGAATCCAAGGTCCACCTTCTCAGTTCCGATGATCTCGGTCACGTCCTGGATGTTGTTAGCGACTCCGGTGATTCCTGCTTGACCTCGATCAATTGGATCCATACACTAGGGTCATTCGGTTCGAGCAGCGCGACCTTGATTCCTTCATCCTTGAAGAACCCCTTCGCTTGGGCAAGGTAGAGTGGCGCATGGTACGGCGTGGCGTGCCTGGCTAGTGTCAGCTGGCAATTTTTCTTGTGCCTCCCTGGCTGTCAGTGTTTGAATACCAGTTCGTCAAGAAGGTAATCTTGTCAGTCGACATATTGACGGGTCAAGTGTGAAATGCTAGAGGGGTCAGTTACACCACACCGTGCAAGGGGAGGGGAGTTTTAAAGAAGCATGTCCTTCCGCTGGAATTATCCAGATCAAGTTCACCGGTATTTCTCAGATCCATTCCCCCCAGCACACTCTGCAGGCATGATGGATGTCATAATAGCAGTCCAATCATGTATCTGGGGGAGATGTACTGGGAGAAATCGAACACCCGGATGCTATCTTTGTGCATAGTTACCTTGATCCGCAAGTTCCATTGTGAAGACATCCTGCCCGACAGGAACGTCGTACCACGAATTTCTTATTCAATGGGCGAGTAGGGAGAGAGAAGCAGGCAACGGCGGCTTTAGGAACAGACAAGTGTGATGGGGATTGCTTTACCAAAGGGTGGGTTATGAAGGCTCTATTTATATTTTGGTTTTCCCAGCATTAATGATCTGATATTCCCTCACATCCGCTGTGAGGGGTAATCCAAGTTGTTGAGAAGGTTTTTACTTGCCAATCAGAGCGAGCGTCGTCGCGTTCAACGCAAATCAACCGCCTCTTTCCGATCGTGGCCAGCCATGGACCGCCGCCGATTGGCTTCAGCAGAAACCTTAATACCCACCAAGGCCACGACGCCCCCCACGGTCGAGCCGTCCTTGCCGACAGTACTAGGGTCGTCGGGTCACTGATGTTCGGCAGGGTTATGTAGGGCTGGCTCCGAGCACACAGCTATCCTTAATCCAGTTATCCTTGGTCCATACTGCAGGGGTTATCGTCATTCTCGTTCGGAAATGGCGATTTTAACTACTACTCCACGTCTAATCTCTCCCAAGCCATATCAGGTTCGCGTCTCCAGGAATTGGAATCATCAATAATAGTGCTTAATGGAGGCTTGAGACAGGCCAGGTATTGAATGAAGCCGAATCTGGATGGACTCGTGGTGCTTGTACCTTCGGAGCATATTTCAACTCTAGAACGCATGTGCAACTACCAACTTCACAATTGCCACCCCGACTGAATCATGGGGTGAGGCGAGTTCGTGATCATGACGAGGTTCACGACGGGCGTTGGTGTGAACTTAATCGAAGAGTCCAAAGCCGGGTTAGAATCACGAACGTAAAACTCGACACGCATCAAGATCGTAGCGAAAACAGAGCCGAGCTCGGGCCCTGTCAGCAAATAAACTATGTGCTGAGCACCGAACTCCGCTGAAACATCGTTCGGGCGATAATTTTAGTACACTTTTGCGACTGACTGCAAAGATCCTCCCTTGTTATTACGTACAAACTCGAAATCATAGATTAATTGATGATCTGAGGGGACCACCGAAGGTGTTTCCACAGCTCAAGTGGGAGACACGTGGTTTCTGGACAAACTTATTTCCCCTCTTGCGCCACAAAAAAAAAAAAAAAAAAAAAAAAAAGAGTTGCCAATTGCCTACAATTGTATTACCCCCAAGAATTCTCCGCCGGTCCGGCATACCGAAAGGAGGGCAGCCAAAGGAAGAAAAAACCATTTGATCGATAATTGCCAACGCAACGCGGTGTACCTCAGTATGCAGACGAGAGTAGGCAGCTTGCCTGCACGATCATGGACAAGATATTGATATCAATTTCAATTACAGAACCCACGGCCTCTCGTGTTAGAGTGAGCGCGAACTGCACCATCGTCAGCCAGCGAAATCTTCCACTGGCGTATGTTTCCGCATCGACTGCTAAAGTTTCCCAGGTCTTGGGCCTTAATGAAAGTGACCTGTGATGCGACGTTCCGCGTGTCTCGGCCAGCAGGTTCAAGGGGAGAACTCGCTACGTACCGATCTATTTAGGGCGATGCCCGCGTTACCACCATCGCTATCGCGCTCGCCGGCATGAAAGACTCCCTTAGCTCTCATAGTCGTAAGAGATTCGCATAGGGCAATATTCGAGCCATCTACGTTCGACGTTTGCTCCGAGAAAGCATAAGATAAAACTTAGGCGACTGCCCCTAGATGGGCGATAGGCACGAGTGCGTTAGTGAAAGGCTATACATATGCTATCTCTGCCATCACATGCTAAGAAGATTGTCCGAACAGCTATATCCCCTGAACCAAGGCCCGTTGGTTATTGAAATGTCTCCAGTCGTCAGTGTCTTAATACTCTTTTAAAAATCCTTGACAGTGAACCCAACCCGAATTTCCAACCCTTGACACGAACTGTATAAATAAAGAAGAAAACAAGCCTAATACATAGGTGGTAGTTATTAGCTTTTGAGTAAGCGACAGTTTAAAGAACTTGGAACAGCGCGTTGGTAGCTTAGGAAAGGATAATACGACGAATAGCAGTATAACTTACGCCCAATTTGAAAAGCAAAATAGTAGGAAGATGGCAAAATCACGCCATTTCTCTGTTGAGGATATACTCAACGAATCTAGATACTCCGCGCCGCTGGCATATGGGCAATACCCACACATAGCTGTCGCGTCTGGATTCGTCAGGTAGCCCTGACCAGCCTGCTCCACGAACGTGCCTGCAAACTCAAGGCATGTCTGCCCGGATGGGGGGTTAAAATAGGCCGCTTCGTTAGGGCCACAGCGAACTTCCAGGTGCGACAAGGTTGCCGCCAGGACGCCATTGATCCAGTATGTGCTGGGGTTGAGCCAGTAAAGCTGTATGGAGAGATAGCGTAGCATTAGTATCATGTATCTCCCCAGGAAGAAGATCATCTTTGAGCATTATGGGAAAAGTGATTCCGGCCCTGAGGCAAAATCCCGAAGAGAGAGAGGGGAGGATGGACGAGCTTACCCAGTATTTCCAGAATACATTGAGCTGGCTGTACGGCACAACAACGCCGTTGAATAGTGACAGCACTGTAAGAAAAAAAGGTAAGACATTGCTAATGACGGTGAAGCTTGGGGCCCAAGCACAGATCCATTGACCCCAGCTAGACTGGAATAGAAAGAATAGCAGAGTCATAAGGAAGACGTAGCCGGCGGTAGAGGCATCATAAGGAAGGCCAGTAGGGAGATACCACAATAACCAGTACAAAATGCCCGCCAGGAGTGAACTCGGGATCTCGGACACGACTTCTGCTGTACAAAAAGCGATCCATCCGTATGTTCGTGAAGGTTTCTCTCGCGCCTCCCAGAGCGCACGGTTGAAGAAAAACTTGGGTAGCACGCTGTTGAGGACAGCGGCGGTGATTAGAAGAATAAGGAAGGAGGTAAACAAGCGGTTCTGCATGTCTGCGACAGTGTTCCCCAGCTGCCAGAATGTGAAACCGTTGAAGATTCCGGTGAAAAACGCGGTAAAGAGCCTGCCATAGATATACGGCGGCTCGCGCCATTGATGGATGAACATTCGCTTGGTGAGGTATACAATTTGCATCAACGTAGGGGTAGCGAACTCGCCCCCGTCCGAAGATTTCATGGCTGTTATCGTAGTTGGCTGCTCGTGAACGTTTGCTGCCTTGGCTTGCCGAATCTCTTGAGCCAGTTGGCTGTTCTCTCTCGATTCACGCCACTCCTTAATCCAGTCAACCGGTTTGCCGTCCACCTTCTCGCCGCCCTTCGCTGCCGTCTCGAGGAGAAACTCCGCGACGTTCTTCCCTTCCGAACACTTCGTGCCCCGATCGCGAAAATATGTTGTGACAGCAGTGCCATTATCGCCAACAGGACCGAAGTAGAACACGGCACCGCTTGGATCCAGCGCCAGGATCATATCAAACTGTTGGATCAAATCCATGGAGGGCTGGTGAATTGTACAGACAATGGCGTGTCCAGAGTTACAAAGTTGCCGTAGGAACTGTACGATAGAGAAGGCTGACTGGGAATCTAACCCACTTGTTGGCTCATCAAGGAAAATGAGGGAGGGACTGGCAGCCAATTCGACGCCTATTGTGACTCGCTTTTTCTGGTCGACGCTGAGGGAACGGATTATCGCATCTTGTATATCCCAGAGCCCAAGGAGATTCAGGATTTTCTCCACGTATTCTTTTTTTTTGCGGTGGTGAATTGTGTGGCTCTGACGTAGAACTGCCGAGAATTCTAATGCCTCTCGAATGGTCGCTGTCTCCTCATGCAGATCCATCTGCTCAACGTATCCAGTAGTGCGCTGGAAGTCCCTCCCCAAAGGTCTGCCATCAAGGAGCACCTCACCACTGACCGTGCCACTTGTTTTGCGTTGGGAAAGAACATTGAGAAGAGTCGTCTTTCCAGCGCCGCTCGCACCCATGAGGGCAATCATAACGCCAGGTTTAGCGTAGCCGCTGACTTGATTGAGGATGACCTTGGCACCCTGAACGGTAGAGACGCTATAGTTGATGTTCTCCCACGTGAATATTTTGGCATTTCCTGGCACTCTACCCAAATCTTCACCTTCCCCTTGCCCTTGTTCCGCTCGATCCAGCTCTGATTCCAACATCATCCCCCCTGCCAAATCGCCACCAACTGAGCCAGGCTTTTCCTCATCGGGAGTCCTTGCAAAATCCCAGAAGTGCTGCTTGACCCGCTTGGTTGGCTTGAAGACGAGACCTCCCGCGGCTGGCCTGGCAAAAGAAAGCAACTCGGTGGCAACGATAGTGATGATGAGATAGAGGATGGAAAATGCAATGACGACGCCGAGATTTCTCCAGAGATTTGCGCGGCTGTAATCGTACTTCGAGCCAAGATAGTCATCCCCTGACAAATCAGCAAGGCCGGGCCTTCCGCCCGCAATAGCACAGCCCTGATTTGCTAATTGGATATCGTTTCCTTGGGGCACTAGCTGAGAAGGCGCACATTCCATTCTTCGCCCGTGGAATTCGTTGCTGAGAACTGCCTCAAAGGCGTAGCTGAGCTATATTTAAACGGAATTGCATTAGCTCCATTGGATGTGAATAAGTAAAAAGGAACTGAAGGGAGGTGAGTGGTGGCCATTACCGGATTGATATGTACTATCCAGCCGAACCAAATTTTCTGAGAAACCAGGATGGGCTTTGAAATTATGTAACCGGCGTATATGAGTAGAATATTGAGAACAGTTCCGCAATATCGGACGGCATCATCAATGGTTGGCGACAAGGCCGCCATCATGCGATATAGAGCCGTAAAGCAGATGGTTGTGGTGTAGCTGAAGAGTAGGTAGATGAAGAACTTGCTCGGTTGGGGGTCTAGCCCAGTCATAAAGTAGGCAATTAGACCGAGGATGAGGACCTGAGGAACGAGCAAGGGAAAGTCAACCAGTACTCGCGCAAGAGTGACCGCACTAGGCCTGTAGAATCCGTATTGTTTATGGCGGGCGATAACGGCGCGTCCAGAGACGGCTTTAATCAGTTCTGAGAGCTGGAGCCAACCGAGGAAAACAATGGCAAAAAAAGCAACGCCGCTCCGTGGGAAGACACCGGCGGTCGATGATGGGGTGTTGTAGAGCATAGAACTAAAGATGAATCCGTTGGTGATGACAGTAAAGTACTTTGTGCACAGCTCCTTTTTGTCACCCCAGACAAGCCATAATTCACGTCGAGCACAGGCGAGAACCTGTTTGTGGAAGCTTGCAGTGGGCGTGGAGTGTCCAGGATTCGCCGAGCGAGATCCTTGTGACGAGGCTCGCGATGCGTCAGATGGGGCGTCTATTTCCCCTCTGGGATCGTATTCTTGTTGAAAACTGTCTACGTCGGCGAGGACGCTCTTGTATGCTGGGCTGTGGTGGAAGATTCGCTCGAGCTCCTCGGCGGATTTAGGGCACACATTCTCGTATCCCTGGCGGAACCTGCGAGCGCTGGGGTCGCAGATCGAAGTAAGAAAGTCAGCCGTGGTCTGGGTCGGTGAGGCGTAATAGCCAAGATCCTCGAAATATCGTTTTGCCTCATTGGCCGGACCTTGGTACAGCATCCGACCCTCATTGATCACCAGGACCTTGTCCATGAGTTCGTAGATACTCTCGCCAGTCTGATACAACGTTGTGATGGTGGTTCGCCCAGATATGTCGGTCATCCTGCGTAGCGACTTTGCATATTCGAGCGCTGTGGAAGCATCCAGACCCCTTGTCGAGTTATCCCAGCAAGTTACCGCACTTTGCGTTGTCAGTGTCTCCGCGATGCTAACTCGTTTTCGCTCTCCCCCGGACGCGCCATGGATGTGCGCATTTCCCACGAGCACATTTCTGGCATTTTCGATAGCGCATAGGTTGAGAAGTGAGATGATTATGTGCTCCAAATATCCTGCCTCTAGATGCTTCCCCATCTTGGTGAGAAAGGGGAATTTAAGTGTCTGCCCAACCGTTAGGGTTGGCATGTGCTGGTCTTCTTCACCATTATAGACCACCTCCCCTCGGCGATGGCTCTTCTGCAGATCCTTGAAAGAGTTGATGCCGTATGACACTTCGCCTTCGACAGAGGCATATGAGTCCCTATTATTGGCAAGAACCTTTAAAAGTGTGCTGCAACCGCTGCCTGGTCGTCCCAGTACGAGCATCATCTCCCCGGGTCGTACAACGCCGGTAAAGTCCCTAATAAGAGTTCTCAGCTCGGGTTGTCGGCCAAAGCGGAGGACAGGGACTCTTTCGCAAATGAAATGGTACAAGTCCGGGCCGAAACTACCGAGGACGGCATGTGGTAATGTTTGGACGAAGTTTACACCGACATTGACGCCCTTGACCGTGAGGTCTTTGAAGACCACCCCAGTCTTCCGAATGGGTAACCCAGGGTAACCGTCACGGATAAGATGTTCAAAGTGCGAGGAGGCTTCATTCCCGATAATTGGCTCATGGATCGTCACTTCACTGTCACCCTGACCTCCGACCGATTCGGCCTGGTAATTTTTTTCACTCTTTTCTTCTGCCCGGTCAAGCATCTTGGTTACTGGATGGGTCTTAGTGGGCTAGACAGTATTGCGTCGTAAGGGTTCGGGACTCTGCGATATCGGATGCGAGTGCGTGTTGGACATCAAGTGGTGGTGCTAGTTGACTCGGTCCACTGCACTTGTGTTTATGTGTCGAGGCTGGGGCGAGGGTCGTGACCTCGTATTTGAGGATGGCTGAGGGACGGATTTTCGCCGTGCTTCCTTCTGCTCAAAAGCTGAAAACTATAGTTACTATGTTCATAAATCTGGCGTGGCTGCTTAAGTCCGATCTGTCCACCCATACGGCCTAGAGCTAGATAGGCGGAGTCATTCCGATAAATGGGATGAGAAGGGAAAAAGAGTTCCAGGCTTTGTCAGGCCTGCCTACCCCTGTAGCACAAGGCATTGGGCCAACAGTCGAAAATAGAAAACAAAAGCAATAATAATATTGATGTGTCTCGGAGGAATTGCTGAATTGACAAAATGATCGCCTCTGCCACCTATCTTTAGTGGCCAGTCTGTCATCCGGGCCGATGCAGGGCTGGACAAGTTGAACTTGCATTCCAGGATCGTGGAGGGTAGTACAGCAAGCTGCTTTGCTGACAAGAGACAGCACTGCGAGACAGCATTGCGATGTCATTTTGAAGGAGACACGTAAAGAAGACACCGCGTCAGCTCCAGGACCCGCACAAAAAACACGGCCAGACAAAGGTTCCCACTCGCTCGTTATGTCCGACCCCTCGCATCTCCAAGCTTATTCCACCGGGTCACCAGCCGCAGGGCGCACTCTCCAGTAGTCTGCAGAATTAACGACTCGACTGCAGTGATCTGCAGGCCGCGTGGTAGGGCGAGCAGACTAGTTGCTGAGCACTAAAGCGGGAACAAGATACCTCCGACGAATCCTATAGGTCAACGTACGTATGTGATGCTACTTCGCCCTCCGCACCAGGGGAAATTATCTCATCGTCAGCCACAGCGATTGGTGGAACAGACCGGTAATGTGCCGTCTTGCTACCTAGAAGACCTGGAGTATTCGAGCTTTGGAGGTGCAAAGATTCCTACAAATTCTCGAGAGAACGGATCCCGGAACAACAAACCGGCCGACAAGCATGTAATAACTGCGGATGGATATATTAACAGTTTACAAACGGGCATCTCAGAATTGGCCTACAGATTACAATAGAGGTGGGATGGACCCGCGCCTCGACAGATACGCGGGAATACGGCGGATCTCGGATCGAATTAGCTATAAATATCCTAGGCTGATTCCTGAGAGGCTCCACGGCTGAATGCAGGCGAATGCAATTGCACGCCTAGCCACGAGAAGACCCATCTTCTCCAGCATTCCTCCAACTGGCTCCTCACCGTCTGCGATTGGCTTTCTATAGAATAGTGGTAATGCACGGCTTACGCTAACTCGGCCAAAGAAAAAGAAAAAGAGGCTTGAGGCAGCTGAAGACGCCAGGCAACCTCAGGTATGTAGTTCTAAGTAGCACCTGTATTAGACCAGCGGAATTATTCATCCATCCCTACGTTCCGCTTCCCGTGTATGTTTCCTTCCCAGATGGCTCATTTCTTCAGACTAAAACGCCATCCCCTGTCCAGCACCATCCCCATCTCACTAACTCCGGGCAATCCATCAATTCCCCTTCCACCTTCTCCCTTCTCATACTACCTGGGTGTTCCTAACCGTGGTGTTGCATAGAAGGCGAGTCGCAAAGATGTACACGACCGTGAAACGGGCAGCTTGCGACAGATGTCACCGGCTGAAGATGCGTTGTATAGTTAAGACTGGCAGCGGACAGCACGGCCAAGACTCGTGTAGTCGCTGCCTTGTTGCCGGGACACCTTGCCACTTCAGTGTCCCTCGCAAACCTGGGCGCCCGGCCACAAAATCTTGCGGCGCAACCGAACCCCTTCTGCCAAGACAGAAAGCGACGAGTCCAGAAATATCGATGACAACCGAGAGTGACTCCCACGCGGGTGAAGACGCTACTGGGGCGGTAGAAAAATCTGTTGCAGACGAGTCATTTGCAATGAGGATCGAGAACTTCGCAGCCGGGATGGGCCTTGATGAGACGACATGGCCCTTGTTAACCTGGTCCGACGAGTTTCTTCACAAATCTGGTACGCAATCACCGACTGAAGCAGGATGCCACCTTGACTTTCTAGCCTCCGGGTATCATCACTATGGTCAATTTGCACCTCTATCGTTAGGAAGCCTCCCAGAAACGCCGCTTTCTCCATCAGGACACATTTTAGAAGGTGCTCAGCACGCCGATGACCCTGGAGCAGCATCCCTGGCTTCCCAGTCGCTCCCTTTTACGTCCATACACTTGCCCAACTCAAACACATCCCTGGCATCTAACAGCGCCCAGCGCTACCTGCAGCGACTCTCCGAGTTTAACACACAACTTTCGCGGGCAGCCGTGGACATGAGTTCCGCCGACAGCCCGACCCAGATTGAGCAGGCTGCTGCTCCCGTTCTAAAGAATTCGGCTATTTTCCTGGATCTCATTAAGTGCCTCCCGGGGTTCTGCAATATGACACGTACGGAGCCGACCCAAGAAGCTAGTCGCGGGCTACATTTCTCAAATAAGTCTGCCAAACAAACTGTGACACCTGGTGAGGAAGACGAGGGCGACGATGGCAATGGCGGCGACGGAACTATCCCTGGAAGCTCACAGATGTGTTACTTTGTACCAGACATGGCAACTGTCCTGCAGCTGGTCGTCTTCTCCATGCGCCTGACGGAGCTCCATCATGACTTATACCTAGCCATCTATAGGCATTTGCAGCAGCAACAGCACTCGCCGCGTTCAAATAATGCGACACCATCTACTAGCGCTAGACGCATGACAGAGCCTTCCTTACGGCTGCCCGTCTTCCTGTCCATTGCTGGTTTTTCTCTGATACCAAATCCGCGGTTTCAGCTGCATCTTCTTCTACAATCAGCAGTCCACTATTTGGGAAGCAGTAAGCCCGCTCTACCTTACCCACTTCGTTTGGCACACGCGTACATTCTCTTTAAGTCTTTATGCAAGCCGCATCACACGCATTTGGAGCAAGCTATACTGCTTAGGCATCGTTGCCCCGCCTTTCCCGCCTCTCTGAATCGTTCCTTGTTGAAAGGCGAGCTAACACAGTTATGCCACAGTCCATGAGGCGCTAAGCGGTCTCAAGGCACTCCGTGTCGATATGCCTGGGTCCATGCAACTGCCTCCTTATACCCCTGGAGGTGTAGTATTGCTCATGCGCATGCTGATGATGCAGGACTGGCAGGGGCGTATTAGCACCATCCGGGAGATTTTGCAAAAGCTGAATGATGACTTTGGTATGGCCACACAGATATAGAAGACTAAATAGACATTTTAGAAGAGTAGATTGTCTAGATATTAAGTGATAAAATGGAAATCGGCATAATATTATGTAACTTTTCTTTATTTCTACGCTACTAACACCGACAGTCTTTCTTACTCTACCTTTATTTCCATTTTCCTTTTTCATGTTCCTTTTTCTTCTTCCTCTAGCCTTTAATGACTTACGGCTCCAACATCCAGGCACTAAAAACGTAGTGCGAGAGTGTCAGGAAAAGAAAAAAACCAGAAAAAAAAAGGAGGAAAAGTAGACCAGTCTTTGTAGGAAGGAAATTTCATTAATTACATCTAGGGGACATCGCTGATGTCAACGGAGCCGCCCCTGCCCCGAAGGTCGTGACCCTAGTCTCAGAAAGTCTTGGGGTGAAAGCGTGCATGAAGATGACAAGGGTTAAGGGATGATGCCACACCCGCACCCGGAACCACGCAATAAAAACGTTAACTTACAACTCGTATTATCATACTAATACTAATCAGGAAATCTGCCAAGCCCATGCAAAGAAGTTTAAATTGACGACATCAGAGGAAAAGGGAACAGGCGAATTTTATCATCCTAGCGCTTACATCTCACCCCTCGGACAGCCTCAATCAAGAACTTATACCCCGGCGCCACCCGCTCCTCCCACTCCGTTGTCCCGGGTCGTACTGATAGGTCAAACAAATGTACCGCCCCAGGCACGGCAAGGAATCCCCGGCGGATCCCGCGGGTTTCCAATTCCGCTGCAAAGCGCTCGGCCCCAGCAAACGGGGCCACTTCGTCTGCCGTACCGTGGATAATAAATGTTGGGCAGCTGTACTGCCCAGATCGTGCACGTTCAAGGGGGCTAATGGATGCGATGCGCTCTGATGACGGCCGTGAGAGCCATTTCCGGAGGAAGTCATCGCTGATTTCTTCGCCGGATCGCTGAGGCAAACCGTTAAGGAGGACAGGGAGCCCGATAGCTTCCTTGAACAGGGATAGAACTAGCTCGGAGCGTGGGTCGCCGGGCCGAACCCACCCGAGGTCCGTGGTGTCACCTTTGGCGGAGTTATCGTAGTGGGTGATCTGGTACGTCTTGAGCTCAGTAACTTCGGACTTGCAAGCAAATAGAGACAGGGGTTTTCGGTTTTATTTGCCGCGGGGTGGAGAATTAACAGTCACGGAGACACGAAGTTGCTTACCGGCGTAATTGGAAGAGCAGAAATAATCCGTTGAAGGCTCATTGTCCTTCCCGGAAGTACTGACAGACGAGCTGCATCAAGCTCTGACAGGAATGCCTCCCATTTAGCAAGGAATGATCCATAGAATATAAGGGGCTCATATTCTTACCTTCCCCGGCAAAATCATAAGGGGCGTAAAAGCTGAGAACAGCGGCAGGAGGCTGTAACCCGGCCTCTTCTGCTGTCCAGCCTAGTGACATAGCAAGATGGCCGCCAGTGGACCAACCTACAACCACTATTTTGCCTGCGTCTACAACGTAACCACGCTGGGACGCTATCCATGGAAGCCTGGTCCGAGCCCACCGGTAGGCGTCAAGTACATCAGCTATTGGGCCGTCTATGAGATTCACTTCGGGACAGAGTCGGTAGTCGAGGCTAACCGGGAGAAAGCCGTTTGCCAAGAGGTGATCCGTCTGTTTGGGGCGGATTGCCCTTCTGGAAAGTGTCATGTGGCCTCCGCCATGGATCATGAGTGCTGCGGAAGAAAAAAGAAGGAAAAAGAAGACGGAAATGTCAGGGGCGGGGCTCAGACAATAGTAGAGGATTGGGGTCTTTTTTCTAAAGCGTACCGATTTGCATTGGTGATCGTGGCATTGCCGTTGGAAAATAGACGTCGGCATGGACCTCAACGCCACTTTCCTCTTTATAGACCATGGTCTCTAGATGGGACGTGGCATGTTCTTTTTCCTGGTTGGTAAAAGTGTTTACTTCAGGGGATGGAAGGGGCACATCCCATTGTTTGTTGCAGGCTACAAGAAGCTGTTGGCTGACAGATTCTCGGGTTGTCCCACGTGAGAAGCTAGCTGAGGCGAAACCCGCTGCTGCAAAGGTAGACATCCATTTCTCGGGAGGTTGAAGGGGGTATGCGGTACCGCCCTCGGCGAGCCACCAGCCGTCCAGCAAACCAAATGCGATGTCGTACCAGTCTATGGGCTGCGTTACCTCGGACAGGATGACAATTCCTCCGGGGAGAAGCGCCTGACGTAGCCGACGACAAGATGCTGTACGGTCTGAGGTCGCGTGAACACAATTAGTGCCGATGACGATATCAAACTTTCCAAGGAGATTCTCCGGAACCTCCTTCTCGAGGTTAAATGTCATGTATTCGATCCACGTATGCTGTTTTAGCACGCCCTTGGCCTTGGCTACTAGGCTTGGCGAGATATCGGTGAATGTGTAGCGTGCCGAAACACCCGCTGCCGCGAGGGCCCCTACTAGCCGTTTCGTCGTCCCTCCGGTGCCCGCCCCGACTTCGAGGATCTGTACTGGGCGGGTATTCTTGGCGTGGCGAAGAAGGGACGTGAGGAAGACCACAAGCTGATCGGTCAATGTTGATATCATGGGTGACGAGTTGTAATAGTTCTCCATGATTTTCATAGACTTAGGGCCACCAAACATGAGTGAAACGGCGTCGAGTTTCCCGCTTAGACAGCCAGCGAGATTCGGACCTGTGAGGCCGATCAATGCCGCCTCGTCCTTATAATCCGGGAATCGAGCTTCAAAAGTTTCTTGTAATTGTGCAGAGGACACATCGTTAACTGCACGACTTCCACGCCTAATCACGCCTGCAGCGTCTATCGTTACAAATCCATGATTCTGCAGAATCTCCCAGAGCCGTAGAACAACCTTGTCATGTTTTGGTCGCAGGTGGGGGAGCTGTGGAACAACATCCCCCGGAGAGACCGACGACAGATCGACACCGAGGGCGGTGAAAGCCTCGACGAGATATGACAGCATAAGCTCATTTTGCAAAGGTGCCACGTCGGACCAGTAACGAAGGAAGCCGTTTCTGGAGGCGGAGTTGTCAAAGTGTGCGTCCGACTCCCCCAGAACATCGAAGGGGTTCTCCCGGAGGATTGTGTCCTCATCACAATCTTTATTGGTACTTGGGACCGGAATTGCTCTAGGATGATGAGGGGCCTCCACCTGCTCCAAGTCGGGATCGGATCGGGAGATACTGAGATGTTGCATTAATCCTTGTATCGTGTCCTCTACCGAGAGGTCGGCTAACCGCGCCGAGAGTTGATCCTCGAGTTCCTGTTTCAAATCGATAGATGATAGTGAGTCGACTCCCAAGTCAACCAGCTGGGTCTCAGGCTTGATGTCTGAAGTCTCTACTCCGGTTACCTCAATAAGTATTTGCATAAATTTCTGGTACCGTTTTTCGGAGCTGAGTCGTCCTCTGCTTAGACTGGAGGGGGATGGATTCTCGGAAGCCTCGATCCTGGGTACAAGAAAACCCGATTCTGTTGGGGTGATACGGGGGAGAGGCGGTGAACTTTGCGCGCTAAGATGTCGGTATAGTTTCCCCATAGTGCAATCCCCAACATCCTCGCCGTTAATGTCGATGCTAAACTTAGACGACAGCTCACCCACAAGCTCGACTGACGCCAATGAATCCACACCCATCTCGGCTAAAGTCCTGTCATGCGGTAAATCAGACACGGGGATGCCCGTGTACTCTGCTATCATGTTTCCGAGGGCTAAGAATGACTCCCCAGTCTCACCTTCCGGAGGAAAAATGACGCTTGTTCCCGGAGTAACGCTGCCTGTGGTTTCTGTAGTCGTGCTGGAGCTTGAGGAGCTGGGCGTGGGAGTGGGCTGCGTGGGGCGCCGTGGCGAGGAAACACCATTCTTAGCCAAGTCCAGGGTCTTCTCGAGCTTCGGGATAGGAAGTTTTGCGAAGTGACAGCCACTGAAGATAGCTACGAGGTCACCCTTGGTGGTACACACAAACACATCACCGATGGGTTGCTGATCTGGCCCATAGCCAAATCTAGCATAGACACGCCAGCATTCCGATAGATCATGCATCTGCAACTTCGGTGACATTATGACACGGTCCTGGCCAACCATAACGACCACTTCATCGGCTGCAACGGAATCGTCGCTGTTCATGAGGAGACCGACAACCTGGATGTATGCATCGACCGCAACTGTGTCGCCAATCTTCCACACTGACGTCTCGTCGCGGCCTGGCTGGCCATCGGGCAGCTTAATTGAAGCAACAGCCTCTTTCTCGCTCAGCGTAATGGATTGGATGGCTTTGAAAAAAGGGGCGTAATCAACGACACGGCTGAAGAGGCCATATGCACGTTTTGACATCAACCTCTCGGCGTCGCTATCGAGCCTCTCAATCCGTTCTATAGGCCCGGATACGAGGCGTTGGAAGGCGTCGAGGGACGGGTTCAGCGTCACGCCAATGACGCCGATCGCATGTGTCGTCGGCCTTCGACTCTCCAATGTACGGATGGTAAACTTCCACGAATTACCACCGGTTTGCGGTTCTAGTTGCAGCACCACCTCGTTGCCAGTCCCGAGGCTAAGCGGTGCGCTTATGGCGAGGTTCTCAAAGAAGAGGCTAGCGCCTCTGCCAAACGGATCGTCTTCCGACCCATCCAGCAGAAGTTGAAGCGCCATAATAACGCATTCCATATACATCGATGCGGGGCATAGCGGCCTGTGTCGCACAGCATGGCCGCCGACAATTTTCTTGAAGCGCTCGCTTTGAGTATTGATCAAGAATTCGACTATCATACCTCCAGCGCTGCCTGATTCGCTGAACCTTTTGGTAACTAATTTCGGTGGCGTAGGAGGCGACTGGGCAATGCCCGCTCCCAGCATAGCAACCGGCTGATTTTTCGACATTGTGTTCTGAATTTCCATGACACGATCGAGGTTAGGTAGCCAATGCCGTGTCGGCTCGAATTGATATGGTGGCAACCAGATGGGCTTGCATTGGTATCCGGCCTTAGCGTGGGGTAATAAGCACCAGTGGCTCGCAGAGAGGCCGATTCCCCAGAGACGGGCCGCGACTTTAGCGATGACGTCCGCAGGTTTAATGCTACCCTGAGTCTTCATGGCAAGGAAGTCATGAGCATTAGGCTGACGCGTGGCTTTGCTGGCCATTGGGACGACAGGAGTGTCCACTCCGGCTTCAAGCCAGACGATGCCACTGCCTCCTAGACGGCCCTCAACCCGGCGAATGGCTTCGGAGAAGAAGACGGCGTCTCGGGCATGGTTGGAAGGTTTGTACTCCTTGAAGGATTCGACTGGTTGTGGGGCGCTGGCTTCTAGCGGTATTTTAGGCTCACGCCATTCTAAAGACTGAGCCAGAGCGGCAAGATCATTGAGAATAGGTTCCATCAGAGCCGAGTGGAACGCATGGGTGGTGGCAAGACGCCGAACCCTAACCTTTTGAAATCTCGGTTCCGCACCTAACAGAGCCTCAGCAGCATCGATGGCGAAAGTTGACCCCGCAACAACCAACGCATTGGGCGCATTATAACACGAGACCTCAAGCTCAGCGGACGGTTGACGTTGACGCAAGAGTGAGGCTAATGTCTCATACTCCTGGACAGGACATGAGCTCAAAGCCAGCATGGCACCTTTCTCGGGCGTCACTTTGGCGTCGATCAGCCTTGCTCGCCCCGCGACAAGTCTCAACGCATCTGTCAGGGAGAGCACACCCGAGATAGCGAGCGCTGTCAGTTCACCGAGGCTGTGGCCGACGATGGCGCTTGGGCACAGCCCCGCGTCCAGCCAGCACTGCGCGGACGCATACTGCATGGCAAATATGCTGCATTGCAACGTTACCGCGTCATTCAAGGGCTGTTTGTCAAATATAGCTGGAATGATTGAAGAGTAGCCGAGCGCCTTGAGCTCAATATCTACAGCGTCGATTTGAAATCGAAAGATGGGGATGCTGTCGTAGAAGGAACGATCTAGGCCCACTTTGTTGTCGTACTGTCCGCTGAATAAGAACACGACAGGCTTGGAATCGGTCTGAGGAGATGTGAACGGGGCCGATAAGCTAAGGCCCTCTAGCAGAGTAGTCGCATCCTCGATACTCCTCGCTTCGATGCTGGCGCAATATTTTAGACGTCGTCTTCTTTCGTTTAGAGTGAAGGCGACATCAAGCAAATCCATTCCAGTCTGCCCATGCTTACGCAGATAGGTGCCCAGGGCTCGAGAGTTTGCTAGCAGGCTTTTCTCAGAGGAGGCGCTGACTATGAGCGGAACGGCTGGACTCTCCGGGCCGCACTTTGGCGCCGTCTCTGTGACCACTAGTCGCAAAGGTGATGGGAATTCACAGCAAAGTAAAGCGCAATTCGATCCGGCTGCGCCGTAGCTGTTGACTAGCGCCGCCCGGAACGGAATGTTCCAGGGACGCAGACTTCGGGCGATAGCGAGGCCATCTGGTTCCAGGGCGGGAATCTTGGGGTTGAGTTGTTTATGGTTCGCCTGAGGAGGTATCTGACCATACTTGATCATGGCCAGGACTTTGAGTAGACCTGCAACTCCAGCGGCAGTCTCGCAGTGTCCTATGTTACCCTTTATTGAGCCGACATAAAGACTGCCCTTCCCTGCCCCGGTATTTGATAAATCCCTTCTAAAGATAGACCGGATGCTCTCGATTTCTAGTGGGTCGCCTGCCTGGGTTCCGGTACCGTGAGATTCGACATAAGTAACGCTTTCGGGAGAGAGACGGGCTTGCTCAAGCACGTTCCGATATAGTGATTGCTGAGCAGCCGAATGTGGCACAGTTATAGAAGCCGACAATCCGCCTTGGTTGGTTGCCACGCCAGGGATAACCCCAAGGATTGGGTCACCGTCGGACAAAGCGTGCTTGAGTTTCTTGATGACAACGAGACCTGCACCATCAGAGCGGCAGTAGCCATCGGCAGAAGCATCAAATGGCTTGCACTGTCCCGTCCGACTCAAGAATCCGGCCTTAGAGAGGTCGAAATAATTATGCATACCCGTGATTATGTTGATGCCACCGGACAGAGCCATACGGCACTCTCCCGTCTGAACTGCCTTGCAGGCTCGGTTGATGGCCACGAGAGAGGATGAGCAAGCTGTGTCAATGACCTCAGCCGGACCCGACCAACCGTAATAATAGCTAAGCCGGCCGCAGAGAAAGGCACGGATCGTGCCTGTGCTCGTATAGGCTGTCGGGGCGTGCGCGTTAGTATTGTCGAGGTACTCGACAAAACTCGCGCCAATGAAGCAGCCAACGTTGTCTCCATCCTCGCGTCGGTGTTTAGCCAAGTATCCGGCCTCATCTAGGGCTTCATATGATAGCTCTAGCAAGATCCGTTGCTGGGGATCCATGTTGACTGCCTCACGTGCATTGATACCGAAGAAGGAATTATCGAATCGTTGGACGTCATCAATGAGGTTCCCATAAAATGTGAGATCCTTGGCAAAGCTTCCACTCTGGCTCGCCCGGAAACTGCCGTGGATATCGAACCTGTCGGTCGTAAGCTTTTGATGGCGATCCCCACCAGAAGCGAGCAGGTCCCATAGCTCATCGAGGTTTCTCGCTCCAGGCAAGCGGCACGAGGCTCCTACGATAGCAAGAGCATTATCGGGAAAGACGGCCGTGGTTGCACCGGTGCGTTGAGTCCTGATTAACCCATGGGCAGCCGTCTTGGCGGGACGGACGCCTATCTTGTGAAAAGGGGTCAGGGGTACGCAATCTGTCAACCCAAAGTAAATGAACGAGGGCTGATTGCATCGAGTTTTCTCTAAATCCTTAGCGACCTCACCAAGGAGCATGTACCACTCACAGCGCGAAGCCAGAATAGTAGTGACAAGCTCTTCTGCCAATGATTCCTGCAGCAGTCGTTGGCCAGACTTGTTTGATCGGACCGGGACTTTCAGGTGTGAGGCGTTGGGAAGCTGCAAAGATGGGGTCTCACGGCATAGGCGGCAAAGATCGTCGGCCAATGACGTGTTTTCCGGATTGTGGACCTTTCCTCGAACTTCCATCTTCTGGACCTGGAGGCCCTCTTGGTCCCGAGCGAAACAGTACAGCTCGTGCAACGTGGCAGCGGGCCCGACGATACTGACCGATCTCGGCTCAGTAATGGCGGAGACATAGGTTCCAGGGAACCGACGAGTCAGGTCGTCACCTTGCCCCTCGTACTTGAGCCGCATAGCTAGTGTCGTGGATCCAGTGCCACCGGTGTCGTCAGCTGCCTCGCCATACGCGCCGACTCCAAGCACGATACGAATAGCAGTGGCAGCGTGCTTGACCACCTCTTCCTCGTCCTGAGCACAGGCAATAGCCAGGGCGGACTGCCACAAGTCAGAGAGGATGGAACAAAGACCAGATGAGGAAAAGAGGAGCCTGAGAGGGTCGGCGACACTTACCGGCAATCCGCCGCAATAGCCCTGTAAACCGCCACCCTTGCTAACGCCAGCAATGAAATCTTCATGCGAAAGCCCATGGTGGGTAAGATATCTCAGATATTGCGTAATCTGGAGAACAACGAGTAGAGGGAGAGCAACGATGCCCGACCTCGCGCGTGAGAGTGGACCGGAGATACCTTCTGCGGCCCAGTCGTGCAGCATGTCAACATATTCGGGACCGTGTCTCAGAGCTGCCACGTCCTCTCTGGAAGCGGTAAATACCGACCAAATTCGATCTGTCTTCAGAGCTATAATCTCCTTCAGGAGTACCTGTCCGTACCGGTTGTGGCTGAGGAAAGATCGTAGTCCATCGAGGTACTCCTCGTCTGGAGCCCTGGCTTGTGGGCAGAAGAAGGCTGCCGAGACCAGCCCCGTCTTAGTGTTGTACTTTCCGAGTACCATGGCTGGTTGTACAGACTTAGGTGGAAGAGGAAAGGGAGCGGATGCCAATGGAAAAGAAAGAGACAAAGAGGGAAACCAGTGAATCGAAACAAGTGAATCCGTTAAGGGACTTAGAAGACGATACCTCCTAGTTCTAGAGAGGTATGCTCTTTGCTTGATGAAAGCATGCGCGTAGGATCTGATCTTGCATCTCAGAGGGGCGACAAAGTGAAGTTGCTTCTGCACGGGATTATAATGGTCTCTGCCGAATTGCCTTTTTGCGTGCCTAGTGCATCTGTTTCTGACATCCGAGGCTGAACTTCCCCATGCCCTACTAAAAATATTTCTGTCTCCACAAGTGTTTCTTGTTTCCAATACGGTACCCCTCAAAGCAGGTAAAAAGGCGTACGAAATGATCGAATGGTCAGCCCGAGTCTGTAGCGTTCGGGCCCGAGTAATGGATGACCCGAGAGATAACGCAGTCCTACCAGCGTGGCGGTGTTTCTTTTCCCAGCGGGCGCACATAGCCTGCACCATATTACCCCGGCCGGACCGGTACTTGCTTTTGTTAATTTTTGGTCATGGATATGTGGCTAACGGTCCGCAGTTTCCAGTACGGGTGAAGAGGACCTAGTGAGGTAACACGCCGGCTTAGAATATGCCCCGGTGTGTGGCTAAAATAGAAACCCGCCGGAGACTCGTGCGTGGGCATAACGGGCGAAATGTCGGAAGTGTTACTTACTCAAATCCCACTGCAGGTTGTATACTAACAGAGGGAGTTGTCTGCCAATCCTACAACAATCCGATCTCCCCTTCCATCGTCAAAGAGACGGCCTCTCGTTGTCCTTCTTTGTCCTACTCCTCCTCACTGTATCCAGGGAGAGACTGTTTCCATCATCACTCCTAGTTGTAGACTTTGGTAGCCGATCAGAAACAGAGACTGAAACGATGACGGCGAGTGTTCAAGAACTCTTACTGCGTGTAGGCCCCTGGCAGCTCATGGGTCTGTGTGTGGGAGCATACATGATGGTGCGCCTCTCATCTACTTCCATATGCTCTCCTGTGTTTCGTTAACTCCAAAGACTAACATAACGAGAAAAAAACAAGTATGGCCTTGTCTCTGCGGCCTACTTACTCCTGTTTCATCCACTCGCCAAATATCCTGGCCCTCGGTGGTGGGCTGTTTCCCGTATCCCTTGGGCATACCACATCATCAAAGGCGACTTCTGGTCGGTATTGGACCACCTGCACGAAAAATATGGCAGCGTGGTTCGGATTGCCCCAGACGAACTAACGACGATCCAACTCGAGGCCTGGAAGGACATCTACGTTGCCAAGCCCGTGTTGGCTAAAGATCCCTACAGTCTGACTCCGCCGCTGAACGACGCTCACTCTTTGTTTACAGCGGAGGGTGAAACGCACCGACGTCTACGTGGTGCGCTCGTGAATGGGTTCTCTGACAAGTCGCTTCGCGATCAAGCACCCATCGTGGAGTCTTATGGAAACCAGCTTATCGCGCGACTCCGGCGCGAGGCTGCCAAGAGTGCCGATGGTACCGTCAACATACAGAGGATGTACGGCTACGCAACCTTCGACACCGTCACAGATCTTAGCTTCGGTGAGGCGTTGCTCAACACGCTCGAAGACGACTCCGACAATGACGAGATTCAGGCTTTTTTCTTGCACGCCAAGTTTAGCACGATCAGGAACTGCCTAAGCCGCTTCTCACCCCTTGACATCTTCCTCGGGCTCTTCCTTCTTGGCGTGACACGTAAGACCCGCGAGCGCAACTGGCGCCTCACAACAGAAAAGATTAACCGCCGGCTAGCAAGAGGAGATCTCACAGGTGTCCGATCGGATCTTTTGACGCCACTGGTTGGCAAGCTTGATGAGAAGGGGGAGGCAAAGCGTAGCATCACCAAGGCAGAGCTCACTACTAACCAGCTAGCTTTTGTCATCGCTGACTGTCAACTAACCACTGTCGCCCTTGCAACGGCGACATATCTTTTGCTGCGAGACCCGTCTAAGTGGCAGCGGCTCTCCGAGGAGATCCGTGGGAGCTTCACGAGCGACGGGGACATAACTGTGCAGTCCACCCTGGGTATTCCTTATCTCGAAGCTGTCATCAATGAGACTATGCGCTTCCGCCATCCGACTCCAATTAGTCTTCCTCGGTGCATCCCTCGCGGGGGTCGGTCGGTAGAGGGACAGCTTATTCCAGGCAAAGTGAGGGCATATTTCTTGTCGGCCGTGCCTCTGCCGTTGCAAAACTAATAAGTACGTCAGACAATCATCGGAGTAAATCTGCAGAATATACAGACAACGCGCACACACTGGGTTGACCCGCATGAGTTCCATCCAGAGCGCTTTCTGCCCGACTCAGATTCGCGATATGACCATCGCTTCGATCGAGACGCCAAAGCCGCATTTATGCCCTTTTCTACCGGCCCACGCAATTGCCTCGGATCAAAGTAAGAAACAACCCTCCCCCCCTCTAATGTATTTGTCTCACATTCTGACCAAGTTTCCTCTGTTTTCATCCGTTTGCTTTTGTTGCTTAGATTGTATTTGGCACAAGCCCGCGTGTTTCTGGCTAAAGTTGTCTGGAATTTTGATCTGGACATGAAAGGGGACCAGGCAGCTTGGTTGGACCAGAAGGCGTATCTCGTATTCGAGCCGAAGCCGCTTTATGTCAAGTTGAGTCTACCAGGAAAAGTATTGAACATATAATTTTCTAGTTGGGGGGAGCTTTGGGTTTCTTCTTCGGATCTCTTCTCAATGATAACGATACGATTAGCTTTGTATTATTATTGGCTTCTCGTATTCCCCAGATAAAACGATGTGCCAAGAAAACTGGAGGCCTTCGGCCCGAGGTGTACATAATAGATTCTAGTGTTATTTATAAAACGACCAGCTTCATGACTCGTGAATGCAGGTCCTCGTAGCGGATGGTGCCACGTCAATGCTATCAGCAGTTGGTCTGGAACTCTAGTGAGGATTGAGCTACCTGTCAAGGCCGTAGAGCTCGAATCCAGAGACAAGGGGTGACCAAAAGTTACTCTATCAATAAGCCACGATGTTACTCCTCTCACCCATGGGCTAGGCCGCAGTAAAGAACCTCCAAACGGGCGCGGATCTGTGGTCCAAGAATGGTGGCGGTGAAAACGGACCGAAGACCATCTCGATTGATAGGAGGGGTCTTAGACAACCCCCCCTTCTCTCCCAAATAATCACAATTTGTTTTACAATGACTGAGAGGGACAATACCAGCGATGGCGGTGAATAATATTCGTGGTCGGCATGCCAGAGGAAGTGCCCACCGTTGGGAAGGAAGAGAAAATTGAAATGCAGTCGCTCGTCATTATATTCTCAGAATTACTAACAACTCTCGTTCAAGGTAGCAGGTTCCCTTGGATGTCATTTCGCCTATCTATCCCACCGCAGAAAAGAAAGTCCCCAGAAAAAATGGCTTCAATCTTCGCGTTGCAGAATTAATCGACGTCCTACCTGCAGCATTCCATTGTACATTCCTAAGGGCCCAGATGAATCCGCCTCAATCCGAGTCCGCACCTCTATGGCCCTTATTCGGAACCGGATTATACCACGAAAAGAGATTCTTCGGGTCGTACTTGCGTTTCAACTGCTTCAGCCGCGGAAGCTTGTCTGAAGTGTACCATGCCTCCGGACCTTCGTCACCATGGCTGAACAGGACGTAGGTTTGGAGGTCGGGTTTTCCGCTTCCCTGCTGTAGCAAAGCGCGGACTTCCTTGCCCAAGTCTTCCATAATTGGAAGTTGATCGGTGGTCTCGGCAAAACCATCGTACGAGCTGATAATTAAAGTCAGTATTCTTGTGGCGCTATTAACCTTTTAGACGAGGCTCGATCAGTCTTCTTACAAGTATACAACGACGTCCCGATAAGGAAACGCCGACGATTCAAGTGGGTACTTGAGGAAACCATCCAGAGGGTACTGGGCCCATGAGAGGGTCGCAGCTTTCAAGTCGGCGTTTTCTGTCAACGTCTGGTTCATGAAGTTGATGACCTTAATCATGTTCGCAACGTCGACCTGGTATAGGTTGATGGTGAGGGGCGCGAAGTTGATAGACTTCTTGGGTCCAATATCCGCCACCTCACCGTAGAGTGCCACGTGGGAAAACTCATCGTAGGTCGAGGTCTTGACTTCGACGTTGAGGGGATTCAGGTCTAGGAAGGGCTTCGCCGCCTCCACGGCCTGCGCCTCTGGGCCGAAGAAAATGAAGCTGCCGACCAGACTCATGCCGCCCAGCGTCTCGTTGAAGCGAATGGCGAACAGAATAGAGAGTTCCTTAGGCTGATGGCCTACCAAAGAGTGTGCTGCTTCCCAGACAGAGCCGTTGAGTGCCGCGGGAAAAGTGGCATCAATGACGGTGACTTCGCCATTATTCGTCGCCGGGTGGATCCGGTATGTTAGAGACGTAACGATACCGTAGTTGAAACCAGCTCCCCTCAACCCGTAGAACAGGTCTGGGTGTTTTTTTTCCGATACGGTAAGAATCTCGCCGGTGCCCGTGACCACTTCTGCCGACAGTAGATTGTCGGAGCCGGTCCCGTAAATTCCTCCGAGTGGGCCTACACCCCCACCGAGAGTATATCCAGTTAAGCCGACACTGGAACACATACCAACAGCTAACCGCTCGCAAGCAAAACGCCAACAGTGTACACGTGTTAGCTACGCAGCCTCCGCGTAACCCTAGATATGAGAACTTGAACGGGATGGAACTTACGAAACTCCTTGCCAACAGCATGCAGATCACGGGTTGCATTCCCAATTCGCACGGCACCGCCAATGGTCATGGTATTCGCGCCCTCGTCAATCTCGATTGTCTGGAAATTGTCAAGATCTACGTGGATCCCGTTCTGCAGCGTTCCCAATGACCACGAGTAGCCATGGCCACCGCCAGTGGCTAAGAATGGTACATTGTGACGGGATGCATATTTCACCTGAGAGATTGCGTCAGCAAGAGACACAGGCACGTAATTCCATCTCAATCATCTTGGAAAATCTTACCAATTTCTGGACGTCCTTGGCATTCTGCGGCTTGGCACCGACAACGTAGGACGGTGAATGGCTTTCTGAGAAGCGAGCTGTAAAGTCCTCCGCATATGCTGCGTCCGACGCCAACACGACTTCGGACCCTCGCGACAAAAGATGCTCCAGATCTTTCACAATTTCCTGCGGTGAGACGGCCCTCACCGCTTGCAGGTGACACAGATGTGCAAGCCCGAAGAGAACCGCAGATCGGATAGTAACCATTTTCAAGCAGGGTAAAAGAAATCGGGGGAAAGATAACGGTGTATACGTGTAGCTCAGATACTCTCAATGTTACGAGAGGGCAGATTTATTATGGCAAGACCTCTTTCATCGCCAGAGAGCTTCAAGATCCCAAGGTACAGCTACACTAGCGTGGTCGTGGTAACAAGATGATATTTACATGAATGATCGACTTGCTGTTCTTCAGACATTTTTGCTAATTATAGGAACATTCGCCGTGACTGATGAGAAGCGGAAGAAAAGAGATAATGTGGCTGAAAAATAAGCCCACCACGACTCCTTTCTCGGTCTAATCGACCGTTTCCTTTTTCTTAGCCCTTGCTAATTACTATTCTTCCATGTGGGGCTGGATTCCTCTTGTCACCGTTGTACTGCATAATGGCGAGCGGCCGAAAACTCGCCGGAAGGAGATGGGGAGGAGGATTTGAATGAAGATCAGAGGCGTAACTTGTAAGCATAAGCATTCGGGGATCGGCATGGCAGCTGAAGGCACTCTTTCTCATGAACGGAATTACATCCGTTACAGCGCGTGGCGATGACGTAGGAGCGAATAAGAAATAGAGAGCGACATTGATCTTTCCTCTTTGCACGCAGCCGTATCCGGCGCATATCCCTTCAAACCCGCCGATTCAGAGAGCCGTCGGATTACAAGATGACCCGCCACCTCCGGGTAACGTAACCTGGATTACAATACACCTCCCGGACAAGGCAGATATTGATGTTTCATTTCGCGTCATCTCCCCAGGCTGAGCCGTCGGCGGGGCCGTTTTCTATTGCGTGGTGGTGCTTGATTCGATCTCACCCTCCCCTTATTCATTGAACGGCGGAAAGCTGTGCCCTGGATCTTGATGACGAAATTGAAGCAGGGCTCTTGACTAATTGATATCTTATGTCAAACCATCGGTCAAGGCTGTTCCTAGCTATGGGTTTAAGATACATCTAACATCCAATAATGCAACCTGTTACCGGTAGTCATAGTGACCTATTGCTCCGTCTGTAATAATAGTACTCCTCATCGAAGAGCAGTGATACCTTTCAGAATCACATCGCTCGCCATGGCTATGTCTACATTCTTACCGAGCAAGGATCTCGCATTCCCCCAAGGATCTCTCATCTTGGTAACCGGGGCATCGGGGATGATCGCAGCGAACATCGTCGACGAGGCTCTCAAGGCAGGCTTCCGTGTTCGCGGCACTGTTCGGTCCGTCGAGAAAGGGCGGTCGGTTGCGGAGCTGTTCAATGCGGCTGGCTTCGAATTTTTCGTCGTCGAAGACTTGGCTGCTGAAAATGCATTCCATGAGGCCATCAAAGGCGTATCAGGTGTCATCCACACCGCTTCCATTCACACCTTTTCCGACAACCTCTCTGATGTGAGTGGACCGCTGGTACGGGGCTGCGAAAATATCCTCGAGGCAGCATTGGAAAATCCCACTGTGAAAAAGGTGGTGTTCACTTCGAGTACCGGGACGGCCGCAAATCCTCAGCCCGGCATCAAGTTCCATATCGGCCGGGACACGTGGAATACGGTCGCGATTGACCTCGTGAAAAATACACCCCTGGAAAAGCGAGGCGAGATGGGCTTTGAATGGAAAATGAATGTTTACAGAGTTGCCAAGGTAGAGGCCGAGAAAGCGGTCTGGAATTTCGTTGAACAGCGAAAGCCAACTTTTGGCGTCAACGTTGTGAATCCTGGTTTGAACTTTGGAAAGGCCAAAGGCTCTATCGGAATTAGTGGTAGCCAGGTACTCAACTTGCTACATGGGAACATGCCCCAGATACCCTCACGTTAGTTTCTCGCCCCGTGTTACCTGTCCTGACCCAAAGCATAATGCCTAACGAATGATGTAATAGTCTACATGGTGGATGTTGCCGACGATGCTCGAATTCACATTGCAGCTACCATCGACTCAACGGTGTCGAGCGAGAGGATCTTCGCTTGCGATGAACCGTTCAACTGGCGTCTCGTCGTCGAGGCCATACAAATGGCCTTGCCGGACGTTGCCTTGCCCCCGCCGGATCCAAATGAGTTGCTAGACATCAGTACCGTTGACAATAAGCTTGGTGCTGAGCTGTTGATGAAATGGTGGCGCCAGCCAGGGTACAAAGGATTGGATCAGACCATCCGAGAGACTGTTGAGATGTGCTTGGACAAAATGGACGGGAAATATAAGAGAGGCTAAGTGTATTTTGGGGAATGAAAATCAGTACTTCTTGATCTACCTCAAGGAATCACTCGACCTCCGAAGGAGCTACTAGAGTAAAACGTGTCTTACTAGAAATATACGTGCTAGAGGATAGCTCCCGGAGCTGGCCCGTCGCAAGTTATTACCACTGCTACAATTACGGATTCAAAGAATCGCCAATTCGTAACTCGCGGTGAAACACATAAATGAGGAGAGATCGAATATAAGGCAGTTCCTATTGTTCGAGATAGACTACTTCAGGTCCTTGGTCTATCACTGAGAGTGATACTGGCGGAATCGTGGGAAGATTTCCAACGCAGCGCCCAAAGTCTCGCTGGCAAAGACCCTGTCTGTCGCGGCAAGTTGCTGCGTCACGACGGGGCCATGTTCCCAAGGGTAGTCGCTTCCAAACAGGACATGGCCAGGCTTGACGAACTCCTTCAGCAGCCGCAGCTGTGGGTCGTAGGCACTGAAAGCCACGTCAATGTAAAACTTACGGGCCTCTTCAACAAATTCCTCCTCCGTCATGTCCACGAGGCGGATACGGCAGCAGAGGTTCGCAGCGCGGCGAACTACATAGGGCAGCGTACCACCAGCATGAGAGAGGATGATCTTGACATCGGGGAACTGACGGGTGACTCCTGTTGTGATGAGATGGCAGGCGGTGCGTGTGGTCTCATGCGTCCAGTCGATGACAGTAGGGGCAAACCAACGTGGCTCTTCAATGGCGTCCATGCCTTCGAAGCCGGGGTGGATCAGGACAACGGCCTTTTGGCTATTCAGCTCCGCCCAGGCTGCGCGGAAGTCAGGATGGCCCAAGTATCGTTTCGTGTAGCTACTGAAGATTACCACGCCGTCTGCTTTAAGCTCCTCGAGCGCATATCTGATCTCCCCAATGCATGCCTCGCTGCTGTCCAGAGGGGGAAGCGTCGCCAGGAAACCAATCTTGTTCGGGTGCTCGTCGCGCAGCTTGGCCGTGTACTCATTAATCTCGCGGCAGACGGGGCCGACCTGGCTCTGGTCCTGCACATATGGATGAACAGGGTGGCCCATGGATATGACGGCCCCAGCGAGTCCGACCTCTTCGATTAAACCCAGAGTACCTGTCGGCTCCCATTGAGGAAGCACAAGACCTCGGGCTTTTTCAATATTTGCGAACCAAACTGTAGCTTTGCGTTAGCGGCCTCCATCAAACTGAGCCAAACGGTCCTAAACCTACGATCTCTGAACCGGGGAGGGATGAGATGATGGTGTACGTCAATTGTCCCAACCATTTTGATTATTGAAACAGTGTGTTGATCGAAGTTCGCTTCAATTCTGTCGAAGAATTTGTCTTCTACCTTGCAGATGAGATGGTGGAGTGGTATGTTCAGCGCGGACGATACGACATACTCTACCTTGTCGGACAGGTCCCTAATAATGTAAATCCGAGAACTTGTAACTATTGATGCTTCTACCAGCAATACGGTCCCCTTCAGTAGGAAGCGCGGCGGTGACAATAGGATTGTATTACTCTTCGTATGAGGAGTTGTGCCATACCAATCCATCCGTCTTACGACTCGTACCACTCCGGTGGGTTTTTGTTCCAATGTCCGGCCGGTGAATTTTAGCTGGGGGTAGCCACGGAACAAGTCATCTCCGGAATAAGCAGCGTAGAGGAATCCATCCCACGGTGGGAAATTGTCTTTCATGCCCCCAACGTCAACAGTTGTGTCATTCTGAGCTGCTTCCAAAGCAAAAGACGTCGTGGACTCTCACGGACCTTCGCAGACCGCCTCGTCGAGGTTCATTTTGCAAGACCACATACTCGCCCGCCCTGGTGAAAAAATGCATTCTATCTTGTGGACGCAGATCACAAGCCTTTCAACACTGAAAATTATATCCATCTTGGGCTCTCTGGTGAGCAACCTCATGAACACTCAACCTCCGGCGCAAGACCAACAATGGCAGGGAAACTAACTAGCTAACAGTACATTGTCTACTATGTCCTTTATGCGGTCTACGCAACGACGTTTAGCCCCCTGGCTAAGGTCCCAGGGCCTATGGGACGAAAGTTCTCCTATCTTCCTTGTGTCGTGATGAGCCTTCGTGGTTTGGAGTCCCACGCAGTCCGAGATCTCCATCTCACGTATGGGCCTGTTGTTAGAGTCAACCCGGAAATGGTGTCTTTCACCGCCCCGACAGCCTGGAAAGAGATATATGGATATCCTGGTGTCAAGAAATTCCAGAAATTTGGCTATCGCCAGATCCGCCCTGGAGTGCCAGATCTCCTAACAGCTAATGGCGCGGACCACGCCCGGCAGCGGGCAGCGCTCAACCGGGCTTTCTCCGACAAGGCATTGAGAGAACAGGAGCACTATTTCCAGGACCACATCGATCTCTTCCTCTCGAGACTGGATGAGAAGTGTGACCAAACACAGAGTATAAACATTGCCCAATGGATCGAGTTTCTCGCCTTTGACATCATCGGGACCTTGGCATTCAGCAGCTCCTTCCACTGTCTCGAGGACAGCGGATATCACCCGTGGGTCCTGCTACTCCTGAATTTCTTCCGATCGACACATTGGGTCCTTGCAGCAAGAATGTGCGGTATATTTTACCCGATCATCCTCGCGCTTGGGCCTTTCAAGGATCTTCTTAAAGGAGAGGAACATTTGAGATTAAGCTATGAAAAGGTCCAGCAACGCATCACAATGCCCGAAGATGACAATCGGAACGACTTTTGGACCTACATCTCACGCCAGAACGAGCAAAGGGAAGGCTCCATGTCTGTTATGGAGATGGAGGTCAACGCAGCTCTCCTGATACCAGCTGGCAGTGACACAATCACCACTGCCCTGTCGGGCTGTTTGTATCTGCTACTGAAGCACCCAGACACGTTAGCACGCTTGCGCAAGGAGCTGGAGGCCGAATTCACTAGCGAATCTGACATCACTCTAATCCGCGTGTCAAGCCTCCCTTACATACGCGCCGTGCTCGATGAGGCCCTTCGCATGTACCCGCCGATCTCGGGGGAACTCCGACGCCAAGTACCTCGTGGAGGTGCCGTTGTCTCGGGCCAATTCATCACCGGCGGCACCATCATCAGCGTTTATGCCAAAGCAGCCTGCGACAATCCTACCAACTTCGCTCAGCCCCAGAGATTCACACCAGAACGGTGGCTGAAGACGGACGAGAGACCTGATTGGGCGAAGAATGATCATCTCGACGCGTCTCAGCCCTTCTCGGTGGGGCCTCGCAACTGCATTGGCATGAATTTTGCTTATGCTGAAATGAAGCTCATCCTCGCACGACTGCTATTCCGGTTTGACTTGGAGCTGCTAGACGACAGGTTCAATATCGAGAATCAGAAGGTCTATCTCATGTGGCAGAAGCCGCCATTGTACATTCGTTTGAGCCGGCGCCGAATCGGTGTAAATTGAACAAGATTAGGATTAGGCTCAGCATTGACACCACTCACTCTACTTCGTAGGAAGTTAGGATACAATAAACGACCTGCGTTATGTATATGAGGCATTCTATTTCCTCGGTTATTCGTTGTGGTTAAACGACCTCAAATGTCATGTTCTTCTGCAAGGGAGTCGTGACAGTTTTACTATGCATCTACTGGCAGACTGGCCGATTAGGTCGCTGCCTCGAGTAACGTCTCGGCGTCCGATTGGAATTGATCTGCACGCACTATCACTCTGATTAGGCATTGTACGAAGTATTCTCCCGTAGCCCTGAAAGCCTACCGGCGGATTCGAAACCCTCCGGTCAGGAGCTGACCAGGGCGTGCACGAGTCATGCCAACGCCGATCCGCTTCGTGAGCGCCACGTAAGTGGCATGGATCGGACTTAGCTTTGGGGGGGATCGGCTGTTGATGTTAAACCCGACTCCCCATAACCATTTTTGAGGAAAAATCTCTGGTCTTTTTATCCGACGTCATCTCGAGCAGCGGCGAAAGGGAGAATGACAACCTTGAAGTTATTTGGATCTAAAAACCGTTGTGGAAGAGAAAATTTGACCGAAAACAGGAAAGCGACATTCAGTTGCTCCTAAACATGATTACCCTAGTTGGAAAGGCGGTCAGGCAGAATGGCCTTGGCCTCATGCGTACAGCTTTCCCCCACCAATCCACCCGTGTCTCATCCCACCCCGGATATGCCATGCCACATACTAACGCCAACGCCTAGGAATGACTTCGCCTGGCGCAGTTTTGCCAGATGAGGAAGCATTTGCAGTCCTCAAAACGGCGCTTGAGGCAGGCGTCTATCTTTGGAACGGTGCAGATTTCTATGGTACACCCGATAACAATTCCCTGCATCTCATCGCGCGATACTTTAAGAGATACCCCGAAGATGCTTCTAAGGTAGTTGTATGTATCAAGAGCGGTATTGTCGACATGAAGGCCCTCACCATCGATGGGTCTCCTCAAACAGTACGCCGACTAGTCGCCAACGGAAACAAGATTCTAGCCGGACACAAAAAGATAGACGTCTTCGGCATCGCACGCATCGACCCTAAAACCCCGATCGAGGATACTGTAAAGGCGTTGGCGGAACTCGTGGCTGCTGGAGAAATCGGTGGCATCCAGCTCAGCGAGGTGGGCTCGGCCACGATCCGCCGCGCCGCTGCCGTGGCTAGAATCGATATGGTAGAGGAGGAAGCGAGTCTCTGGTCACCTGAGATCTTTCACAACGGCGTGGCAGCCACATGCGCTGAATTAGGGATCCCCATCGTGGCGCATACACCCCTTGGTGCAGGCATGCTCACAGGCCAGATCAAGAGTCTCGCCGACTTGCCACCCGGTCACTACCCTCGCGTTTTCCCCCGCTTCCAGCCAGGGAACTTTGAGAAAAATCTGGCGCTGGTTCACGAAGTAGAAAAGTTAGCTGTGGCCAAGGGTATAAGCCCCGCTCAGCTCGCCCTTTCATGGTTGAAATCGCAGAGCAAGAAATCGGGTGTCGCTGTGGTTATTCCTGTGGCGGGAGCAAGATCTCCGGAGAGGGTGAAAGAGAATGCCGAGACAGTAGAGCTATCTGAGGAGGAATTGCAGACCGTCGAAGCCATCTTGGCTCGCGTCCCGATCCATGGGACCAGGTATCCTGAGCCGGGAATGAAGCTTGTTGAATTCTAGATATCAAGCACAACAACAGCACATTAATTGAGACTTAGTATCCTTCACCCACTGAATTAGTAGTAGTTTTTCCATTATTTCTCATTCCCGGGGACGGCTCTCTCTGCCTTCGTGCACGTGTCTCCACAAAAGACGATCGACGAGCTCAAATAATTGGAGAGTAACTGCATCTCGACTATGCCATTCTACGCCTTCCTAAAGAGGACCTATTAATGATAAGATAATCGTAGCAAAGTCCAGGTAGTGTTGCGCGGTGAGTAAATTGCGCCAAACACATCTCGCCACCGCGCTATTACTGTTCAATACCCACCGTCTCTGCAATTCTGTAAATGTACTTAACTGCACTCGCTTTCCCGCCGTTCAGATTCTCCAGTCCAGTCTGAATCCCATTCAGGCCACCGGGAACAACTTCCGTCCTCTGCCCACGGAACCAACCTTCTTGCAAACCCCGCGCGATGTAGCGGAAATACACGTAGGCGAGGTCCTTAGCTTCAGGGGTTCTGTGCACGCTGCCGACAAACGTCATGGTCTGCTCCACATACTCCGGTACTCCATCCTTGTTGCCAGGTGCTACGGAAGTAAACTTTGCTTCCTTGCCGTCCCCGGAATCCCTGAAGAGCTGCGCTATGGTACTGGCGCTGTCGCCCTCAGATACGGCGTCGAATGCGTATCGGAGAGGCGACTTGCCATCGAGTGCCTCCCTGAGAGCCGCAATAACAGCCGACTCACCAGCGCGGTAGTCGACTACGACATCTCCCTTGGCAGGGTCGATCATTTGCTTGACATGGTCAGTCGCGCGACCGGCGACAGCAAGGATAGGGTGAATATTGCTCCGCAGAGCGAGCTGGAGGGCGTAGAAGCCGACCGCAGAGGAGGCTCCGTATATTACCAGTGGGACCTCGCGAACGTTGTTATTAGGAGGTGGCAAGGCCCACGGTTGCGGCAGGGCGAGATGTTGGTAGAGAGCAACGGCGGCGGTCATGGAAGCGAGTGGGATGCCGGCCGCTTCCTCGAAGGTGGTCTCCTTTGGAATATGAAAGGTCGTGTGCTGGGAAGCAAGCGAATACTCGGCGTAAGTCCCCGCGGCGGCAGTGATTTCGTGCAAAGCAGCAACGCGGTCTCCAGGCTTGAACTCGAAAACATTGGCGCCAACCTTCTCCACGATACCAGCGAAGTCATCGCCCGAGTTGGTGGTTTGGTTTCGCAGCTCGGGCAGCTTCCAGTCCTTAGGATTGGAAGCGCTGATGACCACCTTGATAAGGACTTGGTCGTCATTAGGTTCGGGGACGGGACTGTCGACAATTTGGACGGATGGTCCTAGAGCGAGTCAGTAGATAGTCCATGTTGACGATTTATTTTTTCCCTCTCCCAGGCAAGACGAAAATGGCCCGGCCCATGGTCCTTACCTTTGGAAACAAGAGCTTCCTTCATTTTGATCACGAAGTTTATTGTCTTGCTACAAGTGATGTGATCCGTCTTTGGGATGGTCGTCAATAGATTGATGGCTGAATACAGACACGTTTTCCTGGGCGTAAGGCGAATCCGCGTTGGGAGAAACAGGGAAAGGCTAAAAGCCGGGGAGAATATTGCTTCCAGAGTCAGATCCTATCCAAGGGAGCACGGCTAATCGGCACCTTCCAGTTTCTCATTCCCAGCTCTTCTGACGTAATTCGGGAAGGTGCCAACCCGTCTGAGCTGTGGCAGTGCTTGCAGGCATGCCGTTGCACAAGAACCGGCGTATTTTGATGCAGGGTGACACCGGCGGGTTTTAAGAGATTGTTCGTAGACGTCCTCCTTCCCCTCAGCCGTCGGGCTCGGATCGGCGCTGCAGCCGAATTCCATCATCTTCGTGTCCATCAACATTAGAGGTCCATCTTGAAGCGCGGTTTGGTTGACGTTTCGGGTGAATTCTTACTCAAGGGAGTAAACGAAGCGAACGTCGGGTGGCGCCTTCGGTCCACTAAGGTCAAGCCTCTCATAGACACCTGCAGGTTTGGGGCACTGCCAAAGTTGGAGAGCTATGGCGGAAGCGAATCTATGAGTCGAGTGAGTAGGTGTTGCATTAACTTTTACACCCTTATGCTCATGTCAAGATCGCAAACATTGACAATACAACCGTGTTTCGCTGCGTGAAGTGTGGTTTAATATGAACCCAAAACGTCGCTATTCTATCGTGATTTAGAGATATATTCGACTTTCTTTAGCGAAGAAAGTGGAAATCTCGCCACGGGAGCCGCATTTAAGGACCGCTCAATGTCACTGTCATCGTTACGACACAGATGCCAGAGACTAGGAGACAGGCTACTCCTACACCAATACCGACCGGGGAATTACCAACAGCTTCAATCAGAAGTCGAAGGCGAAGCGTCGAGGTGGAGAAGGGGAAGCAATGTAGGATCAAGGTGCCCTATACTAGCCCATGTTACTATGGTTCTCGGGGGGTGGTGCGCTGTTGTACTGAGTGGCAACGCCTGTTGATGCAATTCATCACTGCCTCTTCTACAACCCAGGTCTTCCGGCGAAGTAAGGTTCTTCCGAGTCGACTGGTTGCACACTGGGATATGAGGACTTGCTGTCCGATGATGGGAAGATCACTGACCAGCGACTGTCACATATTAGGACCGAGTCTCCATATGAATTATGCTGGGCGACGAAAGAGCACAGGCTTAATGGCCTCGCTGAACCAACGCCAATACCGGTATGGACTGCCGACGGCGAGGATGAGCATGCCCTGTTTTTCTGGGCTGATCAGGCCACGCTATATTTGCTTTGGATATCCACTGCCAGGTTGGCGCGCCGCAGGAGTAGATAGGGCCATGATTTCCTGGCTGGCTCTAACAAGGCCTCGGGCGGGGGAACTTCAAAAGGCATGGTGCACACAACAGATTTTAGTGTGATGTTTGTTGACAGCTGGCTTGTCCAAGGCCGCAGGTAGCTGACCGAAGCGCCGCGTGAGAACTTGAGACATATTGTTTTCTCATGTACCTTATTACCTTTAAATATTGATACAATTTATATAACAGTTGCAGAGTCTTAAACCTCCGAAGCGATTGGGAATAAGTGGACCGCTACCTGGCCTGGCCTGGGGACGGATTGCCGAATCTTGGAGGCAAGCTGGCCTGCACGGGTGTGGTAATGCTCTATCATTGTATCGAGGTCTAAAACCCCTGGTCACACACCGCTTTAGTGACCGCATGCAGGCTACCCCGAGAGGCGAAAAGTTACTCTAGAATATAATCGGACAGGTCTTGGGTTATCGTATGTCTGAAGGACTGAGCGAACTAAGATTCCCGGCAGGTATTGTCAAGTAGGAATCCATCGCATTTATTAGTGACGTTATATTCTACCATTTCCCAGTTCTTGCAATTAGAAGAAATCACGCGTCTTCCACCATCCGATCGACAACGGCAACCGAGCGATTTCCCCGAGTGAGATCACACCTAGGAAATGTATCTCTTGACGACAATATTGTTAGGTCGTCGAAACCATCGGGCATCGTAGGGTTGGATTATAGGTATCTTCGAAGAGTTGCCGAGCTCTCTGTTGATGCGAAAGGAGGCTGTACTGGAATATAAAGCTGAGACATTTAAGCCGTCCTGAAAGCAACAACAATACGCCCGATCTCGCCCAACCTCTTTGGGTTGTGGACGGAGGAACTTCTATTACAGGTGTGAAAACGGAGTGCTATTACACCGGAATGTTGGTCAGTTGCTGGTCTTAAGCATGGGACTTTTAAATCGTTAATATCAGTGTAGCATTCATTCTATTGAAACCATGACCGCTGAATCGAAGCCAATTCGGGGTAACTATTACTCAAACATGTCGACTCGTAATGTTGGCCAACGCCATGCTTCTTATGTACTCAGAAAGCCCCGCCTCGCCATTCTCATTTACTCCGCATGAACTGGTGGTCCATCCAAATCAAGGTCAGGCCGGACTGATGCAACAAAGGCCTTAAGCTCATCGAACCCTGCATGCCACTTCTCGTCGAATGCAACCAACTTGGACAATCCGGCCTTCTCCAAGTCTTTGTTGACAGATTCCAGTATCTCGTCGGCATAGGCGACGTCCTGCAACGCCAGACTGTGGAACTTATCGCCAGCCTTATGTTTGGCCTTGCGAGCCTGGTGCAACCGAGACATGGCATCCCGAGACGGTAGCTGGGCTTCTCCCTTGAAAATTTTGGCCAGAACCCGAGCTTGGAAGTCGAAGAGTGAAAAAGTAGAGGTGTTGTAGAGAACGCCGACAAAGGCAAGACTTGGATCTGGAATGTAGAAGATATCCTTGTGCAGATTGTGGAGGGTGTACCCATCCGAGGTGGTGATGATCTTGTCATCCGCTTCATTAACAGGCACTTCTGGCTTCTGGAGCTCCCCAAGGAACGGATACGTCGTTATGTATCCTGTGGCGACGACGACATGGTCGATTCCGGCTAACTCTCGTCCATTTTTTAAAACGACTTTTCCAGGAATGGGCGCGGTGTCCTCCAAGAATGCTGGCTGCTGCTTTCCCTCTTTGTCATCGTGAGGGTTAAGAATAAACTCTTTCACGTCTGGTACTCGCTCGCAACTCTCCGCTAGTCCTTCTTGGCGGGCGGTATTTGCCCTGGTGGGATCGCGGGATATTTGGTACGTTTTCCCCCCAACCTTGTCGATCTCGTTGGCAATATCGAAGGATGACACGCCAGCCCCGATTATGAGGACCGTGGAGTCCCTGAACGGCTCCGGTGATCGATAGGCTTTTGAGTGTGTCACGCGGTTAGGATACTTTTCCTTCCATTCTGCAAGACCCGGAATGTCGGGGACCCGTGGGACATCATAGTGTCCGCTTGCCACTACCACGGCGTCGAATGACCAGGTCCGGGACTCGAAATGGAACGCATCCTCAGCATCGCGTACGAATTTCTTCGTGCTAACTGTCCACTGTGCCTCACCTTGGGCCTTGGAGATGTTCTCTACACGAGTCCAGAACTGTACATGATCTACCACGTGATATTGCTGAGCGAGCTTTGCGATGTAGTCTTTCACTTGTTCGGCCGTGATAACTTTGTCTGTTCCCTCTGGCCACTCAAGGAGGCTACTGCGCATTACCGCAGTGCCAATGTTGTTCGTCAAGCCAGCATATGCCGGACCCGGCGACGCGTGGTAGACTGAAGCCTGTTCTGCTGTCAAGCCGTCCGGCGTGGAAACGTACTGGGAGTCGGTGTCCGGTGGGGTGACATGAGGGAAGGGGGGATCGAGCGGCAGCCGAGCATCGTAGACCCAGACTCCGCCTACGCTGCCGCTCCGTTCAAACACCGTAACATCCAGTCCAGCGATGAGGAGGTGGGCAGCCGTCGAAACACCACTGATTCCGGCTCCGATTACGCCGACGGATTTGATATGGCTGAGACGTTGGGATGAAGCGGCTACTCCGTCGAGTTTCTCCGAGCTCAATGGAGGAATGACATTTGGGATCTTAGCGACGAATGTATGGAACCCTCCCGGCGTTTCGACTCTTCGTGTTTCGGTAGCTGTCGCCATTCTTGGGCCTCATGTGGCGATCTAAGCAGTCGGTCTCTTGGAACGAACAAGCCTGGCGCTCGCCGATGTTGAATGGATAAAGACTATGCCCGAGTTTAGGAGAGGGGAGATACTATCAAGATCATGGGCATTGATTCGAAATGTGAGGAGTCTCTCAGCCTGCAGCATGGCTAATTGATTACATGTTTGTATCGGAGCTCAACATTCGGATCCGGAATGACACCACCACTGGGCCGGGCTCCGATTGGACGCGTCTTTGGCGTGTGGTGGGATCGCCAACACCCTAACCCTGACTGAGCTGAGAAGAGGGGGTCAACGAAAGACATCGGACTCCGGGCCTAGCCTGATTACTCTGCATCTTTGGGTGTCTCTTGCATTGGATTGGTAATCTGATTCATTGGGACGGCACGTGGTGTCTCTCTGGAGCGAGCGTTAGACTTGACCATCGTTGATCCATCGGGCAACAGCCCCCTGCCTGGTCCTCCCCCCCCCCCCCCCCCCCAAAAAAAAGAAGAAAAAAAAAATATTGTTAGCTTAAGTAATTTTAATTCGGGTGCGGTTGGAAAAGCGCCTTTGAATGATTGATATTGTGGTGTTATCTGTTTTTATGGTAATTATCTAACCCTGGAAAGACATGCAATTTCCTTTTCCTGAAAAGATGTCAATAGAAAAAATGAAATGAATCAAACTTCTCCCGTAGATTTGTTAGTGGGCCATCGAGGCATGCGAGATCGTGCGTCTCGCATGTCGGCCAATGTCCGCCATACAACAACAGCCCTGAGTCTGAATAAACTTGGCTGAACATAGACTAACTCTTCAGGCCTGCCTCTGGCGAACCAAGATCTTTACTTTCATATCAGGCTGCACGGACCCATTTGGGAATGATAGTCTCGCAGGCTTTCCAGTCCCCAGTGGGTATTGGATTTCATAGTTCAGTAATAGGTGAGAAAGCAGAATCTTGATCGTGTTTCCGGCAAATACACGGCCGGGACAGACCTGGGGCCCGTCACCCCACGTGAGTAGGTCAGGACCGTTACTCGTGTACTGGTGTCTCGTCTCATGCCCAGGGACTTGTCTCAGTCGGAGAAAGCGCCAGGGGTCGAACACGTCCGGGTCGGGGTACAGAGTTTCCGAATTGTGAATGTGGTGTTGGTCTACACAGACAATTGTGCCCTTGGGTAGCGTGGGCCCGATGGAGAATTGTACGTCTTCTTTCAATATGCGGCTGAGCCCCACTGGTTCATCTCCGTGAGCAGGACCATTCTAGCAGGGGTGAAGTAAAAGTGCTGTCATGTTCTCGACTCACAGTAGTGAAAGGTATTCACACGAGCAGACTCTCGCATGAAGCTGTCCAGCTTCGTAAGTTCAGTCAGCTGGGTGGGAGGTAACTTCCCATCCTGTAAGACGCCAATAATTTCCTCCCTCAGCTCCTCGACAAGATCCGGCCGTTGTAGAAGCTCCGTGAGCATCCAATAGATGCTTACAGCGGTGGTCGGCGTCGACTCGAGTGTTGCCGTGATAATGTCTTTGACAAGTTGGTCGTAGTTGAACTCCCCCTGCTTGTAGCGGCTCATGAGCATGTGAACCAGGGTGATTTTCTTTTCGGCCTTGCCGTTTCCATTTGCCGATGAGTCGTGTTCGCGAAGTGCTTGTTCTATCGTAGGTCGCAGCAGGTAGCTCATGTACTTGTAGATCATCAACGCAGGGAAGTAGAAGACTGTCGCAGCCATAGGTCGCAAAAGGCGAGGGAAGAGGCTGCTAAAGTAGACACCAATTCCTGCTCCTACCGGAAGCAACGGGACTGCCCTGAGCCACCTCTTATCGCGACTCAAAGGCTCACCAACTATCCCCGTCGCGCCAGTCGCCACGACGACATCTAAAACTGTCCAGAATAGAGACACCTTCTTCCACTGGGGACATGGACCGAGTGAAGACTCCCACTATAGGAAAGAAATTATGGAGTCAGAAAATTGGTTCAAAATGATACAATCCGAATCCAGTATTCAACACTGGCAGAGGACGATCGGAAAGGATGATCCCCGAAGGTTCTACTTACTGCACGACGCGCTGTCTCCTGGCGTGCTAGGCCTAGTGGCCCGATACTCCGTGCTAAATCGGTGCTGGCCGTCTTGTGAAGAGTATTGCTCGAGTCATCAGTGCCAATGAGCTTGTAGCCTCCAAATTGGACTGTAGTCAAGAAGTCGACCAGGGAGGCTGTTTTCGCCGGAAGTCGTCGGATCTCGTTGACGTACGCGGATGGAAATACCACGAATTCGAAGCCGGAATATCCGAAGAACCACGGCCGGTCGGGATACTTTGCAGCCGCTTCGTCGAGCATCGGCTTGTAGTCGAAAGCATGCTTCCCCTTTGACGGTTTCAGCTTCGGCACGCCGAGCCGTTGAAGGGAGAATATATATGGGTGCAGGACGAATGAATCGAGGGCCAAAATCAAGGAGACACTAAAGAAAACTATGAGAGACGCCCGGGCGACGGGCGAAGTGTCTCGGTAGACCTGCGCTGCCAGAAGTCGAGCAATCTGCCATTTTGTGAGGTTTAAGGGAGCTAATGCGTGTTGCATGACAACAAGCTGCTCCTTGATTCTTTCGTACGGTTCCACTAATGGTAAAACGAGGGAGAGTGCCATATTTGCGTATGGTGGTGGTGGAATGGCTCAGAGTATCGAAAGGTTGGTTGTTTGGCAGGGACAAGAAATTCAAATCCACGACAGGCTCTCTCAGTAGAGCTATATCCAAGGAATTGGGATTATGTTTTCGGGTAAAGTCCACTGTCTATCAATTCACTCTTACCTGCATGTACTTCACTTCTATTTCTAGTAGTCCCGAGACTGGCGGACTCCGAGCGCCGATTGCGAGGGCCGGTCCCGGCTCCCGATCTGCGTCTAATGCATGCCAGAAAAGCTCCTGTGCAGAACAAGAGAAAGTAAGTAAATCAATTTGATTGATCTCTAACAGAAATTTAAAGTGCCGTCCTCGTTTCCATTCTCCCGGCATTCTTTTGATTTCTCCCCAGTTCCAAATTCATGCCTCTTGACACCTATACTGGCTATGGATACATTGAACAATCTTGATGTGACGGGACTAGGGTTTTGGAGAGTTTGTCTCTCCCACCGTCTGATCGGACTATTCTATGAGAATGATATGGAAATAATATGATAGCCTTTTTTCCTTATTTTCTTTTCTCATTTTTTTTCTTTGGGATATTCGATTCCGCTTTTGCGATGCATACTAGATTTCATCGTGCTTCGCAAGTCTGAGTCTGACTCAACGAAAACTGGCCAGTTGTGTTATTAATAACAAGGAGTTCAATGGGAAATGCTTAGTATTCTATCCTTCGCCGGCTTATGCTTGTGTATGACCCAAACGCAACGTCCTCTCCGCCAGAGGAAAATTTGTCGTTCAAGCCGATGGTTACACTGTTCCTAAGCGAGTAATCTGACATCTCGGATTCCCCAGTTGTGATAATCGACGCCCTATTTGAAAATTCAAAGTATCTGCCAGTCGATGAGATGCGAGACTGAGACCCGCGGTAGCGCCCAACTAGCTGGCGGTCGCGTCGAAGTTTTCGTTTCGGGAGTTCATGCACAGTAAGCCGGCGGGCTGGATCATGGAGGGAATCTGGGAATTTCAGGATGGAGATGGGGCGAGGAACCCGACAATACCAAACATGACTAGTAAGGCTGAATCGAGAGTGGCGGCTCACCCTGCTTATTGACTGGAGGCAGGAGTAATTGTACGAGTCGAAGGAATATACCACGGGAAATTAGGTGGCCACTGGAGTATGAATCGTGCAAATTATATTCGAAAGGACTCTGTTACTGACGGACATTCCCCGGGCCGCTACTACCTCCGAAACCCTTACCCCTGGCGACTAAGTCACTACTCGTACGACCAATTTCTGTCCCGAAACCTGCTTGGCTTTCAGTAACTCCAAACCTACGAGCACCGTGTCGAATCCGGAAGGCTCCAAAATTTTGATCGGCAGCGGCTTTAGCCTCCCTTCGTCGATCAGGATCTGCAGACTCTGGTAAAACTTCTTAGACCACTCATGGAGCTCCTGATCCGCTTTCACACCGTAAGGCTCTGGGAGCAAAACCCCTCTACCGAGGATCGCCGGTCCCATGATCAACTGATGCCGAACTGTCTGGCGCGTGCAAAGAGACTCCTGGTACTGTTCGAGGGCGCAATATACGCCCCCCGCTCTTCCGATGGCCTCGTAGCAGAGGGACGTGGTTGCGATTTCACCGAATGGGTCGATAACGCGCTTGAGCTTGTTGCGCGTGTACGCTTTTATATCAGCGGCGCACGTACGGGAACGGTAGTCAAAAACAGCATCTGCCCCGTATTTCTTAACGAGGGTAAAGTTTCTCGGTGAACAAGTGGTGACTACATGGTACCCGCATCTTTCAACCATCACCAGCGGTGCGGGGTTAGTCAGGCAGCTTCTTTGGTGACGAATGACGGAGTGGCCGGTCTGGAGACGGCTGGGGAGTTTAGAACTTACAGCTTGAGCAGTTGTATAGCCAACAACCCAACAGAGCTACTACCTCCATATACAAGCACTGCCTCTCCTTCTTTGTGACCCTTGTGGCCTGCGACCTCGTCCGGTGTCACTGGCATTTTAAGGCTCTCATGCAGCGCCAACGCAACCGTAGAAACGCAGGCGGGCCCGAAAGCGAGGGCCTGCTCAAACGATGTATTTGGAGGGATACGCAGAGCGTAGATGGCTTCAATCTTCACATATTCGCCGAAGGAACCTGATTCCGGGTCGTCTTGCTTGTTGCTAGGAACACAACCGAAAACGCCGTCTCCCACTTCAAAGTCTTCAACCTCTGCTCCGACGGCTGCTACCGTGCCCGCGAAGTCGACACCGTCCTTTAACCCGGGAGTTGGAAACCGCGCAGCCATCTTGAAATCGCATGGATTGAGCGCGACTGCTACGGTTTTGACTAGTAGCCACCCCGGCAACAAGTTCGGTACTGGAAGGCCGGGGGTGACTCTCAACTCTCCGCCGTCATGTTGGATGATGGCGGTATGTGTTGCTGGTATCTCCACCGCCATGGATTCTTCTCTGAGCAGCTTTGCTGAATCGAATTGCCCAAAGACGATGGGTCGGTTGGGTTGAAGGGTCTGCCAATTCGTAAAAAAAGTAGGTTCGCTACGTGAGGCCAAAATCGTAAGGTAAGAATAAAGATGCCGAAATATGCAATGTTGAACGTTCGGACATCACTTCGTCGGCGTACCAAAACAGCCAATCACTGAAGCTCCGGGATTGATGATCTACTTCCGACAAAAAAACGTGACCGGAGCTCCGGCGGAACTTACCGTACTTCTCGCAGTAACGCCGAGAGTGCCCAGATCTCCGCGTCTCGCTATGTAACTAGTCCGTAGCAGGGTATCACTTCTATATTTATGAGTGTGTGCCTGTGGTGACCTAGCCTTCGCCGGATATTGCGTATCCTAGTCCAACATTCTCTTTTATCTTTACCATCTCCAACGGCATTATTTGTTTACAAATAGACCAGGAGATCAGTCCTTCAAAATGCACTGGCGAACATCTTATGGCCTCACCCTATTATTTTCTCTCGGAGCGGCAGGTGACGGCGATGAATCCGGTCCTCTCTGGCTCGGTGAATGGAAGGAGCAGCAGACTGTTCTGGGAATAGACGCCTCCGCGGCCTGCGAAGTCAGTCACGTAACTGCCTATGAGAAATCCAAAGGTCGCAAGCCTGTTTCATTCTCCACTAGCCCGACCGACGACCCAGAGCTGCCGAGGATAGTCCCAATGAACGAGACGGCTGGCGAACAGTGGGAGTTCGACGCCGTTTCGGACGACGGGTTGTCGGGCATCATTTTCGGCTTCTACAGGGACCCAAACTACTCGGTACTCGGAGCTGGCAACCTGCGCATGTACGTCGAGCTCGCCCATCCGGACGGTGAACGCTTTGTTCAGATAGACTATCCCACCGAGTCCACCATCGAGTCGTGTCCTGGAATCGGCTGGCACGGAGAGTGGAAGGGCGACGGCTACGTCTACAGCTGGGACGTGTCTGCCGATTTTCGCACGGCACGCGTGAAGTGGGACACACCCAAGGCCAAAGGTACCGTTAATTTTAGCTCGGTGGCGCTTGCGCGCTACGCCGACGGCTCGACGTGGCCATGGAAAGAGGCGTCTCTACTCACGGTACCGCATTTTTACTGGTTCGAGCCTATCCCGGTAGCCGACGTCACGGTTGACGCCGTAATTGAAGGCAAGTCTGTGAAATGGTCGGGTGTCGGCGGACATGAGCGTCTCTGGGCGGCTTTCAATTGGTTCACTTGTCTGGATGCCATGACCTTTGTGCGCTTGAAAACCGGACCGTACGCCCTGTCGTTTTGGGAGTTTGAGTCGTGGCTGGAGAAGGGCCTGCAGGTGCCTTCGGTTATTCTGGCCGAAGATGGCAAGAATATTTTCGACAGCCGGCGCACTGAACCATCGGATACTGAGGACTACTTTACGTGGCAAAAGGTTTACGATAAAGACGGATTCTCTGGTACTCTGAAGGACAAGGCGACTGGGTTCGTGCTGGATCTCAACTCGCCGTCTCGTGGAAAGCAATGGACCTTCATTGTGACTCACAAGAACATCTACTTTGAGTATTTCCTCGGTGAGGGCGTTGGTGGCACGGGATATACGGCTACAGTGGTTGGGGGGCAGGTTGGAACACAGCGCCAGTGGTCGGGCTCCGGAGTGACCGAGACACTAAAATTGCCCGTGAAGAGTATGGTTTTGAAGAGAAACTTTGTGGAATAGCGAAGGGGAACGAGCGAAGGGGAGAAACCACGGCTTGCAACGTTTTCCGATTACAAGATAGTATCTCTTCTAGGCCAAGCCGGATATGTTTGATCATTGCTACGACGACGATGATTAGGCGTAGGATTCTGTCATATCTTGGTTCTACTGAATCTAATTTGTTGAACCTATTATCTTCTACACCGATAGCGGGCACCTTTGTGGCTATCTCTGCGACGTAGGCATTGCAATGCCGCGGTTGTTTGTCTGATTCACTCCGCGTCCCACGTGCGCACTAAGGTTCTCGCATCATCACTATCAAGTATCTAGAACTACGTTCGAAATGGTGTCATATTCATTCCTCCATTGCCTCATTCAAAGCAGATACGCACGCCGTATCGCCCCGCCATCCTACTGGTTATGACATATCGGAATGTCGGATTTAGACGGGATCAGCCGGATTCTTCAAGACACACAGTCGGGTCCGCGTTGTATCTCCCACATCCGTCGGCATGGAACTTTATTGACTAAGAGTCTCCGACGTTGTGGAGACGGATGATGAAGATAAGCTGGCGCGGCGCGGGGCGTTTGCTTACCCGACCAAACAGGCCTTATGCCGCACGCTCGACATGCCTAGTCCGCTCTGCCGGGCTACCTTCAGCCACTGGAGTTGCCCGTCGATGGCATCAACGTGACTATCGACGCTTCGCCTGCATAAGCCCCGGAAAAGATTGCAGAATCTGTGTGACGTGACCCCGGTACCAGTAGCTTTAGGACCATTCGGAGGCCAAGATACAAACCGCCGTTACCCCGGCAGGATTTCTGCCATGGAAAGCCATACTAAACTCGGGCCGTACCAGATCTACCATTCTTCATCTGAAAAGCTAGTCTATGTACGGCAAGTTTTAGATTTCCAAGCCAAAGAAAGGGATCGGAAGGTGACGGACGCACTCGGACCCCTTAAGTAACCCCTCCGATTGGAGCATTGTGGGGGCTTGAGTGAGATATTTCGCCGCGACAAGCAAGTACGAGGCTTAGTGGCCACATTGCAGCGAGGAGGTTGTAGGTCCGGGTTTAAGAAACGTTTCCTTTCACTCCGCGTCGCGGGATGAAGTCATCGGAGAGGAAGGCTCAGAACTCGACTGCCTTCCTTGACCATTGCATCAGACAGGCCAACGATTAGATTAGTGTGATATTTTAGGGCCCGCGGAATGGTGCCCGCGTCTTCCCGTCGAGAAGCGATCCACCACAATCAAGTGGGGTAAATAGAGCGCCAATGGGGAAGGTGGGATGAGGGTGCCGTTCTCTTGAAGAATATCTATTCAGGTTATGGTTACCGGGGTGCATTTGCGGGTGGGCTTGGTGGGGGCCCTGGGGGGATGCATTAATGATTCTATCTGAAGTGTTGACATGGATTTCGATAGTAGACGCCGAAAGAAGAACTTACTAGCGAGTGGCTCCCTAGTCCCTACATGTGCCGTTCTTGATGATACCGAAGAACCGGATTCTTTAGGGGACCGTGGCGTTCCGTGGCATTCCTTTCTGTCCATCCAAACCTGTGGCTCCTTGGCCGTATGTCAACCGTCTATTTTCCCAGCGTGGGGTGTCACATAATTAATCCTCGTCTACACAGGTACACATGGGCTTGAAGAATCACCCAAGAACCAAACGGCAAAAGCTTGACCCGCTGTAGCGTGAAAGCAGTCGAGCGTGATAGGTCACATTCCTCGCAACCCCACGTTGACGGAACGATATCAAAGCGACGACACTCTGCAGGGTAATGTCGTGACGAAGATACCGCTCTGTGCTTACAGGGCGTTGCCGATGCAGTGATGCCGTTAGGTATCCACTATTACCGTCTTTCGTAAAGGGCGCTCCAATACTGCTCACTCGTCTCTGAAAGGCCAGACAGCACCAAATCCCATGGCAAGTGCCATCAGTTCCCTACTACCAAATGCAGACCCAAGAAAATATCGATTCGACCCGTGGTAATGCGGCGCTAATATGTGAGCACCTCACTCCCAGTGCGAATGGACGGTTACCCAGCGCGACCGGTGCAGAAATTGCGAATCACAGAGCTGATATGGCGTAAGCAGCCGAGGGGGGCGCTGATGCATGAGCCACACCTGTGCCGCCATCCCTTTTCCCCCAAAAACGTTCGCATACATCTGAACCTGTCCAGGTACGTCCTAATTAGGTCAGCGGCAAGGGAGAGCTGTTGCCCTTCCCCTCAATTCGCATCTCACGATAAGGGGCGCGGCGTAGCTAGCATTCTCCGACGGTTTCGTGTCCTACCTGGTCCCTTCTATCCGTACCACCCAATCCCTGCGCAATAGACACCACCCATCGCCGATCGCTTAACGCCGAGTCCATTCAGTTTTGTCCTTCACACCTTTTCCAGGTACCCAGGAGCGCAAGAACCAACGAGAGTGCCACATCGCGATGATGGCGGGAAATGCCTCCGGGTCAAACACGAGATCGCGTCGCTCAGCCTGCGACCGTTGTCGAGCCTATAAACTCCGTTGTCAGAGAGATGAGCTACCAAACGAACCGTGCGACCGGTGTTCAAAAGCTCACCTTGTCTGTACGACCACCTTAGATCAGACGCCCCAGAGGCCAAGCCGCGGTGGCCATCCGCAAAATGGCGCCGAGCGCGGAGGCAGAACGGACAATAATACCACGACTAGCAGGGGTGCTCGTCTACCTTCTCGCGAACGGTCGAATTCGCCTCCAGGGCAATCGAATGGCAGAAGAGACAGCGGATACGGCTCGCGACTTCCATCGGTTATTCTACCTTCACCCGTCCAAAGAGAATACACAAGAGATACCGTTGCTTCTTCTGCACTGCAGGAAATTCAAAGAAGCGCAGCAGCCTGGCCTGCAGTAAGCACGGCGAGGAGAAGTGCGGAGGAGACGGGAGACGTCGTGCCATTGGACCAAGAGCCGCTGGTATGTGCCTTGATAGTAGCCATCCCGATTCGATTGGCCCTGAGTTGACGCAGTAAAACCTTTCGTTTTGTTTAGGGCATGGATGGCGTGGATTTTTCGATGCCAGGCATGGCGTTCGACACCAATGACCTGTCGATGCTGATCGTCGATTACCCAATGGAGCACGAAATGACCCCCCTGGCTGGTACAGCTGACCGCAGGCAGGGCGACAGAGGCGAAGGCGCGAGACGATTCAGCTACGAAAACTTCTCCGCCACGGGTACCACCGCTAGCGCGAGTACTGGGATCCCAAGCTGGCCGACCACTCAAGCTGGCTTTTCTGAGGGCTCTATGGAATTCGGTAGAGACCAGGAAGCTGATGTGGCCGTCTCCGATTCCAGCGCGGCAGAGGATGCTCGAACCTTCACCAAAAGCCACAAGGAGCTGCTCAAGCTTAGCCTAGAATTGGTGGAAGACCGAGAAAGAATGGATTCCCAGGCACCCTGGCCTCCAAGGCCCCCGATAACCCCTAACCCTCTCAAGTGCTCCTCGTCGATCCAGCAGCAACCCGTCAACCGCATGTTAGACCAAGCATCACGGCTATGGGATATTCTGAAGGATTTGTCCGCGGCCAGTGACACCCCGAAACCGCGCCCCGGCGGCCCTGGCTACGAGAATGGCGTAAGCAACCACTCGAATAACAGTAGTGATAGGCCAAGGCAAGGTTACACCCGGCCCGGCAACGTAGAAACCGGGTATCCGGGAAACAACGGTAACCTCGCCTCGCGCTCTTTCTCCCCACCGCCTTCATCATCAGCGACCAGGAGCCTTGACCCTCTTCTCATCGCGAACCTCGTGACCACCTATGTTTGCTTGCTGCGCAGTTGCCGTGCCGTCTTCGCACGACTTTACCATGCCCTCCTCATGGCGCCAACAAGTGAGGTGAACTCACTCATTAGCTTACCGGGCCTTCAATTCGGCAACTTCCCGCTCGAGAATAATTTGGCCATCCAAGTCAAGGTGCTGATTGAGCTTACCTCAGGGATGCTACTCCGGATTAGCAATGCCCTCGGCATTAGCCCGGCAAGCGTCATCGGCGGGTCGTCGTCGCCCACTCCTAATGAAGATGTAGAACATCGACTCCCATTCCTTAGCGACCCTGTAGCCATATCGATCCGCCAAATTATCCTATCGCAGGAATTGATGCAAAACGGCGCACAGGACGGGGAGCCGCCCCCACTTACAAGGATAATCAAGAATATCCAGACACTTCTCGAACGACGGTATTGCCCCCTTTCCCTCTTCGCAATCCGCAACCTCTTTATAATTGGTTCTGTCGGCTGACATGCTATTAGATACATCACGATTTGATGGAAGGACAGTTTCGGGAAACAAGGAACCAATTTGCCTGGCGAGCGGGGGTTTCAGTCAGTAAAGGAGGGTTTGTAGCACGTGATGTGGGATATGAGCATGAGATTGAGAAGACTTTTTCAGAGCCATTCAGTATTTACTTGTGGAAACAGTGAGGAGTCGGTAAGGGGCCTATGGCATACTTCTCAAATTATGGTAGATAAGAATCAACAACCGCCGGATTCACATGAGAGCAAGAAGGATACGGATAATTAACCTAATTGCAAATAACTTCGTTCCCTTGTCCGTCCGTTACCCAGAACAAGATCTTCCACTTGTAAGTGCTGTGCATGCTCGGAGTGGAGGCAAGTTTATACGAAGACATCTCTAAATCTATAGCCCCTCTCTCTTGATACCAAACTGCTGATCGAGAAACCGAAATACGCGCTGGTTACAAAGCGCCACCGCGCCGACCTTTGCCTGTAAACCACCTTCACCTGGTATCTCAGCCACCCAAATCTCATTATCAACCCCCTTTGGTTGGCTGGTAAGTCCATTGTACACCGCTTTCGTGTGTTCGGAAACATCCAAGTACAGTGAGTGGCTGGCGCCGGACACCAGGACAGGGCACTGTACTTTGCTCAGCCGACTTTTGTCACCAGGGAGACGCAGGGTATACGCCTTCATTGCCTTCATGATCTGCGATGGTTGCGATATGCCGAATATGTGACTTGAGAGGTCGATGTTCCATTTCATTTGGAATACGAAACGCGTTGTGATGCCCACCACGGCGTCAATGATGGAATCACTGATCCAGCCCCGCTCCCAACCAGCCAGAACGGGCTTAGGGATCTGGGTCGTTGCGAAGTCCCAGAAATCGTGGACCGGGTCAATGGCCACACATGCCTTGAATCTCCCGTCCTCGGCCGCTGCCCTTAGGGCAAAGTATCCGCCAAGGGATGTCCCCCATATGGCGACATGATCGAGATCGAGGTTGAGCTCGGGCTCCGTCCCGTTCAATTCCTCGAGATGGTCAAACACGCCACCGGCAACTACTTCCCAGTCGGGCCTGAATTTCAAACCATGGCGATGTAACATGAGACCCTGGCCGGGACCTTCGTAAATGATGGCGGCATACCCTAGCTCTAGTGCTGTGGCCGGGGCAAAGAAATAGATCTCCTCGGACAATCCGTCGGCACCGCTGTTGCACACGATGACTGGAGTCTTCCTCCCCGGTAGCCTTCGCCATGGCGGGGGGAGAAAGAGGTAACCCGGGAGTTTGTGGCCTTCGTACGGGATCTGCAGAGGCTTGACAGTGTTTTCATCGAATAACTTGGTGGCATCGCGAAACAGGGCCACCGATTTCTCGGCTAGTTCTAGCACGCGAGGGTCGCGATGGAGTGGGCCGTCCCCAGGTAGCATGTAGTAACTCGCGCGAGTATAATTCGAGGCCCGTAACAGAGCGTTCCTCGCAGAGATCCGGTTGCCATTGGCGCGGGCTTGTTCCGCAAAGGCCTCGGCTTTTCGCGCTTGCTGGGACCATGCGCGGTGCCAGCTCTCCGGGTCGTTGTCCTTAATGAGGCCTACGGCATCGAGGCACTCTGCTAGGTCAGCTCCACCCGTAGCCGCCATGCCTAGAATGCGCACGGTCTCGAAGTTGAAGAATACTCCAGGGAAAAATTGATGCATGATGGATGATAGTCTCGGTGATTAGGTCGGACTTAAGCTGGGGTTCTCTGACAATGGGAAATAAAATGGTAATGGGATTTGGTCTCACGAAGAAAAGGATGCCACAAAGGACAAAGGCTTGCCGAATCGTTATCAGAAGATGGGTACAGCGTTAGCGAAGTGGGAGTTGTTCGAAAGGCCGGACACAGTCTATCGGAGAAGCGCGACGTAGAAAGCCAACCAATGATAGCCACTGTCCACACAGCCCGGGAGTGTGCCGAATTGCGTTTCGGCGAGGGGTTCAGCGACGCCGACGGGATCCCCAGCCACCGCCGAGCACTAAGAACCATCTCCGATTCGATGGCTAGCTACTCGGAAGCACTTCACGCAAGCTCAGTCTCCAGGGATACGCTAAGCTGGCCTTCTTTTGAGATTGCTGCAAGGAGCCGACACCGCGGAATTGGATCGGACTTGTTTCCACCACGAGACCGCGCACATCCGGAAACGGTGTGAACGCGATCCACATTGTTGATGATGTTATTCGGTGCTAGAGGGCACATCAAAGAGCATATGGTACGACTGCCGCATCATGAGTTTCCAAGAACGGGAAGATCAACGAGCAAATCTATCCAGAGCTCAACACTCTACTTCCACTTCTCGTTCAGGAACCCAGCTATACGTTCCAAGTCTACAAAACCAACATGGCTGCAAAGAGTGTCCACGACTATCCTAACGAGCCCATAGCTATTGTCGGTAGCGCTTGTCGCTTTCCGGGCGATTCATCATCGCCGTCTCAGCTGTGGGATCTGCTCCGTGAGCCGCGAGATGTTTTGCAGGAGATTCCAGATAGCCGCTGTAAGAAGCCCCTATCCCCTAAATCTTCAACACCATTCATTATCGTCACTTAACAGTTTAAACTGTTAGTTTCTGTTGAATTTACTCACTCGTAATTTACTCTTCCATCGTTAAGAAACAAATAAGAATTACTAACTACATTGCCCCTCCTTCTAGTCAATCCGGATGGCTTTTATCATGAGGATCCTTTGCACCATGGCACCTCAAATGTTCGGCATGCATATCTTCTTAACGAAGATGTTGGGCTATTCGATGCACAGTTCTTTGGCATCAAACCCGTTGAGGCCAACTCGGTAGACCCGCAGCAGCGAATTCTCCTGGAAGTCGTGTACGAAGGTTTGGAAAGAGCTGGTCTGAAGCTTGAGAGTCTGCAGGGCTCCAAGACCGGTGTCTTCGTCGGTGTCATGAGTGCAGACTACATGGAACTCCTCGCACGCGACATTGACGCATTTCCAACCTACTTCGCCTCCGGCACGGCTCGAAGTATCCTGTCCAACCGTATTTCTTACTTTTTCGATTGGCATGGGCCGTCTATGACCATCGACACGGCCTGTTCGTCGAGTCTTTTTGCTCTACATTTAGCCGTCCAAAGCCTTCGTGCTGGAGAATCCCCTGCTGCCGTCGTGGCCGGGGCTAACTTGGCCTTGAGCCCTGAACAGTTCGTTGCCGAGAGTAAACTCAAGATGCTTTCGCCAGACGGGAGATCGCGCATGTGGGATAAGGATGCCAACGGGTATGCGCGAGGAGATGGGGTTGCCGCCTTGGTGTTGAAGACCTTGAGTGCAGCCTTGGCAGATGGAGATGCAATTCAATGTATTATCCGGGAGACGGGGATTAATCAGGATGGCCGCACCAAGGGAATCACCATGCCTAGTCCTACCGCCCAGGCCGATCTCATCTGGTCCACGTATAAGAAGGCCGGGCTTGATTTATCGAGACCTGCCGACAGACCTCAATATTTCGAAGCCCATGGCACTGGTAAGCACCGAATTTCTCAAATGATCTACAACGCCGCGCTGAGGTACTGATAAAAATGTAGGTACACCTGCTGGTGACCCAGTGGAAGCGGAAGCCATCCGAACTGCTTTCTTCGGACCGAGCGTGGGATTCAAGCGGTCTGCTTCGGAGCCACCGCTATACGTCGGCTCGATAAAGACGGTTATCGGACATACAGAGGGAACGGCTGGCGTTGCTGGTATTATCAAAGGTGCCCTTGCACTTCAAAATGGCATCGTTCCACCGAACCTGCTTCTGAATGAGCTAAACCCAAACGTCGCCCCATTCTATAAGGATCTCGAGATTCCTAAGCGGGCCACAGAATGGCCTACCCTCCTCCCAGACGTTGTGCGCCGCGTGAGCATCAACAGCTTCGGTTTCGGAGGCGCAAACGCCCACGCTATTCTGGAGGAGTATAAGCCGGAATCCATTCCCCACCCTGTCGTTCCTCCCCAGGATACCCATCTCAGTCCGTTCAACTTCTCCGCTTCTTCAGAGAAGGCGCTTACCGGGATCCTTTCGGCATACTCGTCCTATCTCCGCGCAAATCCATTGACCAACTTGCGGGATCTTGCCTGGACCCTGAATTGTCGCCGCTCCGTTCTTCCCCTCCGACTGACAGTCGCGGCATCAAATGTCGATACCCTCTCTACAAAGCTTGGTAGTTTAGCCGAGTCACTTTCTGGTGTGGTCGCCGCGAGCAACAGAGCTCCCCTTAGTTCGACAAATCCGAAACTTCTTGGTATCTTCACGGGACAAGGTGCACAATGGGCATCGATGGGAGCGAAACTGTTGGCTACATCAAAGCTGGCATCAGATCGCATTTCACAGTTACAACAGTCACTCGACAGTCTCCCTAGGGAACACGTTCCATCGTGGAGACTTTTGGAAGAGCTTTCTAAGGACAAAGCCAACTCTCGCATCTCGGAAGCAACTTTCTCGCAACCTCTGTGCACGGCTGTCCAGATCATTATCGTTGATCACTTAAAAGCTGCTGGTGTTCATCTTGCGGCGGTGGTGGGCCATTCGTCTGGTGAAATTGCAGCCGCTTATGCCGCCGGCTACATCTCTGCACAGGACGCAATTCGGATCGCCTACTATCGCGGGTACTTCCTCCATCTGTCTGAAGGGCCTGAGGGCTCTGGAGGCGGTGCAATGATGGCCGTAGGCATGACTTACCAGGACGCTCAAGAGCTCTGCGAGCTAGAAGAGCTCGAGGGCCGAATCTGCATTGCCGCAAGCAATTCTCCCGAGAGTCTGACCCTGTCCGGGGACGCTCACGCCATTGACCTCGCGCGGCAAATTCTCGAGGACGAAAAGAAATTCGCCAGGCTCCTGAAGGTGGATAAAGCATACCACTCCCATCATATGCTTCCTTGTGCTCGCCCCTACATTGAAGCGCTCATCGATGCTGGGGTCAAGGTCCAGCCCAGGGAGCTTAACGGTGAGTACCCGTCATGGATCTCTAGCGTCTACGGTGAGGATATTGAGAGCGTCGGCCTCGATACCCTGTCCGCGGAGTACTGGAGCAGAAATATGGTCAACCAAGTCCTTTTTTCGCAGGCTCTTGAGCATGCAATCAGCGCAAAGGGACCCTTCTCGCTGGCAATTGAAGTGGGACCACATCCAGCGCTCAAGAGCCCTGCCTTGCAGACATTTGTAGCTGTCGCCGGTGGCGAGGTTCCTTACGTAGGGACTCTCCGTCGCGGAGCGCACGATGGTGAAGCCCTTGCCGAGGGGCTTGGTTCCATCTGGCAGTACCTAGGCGCAGAGGCTATTAATTTCTCCGCATTCGACCGTCAATTGCATGGTGGGGGGTCCCCAGAACATCGGCCCAAGCTTCTGCTAGATCTTCCGTCCTACGTCTGGGAACATGATCGGGTATACTGGCACGAGTCGCGGTACTCCAGAAGTTTCCGCACCAATGCTCAGCGACCGCACCAGCTCCTCGGAACAAGACTTCCAGATGGTACGGAGAACGAAATCCGCTGGAAAAATTATCTTCACCCGAGAGAGCTACCCTGGTTGGTCCATCATCAAGTCGATAGACAGATCGTGTTTCCAGCTGCGGGCTATCTATCAGCCGTGGTAGAAGCAGTGGTTCAAATATACGGCCTCGGCTCGATACAGGTTATTGACCTCTACAAAGTGGTGATTGGCCAAGCGCTTGTCCTGGAGGAAAATTCAAGTGTTGAGACTCTTTTCAGCTTCCGGGTGATTGAGGCGTCTGACATTCACGTCGAGGCCGTCTTCTCCTTCTTTTCTGCGTCCACTAAAGACTCAATCAGCATGTCAAAGAACGCATCGGGAAATCTGCGAATTACACTCGGGGCTCCATCGCCAGACGCGCTGCCAAGCCCTTACAAGTCTGAACGCGAGTTTCTGGAAGTTGATCCCCAGCGTTTCTACAATACGGTTCGTGACGTCGGACTAGGCTACACCGGTCCGTTTCAAAAGATTATCGAGGCCCAGAGAAGATCGGGCGAGTCTTCGGGCATCATTCAAACTCCAGATGCAGAAGACGAAGGCAGCGCTGCTGCACTGATCATCCACCCCGGCACCCTTGACTGCGCCATCCAATCAATCATCTTGGCATACAGCTTCCCTGGGGATGGGAGGATGCGTTCCATATACCTTCCCACAAGTATCGACCGCCTACGAATTGACCCGGCGGGTATTGTCCACCACAAAGGGTCGTCAGCGAGCTCGCACTTGGGATTCTTTGCGTCCATCACATCGAACAGACCCACGGACCTCTCGGGAGACGTTGAGATCCATTCCCAAGATGGTAGTACCACGCTAGTCCAGCTTCAGGGCCTTCGGACCACCCCCTTGACTCCTGCAGTTCCATCAAATGACCTTCAGCTCTTCTTCAAGACATCGTGGCAAGTGGATGCGCCAACGGGGAATCCAGGTTTATGGGAAGGGGGTGAAAACTCCTACGATTATGATCTTGCTTTCGCCCAGGAAAGAGTTGCCTATTATTACATCAGGCTCTTGAATGAAGCCATCCCGCCATCCAAGAGGTCTGACCTTGAGTGGTATCACAAAGTTTTCTATGAGTATATCGACCACACCTTGGCCTGGGTAAACAAGGGAACTCATCCCTTTGCAAAGCCAGAGTGGAGTAAAGACACTCAATATGATCTTCTTAAGATTTTTGAGCGGTAAGTAACCGGTTTGCCCGCTAAATTACTGCTCCCCTTAATGAATAATATTAATTCCCTGCAAAGATTCCCTGACAGCATTGATCTACGTATCATGCGAGCCGTCGGCACCAATCTAGTGTCCGCCATGCAGAAGGAGATGAACATCCTCGAGGCGATGATGAAGGACAACATGCTCAATGACTTCTACGCCACCTCTCTTGGCATGCGAGAATACCTGCAGGACCTGGCTCGCATGGTGGGCCAGCTGAGCCATCGTTATCCACACATGAACGTTTTGGAGATTGGTGAGCTCCTGCCTGGCGGTTTAATTTGTCTATGATGTATTACAATTGTATGTTCTTTGTTTCTAATGATGCGAGCTCAGGTGCCGGCACTGGTGGCGCTACGGATATGATTTTCCAACAGCTCCAAGGATCCTTCGCCTCATATACATACACCGACATCTCCAGCGGTTTCTTTGAAAACGCCCAAGTTAAATTCGATAGACACCGTGGAAAGATGTCGTTCAAGGTCCTTGACATAGAAAAGGACATCATGGAACAGGGCTACGCACCGCACTCATTCGACCTCATTATCGCCTCACTGGTCCTCCACGCGACGCGAGATCTTGACGAGACCATGCACAACGTCCGCAAGCTTCTCAAGCCAGGTGGGCGTTTGATCATGCTCGAGATCACCGACAACGACCCCATTCGTTTCGGCTTTATCTTCGGGGGCCTTCCTGGCTGGTGGCTTGGCTACGACCAGGGAAGGAAGCTCTCTCCCTGCGTCGGCATTGAGGAGTGGGAAGCCCTCATGTTAAAGACTGGCTTCTCCACAATCGAGGCAATCACGTCTCACAATAAAACGTTCCCGTTGCCCCTTTCGGTGATCGCCACGAAAGCCATAGATGACCGTGTCGCCTTCCTTCAAAATCCACTCGTTTCCGGTGCGGAGGTAAATCTAGGGCTCGACTCCCTCGTCATTCTAGGAGGCTCCACGAGCAAGACGGCCGAGGTAGCCTCAGCAATTGAATCTGCGGTGATCCGTCAATACAAGAGCAAACCTAAACGAGTTCTCTACTTGGAGGATATATCCCAGCAGGACCTGCCATTCCTCGGGAGCCTAGTAAGCCTTTTGGACTTGGAAGAAGAGTCCACCTTTGAGCAAATGACACCTGGGAAGCTTTCCGCTTTGCAAGAGATCTTCAAGCAGAATAGGACAGTGTTATGGGTGACACGTGGGGCCCTCGGCGGCAGCCCTTACCGAAACATGTACAGAGGCCTGCAGCGAACAATGGAGAAGGAGCTAAAGCATCTGAGGGTTCAGATGCTCGACTTTGCTTCGGATGCTGACGTTGATGGTGAAACCATTGCCTCGAAACTCCTACAGCTGGAAGCCGTCAACGCATGGGAGCAAAGCGACGACACAGCCAATCTCCTCTGGTACCCAGAGAACGAAGTTTTGGTCCAGAACGCTCAGACTCTAGTGCCACGGATTCGCCTGGATTTGGAAAGAAACCGGCGGTACAACTCTGGGAGACGCCTCATTACCCAAGAGGTGAGACTCGGCCAGACAGTCGTCACTGTGCGACATTCGGGGTCGAACTTCGTCATCGAGCAGAGGAGTGATACGCAAACAACCGCAGCCCGACCAGGTTATGTAGACGTTTGCCCCGAGTACTCCCTTCTTAAGACAGTCAAACTGCCGAGCGGAGGGTTCCTCTACCTATCAACCGGCCACGACGTCATGACCGAGGAACAGGTTATCGCCCTATCTGTAGCCCTGGAATCTCGGATCCGAACCCCCGAAAGTTGGGTTCTTCGGCTCAATTCCGAATCTGAAGAAGAGTCTAAGCGAGTATTACTGGGGCTTTACCTTCAACTTTTGACGGAAAACATCCTTTGGGGTGTCAAGCCTGGAGAGTCGGTGGCGATCTTGAACCCTTGCCATTCTCTGGGCAACGTCCTCACACAGAATAGTGCGGAGAGGGGGGTTAATCTTATCTTACTGACCGACGCCGCTGCTGGTAGAGAGATAACAGCTCGGCCTTGGACTTCAATCCACCCTCGAGCCACCAAGCATGCCCTCGGAAGGGTGATACCAAGAAACTTGAGACGCTTTATCCATACCAACGACAACAGCGAGCTTATCAGCGCAATCATACACGCCTTGCCCCCGAAGTGTGAAATAGTGAATCAACAGGGCTTCACAAGCCTGGAAGCGAGTGTTGGCCTCACGTACTCGGCCGTTTCCGCCGTGTCTGGCCATCTGAAAGTGGCATGGACGCGATCCGTTCTGGAGGTTACCGTGCCGGAATCGCACCCCTTGGTCGGTATTTCCCAGTTAGCCCAGCTTCATGTCCCGTCAAGCGCTACGAAACAGACTTTCCTGTCCTGGTCATCGTTGCCATCCGCCCCAGTACAGCTTCGGCCTGCCACGGATGTGGTACACTTCGCCAAAGACAAGACGTACTGGATGGTTGGACTCACAGGGAGCTTAGGCTTGTCTCTGTGCGAGTGGATGGCCCAGCGTGGCGCGAAATACATTGCGCTCTCGAGTAGAAATCCGCGTGTTGATGATGGGTGGAAGCAGGCAATGGCGGATCTTGGCTGCACTGTCCGAGTCTTTGCCAAGTACGTGATCACCATCCCACGTTCCCTTGCTTTTACTACCATTCTCCATGTTCTTTTCCCCTTCACAAGCGCGTAATGATCTGTTCGGAGCCAAATTTCTGACCTGAATACTTCGTCCAACAGCGATGTAACCAACCGCGACGAAGTTTTTGCCCTTCATAAACGAATATCCGAGACCCTTCCTCCGATTGCGGGTGTAGCTCAGGGTGCTATGGTCCTAGATGACGCGCTGTTCCCCGATGTCGACATTGAACGGTTCCACAAAATCACGAAGCCCAAGGTGAATGGCAGCATCTATCTAGACGAGCTGTTCTCCAGCGATCAACTCGAATTCTTCGTCTTTTTTTCATCGGTAGCTTACGTCACTGGAAATGCTGGTCAAAGCATTTACGGCGCAGCGAGCGCCTTCATGGCGAGTCTCGCCACACAGAGGCGTCGAAGGGGCCTGGCCGCTTCCGTCATCAACATCGGTGCCATCCTCGGAACCGGCTACGTTTCCAGGGAGCTTTCGCTACAGCAGCAGGAGTATCTGCGTAAGGTCGGTCTCGTATGGATGTCGGAGCAAGATGCTCATGAAATATTTGCCGAGGGTATCCTCGCCAGCAGGGTGGACTCACCAGACAGCCACGAGTTCGAGACGGGCCTTCGGACTGACGAAGGCCGATCTCGCGATATCGTTAGTGAGCCACCCATGCTACAGCATCTCGGCATCAAGGGCAATGCTGCTTCCTCAGGTGGAGGTATTCAAACGAAGCAAAATGTCCAGACAAGAGCCCGACTGCTCGAGGCGACTTCACGCGAACAAGTATTTGAGATCCTAAAAGGTGAGCTTTCCCCGCTCGAATCTGGATCTTCTCGATATCGCATATACTAAATGAATACGATCACAGAGGGTTTCCTACTCAAGCTACAGGCAGCTCTCCAAGCGGATCCAAATAAACCAATGTTGGACTTAAGTTTGGACGAGATCGGCGCGGATTCCTTGGTCGCCGTTGATATCCGCTCTTGGTTCCTCAAGGAATCGGGAGTGGATGTGCCAGTCCTCAAGATCCTGAATTCATCCTCTGTCCGGGAACTCCTACTTTTCGCACATGACTCTGTTCCCAAGGATGTGACTCCGAACGTGCTTGGAGACTCTGATAACTCTCTCAAGCCGGCAGTAGTGTCAGCCGGCGTGGCCGAGGCGGAGGATTTCCTACAGCCGAATCACAAATCAACATCGGACTCGGATGGGGCCCCTCAATCTTCATCTCAATCAGATACCAGAGACTCAGAGGAAGGGGAGATCACACCCAGAAGCTCAGAGGTGCCATCGGAGGCTGACCGAGATGACTTTCCGAAGCCGACGAACCCTCAAGAGCTCACAATCCCCGGTTTCATTGGAAATGAGAAAGTCACCCCTGAGAGAATCGTCCCAATGTCCTTTGGTCAGTCGAGATTCTGGTTTTTGAAACACTACGTTCAGGACCAGACGGCCTTTAATATCACGACAGTGATTAAATTACAAGGTCGTTTGCGCGTTGATGCACTGGAGGGAGCATTACGTGCCGTTGGCCAACGCCACGAGGCCCTTCGTACCCTCTTCTTTGTCGACCAGAAGACCAAGGAACCTAAACAGGCAATACTGCCCACGTCTCTCTTACGGCTCGAAAAAGTCGCCATTTCCGACGAAGGAGAATTAGCCAAGGCGGTCTTGGAAGCAAAACAGCATATCTTCGACATTGAGCGTGGTGAAGCTCTGCGGATCCAACTGCTATCTCTTTCGCCCACGGCTCACTGGATCGTGCTTGGCTATCACCATATCTACATGGACGGAATTGGATACGTCGTGTTCATCTCTGACTGGGAAAGGGCATACAACGGGGTTCTTAATACACAGCCTTCCGATATCCTACAGTACCCAGACTTTTCGCTGAGGCAGATCCGAGAGTATCAAACGGGCACATGGTCCGACGAGCTCTCGTTCTGGCGAAGCCAGTTCCCGGACCTTCCCAACGCACTTCCGTTATTGCCTGTCAGTCGATTGTCCACCCGGCCGATCTCGTCTGGATTTGGCTCCTACTCTGCTAGCTTCAGGATCGACCGAAACCTTACCGAGAGAATTAGTCAGGTCTGCCGCCAGTTCAAGGTGACATCCTTCCACCTACATCTCGCAGTCTTCCATATTCTTCTCTACCGCTACGCTTCCCTGATCGATGACATGTGTATCGGCATAGCCGATGGAAATCGCAAGGACGCCGATGTTCAAGGTAGTCTAGGAATATTCCTGGATCTCCTTCCCATCCGTCTCCGTCGTTCCCCTCAGGATACCTTTGCAAATACCCTCAAGGACGTGCGGAAGACCACACTCGCCGCCTTTGGGAACTCACGCGTTCCGTTCGATGTGCTTCTGAATGAGCTAAATGTACCCAGAGTCCCGTCACATAGTCCTTTGTTCCAAGCTTTCGTGAACTATCGGCAAAACCATCAAGAGTCGCGCTCCTTGTTTGGATGCGATGGCGAGCTTGATATTATCGCTACCGGCCAAACAGACTACGACGTCAGCGTTGATATCTTGGATCTGAGTGCCGAAGGAGGCGAGAGCGTTGTATCCTTGGGGGTTCAGAAGGATCTCTACGACCAACATGCTGCAGAAGTTCTGGCCGAGAGTTACCACGCCCTCCTCCGTCAATTTACCAACAACCCTGCAGCTAGGGTTACCTGGGTTACTCTCTATTCTAATGAGAGCGTTAAAGATGCACTTCAGCTCGGTCGAGGTAACTGTGTCCTTTTCTTTTATTTTATTTTCTTTCTTTATTTTTCTTCTTTTTCTTCCTTTTTTTCCACGGTTTTCTTGCCACTCGCTCGTGTGCAGTGGAACGCTCCTAGAGTGCGAACTCCGGCTAACGCGTTTCCCGGGATCAAGGCACTGAAGCACCCGGAAAATACCCTACCATTGTCCATCGGATCGACGCCATGGTCGAGAAATACCCGAACCAGACGGCCGTGAAAGACGCTTACGGGAAAGTATTCACCTATCACGAGCTCGCCGGTCGAGTCGACAGCATCGCACAGAATCTCCTCAGACTCGGGATCGGAAACACATCCAACGTGGGTGTGTTCCAGACCCGCAGTGCGGAATGGATCTTCTCTCTCCTTGCCATCTTACGTGTCGGCGCCGCCTACGTAGCGATGGATGTAAACGTGGGCCCGGATAGACTATCCCTTATCGTGGACAACTGCAAGCCAGCAGCCATCCTTGTGGACTCGGACACAGAGAGCGATGCGTTCGTTATTGCTACTCAGTCGCAGCGCCCGTCTACTTCTCCTTCTACCTCGGAAGTCCGTATTCCCATCATTAACATCACAGACCCGCAACCCTCAAATGAAGTCGGTACTGCCCCGAACAGCGCCAGGCCGGCAGACGCAGCCGTTATCATTTACTCCAGCGGCTCAACTGGTGTGCCAAAGGGAGTTGTCCTCTCGCACTCCAACATCGCGAATTACGCAGACGTTGTGCCACCCACCTGGGGCGGTGTTCGGGAGGGTCACGAGATCTTTTTGAACCAGGCCTCCTACTCCTTCGATGTCTCTCTACAGCAAACAATCGTGGCTCTTGGTATTGGAAGTACCGTCGTCGTTGTCGGAAACCAAGCGCGCGGCGATCCAGCAGCCCTGTTGAAGCTAATAATCGCCGAGAACATCACCGTCACGGGGGCCACGCCGACGGAGTATCTGACATGGGCACGACACTGGGATGTGGACCTCCTCCGCAAGTCTCAGTGGCGTCATGCCTTCACCTGGGGAGAGCCCATCACAAAACAACAGGTCCGAGACCTGCAGCTTCTCGGTCTTCCTAACCTCAATGTCATCGACGCCTATGGGCCTGCCGAAGCGACCATTACCAGCGCACATGGACGCGTCAACTTAGAGCACATTAAGCTCGAGAGCACAACCAGGAGTCCAAATGTCCCCTTGACCATCACGCCTAACGGTTCCGTTTACATTGTGGATGAGAGCTTGAACCCTGTGCCGCCTGGAGTCTTGGGCGAAATTGTTCTCGGTGGCGCAGCCGTCGCAAAAGGTTATCTAAACGACGAGTCACTAACATCAGAGAGGTTTATCCAAGACAAATTCGCCAGCCCTTATTTCAAGTCTAAAGGCTGGACTACTGCGCATCGCACTGGCGATCGCGGATTCTTGACGGCGGATGGCGGGCTTGTGTTGCAAGGTAGAATTGAAGGCAGCACACAAGTCAAGTTGGCAGGTATACGTGTTGACGTCCAGGATGTAGAGGCAACGATCATCCAAGCAGTCCCAGATGTCAGCCAGGTCGTGGTATCGGTCCGCAGGGGCGCAGAATCTGATAGCGCTCCTTTCCTCGTTGCTTTCGTTATACTCTCCAACAATGCTGCCGGGCTCCCCGCAGACGAAAAGACACGCTTCCTAGAGGACCTACCGCGAAATCTGCCCCTACCACAGTACTTGAAGCCCGCTGTGGTCGTCTCCGTCGACCACCTTCCGACTAACAGCTCTCATAAGCTGGACCGCCGTTTGATTGATGGATGGCCACTGCCGACTGAAGGAGCACAAGCCACAAATCCTAGCGGCGACGAATCTTCCACTCTTACGGAATTTGAGCAAACGCTTCGCCAGCTCTGGGGGGACGCACTCCCTGACGGCCTCGCCCAACATCGCTCTATCGGTGGCTCCTCTGACTTCTTCCACATCGGCGGCAGCTCTCTCTCTTTGATCAATCTTCAGGGCCTTATCAAGGAGAGACTCAATTTTCCCATTTCCCTTTACAAACTTTTCCAGAACAGTACCTTGAGCAGCATGGCGGCTTCACTTCGAAATGAGAGGACAGTCATCGATGAACTAACTGCAGTCGACTGGGAGCTTGAAACCACGTTGCCACTTGACATTGTTCGGCAAGACAGTGAAGAAACAGAGTACACAGGAACAGTGTTGCCAGTCAGAAATGTCGCCCTTACCGGATCTACGGGGTTCATCGGAAAAGAAATCCTTCGGCGTCTTATAGCGGATGACCGCATCTCCAAAGTGTACTGCCTCGCAGTGCGGAAGAAGAGATCAGACCTGCCGCCCAGCCTCTTCGGTCACGAAAAAGTAGTGGTATATTCTGGTGATCTCGGCGCACCGCGACTCGGCTTATCCGAAACGGAAGTTGCGGCTGTTTTTGGTACCCAAGGAGTTGCTGCCGATGCGGTGATTCACGCAGGCGCGGACGTCTCGTTTCTGAAAACTTACCATTCCCTACGACTTGTCAACGTCGCTTCAACCCGCGAACTAATCCGGCTCGCTGCTCCACGCCGGCTCCCTCTACATTTCATCTCTTCAGCTACAGTGGCCCGACTCGCACTTCAAGCGGGACGTACGAGCTTCGGGCGAGAGTCTATCGCGAACTATCCCCCCAATGCAACACGCGCGGCTGTAGAAGACGGTTACGTGGCAGCCAAATGGACAAGCGAGGTCCTCGTCGAGAACGCGGCCAAACAACTCGGTCTTCCTGTCTTCATTCACCGACCGACTAGCGTCACCGGCGAGGATGCTAGCGATCTTGACCTTATGAGCAACATCACGAAGTATGTGCAAAAGACCAGAACCATCCCGGATACGCATGAGTGGAACGGGGGCTTCGATTTCGTATCCGTGCAGACAGTCGGCCAGGACATCGTGCGTGAGGTCTTGGACAACGATCAGGTCGGCGGTGAGGTGCGGTATGTGTTCCAGGCGGGCGAGAACGTGGTTGACAGCCACAAGATGCAATCTATCCTGGAGCTTGGAACGGGGACTTCGTTCGAGGTTTTGCCGTTTGACCAGTGGGTTGATGGCGCGGAACAGGCCGGACTGAGTCATCTGTTGGCCCTCTACTTGAGAAGGGCCGCCAAGGGACAGTTGTTAATTCCGAAGCTGTTAAACGAATAGGTTACCTGGTATTTTGGATAGCTTTTGACGGCTCCTTGGATGTTATTTCAATTTGTATTTATTTCCATCTGTCCTAAGATTCTGGATCACCAAGACAACACATAGCTTATCAAGTGGAAAGAAGCACGCTTTCAAAGACCCAAGACGAAGCGGACAATTTCATTGACCATTATCATAACATAGGAAGGCTGAGGCGAGCTTAAAGTTCCTCTCCTCTACATCCTACTAAATCGAAGGAATCCTGCCTATTATACTTAATCGTTCTGGTAATACAACCACCAAAACGCCCACTACTCTCCTGCCGATAGCAATGTTGGATCCATTGCCAACATTTCAACACAGGAAACTTTTCGAACCATGGGCATTACAAGTCTCAAGAGAAAGGCTAAATTTGCTAGGGTGACCTGATCTGTATCGCGTTTCCCCAGTTGACTCCTCCCTGCCAGAGACTCATCACATGGATTGCCCTTGATATGTCGGAGAAATCCCCTCATAGTCATGAATCCTTTTCCTCGAACTGGTTTAACATTGCAGACGCTTTTGAGAGCCCCCTTGTACATTGTAAGATTGGGTCCATCCTCACTTGGACTCTGTATGCATTTAATTCGGCGCGACAAACCACAGCCTCCCTCCCCTCTTCCCCTCCTTCTAGTGTTTGTGTGTTTGTGTGTATATTTTTTACATGGCAAACCATTGGTTGGTCGATGGCTTTACGCTGCCCTACAGCCGCATTGATCACCAGGCCACTCAAACAATCCGACGCCCTGAAACTGTCGCGTACTAGGGATTATAAAACTCACCGCAAGGCCCTGGCGCCTGCAGTGTCTTCGTTCCTTGAATCATTCCTATATCTCAATGTAAACAGCGCGGCAATAAACTTTTTCTTGCAGACTATAGATCGAATACACTTTAAGCGTGAGCTTCTCAGTACTGGAGAGGTGTTTTCCACGATCTAGTCTATCCTGGCACGACCGGCCTCGCTCTCTATATCGCCACTATTTTAGGAAACATAGTATCATAGCTGCGCAATCTGCATAATCGATACGGGGAGGTGGTATGTATTGCTCCCTGTACGCTCAGCTTCATCCATGCTTTAGCTTTAAAGGATATATAGAGACCATGCGGAATGTGGCTGATAAACCTCCGCCTGCAAAGATTTATAACTCCGCCTGAACTCCTCCAGTAGTCTTGCTGTAATTTACTAACCACCAAGATTCGTGTCGCAGGATGTCAATGAAATTGTCACCCCTACCCACTATCGCGGAACTCGTTTAGCGTATACCAATCAAGGTGTTTATCGAGAAACGCCTTGTATATTACTGCACCGAATTTCTATAGCGGGAAACGGTTGCAGAGTTAGGGCGGAGAGCTGCGGAGTTGTAATGGAGAGATGCGGAGTTGTGGTGGAGAGGTTGCGGAGGTACCCGACGACTTGTTCATGACGTCTAAAACTTAGCTTTACCCGAAAGGAACCTACTGAATAGCGGGTAAGATCGTTGGCGTCATGCTCCTACTTCGCCTTGTTGATGAATGGTCAAGTACGTGGTCGACCCTTCATGACCGATACTCGGTTTCTTTTTAAAAAGTGTCCGCCCCAAGCCGTTTTGAAGGTCTGCGATAACAATACATTATAACCTTCCCATTTCTTGCTCCCTTAGAACACGAATCAGCCAGCCTGAGCACTATGACTACTCCAGCACCCCCTGCCGATGCGAACGACCTTGGAGATGGTTTAGTTCTAACAGCTCCACGTCTTGTTCATACAATTCATAAGTCCCCATACGCGGGTCTATCACCTCTTCGCCATGAGCTGAACCAGTCCGGACGGACCGTTCTCATCACTGCTCGCTCGGCTGGCATAGGGTTTGCGATTGCACGGGCATATGCTGAGGCCTCGGCTTTCAAGCTTATTCTGACTGGCCGCCGTAGTGACATTCTTCAACAGGCATCTTCTAAGCTCTCATCCGCTTTTCCCGAGGTGGAAATCATCCCCCGGATTTGCGATGTAGGAAACTCCGAGGAGTCCGCCAGGCTTTGGTCTAGCCTTGGCAAGGATGGCATCTTTGTCGATGTCCTCATCCTGAACGCAGCCAAATTCGGCTCGCAGCAGCAGCCTCTTCTTGAGGCTGACCTAGACGAGATCTGGTCCTTATACCAAACTAATGTCAAGGCCATTCTGGATTTCCGTCAGCGACTCTACAGGCAGAAAGGTGCTGAAGACAAGAAAATGGTATGCAAAGAGCCCATCGCCACTCGTTTTCTAAGAGAATCGTTAATGAACGTATTACGCTAGTTTATTGTCTACGTTTCGACGGCAGCCATCCACAGTCGACCTATTGCAGCTTCCTTGCCGGGCTACTCATTGAGCAAGATTTCTGGCCACATTTTGGTTCAGAAGATTGCAGAGGAAGTGGATCGTGAAAGACTGCAGATTGTCAGTTTCCACCCTGGTCAGATCCTCTCTGAAACTGCTAGATCTGCAGGCCTTGATGAGAATAGCTTTCCCTTTGACGATGGTGCGTTTTTCGAACACTTGATACGATCCTGTGTTGATTTTTTTTTTTTTTTTTTTTTTTTTTTATCAAGACTCCAATATTTAAAGTTACAGGCTTTAACCACTTTTATAGAAAACCTGCCTGGGCGTTGGGTCGTCTGGGCGTCGACCTCCGAGGCCACATTTCTGCATGGCCGTTTCGTTTGGGCAGCATGGGATATAGAGGAGCTAAAGTCGGAGGATATTAAACAGCGCATGAATGCTGACCCTGGCTTCCTCACCCTTGGTCTTATAGGGCTCTAATGTGTTATCGACAGATCGTAGCTGGGAATGCAGATTGATCCTCTTGGTGCCTTGATCCTATTAATACGCCCTTCATTACAGTATCCTGGCTGCCACTGCCTTTTGGTTTTTTTTTTTTTTTTGGGGGGGGGTCGAGCAAGGGCGACGCGGGGTAGACCGATGTCCTACCGTAGTTCGTGGAAGTGGAAGACTGTACTTCGTATTCTCATGGTTCATTTCATTTTGGCGATATTAATAGATTAATGCGGCGTCAACTACTTGTCGAGCGTGAATTAGCGGACAGGGGTCCTTCAACTTATTCTCGTTTTACTGGCTTTGACCGCCCGGCCGATTACTTGGCCGCGCAGCGGCTTTGCTACTTTATTAGTGGGTGTGCTTTAGAAACGACCCGGAACCTGACACGGGGCGATGCTCGGGTAATTCTACTTGCGGGGCTTAGTCATTTCCTCCGAATCCCCACTGGACCACAACCCGGGCAGGAGAGTCAGGTCCCTACTGGCCTGGCCTTGTTCCTCGTCATGATTAAAATTATCCTACCGGATCGCCAGACATGGCCCACCACTCCAAGCAAAAGGCCTGCTTCGGCTGCGTTGACTCCAAACGACGCTGCGATAGGATTCTCCCATCATGCTCACGATGTAGTGGGAAAAGTATCCGCTGCGTGTATCCCGAGCCTTTACCACTGCAGACGTACAATTCCTCCTCTAGTGGGGCAGCCGACCCTGCTCTCAACTTGCAGCTAGGAAACGCCGGGACTCCCTCGAGGGTTGAGACTCAAGCTCAGGCACATACTGTACATGAGAGGGGTCTGCGGGAAACGCGAGACTGCGCTCCTGCGGACTTGCTCTCCTCTACTGACATGCTATGTGCTGGGTCGTCTTTATTGTCAACAGGAACAGGAGGAATTCATGCCACTAGTCGACCCTTCGCAACCTCGGGAGACCTGTCTTGGTTTCTGCAGCCCTCAGCTTGGAACATGGCTTTTCACTACCAGCCGCCGGTATCTTTGCCCCGCCATCCAGTCTTCTCAAATTTCATCCGTGGCTTGCAAACTTGGCTCTCCCGTTTCCTCCGCACAGGCCACAACCCCTTCATTCATTGCCATCTGTATCCTCCGGATGGCATGCCGCAGTGTATGGAAGATGCGTACTCGGCCATTTCCATCTCGGAAACCGTTACCTGTGGGAATGAGCATATTGTCAATGACATCTCATCTACGTATATCTCAACATTGCTCATCTCCCAGCCTGCCGACACGGGCCCCTCTCTCTCCTTACTCTCGACGACAGAACACCTAGCTCGCACCCAGGCTCTACTCATTCATCTCCTGCTAGCTCTATTTTCGCCCTCCATACCCCGTCGAGCGAGAGCAGAAAGTGTCATTGAAACACTCCTTTCCTGGACGAGTCAGCTGTGGGCTTCGGCCGCTCAGGATGCTTCTACTACGTTATTGTATCCAGGCTTACTCTCATTACCCCACAGGGAGGGCGAATACGGTCCTGATATGGTATCACACTTGCATCAAAAATTCATTCTCTTCGAGTCTGTCCGGCGCACATGGCTACTCAGCAACATAGCCACTGGTGTATACTTCAGCCATAGGGGCGAGTGGTCCTCTACCTGCGCCGGTGACATATGTATTACCGCACGCGCAGAACTCTGGGATGCAACCTCATCAGCTCGTTGGGAGGCTGTGGTCCGCAAAAGTGACCCCTTGTTTCTCTATAGTTTACATGGCGGGTCGCTGATCGAGCGCGGAGTAGGTGCGTCGGAGGTTGACGAGTTTGCGCGACACCTATTCACAGTTATGTGGGGCTTGGACAAAGTCGAAGATTGGGTCGTGCGAACTGGCGATTCTGTTTCCATCATGTATTAGCTTAGTTCTGCGGAGTTCGCAATTTGTCATCCTTGATTCACCTTCCCCCTTCCCCTGGTTAACCCCCGGCTAAAGTTTCTCCGCAAGCGTTCCGCAAGTGTTCCGCAAGTATTTCGTCAACTCCGCCACCAATAACTGCAACTGCCTCGAATGCGGATTTAGGCCCCCGCCTTAGTGCATATGTATCAGCCTGGCAAAAGGCGCCGAGATAACGCTTTACATACATCAAAATATATATCAACGGAATCCCCTTTCTTGAGGTCAAGACAGTTCTCGGCCCAGTCCTATTGACGCTGCATAGTCCTAACAGTGGCCACCCCTTCGCACATTCGGTAAATTATGGTCTGAGACATATAGTGGTTTATTTTCGCAACAGTTGACCTTCATGGCGATCGAGTGGGACCCGTTAACAAGCATGCCAAACCTCTCCGGCAAGGTCGTTGTGGTGACGGGTGGCAGGTAGGTTGACGCGAGGAATATCCAGTCTATTAGTGATGATGCTAATTCGGTCGCCTACACAGCACTGGAATTGGATATGCTACTGTTCGGCTGCTTGCTCGGCGAGGAGCGAAGGTATACTTCACGACGCGATCAGAACCAAAGGCTCGAAAAGCACATCAGACCCTAGCTAGTGACTCCGAGGTTGAACCAGAAAATGTCATCTGGCTAGTCATGGACCTTTTTGATCTTAGGAGCATCAATGCTGCTACCGATGAGCTGAAAAGGAGGGAAACCAAGGTTGATATCTTGAGTATGCTTCGAGTTACTGTCTTTGATATGCCACCAATTTACTAAGCTTACCTTCGTTCTAGTCAACAATGCCGCCGCTTCAACGTCGTCGACTGACTTAGTAGAGGGCAGATACGAGCAACACATGGCTGCCAAGTAAGTCTAGCATCCGCTAGATCCTGGAACCAAAATCGCTAACATGTTCAGCCATATTGGACCTTTCTTCTTCGTTAACCGGGTTCTACCCCTCCTCAAGAATGCTTCGAAAGGAAATAACGCTGATGTGAGGATTATAAATATTAGCTCTATGGCCCACATCAGCATGCTTCCACGAGATTTTGAGTTTCCGTTCACGTCTCCTACCTGTTTAAGCAATCCTGTTCCTTCATGTCCATGGCAATGGCGAATTTTCGGCAGGTTCCTATTTGGCTTCGACATGATCCGTTATGCCGTGTCCAAAGCTGCTGCTATTCTGTTCACCAAGGAGCTCCAACGTCGGCTCGATGACCAAGATCTTCCGATATTATGTGTCGCTGTCCACCCAGGTGAGGTTCTCACTGAAGGTGCATTGGCGATCAATAATATATTCGTTAGGACCATAGCGCGGATGGCTTTTCTCACAGCTGAGCAGGGTGCTGCCACTCCCTTCTTCGCGGCAGTCGCTGGCGAAGTTCGCCAGAAGGCTAATGTTTACAAAGGGCGGTTCTTGGTGCCGATTGGGAAAGTTGAGACCCCTAATGCAGTTGCTGAGGACAATCGACAGATCAAGGGCTTATGGGAGAACACAACCCAAGAGGTAAATAAGCAGCTTGCGGAATATAAGCTACCCTCTTTGGAAGCATGGTAAATTAGATGTGGTGTGATTTGCCGGCGACGGAACGAGCATTGCAGTAGTAGTCGCGATAAGAGAGTTCAGATATAGACAATGTGTACACTACCTTCATTCCTCCTACTACTAGAGTATTTATTCTCTCAAAACTAGACGGCAGAACTCGTAGTTTCCTAATTCTTTGAAGTAGACCAACAAATCGAGGTAGAGAATGCTAGACTTCGGCCATTTTCACGAGAAACGCTACTTCGTCGAGGAGACGGTTGTTGTAAAACTTTTGACTGTGCTTTCCCGTCAGTGCCTTGTCCGCATTTTTCGTAGGTTGCTCCGTCGACTCTTCCACAGATTTCAGTCTCATATTAATGAATGACTTCAATGTTACCTTTTAACACCCATATGTTCAGTTAGAGCTTATTACGGGTTTTATACTGCTTAGAATACCCATGACTTTTGCACATGAAATATTAGGTCACTTGGCTTATTCGATCCCTGCAGATTTCCAAAGACCCGGTCTGGTTGAGGTAAAATTGTAATATGAAAGGCGGCAGAAGGGGCAGTTCAAATTGATTATCTTGACTTGCGAGTGATATAAACTGCTTGAAGGTCTAGGCCATATCACCGTGGATTTCCTTTCACCTCCCCCCATATTCACCTTCCTACTTTTCCATCCATTTAAGGAAGTCTATGCGGCCACTGCTGGCTCTTTCTTCTCTTCCTTTAAACCAAATTCTGTATCTAGCTCCTTGCGGAGAGAGATCTCCTTCTCCACCAGTGACAAAAGAAGGCTTAAGCCACTAACTACGAGAGCGATATGCCACACCCTCTGGATGCTCTGGCTGTACACATGCCTGACCTGTTCGGACACTTCACCTCCAAACGACTCGACAAGCGCCGCGGTGGCATGCGCGTATGCCTGACCGCCACTGAGCTGTGCGCGGGCCCCATCGTCTTGGATAGTGGGCAGCAGCGAGTCGAATCTATTATTGAAAACGGCAGCGGGTATGGTGACACCCCAGATGACGCCGAGACTGCGGATAAAAGCCCAAGTCCCCGTGCTCAGGGCCGTATCAGACTCCTTAAGCATGGCTTGGACGGCGGGCAAGAGACAGGCCATGGGTAGGCCGTTGCCAATGGCGAGGAATAACTGGAAGAAGACCCACATGGCCGGGTGGGAATCGGGCCCGAGAATAGAAGAGAGACCGCAACCCAGCGTCATGAAAGAAAAGCCCACGAGGTGGAGCGGTCGGTAGCGGCCAAACTTTGTCGTGAGGGTGCCGCCGATTGTGACGGAAAGGGGAAAGCCGATTACGGTCGGCATCAAGTAGACCCCGCTCAGGGTTTGATTGGCTCCCACAACGGCTTGGAAGTACAAAGCGTAGACGTATACCATGTAAAGGCCCATGATGGAATGCAAAAAGGTGATGGCGAACGCAGCAGCCGAGGTCCTATTCGCAAAAAGGTGATATGGCGTCACTGGCTCGGCGACGAAGGGTGAACCTTCGAACAGCGCGAACACGACCAGCAGGACAAGGCCGACAACGAGAGGCGCCAGCACCGAAGGATCGTCCCAGGAGCGTAGAGAGCCGCCATAGGTGACTGCGTACATTACGGCGATACAGGAGATGGTCAGGATGGACACGCCGCCCCAGTCGATGCGGCGCATCTTGCCCACGAATGTCCCCTCGGTTCGACTCTTGACGCTAAGGAAGAAGAACGTGACAAGCATGCACAGTCCGCCGATGGGAAGATTCAGATAGAAGGCCCACCGCCACTGGCCGGACTGCGCAAGTGCGCCGCCGACAAGGGGACCCACCGCCGTGAAGATGCCGATGATGCCAAACAGGATACCCAGAAACTTTCCGCGGTCTCGCATTGGCACTAGATCGCATACTATTAAGTCCACCATCATATTAATGCCGCCGCCGCCGATACCCTGGATAGCGCGGGCGGCGATGAGCATCTGTGAGGAGCTAGCACCGCCGCAGAGACCGCTGCCGAGGGTAAAGATAGCGAGAATGGAGAGGAAGACCCATCGTCTGCCCCAAAGGTCGGACATTTGACCGAAGAGAGGTTGGAATACGGCTCTAGACACATGGTTACAATGGTTAGTGGTAGTGTTCTCTTAACTCAACAACAAAGGGGATTTTTATTTCGTTCTTTTCTGTCGTTTCGTTCCTGTTGTTCTTTTCCCTTCCAATCTTCTTTTGTGTGTTGAAAATTTGCGGTCCAAGAGAGGGGAGGGTATTGGGCCTTACCCAGTGAGGAAATAGACGTTTGCTACCCAGACATAGTCAGGGCCAGTATCAAGGCTTGAAGAAATGGTGGGCAGTGCGACGGCGACGATGGCGCCATCGAGGGCGCTTAGTAGGGTCGCAGCTACGAGTGCGCCAAAGATGGTGTAGAAGCGCCAGCCGTATGTGTGCGAGCCTGCATCCTCTTCCGGCTTAGCCTCCAGATCAGGCTCGACGGAATCAGCCGTCGGTTGCACCAGCTCTACTGGCGTGATGGCCTCGCTACTATTGGCAGACGGGGCGACGCTCTTCTTAGTATCGTCGATGATCGAGAGGCTCTGGGAGACAGTCGAGGGTTCCTGGTGTTCAGAAGCATCGGCGGCCTGTGGTGTTGTCGCCATAGTTGACCATGTACGTTCGTCCAGGGAGTGCTGGAAAGACGGGGAATTGGGGGGAGAGTGCAGTCAAGTTTGCAGCTGGAACAAAGAATGGCGATGCAGGTTCTGAGGGTGAAAGGAATGGGATGAGAATTGGCGCCACATGCTGGGCAACTAGACAACCGCGAGGCCGACTCGAACTGAAGAAGAGAATACACGATGCCCAGCGAACGAGCCACGTTCGCGAAATCAAAAGTTCAATTTCAAAGTTGATTACAATTCCCAGATCGCTGCTTTCCCAAGGTGGTCCGATGCTAGCACGCGATGCTCCGATTGGTTGTCCCCATCGGAGATCCTCTTACGACCAGGTCGACTCCGATAGGTTGATGGGAACGGACCGGAGTGGGTTATGCAGGGAGCTAAATCCAATCTCCGATTGGCGACGTCTAGATCGGGCTCGGCGTTGGCAGGGGTGGTGGAGTGAGTTTCGGGGTCAGTATCACATATCACAGAAAGCCGTTAGTATTGATTTCAAAATGTATAGGAGGTGATGGTTTGGCTGGATGGGACTTGGTCATCTTGATTGTCCAGAAAGAGGTTCGAGCCCCTCAGGTCTCAGCAGAATTAGCCACGCCCCATGCGACGCGCGACGTGCACCACACACACCTCAGCCCTAGTATTCTCAGTTGGTGGCGCCTGACTGCTAAGGTGACGCACCAGCCCGGTCTAGTCCACGATGCTTAACGAAATTGTAGCCGAGGGCTTCGACAACCCGCGTACGGTCCTTTCCGTCGCACTCACGGCAACCGCCCTGTTCGCCTTTTATCGTCGTTGGAAAGCTTCTCGAGAGTTGAAACTTCCGTTCCTGAAATTTGAGGATGGCGATGACTCAAGGCAGAGGTATGTGGCAGAGAGTGGGAAGCTGCTCAAGCTTGGATACGAAAAGGTAAGGAACAAAATAATGTGAACGGTAAAAAATGCGCATAAAAACCTGCAGCCGAAAGAACAAGTATTAATCATACTAAATTGTGTAATACTACCCAAAATAGTATTTGAAACATGGCAAAGCATTCGCGATGCGAAACTACATCGATGAATTATCTCCTCAGGTCTACCTGCCATTGAAGTATCTCGACGAATTCAAAGCCGCGCACGAGTCGGAACTTAGTTTCCCTTATTTCTCAGAATTGGTTCGTCTCCCTAGCGACAGCTTTCAGAGCATCGCCCCACCCCTTCGCCTTCCACTAACATGGCGTGGGGACTTAGCTCTTCTCGCAAAATGAAATCGGCATGGCGAAGGTCACGGAGGAGGCATCCCATGTGATGCGGACGGACTTGATCAGAAATCTGCGTGAGCATTGCAAAATCCATACTCCAGATATCCAGCTCCTCGGGATGTGTGAATACTGACGAATGGACACTGAAGCCACTATAATTGCGGGCGTCAAGGCCGAGTGCTCGGCCATTTTCGACAAGATGATTCCCTTGACTCCAGGTTAGCCTCATCTCCCGCCAACACATTGCCGTTTGTGAATTAACCGCATCGTAGATTGGACCCCTGTGACGCCATATCCCATCTTTGCCTTCGCCGTAGCTCGGCTTTCCGCTAGGGTCATAGGCGCCCCCGAGCTCGGCAAAAACGACGAATGGCTCGGCATCTGCCTCAGCTTCACGCAGAAGTCCATGGAGGCCGCCCACGCCCTCCGCGCCTCATGGCCCCCCTATACTCGCTGGGCAGCACGGTGGTTCTCGCCGGCCGTGAAGATAGTCCTCGCCGACCGGAAGCGTGCCACTGAGATCATCACGCCTGTCCTAGAAGTCCGGAGGCAGGCGTCCAAGCTACCCCTCGAGAAGCGCCCGCGGTTCAATGACGGTGTGCAGTGGTTGATGGAGCATTACGACGCCCAGAATCGCAAGCTTACGCCTGAGATCCTGACCGAGCACGAGCTTTTCCTGGCCGTCGCTTCTATCCATAGCAGTTCTTCCATTACTTTATCCATCCTCTACGATCTTCTAGATGAAAAGCACGTGGATGCGAAAAAAGAGATACTTGATGAGATCGAGGCCGTTTCAAATGAATACCCCAGTTGGACTCGTCCTGCCGTCGCTAAGCTTCTGAAGCTGGATAGCTTCATGAAGGAAAGTCAACGTCTTCATTTTATGGGCCACGGTTAGTCTAAATCTCCCACCGTTTCAATATCGAGAAGGCAAATATTAACAATCTCCCTTTTTTTTTTTTCCTTCTCCACATTAGCACGCGTCACTCGCGCAGCCCGAGTTCCCTTCACTTTTGCAGACGGTCTCCACCTGCCCAGAGGCACAATGGCGCAAGTACTCCACAGCGGACCTCAGACAGATCCTGAGTTCTACGAAAACCCAGAGACATTTGACCCATGGCGCTTCCTCCACAAGCGAGAGACCATTGACCCTTACAAGTTCCAGTTCGCGAGTCTGTCTAACATAGAGACCACGTTCGGCGCCGGCTTCCACGCTTGCCCAGCACGTAACTACGCAGCCGATACGCTGAAGCTAATTCTCGTGCACCTTCTGACCACCTACGATATCAAGTATGCCAAGGAGAGTCAGACTCGCCCCCTGGACGTGAACCACGACAATGCTACGCTCCCAGATTTTACCACAGAGCTTTTGTTCAAAGGGAAGAATCCCCCCTCTGGCTAAGGAAAAAAAAAATGAGAATCGTAATCGGTCGGGTACATGACGTGTAGACCTCGAGATCCAGTTGGAAAGTAGGGAGCCACAAAGTGTCATGAATTCTCGTTGGTGGCTGATTAGGATGTCGTTCAAACAAGGGTAGATTTGAGAAAGTTGGTAGTAGCTGTCACATCAATAAACCCGTGCTATCGGCGCTCCTTAACTCCGTTGACCCGAAATGGCGTTTCTGCAGCATTTGGTCCAATGATCCCAGCTCCAGTACCTCTAGCATGCGTCTCAATCCATCCAGCCCGCAGACTGTGACAATGCATGTGGTTCAATATTTCGCCAGATGATTCGGTCGGACGATAAGCATCTTTGGCTCCAACCGTGAACTGTCCAAAACTGGCATTTATTGACCCACAACACCGACGAATCCTCGCCACTCAACTTTATTCCCTGACAAACCTAACACCGACAGCTTGGAACCGAATCCATGGCGTGGGGATGCACATGAAAATCCAGGTTGTGACCCCGCCCTCCCCCGATGGCAACGCCAAATCGGAGTGGAGGGGTGTCGGACCAGAACAGTCGCCGAGGCCAGGGTCCAATGTCGCCATAGCTATCCATGTAGCACGAACCAAACACCGGGAAAAGATAAGACGGAATAATACGCTGGGGGTTGCAATGCTATATGAAGTGCCTTCCGCACCACCAAATAAACGTATGCCTGCTCGCCGATCTGTCCTTCATCGTGCAGTGATCGACATCGAGAGCTGTGGTAACGAAAATAGCACGTCGATAGCTGCTGAGATACCAGTGCTCTTATTCGCCTTCTACTTTTTCTGTCCAATCAAACCACCCCACCTCGGCTTACAACTGCCCCGCGTCAACAATGGCAGTCGATACTAGTATCGCCAAGCCCAACCGTGTTTCGTTCCGATCATGGATCTGGGACGCGGACTCGCACCTCAAGAGCAAAGCTGAGCTGCGGCTCTTGCTGAAGCTCGATCTCTCCATCCTCATTATTGGCTGTTTCGGATTCTTCATGAAATTTCTCGACCAAACCAATCTGATGAATGCCTACGTCTCTGGTATGAAGGAAGACCTCCAGATGAACGGCAACGAGTACACCTACGCCAACACCATGTACACAATTGCCTACGCCATCATGCAGGTCCCGAGCACTCTCATCGTCCAAAAGGTTCGCCCGGCCGTCTGGCTCACCATTATGGAGGTCGGCTGGGGCGTCTGGACCTTTGCCCAGGCGGGCATTACCAACTCGAATCAGCTGTACGCGTTCCGCTTCCTCGTCGGTCTGTTCGAGAGCTCTTTTTCCCCTGTTCTGGTCTATCTTATCGGCGGGTGGTATACCAAAACCGAGATGGCTAAGCGCACCGCTCTTTTTATGATGACCGCTCCGATCGGAACGGCCTTCTCTGGGTACCTACAAGCTGCCGTCTACACCAACCTTGACGGTGTCAACGGTCTTGCCGGATGGAGATGGCTGTATATCATCTGTGGTGTAAGTTTGGGACCCTGGACCACTACACACTAAATTAGCTGGCCTCATACTTGCATCCGGGATGGGTGTCGAAAGGGGGGAAATTGTTCGCTAACACAGTATGATAGATCATGACCGTTCCGGTCGGCATCGCCACCTTCTTTTTCCTCCCCGATACCCCTTATACCACTAAAGCATGGTTCCTCACTGAGGAAGAGCGTGTTTTGGCGTTGGAGAGGGTGCGAAAGCAGGGAACGGCGCCGCCGGGTGAGCTTAGCTTCAAACACGTGGCAAGTGTATTGACCAGATGGAGGTGGTATGGCTTTGTAATTGCCTATGTTGTAAGTCACTCCTTTCCCAGCCTTTGGAATTACAAAAGCAAGGGGGAAAAGAGAAAAGAAAATGCTAACGTTGTTCATCTCTTTCAGCTTTACGGCTGTTCCTCCATGTCTGCAGGATTCTTCGCTATCTGGCTCAAGTCGGAAGGATACACCGTCGTCCAGAGTAATGTTATTCCCACTGGAACATGGCTGATCTCGGGCTTTGCCACTGTTCTTTGGGGCTACCTGTCCGACTACACAGGAAGCAGATTCCTTTTTGTCCTTATCCCACTGGTCAGTGATTCTTTTCCTTCACCAATGTTCTCGTTCGCAGTTCGCCGTTCGACTTAATTAACGCACAAATAGGCGCTCGGGCTAATCTCGAACGGCATTTTGGCCTTCTGGCCATCCGGTATCGGTATCAAGATGTTTGCATTCTTGTTTATCGGAGTCCAGCTCATGCCGGGCGTGTTGTAAGTCTCCACAGTTCCAGGATGGGTAGGTAATCACCGCGCATCTGACCTGGATCATCTAGCTTCGCCTGGGCAATGGAAATATGCCGCGAGGATAACGAAGAGAGAGCCATTGTTGCCAGCAGTATGAACGGCATGACCTACGCAGTAGTGGCTTGGCTGCCGATCCTGATTTTCCCGCAGACCATGGCACCCGACTTCCGTGAGTGATGATGGTATTTTCCCATCTCCAACAACAATGACTTAACTAATGTAATCGCACTTCCCTTTTCCCCATAGGCTATGGATATCCGGCTAGTTTCGGTTTGGTCATCGCATCGATCATTGCCGTGATCATCGTCCAGCTTCTCGTCATCCGGGAGAGGAAGAAGAAGAGAGGTGAGATTACAGATGCCGCCAGCCAAGACGACGAAGAGAAATCCGATCGGGGGATCAAAGACGGCGTCACTGATGTGAAGGCCGTTGCAGACTAAAAACCCGTCGGGGGAAGCTATGATACTTAGGTCGGAAGGAATTTGTGACAACGGGCCGCCACTAAGTGGTGGCAATCGATTACCTCATTAATATTCTGTCTTGTGAGAACTATCTTCAATTTGATCACGTTCTTAGCCTATATTTGATGGATGGAACCACTTCCAGTAGTAGAGGATGAGAGGACTTGAGATTCTATAGAGAAACGCCTCATCTAGCCGAGTGAAATTAACGCGAAAGATTCTGAGTCTATAAGTACACGAGCTTATGCACGTCAACTTGTGTATATATCATCTACCTTCCCCCGCCAGAAACGGTCAAACTTCAGCTCTGGTAGAACTTGACATATCAGGTGGATAACTTAAGTTTATTTAGATAGGAATATAGGCAGGAAAAAGAGGAATTCCAGACTTTAGCAAGAGCATCTCATCTCTACATCCTAGTACTTACTCTACCCCTTGGTTTAAGTAATCTCATCTCTACATAGCCTCTTACTGTGCTGGTGTGTAGGGCGACTGTCAGTGGCGCCGCCATATTGCGGAGCGGTGACGCCACGAAAGCCCGAAGTGCCGCACTTCCAACCCTCACTTACATATAAAAGGCAAAGGCTGCTCTAGTTTCGTGGAATAGATCTTAAGGAAGAACAGCAGTGCGGAAGAAGGCGAAGGGCGACGTTGCAGCAGCGGGCAATCGGTCGTTTCCTATCAGTCAGAGAGCTGTCGCGAAAGGCATTCTTTTTCTATTCTTTTCTCAATAATACTTCTTCTTATTTTTAAGTTTCTTCCCTCTTTCCTTGGTATGTGACGTTTCACGATGCAGATTCCGACTGATCGATGACTTCCCAGTGTCCTACTTGACCATTAGACCATTCCGACGACCATTGGAGCATTTCTTCTTTGAGACGTGGCTCCCAGCCACAGCTGGTTATTCCAGTGAGCGGGCGGCGGACCTGTTTGTGTTGTTGGGTTGTGCTGCTCGGCTCCGACAAACTACCTCTATAGGTGCGCCACCTTGCTGGTCATTTGATCGAACGATGTAAAAAGCACCGATCAATTACAACCTACTAAAGTGATCCTAATACAGCTAATTCTTTTCGATTCTACTTTCCGTCCGATTTAGAGATCTTTTTATTATAGAAGCAGAAGCATATCCTTGACAATCACCATATGTGACTAGAGTCGATGATGAGAGACAACCACTTGGGCATGATTTAAGGCGGTTCGAAATCCCGCCTCTCCCCCGGCAGTGTAAACATTTGGCTTCTCATATCAGCCCGACAGCTTGGAATTTGTCGTCTATGTAACCTAAATCTCATTCCCCTCTCTCCCACACTCCGTCCACTAAACAGGAGCAAAACTGGCCAACTTGGCTGTGACGGTGTAACTCTGAACCATACACTTGCCCGTGTCCGCAACCAACTTGCGCCCTCCTTTTTTTTTTGGAATCGCTTATGCCCCCTTTCCCTTTAGAGCATACTACTCTTCAATCCGCTGGACAGGGGGCGTATATAGCATGCGTTCCCCAAGCCAACTCTAGAATGCCATCTTCTTCGTGAAAAGAACTTGGCTCTAGCCAGGCTGCGAAAGGTAAGAATATCATTCAGCATACTCCAGAACCTAAGAGATGCCTATACAACGACTATATTCATTTAATGTTAATCTAATTTATTTCCAGCCTCGCTGAGCGACAACTGTGAGTCTGGAATATAATATTATTTCTTTGCTCTTATAGCACGTGACCTCTTCAAAAAGCTGTTGCCTACTCAAGTTGTTTGTTTTGCGCGTCGCCTTGGCTACAACCATTTTCCTTTATTCTGCAGTCTCGCGCGTTTCAAGGTTCGTCAATTTGTCTCTTAACAACTGCGTTTCAGCATTCGCATCGAGCAATGGATCTGTTTTATCGTGAGAATGCTGGTCTATACCGGACTTTGGTCAAGGGGTTCAAGCCAAGGCCAACGCCAGGAACGGTCATCCAGACAGCCAGTCCCGATATGGTCGTTGGCGCTAGAATTCGGCCTCTCCTGGACGAGGACGTTGCTGCCGGATTTCCCTGTGCTGTTTTTCCACGCTCTGCCGAAAAGGGTGTCGTCGATGTTCACGACCTTTATAATCATCCCAGAGGACGGCCAATACTGAAGGTATAGTAAACAGACTCCGTAAATAGACTCTCAAGTCTAGTTGATTGGTGCCTAAGACGGGAATTCTAACCAAATCCCCACAGTCGTTTAGCTACCAAGCAGACAAACTTTTCAGCGCTCAAGCATCCACGGAGGACATTTACGATCATCTGGTGGCACATTTAGTTCCCTTCGTCCTGGAGGGCAATATTGGAACTCTCTTCGCCTACGGACAAACGGGCTCCGGCAAAACATTTACAGTGAGCCGGCTGGAGCAGCTTGTCGTGGAATCATTGATGGATGGAAGACTTGGCAATCAAAAGCAAGTTTATATCAGTATTATCGAGCTCGCCGGCAATTCGGCTTACGATTTGCTCAACTCGCGGAAATCAATCTCAATTCTCGAAGACTCCTTCGGGACTACCCAACTTGCAGGCGCGAATGAGCACGCTGTACTGGGTGAAACGGACGCGATGGGCCTAATTGAACGCGCATCATCTTTTCGGCGAACGGCACCGACTCTCAAGAATGACGCCTCATCGCGTTCGCATAGCATATGTCGTATCCGGATTAGGGATCCATCGGCTGCTTCGGACGGCGTTCTCTATATGGTTGACTTAGCTGGCTCGGAAGCTGCTCGTGATGTCTCAGTTCACGGAGCGGACCGCATGCGCGAGGCGCGTGAGATCAACATGAGCCTATCGGTGTTGAAGGAGTGTATTCGTGCCAAGGCCCAGGCTGACGGGCTCTCACTGGCGGACAAGCCAACATCAAAGCGGACGAAACCACATGTGCCTTTCCGCCGAAGCGCACTGACGAAGGTCCTGAAGCATGTCTTTGACCCTGTTGGGAGCCGGCGTTGCAAGACGGTCGTTATAGCTTGTGTCAACCCGAGTCTCGCTGATGTCGGAGCAAGCAAGAACACCCTACGCTACGCCGAGATGCTTCGTGTTCTGGTACCAGCACCTGATGAGGCGTTGTCCAAGATGATGGATCCTATGTCTTCGACAAATGCGCAATTAAGCGAACGGATATCCAAGAATGTAAGTCCTACCGGCCCGATTTTTCATTTTCAACCCCAGTACATTGACATCAAACTCAGTCAGGTGTTCCGCCTATCCCGCCCCTCTTAGTACCGAGACACATGCCAAAGTCGGTTAAACCCGATATGGTCCAAAGTAATTCCAATTCTCAACGGCGAGTGTCGAGCCGAGATCTAGACACTAAGGCCGCCCTGAGGCCATTCAAACAACGTATTCGCCCAGGCATGGTTATTAGTTGGGCCGCCCCTCCTTGTGGCCATCTGGCTTTTGTGATGGAAGGCTCAAATCTAGCGGTGGTACTTTGCCCTGCAGCCGTTGCGGGTACTTCCGTCGACGATGTTCCCAGAGCCTCGACAATTATCACAAGGGATAAGAGCAGTAGTATGAAAGAACCTAGCCTTTCCATCAACAAGAGCGCCCAATATCTCTGCGCATTGGTGGCTCCTGGATCTGCTGCCAAGTCTTATGAAGTGAACTTATGGGAGCAACTTATCATCGATGTTGATATGATGGAGAAGGAGGTCTTTTTGGAATACGATGCCGAGACTAGATACTATTATATCTCCCCTTAGAGTCATATGAGAGAACATCTACCCATGTGGATGTTCATCTACTTTGCATACCTGAAAAGAAATCTGACGGGAAAGCTGATCTGGAATCGTTCCGGCTACTTCTTCCTTCTCGTGACATCCAACTTTTACATGGCTAGTGTTCACTTTAGCGGCGATGGAATACGGGATTGGCCCATCGCCATCAAGACATCTTAGCCATCGACAGATTGAGTTCTACGGTCACAAGAATACGAACATGATTAGCTGCTCCTTTTTTTTTTTTTTTTTTTTTTTTTTTTTTTTAAAAAAAAAAGAGTGACGAACTGAGGAGATGACCGTACAACTTAAGGTTTGGCGGCACCCAGGCAGGCTGGATGGGGGAAATGTCCGTTCCAACGACTTGGATGTTCGGATGCTCATCAGCGAAATCGCTAGTTGTAGGTTAGTTACTCGGGCAGTCTGATGATTTCGGAGGGTTTTTAATTTCGGAGGATTATACATCGCCCACGTTCCAGGAAGAAGGTGTAAATAGTTAGTTGACGAAATCGACAATTGTGAAAACGAGGGGGATGAGGGCCATTTTGTTTGTCCGTACCGGTGCCAGTGCCGATATCAAGAACTTTCTGTTGTCAACGGGTCAGTCAGAGGCAAAAGACACGGCCACTCCAGGAAATCTGGGGTCAGAGGGGGACTTGTACAGACCTGAATCTTATCTGTCTCTAGAGGTGCCAGAAACAATTTTCCACCGAGCGCCAGTGTGAGGACGTGGTGGCTAGATACACGCACAATGGGTAGTCAGCTATCGCTTCATCTGGACGTAATGGTACAGACGATAGTAGAGAGGCTCACTTGATATCCATAGATTCATTTTGCTGAGAGTCGTTTGCACCCCTGTTACCAGCCACATCGGAACAACATCTGGTCAGCAACCAACTCGCTCTGCCGCTCGAGTTTAGACTAGCACGCAATAACTACGTGGCTGATATTCCGTGCGGATCAAATGTAATGCAGCAACTAAGCCCAGAGCATTCACTGCCGTCGGAAACGGACGGACAATAATCCGCTGCCAGTCACTCCAACCCCTCATCTACACTCTCCGAAATAACACATTCTAGGATATACCCTTGCAGCAGCGACAGCCTTCCTGCTCTCGACAGCATAATCAGTCTTCAATCATATAAGCTTAGGACTGCCCAAGCTATATCTGTAGTATGTTTCTCTGCAACCTCGTTCAAGTCGCATATCTAACTCGATCAAGGGGGATACCTCCCTGAGCGGGAAGTGGGAGCTCATACTGTATAGGAGATTCAAAATACCGCAAGATGGGTTTCTCGAATGGATGGGATATAGCCAATTTATAGACTACGAAGTGGTCATCGATAGTGTCGAGGTTGACCTGATAGCTAGGCAGAAAATGGAAGTAGCAGAAGGGTAAGAAATTAGTGTGGTAAATATGGAAGTCAGGTACGTGCCAAAGGGTTTGGCTTAGGAATTGCGCAGATGCCCACGACATCGGTATCGAGATGGCTTTTCTTTATGTGCACGCACACACGCACGATGTCGTGGGACGTAATAACAGTGTCCCTGCCCCCCCATTTCGTCATCTCGCTCAGGGGTGAAGTTACGAAAGAGGACGTGGCTCGTTATCCACCGCCAAAGAATACGAAGTAAGATAGAGTCTAGCACTTATCAGTCTGAACTGTATATACTACTTGAGGGCCCTCCGATGCTGCCAAACTAGGTAGTCATCCGGAAGGTTTGTAGTATGGCCTCTCCTTCTGCCAAGGAAGGGATAGAAGGAAGCGCGAGGGAAAGGAACATGGTCCGATGGGAAAATACGTGTCTGTGGGGGAATCGTACGTCTGCTGTGGGTCACTCCGCTGGAACGGGGGCCACATGGAACGGCAATACGTTGATCCATGCCATCAAGTTGGGATGTTTTCTCCTTGTTTCTTTCCTTTCAATACCGACAGCTTCTTGAGTTCAAACAACAATTAGTTTAGTCTTCACTCTTCAGTTCCTAGTATCACGTTTTTTTGACCCTGATTCTATTGAGTTTGAAGACATTCCATCCTTTCGTCCAGTTTCTCCCAATCCAATACGGGCTCGCCTACATTATCCACCTATTTATGTGCCTTTACGCCCTGCAAGAACAGTTGTATGGTATTAAGAGACTAAAATTGAGCGAGATTGGCTAGTTCGAGTTGCCGCTTTTGATGTCCCTCGTCTCCAGGCTCAGCCCTGTATCAGCCCTGCTCAGTCCTACTCAGCATTTCTGCTCAACCAACCACTTGGCTCGACATGCCCTCGTCTCTCCTACGCTGGTCCGAATTCTAAGTGTCTTTCCATTATCCCTTGTCAGCTTCTACCTGTGTGTATGTATGCAAGTCCAAAAAACTGGGCCCTGGAACACTAAAGTACGGCGCCTAGAGAATACTCTCTACTCCGCTTCTAGAACTGGTGTTGGAGGCTCTGGCTTACTCTAGTTCGTTATGCTTTTTATTCTGTGATCAAATGGTCATAAAAGGAGCATCTTTTCAACCTCTATAGGAAAAATAGGGGCGAACAACCATAGCCAATTGACCCCTTTCTACTGCAAGACATTTCTGTATTTTGACCTTCATACATTCGCACAACTGAGGAATAAAACCACCGTCTCTGAGCTACGAATCAGTGATCCAAGGCATAATGCATTCAACAAAGGTACTAACCAGTAGACCCGGCCGTCTCTTCCCAAGTCACCGTGAAAGTGGCGCTGGCGTCATCCGCCTGACCAATTTGACCAACAACCTAGGTGGACGAATCCGTTAGCATTCACCGTATAGAAAAAAAAAGCAAGACTGTTTGATCAAGATTGCGTGGTCAACCCACCGTGAGTGTTCCCCCGTCAAAGCTGGCTGAGCATGAAGTCTACTCCTTGTTGTACAGATCATTGTACGAATCTTGGTCGATGCTTTTGTCCCAGGTGAAAATGTCTACATAAGCCCAGTTACTTCGGACACTGAGGTATGGGTTGCTGCCGAGGAACCGTAGCCACAACGACCCCGACGAGGTTGAGATCTTGTAGCCCACCATTCCAGCGGACCCGGTGAAAGGGCTATGAGAGGACATGACATGACCACCACACCCCTCACTGAGTGGATGGACCTGATTGATCATAAGCAAGTGAGAAATAGGAATTCGGGGCAGAACAACATACCGTCGACGGATACCTGGAAAAGTCACCCCAGTCGGCAAAGACTGTGGATTCGGCCTTCAATTCGTAGTCGGTTTCATTGTCCACGACGAAGTCAATCTGGTTCCGGCTGCCGAACAAGAGGGCAGCATCCCCTCCTGCTAGCCCGACCGCACTCATTTGTCCCGCGTCTTGCTGGGGGGGCGACCGTTGCCATGCTTGGTTATCTTACTCTGTGATGTGAAGTGTTATTGCTGATGGCTTGATTGTCTTTGTGAAGTGGAAATTGCTCGAGGGCGGCGGATAGGAGAAGTCCAGGTTTGTGGAGCAAACGATGTATTTATGATACCGTAGGCTGCCCCGGACAAGCTGGTATTGTCCCTCAGAGACCGGTGCTTACTCTTGGTTAGGCAAACTAACAATACTAAGCCGCGATGGTCGTCTTCCCATGACGGTCACATGGAAATTCAGCTAGTTGATGCCCGAAGCTTGCCCAAGCAGCCATGGGAGGCCACAAGAAAGTTAGATCATATCTCATCTCGCGCAGGAGCCGTTTCCTTGTTTTCTCACACACCATGTTTGATCCAGTCATCCACTGAGAGGTGCAAACGCGCCGCAAGAGGGGCTGCGACGGACTGAAGAGAACGAATCCGAAATGACGACAGCATGCCCAAACTTGAGAGTCGAGGCTGAATCTTGGCTTTATGGCTGTTAGAACATATTTGATGTAGGCGCGATTTGCGGCCTGAAATCCTGACAAGCATGTTGCTCTCGTTTTCCCCCGTGGTTACTCTTAGCATTGGCGCTCGACGGGCGCCCGACAACACCACCACCGCGAGCCGGACGGCATCGCGATCACCGATATGGACGACACACAGTCGGGCATCCAGGTATGATGCTGGGGGCTAGCAAAAGCAACAAGTCCATTCGAGCCCGACTATGACATCATCAGCGTAGGATCAAGCTTCGTGACAAAACGGGCGTGCATTTCATCGCTTCGAGGATAACGCGTTTGCCGACACTCGCCTGGCATAAACGAGGAAGCCGTGGCACAGCAAGGTCAAGGGCTGGTACCATGTGCTTTGCAAGCTCCAGGATCATCGACCACCCAGCCGAGAACAACGCCCTGGGCTAAAGCACGGCCATTCTTGTTTATTATAAAACGGCCTCCTGTAACAGAATACATTACTTACTATCAGAAGCTCCATAATCAGGGGCACACACACATACGATAAGCACAGCTAATTCCGTCTCTGCCCAGGGCAGGTCCCGCAACGCCCCATCATGGACCTCAGAAATCAGCCGGTAATCGTCGAGACTAGAGGTCCGTCGTTCGAGGCCCTCGAAGCCTTCACCGAAGGTGGCCAGCGCCAAGTCAGAATCTCGCGACTCCCTGCTGAGCTGCTCGATAAACCGGACCATAGGAATAGTGGCGACGCCGCTTTCAAATTTACCATCGTCCGAGACGACCGTGACAACGATAATGGAAATGCCATCTTCGCACTGAAGTCCCAGCTTGGTGGTGCTTTTCTAGGACTCAGCCGCTCCGATCGGCGTCTACTCCTCAGGAACATTCAACAACCCGTACCCGACAATTTCCGCTTCAAGCTTGCACCAAATGTTAAACCTATTGATGACGTGTCAGTCCCGTTCAACATCGTGGCCTTGGACGGATTAGCGGTGCATGATCCTTCCAGGGCCACCGAGGAGGTCTTATTGTCCCTCCGTATTCTAAAGGGCGAGTCTAAGAGCATTGATCGGGCTGTCGTGGAACAACTAACCGTGCTGAGCGCCATTGGCGAAGATACCGAAGACGCAGCTACCGCGGCCCCGCAGCCCTCTGGAGAGCCTGCCCCGGAATCGAACCTCGACAACCGCAGTCTACTCGACAGTATCAGGGAGATGAGGTATTCGGGCGAGTTAGCTGAGGCCAAGGCCGCCCTCGGAGAATATTTCCTGGACTGTCTGTCTTCCAAGCTGCTTAGCCCATCCTCCATGGCAGTTACTCCACGATTGCACCTGCTGACGACGTATATTGTTTAGCCAATCTTCCACAAACTGTGAAATCAGCCACGCTCCTCAAAGTCGCCAGGCTGCTTGCTATCATGAGTCAATGCGTCTACATGCGGTGCGTGCCTTCGAATGTTTCTAGAGAATAATCTGCTTTTGCATGGAACGATGCTGATGCCAGTTGCACCGATCAGAGATCTCGAGTTTGAGCAAGGCTTGACCCAGAAGTTTCTGCCATGGAAAAGCCTACTCCGCCAGTGGTGGGAGGGAGGCGATCCGGCCGTGGACGAAGAACTTCTGAATGTGATGGAACAGATAGACCTGCGAGGGGACAGGGCTCAGCAGAAGATACGAGAAGTTGTGGGTGTTTTAGTTGTTGGCAATTGTACTTGCCAATCTTCTAAGCGACTTCCCGTCACTAATATAGGCGCACTAGGCACAAGAGATGGGTCTCAAGTACCAGGCTCTTTGCAGTACGTTTGCCGTTCTCGCCAAGACAAAATAATTAGAGCTTGGAAACTAACGGTGTCGTCCAGACTTCTCCGAGACCGGTCGCTTGATTTTCAATGGCCCATATTGCGGTGCGTTCTACTGCGACGATGGCAACCCATTTATCGTCGTCGCATTCAAAGTAAGATACTCTCACGTCGTGAACCCTGACGAAGATTAGAGCTTAATGTATTATACAGGGCACAGGAATCCTCCCGGACTTCGTGACAGATGCCAAGTACAAAATGACGGATGGGAATAAGTCCAGTCCGCTGCAAGGGTCCCTGCACGTCGGATTCTTCAACGGTATATTCAAAAACTTCCCAATCGGGTTTACGAGGGACAACAGGGCTCTACTTCGAGGTTTACCATTCCGTAAGCACCAACTTCTTTTCCCGAAATATGAGATGGGAATGGTTCTTAACAAAATCCAGAAATGGTGAGAATACAGCTGTGGAAGCTTGAGAGACAGATCCTGGCAAAGAGCTTCCCGCTTGGAGGCTACCGAGTGCAGTTCTGGGTGACAGTAAGCCCTTGCTTTCTTTTATTGAGCACAGCCCTGAGTAGCTCGTGAAATGACATGGCATGAACTGGAATCCTCTAGGGCCATTCGCTCGGCGCTGCATATGCATCAGTCCTCTGGTCCGGCTTCCTCTCCGACCTGAAAATGCAACACACAACCATGCGCGATCTAATCACCTTCGGTGGCCCCCGAGTGGGCGACAAGAAGTTCGCACTGCATGTGGGCTCCCAAACGGGAAGACGCAAGGCATGGCGGTTCGTCAACGGCCTAGACATTGTCCCCAGGGTGCCCATCACCAGGCCCTTGAGCTTCACTTCGTATATCCATGTTGGCATCCTGGTGGCCATTTCGCGCGAGCGGATAAATCTGGGTGCTTCCGAGGTTGATTACCCCCCTCCCGGCCTACCTAGTTTAATCGTCGATAAGCTGTGGGACGGGTGGAAGAAGGTCTTCTGGAAGGTGACACAGAATAAGGGGGCCTGGGGGGCTATGCTAGATTTTTACCGAGATCATGGTGAGTGCCTGCCTACTGCGGAGTCGAGGAATACCTCGGGCGGGCTGACTGACATTCCGGGAACTAGCACTGGATAATGGATACTGGAAGTCGTTAAAAGAGGGGGCCGTGTCTATAGACAAAGTGGACTGGCCATGAACAAAGTTGCTTAAGGGGCTGTAGCAGTTGGGCGTTGGGACTGAATGGCACCCCCAAATTCTACTAGTAACTAGCCGTAGGGAAAGATTGGAAATTTTTCCTCGTACGAGCGCTCGGTCGTGCGTTACGGAACGTTGTTGGGATTCGTATCGGATGCATCTCTGTTACATGTTGGATTCTCCCTCCACTTCGCGACTTAGTAAAACACCAACTCAAACCCCAGGACTCTCATCACTACTTTCAAGCCACCTGGCATAGAAATTCAGGCGATTAAATCCCTCTCCTATCCCTATTTACAATCGCCCTTCCCCATTGATGTTCGATTCCTAACGGTAACCGCGGTTCGTTGCTCATTCAACCCACGTTTCCCCTCGGCTGCCGCGCGTTGGAGAAGGCGGTCTTGCAAGGAAGTCGTGTCATAGATGAATGCATTGAGTATTGAGGATTCTCTAAATCAAAGTCAACGGTCGTATTTTTCCAGCTTGGTAGTCTGCAAATGGTCTTACTTGCTGCGATGGGCCTTACCACTCTTGGATAGAGAACGGCGAGCTGGGTCAGGCCTTGGGTTGCTTGAGTCCTGAGGCGCCATTGGTGGTGTTGGTTAGGCTATATAAGCCAACTTTAAAGCAACTAACCAGGTCTTGAGATGGGTAAATTTCGTGGACTGGTTTAGTCTTCCGATGATAGTAAAGAACGGCGTTGCCAGCCCCCATCATGCTGGGCCGGAAAGCCATTTATATGTATCATCAAAGACGCTATCCGGAGTCCCGTGTCCTACTACTTCTTTTTCTTTTGAATGGATTTGATACTGTCGTTGTCTATTCGCATAGTACTGATCCTCAAACTTCTTTTGTTCTAGAACAGCTCTCCTCTGATGTTCCAGTGTTCTCAGACTAGAGAGTCTGGGCCAATCAGAACCAAGGCTGCTCGCGCCACACTTGGCCATTGTGTTTGTCTCGTCTGGCCAAGCTCTATTACAGAGTACGCCCAAAAAGGGGACCGAGCCCAATACTCTGCAGTATGAACCAATCAGGATGCGCTCTCTATGGCTTCCCTGGAGGGCTGGAACAGAACCCGCGTCTCCGCGCTTGCTGTGCCGTCTTCAAGCTGATGTCTGCATATTACATCCTACAACCATCGCTTGTATCTTTGTTTTCGCGATTTGAAAACCGGCACGCGAGGCGCCTTGCCCCCTGGGATACTAATGCCCTCACGGACGGAGTGTCATCGCAAAAGCTCAACGTGCTCTGCTAAGAACGCTCAGCATGGAGTATCTTCCTACCCCTGCCGGATCCTCAACAGGGTCCAGATCTATTGCCCCTACCGGTCGACAAAGCCCATGGACGGGCTCATATACTCGCAAATTAGTTAGACTCTACGTCTATACCAATCTTCCTATCAAAACTATAGTTGACGTCATACAATGGCGGGCAAGTCGCGGCTATGAGGGTCTTGGGTGAGTTCGTGGTGCCTTGCCGCCGGAGAGTCAATTTAACAGATCCAATACTACATAGGAGTGACTCGGCGAGTAAAAAGTTGAACCAAATGCTCGACAAGGAGCCTCGGTGGTTGCGCCCTAGGACGCGTGAAGACATGTTTCAGAGGATGGACAGTCTTCGGTTCGGACCCAGGTCTCGCCTGAAAACCCCTGGACACCGACAACGTGGGTCTCGAAAGAAGAGATCTCAGCCTTCGTCTCTGAATAAATCGCTGCCAGCACCCGACGCAGTGGAAAAGTGTGAGATTGGCCGCGAAATACGTGCCGGCGGAACATTAGGCGATGAAGATCAGGATGAGGACGAGAATGATACGACTGCCGAATACCGCCGATTTTTGTCCGCGTACGACGATGGTTTTGCCGGGGATGTGCAGGATCTCATTGAATGCTATTCAATAGGCTCATATTCCACCATGTCCACTGGCGACCCAGAGTTCGAACCCGAATTATTCACTCCCGGAAGATCGCATGAGCCCCGAGTGTTACCTGGCAGTCTCTTAAGAGCGGATGAGCACCAGAGAATATACGGTACTTGTATTGAGGGCGGTGATGCGCACGATAATAAGTACTGCATCTGCGCCTATGCTAATGACTCTGAGCTGTACTGGACAAATGTTACAGGTCTCTCTGAGAGAGGAAGAAGGGCCTTGGAAGGCAAGGAACTACCCACAGACGTCCAATTCTGTGACGTTTTTGGGAATACAATCCTCCACTTTCTGGCCTTAAGAGGGACTCCCCAGCAACTTGTCTTGGCCCTAAAAGCTGGGTCCGACCCGAGGAGGCTGAACGCAGCACACCAGAGCTTTTTACACCTTCTCGGACCGGCTTGGTTCGCGGATGATGGCTGTAACATTCGTCGTCTCCTAAGGTACCTCGACAGTGTGGGGTTTGACCCGTGTTTCGCTCGGGACGTTTACGGGCGCACTTGCTTCCACTCGTTTCTAGACAGCATGAAAGAGTGTACTTTGATGGAAATATGCACCAAGTTTGGGGATCCCAACAAGCTTTGCCTTCGAGATGCTTTTGGAGGACTCCCGTGGGCGTCCAAACCCGCTCCAAGACCACTTCCCGACGTCGGAAAACAGGCAGCTGATGTCCTTACGGAAAACGAACAGATGCTTAAATTCATTTCAAGTTGTATGAGTGAACCGGCCAAGCAAGACTCCAAGGGCCGAAACGGCCTTCACTGCGCGGCTTCAGCGATTCTCTCTGATACCGCACTGCTCGAGATAATTGAGATGGACAAAGCCGACTTGAGGCAGCGTCAACGAGACGGTGGGAAGCGGAAGGAAGGAGGGGATTCGTCCAGCGAAAGGCTTACATTCCGCCAAACCATCGTAGATAATCTGCTCGTCAGTAAGGTCGATGTTAATGCGTACGACCTCGAAGGGGATACTGTCTTGATGGCATTTGTGGCCAATCTTCCGGAGGATGATGACTACAAAGGTCCGGTGTCAATTCTACAGCTTCTTATTGATCGGGGTGCAGACCTCTCTGCTCGGAACCGACGTGGCCAGACAGCGCTCCACATTGCTGCACAACACGGCCGCAAACTGGCGTTGCGAACTCTCGTTCGAAAGGGGGCGAACCCGAATGCGAGGGATCACCGGGGGAAGACGGTCCTCGAGGTCCTAGCAGATGGGCTAGAAGGCAGCACAAACGATAAGCAAATTGCCCACTACGAGGCTTGTTATGCTTGGTTGTCCGGCCAGTGCTTCCTCAACGTCGAGGATTTCTCTGCAAAGCCGACCGCCTTGAAGGAATGGGGAGTGTATCAACCGCCTACATCGACGCCGAATCCTTCACTTGAAGAGCCGATTCCACTGGGTTCGGCCGCGCACGGGAAACTGGATGAATTGCTTCGAAATGTGTATTCGGTTCCTTCTGGTACAGACGTCATCGCAATACCGCCGTCATACCTTGATATCACTCGCAATACAGCAATCACAATAGGCCAGGTTGTGTCAGGACCGCCGCCCGATGAGTTGAGGGTCCACGGGAGCCACGCAACCAAAGAAAGTACTGATCGACCACGGTCTCCTCCGCTACATGCAAAAATACCTGATATCGACTCGGATTCCGTCTGTGACTGGAGCCCTATATCATGGAGCAGCGTCGATCGAGATTGGAGCGAGAAGACAGATGAAATTTGTAATACCGTTCTATCCGCGGCTTTTGGGACAAACTTGGACGAGCTTGGCGCACCGACTGAGGCATGGAAGACTGTTCGCTATTGCTTAGCAGAGCTCTCGAATATCGTCGAACAGGATGATCACAAAATATTAGAGTCCTGCGGATCGCGCCAAGCATGTACCTCATCAACCGGGTCGGCGGCAAGAGATAGGAGTTATGGCGGCAACTCAAGCATAAACCCGTCAGGACGTGAGGGGCCTGGGAAGAGGAAACGTGACGGAACCCAAGGGCCAGACGGAGGAGAGGGTGGCGGTGACGAGGACACCCCGGGCGAGGGCAGCTCGGGCGCCGGAGGTTTACTTCCGGAACCGTCAAAACAAAGGTGTAGGCAGGAGTTCAGCTGCCCATTTCGAAAGCGCAACCCCCTTCGATTCAACGTTCGCTCCAACCTTAACTGCGCAACGCAATCTTTCCCTTCAATAACATTGCTAAAGTAAGTCGTCACCGCAGCCGACCATAGGATCTTGTTAGTTTCTAACCAAGATGGGCAAAGACGACACATCATCACTTATCACAAGAGAAAACACTTGCGGTCGTCAGTCGTATGCAGTCGGTGCCGCGAGTTGTTTGCTAGCGACAAAGACTTGGAAGCTCACCAAAGAGTCCCCCAAAGTCAGATATGTCCACTCAGAGATGCGGAGCCGGCGCAGAGATCGGATAATCCCGAAGAAGGAATCACACCCGAAGTCGAGGGTCGTCTTCGGGACCGAACAGCAAAGGGGCAGATTCTTGACTGGCGAGCACTTTGGGGGGCTCTGTTTCCCCTAGATCATAACATTCTACCAGAAGGTCTTTTTCCTTTTTCTCTTTTCTCTTTAAAGCCTATTCATGCCGTATTTCGAGGCTAATATTCTCATATTTTAATTATTCATACAGATTTCGTTCCTGTGGTCGAACTCGACGAGGTCAAACATGCTTTTGACAACGAATTCGAAAACATTCGGCTATCGGTCCAGACCACGTTTCAGTCGGCTTCCCGAGACCCTAGCAGCACTCCCGCACAGGCGGATGTCTTAGGCAAGCTTGCGTGTACCCTCTTCGAACAATTTATGAATGACACTATCCAGGAGTGTAGAATTAGCCCAGGCTCTCTGTCCAGGCAGAAAACACGACAGCTGCAAGCCCCCAAGCCACGGGGACCGCGCTCATCAATGGCCTCCCCGACCTCTACCCCCCAAACCTCCCGACAATTAGCGCCGAGCTGGAGATCTCCGTATGGCGTAACTTCGTCGGAAAATAGCCAACCGGTGTCAGGAATATACACCAGCGACTGGAACGCCGTATCATACACACCGTCTGTCGTTTCGTCACAGGAAAGAAGATATTGGGGGCCGGAGACGCCACTAGTATCGTCCCACGCGCAGAGTGACGTGCAAAATTCTGAGGCTAGGGAGAATGAAGCACCTTCGTCACACTCGGCCGAAGGCGTGACTGATTCCTTCCTTGTTTGCCCAAGCTGTTTTAAGTCACCGCCATGTCCATGTCCATGTCCTGGAAGTTGGACAGAGATTCCAAGTTTTGATTTGCCAGTTGACCAGGCGGGTGGTGCTACCGCGATGGGGAGCGTGCAGTGGGATCTCGACCTCATCTGGCGTGAGTATGAGTTGGAAGAAGGAGATGCCGCCCCTCAAAATCCTTAGCTACTGCACCATACCCACACTCGACTCTGGCGCCACTCCCTCGCTTCGTCTGCAGGAATAGCGACACTAAGTCGGGAGGTAGCTCGACAGTACCGTCCTTGAGTCCCTACAGACGAAGTCCGAGTCTCGACTGTTGAAGAAAGGACAGCGACTAGGTACCAGCCCTGTCATTGCCAGTTAGCAACGTCCAATCCGGCTAGGATCAGGCTCGGTATATAAGTTAGTTCTCGCGTGATCCAAAGTACATACGACCATAGCTCGCAGAATATTGAGGGTCCCGTCCGCTCCCCTGTACACAAGCTGCGAAGCGCCGGACTAGTAGTTGGGTCGGTGACGACCAGCGAATCCCCTGTGTTGTATGTTTTTTTTTATTCTTTTTTTTTGCCGATTTTCTTCCCTTTCCTTATTCTGGCCAATCCAAGAGCGCACTAAGACACTTTCTTCGTAGGTGCCGGAAACCAATGCCGAATGGAACTCCGCAACTAACTCTAATCCGAATCGAGTAAGCCTATTCCTGTCACTCTTCTCCAGGATATGGTCGGACTCGGAGGCAAAACTATCAGAACTCGGAACTCGGAACTCGGGTGGCTCGGAACAAAACTCACCTCCCCTGCTCCCGTGCTCCAAAATGGTGGATGCTCTCCCGTAAACGAAGGATCCGACTTCCCTGCGCAGTCACTTCCGAGTCAATATTAAGTTGACAATCCATTCCGAGGGTCTGTCCACTTGGTTCCACTCGAAGAAGCCCCCTGCTTGATTGGCAAGTTCCGGAATGCCACCCGAAATGCGTAACGCCAAGTCACCCAGAGGACCTCGTCCAAAGAGGCAAAAGATTGATGTTGCGTGTAATTCTTGCCGGGCACGCAAGGTCAAGTGTGACGGGATACGTCCAGGTACGTGGGCTATTATCCCAACTCTTGCTCAACCCAAGATCAACGGCATGGTGTGATTGTCATCGAGGATCGTACTTCACAGGACCAGAGTCGTCAGATACATTGGTCTAATATCTTCGTAGCGTGCGGAAACTGTCGAAAGAGATCCGATCTCAGATGCCACTACACCGGTATCGCCGCTCAGAGAGCCCTCACTCCATCCGCGACCCCTCCTCGACCGCCGTCAAGGGAGCAACATGACTCACCCATGCCGCGACCGGCGCCTTCTCCGGCCGTGGCCACCCCGAGTTCTATTCATCCAAGGCCCGATGCTCAGCACCGCTCCCATCCATCTCCATGTTCAGGAGCCTCGGAAAGTCGAGTGAACTCGTCAGTGATCGACTCGATGACCATCGTGCTTGAGGATGGTGAGAGCACACACCAGTACTTTGGGAGTAGCAGTGCCGGCTCCTTTACTCGACAGATAAAAGCGGCTATTGACGCCCGGCTGGGTTTATCTCAGGAGCCAGGGTCACGAAGTGTAGTTGTGTCTCCCATGGTAGTCAACTACGATCGCCCAGACACAAAAGGTACGACTCATGACGACCTCGATTATGTCCTTCCTCCCCGGAGACAGGCGGATCATCTCACGGGAGTATACTGGTGCTATGTAGATCCGCTCTACCCATTCTTGGATAAGAAGAAATGGGATAGCGCATATGAAGGACTTTTCGCAGGAGGGCCAATCGACACTGAGGAGCGCATCTTCGTCAGTACGTTGAACGTCATATTTGCTCTAGCGACGCAGCTCGTCGAGTCCCTCCATCCCGAACAGCGGGATGAGTCTAGCAATATGTACTTTCGAAGGGCCCAAGAGCTTCTGCGTCTTAACTTATGGGATGCCGGATCTTTTGAGGTCGTGCAATGTTTGTTGCTCATGAGCCAGTACCTCCAGAGCACGAACAATCCACATCAAACTTGGATGGCGGTCGGCTCGGCGATCAGGACAGCCCAAAGCTTGGGTTTGCACCTTCCCGACACTACGGCTGACATGGCGGATTTGGAGCAGAGGGAGCTGCTGAGGAGGATATGGCATGGCTGTGTTTTGATGGATAGGTACACCCCCCTCGCTCTGGCCGACGCTGCAGGGAAAATAGTATCGCTAACAGGTTGAATAGGATGGTCTCCGTAACTCATGGCCGGCCGGCGATGATATCTGATGAACTTGCCTCTGACGTTCCATTACCTGTCTGGTCAAACGACGTGACGACACAAGATCTCGATGGGCCCATCTCCCGCGACTTTTCCAAAATTGCCTTCTTCACCAAATCCGTCGAGCTGTACGAAATCAACAACTCGATTACTCTTGCGTTCTATTCTAGCCACCACCCGAGATCAGGCTGCAGAAAACGGTCGAACCCGGAAACCAGTCATTATAAATCATGTTCGATTCCATCTCAGGGTCTAGCCGAGGAAGATCTAGGGGCTGTCATGAAGCTCGATGCGTCGCTCACGCATTGGGAACACAGCCTGCCCGATCATATCAGGATCAAGTCTTCAGTCCATGCAGAGAACAAAACGTTTCAGCGTCAGGCCGTGATTTTAAGAATTCGGTAACTCCTCCCTCACGCAGAGGTTTTGTCCAGATGAATGAATGCCTAATCAAAGCTCTAGGTTTCTCCAGGCTCGCATCTTACTCCTAAGACCAATCCTCTCGCGCTTTTGCCTCCAACCACCCGCCCCCCCGAGCACCGCTCGCACCTGCGACAACCTTCACAATCGAGTCGTTCGAGAATGCGCCTCGTTCTGCGCCGCCACCGCCCAGCGTCTCATCACCCTCATGGCCCAATACCAATCCAATGACGGCACTGTCGGCCTTCTCCCTGCATGGTGGTATCGAGTCTATTACATCTACTCCGCAGCCACGATCCTCATCGCCACCAAGCTACGTCCAGACCTGTTTCCTCCGTCGGATATCAAACGGTCCTGGGATGAAGCGATAGCGTTTTTGCGCACGCATGAGAAGTTTGGACAGTCGGCGAAGAGATGTATAGCTGCCCTGACGATCCTGTCTTCAAAGATAATGCATGAGACGGGTGCCAATTCTATACAGGGCAGCGAAATGGTTCATGAACAGGAGGGCATCCATCCGGTGGATACGGCTGAGAAGTCGGTTCGACAGCATATTTACGAGGAATATGAGCAGTATTCCGATATGAATCTCGAGGGACTTTCATTTGATGCTGCGGATTTGTCGTTTTTGAACGTACATGCTTGGGAGTTGTTGAACCAGCCCTGAAGAATCAAAATGGATCAGCAGCAGCGTCCGGAAGATCAGGAAGGCTTCTCAGGTAGACTAAAGACACAAATTCCAGGGTTAAATTTGGTCAGATCCTTGACCAACTTTGGTTCCCACAGGCCTGTATCCATGTATCGCGTCTCCCTTACATCGGGTATGCCTCCAAGTGCCTCCCAAGGAAAGACCCAGAACCCAGCCGCCTGCGGGAGAGAAGTGCGTTGAGCTTCGTACTCCTCTCGGCTCATCCTCTCTCCCCAAACCCGTTGTCCCATCATAGCTGTAAACTCTGCCCACCGTCCATCCGACTTCTGTAGAAACTGGACGAAGCCCTCACGGCTATCTATCTCTATTTGTTTGTAACGTTGTACTATGCCAAGTATATAAGAAATGTTGAGATGGCGCTCCACTCCAAAGTTGGCCATGAATCGGTTCCAATGCCAAACGGTCCGTCGGGGATCTGTCCCGACGGCGACGTGTGCCAAGTCCGCCGCAATCGGCCGCGGGTCATGCTTGAGGAAGGTATAGGATTCCGTCTGGGGGATAATGGGCACGGAACGGTTATGATGGACCTGACCATGTGGCCAACTCATAACACCCAGCATGGTGCGTGCTTCTATATGTGGAGAAATAACAGCATATAAGCTCTGTAGACTGGCCGATAGGAGTTTGGTAATGGATTGCCTCGCTGGTAGGCATAGATCCGCCGGGTGGAGCTCTGCCAGTCTCGATTGGTCGTTGAGGGTCGTGCCTCCAATAGCGAGATGGGCAACACCCACACCCCTCGGGTCATAGGCTACGAGGTCATGTAGGAACGCGATAAGTGAAACTCCGTCTCCGTTATTCTGGTCGGAGACAACCCATAGTAGGTCGCTCTCGGGATTAATGTAGAGGGTTTTAATGCTGCCATCTCCTCCCTTTACGGGAAGAGGAATTCGTACCCGAAAGACACTACTGAAGATGCCACTAGCCTCGCGATTAACCCAGAGTAGAGTATTTGGCGACCATTCATTGGAATTTGCAGCCCTCATTCGATACGGACACCCGCTAACAATGTTTCCGAGTTCGTTTTTGGTGACATAAAGACCAGAGGATGATGCCAGCCTGGGGTTGTCGAGGTAGATCCTGATAAAACGCGTTGATTGTATGGATTCCGTCCAGATCTGATGCCTAATCTCGGCAGGGAGACGGGGAAAGAGTGAAAAGACATGGTTTTCCCTTGTTGTCTGGGATGTAAACGAATCATTAAAGATGGTATACGGAGGCGGTTCCGACGCCATTATCAAGGCCCGCTAGCATAGACTTGGCCGGAGGCTCCAAACACTCCGCAGTAACGACAATTCGACCGCTTTCAGGATGGGTTAGCCGACAGCTGACATTTGCTTCGATGACTCCATCGTTACAACCATAGCAACCCAGCATTAGAGAGAGATCTCGAGACATCTTGACTGTCTTGCGGGGTTGGTCACATGACCATAAGAGAAAGCATAAGACGACATGCGCGGCTCTTCTGGCTCTCTTGCTCCAAATTGGCTGATCGGAAGGCTTCGCGGTGATTTTGGGACGTTTCAGGTCCTTTGTCAGGGCCGGTCTAATTCATTCACCGATATGATTTCGGCTCGGGCCTTGAATGCCGATCTGAAAATTGCAGCGTGATACACATTTTCGGTAATAATGAAAACATGCGACAGTATGTATTAATTAGCTTTGGAGGAGGGCGATGCAAATGGCTTACGATACGATACTTATCCTCTCTCAAGTTTCGTACATTGCCTATCCCAGGCTCACCGACGCGTCTTTTGGCGATCTCTCCGTTCTAGACCATTGAATCGGTCAATCATTTGAACGTAATTTTGGCTCTCCTGTGAGGCTGTGGCAGCACTCAGAATATTCGACAATTTGACCGCAGCCAGTTCGCTCTCGCAGGTCTCGCCCATCTCAAGAGTCTGAAGAGTGAGATCTGCAACTAGGTAACTCTGTTACTAACTGTTTACGAAGAAACACAAACTATGAGCCCAGAGGACGCTTGTTAGTTGATTCCTTCCGAGCCTCATACTTCCCTCAAATTATACGTCGACAATCTTACATGGAATGAACGCCATGGCGCACACCTTGCTCGGATGTAGTTGAAGAGCACAACGAAACATCGGTAAAGACGGCATGTAATAGACGATGCTATGATTCGTTTTGATGTAAAAGATGACAAAACTCTTTTCAAGAAGATCATCTCCCTTTCCCTCCTCGCCTTCCAGGCTGCCTTGGGAGTTGCAGGTCCCACTCCACTGTAATTCCACACCCTATAGTGATTCTGGCCAACTTTCGACACAAACTAATTAGCCAACAGTGGCGAGAGGCTGGCGAATGCGATTGAAAATCATGAAGCTGCCAACATCGAGGATCCCACGACACAACTCCTACCACGGGCGAACCACCAGACCGAGTGGGTGTAATTACGGGCACCGCCGACTACTCACTTTCAACATACGGCCTGGCGACCTGCGTGGGGCTCGCTGCCTCGGGCGCCGCTGGACATGGTGGCGTTGACAAGGGTACGCAAAATACCAAGCCACTTCGGCATGCGCGACGCTTCTTTATGGCATTTTGCGAGCCACTGACAACCCCTTACTGCAGTCTTGGCCCATTACCGATGGGTTCCACCCACGGGCGAAACTTTCCACCAGCAAGTTGATCAGTGGGTGAATGCAATCACACACTCCGGAATGGCTGTTCGAAAGGTAGTCGTCTCTATCGTTGATCCCAACCTTGTGGATGCTAGGGCGCGGCAAGCACAAGTAGGCCTAAACAACTACGCTCGGCAGGCCGCCGGACATGTTACTGCCCCCAATCACATCGTCACGATCCATCTTCGATCACTTTCCGAGCCGCCGCCTGGGGAAACACTGGAAGTTAAGCGGAATGGGGATATCTGGGCCGAGGGAACCAAAATTTATTAACTGTGTTGGTCGGGGGCATCAGATCTCTCCAAGTGTGTAACGTTTTACATGTAGTAACACAACTGTCTAAGGTTATTCGAGGACGACATCGGAGGAGAAGAAGACGATAGAGGACATAATGGAGAAAAGCAGGAGTGCATTAGGGCCATGTATTGAGATCCAATGGCCAGTGTTACGATCGTCACCCTGAAGGGGCTCGGTGCGTCTGCTAGGTGATCACCGTTATCAGCTAGAAGTAGTGTCATTCTGATCAAAAAGGGCGGCCTGAAATATCGAAGAATTCCTCCATTATCAACTCATTCCGGCGTAATATTTTAGGTTCACATGAAGGCACTACGGTTCAGTACCTCTGTTCCGAGGCCATTCCGACCAGTAAGTGCGGAACTCGGATGGGTAGGAGACGTCGGCTCCAGCCATCCCCGGTGAACCAACCAATCGCCACACAGTAAACCTTGTCGGATCTCGGACCCTTCTATACACATCCTACCATTCCAAGACAAGCATCACCCGACCATCTCTCTCCAATAACGCTGAGCGCTATTCTGCATTTTCCGGGGATATACGGATTCCCCGCTTTCAGCAAGCTACACGCGATTACTCCTTAAAAACATGCAAGTACCCTCTCGTTCGTCCAAAACGGGATCGTCTCTCGACTTTGAGAAACTCCCCAATAACCTAGCTAAATAGAAACGGAGCAACCACCATGACTGAGAACACCGCAGCGAACAATATTGAAAGCCGCTCCGACGGCCACACTGCGGAGCCCGTAGCAAAGGGGGGAAAGCTCAACGAAAACGTGAATAACAGGTACACCATGGACGGCGACATCCTCGCGTGTCACCACCTCGAGCCGCTCTGGCTCAAAATGAATGCCATGGTGCCTCCTACCCCCAATCCCGTTGCGTCGCCTCACATATGGAGATACGAAGAGACACTGCCTCACTTGTTGGAGGCCGGTCGAACTGTTCCCCCAGAGGCGGCCGAGAGGAGGGTTCTCATGCTAGTCAACCCCAAGATGGGTAAGTTCGAAGAGAGAAAGAAGAAAACGGAAGCTTAATACGACATAGCGACTAACCCCTTTTCTAAGAGTCACCTTACACTACAGACACCATCTACGGTGGTCTCCAACTGGTAAATCCAGGCGAGACGGCCCCGGCCCACCGTCACATCGCCTTTGCTATCCGCTTCATCATAGAGGGCGAAGGATTCACTGCCGTAGAGGGAAAGAAGATTCCGCTCAAGAGGGGAGATGTAGTCGTCACTCCCACTTGGCATTGGCACGACCACGGCAACGAGAGCGATGCCCCCGTCATCTGGCTTGATGCCCTGAACCTTCCTCTATTCAGGTTCGCCCGGGTGCACATTGCCGAGGGTTACAGAGAGAGTAGATATCCCAGCACGTGAGTTTCCCCCCATTCCCCCCAGCTGCGAGTGTTTTTTTTTCTGGACAGTCGGCCAACGTTTCTCGCGCAGTCTTTGCACGCCGTGCGAGTGGAGTCATCCTTGGGAGGGCGTTGAGAAGTCCCTCAACTCTCAAGAGACCCCTCATGCTGTGTACCGCTACGCCACAAAAGACGGCCAACCGCTCTCTACAACCCTCAGCGTTCAAGCCGAGAAAATCGATTCGGGTCATTCAACCAGAGAAACTCAGGACGTCGCTTCCTTTCTAGTTCACTGCTATTCTGGCGAGGGTGAGACCATTATCGACCCTCCCAATGGTGAGAAGAGGGTCTTGGACTGGACCGCGAAAGACACTTTCGTCATCCCTGCGTACTCCAAGGTTGTGCATGTTAACAAGGGGAGCAGCCGGGCATACCTTGTGTTAGTGCATGATAGGCCTCTCCTTAACTCGCTTGGACTGTACAAGCCTGGGTCCATCTAAAGCAAGGATGTTGCAAGTTTGGAAAGTACCCTCACTGAGACGGTCATACATTACCAATTTCTTCTGTCCTTTTCTCCGCCTATGCAACGCATGCGTCTACTTTTCGTGATGCATGCAGGGATTTTTTACATGAGTCAATACGAAGTACGAGCATTACGAGTATCAGTGAATCCAAAGTCCCGCGAGTTCAACTAAAATAGGCAGATCCTCCCAAGACTTAAGAAGCTCGGAAGTACTTTTGGTTAGAGCCGTTTTAATCAAGTTGGGGCCTCAAAAGTGTGTGTACCGGACTCTTATGACTCGTCTAGCTCCTCGGACACGTCATTTGGTTTTCTCAGTTCCCTAACTACCTCAGAATATCTCGTGGGACGAGTAGCGGTCCGAGTCGGAGGCTCGGCGTGTGGGGTCGATGTGGTGATGCCGATGCGGGGAAGGTGTGTGTGACCTTTGGTCGTGGCTGCGACTCGTGGGTGATTTTGAGGATCGAGCTGTCTTGATGACTAGGCCGAAATTGGATGGATGAAAGAAAAAAAAAACAAGGTGTATTGATTCCCTGACTCGATCCCACTCTTTTCAAGCTGACATTTCGCAGTCGTCACACATGAATGACCGCCAAGCGTCACAGAACACACTACGACGATTAAACTTGTCCAGTTTTGGTTTTGCTTGGCCACTGGCTGGTAGGGGGATCTAGGTCGGCGTACCTCTCTGTGGGCATTTAATGGCTGGTTTCCATTGGGCTCCTGCAGGACCAAAGAGCTCAAAATGCCACCCAATATCCTGCAGGTCTGGCAGAATCTTCGTAGGATTGATAAAAGCGTCGTACTGGAATAAATGGTTATCTGTGTGACTTCTCCTCATCTCGTCATCGCGGAGCTAAAAACTCGTCGAACAGGGGGTAGAGAATAACGGCGTCCATCATTCGTCAGGCTCAAGACAAGCCAATCCTTAATCGTCGGACGGGAGGGGTTCTTTCGCCCTTACCCTAATCGAGCTTCGCTTCCGTCCTCAAAATGTTGGGTAGCTCCTCACCCAGACATCGAGACATCGTGTCCCTATCGAAGGCCACCGTACTCTCCCTCACAAACGATTAAGCAAAGCGAACACTCGCCGTCACGATGGCATCGCAAGAGACGAGGCCGCATGTCGTCGTCATCACCGGCGCAGCCGGCGGCATAGGGAGAGAGACTGTACGAGCCTTCATCAGGGACGGAAGCAAAGAGTTTATTCTGTGCGACTGGAAACAAGAATCACTGGACGAATTCATATTGTCCTTGAAGGAGACAGGCCCGGGATTGTCATTTACAGCAGTGGCCGGCGACATTTCCGCCCAAGATACTGTTCCCCGAATACAGGCAGCGCTAGGAGGACGAAAGATTGGCGCCCTCGCCCACACAGCCGGCGTTTCGCCCTTCGTCGAAACGAAGGCCGACCGTATATGGGACATCAATTTCAACGCAACCAGACGTCTCGCCGACGGCCTCCTCCCAGATATGGCCCCGGGCAGCGCAACCGTCTTAGTTGCGTCGAACGCTGGCAATATGAAGACCGACATGGACCAGCTGCTAAAGGCCTACATGGATGGGGCCGATCCAAAGCAATTATTCGAATCGATTCAGAGTCCCGTGGATGCGTACAGCTTGTCGAAACGCGGCGTGCAGCTTTACGCGCTGAAGATGGCGGCCAAGTTCGGAAGGGCCGGGAACTGCAGGATCGTTTCGTTGTCACCGGGTATCACGGATACGCCTCTGATCAGAGTCAACGAGGAGATACCATCACACCCCGTTATGGATCACATGCTGGAGGTTTCGGCCCTACGGAGGTTGGGTCGACCGGAGGAGATTGCGAGTGTGATATCGTTCCTAGCTAGCCCGGCAGCGAGCTTTGTGACAGGCACAGATATCCTTGTCGATGGCGGCACTACTGCTGGCTTCGAAACTTCTTAGCGTCCATAGTCCTTGGGCATCGGGCAGCTGAGTTGATATCAGTGAAGGGGTGTCATCGGACACCTCATGAGTCTAGGACTTTTCTTCTCTTTTTTCACATCGGCCAGGAATAATATATTTACGGTTTATTTACGTATGTACCTGCATCATCCAAATTCGTAAGAAATTCGCCGTAGGGCGCAAAGCGAAACTCCCTCCGCGCCCTCAACACACAGAACCAAAATTGCCAAAAACTAGAAAAATATGCCTGGGTGCTGCATACTCCTTCCAAGTAAGCCTAGAAAGTTATAAGAATGTTAAGGCTGTTAATCCTTCCTACTTAATGATAAATGCACAACTGGAATGGAATATTATTCCTAAAGCTTTAAGAGATGCTAATTATGGCGGTATTAGACTGGACATACGTCACTGACATGAGTGGCAGCTACTTTGACAATTAAATATCCCGGACTCTGAAAAGCCTATCGGCAACCGGGTGGCCTCGATTGGGTCGAAGTTCGCCCCATAATCCCGCAGCCCCCTTCTCCCTTCCTCCAAAGACTGCAAAGGCGATTCTCCAACCGGCTGGCGTATCCCCATCATCATTCTCGTTCATTGGATTTGAGAAAGCCTCCGGCAGATCTTTAATAGCTTAACGACCAAACATATCCACGTTTCGGCTATTAATCAGATCGATCCCCGCCTGCCTATACGTATCCTCTTCCACGAAAGAGGTGGCATTGCCTTCGTACACATAAACACGAGGCGCGATCTCTCCGCAGCATCCCTTGCCCACCTTGTACGCAGGCCACCTCGGCACCTTGAGGCCAACAGTCTTGGCCACGCTCCTACGACCCTTCCAAGAATTGGGATCTCCGCTATGAACGAAAGCAATCCAGTCTCCGTTCATGAGCCTAGCAAGATCCTTGTAGGACTCGCTTAGCCCATCGAAGACGAGCTGCGGTGGGTTGTAGTCGTTGTAGCCGTAGCCGTCGAGATTCAGAAAGACGAAAGCCACTTCCATGAAATGCGTAGCACCCATCCAAGGGCGCTCCTCGCCCATATTGGCTGGAACAGCATTGAAACGGTAGCAGTACGCCTTCAGACCTCTCGACGCCCACGCCTCACAGGTCATGCGGCGGTGGGCGACGAACGTAGCGTCTCCAAAATACGTGATTACACGACGCCAGGCATCTCCGTATTTAGCGGGGAAGACTGTGTCGAGAGGTAGGTGGTCGAGAACTTGGTCGGGAGCATCTTGAGAGTAAATTTCCACGACCTGATTGGCAAAATCCTGGGGGTATCCCTTTTTCTGAACGAGGAACGACCTGAAATCCTCGGTGGTGTTGAGGCCCTTGGTCCCAAAAGAGGTTCCTTCCTCTGAGTTCGCGCCCACAATGATGGGGACCTTGACGAAGCTCCCGTCGGCGATTTGCTCCGAGGTGTGGCGGGCAAATATATCGCCGTCCATCTGGGGCACCCATTGCATGAGGCCGAGAGTGGTGTTGAGGAACAGGGCGTCCAGATCGTCGTATGGCAAGACGCGGAGACACTCGAGGGGCTCCTCGGCGGTGCCGCATCCCGCCGCCGCAGCGAGCTTGTCAAATCTCTTCTGATTGCCCTCGGTGTCGCTGTCGTTGGTATGATATATGGGATTACCGCTTTGCATCACAGCATACCTAAAAAGCCCGTCGTCCCGTCCGTTGTAGGCCGTGAGATGCAGGCCCACAGAGATAGCCCCGGCACTCTCGCCAAAGATGGTGACCTTATTCGGATCACCTCCGAAAGCGGCAATATTCTCCTGGATCCAATGGAGTGCCAGCCGCTGGTCCCTCAGGCCGAAGTTGGAGTGGCCCGTCTTAGAGACCTCCTTGGAGGTGAGAAAGCCGAAGGCATTGAGGCGATAGTTGATGCTGATGCCGATGATTGGCTGTCCCATGGCCACCGAGTGTTCAACCATGAAGGACATGTTGAAGCGTGGGTTGCCGGTAGACCCTTGGGTGAATCCTCCACCGTGGATCCATACGGCCACAGGGAGAGGGGCTTTCTCATCTAGGCCGGCGGGACGCCATATATTGAGGTAGAGGCAGTCTTCGGAGTAGTTGGCGACGAAGCCCTGCGGATAGGCCGAGCATTCTGCGGAGTAGTCTAGGGCCGAGCGCTCCCCGTCCCAGGTCGAATTCAAGGGTACGGGATTTCGGAAACGAAGGCTTCCAACTGGGGGCTGGGCAAAGGCGACGCCGAGGAAGAAGTCTTGGTCGTACTCGGGAGAATAGCGACCAACATATGTGCCGTTCTGAACAGTGACTTTAGGGGTTGCTTTCTGGGCCGAGGCACTCGCGAGGGGGGAGGCCAAGGCGACTGCGAGTAGCAGCCGCGTCAGGGATGACAACATCGTATAAGACAGACGAAAATTGATGGCTTGATTGAACGAAGCGAAGGAAAGCTAGAGAGGAAGGGGAGCTTGCCCATCTCTGTCTCTGGCAAACGGGAAGGAGTTCCCCCTAGCCGAAGGGTTTAATATATATTGCATCCGCGATCATCCCAACTGCGTGGAATCTTGGATTGACTTGCCGTGCGGGGGATCCTCTAGAACTGGGGATGTGGTATCACTAGTTTGCTTGGGTTAGTGCTTCCAGACTACCACGACGCAATTTCCGTCACGGTCATGATGTCGACGTTGATTCTTCACGCTTCGAGGTGTCATGGGGATAAACGGAACAAAGGCCCATCCACATCTGGGAATCTGGGAGGACGCGTTCTGCAAGTAGTGCATGGTGTCATTTGTTTCCCCATGGGGGAGCTGCACTATGGCAATACCCACAAGACCAACCGGGGCCTTTCCCGAATGTAACATTGGGGCCAATTTCATGGCGACAGGCACGAGGTGCAGAGGAAGGTAGTTGAGGAAATCGCCAAAGCGCCAAGTATTGAGCCACCAACAGCGGTGGGTGACCACTGACCACTGATGAGGCCGGTCTTGTGGGTCTGACCGAGACCCGCATTACACGGACTTTGACGGCCGTCCATCCGTCCCGGGGATTGGCCGAGTTAGCTGAGTTCACTGTCACATTGGTCAATTGTCTGAGCGCGTGTCAAAGAAGCTCTGCCGAGCTCACAGCGGGCGGACAAGTGGAGACCAGAGTGCGGGGAAGCTGCTTCTTCCCCAGAGCTCATAAATGAGAAATGACGGGGTCTCATGCGGTGGGCAAGACAAGGACATGGACTTGGAGACCGCAGGGGACCAAAACAAAGCTTCAGTGCGTAGCCGAGGGAATGTAGGAATGTTGCTTGAGCATCCCACGCGGTGCGAGAGGACCAATCCGTCACTCTCTCCAGGTTAGGCAAGGCGCCAGATGAAGATGAATCACACGGAATATCCTTGCAAGCTTAGGTGGGTGTATCTTTGCCTCGGCTTACTATTGAGCTGAGAGCAGTATCGTCGGATGGTAAAAGTGTGGTGTGGTGCAATTGATAATTCATCGATGATTTATATCAGACTAATAGTGACGACGCAGGCGAATACATGGTATTATTCCACTACTAATTAGGGCCCGAGACTTGTGGGTTCCTCCTCGACAGAGTTCAAGCCACCCTCCAGTCAGCCTTCACGCCTCATGCCTGCTCTTCATGAGTAACATGTAGCCCTTTCTCCTCAGCTTCATATCTCTCAATGTGCCTGTTGCTCCTCGTCTTCTTGAAATCCTTGATAGCCACGCCCTCGAGGAACAACTCGTCAATCTCCTCCAAAGTCTTGCCACTGCACTCGGGGATACAGAACCAAGAGAAAATCACAGCGAGGAAGGCAGTGGAGCCGAAGATGAAACCGACCTTAGACCCCAGGTTGGCATAAGGGGCGTTAAGGAGATACGGGATGCTGAACGAGATAGCAAACTGGATGACGATGTTGAAGACGGATCCGAGGGCATAGGTGAGATCTCGAAGGCGGGTCGTGGGGATCTCGGCGGCGACAACATGTGAGAGAGGAGCCCAGCCGAGCTGGAAGCCCACGCCGAACACGGTGACCATGGAGGTGATAGCCTTCTTGATGTGCATGTTGGGATCCGAGACGGTGCCGAGACCTCCCATTGTGAACAGGGCGCCGCACTGAATGACGGCACCGCTAACCATGAGAGGCCTATGGGGTCGAGTTAGTGATCGGTATACCTCAACGGATCCGCAAGTATCTTGAAGATTGAGTGTGCATGGGATGGGGTGGCAAAGGGAAGATCAGGACGATGTGTGTTGCTAGTTTATACTTACACTCGACCAGTCCGATCAGTAAGACCTTGGGTGATAAAGACCATGACGATATTGATTGCAGTGTTAATAGACGTCATCGCGAATGGGTTGATTGTGTTCAAGCTCTTGATGAAGACGGTGCCGTAAACGGAACTGAAGTTCTGGCCGGTAAGCTGAAGGAATACATTGACACCAATGACGATTAAAGTACGTCGAAGGTTGGCTGTGATATTCCGTCGTTAGCACACAAATTTGTTCGGCAGTTTCTTCCACTATTAATATGTAAAAAAACGTACTGCCCTGGAACTGCTCCATGAAGCGGCCCCTGTCGACAGTGACGTCGATCGTGCTTTTAATCTCCTTAAGCTCATCTTCAATCTCCTCCTGCGAAAATGCTCCCTGCCTAAGAAGGGTGAGAGACTTCATCGCATCATCAGGTCGTTCGTTCATGAGGAGCCATCGGGGCGACTCTGGGAGGAACCAGACTCCACAGCCGAGGATTGAAGGTATGATGAAAAAGAGTCCGAGGGGGATGCGGAAGGCCGCGTCGCTTTTGATGTTGGAGGTTCCTTGGCAGATAAGTGCCATAATTAGTTGACCAAACTATTATTGTCCCCTTGTTAGAGATTCCTCATTTCGGTTGCATTGTACGATAATCCTACGAAACCATTGCATACGAGAACAAACTTACAAGGAGCCCGGATTGATAGGTTCCGACGACAAAACCTCGAACTCGCGCAGGCACCAGTTCTGATTGCAGCACAGGTACAAGCGCCAGCTCCATGCCGATATAAATGTAGGCAATGATCCGACCAACCAACATCTGGGCCTTGTGTTGCGAGGTGACGAGAATGATAGCAGCAATGAGGGCCCAGCCGCACATGATTAGCATGCACCTCCGACGGCCCCATTTTCGACTGATGAGGTTACCGGAGACGAGACCGACGGCGAATCCAATGTAGTTGAGACTGTTAAGGAGCGACAGGAAATACGGCTCGATGATATACTTTCCCTTCGCGCTATCCCAGACGCCGAATTTCCGCTCAAAGGCCGTCATGGCTTGAGTCCCGGAGAAGGCGCCCTGGTCCATGCCGAAGTTGAGCTGGGAGAGGGCGATGAGAGTAACCGAGTAGATGAGGCGGCCATTGAAACATTTCATGAAGGGCCGTTGGGACCCAGAGGGGCCGCCTTGTTGGCTCATGGTAGCAAGTTTTGAGATCTCGATGAAGCAGACTGATGCTAATGGGAAGGGGGAGAATTGGAAGGAAACAAATGGCGAAGCGAAGCCGACTGATTGATGGTGGAGGGCTGTCGGTAGCACAATCAAGGAGGATGTCGAGAAAATTTTTAAAGTTTGGAAGAAGGCCCTTCTCTTTTATCAACACACGCTCCGATCCTCTCGAGATGTTCCTGTCGTCGAACCCCTCCAGATGAAAGTTACAGCCCACCCTGAGCTCTCGGCCGGGCATACCCGTATATGGGACTAACACCCGAATCTTTCATGCGGAGAACTCCACGTGAGATGCCTCGCAGGTGATGCGATTTCTTTCTTTTTTTCCTTTCGCTCGCTCTTTCCCCAGTCGTCTGCTGGCCAATGGTCTGGGGTTGACAGCCACAGACCCAGGATCTTGGTAATAGTGCTTACGAAGTAAGTGCTAATGCAAGTCGGGGAATGTGAATGGGGAGGTGTGGAGAATATCACACCAGAAAATGACAGAAAATGAGATCCGATGTATCAATTTTGGGGGTGATGGCGGTGGGGAATGAGGAAGCTGACCAGGGGTTGGCCGGGGATGAACGGCCGAAAGATCTCAAGCTAAGTTGCTGTGGCCCCAATGGGATTGGACCTGATTAAACGAAGCAAACACCGTTATGGAGAACTCCGTAGAGTAGAACTTTTCTGGGTAAAGCATCAAATGGAATCGCACTTTACTAGTCTAGTGAAGGGACGGAGACCGGTAGTTCAGCCCCGGCTTAGACAACGCCCACGCACCACGCACCACGCACCACGCACAAAGTCTCGCCACCCTCGACGGACCCGAACGTTGTAGTTTGATTGAATACATAAGATCGATGCACAACTACGAAGCAAAAGCACAGCAAAGGTCCACTTTTACCCTTTAGCCCACGCAGTCATCTCCACTAGTTATCTCACCACGCTGTTGAGCTCTTACCCTAGGGTGCAATGAGGTTATTTTCGTCCGTGGTTCCCCGTCCTTTTCTCCAAATCTTTGGCGACACCCCAATCAACCCCACATGCGTGCGCTTTTAGCATCTCCAAACTTTCAATCATCTATCCTGCCTCTCCGATGGCGCGCGGATGCCCCGGTGCTCTGTGTGGCTTCGTTTAAATAGGTGTTCCTCCCCAACTTCCCTGCAAGTCTGAGGTCGCCTGTGCTTTCATCTCCCCAACTGCCACTCTTTCTCCTCACCCATCCAATCAACATCAACTGCTCCGCACCTTTGCCTGCTTTCCCAATCAAGAACACACTCATTTCCCACAACGGAAGCAAGCATTCCCGTAATGCCAATGGCGTCCAAAAGGCCCAACTTCCTCATCATCGTCGCCGATGACCTGGGATACAGCGACATCGGGCCCTTTGGATCCGAGATCCCCACGCCGGCCCTCGACCGCCTAGCGAAAGAAGGTGCGAGGCTGACCAACTTCCACACCGCGTCGGCGTGTTCGCCCACGCGCTCCATGCTCTTTTCCGGCACGGACAACCACATTGCTGGGCTCGGCCAGATGGTGGAGCATATGGCTTCGAGGGACATCATATATAAGGACAAGCCTGGGTACGAAGGCTACTTGAACTTTCGAGTTGCTGCCATGTCGGAGATTATGCAGGATGCAGGCTACCACACTATCATGTCTGGAAAATGGTAAGAAGGATTTATTCCTCGTTGCCCTCCACACCCACCTTATCGTTGTTGTGTTTCCGCCAATAAACCTTGCTGACGAAAGAAACTATTAAGGCATTTGGGGCTGACGAAAGAAACATCCCCGCACGCGCGTGGCTTCGACGATTCATTCGTCTTTCTTTCTGGCTGCGGAAACCACTACAACTATGAGCCCCAACTCGATAACCCTTCCCATGCCATCTTCACGCCTATGAACGCAGGCAAATTTTGGATGAAGGACGACACCTTCCTCGATCGCACCAAGGACATACCCCAGGACTTTTATTCTACCAGCTCGTTCACAGATAAGTTAATAGACTATATCTCTCAAAACGACTTTTCCAAAAAGCCCTTCTTCGCCTACCTCGCCTTCACAGCCCCCCACTGGCCCCTACAGGCTCCGCGCGAAGTTATCGACAAATACCGTGGCTGGTATGATGATGGTCCCGGTGCCCTGCGTTCTAAGCGTCTCCAGCGGCTCGTCCATATGGGAATCATTCCCAAGGATGTGGAACCAGCGCCTGTGACTGTGGAACAATGGAAGACGATGAGCGAGATGGAGCGCGCCGAGTCTGCGCGCAAGATGGAGGTCTTCGCTGCCATGGTTGACCTTATCGACCAGCACATTGGCCGCGTCATTGACACCCTTGAAGCCAAAGGCGAGCTCGACAATACCTTTATCCTCTTTATGAGTGACAACGGAGCTGAGGGTGCTATGCTGGAAGCCATCCCACTCATGGGCGGTGCTAGCAGTGTAACGCAAATTATCAACAAGTACTACGATAATAGCCTTGATAATATGGGGGCTCCCAATTCATACATCTGGTACGGCCCCGAGTGGGCATGTGCCTCGATGGCGCCCTCGAGGGGCTTCAAGACGTGGATCACTGAGGGCGGCATCAGGTGTCCCTGTGTCGTGCGCTACCCTCCCATCTGCAAGCCTGGCACTGTGACCAACTCGTTCGCCACGGTGATGGACATTCTACCCACTGTAGCTGACCTCGCCGGCATTGCGCTGCCTCGTCCAGGGGAACCCTTCCGCGGAAGAAACGTCGTTCCTGTGCGGGGCTCGACGTGGAAGCCCCATCTTAATGGGACGGCGCCGAGTTTCCACAACGAAGAGGAAGAGATTACAGGCTGGGAGCTCTTTGGGCTTCGGGCGATTAGGAAAGGGCCATGGAAGGCTATATATATGACGGCACCGAGAGGCAAGGACAGGTGGGAGCTGTACCACGTGGAGAAGGACCCTGGTGAGCTTCACGATTTGGCAGAGATGGAGCCTAAAAAGCTACAAGAGATGGTGCAGCACTGGGAAACGTACTATGCCGAGACGGGCATGTTTGACCCAGGGCATGATTTCCCCATGGTGAAGTATGGTTAGGAGTGAGTGCTTTCTACATCTTGTGCACGAACTTTGTCGATAGAGAAATCCTTTGTAAAGGAGAAGTTGCCGCTAGCCCTGAAGACTGCTGCTGCTGTATAAATACATTGTTCCTCGATGGACCACCTGCTGTCGCCTCTACCTCTTCCTCTTTCCCTCAAATACATCTCCTACCCTTACTCCCCCTTTTAATACAAGCACCTTTCGCGCAGCCCCTAGGTATATTCCTGTACTAGATTTTATGGGCAATCACTAAACACTACCACGGACGACCCTGAGGCGGGTCGGTCCTGGGATAACAGGCAGGGCCCCGAAATGCCAGATAACACCTGTAAAATGGCTATCCTAGATTATTGGATGTATAAGCTGCAGAAGATTGAAGTGGAGTCTCCTGTCTAGAGTTTAGGCGTTATAGCTAACGAATGTACTGAAATAACTAGAGGAACATTCGCCTCTTCTTGACAGACGATGAAAAGTAAGTTATTAGGAGACGTCAAGGGAGAACGATGCTGAGGAGAGGAAGGATTGAAGGATGAGATGAACTGAGAGACGCGAGCGCAAGACATTGCCGCTGTTCACAACCGCATAATCGGTGATTGCCCTTATTTGGTCGGCGGCAATTGGCCTGGGGGACGAGACGGTATAGCTCTCCTCTCCTGACAAGCGAAGGCAAGAATTCAGGTTTCTAGATATTAGTTTCCAAAATAGCAAGCCCCTAACTACAGTTGGGGTCGTGGGGTCTGCGTGGGAAGTATTTGGTACCAGGCTGCGTACCCTATGCCCTTTACTGCTGGTGCCGACGAAAAATGGTAGCAGAATCCGTACGATTGGACGGTACGAGCAGCAAGCAAATTCTCTCTTTAACAAGGAATAGATTAGCATTATAGTATATTCTGGGCTTGGTTATTAGCAGCACCCGATTTTTGCTTTCCAATACTTCGAATTTGTCAACTCCCAAAGTGATGGACGCTCCCTTCACTCCTCTCATACCTCTCACAAACCACATCCAGCAACCTTTCCAGAACCCCTTTCATCCGACTCAAATCGCGCGCCCCCACACTCCACTTCTCCAACGTCGCGACGGACAACTTGACCAAATCCCACCAATTCGCCGGCGGCCGCACCTCGCCGTCCTTAATGACGACGGCAAGGATGAGCATGGCCGAGCGAAAGGACGTGCGACAGATGAACCACGTGCCGCCGTGGCGGTGGTGATGCACCCCCCACCGGATGATCTCGGTGCACAGGGACACCTCTTGCTGCGCGATGTTGATGACTTGAGGTGTTGGGGGCCGGTCGGCGGGGTGGTGGAGGTAGTAGTAAAGGAGGGGTCTAGAGATGCATTCGCGCCAATCTCGGAAGCGACCCTGGAGGTAGAAGGCAAGTTCGTTGGAGGGGTGTTTTATGGCGTCGAATTTGAGGGAGGACGGGAGGTGAGAGTACCTATCGACGCGATTTCAAATGGTTTAGCTGCCTTAAGAACGCTTAGGGGGAGAGAGAGAGAGAACGCCGTGCGGGACATAGTTTATATCATACCATAGGGAGATCTGCTTTTCGGACTCGTAGAATTGCCGCACCAACAGGCTGATGTGCTTCATCCAGTACTCTTCTCCTGGGCCGTAGAAAAGCGATATAATGCCGTCTATTGTCCGCCTAAGGGAGATTTCGGCAAGGTAAAAGTACCAGCTTCGTTCTTCCTCGGCACGCTCTAGGATGTCGACTCGTCGTGAGGATCCTATTCCCTCGTCATTTTGGGATAGGGTTAGGGATGCCGGAGGGGAGGGCAGGGCGTCTGGGTAGTCAAATCCCATAGGGATGTTGGGTTTTAGGCCCAGTTCGGGAGCGAGTTCACTACAGGGTCATGTTAACAAAAGAAGAAAAGAAAAGAAAAAAGGGAGACAGCGACTTTTAGAGACAACATAAAAAAAATATATATATATAAAAAAGAAAAAAAAAAGAAAAGTACACACCTCTCTGCCTTGAATACAGACCAAAACAAACGCTGTACAAGGTGGTGGTGGCCGGTCGGCCTCGGCGTAGCCACAGAACCAGCCACATCCACACTCGTAGCATCACGACTCAGCTGGAAGATGTGCAAGCAAGCGGCGGCCCGCTGCAGATACATCCAGGCTTGGACGGGGCGTAGTCGGTATTTTTCGTATATGCAGGCGAAGAAGAGGCACTGCATGTCCACCAGAGATGTCTCCAACAGACCCATACGCTTTTTGGCACCGAGATAGTACGCCTCCGCTGCGGGGCCATACTCTATGCTTCTAGACACGTTGGAGAAGTCGGAGTCGGGCCCACTAGGCGTGAGTTCTGTGTCCATAGGCGGGGTCCATGGTTGGGTATAGCAGGCCAATGCGCAGGCGAGCAGCTACAAGGCAAGGCAAGTACAAGGGTTAGAGAGATTGGAGACTGTGGGGGAAGAGGGGACAAGAGAGGACAAGAGGGGGAACAAGAGCGTACGACAAGACAAGTCGGGCCATCCCAACCTAGGCCATTCTCGGCTGCGGCCTTTGCGTAAGCCAGAAGCTCCTCGGGCTCGAGGATGGGGTTTCTGGGGTGCACGTGAGCTAGAAACTTATGGCACAGGGGCACCAGCGCCTCTTCCTGCACGGCCGGCTTGAGATAGACTCCATCGCCTACGGATATTGGTTGCAGACCAAAACTGGGTGTCTGAGGCAGCGGAGATGTGTGGTTTATGTCAACAGAATCCTGTGGTGAAAGGACAAATGAGTGAATCTGGGCATCTCTGTCGGAGATGATGCCTTCAAACATGGGCCACCGGAGGAGGGATTCGCATTTCGTCGCGGTATAGCACAGGCTGTAGGAAGGGAGTGAGGCTTGGTTTGGGAGCTGGGAGGTAATTGTATCAGAGTCGGACGCAGCAGCCGGCGTAGCATGCGCCTGAGGGGACTGGCTTAGAGTAGCAGCAGCCGTAGTAGCAGCTGGGGGAGTAGCAGTAGCAGTAGCAGTAGCAACAGAGCCAGCGGTGGCTAGCTGACTCGATGTAGCTTGCAGCAAACTCTTGAGCTCGTCGAACCTCTTCAAAATCTCCTCGTGTCGATACGTGGACTCATCCTGCACACTGGCATCCTCGTCTGGGTCGACGTAGACGCACTTGGCGTTGTGGTACCTACAAAACCCACACACGGGCTTGACGGTGTCGCATTTGGTTTTGCGCAACCTGCAGAACTGGCATGCAGCCACCGCCCTTTTCCTCCGTGTAAACGAGGCGCTGGTAAGTTTGGCTCGCTTTGCTGGGCGCTGCTCGACCTGGGGGTTGTCGGCGTCGGGGTCTGGTTCGCCGTTGTGAATTGGAAGTGCTCCACTTTCGTCACTCCCCATTTTTTTTTCTTTTTTCTTTTTTCACCAAGAAAATAAATAAATAAAAAGGCAAAACAATTGCTTCATCCGAAATAGAGGGTCACGTGCTGGTGGATCTCGGGCCAAAAAGTAACGGGGCGAAAAAAATAAAAAGTCCGGGGAAAGCAGACATGGAATGAGTGAGATAAGAGAAGTTGGGATGCGGGGATGAACGGACGAAAAGGACACCATCAAATAGAAAAAAAAAAAAAAATTTAGAAAGAAAAAAGGGGGAGGAAGAGTGTAAACTTCTCCGTCGCCCCACGCCCGACCCCGCCCCCAAATTATTATACCTCAGTACTTCATAGAATGCCTGGTAATGGGGAACCGTTGAAAGTGAAGCCTTTCCTCACCCGGTGTAGGCTCTGTCCAGTCTGGGTCTAAATTAGGTTCGCCTGATTCCCCACCTCGGCAGTGCGTTTTCACTGTCCCTTGATGATTTTTTTATAGTTTATGTGGTGCTAGCTGTTGTTAGACACAGACGATGCGATGACCCCAGCTTTCCGGGTCTGGGGTCTGGGGTCCGGGGTTGGGTCCGGGGTAGTACGTAGTTTACCAGGGAAATCTTCGCAGCTTTTGTCAAATCCGTACCTTATTGGATCGTTGCATCTGCCAAGAAGCTCGATTGCGGGGGTTGGACTTAGTTGTCGCTGGGCATCCGATCCTCGGGAAGCCCGCGCGAACTCAGCAGATGCTAGAGGCGGGGAGTAACGGCCGAAGGAAATCATTGTTTTTCGTCCGTGCTGTATGGTGGAACCCCCCCCCCCCCCCCCCCCCCGCTGCAGAAGATGCTCAGCTAGATCAGTGATCTCCGTGTTAGGACGGTAGCTACCTCGTGCGCTTGTTACGGAGCTCAGATTCAGCTCCACAGAAGCTTAAGAGATCTCCACGAAGCCACCTCTGCCAACGATTATGTATATAAATCCAAGATGACCGCCGCAAAGCTCTGCGCCTTCAGTCTTCACCGACCGCACAGAACGCCCAAGGCTCCTCTCGTAGCCTTTACATCTAACAACGTTAGGAACCATGGTCGCGCCACCCTCCATCCAATCGTTGGCTTCTGCTCTCCTGCCTGTGCTAGCAGCCGCCACTGCCGTGCACCCTCATCAACCCCGTCAAGCCATCATCACGGAAGATGCCTTTTTCTACGGCCAATCGCCACCTGTCTACCCAACCCGTAAGTATTCTTCAAAGGACTGAATATCCACCTGACACCCCTCGCGCGCGCACAAAACTGGGTTATGATGATAACCATGAAAACTTCTCTAATAGCCGAAACCTCGGGCCTTGGAGATTGGGCTGCCGCCTACGAAAAAGCCCACGCCCTCGTGTCTCAAATGACGCTTGAGGAAAAAGCAAACCTCACAGTTGGATATCCCCCTCCCAACCGATGCTCCGGCGTCACCGGCTCCGCCATGCGCGTCGGGTTCCCCGGATTCTGCACTACGGGAGCGGGCAACGGCATCCGACAGACGGATTTCGTGAACGGGTGGCCGGCGGCCATTAGTATCGGGGCGAGCTTCAACAAGAACCTCACATACTTGAGGGCTGTGCAGATGGGCGGCGAGTTTAGGGCCAAGGGGTCGAGCCTTGCGGGCGGTCCTGTTGTTGGACCCCTCGGCAGGATGGAGAGGCATGGGAGGAATTGGGAGTCGTTCAGCAATGATCGTAAGTTGGTTTCATGGGGGGCGCCGGGAGGGGGGAGGGGGGGCGGGGGGGGAGAACCTATTGAAAATGATATGGGAGAGATGCTAATAATGCCTTCCCGCGCACCTAGCCTACCTCGCTGGAGAAATGGCAGCCCTTACTGTCCGCGGTATCCAAGAGCAGGGCGTACAAGCCATGACGAAGCACTTTATTGGCTACGAACAGCAAAGCCACAGATTGGCCGCAAACAACATCAGCGCCGTATCTTCCAATATAGATGACCGTACCATGCACGAAATCTACCTGTGGCCCTTTGCTTCGGCCGTCCACGCTGGAACCGCGTCTGTCATGTGTTCCTACAACAAGCTGAACAACTCGGGCTCCTGTCAGAACAGCAAGGCCCTCAACGGGATCCTCAAGGGCGAGCTCGGCTTCCAGGGCTGGGTGATTTCGGATTGGGGCGCGCAGGATTCCGGCGTCGCCAGCGCCATGGCGGGGTTAGATGTTGCCATGCCCTCATCCAAATACTGGGGAGCGAAAGGGGAGATCCTTGCCGAGGCCGTCAGGAATGGTTCCGTGTCCGCCGAGAGGATTACCGATATGGCTACTCGGATTGTCGCTGGCTGGTATCATCTCGGCCAGGACCAAGGGTATCCGGAGCTCGGTGTCGGAATGCCCATCTCGTTCACAGAGCCCCGAGAGATCGTGTACGCGCGGGACCCCAAGTCCAAGCCCGTGCTTCTCTCGGGAGCCATCGAGTCTAACGTGCTCGTCAAAAACATCAACAACGCGTTGCCTCTCAAGAAACCCAAACTTTTGTCCATATTCGGATACGACGCCCCCGCACCTGCTGCTCAGAACACTCCTTTCCAACGACCCGAGTTCATCAAAAACAACGGATGGATCTGGGGAGCCACGGGCGTCAACATTTCGTCATACAATGATATTCTCTATGGAAGGGAAAGCCTTCCCGGAATTTCCTTGGGAGGAACTCTAATCACAGGAGGTTAGCCTTTTATCAACGTTATGCCCTTTCCTTACGAATAAGATACTGACCTCTGCCTTCTTTTTCTCTGTTTAGGGGGGAGCGGCGCGACGGCCCCGGCCTACATCTCCTCCCCTTTTGAGGCCATTGCCCAACAGGCCTATGAAGACGACACCTCTCTGTTCTGGGACTTCCAATCCATCAAGCCGGCCGTGAATTCTGGTTCGGACGCGTGCCTCGTCTTCATCAACGCGTACGCCGGAGAAGGCGTTGACAGGCCCTATCTTCATGGTAAGATTAAAGCCAGAAAAAAAGAGCCCACGGAAGCTCCATCTATGTACCGTAATAGTCGCTCTAACTAGAGGGTAATTCCAGACGATTACTCCGACGCACTTGTGAAGAATGTTGCTGCGAACTGCTCCAATACCATTGTCACAATCCACAACGCTGGCGTGCGCCTCATCGACCAATGGATCGACAACCCCAACGTCACCGCCGTCATCTTCGGCCATCTCCCCGGCCAGGACAGCGGCCGGGGTCTCGCCCAGATCCTGTACGGCAAGGTCTCACCATCGGGAAAGCTCCCTTATACAGTGGCCAAGAACGAGAGCGACTACGCAGCGCCCAACCCAGATCTAGGAGAAGGACAGTACGAGATGTATCCCCAGAGTGACTTCTCCGAGGGCCTCTTCTACGATTACCGCCATTTTGACAAGGAGGGACTCAAGCCTAGGTTCGAATTCGGTTTCGGTCTCTCGTATACCACATTTGCATATAGCGATCTGTCCATCGAGTCAATCACCCAGGATGCACCCCGTTTCCCCCCCAAGATGCCCATCAAGCAAGGTGGAAACCCAGCCTTGTGGGAACCTCTCGTCAAGGTCACCGCCACAGTTCACAATACGGGCCCAGTCGAAGGTGCCGAGGCAGCTCAGCTCTACGTTGGGGTTCCCGGGCATGACTCACCCGTTCGACAGCTTCGAGGCTTTGAAAAGGCGACCATTCCTGTTGGCGGGAAGGTGACTATGGAGTTTGTCTTGACGAGGAGGGATCTGTCGGCTTGGAATGTTGAGGCGCAGGATTGGGAGCTAAGGAAAGGAAAGTATAAGATTTACGTTGGCGGCAGCAGCAGGGATCTTCCCTTGGATGGAGTGGTTCGGTTTTAGGGAGTGATCGGATACAAACAGACGCTCATTTTGAAGCAGATCTGTGTACAACCTGGCTATCAAGACGTGGAAAGTTAAAAGCGTCAAAACTTTTGGTCTCCATGTCCAACGCATACCGCTCACCCAATCTCCCGGAATGACTCCCTGGGGAGGACCCTTGGTTAAGTCGGTTGTGACAGATTTCAATGATAATATTGAACTATTATCGTATACTTCGTATTAGTTCAATCTATTAAACTATAAATATAGGAGGACATTGTAGATCACAGCTGCCAGGTCGTAGCGGAAGCGCACGACCCCACGGCGACAAGTAGATAAATTGCTTACCGAGATGATTATTCCTACTTCCTCTACATACACACAGCACACAATGCTGCGGGACACTCGGCACGGGAGGCACCCCACTCTCTCATAAGCGCGTAGACATAGAGCGTGTGATTCATGCTTTAAGAAAAAGGTGAGGTTTTTGACCGTCAGTATCCTTTAGAGGCCCTGTTTAATTTTATCGCCGATATCCTGGTATAATACTTTTACAAACGTCAATGCCCTGTCCTTGTGCTCTTCCTTTTGTAACTCTCTACCCTATTAAAGAGTTACGCTCGGCATGTAATTGGAGGAGGAGGATACGAGCAGTCCCGATGGAGTAAATGGGGTCAATCTTTGTAAGGATGCGCCGGAAGAAGTCCTCTAACGTATATGGCAACTCGTCCACACGCTTCTGAAGGTGCTCGAAAGTCTCATTAGAGCGAATGTCGCGCCGTAACCCCCTGACAACAAGATATACCCACAACTACACCCCATGGGCTCTCTCGGAAATCTGGTCTATGATGTTCCAGCACCGGCGGTCTCGCTGTGCTGCGCTTTGGAAAGCGCTCGTCAAGGAGAGTTCGCTGTCAACATATGACCAGATGTCCTCCTTAGTGAACTCCTCGACGATAAGCATAACGTTGGGATCGTGAAAGGCCGTCTTAAAGGCGTTCCAACGTCGACTTGATGCACAGATCTTGATTCCTGGAAGGGATTCGAGCTGTCGGATGATTTGAATGATATTTTCTTCCTCTCCGTGATACTCGTCAAGCCCGTCGATGAAGAAGCACAATCGTATATTGGTCATGTCCAAGTTGGAGACTCTCATGAAGGCTTGGAGCAACTCCTGCACCGTCCATGGCTCTGAGACACAACCTTCACGCCCGGGAAAGAGAATCGGCACAAAGGCCAAGTCCGTTCGGACGATCTGGTAAAGGAGACTTTGCAACAGAGCTTTGATGCTTTTTTGCATCTCACTCCCTTGATTCCAGAAGAAGAAACTAGCTGTGACTAGCTTGGCACCGCCATCCCAAAGGGACAGAAGCTTATGTGTTTCTGGGTGGCCGCAGAGGTATTTCATGATGGTGGACTTGCCGCTCCCTACGAGGCCCGTAACCCAGTAGGTGCCGCCACCGAACTCGAGCCATTTTTGAAGGATCAAATGATAAAATTATATAATCCCCGAAGTTCCCCAAGCCCATCGATCCAGTGCCCCAGAACCTTCTCCGCCATCGAGAAGAGCTCGGGGGAAGGCTGGATACTAGTACAGCGGCAAATCAATGCAAACGGAGGAGCTATAGTCTTTGTCGATGACTTCAACGCTTGGGTTACAGGGCCTACAGCATAGAGCAACCGGGAAGGCATAGAAGCAATCATCGATAGCGCCCGAGGATGGGAAAAGAGGAGTGGAGCGACTTTCGAAGCAGATAAGACGGCAATCATCCACTTTACTCGTAAGAAGTGTAAGACGGACTCCCAGCCATTTATAATCAAGGACATACAGTCCACCCCAAGGAGCATGTCAAGGTCCTCGGAGTAATCATGGATGCCAGACTAAAATACAAGGAGCATCCAGCAAGAGCAGCCTCTAAAGGGTTAGAGGCAGCACTAGAGCCAAAGCGACTCAAAGGACTATCACCAGCCATAGGCCTCTGCATGACTGTTGACGAATGCATCGACGCCTACACTGCTTTGTCCGACAAGGTTTTCGAGAAGAAGAAGAGCCACCGAGTGGATATTAAGGGCAAGCTTCATGCCGATTTGATACTGCCGAGCTGGAACGAGCCATCAAGCAGATCATCTTGTCCCAGGGCCTTGACGAAGATGCGCTGCTCAAAGAGGCCGATGCGTCTTGTAAGTGTGGGTTACTCTGTCTATCCCATTACAACAAGCGTGCTAACTGATCAGCTTCATCTGTGCAACAAGCAAAGAGACTGGTGATACTGTCTGTCTAATGAGTTACCATTCCCCCAGCGTCGACGATACCGACCTTCTCAACTCGACCAAAATATGGCAGGCATGCCGCGCCACGTCTGCCACAACGACATTCTTTGACCCAATTGGACACTATAATGAGGAATCTTGTTGACGGCGCATTAGGAGTGAATAACCCTGTCGACACTTTATGGAGCCGGGCGCAGGACGTATGGGGCGATCAGCTTCAGGCAAAGCTGAGGTGACTCGTGTCGATCGGAACGGGCGCACCCAGTCTAAAACCTGTGCATGACGATGTCCTCGGAATCTGGGCGACTCTGCAAACGCTTGCGACAGAGACGGAAAAGACGGCACGGCGGTTCACCGCGACAAGTCAATCCTCGATGCCGAAGGACGTTATTACCGTTTCAATGTCGATCACGGGCTGGAGGAGATCGCACTCGAGGAGTCGAAGAAGAAGAAGGAAATTGCGGCGGCAACACGGCGATATGTTGAGACTCAGAGCGTGTTCATGCAAATGAGAGCGTGTGCAAACAACCTCGCAAATCGAGAATATCAGTAGCCATTCTTTACTTGTCCTAGCAATCTCTACTAGCTTACTTTTTAATATCAATATCCAGATCATGATCCTTACCGAGCTGTGTTTACTCTGTGGGGTGTGCCTGCCTCAGACAACTTTGTCGATCGACCGACAAACACCGCTAAGCTTGAGAACAGCCTCCTCCCATGTCCTGACTCACGCCAGGTCCGACGCATATTTGTCTTATAAGGACTCGGTGGCATCGGGAAGACACAGCTTGCTGTCACTTTGCCCGACGTTGTAAGGCCACGTTCAGTTCGGTCTTCTGGCTAGACGGCAGATCTGAAGACCGCTTGAAACAGAGTCTTGCTGGCTGTGCTAGGAGGATTCCCCAGGGTCAGATTCCAGACAGGAGCAGACAGGGTGTCTTTACAAGCGAAGATGAACGTTTCAACAACCAGTTTTCACACGGAAACAAATTCCGAATTAGTCCAGATATAGACCGTATTATCTGACTTCTGCGCCGCCGTCAACCGCCCCGTCGCGACCAAGCAGTATATCACCGCCGAAGCGTTACTCTACGCCATGGCTTTGGTAATGTACAACTGCTCGACATACGCTTCGAGCCCGGGTCGATCGACGAAGTGACGTGTCTCGGCCTGTTGGCCTTCTCTTGCAGCGTCTTTATGCACAGGAGGACTATGGACGCATCCTTTGCGCACTTGACGCGCGAGTTCCGGGCTTGTCTTCAGAGTTCGACGATTGTGCAGCAAATACTGCCTCAGTAGTTGGTCTGGCTCCTTGTTATCGGAGCAGTGTCTGTCTTCGGCGTGGCAGATGATGATTAGTGGCTTAAGCCGCTGTTGCAAGATACACAGCAGAAGTGTGGGATCGAGTCGTGGGGGAAGGCAGAGGAACTCATGAGATCTCTGCTGTGGATTGGTCTGGTGCATGATACTACAGGAGGAAGAGTCTTCAACACTCTAGGCGTTTTCTGAGAATATAACTAATAGAAACGTATTGGTATGAGAGACTCCCTGACCTCCGGACCTGTCTGCAGGTTCAAAGCGTATCCACTGGCCTACCTTGGAGGAGGTACATAAAATAGCCGGATAGTCGAGCAGATTCGTCAAACACGACATACGGAGTAGCTCGCTGGCATTTTCTAGACCTGCCGCTCTATTTCGGCAAAGCCCGGCGCATCAAACTGCCCTGCATTTCAAAACCGGCACCTGGACCTGGGCGGCCGATCCTTCAATGGTTAGATGCGGCGCCTGCTTATCCCAAATTGACCGCCGCGTACGCCCGGATATTGGTGGAGGTATAGCTGAAAGAGTCGGAAAAGTGTGGAGAATCTGAACGCAAAAGACGCTCCGCAGCATGCCGACAGCGTCATGAAAAATTGCTGGCATTCATTCCCCGCACAGAACTAGACCGAAGCATCGAGGCTTGAGCTGGGGGGAATGAAGTACCTCTAGGGTGGAGCACAATGTGAAGTCGTAAATTTTAACTATTCATTTGCAACACGAAGTCGTGAGAAGAAACATCGTCGTAGAGTTAGTAAGGATATCAAAGTCAACCTGCGTCACAAGAAGGGGGCTATTGTAGTATGGCCCTCCATATAAAAATGCCTTTTGTCTCTCCATTCTTTCCATGCCCGTGACGAACGGGTATATTGTAGATAATTGTAGAGAGGACAAGATCGGAGGGAGGGACATGTTTTCTGGTGAGGATCAACATTTCCGTACGGAACAAAGCTGGCTTTTCTTTCTCTCAGAGGGACGTAAATAGTTGACTCTGGCCATGAAATATGGGTAGTTAGTTCCAATACTTGCCCAAGATTGTCGAACCGACCAGCCAATTCACGGTTTGTTGCAATAGTGTTAAGAATCAGGGTAACTTGGCTTTAACCTGATCATGTTAAATATAAACATAAGTAACGATTAATGGGATAGACCAGTGTTTAACTTATCCAAGACGTAATTTCATGCTCACCAGTGTAACCCGGCTCTCACCTGAGAATGTTGAACCCGTAAATGAATTACGATGGAATATATATTCACTAGTCTATTCATTTTACCTAAAAAGCAATCACCTACCACGTTAACCTCTGCTAACAAGCTTGCGGTGAGGGTGATGAGTGCAAATACCACGACACCATCACTGAGTCCACTCCGTTTCGGTTAGTGTAGTCTGTGCCGGACCCATGAATTGATCATAAATAGCGTCTCTTCCCTCTTGTCCTGCGGCGCCGAGTGTCCCGCATCGAAAACCTCTACAAAAGCCAGACCACCTTCCTGCTTGAATTTACCGATGCTTCGGTCGCGGAGACGGAGACTCTGTAGCTCCCGCGCCTGGAACTCGGGCTGCCTGCGCCAGCGTACGTTCTCGGCAACATGCAGTGCCCCAGCTGAGTTGCAGAGCCAGTCCTTATTGCCAGCGTAGATCAGAACCTCGTAGCCCTGCATTGCATGGAAGATTAGATAATCAATTCTCATTTCTGGCTTTTGCGGAGTGGTAAGAAGGGTGGTCAAATGGGGCCTCACCTGCTCAAGCAATTCTTCGACCCAGAAAATTGAATCATGCTGAGAATCACCGCTAGCCACGTACGCATTGTACACGTCGAGATCCAGCACCTTGTATTCGATGCCCGGATCGATTTGCAAGCTCTTCTTTGTGCGCTCGCTGTTCAGATACCTGGTAACCCATGCCAGAGACTGGTTGCACGAGTCCTCCTCAGTGCAGATCTGCCGGATATCGTATGGATTACGATGCTCCAGGTCGATCACATCAACACTCCTTGGCCGACAGTACGCGATAGCAGAATTGCAGACATCAACGTTGAAATCAGCCTCCTCGCAAATCTTGAAGACTTCCTCACAGCGAGGGTTTGCTTCGGCCATGGCGTCGCATATGGTTCCATTGAAGAGCGGGTTGTCCCCAAGGCAGCCGGTGACATAGTAACCCAACCACATGAATCGATTGGAAACTTGTGCATTGGCAAGAGCAATTCCTCTCAAATTAATTGTTGCTCGGGTTGATGCCAATGTCGACCGGACGAGCCTCGCTAAGGGCGAGGACTGCTTCTGGTGGATCTTCCTGGCTATGGCTGGGGTGGATATGCCGGCAAAAGATTCGCCCACGATATAGAAGTCTTGGGTGGCATATTGGGGAAAATGACGCATAAAGGCCTCGAGGAAGGTATAGAGATCTTCCGTGGAGGCTTCTAAGGCTTTCGCAGGCGCATCCGAGTGAGAAAACCCAATGTTTGCCTGGACACTGCGGTGCAGCATTGGAGTTAGGCAGGGTGAAAATGATATATGACGTGTCTAGCAAACCGTGAAGCTTACTCCAGATAAAGCATATTCGCATTGGAATTCCAGCTGTGCGGATTGATTGAAGTCTTGTTCTCGCTGGTTACGATACACGGGCCGGTCTCGAGGAACAAACCGGCCCCAATCGCGGAGCCACCGGGCCCGCCTGTCATCCACAGGATAACGGGGTCGGTGGACGGATCACCACAGCTCTCGGCCAACCAAAAAAAGAGATGAGTAGAATTATCATCTCGGTTTCAAGTCAGCACAGTGATCGCTACGACGGCATTGTTTATCTCTTTGAACTCTGTACTCACCAAAGTCGAAGTAACCAACCAGCCCTTTGCCCTGATTGTCGCAGACATCCGCAGGCACATCCGTGACCCGGAATGGGGAGCCGGAAGCCAACGCCGACGTTAGGGCCGCCGCGGTCAAAGCCCCAAATATCACCAGTGACGACCACCATGACAGCATTGTAAAAATTGTTTTGGGGAGCGTGGAAGGGTCCCTTACTCCAAAAGATTGAGCTCAGCCCATACAATAAGTCCTTTTGTACCCTAGCCTTCAACATGTCGTCTTCATGTACGAGCACGGGCGCGGCCCCGCTTCTCCAACTCCACACTCGAAGATCTTTATGTATGTATGGCGGCTAAGACTACCTAAATAGGGCCTTTTATGAACCACCCATGCCTGTTTAAGACAGTGGAGACGCTTCTGCCAACGCACGCTAGTGTTAAAATGGCATCGTTCACGAGCACTCACTGGTCGCTGTTGTCATCCCGAATAGGCAATATTGCAAACACAGCGCCTGGGTTTCTCCCAGCCAGCCGGGTTCGTGGAAGCGACCATTACTACCCATTACCCCCATGAAGCTTCTCAAGCTTTGATGGTCAGAGGTTTCTATCTATACCTTGGTTCTTATGTCCCTGACTTGAGCTGCTTGTCGGCTTCTCCCGGGGCAAACGCAGTTGAATCCAATGGCTTATCTGTCGAACAAGGGCGCTTGGGGTCAGCACAGCACCCAACACTCGCCACCAGCACTCAACGGCCCATCTTTGGCAGTCAAACCTCACAGCTTGAAGCAGTACCTGACCCTCCGAAACTGTTTGGCTGCAGGCCTAATCACATGGCTGGGCGCATATGTTGGTCCCCTAGCTCGCGAGACACAACCAGAGGCGCCGCCACTCACCCCACAGCGCTACGAGGAGATATTGCAGCAATGCGAATCCATCGGCTCTACGCCGCTGATACCTCGTCCCCAGGATCGTCAGTCGAACCCGCGTTGGCACCCTACTCATGAACAAAGCCATTCGATCATACTTTGCAACGTAACTTTGTTTGACGGAGAGAAAACTCACCCCCAGCCAGTCGACATCAAGCTTGAACGAGGACTAATTACGCAAGTTACTCTTACTACTTCCCGACACCTCGGATCGGATGGAGACGCACAGATATACAATGTCTGGGGACGCTTCGTCACGCCAGGCTTGGTGGATATGCACTCACACCACTCGATAGCTGCCTGGCCAGGAGTCGCTGGTGACAGGGACGACACGAATGAGATAAAGTCAGAATGGGGTCCAATACTCCCATTTATAAACGTTGTCGACGGCTTGAAAGTATCAGATGTTGCCATACCCCTCATAGCCTCTGGGGGCGTCACCTCGTCGTTGATTCTCCCCGGATCTGCCAACATCATGGGCGGCGAAGCTGTCCCAATCAAGAACACGCAGAGGTCAGGACGATTCGACGAGACCCTGGTGGAGGACCTCCTTCTTGAGCGTGGAGTTGCCGCCAAGGATCGCCAGCGCTACATGAAGCTGGCTTGTGGGGAGAATCCAAAGCAGGTGTACTCTCACACTAGACTGACGGATGCCTGGATCCTCCGTGCGCACCTCGAGAAGGCCAGGAAGCTTCGACAGGCACAGGATGAATATTGCTCTGCCGCTGCGTCGGCAGGGAGCAAGTTTGCTTTTGTTCAACGTCATGGTGCCTTCCCAGCCGACATAGCACTAGAACCTACAATTGCCCTCCTCCGGGGCCAGAGTTCAATGCATATACATTGCTATCTACCGGAGGATATGGAAACCATGCTCAGGCTCACCTCGGAGTACGGGATCAGCATACGTGGATTTCATCACGCAACTGGTGCTTGGCAGGTACCAGAGATGCTGAAAACGAAGGCGCAGTAAGTTTATAATAACTCTAGCCTGGAAGCAATCCCGTCTCCCTAACATTTTCTTTCCCAGGAACATCACTGTCGCAACTTTTGCTGAGTTTGGTCTGTTTAAATGGGAATCTTACTCGGCCAACTTGGCTGCTGGGAAGATCTTAGACGACAACGGCATTGCCGTTGCGTATAAATCAGATCACAGCCTGGCAGAGACGAATGCCAAGTATCTTGTGTACCAAGCAGGCATAGCACACGCATTTCATCTTCCCGAGGATAAAGCTCTCCAAGCTATCACATCGGTCCCAGCAAAGGCCCTCAATCTCGACCATCGCATTGGTTACCTCCAACCGGGCTACGATGCCGGCATTGTTGTCTGGGATTCACATCCACTCACTGTGGGTGCGACACCGCTGCAGGTTTTCATTGATGGCGCGCCCCAGCTCCAGGACGACCAAGTCAAACACAGTATTGGTTCCACATTTCAGGATACCAATACCGGAGCTAGCTCTCCTACAGCTCCTCGCATGCGGGCAGTGCCTCAGGAAGGGGACAAGACTGATTTCTGTTGGAGGGCTCGGGCAAGCAACGCGAATTTCTTGATTACTGGTGTCTCAACCACGTTTCTCAAGGACCACCCGCTTGTTCCCGCTTTTTGGAGGGATAGAGAGGGTACAAACATGACGTTGGTGATAAATGACGGCAAGATTTCGTGCCTAGGTAGCGAGCACGACTGTCAAGAGGCCGCGACTGAAGTTTTACACTATGACAGCACCCTTACCTTGCATCTCTCCCAGGGTCATGTTCTTCCAGGCTTGACTGCAGTGACCGCATCGCTCGGCATGTCCGAAATCCTTTTGGCCCCGAGCTCGAGCAACGGTATGGAGAATCCTGCGGCAGGCATTAGCATCCCAGGTGCTATAGATTATGCCAAGTTTGGCGTTCAGTTACAGGGCAGAGCGTTTGCTCGTGCTCGGATGGGCGGAGTCACCCGTGCAGTCTCTCCACCCTTAAGCTTGGGCGGCGTGGTTATTGGAGTCAGTGTCGGGATCAACACCGACACAAGTAAGTCGCTTCACAACGGTGGTATTTTCCAATCGGACGTGGCTCTGCACCTGGGTCTGGATACATCCGCACAATATGTTCGAGGGACGATCAGTGCCGCGGTCCGGGATATTCGTAGACTTATTCGGGACGGAGAAGGAAACCAGAAAGGTTCTATCTTTGGTGATGTTGCCAAGGGCAAGCTCCCCTTAGTCGTTCATACCAACAATCATGTGAGTAAACACGACCCCCTGGCGTGCACGTTTGCGAGACTAATATGGCTGGTAGTGGGATATGCAACAACTCATATCTATCAAGAATGACTTCCCCAATGTCAAGCTCGTCATACTTGGGGGCTCTGAGGCGCCTTTGGTAGGTAATCCTTGTCCTATTTCTCACATTGAAGATGCTAAGAAGTTTTAGGTTGCGGCGGAGCTTAGTGCATCAAAGATACCTGTCATTCTTACCGAGAACCGCCCAGCCCCCGAGGAGTTTCGCCATCGGGACGCGGTTGTTGGGCCACCTCTTACCCCGAGCGTAGCTCGACTTCTGATTGAGGCCGGGGTAGAAATAGCACTATCCATCAGTCCTCGTCGTAAGTGCAGTCATCCGATTTCAGTCGCCCTGCCCTAAGCCTCATGGGTGCGGAAACAATTCACAAGAACGACCATTTGCTAAATTGAGAACCATGCTCATAGAACTGCCCTTGGATTACCGGTTGCATGCGTTGCCCCTCGAAGCGGGCTGGGCTGCCAAGTACGCTGGTCTGAGTGACGCTGAGGCTGTTCGCCTGATCTCATCCAGCGTCGAGGATATTCTTGGACTCGGAAGGGCCAAGGACTTGGTCATTTGGGAAGGAAGTCCGCTCGAGTTTGGCGGAGCTGTGGTCCTTAGCTTCGCCCAGCAGAACGGGAAGACGGAGGCCACAAGCCGATTAGAGATTTCCTCTTGCTGGCCCGATGAAGAGGATGTCTAGGCTACCCGACTCACGATAGCTCATATTGCCGGCGATGTACGATACGGTGGAAATGATCAGAGGTCGGTTCAGATAGCATTATCTAGAGGAGCTTGTCAAATTGTTCATCTCGTGATCAAGGATCACTTTTTTTAATCTTAAGCGACTTTGAATGTTGTCTATTTTAAAACTAGCGATTAATTCAGCCCGGGTGAACCCCGGCGCTGGGACACTGGGCCAATAATTTGATGCTTAGACACTAAGTTGTAAAGAAAACCTTCTCCCTAGTATTAACTTCTAATATTTCTAGCTTCTAGTTCCGGTATGCCAGCTTTCAGTATTCCGGCTTCTAGTATCTATCCCATTCCAGTTGTCAGTATTTCCATATGTATAAGAAGATAACATGTATAAGATAAGAAGACTTTCTATTTTAAAACTTTCCATCCCGTCTCCATCCCGTCTAACTTTTGGCGGACGACTAATTGACTTCTAGTACCACCTTAGCATGCTCCAACAGACCTGCTTCGGCGAGCATAGAGGAATAGTATTCATTCCCGTTCGCGAGCAGAGTCCGTGGGTGATCATATGCCACTACCTTGCCGTGGTCCAAGAGGAGGACTTTGTCATACTCCACCTTACATGGTACTTTCATCAGCTTCATGTTAAGAAACAGAAGAGCGGATTGTACTTACCGTAAGCTCGAGCCTATGCATAACCGCAACGATCGTGTTGCTCTTGAAGTACTCGTGCATAATGTCCGATATCTCCCGTTCCATCACTGGATCTAAACCATTGGCCACTTTTCCAAAGACAGAATAGTTAGTTACCTCATCTTGAACCAGGCACAAGGATCGTTGCCCTTACACTCATCCACTACCAGGATCTTGGCGTCGATAAGGACCGCACGAGCAAGGGCCAAGAGTTTGACCTCCCCAGCTGAAAAGTTTGCCCTGAGTTGAATACATTAGCTTTGTCTGATGTTCTGGAGAGTGAAGAGAAGATGCTTACTCTGAACGAGCCGGGCTGTCCAGAACCAATTCGCCATCGTCAACCTGTCCGGCCGATTCAGAGACCACTTTCAGGATCACTTTGTCTGCCCCTATGTGCCTAAGTACTTCCATTATCGCCTTGTCGGAATGCGTGCCCAGAGGGTCAAGGTTCTGGCGCACTGTGCCGGAGAAGACGATTGGATCTTGAGGAATCAACGCAATGCCCTGGCGGTACTGCATGCCATCGGTAGACGAAATGTCAATTCCATCCACGCATACGGTGCCCGTGCTTGGTTTGAGCATGCCAAGCATCGCCAGGAGGAGAGAGGACTTGCCGGCACCCGTCCGGCCGATGACCGCCACTTTTTCGCCGGGTTCGATGACAAGAGCGATGTCCCGCAGACTCGGGGCCGCCAATGGACCGTAACTGCAGTTGACGTTGCAGAATTCAATCTTGCCAGTGTGCGGCCAGAGATTGTCCACAGAATTATCTCGGTACTGCGATCTAGGCCCTGGCTTTATCGACTCGGTGAATGATGTGGCTTCTCCAGATTCGTCAGCTGCATCGATCTGGCCTCTGATTCGAGAGAAAGAAACCGCGTCCACTTCTAGTTGGGCGCTGAAACGCGCAATATAGGTGAGGTTCGCCGTGATCTGGAACACGTAGGTCATCACGAATCCAAGAGTCCCTGCTTCTACTGATGTCGCGATGAGTAACAGGCCGGCGAGCAACTGAATCACAACGGAGCAGATTTCCAGTCGTACTGCTAGCCAGAGGTCGATGCAGAAGAGCGGGAAGAGAGCGCGCAGATTTTCCTCGACCAGATCCTGGTAAGAGTCGAGGCGGTTCCTGACAAAGTTGTATGTGGCAAAAAGAATGCGGCCTCCTTGAGCTTCCTGCAGATGAGCCAGGATGGGGGCCCGAGAGGCCACATCCAGATGGCGCAGTTCCCGCAACTTCTGGAGGTAGAGGTCCTGCAAGGAATAACACAGGATGAGCGAGGGGATCAGGAATAGGAGACTTGCTGGTGCGGGGAGCACAAGCACAGCAGCCGCGAAGATCAGGCTGATATATTGAGCGAGTAGAGAGAGTAGAGAACTGGTGAGAGATGTGTCGACGCGGACCAGATCGTTGGTAAAGATGTTGATGATGTCTCCTGGCTTTGATGTCTCGAAAAAGTGCATACTGCGTGAGAGGATGGAGGCGATGAGATCCCTGTGTATTTTCAGCGATGCTGGAATAAGGCATAGCTTGTAAAGGGCAAGGATGAAAAGGAAAAAACCAAGGGATTGACCGAGAGAGAGTAAGATGTATATCACGAGGCCGTACGAGATCTCAACCCTGGAGTGCATCTCGGCGATCGTTTTCAGAACGTAGACGCTTACGATCGAAAGCAACCTAGCAAGAGCCAGGGACCCAATCGAGATGACCCAGCCAAATTTCACTGCATAAGCGACGTAAGGCATGAGCGCCTTGCCCAAGCTCTTTGTCTTGATGGCTGAAGCTGCGGCCCTTGGGACGGCTCCTTCCTCTAACTCAGAATCGGGGTTGCTTGTGCTCGCTATTGTCTCTCGTGTCGCCACCCTCACAATGTTCTTCAGGTCGGGCCCTGAGTTGTTCGTCTGGACAATGATGGTATCTTCAGATGCGACTCCGACACCATCAGATGGGGTTTCAAGCTGGGTAATCTCGCTTCGGTCCTCTTTGTCGTCGACATCAACAAGCTGGCCAGACTCAGACGTTGAGATCCCTCCACCTTCGATTGATTGCACCAGGTCTGCCTCGGCCAGGAGAAACGGTGAGTTAGATGCGACTATTCGGGTAGAACCGCTGAGCAGCCCACGTCTTCCTATCAGTCGCTGGAGAACAGTTTTTTGAATTTTGACATCGAGAGCGGAGAGAGGGTCATCGAGCAAGTAGATATCGGCACGCGCATATGCCGCTCTTGCGAGACAGATCCGAGATTTCTGTCCGCCTGAGAGCGTAACAGCACTGTTGAGCTGCGTCCTGTCTCCGTCCGCGAGGGTTGCAAAGTCTGCTTCGAGAGCGCATGCGGCGACGACTCTCTGATAAAAGGCCTGCTCGAATGGCCGACCAAAGGTGACGTTGTCCCGAACTGTGCCGCTGATCAAAAACGGTTCCTGCTGTGTGATACCCACACGTCCATGTCGTTGCAGTTGCTCGGCAAGAGAGGTTAACAATGTCGATTTACCCGCTGCGGTGGGACCAGATATAACATTCAGCTTCCCAGCTTCGACCTTGAGTTTCCCATTGCTGACCAGAGGTTTTTGATCACGCCAACTCAATGTCATATCAGTGAGCCTCAGACCTGAGTCGGCATGGAACTCTGAGATTGCCGCAAGTTCGGGACCCGCATATCTGGCCTCATCCATGCGCACATATTTTTGGATACGCAACAATGAAACTCTAATGCCTTGGTAGGTTGCAGCAAGGCTTGACAACAGGGTCAGGCTCGAACTTAGCATCGAGAAGAGCATTATCGATGTGAAGATGAGTTGGCTATCAAGCTGTCCTTGTCTCCATACGACCAGTCCGAATGATGCAGTAGTCAAGATAGAGGGGATAGACTGCGAGAAACTGACCATGCATGCACTGATCAGAGCAGCTTTTCCCAGTATCGAGACATCTGCCGCTCTTCTCTCATCCAGCTCCGTAGCAAAAATGGACTCCCACCCATGGAGCTTGATAGCCTTGATGCGAGTTATGACTTCTGTCGTAAGGCTGGTTCGTTTGTCTCTTGCTACCATGTTCTTGTGGAACCACATTCCCGTTCTTTGAACTAGAAAGTTCATCACAGGGAACACAGTTATCTGGATTTCATGCGTTAGCCAAGGTTACTATAACCTGCGGGCGACTTGAATCTGAGCTTACCAAGGTAAAGACAATAGCGATTACGCCATCGAGCAACATGAGATACAAGATTCCGCCAAAACACGCCAGGACTTGCAGAGGGAATGACCACACATCAAGCAAGTTCAAAATCCCTTGGGCCAATTTCTGCGTGTCCACTTCTCCAAGTGTGGATATATCAAGGTCGTTTGACGACGGCCTGTAGTGTCCCATCCTCAAGGTTTTCGAGTAGATACTCTGGGAAAGCATGGCCTTGTATTGGGCGCTGATCTTGCGAAGGAATAGACCGCTATAATTGCCGCACAGAACACCGACCACACGAGAACAGAATAGCATCAACATGTTCTGAAGCGAAGGTCTCGCAAGTAGAGCGCGTAATAGCCAAGGAAGAATGAATTTCGAGGCATCGTCAACGAAACGCAGGAATGAACTGAGCAATAAGGCCTTCGAATGTTCGCGGATAAGGAAACCCCAGAAGGGATCGTCTGACTCTCCGGAGCCACTTGTGACCGCAAGAACGAATCTGCGGCAATATTCTTCAAAGTCGGCCGGCAGCGGGTGTGGAGGCATCATTTGAAGGTGCAGAGATCCTTTGATCGCGAGCAGCGAGTTGATCCAGCGGTACGAGACAGTGTCGGTCAAACCCATCTTTGCGGAAACCGATGATGAGCCAGTGGTCTGGGGACTAGAGCCGAATATATCCAGAAGAGTTGCCAACACAAAGGCTCCGGTGAGACCGTGGTCGATCAGACGCCCCCGAAAGCCCGCTGATGAAACCGTATATGTCCAGGAGAGGCAAAGAGTCATGTAATACATTCCTCGCCCAGTCGAGGAGAATCCAAGGACGATGGCGATGGCGCTAAACAGTGCGGCGATGCCCGCGGATCCATAGATGACAATGAGCATCAACGGGTCTGTCGACGCCGTCTGTGGCAATGCGTCTACCACAAGCAGGAACACGAGACAGCTTGCAATCCCAACTTGATTCAGCTGCCCATCGGCCCGTTAGCATGATGCGACGTCTGTCCACAACGCCAGCGTAGATCACTTACGAATGCAATCACTCGTAGCAGGCTCCATGTTGAACGGCGAATGGCCCTGCACTCCGTGAATCCTTGAAAAATGGAGTACAAGCAAACACATCCCGCCAAGATGATTTGTAAAATGCTGCCGCAGAGTATGTCAGTGGTCGGTGTCGCCTGGGGTCCAGGCATTGTCGAAGCCTACCTCAGTGCTTTGGTCCATAACTCCTCACTGTTGACTGAAGAAACTGTCAACGAGTTGTTGGGATATCCCAGCAGCAGGTATTTCGCAGCTATGGGCTCCTCGAACATCATCGTCTATTCGATTCTGGCCGGTGGCGAGGTCAATAGGCCACATGTATGGCAGGTTCAAGGCAAGCCGCAAACAAGATATGCCCACCGGCTGGTCTACGACAATAATCCAAGAATGTCAAAAGAAGGATATAGTGAAAAGAATGTTTTACGACTTTATCACGATACTATATCGACAATGAGGACTAACAAAATAGGGTTAGATTTATTATCACGGGAGGTCTGCTTAGCTTTCCTATTTGGCCACACCACAGCTACGCCTTCCGCCCGAATCCCTGTCTCATCTCATCTCATCTCATCCGCAGCAAGGTCCCTGACTAAAGAATGACCCCGGTCTGTATAGGTGGAAAACATCCTTTGGGCTGTTCCAGTCTAAGCTTGGTTTGGTGGGCCAGATCTGGGCAGCGCTCTGGAATGCCTATTTAGGTTAATCCGTCCACTATTGTCAATCCAATCCCCGAGAACAAGAACTACTCGAACTCAAACGTTTGCCAAGCGTGCCAAGCAATTCGAATTCGAGCTTGCGGTGGGCAGAAGGACAGTGATAGCCCCGGCGAATAATAATGTGATTGCTTTCTACTTTGTGACGACCAATTGGCAGGGCAAGATCCCATTGCCAGTCTGCGTGTACTAAGCCGAGTTCTATCGTGTCAATAATACATTGCCTTGCCTTGTACTCTTTGGGTGTTGATCTATTCTCTTTCTATTTATGAGGATTCCTTTCGTTTAGGAGGCCCTTCGACTTCTCATTACAACTGAAGCGCCATCTGACACAGATTGTGTTCTACGGATGCTGCTCCAGGCGATTGAGCAATGACGAGAGTGCCCGAGCTGCAAAGGCCCGGCAATCAAAGCCAGCGGCCCGCTCACCATCGAACTGAGCCTCGAACTGATACTTGGCAAAAAATGGAGCCGCAATATGTTGACCTGGTTTGCTTTGTTTGTGCTCTGCTCAATACGTAAGTTTGGAAGACCTACGCGCTCGAGAATATCTTAGACTGATTTGTATTCTTCTCTTCCTGATAGACTAGTGGGAGGCAGCATAAACACCTTCAGTCTATATGCACCACTTCTGGTGACTGACCTTGGCTTAACACAGTCTCAGGTCAGCGCCATCTCCTCTTGCAGCATGATCGCCGTCTACCTGTTGATTCCAGTATGGGGGCAGGTTTCCCAGCGAACGTCACCAAGGCTTCTATCGTTGCTCTCGGCCACTGGTTTCAGCTTGGGTTATCTGATGGCTGCGTGGGAGTTCTCTGGAGCACCGCATACTTCGGGCCCCACCTTTATCATCGTCCTCGCGGTATTTTGCTTGATTGGAGCAGCAACTAGTGCGACACTCATGGGTTCAATCGCGGCAATCGCAGCGACGTTCGAGGGGAGCCCATACATCGGGATCGCCCTGGCCGCCCCAGTTGCATGCTTCGGTATCAGTGGGTTGGTGGAGAGCCGACTAGCTCTCCTGTTTGTCAACTCGGAAGGGGTCTTTGAAGTCGTTAAATACTTTATTGCGCTCGCCACGGTACTGTTGAGCACTGGCGTGGTTGGGGCGGTCGGACTTCGAACCCCTGGAAGACAAAAGCCTGCGTTTGACAGCGATACGGAGGATCCGGCCGGGTTCGAAGAACGAGATCTGCTAGATTCACCAGTGGAGAGTTCTCCACATCACTATGGAACAGTCCAGCAACCAATTAGCTCAACTTCAGATGAAGATCGCCCTCTATGCGAGTCTAGACGACGACACTCGTTGAAGCACCCAGAATCTAGCACGATGGCAATTCTGAAAGACCCGGTCCTGTGGCTTCTTGCGGTCGCCAGTCTCTTGATTGCCGGTCCTTGCGAAGTATATAACATGAATGTAAGTCTATCTTCGCAATATCGAGACCTGCTTCTCTTTCGCGTTTGCTCAAACCTTTGCTAGATGAGCACCATCATTGGGTCTGTATCCGGGAGCAAGTTCAGCCAGCCAGACACGGTTTCCCAACACGTCATGGTCCTCTCCCTGACCTCCACTTTCGCACGGATAGGCACTGGCATTCTCTTTGACCGTCTAGGGAATCTCATTCATTCCCAGACTGATCAAGGAACTGCTCGAAGCGGTTTCTTTTCCTCACGTATTGTCCTATTTCTCTTCCCCGCAACGATCGATTTTCTCGGCTACATGACCCTCATTAGCGGCCAGTGGCTCAGACCCTATGTTAGGGTCATGATTACTACCGCCTCGGTAGGTCTGAGCTACGGCAGTAGTTGCTCGCTCACCCCTCTTACTACCCTGATATGGGGACAGGATGGGTTTGCGATCTCGTGGGGAATCATCACTATGGCACCAGCGGTTGGGATCGGAATCTCAGGTCTCATGTTCTCGGAGATGTACAAACGCGCGCTCATTCTGCATCCTGCCCAATCCGAGCAATTCAGCCACTGGAACTGTTACGGAGTTTGGGCGACACACTGCGTTATTGCCGTCCTTGTTTCTATTATTTGTGTGGTCCTGGCACGCTGGGAGCTGAAGAGCCGGAAGATATATATATGATAATTTCTATCCTGGATTTAATCACCTTGCCAGCCGCGGAGAGTATCCAGCATGAAGCCCTCGCAGATGTAATCGCTCGGTTCGTGCACAAAGACGTGGGAACCGGTGTAGTAAGTTCGGCCACCAAGCTGAACACGAAGCCCGTCGGTCTTCCCCTCCACAATCCTGGCAATAAACGCTCCTTGTCCTTCATGGCTATTTGAGACCAGGGAATGATAGGTCCGTGCCTCTCCCAAAGCAATGTCTCCCCTCGCATGTGCTAGTGCCATACGAGCACAGACGGCACCTACAAATGTCAGTCAATCTCGAATAAGTGGTTGGGATGGAACACACATACTTCCAGTGGGAGATCTGTCAATCTGATGGTTGTCAAAGAAACATAGACCAGTCTCAACGCTCGCCGTCCCAGGCTCAGGTTTGCCCAATCCGTCAAACACCACAACGATCGCGTAGAGCATGCCCAGGCCCTGGTTATCACTGTTCGGCAAGGTCACGAATTTACGAAGCTCTTTATCCTCGTTGACCAGGTCCCTAATGGCAAACGCTGCCTCCTCGAGGGCCTTTAGATCATCACCCGCCAGTGTCGCCTTCTGCCCTGAACTGTAAAGCCTGCGAGCATCTACCATACAGAAGAAGGCGCCGCCATATGCAAAGTTGACAGACACCGTCTCCACCTCTCGGCCGACATGCCATCTTCTTTCCGGCGGCACTGTAATGCGAATATCCCACCCGGTGGCAAACGACGGAACAGACAAAAACGACACTGGCTTTGAGGGATCTGATCGTCCGTCCTGAAGTGTCTGGACTGTCACCTCAACTATGCCAGATGGGGCGTGTAGTCGAATCAGAGTCCCAGCAGGAGTAACCTGCAAGGCTTTTCGCTTGGGAAAGATGGTCACCTCGAACGTATCTATTAAAAAGCGACCCAGAGCAATGGTAGCATGCCCGCACATGTTTGAATACCCGTCGTTGGTCATAAAGATCACGCCGATATCGGCTAACCCGGCATCAACGAGCTCTGTTGACTGGCGCAAGACAGCACCGTACATATCCCTGTGGCCGCGAGGTTCCAAGATGAGCCTGCGTCGGAGATGGTCATACTTCTCACTAGCGAGAGCGCGTTGCTCCAGGAGAGTACCGCTGAGTGCCGGATAGCCAGCATATACGATGCGAGTGGGTTCGCCGGTGGTGTGCATCTCAATGCAGCGGATCGCTTGATCCATGTTCTTCGTCGCCTGGGGGAGAGTGTATTCAGCCATGTCGATAAGGACTAAATATGCGGATCGGGTAGGGATGATGCGACCGAACGAAGTGGCAAAAACGCTGAGAACAGAGCCCAACTATCATTATTGATCACAAGATAAGTCTAACATGTCTCTTTTATCTTTTAGGCTCTCGGTGGAATATTCCGTCCATAGCAGGGGGCGTGAGTACCCCACGTGTATCAAGAATGGATTCGGATTCCCAGCCTTTCCTAAAAGGGTAATTTATAGCGCACGCTTCACCTGTCTTGGTCGATCTGTCTAACATGTTTTGATAAACATCTTTTCCCCATGAGCTTTGTCTGGCAGCTTGATGAGCAGTTTCGTTAGTTGCTCGAATCTGCTTTTGATCTTTTTTTGGCATACAGTAGCACAGTAAGATGGCGATATTGTCTTTTTTTGTCCTTCTTGGTCCGATAGCGTGTCGAGCGTTGAGTCTGCCGTATCTCTCAAGTCAAGCACCCCTGAACAGCCAGACGGGATCGTCTGGGTTGCAGCTTGACAAAGACACGACGGATGGCAGGCCATACAGGCGAGGCCATTTCACCGTAAAATCTCAACCAGGCGACATTTGCGAGACATATGGCGAAAGGCAATGGACGGGCACCGTGGACGTCTCGGATGAGAAACGATTGTTCTTCTGGTTCATTGAAAGCCGTTCGCAACCAGAAACAGATCCGGTCGTGATTTGGATGAATGGGTAAGGCTAAGTGTTCCTGAGGGTGGACCTGATGTATCTGCACCTGCTGACAGACGGAGCAGCGGACCGGGAGGGTCATCCATGGTTGGCCTTTTTGAGGAAATGGGACCGTGTACGCTGAGAACAGACAGTACAGCTACAGACCCAAATCCTTATAGTTGGAACAACAATGCTTCAGTCCTGTTTCTGGATCAGCCCTCAGGAACAGGTCTCTCTTCAATCAAGCCGGGAACTCAACTGCCTGCTACCGATCACGAAGGCGCAGTCGATTTCCAGAATTTCCTGAATATCATCTCTACAAAGATATTCCCAAATCATTTCCAAAATCCAATACACATCGCCGGGGAGTCATACGGTGGCCACTACGTTCCAACCTATCTACACCACATCCTTCAGTCGAGGCGCCTAAACTCCAGAAATGCATTCCAAGGCAACATCACCTCAATCATTCTTGTGAACGCTCTATTCGACGTCGTCGCCAATTCAATAGGATCGTATGAACTGCTTTGCACAGATTTTCGGGGCGAGCCGATTCTAAACGCCACGAGCTGCGAGAACATGGCTTCTGAAATGCCTGAGTGCTCCAAGCTTGGGGACATCTGTCACAACACTCACGATCTTCACATTTGCTGGCTTGCATTGAGCTATTGCCAAGAGAATGTCGACAAGTATTTTACCTCAGAAGCCATAGCAGGCAAAAGAGACCCCTCAAATAGTGAGGCCGAACCCTGAGACTTCTCCCATCCTCACTGGCACTTCTGACATTGATCAATGACTGACGTGATGTAACGTAGTCAATCTTCCATGTGTAGATTACCCTCGATGCACGGATGCCACGGCTGGCAATATAACCACGTTTCTCAATCAGCCATGGGTCCTTTCGGGACTCGGGTTCAGCGAAAGCTTCCAATATGAGAAGATCAACCTTCAACTTGCAATGGGCTTCAAAGACATTCCTCTTACGATGTATGGAATTATGTCAGATCTCCTGGACTGGAACTACGGGCCGGATGAGCGCGGTGAGCAAGTCCGAGTCTTAGCAATCAATGGCAACGATGACTGGATTGTCAACACCCCTGGCCAGATGATGGTCTATGACAAACTGAGCTGGAAAGGACAGGCAGCCTATCGGGTAGCACCGTGGCAACATTGGTCGTCAAATGACGCACGTAAGAGCGATAAGCCAAGTCCTTTTGCAGGATCAGGGTTCTGGAAACAGAGCAGCGATAGGAGAGTGGTGCTTGCTGGGGTGGATGGCGCAGGGCACGAGGTGCCCAAGTTTCAGGCCAAGGCTTCGTTAGACCTTGTTAGCAGATGGCTGGAGGGCTGGAATCTTTGAGTATCATAGTTCACTTCTCAATTTATTTCAATAGACAAAGTCCAAGATTTTTTCCCCAAATGGCCAACGTCCTGATCTGTGGACTAACCGACTTTGGACACCGTTGGGGTGCCAATTAAGCTGTGTCCTATCAGCTGATATAGAACCTTGTGTTCCGTTTACGAAGAGTAATGCAAAGCTGGGGGTGAGTATTTTGAGTTAACCTCTAGAGGCGCATTATCATGCCTGCCCGGACTCTTTCCGCACGCCGGCGATGCCCGTCAACTGTGTAGCTGGGGAGGCCGCATTGACAAATGTCCATCGATAAGGTATCTCCCTTTCCTCGGCACCTATCAAAGGGCTTCGACGAATCATTCAATCCTCCATTGGCTCGAAGCTCTCCTGACCGTCGGAACGATCTTCCAAGATGGGTATTCACAAGCCACCTATCATAGTCCTCCATTTCGAACCTTGACCCTTGTTACCCCGCATCCCCAACTTCCCACGAAGCTGCTGGTCCGACCCTGGTCTAGCGTTATCTCGCTTGCTATCTTGGGCAAGGACGATAGCCCTCATTGGATCTTGTCCTGTGGTAATTAGTTTTGCATGGAGTTCATAAGGACCATGGTGAGACCGTGAGTATCGGTTCGAAAGAATGAACCCTCCATCCTCTAAAGCAACTCGGACGGACAGTCGTACATATTGTTGACCTTGTGCTCTTGTCATAATCTCGCAGCCATAGAGAAGGACGTCGCCGACACCAAAGCCGACAAGATGTTCGACAAAGAAGCTGGCGTCACGAGCGTCAAGCTCGACGATGTCTATAGTATCAGGGCCGAAGAGGACTCGTAAGACCGCTGTGCATCTTCCGCTCTATGTTCACAGTTCTGACTCAATTCCAAGGGTGTACCCCGAGGTCAGAGCCTCTGTACCACCGACCGACGACGAAACCCTACCCGCCTCGACATTCCGGGCCTGGTTTCTCGGTATTACCTTGACCCTTGTGGTCAACGGCCTGAACCAGTTCTTCCTACTCCACAATCCTCCGCGTAAGTCGCCCTTGTCACACAGATACGATGGGATGATCGATGGTTAACGTTGGCGTGCAGTCATCATCGGGCCGTACATTGTCATTCTTATTGCATATCCTTTGGGTCGCTTTCTTGCCAAGGTGCTGCCGAAACGGCCCTTCAGGCTCATGGGAATGTCTTTCTCGCTCAATCCAGGCCCCTTCAACACCAAAGAACATACGGTCATCAGTAGGTTACCCTTGGACAGGGCGACTGGGGAACTCAAAGCGCTAACCACGTTCAGGCATCATGATTGTCGGCACGGTGAGCTTTAATGCTGGTGCCACCGCCACAGATATATATGTAGCCTTCAGCGAGTATTTAGGCATGGCTTCCAAGGTGACAGTGGGCTACAAACTCATGTTCCTTTTGACAAGCCAGTCACTCGGGTTCGGTCTTGGTGGCCTTGTCCAAAGCCTTGTTGTCGAGCCGGCATACTGTATCTGGCCCGCCGCCCTGCCGCGGTGTGCAATGATCCATGGCTTTCACGACGGATCATTTGCGAATTTCGACGTCCCAGCCTGGAAGATGTCTCGTATGCGCTTCTTCTGGATCGTGGTGGGCGCCACCGCACTATACCAGATCGTGCCTGGCTTCCTGTTTGCCGGACTCAGTACCTTTGCCTGGGTTACCTGGTAAGCAAACAATGTTTAATTTTGATCTTTTCATGATCCCTTTCTCCCTTCGTCTCTCACTGACTATCTCCTAGGATTGCACCAAACAATGTTACTATAAATCACATATTTGGAGCGTTCACTGGACTGGACTTGGTCCCCATTCCGTTGGACTGGAACCAGCTCACGGGATATTTAGGCAGTCCCCTGATTGTACCGACTTGGGCCATCCTCAACGTCGGCGTTGCCGTCGTCATACTGCTCTGGGTTGTGGCACCTGCCTTGCACTGGAGCAACATATGGTATGGCATGTACTTTCCCATATCGAGCCCGACAGTGTGGGATAATACCGGCTCCCCATACAATACGAGCCTGGTGATGACTTCAGACTTCAAATTGAATGAGACGGCGTACCAGGAATATTCGCCAATCTTTCTTTCTACTACGTCTGCCTTGTCCTATGGTATATTTACGTTCTCAAAAAAACCCTCGCAACTTGACTAATACCCGAGACTACAGGTTTGGCGATGGGATCTGTTACAGCTGTCCTGGTGCATACTATACTGCATTACCGTCAGACACTTTGGAGCGGCCTGCGTACTATGTTTGGCAAGGCCCAGGCTGACAGCAATGAACCAGAAGACATCCACCAGAAGGTAAAAGAACCGCTGACGAATTTTATTCTCTTCATTGTCAACAAGTACTAACTGACGTGTGACCTTTAGTTGATGAAGAAGTATCCCCCGGTGCCTGCGTGGTGGTTCGGTGTCGTTCTCCTCGTCACCACCGGCATGGCTATCGGCTTTGTTGAAGGCTTTGACACCGGTCTCCCCTGGTGGGCCATTATCGTTGCACTTTCGATTCAGGCCGTCGTCATGGTGCCGATCTTTTTACTAGCTGCACTTACAAACCAAATGCTTCCCTTGGGGATGTTTGGAGCCTTGATCGGTGGCTTTATCTGGGGTGGAAACATGGAAGCAGTTGTCCTTTTCAAGGTAACCCAACTCCTTTGTCTCCGCAGTTTCTGTTCTGGGATCGAATCTGACGGTGCCCTAGGTATTTGTTTACGTCCCCGTAGGCATGGGAATCTACCTTCTCGGCGACCAGAAGTTTGGAAATTACATGGTACGTGCCCGTGGCTAACATTGAAACAAACGCAAATAAAGAAATAGGGACTAATCATGTTACTCTTAACCGCAATACAGAAGGTTCCTCCTCGAGTTGTCTTTGTTGCTCAATCCCTAGGTATTATCCTCAGCTGGCTCGCACAAACTGCAGTTAATGTTTGGGCTCTCAATCATGTTGAGGGTATCTGTCATACGAATAAGAAGGTATTTTCTCACACCCTCCAGGGATTTTGACGCTCTCTGCTCCTTTACTTCTTACCTTCAGCCGAGCCTCCTAAAGCTTTGGGAAATGCTGACTCGTTGCTTATTAGTTCACTTGCCCCCTCGCCCGAGGTTCCCAGTCCAGCACTATATTCTGGGGTCTGATAGGACCGTCGAAGATCTTCAGCTCCGGTGCAATGTATCAGCCCATGCTGTATTTCCTACTCATCGGTGCTGTGTTACCAGTGCCGTTTTACCTTGCGGAGAAGCGATTCCCGAAAGTCAAGTGGTTGAAACGTGTGCACATACCCCTCGCTATGTCTGCGACGGCGGCCATCCCTCCAGCTACTGCTATAAACTACTTCCCCTGGGTTATGGTTGGGCTGTTCTTCAGTTGGTTTGTCTTTCGGCGCTGGAACGGGTGGTGGCTGAAGTACAACTACCTATTATCAGCTGGGCTGGATACCGGAATTGCCCTTTGCACCTTCCTCCTCTTTTTCTGTTTCTATTATCCAGGTGTTGAGTTGAACTGGTGGGGTAATGTCGAGGCCTTTGAGACAGCGGATGTCATGGGCATCCCTCTCAAGAAGGTTGCGCCAGGAGAGACATTTGGATCGAAGAACTGGTCGTAGAGGACAAGTTCAAGATCCACACCTAAGCATATAGGCCAGAAAACGGGCAAAGAGGAGGATAGGGTGATGCTGCTCATGAAACAGAAGAAGAGAGAGAAGTCCACATTGAGACCAAAGATCACGGTGATCGAGAGTGAAAATGTGATCAAGGATGAGAACGCAGTGAGCCTGAGGGCATGAAAATTGGCCTAGTTATCGTGCATCAGGTAAGTCAGTGTGGGCAGTAACGGCCACCCCCTAGACCGGCCACCCAACATCACATCAACTGCGCAAAGAGTTTCCAACACCACAACTCCATCAATTTGCAAGATAAAAATATAAGAAAAACATCATTCTGCTCGTCGTCTTCTTCTAAGCTAGATCTCTATCCAGATATCATTGGAAGGGCCGTTTTGCCCTCGTTGACTGGCGTTGTGAAGGGTCTTCCTCACTCTCTTCCTCCTCCTCTTCTACTACTACTATGCAACTGCCCTCTTGAGCTACTATACGCTGCTCTGGCATTTATTTGCGCTGTAGAGCCACTTCTACAAGACTCACAAATCTTTCATTCGGATCCTGGCGTACTTTGCGGCGTTTTGGTGGCTGAAGCTGTTCCCGATCGCTGCGGGTGATCGCTATTCCTTGTGTCGATCGCCCTTGCGTGTGTTTGATTATCGGTCGGCCGTTCCCAGCTGTCGGGCGGTCCTTGTTCTGCCGCTTGTCACCGCCTTGGGCCTTTTTAAAGGTCGGCCCGTGACAGTTGCCGTGGTGCGTGATATCGCTCTGATTTTCTTCTCTAAATGGTCTCAAATGAGGTAAACGTTAGGTCCTTTTATAGCGGCTCTTTCCAAATAGGGAGTCTATCTTTTGGACTAGCGTGGAACGGTCAAAACGTACTAAAATCTGACTGTACAGTGGCTGAAATAAGGGGAGAGTAGAAGTACACTATAAATGTTAGTACATTGTCCATTTACGGTGTGACTTTAGTCCCTTTTTAGACAAGAGAAATATACTGTTCTCCAAGTCCGCCGTCATGGCACTCATCCTTCGGTCCAGACCTTTTGACACGTGATGTTACCCCCGCATCTACCCGTGCTTGACAAGCCCACAGATAGTTATGGGTGGGTTCTGTTTACGTAGCGTCGTTTCTCCGACAAAAAGAAACCCAACCTAACACGCACTGCATGTCTACTACGAGTTACTGCGCCAGACTCAAGCGTAACCACTACTTGAATCCATTGTGTGCTTCTTTGGCCGATGCCTGTCCAGCGAACCCGGGTTATGCGCACGAAGTCCGGCTGCGCAACGTGCCGAAGACGACACAGAAAGGTCCGTCCAGACCGACTTCCACTCCTTTGCCACTTGCAAGTCTGATGTTCGAGTATTGTGTGTTTGCAGTGTGACGAGGCCAAGCCGGTTTGTAAAAATTGCATTCGTCTCAACATCTCTTGTGGCGGCTATGCTCAGCCCTTGGTCTTCCGCGATGATACGAAGGCAGTCCGTCAACGGTCCAAGGTCATCGAGGCCCAGAGATGGGCGGCAATCCATGCACGCGATGAGCAGGACAGGGCGAGGAGGCGACAGCGTGCAGCCGATGGCGATGGACCCGAGCATGGACTCGATCTAGGCGACACATCCTGTGCCCTAAGTCCTATAGCTTCAGACTATCAGGAACTGCGAGAAAGGCAACACGGCCAGCAGTCTGAGACTCTGGAGACACCTGTGCCCTCGGAGCTCCCATCACCTCTAGCCAGTGAAGCTGCCGCTAACGCTTCCCTTCATGAACCCCAGACCAGTATCTACGCCCCGTCTCCCGTCGGTATATCACACCAAGGAGAAGCTAGCTCGCCTACGGCCCATCATTTCTCAGGTCCTAGTTCTTCACTGAGCAGCAGGCGGACAGAAACTCAGTTAAGTCATAATTATGGAGCCTCTATCGATGCAGTATCGACTTCATCTACCTCTCCCCATCATAGCATAGATGGGGCAGCTATGGCCTCCACTCCACCGGCTGCTGTTAGCCCTTGGGACATGACGGCCAACACTGCGGATGATATCTCACTTCAGTCATCTATACTCGGTGAGACGTGGCTACAACAGGATTTTCCCACTCAGTTACCGCCCGTCTTGCAAGAGATATATCAAGAGTACGGATATGCCAACCTGGGCTTGAGGTCCGCCCTTCTGGCCTTGCCCCCGCTTACAACCCAAATCACCGAGAGCGAAAGAAGAGAGAGGCTCGAGTATTACAGTCTTGCCCTCAACAACATGATCAATGGCTCCGAACCTCTTGCGACCGCTCCCCAGGCCATTGTCAAGATGGCCATCTTCTACGTCCTCGTTAGTATCGAGATGAGCTGTGGAACTCATCAAGGTGGACTCGCTCACTTCAGGCAGGCAGATGTCTTGATCTCAAGCCATGCTGATCTACTCACTTCTTTGGACACTGGACAACGCCTACTTGGGTCCTGGGTCTCTCTCAAGTCCACATATTCCAGTCTCGCCCTACCATGGGATGAGGACGCCTACCCGAGTCCGGGAGAGATAAGTCAATCACTCCTTCCATTGCTTCCTATATGCGCTAGAAGGAGCCTGCAGCTCCTACCGCTGTTACTCGAGGGTGATCGCCTCAATCAACGAGTCGTTCTGGGCCGATTGATTGGCCTGGGTGCTTCGTGGCCATCGTTTCGCAAGTGGTCCGACAAGCTGAAGACTCTGGGCCTTAAGCCTCCACAGCAGAGCATCCATCGCGTCGGAGTGGACGAGGACCGTCTTTCTACTCTTGCCGGAGACTTGAATGCATGGCACGACGGCATTGACATGGCACATTTGCCCACGTTCGGGGTCACCGCTGACATTACCCGTTCACTGGATTCGTCAAATATGCTGAGCCCGACAGATAACCCTAACGGCAGTGCCTCGCCGCCCAAGAACCCGCTCGCGACATACCTGTCGGAGCGGATCAAATTTCGTTCTCACCAGGCCGCCATCGACTATCTCCGCTATGCGGCAGCACAAGCACTATGTTCAGTCGTTGCACTTGACGAGTTGACTGGGGGGAGCTTGCAAGCTGATGCACACCAAGACAAATGGATCAAGCTCATATTTCGCATCCTGGTTTCTATAGACCCAGATATCTGTTCACATCAGGATATCCAGGAGCTTGGCATCATGTGGATATTGTGGAGACTGGTTCTTCACCGTGCTCTAAATGCGGAGGTGCTCGATGCGGTCGAGGCGTTACTCCCATTGATTGATCGGATGAGCGCCAGGCTGGGGGTTCTCTATCCGCCAAAGTTGTTCCGCACCTGGATACGACTTCATAGAGATGAGCTGGCTCGCGGCCGGGCCATCTTGCTGACTTTCATCGACTTTGGACCCAGGGAGGAAGTCTGGACATTAAGGTCACCTGCTATCAAGTACAAGGTCTTACTTGTCGGCCGACTGATAGAAGCCGGATCGAGCTTCTTCGATGTAGTGGACGTCGTCTGTCGCTGAAGCTTCGTGAAACACGAGACAGACGCAATGCTATGTCTGCTATTATAGTCATGGATGTAATATCAAGCCAGCTTTCAATGATATGTATTAAAATCATACATTTTGCACGGGTTGATTCTAGCCTATCTCTCTAGCAATCCAGCGGTTTATCATGGCCAGAGCAACCTCGGGCTGTTCCGCCGGCACAAAGTGGCCTGCGTTGTCAACCTCAACAAAGGTCAAGGACGAATGCTGCTTGTAGTAACCAACGCGGCGCTCCTTGTCTTGCTGCAACCCAATGTTCTCACGGCGGAGGGGGAGGAAAGGCCTAGCCTGAAACGAAGCACTGCCATGCCAGGACAACCCATCGACTAGATGACGCATGCCGGCAGCTGTGCATAGCCAGTCGGTATTGCCAGCATATATGAGCACCCGGATGCCCTGATCCAAGAGGCTGGTGACCCAGGGGTGAGACGGCCGTGTGGTCTCGCCATTCTTGTCAAAGATGATGTTCATAGGGAAGTTGATCCCAATGAACTTCCTGCAGTCATCGTCGGCCCCGAGGGCGAGCCGCACCGTGGAACTGTCGAGCCACTCAACAAGGCCCGGGGTCGGATATTCGCACAGGCTGGGCTCCATAGTGCAATTGATGCGTACGTCATACGGGTTCCACGGCGTATCCCTGATAAGCATCCACCCGTTCTGCATGCAGAAAGACTCGGAAACTCGGCAGACGGCAAGGTCGTAGTCGCTGGCCCTGCATATCTCCGTCGCTCTCTGGCAGTGAACAGCCGCTTGGGAAACCTGCTTGCATTGAGACTGGTTGAGTATATGGCCTTGTCCATGGTCTTCAAGGCAACCCATTTCAAAGGTGCCTTTTCGCTGGAGCATGTCATCGATGACCCCGTTGCCAACCATTATTCCCCTCAAGTTGATCCTGCTTAGAGTGCGATTTGAAGTGCCAGCCACCAACTTACTCATTGATGACTGACGCATGGTTTGAATCTTATAGGCAATCGCAGGCACATAACTGCCCCCGTAGCTCTCGCCAGCCACGTAGAAGTCTCGGTCACCCCAGTCCGGCCGCGCTGCAAAAACACGTTCTAGGAAGGCATACAGATCATCCATAGCGTCCTTTAAATGGGTGATGTTTCGCTGCCCATAGGAGAAGCCGACTGCTAGAGGCTGGTCGACAAAGATGACGGTTGCGTTTGCATTCCAGGCATATGGATTGAGTGTGGTAGAGGCATAGCCATCTTTGGGGCTCACAGAACCTGCGAAGAGGCAAGGTCCCAGCTCTGAAAGGGCTCCGAAAGCAACTCCGGAGGCTCCTGGTCCGCTAGATAGAAGTCAGCCCTCAGATATCAGAAGTTCCTGATTTATCAGCTCCTTCGCCTGGGTCCTCATGTTTCTAGACGGACTAAGGACGAGAGTGACGCTTACCCAGTTAACCAGAGAATCACAGGATCACTGGCCGGATTGTGCCGACTTTCGAATGCCCAATAAAACATATGGTTGTCGCCTGTTGAGATGGTGATTAGCAAAATGTGAAAATCGAAGACTTGATCACACATACCCCAGTCTACATATCCTGAAGTGCCGCTTACTCCTGCACAGACCTTTGGGTCTGAAGCCCGAGAGCGCACTTGAAAACCATGGCCTTCGAATACATCCCAAACACCAGCATGGTCGCGGGGCTTGGTCGCGTGTGAGTCGGCAAAGCAGCAGCTTGCTAGTAGCGCTGCCAGTAGGAGGGGAAATGTTCTTGAGATCCGAATTGCAGTCATCGCCGGCATGGTTAGACGCGGATAGTAAAGAATGAAACTATAGACCATGGGACGTTGAGAGTCGCTCGCGACTGTTTGCTACGAAGCCGCTTGCTTCTACTGTCGAGTCAACTCACCAGGTGCAGGTACGAGATATCACGACGAGCAACGAGTTCTACCTCCAAGCGCGACCTCGGCTTCTCGCCTTTACTTTTGTCCGTCCGTAATTTCCGCGCCAGATTGCACTGTACCGAGACCAGGGCGATTTCAAGGGCTGTTGGGACGTTATGTATTGCCTATTTAGGAAATCAATTCCACCAACTTTCCCACCAAGCTTCTCCGTTTATGCCGGGGGATCGAAATCGGCGTAGCCGGTGATTACGATGCCGTCGATAAGAGAAGCAGGTCACTGATAGGAGATTATTATTGTTTTCACGAAAACAACCAAGAAAGCTATTTTGTTTCATCGCTTCGTCCGCCCAACCACCGTACCTTTTAGTTCGGGGCATTCAGGATACTGGAGAAGCGCACTTGGATTGTGGCCATTGAGACCATTGAAACCTTTTCCCGCAGAAAAGATGATGTCGCCCGCCATCCGTCTTGTTGTGAGCACTCTCGGTTACCTTGCAACAGCCTTGCAGGAGCCACACTCGTATCGCAAGATTCAATCGGCTTTCAGCAACAATACCGTGCGAATCAAGAGTTGGTCTGCAGACGATGAACAGCTGTGTAGAGGCGGCGCCCCTCATCACACTGGATGGGTAGATATAGAAGATCGACACCTCTTCTTCTGTAGGTTGTGTCTGTTTCCGCTTAGGACAGTTGATATAGCCCCCTAAGACGTCAAAACACTGACTCTCATGCGAATATAGGGTACCATGAAGCTCGTCATAACCAGAAGGATGCGCCGCTCATGCTCTGGCTCCAGGGTGGGCCTGGGGCGAGTTCGTTGATCGGCATGCTCTACGAGAATGGCCCCTGTCTCACCGACGGTCCGGCAAAGACCAAGTTCAACCCCTATTCTTGGACTGAGCATTTCAGCATGATCTATCTTGACCAACCCGTTGGGGTCGGCATGTCATATCTTGACTCGGAACATGACGGCCAAGGGTACCCCAAGGGCGTTGAGGATTCCTCACTCGACATCGTTGCATTTATCAAGCTGTTCTACGAGGCGTTTCCTCATCTTGCAACATCCGACCTCCATCTTGGGGGTGAGTCGTATGCGGGACGCTATGTCCCCGCCCTGGCCTCCACGATTCTCGAGTACAACGAGATCCTCAGCACTGCACCGCTCTCCACTTCGACCGCACAGGAGGGAACCATACCGTTGCGGTCTCTCATGATCGGCAACCCTCTCATTGATCCGCTCACACAGTTGCCGACTATGTATGATGTGTCGTGCTATGAGTACCGCGGTTACGAGCCACATCTAACACCCAAAGAATGCTTCGCGGCATTGGAGGCGCTTGATAAACTGGAGCCCCTGTTGCGGGCTTGTTTCCGGGGAGGCAGCGACCCATTGATCTGCGGCGCAGCAAACCTCATGATCGATGACCCATTTGAGAACGTCTGGAACGTGACGAGGAGTCTATATGATCGCCGGATTCGGGACTGTCCTGCACCTGATAAATGCTTCGCCGACTTGCCCAACGTCTCAGCCTACCTCAATGCGAACAAAGTGTTTGAGGAACTTCTGGAAGTCCCCGCTCAAACGAACCACAAGGTCGCCGCCTGGGAGCCCAGTGATGAGGCAACCGGGAAACGCTTTTCTGAATCAGGAGATATAGCTATGACCTCGACAAACTATCTCCGACACGTATTGGATTTCGGGCGCCAGGGTAGGAAGGATCTTTCATCGCAGCGCGGTCCCGTCACCCGCCCGATAGACGCTTTGATCTATGTCGGCGTCACCGACATCAGCTGCAATGCAGAGGGAGTATTTGCTGCTCTGAAAGAGGTGGAATGGGAGGGCAGAGCACCCTTCCGCGCTGTGCCCTGGAAAGATCTACCATTGCGCACGTCGAGGGGTGCATCAACGGGCAGGGTCAAGATGGTCCCCAATCTCTGGATGGTGGAGTTGAATGAGGCTGGTCACATGGTAAGGATATATGCCCCTTCTTTTTGCTATACCTCTGCGTCTCAAACACTTGTTGCCGGGCTCTAAACGAGACTGCAAGACATGCTAAGCTTGTAGAAGATGTTAACATCATGTCTCATTTACAGGTTCCCTACGACCAGCCAGAACTAGCTCTCGACCTCGCTAAACACTGGCTCTATTCTATTCAACAATCCGGCCTATCCTTCAAACATGAGCCAATGGTGGATCAGCAGTCCGTCCTGGAGCTTTAGTCAGATTCAAATTATATGAGTATATTTGAAATAGATTTTGCTGCTAAGTGTGAGATATTTTACAATGACCCGATACCAGAATTTGTCTGGCTTTATTGCATCAACACCCATGATGCTTGCCAAGTCGAGTGAAGCCTCTTCTTGTCTTCCAGCTTCCTAAGTGCTATACGAACACGCTCCACAGCAAGCTCCATCACATCAGGGTATTCGGTGAAGACCAGCCGGAACCATCCCTCTTTGTCTGAGCCTGCAAACTACATGGTTCAGTCAGTCAATATATTCAATGAACTGCGAAGAGTTGGAGAAGATACCTGACCGGGGTTCAGAAAGACACCGCCTTGGATAAGCCACTCGCACAACTCAAGCTCGGGTGTCTGTGGACCAAACTGTGGAAAGAACCTTAACCAGCGGCTCAAGTCTACAAAGATGAAGAGACCAGCACTAGCAGGTTCGAAAGGGATGCTTGCCGTTGAGAGTGCTGTGGCTGCCTTGTGATACGCCGTTGCGAGGCGCGTGCGATACAGGCTTAGATAGTCTTCTACACCGTCGAGTTGTTGGAGGAACCGTGTCATGAACGCAGCTGGAAAAGCAGAAATCCAAGTGAACCAGCTGAGTACCACACACGTATTAGCTACTCGATATCTTGGTGTCTTCCAGGAAGTAGAGCCACGAGATAAGTCTCAGAAGATGCAGATGTAACTTACGTGACACGAGTGGCAGCCTGCCGTAGCAGTGCATTTCTAGTGACCAAGAAGGATAGGCGCAGGCCTCCCATGTCAAAGTCCTTGCTCATACTGTAGAGACAATGTAGGTTCTCCGGCGGAGCTTCGGAGGGAATGCTTAGAACGGACGAAAAGCTGTCGTATCGATCACCTCGATGCGGCAAACCAGCATGGAAATCGGACATTGCGTACACCTCATCCACCACCAGGTGCACGCCGCGCCGAGTGCACCACGCTGCCAGGACCTGCAGACTCCGAGGTGAGTAACACCTGCCCTGGGGGTTTGCAGGGTTACAGATACAAAGTATCCGGCAGCGGCGACCCTGTTCGCTTTCGACTTTGTCGGCGGCTGCATCAAACAGCTGCACCAACTGGCTGGCGCCGGCTTCAGAAAAGGGGTCGGTAATAGAGGTCGTAGATACCGGTACGGTGACGACTTCCCCCCGCGAGCCAAGATCGTAGTCGAGCATGTAGAAATTTGGCGTGGGATAAAGGACTGCGTCACCAGGATCGCAGATAAGCCAAGTACAAAGGGCCAACAAGGACGTCACCCCATTGCATGCCAGGACCTGATCACTCAAGACTGTGTGATAAGGGTTAAAGAAGCGGTTAAAGAATGAAGCAGCCGCCGCAAGCAAGTCTTTTGATCCGTATCTCGACCCATACGTCAGGCTCGGGTATACGTCGTCCACCGGTTGGCTCTTGGCCACATAGTCCTGCATCCAGTCGTTCATGAGGCAGTTCATTGCACCCGAGAGATTCAAGAGCCCATCAGGGCGAAGCTTTTCATCGTACCGTGGGATGTTCGCGAATTTCTCCATGTAGTCCCACGCCTGGCCCTGGTTGAAAGTCGCAAGAGCCCGGTCCGAGGGTCTAAAGATGGTCTGAGGGCTCGAGCCTTTCGCAGCGTCTAGCCTGGCTGGACGCCCTCGGTGAGATGGAAGCTGCATGGAGCTTGAGGTTAGATCAATATCGTAATGAAGTCGTTGGCAAGCAACTGTGCGTCGGAATCTGAAGCTCTAAGGGCGTGTATCTGGAAGTGGAGCTAGCTTTCACACGCACTCGGGGGCCCACGGCTTTAATCGCGAAATATTGCTTAAAAATCAATCTGAACACTGACCTTTCAATCAATCAATCAACCAGTGGCTTCACTCATCACTCTACGTACTTAAACCTTTCGTAGCGGCCTCTACTCCCGGATACTCCTGTAGTGCCCCATCGGGCGTTCCTCATTTCCGAAATAGGAAAAGGAACAACGTCTTCAAGGCGGGGTTAGAGCTAGGATTACCCGTGCGGGGATAGAACTGTTAGACAAAAGGGTGTAGATTCAATTCTCTGAGGTAAGGAAGCGCCTGCTTCTTCCTTCAGAAGGAGGCGATTTGGGCATTGCTGCCCAACTAATTGGCCTGACCATAAAAAGCCGTGGGCAGGGGGGAATTCAGGCGCTTTGCTAATTTGGCGGTGGGTGTGCTGGTATCCAGTCTGACAAATCCAGTCTGACATGAAGAATGTGATCCCTCTAGTATTAAAATCGCATCGATGATCGATGAACTGTAATTCCACTCGCAAGGTTTCCCTCTCAATACCTTGATACTATCCTCTAATGCGAGCATCACAATGGCATCCAAAAAGGAAGCAGTTTCGACAAAGAAGGCGCCTGCCCCGCTACCCCAATTCTCTCAGGCAGTCAAGTACAATGGCATGGTTTACTGCTCAGGCAACATTGGTCTCAACCCGGAGGCAATGAGGCTTGTCGAGGGCGGTCCGACGGCAGAGGCTGTGAGTATCTGACAATCACCACAAGATCTGATCATAGGCAATCTGACTGTGACCCTATCAACAGCGCCAGGCAATTTCAAATCTCAAGGCAATCCTCAATGAAGCAGGAACCGATCTGGCGAATGTCGTGAAAATGAACATTTTCATCACCACCATGGATGACTTTGGTGCCATCAACGAGGCCTACGACGAGTTTTTCAATAGTGTTGAACCAAAGCCGGTAAGAGAGCGCGTTTTACCATCTGTAGGAGCATGCGAGAGCTAATTTTCAGCGGCAGTGCCGGACTTGTGTAGCTGTCTATCAGTTACCGCTTGGAGCCAAAGTTGAGATTGAGTGTACGGCATTCTTGTAGGATAGATGGTAGAAGCTCCTACTGAGTCCAAGAGACATTGAAGTTTGACAACGGGAATTCGGTCTTAGAGCCCGTGACTCCTCCTCTAGCCACCACAAATCTATGCCTGCAGAGTAGTTGAACACCCTTCTCTGTCGCTCAAACATTAAGCATTTGATAGATACTTTTCATATACTTCCCAACTATTCATTTTTCCAACAACATCTTTGTTGTCATCTCACCCAGTCACAAGCTTAGGCAGTGGGATAACCCAGTTCTGCAGGCTACTAAATGGGATGAGGCCTGTACTTCTTTTGGACTTTTTACGTTTTTATTTGCACCACTTAGCGGACTTGGTAGGTGGGAATAGAAGTTGAACCACGCCACTTGTTGCCGTAATCAGGATTCATAAAAGCTAATTCCCCGGCTACCGCTACTACTATCTCGAGAAACCCTCACCCCCTTTCTTTCCTGCAATCTGTCCCTCAGCTGCCCATTCAAATTACATAATGGACGATGACGCGCTGAACGAAGCAGAGGAGACAATGATCGCGGCTTGCATCCGAAAGCGTGAGGCTGCCGAATCCGCCAAAAAGGTTAACGGGTGTCGAAACCTACCACCAGGAAGACGACTGCCTGAATCAAAGATGCTGACGCTGACTCAAAGTCCACAACTACCACCTCTTAACAGCCTGTCTCGGACGAAGAACTTCCACTAAAAAAATACGCACGACCTCATGTGGGCACACGACCGTTATTCAAAGATATTTGGAATGGCAGCTACAATGCAGACCGAACTCCCTTTGACGCAGATTCCCGCACCGCCTTCGAGAGTTATGGTTCCCTGGATCATTGAAGCACCGATTAACGCGGTTGAAATCCTCGAGGCGATCCTCAAGCCATCACATCCCTTCAAGATCCACACGGCTCGCCATGTGCGCTGCGGCTGTACTCGAACAGCCCGAAGGGGATTCGGTCTTGCTGGGCTGAGGAAACGTCATGCTGAATACACCCAATTGCAGGGCCGACTGGAAGCCGATCGCGACATTTCGTTCATATGCATGCCCGGCACAACCGTCTATACCATCCGCCAACGGCTCTTCGGGGTGTTCACAACTGTTAGGCTGCAGTACATATCAATCCCCTGGGCCACTAGCCCCGAAGCACGGGCCTTGGTGCATCCCATGGGCTCTGGTTCTGCATGAGAAATCAGAACCGGGACGATCCGAACCTATGAGAAACGTCTGGGGACTCTACTCAAGGAGCTGGGGTTAGAGGATTATCAGTTTCGCCGGAGCTTGCTCGAGCAGGGACCACGCCGCTGCGGGGGTGTCTATGGGACTGATTTGCGGGACGGCCGGGTAAGACGCCGGCGCTGCCTGACTTTACGTCAGAAGAAGAACCGGACCAGAATAGGAGAGCTTCAGACGATGGCGTACAACGAGATGGAGCCCATCAGGGCGCACCGGACAGGATAGCCGAGTGCTGTCTCCCAACCGTCCAGCCCCAGGGGTGGTAGGAGTCAAAATACCCTACCGCCCTCGTGCTCAGTCCTCAGGATACGAAAAAGAATCAGTCACAGAGACCGGCGCGAGTAGGGTATGAATTATGTCTCAATTGCCGATACAAAAGCCAACCAGCAAACCTGGCTTATATCCAGCCCCATCCAAGTTGGTCGGGACTTGCTGCACTGTGCTCTCGCCCCTCGAGAGCTCGCCTCTACCATACCTAGGTAGATAGCCGGAAATAGCCCGATCAACTGGGGTAACCACCTTTCGCTGCACCTCGATTAGCATCTCGGGCGAGCGCATGGGTTCCGAGTTAGTGTCGTCGTCGCATTTCCGGTTCTTTTACGGTATTTTGTTTTCCAGGTAGTAGAAAAGTCAGGGCACTTTCCAGAAATCTATCCCCGGATTCTTCAATTGAAACCGTGGTCATCTCTGTTGCCCGGGCGTTTGCGATCACCAACCCCCCTTCTTCGCTCGCTTGTTTTGTCTTGCGCACTCGATTGTGGCGACCGACCTTGAATTCGGCAGTGCATTTCCAATCCAGTCGTAACGACCCGTTCGCCGAGGTTCGCAAAGATGGTGACCATGTTGACGGGCACCGAGGTGGCCAAGCACGACAACAAGGACTCGTGCTGGGTCATCGTGCACGGCAAGGCCTACGACGTCACCGGGTTCATGCCCAAGCACCCGGGCGGCAGGAAGATCATCCTCAAGTACGCCGGCCGGGACGCCACCGAGGAGTTCGACCCCATCCACCCGCCCGACACGCTCGACAAATACTTGGACAAGTCCAAGCATCTGGGCCCCGTCGATATTTCGACCGTGGTGCGGGAGAGCAAGGCGGAGTCGCCCGAGCAGAACGAGAGGCAGGAGCGCATCAAGAACATGCCGCTGCTGTCCCAGTGCCACAACCTCAGACTTTTAGGCCGTCGCGCAGAGGGTCATGAAGAAGACGGCCTGGGAATATTACTCTAGAGCTGCGGATGATAAGATTGTAAGTTCCTCTAGAGCTAGTTACTTGGAAAGATCCCGTCAATTGTCACACTTAGCTAACATACCCTACCCCAGACAATGCTAGAGAAACAAGTCAGCCTTCCAGCGAATCTGGTTCAGGCTGCACATCCTCATCGACGTCCAGAAGGTCAACTTCACAACAACTATATTAGGCACCAAGTGCTATATCCCCTTCTATGTGACGGCTACGGCGCTTTTCGAGCTGCGCCATGTTGAGGGCGAGGTAGTGCTCACCTGGGCAGCGCGCAAGCACAGCATCATCCAGGTGATCCCGACCCTGGCGTCGTGTTTATTCGACGAGATCATGGACGCCACTGACGGCGACTGGGTACAGTGGCTGCACCTCTATGCAAACAAGGACCGCAAGATCACTCAGCACATCATCGAGCACACTGAAAAGCGCAGCTGCAAGGGCCTCTTCATCACCGTCGATGCGCCGCAGCTGGGTCATCGCGAGAAGGACATACGCAGCAAGTTCGCCAAGCAGGGCAGCAATGTACAGAGCAGTGACGCCACAGACAACTCGCAGGGTGTGGCAAGGGCTATCTCTAGCTTCATTGATCCTGGGCTGAGCTCGAAGGATATTCCTTGGTTCCAGAGCATCACCAAGATCCTAAAGGGTGTGAAGCAGGTCGAGGACGTCATCAAGGCGATTGAGGCCGGCGTCTAGGGAGTTACCCTGTCAAACCACAGTGGTCGCCAGCTCGACTTTGCCCGGTCAGCCATCAAAGTGCTGGCGGAGACGATGCTGGTGCTTAGGGAGCTCGGCCTGGAGAATAAGATCGAGATTTTCATCGACGGCGGTGTCAGCAGAGCAACTGATATCATCAAGGCGCTGTGCCTGGGCGCTAAGGGCGCCGGTATCGGCCGACCGTCCCTCTACGCCATGTCGGCGTATGGCCAAGAGGGTGTCGAGAAGGCGATGCAGCTCCTCAAGGATGAGATGGAGGTGAACATGCGCCTGATTGGCGCTCAGACCGTGGCGGATCTCAGTCTGTCTCAAGTCGACGTCAAAATCTTACTGAGCCACGGCAACGGTGTGCCTCCTGACAACCTCGCACACTGGGTTTACGATCAGTTGGCGAACCCGCCGCAAAGGCAATCCAAGATATGAGCGAGTATTTTGGGGATTGGGGGGTTTTGAAACGGTATTGCAAGTTATATTGTATGAGCATTTATTGTAGGTTCTGAGAAGTCTCGAGAAGGTCTTTTGGTACATTGAAGGATCTACGTATCGAGGAGGGATGAACTTCAGCATTGCGCGAGCCATGTCAGTGGAGCTGAATGCTTGTATGCATAACATAGCGCACTTAGAGCGCATGTTTTGGACAATGAGACATTATCCAGATATGATTACGCCTTCTTGCGTGTTGCATTTGTCTTAGAACTATTCTCAACGCTGGTGACTGAGACTCGGACTGACCAAGGCTCGAGAAGCCAGACTAGGATATTGGAGCCCAGGTCTAGAAATGCAAGCGCTTCTTAACTACTCATTAGGGACCTCCCAACCTCTAAGACATGGCATTGAGACTTAGGCACAACTTAACACTACGTCGTTGCCTGGATCGAGAGGTTCCGGGGTAATCTGTCGTAGAGCCGGAATGTCAATTTTATTTCGCCTAATCGTTGCGCAATACAAGGAATCTCGGGCGTCTCCGAGTCGCGAGAAGTACTTCAAATGGCCAAACAACTAACGAATAATTGCTTTATATGCTTCACGTGTATCCGCCACACCATTAGCTCTGCAGTAACGAGGGTGTTCTAGGTTCTCGTGCATTTCCTGTTCCATGGCCGCGTAACGTTCAGGAGTAAGACGGCGGGTTGGCGTCGTCGCTTGACAAATCAGCCAGAGGGCTTCAGACCTGTATAATTCTCCCAAGGCTTCGATAGTGTGGGCTTTTCCATCTTGCTCCAATACTTCAGCCAGCACGTTGATGATGCTCTCGAAATCTTTGAAATCTACCTCCCCTCGTTTCGTCTTTGCTGTTGAGGCCAGGGCGAAAGGTTCCGCGGTGGGGCAACATAGCTTGAACTCGAGGTAAGATTGAAAGACCGCCGGAATGATGGACATAATGGCCTCATCCGAGGTTGCCACAGCACTGCCGCAGGGCTTTTACCCCAGCGGTGTAGCATCAACAAAGTGAATTAACCCCGGAACTCCCTGGGATCGGAAGGACTCCTGCTCGGCGTGAAGCCGCATCTGATCAGCGGTGGAGATGAGCAGTGCGCTGTCGAGAGTTCTTCCTCCTTACTTTATTCGAAAGGTCCGCCTCTCGCAATTTCGGAAAGGAAATTTATCGCCCCAGTGATGAACTCTTACGGCTCCAATTCTACTACACGCTAATCCGCCCTCCTCCCACAGGATTACCAGTAGAAACGTGCTCGCGTAGGAAGACTGGGAAATAGTTGAAGTGCCGAGGACGACGAGCTCAATTGGGACATCCACGTTCTTCGCGGTGATATCAACAAGCGCTATATCGGGATCGTCAAGGAATAGCTCGCCTTTGGCGCCGAATATGTCGATTGGTATCTTACTCCGTCGGTGCCGTGTGGTGGAAAGTGTGGAGATGGTCAACGCATCATTCGGAACTGCGTAGGTATTGAGGACTATGATCCTTGGTTGTTGTGCGAAGCGGTGCCACGGCTGCTGGGCGTACTTGACCGGAGATATGCGGGAGCTATTCGGATTCTCCAGGAGTACGTCGCCAGCTTGCCTATGAAACTCGATGGGATCGTCGCAGCCGTCGACGGCTCCGGACCAGCCACACCAGGACCAAGAAGGAAAGTCCGGTCTTCGCTGTACGGCAACGGTAGTGGCATGAGTGTGGTACCAACAGAGGCCACAGACAAACAGGCTCACGGGGTCAACGGACATGGGTATGCTTTCCGACGCGGCGGTGGTGGTGACGAAAGGCACGCCCCAGACATGGCGCATAGGCGTATTGGAGGAGGCGATCAGTGATCCTTCTCGCTCGCTAAATCGGAGGGAAGTTTCGAACTGGCGAAGGACCCCGACGAAGGCGTTGAGTGAGTCGCTTGCGTAGGTAAGCTCTCGGGCTGTGTACTCCTTGATGCAGGATATGAGCATGAGCCAGGCGCGTTCCCGGTCTAGCATCACGCCTGATATCCATGACGTTCGTTTGCGCCGCATTTCGGCTGCTAACTGGGCCATGCCGAACATGCCGGATGTCAGAAACGGGAGGATCTCGCGTCCGTTAGCTACGTGAGCCTGGGGTAATAGCATCGATACGCTCTCCCTGCAGTTCATTACCTCGCATTCGAAGTAGACTTCCTGACGAGTGAAAATGAGGCGGCGCCGGGAAAGGAAGGCTTCTTGGTAAGTCCAACCCCTCGTGGCCCAGCGAGACTGGCGGACGACGTCTTGCACAGGGCGTAGCGGCGACATCAGCAAGACATTATTTACAACAACTGCCCGCTGACCGGTCCTCCTCGGTTGATTAATGCCCGCCGGACCCTCATCCTGGCCGTCTTCGGCAGCGGCGATGAGAGTGACAACAGCGTTACGGTAGATAACATTCATGCGCTGGATTTGACCATGTTTCTTGTCCTCGTCGTACTGGTCGATGCAGTACTGATCCACCCACAGGTATCTGAAGCCGAGGCCCTTGGTGAAAAGGAGCGCGTCGCTGACGACCCTTGGCAGCGAGGAAGTGGGCAACACTTTTCGCGAGGCCTGCTCCTTTGGGGGAGCCTTCGTTGTCTTGCCCCATACATAACTCAAGGCAACGTACTCGGGAATAGGTTGATTGCGACGGATAGCCCGCTCTGCCGGTACAATGCGTCTAGTAATGCAGTCGATCAGCTCGAAGTCCAAAAAATCCACGTCTTCAAGGCGTGAACAAGGCCCATGTTTACGGACGCAGTACTCGATCCACGGCTTCGCAGTCCCGGGTGTGAAGTACCGCGGCACATGCGTGGGCTCCAGTAGTGCTCGGTTACCAGGAGAAGGCTGCGCGGAAAGGTCGTGGCACATCAGGTAACGTCCGTCAAAGATAGCTCTTTCGCCAATTTCGTGTCTATACTTGCGGAAGGCAAAGTCGTCCGGAACAACGACAAGAACGCTACTGTCATAGGGGATGTCCTTCCGGGCCCAATCCAGAAAATCGCGACCACGGGCGGTATGGCCGAAGTAATCGCTGGGGCTCAGCAGACTGTGCAAAAGAGAAAATGCCCGTATTTCGGTGCTGTCGTTGGTGAGCATAGATGCCTGGAACATATTACACAAGGCGCAATCCCTTTGCTTGTCTTCTAGGCGCCAGTCACCAATCTTGATGCCGATATCGAGGTCGTCGTAGCCCCCGGGGTGGACGTCAGCGGTTCTTAGGTCAGGCGTGACAAAGCACCTTGTCCTTGCGGCCCGTTCTAACAGGGGGGCCAACTTTCCACAGGAGGAGCATATCCGGTCGGGTTTTGATGGGTTGGATCCCATTTTCTGTGACGCTGCAGATTGTGAGGTGTTCCAGAACTAGCCATGAGCGCTTCAAGAGCTGGCCCTGGCGGGGACAGATCTTCCCGACAAATCTGGAGACTCTGTTAGGCAGTCAACAAAGGGGCTGAGGCCCTTCGTTGGCCCTGACGATGTTGAGACCCTGACCAATAAGATGAATGAAGTATGAAAGAAATACACAGTACATTAAAATTACTTATATATCCATAGAAATAATATAAGAAGCAAGGTACACTGAAGTAGCTGCGCATTCCAAGCAAATCACATAATGCCTAACCTTCTTTGTAAATACACTTTGGCACGGAGAAATCGACAGGAAAGACGGCGCTCTTCAATTGCTTCTCATCATCGACTACATCTGTGACTGGGCCAGAGACAAATATCGCGAGGCCATCATCCAAAGCCTCCGGAGTCTAGCGGCCAACGATACCAGGAGTCTCGCACATGACAGCGACATCTTCTCGGCCTTTGATCACACAACTCGCTGGTCGCCGTGGGTTCCTGCGCAAGAAGATCACCGGGGGCCTAATATTTGGGAATATCAAAAGCGGCCCCTTTCGAGATTTTAACAACGAGATCGGAGCTATTCGCGACGTGCGATATATCCGCTCACATCTCCTCGGCATATACCTGACGGAGGATAATTTCGACTATCTCATGGACTCGACGGACTCGGAGGAAGATTCACGGGAGCTGGCAAGGGAGATTCTCGCCTATCTCAAAACTGCTTGGCGCGTGGAAAGGACCGGCCTGGACCTCCTCGAGCTCATATGGACTGGCAAAGATGGCCGTGGCTCAGATACGGATCACCGTCCCGACAAGGGCTTCTTAGTCGTCGCCAGTCTAGGCGCAAATCTTTCGCCCCAATGGGAACAGTCCAGGACCATATTCTACTTTGCTGTTGCGGAATCTCTCATCGGGTCCCTATCTCAAGTTGCAGAAGTATACCGGATCCAATCGACGCCATAGTCTTAGCACCAACGCCAAAGCCAGGCACTGGCGGTATTTGTCGTTGAAGTTCACAAAATATATTCATTATAGACAGTCAATCCACTCGACCTCGGGCATGCTGACACCAAGCGCGATTGAATTCCGTCCTAACGAGTGTCCGGAAGCACAGCGACGGACGAAATGGGTCTTCGCGAATAAGGTAGGCGTGGGGGTGTATTAAATCTGGCAGTCTTCCCGGTCGTTCGGAGTGGACGGCGTCCCTGACCGAGATGACGATATTAATTGCTGGCATATCGAAAAACCAACTCCCTTCAGCTAGGGTTTGCTTTTTACTACCTTTGCTGAAAACTAATACGAAGGCCTCTCTGGAGATCAGCGGCGCAATATTATGTAGGCCCTCAAAAACGTATATATGACTCGAGCGCAACGGACCACCAGCCTGGCATCGGTTGCTTTCATTGACCCGATGTAATTTCTCGACCTACTTAGAGCGCCTCAAATAGATGACGAGCGGTTTTCTGGCTGCTTCTCGAGATATAAACGACATCCTGCGCGGGATAACTTATTCGCGTGCTTGTCCCGGTCTTATGTTAACTGGGACAACGTGTTATCCCACTCAACTAGAGAACGAGATGAACACGAGCAGTGGGACCAGACCGAATGGAAATGCCAACCCACCCCACCGCTGGCTAGCAGTCACGGCGTGTCTCCGCCTGTGGGTCAGGTCGTCCACCAGATATACAAAAGACACTGCATCAGAAGATGCAAACCCACCTCATCACTCTTCCGAATTTCGGACCGACTCGACCTAGTTCCCCTAGTCGATTGTCCCGTCGGAGAAAGATCTCGAGGTCCTCTCAACACCGATATGGCCACGGTCCGAACCGTCGCTTGTTACTCAGGGTGAAGAAATCCTGTTCGCTACATCGCCGTCGTCGACTGGTTCGAGGAAGGGAGCTCCTCGACAATGCGTATTCGTGATGGGCCCATCGGAATGAGCCGTCGAGCGAAGAGGTCATAAAAGCAGCCATCCGTGCCGGCTCACGTGTCCCTTGAGTTTTGTCTCATAATACCAGGTGGCCCATGTCGCATAACCGAAAAAGCCAATCTGAAGGAGGGATCCCACAACTGCGGCTGTCCATAGGATTGAGATCGATCTTGATGCCTTTTGAGTTCCAATATTTAAAGCCAGGTTTGGAAAGGGGGAAATAGGGGAATATTCTTCACGACGATGTCTAAAAGAGCGGTCAAACATGTCAGGGAAATATTTCGCAAGTCGCCGAGCGAAGGGGACCAGCACAGTTCCAAAACCCCTAGTGCGTCCTACAACTATATGCGTATCAACTGTACCTTCTCCTCCACCATCCTTTCTCACGTATGGCAGATCAAGTGAGCTACCGCGCGGCATCACGGACGAAGTGTATCACTTCTAGTGTCGCTTTGTTAGGCATCCATCGGCAGCTCGTAGAACTACCAAGGATGCGATCCCATCAATGGTTTGCCCATAGGGAATCTGTGCAGTTCATGGAGCAAATACACTAGTCTCATGTCTCCTAGAGCAGGGCAATGAACACTAGGGCCCTTCCAAATATGGCCGGTTTTTAATTTCGCGGTGTTTCGCCTCAATGCGCTTCGGCATCGTAGCTCACTATATAGGAAAGCCTACCCGATTCTTCAGCATCTCCAGTACGTTTCCAATCACGCATCCAGTGAGGTAAGGGGAGAAAGAAAGAAACTAACCGAGACTGTAAATCCGCTCTCAAAGAAAGATCCTGGACGTACTACTTGGGTTAGTTAAGACTGAGAGACCAGCTTTGATAACTGGATAGACACATCGCACTAGCTGAATTCGGAGACAATGAACTAGGTAGTTACGGAGCTCGTCCTCTTCAAGACTAGTCGGCTAACGTAATAGATCTTTTGGGATGATATCTTAAAATCTAATCATATATAAATCATAGACGCCGTTTCTAGGATACGGCTACATTGTTTAGATACGTCTAAGGATGGGATGGAAGAGCAACCAGCCAGTCTGAGCGGAGGCACCGCTGTAACAGCTGGGCTTCAGAGATACTGAGAGTCTGATATTATTGGCCTCCTTTTGTTTTTTAATTTCGAGATTTAATATTTTATAGGCTACATCTCCGGCTTGCTAACCCTCTTACCAGCCACAGAGATGAGGCATGGGGGAGATGGGTACAGTTCAGTCTACTATCCTAAGTTTCAAGCCGATTTGTAGTCTTAAACCTCGGGCGCGCCTTGATAAAACCGACTAGGACAGGTTCACGCCAAAGTCCACCACTCAACAACCGCCTTATTGAAGGCTAGACAGGCACGAGAAAGGAGAATAGCAGAAGTTTCTGGTAGAAAGCCAATTGGAGCGAACCAGCAGGCATGCTAGCTAAAAAAAAGGTTAGAATCTTTACGCGGGCGATTCTAGGCTGGTAGATTCTGTGGGCCATCATATAGTTGGGACCATATCCAAATAATAAAACGTGGGTGAGCCAGAAGGTTGGCCAGTAATACTATCTAAGTTAGATTTAAAAGAATGGCGTCGAGGTATTGTCGTAAATCTCCTGGTAGTACAGACACCGACCGTCAATAACTCCTTCGTCAAGCATGGTCGGATTAGCGCTGCCGTTACAGCCCAAGCACGCAAGCCCAGCTCCAGAAACATCTACCTGCTCCCATCCTGGACCCTCGCCCCAAGGGTCTTTTACGAAGCCAGCCCACGACGTCTGGATTGACTTGCTAAGAGCGATCTCTTCAGCGGTGGCATTTTCCTCTGGGTAAGTGCCCCAAATAAGCCGGAGGTCAGAGACGTGATACGCGCCAAGGCCGGTGTGCCCCTCTGGCTGAGTGTTGGGGAAGGTTGCATTATAGTAGTATCGCCAGGTTGGGACACCGCTTTCTACCGAGGCAATTGTGAGGAGCCTTGCGGGCTATATGAGATGTTAACATGGGTTAACTATTAAAACGGAGGCCTGATAGACTATGGAGAGGGCTACTCTCCATAGACTTCACTTACGCATTGATAAACGAGTTCGGTGTAAGCCTGCGCCGCCGCGTAGAAGAGTGAGAGGCCGTCTGTCTGCTGAATAGCTTGTATTAAACCCTGGAATTGGGAAATAAGTTGCGCATCTCCTCCGGTTAGCAAAGTAAGGTACTGCTCCAATTGCTCCTGAGAAAAGTCCAAGATGTCTAGGTTATAGACTAGAGAGAGGATGGTGCCCTCTTGTGCAGTGGTACCTGTGAAAAAGGGCACTTTTGCGGCATTACCTCCAGCGCGGGCCTCCAGATAAGGAGTAGCAGCCTGGGTAACGTTATCGTTCACGGGTGAGAAGTCAAGATTACCCTCGTTAACGATGTCGCGAATTGTCTGCGGATCAGCGTCCTGCACACATGCGAGTTCGCTGTCTGCACTGGAGCAGTTGAGTGACATGACCAGAGTCTCCCATGATTTCGGTCCGCTATTCCTCGCAAAACCGCTGACCGTAGCTTGGCCGCTTTCAGCCGCGGCTGCGCGGAAGGGAAGGCCTTTCGGAGGTAGGTTGACGAGCCGATCCACAGAGGACGCGCCCGAGGATTCCCCTGCTATTGTGATTTGATCTGGATCACCTCCAAACTTGTGGATGTTGTCCTGCACCCATTGGAGGGCGAGTCTCTGATCCAAGAAACCGACGTTTCTCTGCACGAGTGGGAGTTCGGGGGAGTTTGAAAAGCCAAACGCTATCGTAAAACAAATGAGAGCAACACACGTTAGGTCAATTACACATATGCACGCGTGTTGTGATTACTTACCATTTAGGCGATAATTAAAAGTGACCACCAGGATGTTATGATTAGCAGCAAAACCAGACCCGTCAAAAATAGGGTTCCCCGAATAGCCCGACTGGAGATTGCCTCCATAGATCCAGACGAGAACTGGCCGGCCGATGCTCTTACAGCTCGTGGGTGCATAAACGTTAAGAGTCAGGCAATCTTCACTCTCGTCCGCAAGCTCTTCCGGGGCGTCGAGTGCTGATGGCAACCATTAGACGTCGGCTTTTGCATCGTATGTGGTTTCCTGATACTCACAAGGATTTTGTTGGAAGCATCTATGACCCCATGACGTAGCTTCGAAAGGATTGGTTGAGAACCGTTGGAGTGGCTCCGGAGGTAAGAATCGCTTCGACTCGAGAGGAGGCTCGGCATATGGTATTCCAAGAAATTTGTGTACGATCGTCCTCGACGAGGGAACTCTGGTGGCAGTACCTACTATTGTACCCGCGTCCAGAACGACAGTAGGTTGCGGTTTGCCTACAACGCCTGGTGCTAAAAGCACTGTCAAAACGAAGAGGTAATGGGATCTCATATTAAAATTTGCCGCCTGCTTAGCTCGATCTCCTTGGGAAGCAGAGGGTTGTTCGAAATCTTAATATTCAGTAGTGATAAGCAATGACCTTTTAAGTCCGTCGCGGACTCCTACACAAACAAGTACTGCTCTGGACATCTTCCCCGAGCCGTAGTTGTAATTTGTAACTTGGGCATACATCACGGCTATCCGGATGTCGGAATTCACATGTAATTGGTGGAAATCCTTTCACTTCATGCCGTAGGATGACGGAAAATATCAGCACAGTCGCAGTGAAGGATCATCGAGATTAAATATTGAATTTTGATGCATGAAGAAATAGGGAAGTGGCCGCCCTAGTACCTATAATTAAGTTTCAATACTACTCAGCGGCTTGTGAGGGGACGTGGCCTTCCTTTTCTCAAAGTCGGCGCCCATTTCGCTTCCAGGCAGTCACACTTGGACATTCCTTTAACGTATGAAGACTAATTTGCGGAAACGACCCGCCGCCGTTGCAAGGAAACCTGAGATTTTGGGCGTCGCCCAGGTTACGTAGCTCGCCCCCTAAGACCTAGTTCTCGGTACCCTCAAATCCCACCCGTTTTACACAAAAGAAACTAAGCGTTTGGAGCGGCGCATTAATCGATTATATGGTAGACTTGCCGGATTTGTGGATTGTAAGAGAATAGCAGCCAACAAGGCCCGGACATAAACCTTCTCATGTCCAGCATTACGGGCTGTTTTGCCACTCTCTACGTAATTAAACGTAATATTGATCCTCAGTCTCTCACCGATGCAAAGGAGGTGGCTCCGTGCCTGAAGTTACCTCTCCACAATTGGCCAATCAATTCGCGATTCCTTAGAATGGGAGAAGGGAAAGGAGGAGAAGGGAGAAGATGAGCCGAGAAAGAAGCGCGGGGAGAGGCGGCCGTAAGTAGCTCAGCGAGTCCCACCTCTGGCTGGTGTGAAATGTTAACTTAAGAAACCAATTAGGAACCTACATAACCTGGCAGCACTCAACTGGGTTGAGGAACTTCATAGGGATATCTTCGTCATATAATAGTGGTGTTTTGTGACGAGCTGGATAGTTACCGCCAGCCACGCCATGCTATCTGCAGTTTGAAGGCAAGGGTAGCAGAGCTTTTCAAGGAACCATCTAGCAGTTTTGTCTCCTTACTAGCATTTTTAGGCTCTTCACATGCTATGGAATCCAGCCACCCGTAGCATGCCTCCCTTGGCTCATCTTTGGATGGGTCAACTGGCCGATGAAGGTTAGCCCGTCGGTATAAGCACCGGTCGATACGCCTCTACTGACACGACTTGTTGCACGTAACTCACCTCCTGGAGCATAGTGAATTCATAGGTTCACAAGAGAGTTATAGGTATTTCCGGATCCACATGCTCGTCTTCGTGCTCGTCTATTGCCTTCCTGCTACAAAGCCAGTTTTATAGGAGTTTATCCATGACGTTCTTCTACCACCTGAGCACCTTGCTGCGCATACTCGGGTCGACTGTCTTCAGCACTCTCTCTGGGGTTGGGGTCAGCCAGTTCATATTCTTCCTGGTCTCTGCGACGAAGGGGCTACCAATGCCCACAACATCGACGGGCTGAGCTGGCATGTGCTTTCTAAGCTGAGTGTAGCACCCTGATCATCCGTACTGCATCCAAGGCAGGCAAAAAGAGAAGCCATGTTCGGCTCCACTTATTAAACCATACGGCATGGGCAAAGGGCCTACACTCCCACTTAATGCATAAATACCCTGCTGGCAGCGCGTGAGCTTCTTGCTGAAAGTAATAGAAATGTGCCGCCTGACCTATAGAGTAATCATATGTCACATGTAGTGTGAGAGCCATTTCGCCATCGTCTTCGAATCCGGAATTACTCTCCTTGAGATCTCTGGAAGCAATCATTGAATCGACATCCCAATTGTCTATGACCGAACCCTAATAGATTTACCTAAAAGGACTCGCGCGTTCTATAGCTTATTATTTACAGTTGGCAATATCCAACGAGCCTCCCGTGACAGGAATATGCTTGCAGCCCTGAATCCTGAAACTCTTCATTTTCGACCCCTTCTTGCTGGTATTCTTCGACCACTTTGTGGGCCATAAATCCCCTTTGTCAGCGGCCGTCGCGGACCCAAGTTTCTCGCCCCGGCAGCCAATCTCGCTGTGAATCGAGATAGAGCAACGAGTCCAAATAAAGCTGCAGAACTCAAAGGAACCGACACCCTTTGAAGTGATGTCGTTGTCGATCGGGTAGCAGTCGTTGTCGCCGAGACTGCTGTGGTAGTGGCGCTTCTTTCCGTGGTGGTCTTTTCCGGTCCAGACTGTAAAGCTCCAGGCGTCCGCGCCGGCGACGGCAATTGTAGTGAGTGTAAGGAGCGAAGAGAGCTTCATGATAGATTGGTTGTGCTTGAAATGACTTGAAATAGGTTTGTAGAAGAGTCTGTTGTATTGTAGAAGAGTCTGTTGTTTTGTAGAAGAGTCTGTTGTATTGTGGAAGAAGACTCTGTTGTATTGTAAACATACGCAGACGTGACGCGGCCCTTATATACTTGCGAGCAGTGGTTTGCAAGTAAGCCCGGCTCCATTATCACAAGTCAGCCTGGCGTCATTATCACAAATAAGCCCGGCGTTATTATCCGATGAATTTCTTAGCTAGGTCTGAAGCTGATCGGGGATCTTGTATAAGCAAAAGAAGCTTCCGGATCGGGTATGGCCTCCGACCTGGCAGTGATCTTTGCTCTTTGCAGCGATTGTCATCTGCATAAGTCCCAGAGGTTACCGAAAGCCTTTCGACTTGAGAGGTAAGCTGGGGGAGGTTAAACCCTATTAAGAAATGAATCCACCCAGCTCCATGAGTTACACCGATTCCCTGCCTCTTAGTAGAGTGTTACTTCGCGAGACTTCAAGGGAGAGCGAGGCACTGGCAGAGGACTTTCCGAAGAGTATTCACATCGGCCAAGACGGCGTTTTGAGCCACTTTCTATTGAAGCTACCGCGCCTACCATAGCGGTACCGGGTAGCAGTCCTTGTTGGCTGAAAGGGGGACCCGGGGAGTGTTGGGGAGGCTGCTGGGGAAAATACCCGCTGTATTGAGGCTGCGTCTCCGACGATCAATACATCATTTCGATAATATTTTTAGGTTACTGATGCAGGGACATGGTGGGTATTATGCACGCCGAGATAAATATAGACACGAACCAGCTGCGTTATCTAGAGGCAGGTCGATCCCTGCAATCATCAAAAGTTCCCACCTTCCCTTCCCTTGTTAGCGCTCGGGCTGCTGGGGACAATAATTCCTCAATCGATTCGCTTGCTCAGAAAAAGTTCTACCACGCTTATCTTATCACCCTACACCCAGACGGTGCGATAGAATTTTGCCTCCCCACGACGAGTTATGCGGCATGACTACGGGAGATCCACAGTCGTCAGCGGGACCCCACGGAACGGAACAAATGAACCCGGGGCTACTGGATTACGACGAGACGAGCCAGTAATCCAACATGTATCAACGGATCACGGTGAGTCCGTGATCCTTAGTGGACAGAAAAAGAGACCCCCAGCGTATAGAACCCCTAAGATCCTATCCAGATAGACCTCCTTTCTAAGCTCCTGAGCTATCAATAACATAGTCAACTTTTGCCTTGAATCAGCCCCCAAGACTCACCCCATGACAGACCCCGGTGATCATGACCAATATCTTTGCTCACGAGAAGAACCTGCTCTTTGCCTTTAGGCATAAGAGGGAAACAAACTGCCCAATCATCCTTGTTGCGCATTCGTTTGGGGGGTTGTGGTTCAAGAGGTAGGGCTGCTGAAACAACCGTGCTAGTATCTATCCCCCTAGGCGAGAGGAGACTAACGGTCTTTGCAGATGCTTGAAAATTCAAGAAAGCAGAAGAAAAGACTTCAGCGACATTGTCGAATCAACCACTGCTCTCGTATGCCTTGAGACACCCCATAGGGGTAATAGAGATATAGTGAGCGTGGCAGAAGTCGTACGCAAGACTGCTAGTTGTGTCTAGATGAACATTATTAGTTCTACCGTGCTCGGTGCTTCGGGTTTGAAAACCTCGGATCTATGACGATGTCAAAAGGTTCCTGGATAACGAGTCTCGGCGCGGGGCTTCTGAGTGGAAAAGTACGTTTCACTTACTACTACCGGGATGATTCTTGATGTCTTTGGCGGGGCCTTTATCTAGGGCCCGTCCACTAACGGATGATTTCCAGGTTGCCCCTGATAGCTCTTCCACACTTGGAGATCCACGAGAGCACGCAGAGGGAGGGGATAGGTATTAAATCTCACGTCCTTCGATATCGAGCCTTATCCTCCCGTTCCATGTCTTTCAGACACCAACGGGGAGATGTACCTGGGATGTGTTGGACCGTCATGCAGAGAGCTGAATGCACACAAGAAAGATGGACCAACTATCAGAGAGGCAACCAGGATTTACAAGGGGCAGGGAGACCAAGAAAGAGAGCGTGCATCTGTCTTTGGGCGTTGACAATCGCAGGTTGCAATGCCAACAACTTCAAAATGATGGTTACTGTCTGATAGTTTAGCTGTTGAAATAATAAAATCAAACCCTAACCTCACGCAAAGAAAAAAAAAAAGAAAAGAAAAGAAAAGAAAAAAAAAAAAAGAGAGAGAGAGAGAGAGAGCACTCATTTCCTGAGCCGGCTGCACCCAATAACTCGACTATCTCTCCCGTAATGTCTCCCTTCCCTAGACGCTTCACAGCTTTTGCAGAGGCAGACCCTTTGACCGCCTCGGGAAGACCTTACTGCTCCTCTTCGTCAGATATGTGTCCCTGCTGCGAAGGGGGTGTAGTTTCGAGGTGACAAACCAAATATATGTCATTGGCATGGCCTTCCCGGGTACCCTCAACCTCGAGAGGGCTCAAATCTCATGTGCTGGCCACCGATGCCTCGGGACGTTGACGTGGGCCGCCTCCGTTCTTGCCATGGACGCCGCAGTGCCGTAGCGCTAGGGAACCCGACTTTCCACTAACTGCAACAACGTGACATAGGCGCTTACCGTGAATCTTCAACACGGCGGCTACCACGTCCGCGAGCGTGGCGTTACGGGGAGCTCAAAAGGCCAGTCGGGCAAAGAATTCTGATGGCCGCAGCCTGCTCTTTCTTGAGGATTAGCGTCGTGCCTTATGCATTGAGGAGCTGTAGGAGACGAAGAGGAAAAGAAGTGGTGGAAAGAAAAGGTTGCCTGCCAGATATCACCATGATCCGTCGTTGGTTACATCGTGCCGGCAATATCCTGATATATATCTTCCCCCGCCCACTGTCCCGGGCCCGAAGCCGACGTTGTGCCATCACTCCTTAGCCTGCAAGGCACGGTCTTTCATCGCAGTCAATGCCCTAGCGTACATGGTATTTCACACTTTGTCCGCAGGGGTGGGGCTATCGTCCTGTACCACGGCGCAGTTGGCAGCGCGCCTCATTTTTGCCATAGCCTTGGTGAACTGATGGTATGCCACTGTATTCCTTGTAGGCTCGCCAGTAATATGCTGCATCGTCGTGCTATCGTCTATTTCTCGATGAGTGGGCTGCCTGTACGTGAGGAGTCGCCATGGCTTCGTTTTCAGTGGAGTTGGTGAAGGTTTTGGCCGGCCCTTCTATTCCTTGCCTCCTGTGATGCATTCACCTTCTCGCCAGAACCCCTTCCGCAGAGGCTCGTAAACTCCGGTATCAAGGTAAAGTCCGGGGTCCATGTCCAGCCGAGGCAAATCTGAACGTTCACTAATCTTCTGTTGGGCTTCTAGCGCAAGACTAGTTCGAAAATGGTAACATCGCCGGCGGGAAGGATTCAGCTCCCGACACTCCTGAATCTTCACCATTCCTGGAAGTGTGATCATGCGGGTTATAAATAATGATGGCATGAGACTGACAGCTCGGGAATGACATCTAATAACCCTGAAGTCACCGAGGCGGCTGTGAGACTAGGGGCTCCCCAGCCATCCGCAAAGTTCGATGGATTTACACACCAAGAACCACTCCGGTCGACGGAACCATCGGAGCAATAGGCCGGCTAAGGAATCCGACTCCTGTCCTCCTTTGATAACGACAGTGGATCTCCCCCCTGAGATGTGACGTGACGTGGGACATTAGTCCCACAAAACTGGGAAAACAATAAATATTAAACTTATCCCAGGTCTCTCTCACTTTTATTAAATCCCCGTTACATCCGGTATTGATAAATATCCGTGGACCCTCCTTTCCGCAGCGTCGGATTTTCTTTCCTTTGCCTCTGTTTGTGAATGTCAAACCCGATCGTTGACGTAAGATGGTCGCGATGGTTTCTCCAGTGGATTGGATAAGCGCCGTATGGCGGAGCGCGCTTTCGCAGGTGAATCTGAAGACGATTGTGGTCCTCTACATCCTCCTCAACATGAAGAGCCTGCACTTTATGTGGCATGTATGTCAAGCTTGTTTATCACACTCCGGTGCCGCCCTTCAAACTAGCTAATCGTCCGCTTCTCCTAGGTCCGCTTCATCAAAATCCTGATCCGCCGCATGACCGACCCCGCCGACAAACACCTCAGCCCGCGCTGCCTCTTCCTCCCCGCCATCAGCTCGACGCGTTCCCCGCTCCTCGAATGCGACTACAACATCCACAAGTCCAACTCGACCTACTTCAGCGACCTCGACATGTCCCGTGGTCATCTAACACTCGTGCTCTTCCGCAAACTCTTCAACCCTATCCCGGGTCCAAATAAACGCATCGCCGTGCTAAGTGGCGTGCAGTGCGTATATCGCAAGGAGATCAAGCCATACGAGCCATACGAGATCTGGACCAGGGTCTTGACGTGGGATGACAAGTGGTTGTATGTGGTTAGCCACTTTGTCGAGAAGGGGCGATACGCCCACAAGGAGTATGTGATGCAGCCGGGGAGCAGACCACCTAAGAGGAGAAGGAATCTCCAGCCCAAGGCGCCGCCGAAGACCGTATATGCCTCGTGCATCTCGAGATATGTCTTCAAGCATGTGAGGAAAACCTTGCCTCCTGAAGATGTATTGCGTGAATGCGGGCTGTTGCCAGAGGAAGGGAGTAGTGAGGGGGCCATGAGCCTCGAGGAGATTGAGGCCGTACGACAAAAGTGTTTGCCGATTGCGAAGCTTGAGGATGGGTGGGATGCTGTGCATGAGCTTTTTGATGGGGATGAGACGGCGGCCCTCGGGCGGTATACAGATCTCTTTTGGAAATAATGGAAATCGCCGTGAACCCTCGGCGAGTTTGGGCGTATACGAGGAGTCAAGTTGGAATCCGGGACTGGAATATGCGGATATATACTAGACTAATAATTAGACCTGATAGATTCGACAGACTAAGCGAAATCTACTTGACCCAACAACGGGCATTTTTGTACACCTCTGCCTAGTGTCCTTCAACTCGCCACGATTTATTACCAAGTCCGTTCGCGATGGTGAGTGTCCAGATAACTCTGATGAGTGTCTGCCTGCGGGAAAGTCTTAGAAGATCTTGCAAAAGGAAAGCACGCCTGGTAGATTAGAGTGTATATCTATTCTTGCCTAAACAGTGATGATGTCTCAAGCTTGAAAGACTTCAAATTCCCCTCGAAAATTAAAGATACACAGAAATAATTTCTAACGCCAAGAACGATTCCACCACCTTTCAAAACATTCCAGTTCTTTCCCTCTAGGCTTTTTGCTCTCAAACATGAAAAAAATGAAGGCCCACTCCTCCCTAGCAGTACATCAAACGAGCTGTTCCGTGCCCATGAATCCGCCATGCCTCGCTCTTGAGAAAGAATCCCCGATAAATGCTATCACAAAACTTGCCGCAGTCTCGCGTCTGCGTTTCAAAATAGTAATATTACAACACGTTTGCTACGGGGTTTCGCGGAAGAGCCACAGCAGTGTTACCCACAGAAACCCTTAACGACATCGCTCCGCATCGCCCGAGAGTTCGCAGTCAGGTCATGATGGGAGCAGAGAAACTACTAGGGCCAGCTTCCGGCCAGCTTCTCGGCTCCACTTCCTTCGCCAAATCGTCAGACATGGCCTGCAGGACGAAAATGACTTCGTCGATGATGGCCGCTTGAAGATTTTCGTTTGAGAGGCTGCTTGCTGATTCGAAATTGCAGTTGACCAGCTTCTTGGTTACCCTGTGGTATTTTTCCCCAAGGAACGACAGTCGCCCCATCCTCCGACGAACTGTGATCACGTCTTTCCATGGCACCGTGTCCCATATGCCGATTTGTAGGAGAGCGACGCCAACACAGTACAGGAGCATGTTTTCTATGCCGAAGGCCTCTTTGGCGTGGCGGATGTCCTCCTTCGACAACCTGTTGTTGGCCTTGCCCGCCGCTATCCCGGCGTCCATTTCCAGGTCGGGGGTAGACATGTCGGCTGTTAGGTGTAGAGTGTGGAGGCATGCTGCGAGGTCTGGGTCGTCGTCTCTTTCGGTGTAGAACTGTACTTGGGACATAAGACAGCCCTCTGGCCAGCAGCGCGTGGAGTGGAATTTCAACACGGCCTTGACAAGCGTTAACGCCACCGCGATACGGTGTCGGTCGGAAACGACATCGTAGACGGGGAGTTCAAGGAGAGCTGACAGGGCCACTGGATGGCCAGTATTCACTAGGCTCTCAACGTCCTGGACAGCGTCGTCGAACTCAAAGCGAGACTTCCTTGATATCTCAAATTCGCCGAGCGCTATCAGGTTGTTCGCCTGGTTGAGCAGCCCGCAGACGCTATCACCATCTTTGGGAACAATATGCGTTACCCCAGGCCCAAGTGTCGACGCCTCGTCGTCACTGCTGGTTGAGGTGAGAGTTCTCCGTCTTTTGGGCGATGGAACATCCTCATCCATGTAGTATATCGGGTCTGAGAAAGGATCACCACCGAGGCTAGCGGCAGGAGACAGGAGACCATGACACTGGTGTATCGACGACCTTTTGACCTGGAATGGGAGAGTGCGACTAATGAAGATGGTTTGGTTAGCTTTCGCTTGAGCCCTTGTCTTCGGTTGGCCAATCTGCTACGACTCTACGTACCAGTTGGGAGAATGGGCGGGAAACTGGCGCCCCTGGCCAGCACATTCCAGTAAGAGGCCCACGGCGGCATCCCCACTCCCGCATTGTAGGCACCGCAGTAGTACCTTTGCGGTATGGCGCTCATGGGTACTATCACCACAGGACCACTGTGTTGAAAGCCCATCGAGGAACCCTGTCAACAGCGACCTCGTGCGTTTATAATGTCTAAGAATTTCGCGACTTGTTTGGCCTGGAGGGGTCGGGATCGATCGAGGGTGACTTGTAGATGAACGGACGGCGACGACGGAGTATTCGGGAGGTGGAGACTCCCCCGAGGATGTGTGTGACGATCTCCGAGCACTGCGTTCGCTAAAGAAAGCGGATGCTTCTCTTAAATTTCTCATCTGCGCGTTCATCTCCTTCATGATGTTGATCTGGTCCATGAAGTCTTGTTTCTTGAAAGCGATTCGGAATGCATCTTTGGCGGACTTTGTCCTGCGAACCTGTGACAAAACTGGTTAGCAATCAATCACTAGGGTCATATATCAAGGAAGGCCATCGTGATAATAGATGCCATAGGTTGGACTCGAGCTGAGACTTGCCTTTTGATTCGGCTCTGCAAAGACGCTCAGGTTCGCCTCCATCACTTTCACGGTGGACTCAAACTCCTCGATGCATTCCTTAAACCGATCCATCCTGGTCCCAAGATACTTGCATAATGATTGAGCAACCTCCACCCGCATAGACTCCCATTCTAGAGCTTTGCTGTCGAAGACCATGGCCTCCGCCCGGCCTCTGGTTAACACCCCTTGATCCTCGCACGCGAGAAGGAGTACCCAACACAGCTCATCTTGGAAATTATCGGCCTGGGTCCGGAACCTTCGACGGACGAGGTCGACCTCCCTATCGTGCCGCCGGAGAATCCTAAGCTTTGCCCTTACTACCGATGCTCCATGTATGGCAGAGAGGCAGATCGGGATCACGGCTAGTGCCACCTCAGCCATGACGGGCAAGGCAAACTGCTAGTCGGTTTTTTTTTTCTTCTTCTCTTCACTTGCTTTCTAACAAGGGTTGTATTTTTTTTTTTTTTTTTCGGTGCAAGGTGAAATAGGCGAGAAAAATGTAAAATCTGTGGATGCTGCAGACCGGGCTATGTAGGTTGGGGGAAAAGCGAACCGGGCCGCGGGATGAATCTGCCAAGACGGGATACAACGCACTATTTACTGCCGTCAGCAAGTCCTCATTTTCCCCCCGAAGCAGGATGTAGGACTTCCATCAGCATGCAGCCCTACTTTTTTTCGTCGTCAGAGCCTGCCCACCGAGACAAAACTTGGGGCTTGCTGCACTGTCGCACAACTGCAACCCTTCATCGGCGCGGGGCTTGCTGTTTGGGGAAGCCTGGAAGCCAATCGATTTTTGCACAGCCCCAGGCAGACTGTCTTGCATGCATGCATCGCCTCATAAGACGTGCATGGGAACACGCCCCAGATGATCACAAGTTCCATGGATGTCGAATGATGCAGCGGGCGAAACAGCAGAACGCCCTGTTTCGTTCTTTAGGACGGCCGTTCGGCATGTCGGCACGCACTCGTCGGCCGTAATCCCACTCCTTCGAGTATATCATTCCCCCCAAGCCACAGCCTGCCTCACTGTTCTAGGGCTGTCGTACCCTGCGTTAGCAGGACCCCCTGTGCTGTCAGTCTCGGTTCTGACGCTCCTTTTCATCCGACACTCGACTCCGCTAGCGTCTTTTGATTCTTCGCTGCCCTCGACAGTGAAATTATCTTGGGTCCTCCGATCAAGAGTAATGGATTCTGATCTACTCAAGCGTGCACCTGTGCCGTTGAGTGATGTTGAGATCAGAGAATGGCAGCGACGCGCGTCGTTGGAGTGGGAGCCACCGGCCCAGCAAGGTATCGTGGCCAGCCTGTTCAGGAACATATGCCTTCTTTACAAGGAAATTCTACATGCCATCGCTGGTTCCCGCAGCATCAAAGTTCGAAAGTCGATATACCGTCGCCTGGAAAGCGGATATACTGGACTCCTCATTTGGGGTAGGGACTATAATGTGGCGGATGGGAAACTTGATCGGAAGCTGGACAATTCTCGTCGGCTCCAACACGCGACGATCAAGATTATGATGAGCATCTGCTCCACGCTGACTGAAGGTAGGCAAGCTCGGCTATCGCTTTTTTTCCCCCGAGGAACCTACTCTTGCGGCCCCAATAATTTTGGGGTGCAGTGGAATGTAAAGCTGATTTATTATCGTCGTAGAACTTGTACCTCTCATACGATTCGATCCACGGACTGCGGCAAAGGTAAAATCCTTGGCTCAGCTGGTCTCGGATTCCGTGGAAGACGCTGTTCTCTCTCTTCAACAAGCGGCGGGAGGTTTTGGCGGGTTAAGCGACGACGGGAGCGACACGGATAGCGTCTGGTCAGACGACGCGTCCATGGATGAAGTGGCAGGGAGTCTCAAGACGGATGTCGAATGCCTCATGGACATGGGCCCGCGATTTAGGGATCCGCTGCCGAACAGCGTGGCGGATCCAGACCCTGCGAAGAATCAGGACGCTCATCCCGATAGTGCCGAGGCTCCATGGGACCCCGTGAAGCTTTTCTCCGACCGGATCAAAACGAAGTTCCCCAAGTGCCATCCTAATCTAGTCTTTTCTTGTTCCAAGTCCGTCTACGACACGCTATTAAGACTTCACGAATGCAGGGAGCGCGCTACAATCCCTGAAGTTCCCCAAAAGAGAATGCATGACCCTCCAGACTCTGCACTGGGAACAAGCCTTACTGGAGACGATCAGGAACCACCGCAACCACGAGTACCTCTTTCTGGCGGAGCTAGCCTGGCTGGGGATTCCAAGGCGCCGACGATCTTCTCTTTCATAGGCGAAGATGGGAATACGCGTGCGAGGCTCCCCTCTCAGCCAAAGGATGTTAGCATTGGACAACCGTTCTCATGCATGGCCTGCGGACGCCGCGTGGTTAAATCCCAGTCAACGCGGTCATGGAAGTACGTCTCCTCTCATTTCCTCTCACTTCTTCTTTATTTTCCTCCCTGCGCCTTTTGTGACCTCGTTACATTTCGAAATCGCGTCACTGACTCTCTCTCTAGACAACACCTTCTCTCCGACCTGCGGCCCTGGATATGCTGCCAAGTGGCTTGCCCGTGCGACCACAAACCCTTCGTACACAGAGAAAAATGGCTCACACACCTTAGAGCCCAACACGAGCTCCACCCAGAGTGGGACGACAAGAACTGTCCCTTCTGCGCCAAGTCCGTGCCCCAAGGAGGTGCCGACATGATGCGTCACGTCGAGGTGCACCTGCAGGAGATCTCTCTCATGGCGCTTCCCTCTCCGGGGCCCGACGAGGTTGATGAAGATGGCGGATCGAACATAAGTGAATGGGCGTCTCAAAGCCGCGACGATAGGGATGTCAGGCAGATAAGTAGCATGACGTTGATTGAGCGCGTCCAGGATCATCCCGTTTACAAGTCGGCGAAGCCGCGAGCGGATGGGCTTTGGCACTGCGCGTGGGAAGGAGAGGATTATTGCGAACATGAACCAACTATGCTCAGGGCCGAGTTTGAGTGAGTGCATTTTCAGTCGCTTCTCTTTATCTAACGTAGGTGTATACTGACGCACTCCATCTCTAGTGAATACATTGCCCGCCATCTCCATGACTTCACTTGCAAGGTAGAAGGATGCTTCACAGCCGGCCGGGCCTTCCTCTCCCCCGAATGCCTCCGACTCCACCAGCGAGATGCGCACGGCATGTTCAAGGGCGAGGATCGGCCGTGGCTCTGCACCAGCAGGGGCTGCGGGCGATCGATACCGGGCAACGGGTTTGCCAGCTGGTGGGTCTTGGAAGATCATGTTCGCGTTGTCCATGGACATCTCGAGGGATTGCCGCCTCTGCCGCCTAAACCAGATGATGAGTAAGGATGTAATTAAATGGAAATGAGGTGTGCGGAGGGGCGTGATTATACGTTGGGGGAGTGGGGATATGATTGTCTCCATTCTCAGGATAGCATACGTACTAGGGCTTCGGTGACCGGCATTTCCTTCGTAGTTTCAGATGGTGTTTAGGTAGTTGGGCGAGATAAAGCAGCCACTGACTGGTTGCCAGTTTCATGTTTCTAGTCTAGGAAATGAATTATTAACATTGCTTGCTTGAGAGAGATCATTAGTCTGGCTCCTCAAGCTTTATGGTTCCTTGTTCAGTTGGGAATCTCCTCACTCGGCGGCTCCGCATTGGCAAGGTTGGCTGTACTGCTCGAGATCTACCTCTTGTTTTTCTTACCTCCTTTGAACTCCCTGAGACGCGAAACCTGTTACAATAGGATATCTTGTGATATAAAATGTAAAAAGGGTAAAGGTGCAAAAAAAGGAAACTAACTTCCCCACCAAGGGTCGAACTTGGAATCTTCCGATTAACAGTCGGACGCCTTAACCATTTGGCCATGGAGAATTGCCTAAGCATCTCGTTGGTTGAGCTTTTAACATGAACCCACAATGCTACATACATAGGCGAGTGGAGTGTTGGTGGGAGACCATCTGCAGGCGAGCGGGACTGAGATGCGAAACTGGTGGAAATAGACCCCAACTGTTTTAGGCGTGGACCCATAACTCGGATCCCCAAGGTATGGGAAAGAGGTGGACAAATAATGAGACCTTGAACAATTAAACCGCCCTTTTATTATTAAATTCAATAAATGTGACAGAGAATTTATGGATATGAAGTAGTGTAGTGCGCATCTTCTGGTCGTATCATCACCAGCAACAACCAACCCCCTTTTTGAGAATATAAATGCTGATACAGACCCAATTCCTTCCAGTTCTAGCCTACGAAAGAGACAACCTAAGTACTGAACGAAGTCAAAAAGAAAACACGCAAACTCATTGAAAACTCCTAAACCACTCCAAACGCACATCCCACCTCCACCACACCCCTGGACCACCCCAGCCAGGCAGCCCAGCCCCCACAAGCGTCATTCAACAGAATACGGCTCCGTCCCCCTCATGATGTACACCTCGCCGATCAAAACGGCGCATCCGATGATCATGGAGACCGAGATGATGGGCACGTTGTAGCGCGCAAAGTCCCTGGCACGCACGTGGATGTGCTTGCGGCCGAGGATGTCGCGCCAGAGGAGCCCCGCGAGAGAGGCGCTGAAGGCGGTGCTGAAGGCGCCGTAGTTTACGCCGAGGGCCATGCTGTAGACTGTTGCCCAGAAGGTGCGGTCCGAGATGGGCGGGGAGGTGGAAGTGGCGTGGATGGCTTGCCAAGATTGGAGGACGCGGCAGATGAGGATTGTTGTGCCGATGTTTGTGCCAGCGAACTAGGAATTGGTTAGCTGGGTGGGGTGAACCAAAAGAAGATGAAATAAAATGTAGGGAACGTGAAAAAACAACTTACGTTGCAGAGCACCACAGAGACGAAGCCCATGCCGGCGACAGCGCCGACAGTACCGGTTGCACGGACCCAGTGGTCCCAACCGTGCGCGAAAACAGGGACCCAGCCTTTTGTGACGAGGGCCTGGACGAGGACGAACATAGCGAAGGAAAAAGGGACAAGGGCCAGGGGAAGGTGTGATAGGACAAAAGTGGCGGTGGGAAAGGTTTCGCGGGAAGAGGCCCATGCATCGGAGACAAGGGAGGTAAGCGTTGCCGGTTGCTTCTCCTGCTCCTCGTTTGCTTGGTGTTGCCCGTTTTCGAGGTCGGTTGTTTGTTGCTGTTGCGGTCTTTTGCTTTCTGTAATCGTGTCGCTGGATAGACCCGTCGCGGCTTTCGTGGATGCGTCTCCTTTCACTCCTTCAACGTCGGCGAAGATGGTTGTTTGTGTGCTTGTCAAAGAGCGGTCGTGGGACATGGGCATGTGGATTTTACTATCACCTGTCAGGGACGGCGATTGGGCATGCATCTCCGACGGCCGACAAGGGTGTACTTCGCCTTCGTCTTTCCGCTGCCCCTGTTGGCCGTCTGTCTCCTTCTCTGGGTCAGGATCTGACCTGCTTAACAGCGCACGTTCAGCACGAGCTTCCTCTAGCTCCAGGCGCCCACTCCTCGCAATCTCGCGAGTCTGCTTCCGATGGATCCACCCGGACGCCACGTCCCAGCAAAACATAACCACAGCAGCCGGCAGCGTGATCCAGAAAACGGGCAATTCCCCATCCGTCGGCTTCACGGCATTCAGCACCAGGACGGTTATGAGGGTAGCCGCCATGACCAAGCCTCCGAACGCGGCGCCCTTCTTGTCGAGGTACGGATGCATGATCTCGGCGAGTTCGAGGAGTTTGCCCTTGCTGTCGTTGGCGTGGATGTCTTCTTCTTCCTCGACAGCACCCCTGGCATAGGGGATGCACGGGTTTTTGGGCGGCTCGGCGCGCATCTCTTCGGGGAGCTCGTGCATGGTGATGGATTTCGGGATGAGCTTTTCCTTTCGAAATATGACGTACAGGAGGCATGGGAAGAGGGCGACGACGGTAATAACAACGGGGACGATCATGTTGACGGTATAGTCGACGAATCTGATCTGGAATGCGCCGGCGAGGACGAGGTTGGTCGGATTAGACGAGACGAGGATCGCCGAGACGATATTGGCGATGGCGAACTGAGTGAAGATCCAGGCTCTTGGGTGCTCGATGTTGCTCGAGACTCGCGTCATGTAAGCGAGGAAGGGAGTGCCAGAAAGAATGATGGGGTCATTGCCGATGAAGCTGCCCAGGAGCGCGAAGAAAGAGTAGAGGTAGAAGAAGAGCCTATGGCCGCTTTTCCCTCCCCACAGGAGAACTTTGTAGGCCAGCCAGCGAATCAGTCCCGATGCGTCGATGGAAATGGCAATGTAAGCCAACGAGATGAAGAAAATCATAATATCGATGGGCGAGATGTGGTCGGCGCCAATGGTGCCGCCGCGGACCTCGTCGCGGCCGATGGCGGAGATGGCGAGGAGGAACAAGTCGGCAATCAGCGGCGCTGTGACAAAATTCATGGGAAAGTTAAGCCTCACAAAGGGCTTCACCTTGCCGTTCCCGTGGTCGTCATCGTCATCATCAGCGCGTTGATTTCGCCGCGGCGATATTATCCTCAACGCGCTTAAGAAGTCCAGAATCCCATTCGCAAACCATCGCGGAACGTATAAAGGGATATGGAACGGGAAAAGAACGTTCACATCTACATGGCAGAAATGGTGTTAATCAAACTTCTGTCTTAATTTATGGATGGAATTAAATGCCTGATTTGTTACAGATTTGTGGGAGGGTGTTGTATGCAGGGTTCGAACCGCGCCACATCGCAGCGCATTGGAGGGATCAATGATAAATAGAACGCGACAGGAACTCACTGGTCAGTACGAACAAGACCAAGGTCACAATTGACCTCCACTCAGTGATCCTACTGGTGTCAAGCTTGTCGGACGAGCTCTCAGCCATTCTGGTTCGTGGTTATCTAATGTTTGGAACCGTGCTTTTCGCGTGTGACCAATGGCTAGACCGCGTCTTGTGTCGGCATCAGGGCAGTTCGCAGTTCGGGGGGCCTACTCCGAGCGGAATTGACAGCACCAGAGACCAAAGATATGTCCCAAGCCCCAGGGCCGAAGAGTGGCTTCTCTGATCGTGAGGCGTCGCCCAGAGAAGACATGTGGCGAACACTAATCAATCACCCGAGCACGTGTTTGAAGCTGGCAGCGCTTTACATTGGTGGCGGTGGGAGGTGGACATGTCGGTCCCCGATTGGGAGGGGTGAAGTCTGCCGCGAAGTCTGCCTCGCGGGATGCGAGATGTGAGATGCACAATGAGCTTATTGAAGTGGCTTGTGGCTTCCAGACTTGGCGGCGGTGAGGGGCTGCAGAACCTCCAATTTGTACCTCGTAAGATTAAAAAGAAAAGCAGGGAAGGAACGATGGAAGGGTTCGAACGGGCCAATCAGAGGACGGCATATAGCAGCCCTATTTTGATCGAGTCCCTTTCCCCTTGACCCCTTGCACCCGGACCTGGATTTGAGACGTGGGATGGAAGCATGGAGAGGAATGTATTTCGTAGCTGAGAGGGGCCCAAACCTAAACCTCGATTAGTGAATTCGTTTGTTGATGACTCGTAAAATAGGGCGAACGTCATGGAGAACTGGTTAGCGTCCAGCGCCAGGGGCTCCCCACCTAAACGACCATTGAATTGAACTCACCCCACTCTCAACCTCTCCTCCAAAGCAGCTTAGTCATCTCTGTCAAGAACTAACTATGTCACGTGTTTCGTTTTCCTTTGCTGCACTGCCATCTTCCAAGAAGCACAGCCTCCACCACGATGCAATCTTTTTTTCAGACCCGGGTTTATGATTTATCTCGGACGAAGCGCATTGCGTCTTGCATACTGATCGTCGCGGATGAACTCCACCATTGGAGAAGCTGCTCCCTTGGGACGAATCAGCTTCATTGGTGACTGCATTGGTGGCTTCATTGGTGGCTTCATTGGTGGTGAATTTGTGCTCTTCCAAGTTTGCCCTGGGGAACGCCTCGGAGGGGACTGCAGGCGGGGTATTACTTAGGCCCGAACTTGCGGTGTCTTGGTATGCCGTTTAGTACTTGCCAACGCAGCTCATGAGGCGCATGTCACCCGACGTCACTCAGAAACTTACCAGAACCCGCCTCAAGAACACGAGATCTCTAGAAGGTGGCAGTTCCCACGGTTCCCATTTACATGTTGAGAGGTGTCGTCGACATCTATTCAGCTGCCACGCAGTTCCATTCGGCAGGAGATCCGCCTTTGCTCATTGGTAGCTCTTTTAGCTGATAATCATTAGTCAAGAGGTTGCCGTAGCAAAGCTGCCCCGCCTTGCCTGCCGGCAGTTAATAGTCGCTTCTCGTATCATCCGTCAGCCAGTATGAGAAAGAGAATTATCTCAAACGTCAGTTACCTTGTATGAGGTATATTATGCAAAGAAGATGAGATATCAACGTTTGCAAAAGGTGGGATCAGGCTTCAAGTTGGATGATAAAGGAGACACTAAAAGTAATAACTCCGACATCCTCACTAAGGAGCAGGCCTCTAGATCTCTCAGCATGACACCGAAATAGTCCCAGGCCATGATTAATGGACTACCGACATAATACAATTCTTATTACGGTGAAGCTCATATAAGCCAGCATAATACTCTTGTCTAGTATACAATACCGTGGAGGGTCCCGGATCTTGAAAGAAACCAGAAACGGTGATATTCATACACTCATCACTTCTCGGCTGTCTTTGGGCGGATGAGCACTGACGCGATTAATTTTAAAATGTAAAAAGAAACAATGAGCTTTTATTATATTGTTGATACCAATTTGGTCTTACTGCTATCTATAGTAGTGCGATTTACTTATAGACTCGGGCGGTCACGCCGACACTGGGCCTGGAAAGGGAGTAAATTCAAGGATTTGGAAGTTAACTTCGATTCCTTCAGCGTTGATCACTACTCTCAAGATCTAGTTCTTCTTTGCAAGACAGAGCCAGGCAATCATATCTATCGACGCCGTCTCCTCCTGCTGAGGAGTTAAACTTTCTCTGACGGCCTTCTGCCATCTCGATGTAGCTTCCGGAGTACCATCGTGTAGCGAGTTCCAGAATGGCGCACTTAGCGCTTCCGCAATGCCGTCAGCGCTTCCTGCTTCCCATTTAGACGGTACTACATCTATCTCAATGTTGCCCTCCTCAAAGCCTCCTTCTTGTACTGTTGAATGAAGCCTCTCCTTGGTGTCCCATCCATTGTCGGTTGGAGCGAGTGTCGGGGGGGCGCCAACAGAAACAGCAGTACGCTTCAAGAGCTGCGGGATTCCGGCATCTTTCCAGGTTGTAAGTACAGCATAACCTCCCGGTTTAAGCACCCGATAAATCTCCCTGGTACATTCAGAGGCCTCCGGGGTGAACATAATTCCGAAGTTCATGAAAACGAGATCAAATTCATCGTCGGGGACGCCCTGGAGGTTCTGTGCATCCTGGACTCTAGATGATACCGTGGCCCACGAGTTCGAATTTGCCATTTGCTGGTAGAGGTCGACCATCCCCGGCGCAATATCAAGCCCAAGGATGGTAGGTGGGGGATCATTCCCTCGCGATAGGGCCTCTTCGATGATTGCGGCAGTGGCTGCGCCATTGCCACATGCCAAATCAAGCACGCGGCTGTGGGAGCCAAGAGGTGGGAGTCGCTTCAATGCGGTGGACGCGATGGGGCGACTGATGAGGGCAGCAAACTTGGCATAGTCGGCGGCCCCAGTGTCAAAGTTGCGTCGAGACATTTTGTGATATTGCCAAATATCGATGACAGACGCGATTGTAGATTAGATAGATAGTTTGAAGTTGTCCTATGGCCTTTGTAGAATGTTGTGATGTACGAAGTAGTAAATGTCGGATGGGGAACATGATGACGTTTGGAGTTGGGAAGTAACTGACCATTAAATATTAATAATCAATAAATGACTTGGCAAAGGCCACCCCTCACATTATGTCCACATAGATTCCGGTCACGCCGAGGTCAAGTACGCTTTCTCTGTCGTGGATTGGTTCTCATCTTCATGTTTTTCCGATGTCGGGGAACGGCTGAAATTTGGAAACCTTGTTGTCCCTTTCATGCCTGCACTGTTGTCGAAGTACTTGATGCTGAGATACATTTCAATGATTTGATCGCGGCTTTCTCCGCGGCTTTTTCCCTCTTGAATAGAAAGAATTCACTCCGTTGGCATTCTTTGCTGTGTTAGCACAACCCCTAGAAACATGCCACACTCGAGAACGTTACGAAGTTGAAGGGAAAGATAGAGTGTAGATAGAGTCTACATGTATTATTACTAAATGAGCTAAATCACCACCATCTATTCACCAATGGGAAACTCGACCAGGTGTTAGCCCGTCCATGTCCACTAAGGATCGTCCACTAAACGTGATGTTAGATCATTAGGGCTTGCAGTCCTTCTGCCAGCGCTTGATGATGATATCAGCAGCCTAAGAAAAAAACTCGTTAGTAATGATGATCCCCCCACCCCCCAGAGTAAGAGGAGGGTATTTTGGATGGGCAATAGCCTACCTTCTCGCCGATAGCGTACGCGGTGGTGGTGGTGTGGGCAGCTGGTAGGGTAGGGATGATGGAGCAGTCGGCAACACGGAGGCCGGGGATGCCGTAGACGGTAAGCTTCGAGTCGACGACACCACCCTTCTCGCGAGGAAGCATGGCAGCAGTGCAGCACGGGTGCATGAGAGACTGAATAATGTTGTTCTTGATGTACTCGGCAATGTCGCTGGGATCAGTGACGTTGGCACCGGGAGCAACCTCAACGGCGTTGAGAGACTGCCAGGTGTCGGTGGCATAGAGACGACGGAAGTAGTCAAAGTAAGTAACCATGATGTCAATATCAATAGGATTAGCAGCGGTGCGGTAGTTGACAATGGGGGTAGCGTCGTGGTCCTCGGGGTTAAGCAGAACAGTGCCACGGCTCAGGGGCTTAAGGAGGAAAGCCGTGCCGGGGCTGCTGGCGAAGGGAGCCTCCAAAATAGGGTGCTCGGGGTTCTCAAGGGCCTGGGCAATGACCTCAAGTTGGGCAAGATAACCTTTCTGGACGGTCTCCGAAGCGCCCGCCGGGAGGTACTGGAGCGCGGATCGATCGCTGATTTGCTTTCGGATCTTGGCGACGATCTTCTTGTACTCCGAGGTGATCTTGGGAAGGGAGACGTAGGCGGCACTGTTGCCCATGCCAAGAGTGTAGGGGCCGCGGGCGGGACGCTCACGGAACTGAGCAACAGCCTCAGCCGCGAAGGTAGCGTTATTGGTGATATCGGCCTCGCTAGGGTGGGGAGCATCGACTAAAAGTACCAAAACTAGGGTTAACGTTTCGCCCCTTCCTACCGGATCGAGTACAAGAAGAAGAAAATGAGGAGGGAGAAGAGTTCGAAAGACAAAGGCGCCATACATGAGAAGGTGATTGGGGGACCACAGTGGTCCTGGAAGTTCTGACCAACGCCGGGAAGGTCCTCGACCAGTTTAATGCCGACCGACTTCAGATACTTGGCAGAAGCGACACCGCTGCGCTGCAGAATCTGGGGGGTGTGGATAGCACCGGCAGAGAGGATGACCTCGTACTTGGGGCGGATCGTCTTTACATCGCCGCCGGCAACGGGCCGGAACTCGACGGCAGGAACCTTCTGGGTCTTGTCCACCACAAGGCGGGTAACCTTGTGCTCGACCAAGAGGTCGAGGTTGGGTCGGCTGGCAGCAATGTTGGTGTAGTGGCCAACACCAGCGTGCGAGCGCTCAACGGTCTCCGAGTTCTGAGCGGTAGGAACCCAGCAAAGACCATGCTTGTTACCATTGGCGCAATCTTTGGGGGTCTCAAGACCAAACTCCTCCCAAGCCTTCCACGAGATACCTAGAAGTAGAAGTTAAAGAGTTAGAATTGTTTTTATACCTGGGGCGAGCTGAAGTCTATTGGCATGGGCGTACCCTGGATGGGCCACTGGAATGGAGGGAAGGAGGCCTGGATGGAGTCGCCACCATAGCTGGCTGAATCCCAAGTGTAGCCGAACTCGGCGGCAAGCTCGGGGCTGGGCTCGGTCAAGAAGGAGCTCTGGTGTCTTTGTTAGTAACGAGGTACTCAGTTAGAATGGACTGGTTCGATGAATGCTGGAGGGGGAGGTTCCGAAAAGGGTTGAAGACCCTTAGTCTCGATACCCTTCATATATGAATCTGATCTGTCTTACCTTCTGGAATGAAGGGTACAAGTTCTCCCAGTCCCACTTCTCACCGCCCCTGAACTCGGGGCTACCGAGACGCGCCCACTCGTCGTAATCATACTTGGAACCACGATCGAAGAACTGACCGTTAGCAGCGGACGACCCACCGACAGTCATTCCGAGGATGACAACGGCGGAGCGGTTGTTGACGCTCTCAACAGGCGGCGAGCTGATAACAAGACGGCTAACGCCCTTGCCGTCCTCCGGGGGGTCGAAGTAGCCGACAGACTGTTCAATCTTTCCGTACTCGATGACGAGGACGGTTCCTGTGTAGGTAACATCATCCATATTAATCTTACATGTCGCTGATGGAGAACGCCACCAAGTATCCGGGGTATGGGAGGGATAACATACGGTGGGGGAAGGCAGCCGAGACACGGTCAGCGACAGTTAAACCGGCAGTACCACCACCAATGATGACGAAGTCATACTCATCCCGCAGCTGGGTAACCTGTCGCTTGGAGAAGTCGGAGACCCGACGCGGGAGGGCCTCGACGACACCGAGCACGCAAGCGCCGATGGAGAAAGCCTTGAGGAGACGCATGGCGAAGGGTGTTGAAAACAATAATTGCTGGCAAAGGAGCGTGGGGGATAGACAAAATCCCTACAAACGAATGGATACCCAACAAGAAGGGCAAGAGAGAAGATGGTGTTAAAAGGGAAAGTTAATTCTCTTCCACGCCAAACACACTGCTCTTGGGGAGGGGTGAGGCGAGAGTCTAAAGAAAAAGAAAGGATCATCGCGACTTTTATATGTTGATCTCGAATGGGGACGGATGCTACTCACCCACGTGGAGAGATTGTTGTGGGGACGATGACGGCAAGGAATAACCCCCAAACGAATAGATCCCATAGCTCGGCTCACCTTCTCTTGGCCGAAGTTCAGCAAGGAAATACGAGTGCTACATTTGCCGACTTTAAAGGGGCATGCCTAGCGGTCGGGGCCTGGTAAGGGCATGGTAAACATACTTGTACAGTTTATGGCACTGAAAGGGGGTAACGCCAAGCCGTGTCTTCGTTTCCTTCTCAGCAGTGCTGCTCACTGGTGAAGGCGGCCTTTGGAAAGTGGTTTTAAGCAGCATGAATGGCGAGGTAGTATTGGAACCGGCGCCCCACAGAAATGGACTGCTACTTTCCACACCTTTGTCAAGGTGACAAGGTGGCTTGCAGAAGACATGGGATTCTGCGAAGCACGAAGGAAGCGGGTCTCGGAGCTGCCAAGTCGCAGCCAAAGACAATTAAGGACATTGCATTTCCGTACCTTTTCCTCGAAACATCTGGAGACGATACCTATGTCCTTTCTACAACAATAACCTGACTTGGAAGTTCCGACTCTGTACCGTACCTTGCTCTTACTGCAGGACACGCGATGTACGATGCAACCTGCTCGCCTGCATTGCCCCAAATGACTTCGTAATTGACCCTTATTATGGCACGAAAGGCCCCCTGCAGGTTTTAGTGGGGGTTAAGTCACTGTCCAGTTTAGTTTGGATTAGGGCGAATCCTGGCTTTTACCCCCGGTCCCCCACCGGACGAAGAATCCATCGGAATCTCAGGAGCGACCCCGGTTTAGAGCAAGGGGATGCGACCTCGGGCGCAGTTCTCGCGAAGTATGAATGAATATTGAATACGACGTTCATTTCAAATGCTCGTCTCGGCATTCCCAACTGGTACGCACGTTGGCCATGGACTTGGGACCTGCAGTATGCGACTGAATTGCCGACATCACTACCATACCACTGGCGAGTTTCTCCGGTCCTTCCGGCTTTCGATGACAGCGGCCGCCCCCTTTTATTACCTGACCTTTACCGACGCCAAGGCCTAAAATTGTGTCAGCATCTACAAGATGCATTGTTTTGTTCTTTCTAGGCCCTGAGGGCTTGGAGAGACACGGATATCACACACGGAGATACCACTTATTCAGCTAATGGCTAACTCGCTGCGGCCCTCCAACCCACCCTCGAATGCTCAAGGAATGTCCTGTCCTGAGTCAGTGCAGACTAGATACGGAGATCGCCGGGGGCAAGGTAGGAAGTGGTCCCCCACCCCCGGTTTGGTATGTATCAAAACCCTTCAGATACGGAGGAGAGCTTTTTCATCACGACCCGTAATCATGAACTCACTTAGACCGGGAGGAGAAGGAGAATGTGTGTTTAAAAAAACTACCTACACCACAATAAGAATATAATAGGCTTTTCGGGGAGGCACAAGTCTCACCAATATCCAGAGGCCCCCTCTCCACGTCGAGGGGACCTGCACCCCGAACGCCAGGACGCGGATAGAACTTATCGGGCGTAATTACACTACACTCCCTATCTCGCCCCGCCCAAAGTAATCCTACACGGCGTATGCCACCTTCTTCTTATCGTACTCTTCCTTGTCGCTCCTGGCTTGCAGCTCATACTCGACCTCGACGTTGGTTGTACGCATAATTCCGTTCTTGCAATCGATGATGCCATCCTGCGAACCCGTGGGCGTGGAAGCTCTGCCATCCGCATGGACATTTGCGCTCATGGTTTTCATCACGAAAGTGTCATCATCATCGGTAATGCGCGTGGCGCCCGTGGGTCGGCTTAGCTGCGAGCGGAATCCCGTCGCACGTTTGTTGCTTCTTGGCGCAGCGCTGTTGGCTGGGTACGACGAGCTGTTGAGGCCGGAGAAGAAGTTGGGGAACATTCGTCGGAACATGGGCCAAAGTGCGGGCATGGAGGCGGCGACAATAGCGAGGTTGCTCTCGATAGGGGAGATGGTCCAACCGACAGAATAGTAGATGTCCTTAGAACCGAGGCCCTTGTAGAACTGGTTGAACCAGTTGACCAAGAGGATGAGGCGGACGCAAGAGATGACAGTGACGCTTGATGGTTCGTACATTAGAGAGATGGTTTATCGTCAAGGGAAGGAAGAGAAAAGGGCTGCACTTACATAATTCCGAGCGCAAAGACACCAAGAAGAGCGATCTTCAAGCGAATGGGCATCTGGAGACCCATGAACGCCCAGAATGGCACGGCCAAGACAGCAACGTCAGTGATGATGACGATGCTGTTGTACGCATAGTTGAAAGCAATATTGTTAATGCAGGCTCGCTTATAGTTCGGTGTCCAGTTGAGGGAGATGGGATTGCACTGAAAGAGCGTTACGCAGAATATGGAAATCATGGAGCCGGCGTTGATAGCCTGGAGAGCATAGACGGTGTACCGGATCGGCTTCTTGATGCCTATGAGTTTTTGGTCGAAGCAGAGGACAGACGCCTTGACGAATCCGAGGACGGGGTGATACAATAGGATAATGAGCCATTCGTACAGCTTCGAGGTGGCTTGTTGGTCGTACGTGAGTTCGGGCGCGTCCCAGTAGTGGATTCCGGCATATTTCGTTTTCGCGTCTGTCCCAGGGCAGTATGTCAGACTTTGGCTTCTTCTTTTAGGCAAAACACCTGCTTCGCCGCTTCACGGTCTCTTTTTTTCTCATCTTCCCTTTTCTTTGGAAAACTTGAACTTACACATAATCAGCGTATAAAACCAGCCTGTGTTGACAGCCTGGAATTTGTCGTAAGTGAACCAGTCTGTAAATCCTTATTTGCTACCGTAAACATCTCTCGACCTACCATTGCAGCAAGAATAAGGGCATCGTCTACATCAATACTTGTTAGCGCTGCCATTTCACCTTCCTGGCACTGTACATTTGATTGCCAACACAAGCCTGTTGTTCAAAGGACTTACCGACGCCTAATTGCTTCGCTGTTCGTCGACACCATATCCTTAAGCTGATGACTATGAGAGACAATATCCACATGATGCAGATAATCGCCAACCCCAGATGGTGAAGCCAATTCATTTCCTTCGGCGGCGGGAAATCCGTTCCGGGAGCCCATGCTCGCGCCATGAGCCCAGCGGACTCCATCATCACGTTCCACTCCGCTGGTTATGGCCTGGAACGGCGAAACCTAGGTGTTAAGTTGAGGATCCCTGAATCGGTAACGGGTCGGAAGGGTTAGCGAGATAGAAATAGAGAAAGATCGTCGGTGATCGACAGTTCGTAGGGCAGCCGAAGCACGAAAAAGAGAAAAAAAGATAAAAATACCAAATACAAGGAAGAGGATGGGGCAATGCGGCCTTAAAAAGAACCTGTGACGCTTGCCTTTACATGGTATCGAGTGACAATATCAAAATTATCACTGGGTGGCAAGGCGGACAACCCAGGAGATCTGGTTGCTCTCTGATTTTACTATACACTGCAGAGTGCAGACCCGAGGACCATAAAACGAAGCAGGAGATCTCGATATGGTCTAGTCCGGACGATTATTAGAAGGCGCCGGGGAAAAAAAAATTACCAAGAACTCGCATTGCGTACAAGGGTATCTAGGTACAAGGAGGGAGGAAGAAAAATAACATAATGTTGTATGCATGATGGCGGGCATCTTTCTCTTGCCTGTTTAGAGATCAACGAGATGGGAATACCTTCCTCCCCGGTAAAAATCTTCATCTAGGACCGATATCACAGGGTATTCCCTGTAATAGTGACATCTCTTCCTTCGAGGAGGCATACTTCGTGCATACATCGTACGTCCCTTCCAGAATGACACAGCATTGTTGCATCAGGTCTCCCAGTCCAGTGTCACCTCACTCTGCTAGGAAGCAATTTGGACCAGTAGTGTCACTGTCATGTACCCGATTTGCCAAGGGTCCATTTTTACGGAGCTGGAAATGGTTTCAACCCTTGCGAGGCACTCGCTTCCTTCCAATCTACACCACTGGCCTCCCCTTTCCCCGCCTGGGAATCAAGCTGGCCAGTTACAATATACATCATCACCACTATTCCCCGGATAGCAAACCTTCCCGACAAACTATTCCCGTAAGATTGATTTTACTCCCGAACACTTAGAGAAAAGCCCGCGCACTCGGATAAGTTCCGGAGTCTCATTGACTAAGAGCCTAGCGTCCACTCATACTTCGTAACGCTGCGAAGACAGTCCAGTCGGACGGAGGAACAATGAGCCGTCCGCGAGTTAAGTTTAGTGCCTGACAAGGATGGTTCCGGCTTGAGGTCCATCCAACACACTCTTTTCCGGTCTCCGGCTCCGGTGTGGAGCTCGATGGATTGCGCTAAGCACGACCAGGCCCTAGGGGTCCTCTTCATGATCCAGCATGATCCATGCACATTACGTACCAGTCGTCACCAACGGATATCCCTACCCTGGTTCGGTGAGCAATTTCTTCACGGTCGTAAACTTTAAGAAACGCTCCATCGCGCGCAAGGAAGAGCAAAAGGACCGCAGAATGCCACTTGCGTGTCAGGGGTTGGCCCAGACCCACTTCACCAAGACACTTAGCAGAGCAATTCACCCAATCCGGCAACTAGTGTCCAGATTTGGGCACAGCTCCGCCATCCCCGGCCACACAGGCTAACATCTTCAATACTCCGTACTGTTGTTGGCTCCGGCTGTTGAGGGATAGTGCTACATGAGTTAAAAACGAAAAAAAGAAGTCAGGTCGCTCCTGCGTCGCCACAACACCAGGCCCGACCCACTGTAATTACCCCCTTTTCCTGTCAAACTGCCATCTTTGGAGCTTGTGGATAGCGCCTCACTTTTTCAACCAATCTCGAATCTCCCCAGTACATCGTTGTAGCATTAGGATTTGATAGGATTTGATGAAATATCCTAATCCAGACTTGGTGGGGCCGACCCGAACCCGACTGGACGGCGTAGCTAGCTGAACCCCAAAACTGTGACTGACATTCACTGGGGTATATAAACTCATTGGGGCGATGTTCTTCCCCCGGATGAAATTCGGAGAGGAGAGCCGTCTTGGCGATTCTTGACGATGCTTGGAGGCGAAGTACTTCTCGTCAGGCCGACCTAACCCTACAATTTCAGAAGTTCAACGCAGACACCTTTGCAAACAAATGCCAAGAAGCCAGGTACGTGAACAAGAGCTCTACGAAGTAAGATATCTATCTGTACATAGACGAGCTACGAATGTTCTCCAGAGCGATGGAGATCAACGCCATGATGCGAAAAAGGCTCTAGATAGAGCTACGGAGGTGCCATGATAACTATCTCTGTTGGTTCTGCAAAGGATGTGAAAGCTGCAACGAGTCAAGAATATCGGTCTTCGGGGATCAATGGCGTCGGTCGTAACTGGAACCGTTTCGATAAGCTTGGTCAAAGGTGCACTACCTCCGCGCTTCAAACGGGACAGGCCTAACTCTTTTCCAATACGAGTGTCTGGGGACTCCTGGCTTAGTTTCTGTGTGCATTGCCATGAACGGTTTCCATGCCATTTTCACAGTGGATAATGCGGTCGATTAGGAACAGTGCTTTGTAGTCCTTCACGACAAACTGTTGGACTGATATGCAGAGTGTGTTCTCGTCGCAGCCGTCTTTGGGCATTCTCAATAAGGCCACGGCATTAGTTCAAAGTAAGTGCGGAGAAGTACTTTATTAATCTATTTACTCTATACTGAAGGACTTGATCCAACGACCATCTTACTCGTTCGTGTCTACATGGTCCCCCGATCAATGGGAAACCGTTATAATTGTATTCACTACCTCTCAAGTCCCTCTCTTGTAAGCACTAAAAGATCTAGTGTACTCTGTCAGTACCACCATAGTGGCACCTACGATCACCGCTATTGCGCTAATAACACAGTCCAATTTCCAATTTATTGTGGGGCGATTGCGCACCCACGCTTCTCGAGTCCCGGCTTATCCTGGCCGTGGTTGTGGGAGTGATCCGATTGGAAAACCCTAGTAAGTTGTGTTTATGCCGGTTGGGCCTCCAAGAACTAGTGTAGTCTCTTAGTGTTGTGATCTGTTGCGGGGACTTGGTGTTGTGAAAAACAAGAGACACAGGACGGCCGGTTGTCCTCACCGGCGGTAGCTGACCGCTGAGCCGCCGGGACATCCGTAGCATTAGCAGGTTTGACCGCAAGGACAGCAGTAGTAGCACCGGTGATTACTAGCTATCCCATGATAAGAGCAGTATTAAAAAAAATTAAGGCAGAGATCGTTGTAATCAGGGAGGAATAGGAAGTGCTGGGCGTTGAGCTCCAGCGAGAATGGGAACCTACTAACTCTCGTGTAGGAAGTGGAACCGGCAGGATTCGATACGAGGTGACGCCTACTTCCCACAGAATTGAGGCCGTGAATCAGCATTCCCCTGAAGCGGGAAAATGACAATACTCCGACATGTATCATCAGGCTTGAACGAGCACAATCGACTGGAAAGAGTGAACAAAATCCCGAATCCTAGTTCCGTGGAATCGGAACCTGTGAAGAGCGAATCGCATTTGAGAGAGGAGTAGAACTAGCCACCGGAAACCCACCAGCATGATATTGATAACGAACTGTCGAAAACTAGGAAAAGGAAAACGAGAAGGAAAAAGAAAAGAATTAAGGAAGTAAGAAAATGAAGTCCTCCATCCATCTCCTTAGTCTGAAAATTCCTCCTTCTGCCTCTCTGAGAGCACATTATTCTTCCCAGGGAAGAACTAACATGTGTCAAGGCCAGTCAACACTTCTTTCACCGTCTCACCACCAGAGTTATGGTGTTCGCATCACCCGTAAGTATCTCCCTGGTGAATCTTCGCATGACCCGACCCGACCGTTACGCCGTAATCATGGCCAGCTCTACTCAGACGCGACTGACCTCCGTAGGCTTGGCTAATGCGGTCGCCCTGTTGCAAGTCGACGTCGTCGCTCACTTCTGTCCGCTGCCATCGGTGACCCCCGCCCTTCGAGATGGCCTCTTGCACTGCTTGCTCCAGTAACGTGTCTTTGTTGGCTCGGGAAGCGTCGTGAAGCAGCTCCATAACCGCGTTCGACTGGTCGCCTGGAACTTGTTGAACTTCCTCGACTTCTATGCGACACAACTCTTGCTGAGGCTCTACAACTTGAGGAAACAACTTTTCGAGATGGCCCAGATTCTCAGTAATATCATCTAGGAGCCGGTCAAAGAGCTTCTTCTCATACAGGGCCCATCTCGTCTTTCGTCCCCACAACAGCCCGCGAACTCGCTTGGTAATGATGGCATTTGCGCGAGAGTTCAATGCCCTTGTCGGTGTGTCCATATCGTCGGGGCCAAGAATCGTCAAATCCGCCGCATTTGCCAACGGCGGTGGCTGGTCGCGATATTTCGCCGATTTGCGTTCCACTTCGAGGATATCGCATTGGATTGCCGCGAGCAGGTCCTCTCCGGTACTGGCACTTTTAGCGTCGACGTTGACTATTCGACATTTCCCCGTTCGTGGATCTGGGAGAACACCAGCAGATACGCCCCATCTCGTAATTTCCAGCCTTAATGCCGCAAGTCGCGCCTGGGACTTGTCAAAGTCCGGGGCGAAACGACGACCAAGCTCAACATATTCAAAGCATTCTACCACGGACACGAAGATCCCTGACAAGGCGGTGGCAAGCGACACGGCGCCGAGAGTCGCTCCAACTGGTTCAGCCATATTGTCGATGATGCGGATGAAAAGGGCTGCTCAAGTGTAAGAGGGAGGGGGCGAGCTGAGAACCCGTTTGACCCGGCCAACTGACGTCCCTCTATCTAAATCCCCTCCAAACAAGCCACAGCGCTTATGGAAATGCCTTCCATTGGATGGCTCAGCCCCCCAAGGTCCTGCATAAATCTTTACGTGGCTCAGCGATTTACATTGCCGTCAGCTGAATTCGCACATTTCGTTTCTCTTCCCAACCTCATCAAACTACAATACAATCTATCATGGTTTCCGACTGACGATGTCGTCCGCACGCATCCAAGGGGGTGGAGGTCATAGTTTTGGTACAAACACTTTTTCCAACTCCATCGTACATCAAGGGGACCGCTATTGTAAGGAAGCTGTCTGTTCATTATTCGCCAACGCCTTAAGTGTTAATCCTGCTGACCCCAACATGTGCCAGATAATACCGAAGATCCGGCAGGTTCGTGTTCTTAAGCGACGCTCCGGGGTATTTACACTAACGATTGCGAATAAACAGAAATCCATCAAGAGAAAGTTGATGCCTGTCGAAATGCGCTCTTCCTCGCCGACCCAGCCGTCGATCGCGAGACTTTGAAAGACGCCAAAGGCCCGAGGACTACTGGCACCTGCGAATGGATCAGAATGAATAAAGCCTACCAGAATTGGCTTCATGGTGATTCGCGATGTCTTTGGATTTCGGGTGGCCCTGGTAAAGGAAAGACAGTGCTCTCCATCTTCGTCACGGAAGAGCTTGAGAGGTACACGAAGGAATCAGAGGACACGGAACTTGTGTTCCATTTCTGCAGCGGCCAGGGAGAGAAGCCCAACAATGCAGTGACAATCCTCAGGTGCCTGGTATATCAGCTAATTAATAAACGGCGAGCTTTGATCGAGCACATCCTGTCGGATTTCGAAAGTCCGGAGAAATCCCAGGCGGTGCTGTCATCACCCCAAGCTCTCTGGATCATCTTCGAAAAGGTCCTGCAAGCTCCTGCCCTTGGCAAGGTCTTTTGCGTCCTCGATGGACTCGACGAATGCGAGGATGCCGGGCTACTGGCTAGGAAATTCCGCAACTTCTTTTCAACGCAAAGCTCGAGACCAAACAGTGGGCAGTTCAAGTTGGTGATTGTCAGCCGGAAGATCGATGGGCTAGAAGTCTTCCCCCAAGTGAAATTAGATCCCGACAACGACGAATACGTGAACGACGACATTAAACGGTGTATTTCCACTAGCGTTCTGCAATTATCAAGGGTACCAGGGTTCAATGACATTCGCAAGAGGGTTGAAGATGAGCTTCTAAGTCGAGCTGAGGGCACTTTTCTGTGGGTGGGCTTCGTCATGCACGAACTATCAAAAAAACGGACATCCCATGAAATTATGGAGGTTCTGCATAGTGTTCCACCAGGGCTGCCTGCAATTTACAGTCGAATGTTGCTGCGGACGGAGGCTGGTCGGCAGTCCATCATCTCTGAAATCTTACGTTGGGTTACGATGGCTGTTCGTCCTCTAACTGTGCACGAACTAACAGGAGCCATCGCTATCCCTTCCATTGCGCCTCTTAGCAGCGACCGGACCATCCGCGATCATATTACCATGTGTGGGCCTATCCTTCGGATCCGCCTCGAGAACCATCCAGAAGACAGCGCTGTCGATGAGGTCCACCTCGTCCACCAATCAGCTCGAGACTATTTGCTACGAAAGGAGCGTGATGAGGACCCAATTCTCGAGGGATTTCGTATCGAGGGAGAGGAGGCGCATTCTAAACTAACAGGAGTCTGTCTTGATTGCATTGAAAAGAGTGACTTGCGATATGAGCCTCTGGATATTAACGATGCGTCGGTTCTGGAGAAATCTCCCTTATTAAACTACGCATCGCTGCATTGGGCCGAGCACGCAAGAAAGTCTTCTGCTCATGCAGATAAGGAACTTAGCTTTTCACGGCCATTCTTCCAGAAGAAGTCCCGTGTACGGAAAAACTGGTGGGAGAGCTACCAAAAAGCCGAGCCACCATGGCCGTTGTACAACGTGCCTCTATTACATACTGCTTGCTATTTTGGGATCGATTTGTTAGCCCGGAAGTTACTTGCACAGAAGGCTCGAAGATTTACATTCCAAAAGCTTGTGGACAAGATGGATGATAGAGGAAGGACCCCGCTCTTTTTTGCGGCTCGGAGAGGGCTCAAGGCCACTGTTCGGTTGCTACTTGATTACAACCCTGATGTCAACATAAAGGACAAGGAGTCCGGCTTCACAGCGCTGATAGTGTCCGCCGTCGGAGGATACCGCGACATTGTACAACTGCTACTCGAAAAGGGTGCCGATATCAATCTCGAGGCCGAGAATGGCCCGACTCCACTGATCGTGGCGGTCAGTTTAGGGGATGAAGCTGTTGTGCGGCTACTGCTTAAGCACGGCGCCGATGTTAATATGAAGGTCGGCAAGCCCGGCAAAAGAGCACTGGCGTACGCCATCTCCACACAGAATGAGACCATTGTGCAGCTGCTAGTCAACAATAACGCTGATGTTAACGCCAAACTCTTGCCTGGCGGCTCCACGGCGCTGAACTTAGCTATCTTAACTAGGCAAAAGGCCATTGTGCGGCTACTGCTTGAGCACGGCGCTGATGTCAATGCAAATGATAACCGAAATCTATTCTGGGCTGCTCTAAAGGGGGACGAAGCTACTTTACAGCTGCTACTTGAGCATGGTATTGATGTTAATGCGAAAGACGACATATCAGGCGACACAATGCTGATCTACGCTGCTCGCCAAGGGCGTGAGGCCATTATGCGGCTTCTAATAAACAATGACGCCGACATCAACGCCATGAATGTCGATGGCCAGACAGCCCTGGCAGTTGCTACTGGCGAAGGATATGAGGCTGCTGTGCGGCTGCTTATTGAGTACGGCGCTAATGTCCATGCGAGCGATCTCGCTTTGGCAACGCATGAGGCTATTGTACGCTTGCTGAATTCTCACGGCGCATCTTGATGTGATGGTGCGGATGGTGGTTCCTACGCTAGAGCTCATGGAGCAAGGGCTAAGTGGACCGGAAAGGCACTTCCCTCTCCCAAGATGGAAGGTTTCTTCTATTAATTGCTTTTCTTCCTTTGGCTTAAGAGTTTAGCAAGCCTTTACAGCTCATTCTGTCCAGTTTTATGATACTGTTCAGCTCCTTGTTTCGCGATCTTTTCAGCCATTATCCAGGTGACAATACAGTTGGTTCCCTTTCATCATTCATTCTAATTCGCAGGACTTGGGATTCGACGCCCTGCCTCATTCCTTCATGTGACTGCATGTCATCCATCATCCCTTTTCTATAAGGGACTTTTAATGTGTGTTCTCTTCCTGTATTACATTCATCAACTTAATACAACCCCTCCGTCAATAAGAAGTGTTTTCGGTTTGTAATGGGAGTTTGTTTCGGATCGTTGGCCACCCATTCGCTCCTTTTTCGATGTGTGATGTTGTGGTGTACCGACCCGTCTCATTAAGAACCAGCATTCGACCTCTCGACGAAATCAGAGAGGTAAACTAGTTTCAATATAGGCATAAGATGCCAATCGAGCTTCTTTCGAACAGAAGTCTCGACAGCGGCATCAACCTCAATGGAAGATGACGTCGGCTTCGGCTCTTCGTCGCGGGACATGATTTGGGGACTCTCCTTGACTTCCACATTGAGCAGGACGCACCGGTGTGTTTGTGAAGCAAGAATAATCTAAGGCTCGATTTTAAAATTATCAAAAGCGCACTCTTGCGGGGCGTCGGCTCTTCATATGCACAGAGACTACGGCGTGGTGCCTCCCACCGGGAAGAATCCGTGTCACAGCGGTATCATCGGATTCTACATCTTGGCTTCAGCCCTTCAGCGAATAAGCTTTCAGAGGATGACCATTGGAATCTGGGGAAGTCCAGGGAAGTCGAAGTCTGGGAAACTGGGGGTAGCTGGGCTGTAGGTAGGCCGTATCGCCGTGCTTACTTACCGGCCTACACCTGTCCCGACGGTTCCCCGAGATCCCACGGTGAGATACCCCGCACCGGACCGATGAACCGCTCATCCCCCATAGCGAACCGCCTCGCTGCATATCCATCCTCCAACATCACGTCGTTGTCGGGTACGATTGGACTCGGTATAAAGAAGTTCATTTTACCATTTGGCACGTCTGTCATTTCGCCAATACCTGTGGGCGAGAAGGCTATATTAATTACATCCTTCGATGCCCGCAATCACGACAGAACATGGCGATTATGAGCAATCAGGAGACACTGGATCTGTTAAAATCCGTCAATGTGGCGGCATATAGCCTACTAGCACTAGCATCACTCGCAGTAGGGAACACCTGTGAATACACAACCTCCCTTGCTCCAGCAACAGCTAATTCGATTGTCTAAGATCCTTACCCAAATCGCCCTTTCAGTTTTCTCCGGGCTCCGTCATTTTCCGGGGCCCTTCTGGGCTAAATTTTCGTCCTTATGGCTAGTCAAAGAGTGCCGCCACGGCCGCCGTTCAGCTGCTGTCATGAAGGAGCACGAAAAGTACGGCGAATTTGTCCGCATCGCGCCAAACCACATTTCCATCAACGACCCCGTGGCTGTTACCCAAATCTACGGTCATAAAACCGGCTTCACGAAGAGCCAGTTCTATGATGCCTTCCTACAAGTCAGACCAGTCATCTTCAACGCTCGAGATGTAGCCACGCACGTCAGGAAACGGAAATTCTTGAACCCGGCGTTTGCTGCGCGTTCTCTGGCCGACTTTGAGCCCCACATGAATGCGGAGCTCTTATCATGGAAACGTCGGCTACAGCGGATACATGACAGGGAACAAGGGCATCTGGACATGGTTGTGTGGAGTAAGGACACGAACTGGATGCCTTGCTAGGCCATTTCCATTTGCTTTTAGCGCGCTGTGCTAATTATTTCGTGATCGTAGCTAACTTCCTGGCCTTTGACGTAATTGGGAGCTTCGCATTTGGTCGACCTTTCGGCTTCATTGAAAAGGGCAACGATCCATACAACCTTATCCACACAATCGATGTCCGCGGGGAAGTCCTAAACGCCCTCGGCACTCTACCAACTTGGATGAAACCTCTGGCAAAATACAACTTTTTCGATTCATTTTGGAGCTCGGGTCTCAGAGCCACTGCCAGCATCGAGAAAATCGGCCGCGAGGCGTATCTTCGGCGCAAAGAGTCCAAGGAAGACCGTCGAGACATCCTCAGCTACCTCCTTGCGGCCACAGATCCCAAGAACAAAGAACCTATCGAAGAGGACGAGGTCATCGCTGAATATATCAGTTTCATCGTAGGAGGTAGCGATACAACCAGCAGCACAATGACAAATTTTATAGATATCGTCTCGAGAGACCGACAATTGCAGGCACGGATCCAGCAGGAACTAGACGAGACATGGCCTGGAGAGCAGGAAGATGACTGGGTCCCGCAAGAACGTCAGGTGGTCAATTTGCCTTTCTTGGTTGCTGTCTTGAGGGAGGTGATGAGGTTCCGACCCACCAGTGCAACCGGTCTAGAACGCATCACTCCGAAGGGCGGGAAAATGATCGCCGGGAAATTCATACCTGAGAATGTGAGCTTTCAATGTGAGGAGGATACACTCTATCGGGCGCTAACCTGAAAACCTATCAGACCATCGTCAGCGTGCCGACGTGCGGTGTCATGATGAACCCAGACATATTCATCTCACCCAAGGAATTCAAACCAGAAAGATGGCTCGGGCCAGATGCACAAAAGCTCCTAGAGAATTTCCTACCGTTTTCCACGGGGCCTCGAGCCTGTATTGGGAGAAAGTGAGTGATTACCTTGGAATTTACGTGCGGTATAGGTCCGATGAAATTTATCATTCAGCTAACGGACGTAGCTTTGCTTGGGCAGAGGTCCTCAAGGCGATGGCACTTCTGTTTAAGCTCTACGACGTCGAAAGGTCTCATGGTAAGCCGACCGTTCTTAGAGAAGGGTTCTTTAACAAGGCTGCTGAGTGTGAAGTGGTACTTCGCCGGCGCTTGTGAAGGAGGGAAAATCTTTGGTGAAAGGCGGCGAGAAGTATGTAAGCAGACGAAAAAGTAGATACAGGATCCAACTCTTTGCTTTACCTCTTAATGAGATGCCGACGGCTAGATAAAGATTTCCGTGAGTTCAATTCGCGTCAAGCCGTCGTCGATCAAGGGTCTTGCAGTCTATTATGCACTCCAGGGCTTCCAGTAGAACAGCGACGCGACCGGTCTGGTCCCGGATATCTACGACTCTTGCGATTACGTCGGACACGCCCTCGATAAAATTTATCCCACGGAACCGGGGGTGGCTCGGTTGAAGAGATCCGGTTGAGTGCCGGAATGGGCGTCATTTCGCTAAAGGTAGGGGTATCTCGCTTGAACGGGGGAACCAAGAATTTGCCCTTCAAAGACCATCGTTTCCGCTCCGCCTTCAGAATCTTCTCTAATCTCCTGGACTGAAGTGGCATGAAAAAGCCAAACGCTTCGCTGATGCAGGATCCCAGCTGAGAGTTCTGGTTCATTCGCGGATCCGCGCCTGCTTTCACGAATGCTTCCACAATATCCACCCATCCGCGAAGCAGAATCTCCGACTCGGAGCTAGAGACGGGCATTTCGCGGAGTTGCTTTGAGAAACTCATGCAACAGTGGAGAGCCCTATACTGCTTCTAGTTAAGCATGGGGTGGACCTCAATGCTAATGTTAATATACCGTGTGCAGGCGGGACGCCACTGATTGTGGCTATTAGTTTAGGGTACAAAGCTATTATGCGGCTACTGCTTAAGCCAATGTCAATATGAAGGCTAGCAAGCCTAGCCAAACAGCACTGTCATACGCCGTCTTCCACACGAAATGATTCGTAATATTGCCTGGAAATAGCCGTTGGATTTGCCCAACACCCTGGTTTGACCCCACATAAATAGTGCGGCGCCATGAATTGTTTCAAGACAGGTTCCCTTTCTTCCACCTCTATTTCACGGTCTCTGCCACTGCTGCCGTAGCCCAACAAGCCCCATAGTCTTCTAGCCTCCTCTCTGGACATGACGCCGTTTCAGATGTTCTCAACATTGCAGACTAGAGCGCAAAGACAGTTCCAGCCACTACGGCCCTTCCTGCCAATCTTCGTTGTTCCCCAGACATTTCGCCACGTCCCTCTCAGTCACAGATGGCAGCTTCGTCTTGTCAACGTGCTCAAAGGAGACACAGACGATGTGATTTCATTGCGTCTTACAGTGCAGCCTGGCCGAGTAGGGATGGATACTGGCTGCGGCGGAATCATAGATGGCGACATGCTTCCATATATAGCATTATCGTATACGTGGGGAGACCCGCGTGATACTGTCCCAGTCCTGCTGAACGGAGGGCTATTCCACGTCACAAGAAATTTGCATTCGGCTCTACGGCGATTCCGCAACCAACCTGGCGAAGAGTCTACGCTCTTTTGGATAGACGCTATTTGTATAAACCAGGAAGATTACAGAGAAAAATCAATCCAAGTGCGGAGAATGACGAACATCTACGAAAATGCGCAGAAGATATACGTTTGGCTAGGACCCGAAGCAGATGGCAGCTTGCTGGCAATGGGGACTCTCCATGCCGTACACGATTATGTCAAGCAACTCCGAGGCGAGGATTGTGACCGAGAAGTATCATTCACGCAAAGGAGCGAAAATTCCGGTTTATTTGGGCGTCTGAATAAGCCGTCCAATGAGCGGCCGTGGATAGCCTTGCAGAAACTGCTTGGTCGGGCTTGGTGGACTCGTATGTGGGTTGTGCAAGAGTCAACCTGCCCAAAAGTCCCTACGTGGATAGTTTGCGGGCATGCGTCTATGTCCCGTAAGACTTTCTTTAGCGCATGCCACTCCCTGCGCTCCCTCGTCAACATGCCAGAGTATCGACATTTAGCCCGCTATAACTTTGCGATAGATAACATCATCATGCTGGATTTGAATCTTTCGAGCCGTGCAACCGGGGGAAGAACCATGCGCCTCTTTCATCTTCTTCCAGACTCGCGGCGGTTCATTGCGGCAGATCCGCGAGATAAAGTGTACGCCGTTTCAGGTCTCGCATCTGATGCGTCTTCATCACGTTTCCTGGAGCCGGACTATAGCAAATCGCAGCTGGAAGTGTATTGCGACGTAGTCCGCCATTTCATGGAAACGTCGAAGTACATACACAAGCTTGACTTTCTATGTTATGCAGGTGCCGAGATCTATCCTGAAGACGCCACGAACGAACGAGCTGTGCAGGTCTCGCCGTGGCCGTCATGGCTACCAGACTGGAGCAAAGAACCCTTCAATTATCCAATGCCTTTTGCAAAGTTGCTCGAAGACGACGATTTCCCCTTGGGGACCGCACCGGCCTATACAGCCAGCGGTAGACAAGACGATATGCACTCATACCTACCCTCGGATAGGCCCTTAATACGAATAGACCATGATCAACTCAGGTGCTTCGGATTCCTCATAGGCCACTTGTCAGACTTAACTCCGCTGCCGTGGAGCGAAGAGGGGCTGGAGACCCTGACCGAAATCCCCCTTCAATGGACACCTTCATTCGCTCGCGAAGTTTATAGCTTTACAGGCGAGACCCAGTATGCAGCGTATCTCCGTCTAATAGTGGCAGATGCAATGCGAAGGGATTCTACCACTGCGATTCGTCGCGGCTGGTCAATGCCCAATAGCTTGGAGGAGAGATTCTCGGGAGCAAATCGGGTAAAAGATCTAAGTATTTCTGACTACAGCCTTCGGATAGCCTGTCTATCTCGTTGCTTGGCAAAAGTTACTGGGGGCGGGATGGCCTTAGCACCATGTTCTGCACAGGAAGGGGACCAGGTCTTTGCTATTTTTGGCGGACAAAATCTGTACGTGTTACGGCCGGAGCAAGACGATACGTATAGGTTCATCGGAGAATGCTATGTTCATGGCCTCATGGATGGCGAAGCTCTGGACATGCTGAACCGGCAACACTCGGAGGTCCAGGAAATCAGGTTACGATAGACCGAGGGAGAGGGAATTCGGATGATGAAGGAAGCGCTGCAGAAATGGCCAGATTAAGATTTGTAAGACGAAGAGACGAGCCAAACGGGAGGTCAGCATAAACATTAGCAAGTTACCCAAAGCATCAGCCAAATGCTAAGGACCGTCATAAAAGGTAGGCGAAAATGCCTAATGAGCTGATGCCTGACCCAGAGATATACACCATCGCGAGCATCGAGCTCGTTCCACAGGGAGGGTGGCCAATCCCTGTGATCGGAGAAAACATCATCGATGCGGTTTGGTGGGAAGTTGGGGAGTGAAGTCGGGACAGCGGCGTACTAAGTGAGGAATACTCAATAGGCCACGATGACACGCTTAGAGCCTTAGACCGGTTGGGTGTGTGGTTGTAATCCTGGAAAGTCGGAAATGTGTAGGAGAGCGTGTCTGGAGTAAACAAGGGTCGAGAGCCGTGTTTGCCATCCATCGTCTAGTCAGAGTGGTGACGCTAAAAAGTCGGCCACGACGCTAATTGGAAGAGACTCGGGCAGCCTTTGGCTGCTGACGTACATGGTGCTTGTCCACCCTGTTGGTGATATCGTTGCTTAATTAGGAAGAAGGCTTCTTCCTGGGAACAGTGTTCCCAAACTATCTACTGTTTCGGTAGAGGTTCGGTAGAATCAACCAGGGTAAACCAGCCAATCAGAGCTTGGTTCCCACACACCCGCCTGGTCATGGGTAATGGGTTAGAATCTTAAGGACATCATTCCTTTGGGGGGGGTTCCAACTTACTAACCACAGTACTTACGGGAATCCGCAGACAGAGGCTAGAAGCGGGACGTAAGGGCTGCAGGAGGTTAGGATGTATTAGCAAATTTACTAGTGGTCAGCTAATCGTTGCCCTCTCGGGCCAGGCCCACCGGGTGTGATTGAATGAATGTGTGTGTGTGTGTGTGTGTGTGTGTGTGTGTGTGTGAGTGAAACGGAGGAGGCAAAAATTACTAACTCGAAATTCTGGGTGCCTCCCTTCTTCAAGGGCTTCAACAAATCAACTGGGGGTCTTCAGCTAGCTGGTGGCAGAGCCATCTGTATGCTTGGGGTTATCTTAAGGTCAGAGCCTGTACGGCTCGATGGTACAGTCTTCTTCCCGCCGCAACCTGTTCTCGTGGGCGCATACCACAAAATAACAGCATCAATCAGCCCGGGGCACCTAACATAAGATTCAAGGCCAAATAAGCCACGGGAGGGGTAAAGGAACAACCAACAACTGAAAGCTCAGGTTCATGATTCATCAGCCAGGCGCGTCATGCTGGGGCTTGGCAACGCATTCAATATCTCCGGACGTAAGACGGAACGGACGAGCCATCTTCAACGCCTGCGGACGAGAGACGGATCGGACGAGGCCGAAGCCTTCTCGTCCGACACCCAGGATCGTTCCTACCTCTCATTCGCCTACCCTTGCTGACCGCATGGCACTTTTCACCATCCCAATCAATGAATAGGAGATTCTAATTGTTTAGGTCGGTTTGCATTCCACTGATCACAAATACAACGACAAGCTTACTATCAGCACATACGGAGTTCAAGTCCTAAGCGATCAAAGCCAAGCGGTGTCGATGTAAGCTTACGAGATTTTCCCAACCTAGCTAAATTAGCTTCGCTTCAAGGCTGTGATGCATCCCAATTACCGTAGAAATGTCACTTCCAGCCATTAAAGCTTTGGTCCTATTGTTTATTCCAGCTCCTCGTCGTCGGTGAGACTACGGAAGTGAGGGTCCAATGCTGCCTGAAAGGCTGAACTCTCCTCCTGATCCGCAAAGAAAAATCCAAGAGACGTTAGCCGTCCGCAAGAAGCCGCAACAAGACGAAAGATTTGGTAAGCGTGGGCCCAGTAAAATGGTTCAATACTCTCGAATATCTTCTGATAGAAATTGTCTAAATCCTCTGGGAAAGAATCCAAGCGCTGCTGAAGGTCTGAGACGCGATCTCGGTTGATTATGCCGTTCAAGAGACCGCACCACTAGCGCCACCCAAAGGACTACCCCGTTGGCTCCCTTCGCGATATTCTGGACGAGATCCGAAGCAAACTGCAGCTCACGCTTCTGCAAAGCTTCGAAGCCTGGGTTCTCGGAAAACTGTGTGGAGGTATATCTGACAATATCATCGTACGTCAGATCCTGAGGCATGAGACTTGGGCGGGAGAGGAAGGATTCTCCGAAAATGACCCAAGGGCGGGCGACTGGATAGGCACGCCTTGACGTTTGGGGAACCGATGGCATCCCTGAAAAGATCGATGAGGGCCTCTAGCTTCCCATTGAATTCGTCTAGCCTATCTACGAAGAAGCAAACTTTAAAGGAACCACGAGCGGCTAACGTCGCAAGGGATTTGAAGCCTTGAACCAACTCTGCACTGGACCATGGTCGAGGATCGGAGCCGAAGAGGTTACACCTCGCCCACCGTTTCGGAAAGACATATGGTATAATTCTAGGCATCTGCGCCAAGACATCTTGGAGAAGCGACTGAAGCAGCCCTTCCTGAGACATCTGATCCTGACTTCCAGAGTTCCAGAAAGAAAACCTCCCCAACAAAAGCGGATGTCCACCCCTCCGGCATTTCAAGTATTCGCCGCAGAGCTCATTATTCACAATGAACTTCATGAGGGTCGATTTCCCTGAACCAGCTTTGCCAGTTATCCAATACAGACGGTCTCCGTCACCCTCGAGCCATGAGCCACACGCATCTTCTGCAATACAGCTGAGGCTGCTGAACCTATCACGAGCCGCTGCATCAGCAACCAACAGTTCCCGTGGTCAGTGGTATTGGGAAACTCGTGGCGTGGCAGTGCCACGAGGCCGGAATATACCGACAGCCACTATGCTGAAACTGTCTGAAGTACAGAGATGGGGTGGGAAAAATAGCCAAGAATGCAAAAAGCTTCGAGATAAGCCGCGCGATAAAAATAGACCCTCTCGATGACGGCTCCGGCATTGTCATTTTATGGGACCCGGTCAACCGGCCCCCAGGCATTGCCATGGTAGAGCCTAAATCAGCGGCGAATAGACTATCTTCCAAACCAACATGGTCCTTCTCGCGGTGAGGGTCATGATAAGCCAGCAAAGTGAACACTACGGATGGATGACCCCATTTATTGAAACAAGAAAATGACAACATTCGGTCACGTCTCTCAGCTGTCCCAATGTCATTCAATCATCTCCCTAGATTCTACGGAGCAGTACGTGAATAACACGTAGTTTAAATTATTGGGGGGATATGTATGTGGGCTGTGTTACAGCAAATTCCTTCCTACCTCGGAAGACGGTTGTGAGACAATGGTAATAGAGACTTCCTTGGAACTAAAGATGTTGAGATGCGGGAGGCCAACCAGTAGTGCCCAAGACCCAATTGCAAAGCTCCATGGACGTGTCTTGCCTAAGGCACCTCTGCAGCTTCTGACGCGAGCCCCTCACTCCTTCACGGCCCTTCTCGTTCGGCGTACATACGGATGGGTGGGGGACACCAACTCTTAATCACAATTCCCACGCTCCATGTTATCTCTACATCTATCATCCGTCCAGCATCTCACCTCGACATGACCAACCCAGACGATAGCCGTCGAGTCTACCTCCTTTGCCGCCCAATCTTCAGCGGCAATAATGCCCATATTCGCCGGCACAAAAAAATCAAGGAGCTGCTCAACAAGAGCAAGGAACCCCTTCGGCCTTTGTTGGAAGATATCGGAGAGGAAAGATTGATCGAGATCGTCCGAAGCCTCCTTGAATGCCGGATTTTCGCGTCGGAACTTCGCGCCAAGGTCGAGTTTCCAGACCTTTTCCGCCCTTCCCCTTCTCGAGATGCTCAGCGCCAGGCGTCCGAAATCGATGCTGCACGATCTACCGCCGAGGCTTTGGATGAGATCGCCTCCCGAAATGGTGGCGAGGAGGACGTGGACGTGTCCGCTGACGAGGACATTGAGGAGGCGCTAGGTACCATAGAAGATCTGGAGCCGCAACCCTCCGTTCCAATGAAGAAGCAAGCCCTGGGAGACAAGATCCCATCGCTCTACCCCTCCTATCTTCCGTACCAAACCCAACATTTGATTCTCAACATGGCCCAGCAGGTCCTCGAGGAGTGCTGTTTCGATTTTGCGACAACCTCTATGTCCTCTATACTGAAGCAAAAGAAGTGGGAATGCTCTTCCGCGGTAGAGCTAACCAAATGGATAAAGATCTTCCGCAAAAAAGAGGGAAAGATCCACCTTCCACCACTCCCCCCGGAAATCGACAGCGACACACTGGTAGCCATCTTGGCCAAGGTGTCGGACCTCCGCCACACCGCCGTTCACCGGTTGCCAACCACGGCTAAGGGCATTAGTCGGCTCCTCGAACACGCCGTGAAGTTCGCTCAAATTCTTCAAGACACTGTACGTGCTGCACAGCTAGACGACATGCGCTCATCCCTGGATAGCCAGATCCAGGCGATGGAGCTAAACAAGAACGCTCTGGAAGATATGGCCACGGTTGAGTTGCTCGAGATTCAGCGGCAACGAGAAGAGTTAGATCGCAGGGAGGCGGCGCTGATTGACGGGATGTTGAAGGATGACCTGGAGAACAAGGCCCTTGTCGGACAGCTTCTAGAAGACAATGCCCGGGGGATCTTTCATGGAGGGAATAACGTACTGTCCAGGAGCCACGCGAAGGCGGACGTTCCCAGCCCGAAGGGAGAAAGTTCCCGCACGAAGGGAACAGAGGACGTGAGCAAAAATGATGGAAGTAATAGTTGCAAGGAAGTGCAAGGGAACCAGACGAACGGCAGTAGTGGACATGACGATGAAGATGAGCAGGATGAGCGGACGGAATGGGCAAATAAGAATCTAGAATTCATCAAGGCAATCCTCGAAAACTAGGAAATGGCACATATCGATCTCGGTTGTTGGTAAAGAACTAAGCTCATCTGTTGACTGAACTGCTCTAGTCACTCGCCGAAAGCCCGTCATGTCTTAAATGTTCTCTAGTAGTCTACTGAACGCCTCGGTATGATTCTGGGCGGAAAGAGGTATTAGGCGACGATACTAGATTTCTCCGTAAACGGAAACCAGATCCGATCGTCTCTAGGCTACAAGATAAGTGCACCTTACCGAAGCGCCCCTGTTAAGCAAAGACTAGGAAAACTATCATCGACATCCAAGACCATAATCTCATGTTCGTCCAGCGGCAGACCATCTAAAGCATCCTCGGAACTAATCCCGCCATGGCTTTGACCCAGCCGAAGCTTAGCCACTGTTGTTGCATGCGTTCCATTTCCATCCGCGTCTGCAGTGGCGTCGGCGGAGGATCAACGCCCGTGACTGCTTTAAAGGCAGCCGCGTTCAGGATCTGAATGTGGATTATTTTGGGGTTGGCGAAGTCCCATTGCCGCGGTTCCGTTGAGCCAGGCACGATATGCTGCACAATGGTACTGCCTACCCCGATGTCTAATACTTTAGGCTCCTCCGGCCTTAGGGCCATGTGCAGGCCCTGTTCCACATATAAATTCAAGTCCTCTTTGCGGAGTTAGGTTAGCTTCCTTATAGCAGTGGCTGTATTGCAGGTCTACTACGAGGAGCTTATCTTCAAGCTCGATGCCCTTGTGTGCGAGAAGAAGGCGTCCGAGCTCGATACCAGTTTCTTCGGAGAAGGTCTGCTTGGCCATGGCAGCGTCGAAAGGTCTATTTAGAGAGAGATCAAGCGCTATTTCTTTGCCAAATCCATGGACGTAAAGCTGCGGTCCGCCGCCACGAAGCTTGCGGATAAGAGTTACGGCAGCTCCCTATCGAACAGAGACCTGTTAGTCCTATTCTCACTGGTTGGTGATACTCTGTAGTTTATCCTTTTCTGCTAGGTTCCACTGCCTTAGGCCTGTATAAAGGCCGGCCCGTGACAACTATATAGACCGCCCGGAAGTGTCTTACAATTTGGGCTCGGAGTCGCACCAGAATGAGGCGTCCTCTTTATCGGTGATTTTACTCGCCGGGGAGGATTCCGGCACGGCGTCCCACACCTGACACCACGACTCATAGCCGTAGTCTCGATCAAACCGCAGCCTTCCTTTCCGCCACCGTCGCCCACCGTTTTGTTTTTCTCGTAAGTCCATCTTGTAATTTAGCTAATGGATATAATCACTCCGAAGGAGCCGTGATAAACAGGACCTGATGATTCCTTTCTTTGACTCGTCTAGATAGAAGAGACAGCTTACAATTCCTGGCTCTGGTATGTCTCCTTCGCCACTCCAACACGGAAGAGAAAGAAACCAAGCTATTATATCACCTGGCACTGGCTCGGCGGGAGAAATTCAACCAATTCCCGTAATTCCGGAAAGCGATTAATAAGCTTTAGAAATAATGCATTTGTTCTTTCCTGCTTGATGCGATCCTTCTCCTTTTCGGGTTGGGGGGGGGTTAGGTTCCTGGAAAGCGGCAAAGATAATATTCGCTGGACGTATCTTGAAATTAATACGATTGAATCGTTCTTCGAATCTTAGTCGCATGTAGTCACGGAAAATCGACTTCAATATTTCGTCTCCCTGTGGCCTAGTCATGAGAAAACCGAGGATAAGGGCAAAGTCGACGTCGTTCATTGATGTATTTCCGTACTCCCACTCGGCACGGATTGACTCGAACACTTAGAGACATATTTGTTAGTATCCAAGTAGCACCCAACAGAACAGTAGTAAACTCGGTGATAGGTCTATTACGTTGTTTGCAATCGCCAACAGCCTCTTCCCTGTCGACAACGGCCAGGACCTCGATGCCGCAGATACTTTGGACTTGCTTATCATCCCAAGACATGTACTCCCCACTCCTCCTACAACCTTGGGCACACGTATCCCAATAACGTCCTCTCGTCAGTTTTTCTAGGATAATCATTTGCGGAGAATCCCAGACGGCCCTCTCAACGAGACAGAAGGAGAGACGGCTCTGAAGAACCGGGTTTAGTTTGATAGATGGGATAGATTGCGTGTCGTAGCTTTGCCACGAAATTGGCTGCGGTTCCAATTCATCGTCATTGGGCGATTCGGAGCGGGAGTCATAACCATCCACAGGGACAGTTCGAACGAGTATTCCATAATACCACTTCTTAGCAGAATTTCGGTCTACCAAAGTAATGCATCAATGTATGAATGACGACAACTTTATCGAGCAGATCTATGAATAATGGTACGAACCTGACAAGGGATCTAGGTAATCATGACCTTCCCGAAGCAATCTCATGAGTAAACCACGAAGTCGCTCACGGAGAGCCACAATACCGCGCAAAAATCTTATCTTCAGCTCCGATAACGGCTCGACCCTACTTCTAATTATTCTCTGAAGATTCAATTTCATTAATTCCGCGGTGGACTTCCTTGTCGAGCTCGTCCCGTCTATCACGATATCTGGAGCCAGTTTCTTCAGCAACCAAGGTCGATTCTTCCAATGGTCGAGAAGGCTGTCCCGCGCGTGAGCGAAATTGTCTCTAAAGTCAATCGCCAGTCCTGTCAGCCACCCCAAAAATGGGACGACCACGAGAAGGTCTCTGAGAAGTCGAAAACGGTCTGGACAAAGGATGAAGATGCTGGCTCCGATGCAGACCGCCGTAACCGCTTGCCCTTTCGTAACTGTCGTTCCATTGGGGAGATTCTGCCACGCACCGGAGACTCGCTGCGTAGTGCCTTGGAAGAATTGGCGAATTGAGGTCATGATTGATGCTGAATGCTAATTTATAATGAGGGAAGCGAAGCAGACAGAATATAAACGGACTAAGACGAAGATACTGTCTTACTGCTGCTAGGTATAGCACTCAACGTTCCAAGTCGGACTATTTGGTCCAACTCCGCATTGGACTTGACAATGTGGTTGCCTCTGGCTACCTGATTGCAGCCCAAAATCGCATATGCTCCACATCACATACGGCATCCACGAGCCATTAGACGGACAAAGTATCTTGTCCTTGGACATGGTAGTATGGAAATAACGTATTCCGCGGCGCTACAAAGGAGCAGCTGAATTTATGATCTACTTGAGTACAAGGGAATGGGGCAAGCAGCAACCCACGCCGATATGCAGATATGCATCGACTGGGGACAAATATGCCTCGGGCTTGGCCTGCTCGCGCCACACAGCCCCAAACTGCCCAATCCCCCGAGCTCCCCTCCTGCCACAACATCACTGTTCCCCCGAAGTGTTCTAGAATCAAATGCGGGTAAAAGCTTACTACCCATCGTCATCTCCCTTCATAAGTTAACAGGCTTAAAAAGAAGTTAGAGGCTTAAATTTATACCGAAATTCGTTGTAGATAAGTTCAGCAGTGACTAGAAGTTGCTCAATATACCCGAATAAACAGTAGAGGTTGGCAGTGAGGGCAGCGCCTAAACCTTAATTGGTGTTCTATAATATCGTAAGGGGTGTGTGTGACTTGGTGAGCTGAGCCCGATGGGCGTTGTTTGCTGTCCAAACAGCAATCAAGGCAACAAGACCTAGCAAAAGGAACACTTTTCGCGCACTTCTATGTGAACAGTATCGATCTATTCAAATCTAAAGGCAATGAAACGGAAAAAAGGCAATCCAAAGGAAAAAACAAACGAAGAAAAAGGAATAAAAAGGGTACAATACTATGCCCCCTGTTTAGCTTGGAAGGAATCTCCGTCGCCGCAAGTATCTCTTCCACTCCAACTGCCCCTCGACTCAGCATCCACTTTAGTCCGAGGAGACACATAAATGAGCTCCAGTCCGTTCTTCCCAGGCACCTTGCCCCTTAATAACAAGCCAATCTCTGCAGGATGGAACCAATTCATCCAAGCCAACACGATAAACATCAACACCCCATCGAAGATAAAGACAAAGGCCTCGTGCCTCATGAGATACCCATCGTTTCCCTGGAGGTACTCGATAACTCGGAACAGACATCGTATCCAGATGATCACGCTAGTAACGTAGAGCGTGAGGAGGTACTTCCTCCATCGGATGGCGGGTTCCTGGGACCTGGTCGTAGGACGCCGTTGCATCTTGTACTGGAACAGGCCGGCGACGATGACGAAGAAGCCGAAGATGACGAGTTGGACGAAAAGGCCGACCGTGATCACGTTTTCGCCGAGGCTTACCATGTTGTTCGTTTCGTTTCCTGCAGCCATCATCCCACCACCTGGTCGATAGAAAGACCGTTAGTCTCTGTTTCTGAAAGAGGACTTAGTCGATTGCATCGTTTCGTACCTGATCCTTGCATCAATAGCGAGACCACATCCCCAGCCACAAAGATCTTCGTGAGCCACTTCCTTTTGATTAAGGCATGGCCTTCCCCCTCAGTTAACAGAATTATCCTCCCGAGAATCATGTAGATCGAAGCCGCGATGAAAGCCGGAGCGACAAGGATCAGTAGGTTCTGGATAATGTAAGGGTTGAGGGTCCAACAACCCGGATCTTCGCGGGCATTCACCGCCCTGGTTGCATAGCCGATGGTTTCACCTATGATTAGTTAGAGAATAATTTTATCGTCTAAATAGGTAGTTGTCTCTCTCATGACGTACAGAAGCCGCCGATCAACAAGGCGCAGAGATACCATGTTCGGGTCTTAAGGATCTGGACGGCGTGGAGGATCGAGGTTAAGGCGAAGAGGACGCAAAATGCTATCGGCGCAGCTATCGAGGGAACGTATCGGTAGAGGGACCATTGTGCGTCCTCGTAGTATGGGTTGCATTCCATCTTCATCATGGCTTCGAGACCCCGCCGATCGAAGCGGGATCGATTTTATTTCCGCCGCCTGTATAACGTGGTGAGGCAATACTGAGTCCTTAATCACGAGAGGGATGTTCTCACGAGCCTGCGCGAAGAAAAGATGCCAGCTGCTGAAGCGGATTCGATTATCTTCATGAATTCGCCATTTTCCTAAAATTTCCTTGAGGATTAAAACGGAAACAAAAGGCTCTTTTATCCACTGTGATGGCCTGAAGGATTCATGATATAGGGGGCGGAACGAGAAATTGAGGCTTCTGCAATGCCAGGGATGCGAGTATTCGGGATGGATTTAAAGTTGGGCAGAGACAAGCTCAAGGGGCATCAGCTAGCAATCGCTAATCTAATCCTAAACGGGGAACTGTTAATATTTCGCTTCTTCTCTTCATGGACCTGCCAATCTCATGCTGGCCTCAATGCCTCGTGGGGGACGAAAGGAATGGCGTCAGCTTGCACAGCTCAGCCCCAATGTCTCGGAACATTGGAACGTCCATCCCCTGTCGCGCCGTTGGCATGGGTCGAAAGATGTCCAAATGCGGCTAGCAGTCAGACTGGGACGTCCCCGCCAAGACTCTTCCGCGTATTCGTACCGAGGATTCACAGGATCCGCGGATTCGTAAACCCACTTCATCTTTCCATGACGCTGCTTATTAGTGCTGATATTCTGGTTTCTCGCGTGGTGAAGCTGGACCCTCGTATTCAAGAATAAGACACCCTCGAGGCACATTCAGCCAGTATATTCCGCGCTTTTCTCAGTCCACAAGTGCTTTTTTTGCTATGGATGATACTATTATCACACTCACCTCTCTTTCAGGTTAGCATGTCGACTCGAATCTCGCATACCAAGTCCCGAACTGGTTGCTTGGAATGCAAGCGCCGCAAAGTTAAGGTAATTTAATTCCAATTCCCTCCACCACACCACTCTGGCCATCGCCTTCCCCGGCCCGTCGTGCCGATACCGACAAGCCACGTGCATGGATCGATGCTAAAAGGCTGCAGTGTGACGAGCGGCGTCCGGTGTGTTTTAACTGCAATCGGCGAGGTGTTCCTTGTAGCCTCTCCGCCCGCGGGTCGGCACCATCTGTAGGCAGCCTCGAAACGCCTCCGGCGACCGCCACGCCGACTTCCGGTGGCCATTCTGCTGTGACCCCCGAATCTCTGGCTCCGCACTCTCAACTTGATTTCATCCACCTCCCTATAGTCTCAGACTCGTATCGGAACCTTGCACTTCCAGCTGGAGACGTCTGGCGTCGTGACTTGGAGTTAATGCACCATTACAGCACAAACACGTATGCCACTCTGTCTCTCCGCCAGGACATGCAACATGTTTGGAAGATCATACTACCTCGAACGGCCTATCAACACAGCTACGTCATGCACGGGATACTCGCCATCGCCGCTCAGCACAAAGCCCACCTGCTCCCCCTTCACCGCGAAACCTACGTCACTCTCGCAGCATACCACCAGGCTCACGGACTCGAAGGATTCATGCCTCACCTAAACAACGTCTCGGAAGAAAATTGGGAGTCGTTATTTTGCTTTGGATCACTAGTGATTATGTATGCGAGCTTGCTGCCGGCGAGGTCCGAGAGTGGGCGGCTTCCAGCTCCAATATCGGATATCTTGGAGCTCTTTTCGTATGTGAAGGGTATCCAAGCCGTGTTTGAGCCCTTCTTTGATTACCTTCGTAGATCTCTGCTGGCGCCGTTGATTCATGGGGTTTGGATCGCCGACCCGGGAAAGTGGACAAGGTACGCTGCAAGTAACCACGAGATAACGCAAAACGGAAAACTGACCTCTCTATGGTGATCCACCCCTGGACGAGTCCTCTCTTCCGCCCGACACCTTCGACGCAATAAAACGCCTCGATGCGTATCTCCAACAGAACACCCACCCCGACGTCCGAGAGGATTACGCAAACGCTGTACGGCACCTCCTCGACATCGCAAGGCTCATCGCCCACGCGGGCCTTTACATAGAGCCTGGCATGTTGTTTATGTGGGCCTACCTCGTGGCGGAAACCATCCTGGCGGATGTGCGCGCGTTGAACCCCCATGCGTTGCTTCTATTTTCGTATTTTGGCGTGCTTTTCAAGGTGGTGGAGTCGAGCTTTTGGTTTATGGAAGGTTGGGGGAAACAGCTTGTTGCGGACATCGATATGAGGTTGTCAGGGTATCGGGAGTTGGGCGACCTGATGAAATGGCCAAGGGAGTGCGCACTGGGGTAGCAGTTTGCCGCCTTCTGTTCATCGAGGGTATTCCTGGAATGGGTATTCGTCATTTGCAATATCTCCTTACGCACGAGGACTGCCCTTATCAGATCACGAAGTATTTTCGGCCATTGATCAATTGATTCTATCCGTCCGAAATTAATCCGCAATCGCGCAGTCTGCCTGCATGAAACAAAAGGGCAAAAGCCTAAGCCACCAAACATCAATATCGCCAATTCCTAATCCACCCAGAGCGCATTTCCGCAGCATCCTTCAACTTCGATGTCTAGCCTCGCAACGACCTTGGCAGTTGAGTATTCGAGAACGCCGCCATCGGATTCTACTGGCTCGTCTAGTTTCCAGATTTCCACATACGCTCCGGGGGCATCCGTCAACACAGCGTACTCATCGCTCCACGGTGCCGCCGTGACCGAACTTGAAACCGTACCGGATGCCCCAGTTTCTAGCGTAAACATCTTTTTGAGTACAGATCCGTCTTCGTCCAGCAGGAAGCACGAGATGTAGCCTGAGTTGTTTCCTCGTCCCCGAGTGGTGAACCATAGGTACCGACCATTGGGCGAGATGTTTACCCCGGCAGACCAGTACTGGGCGTTGTTTCCTCCTGTGAAAATCCGTCAGTGAGACCATACATCGATGAGAGATATAGCCACGCGTACCCTCCGGAAGCACCGGGAATCTCTCTAGATCCTGCTCCTCAGCGGCCAATCCAGACGTCTCGAGCTTTAGAGCTAGTAAACTATTGGCGGCTTCCAAACTCACATAGCCATAGGTTCCCTTTGGGTGGATGACCATATGTCGCGGTTTCAGCCCGGGCTCCTCCAAGTCGACTCGCTGGAGCACCACAGCATTTCCTGACTCGTCAATGGAATGTACCCAAATGGCGTTAAGGCCCATGTCCGCCGTATAGAGGAGTTCGGTCCCGTTAACCTCTTGGAGCGCAAGGCCATGGGCGTTAGACACTTCCTCGTAAAGCCACGACTGCTTCACCCCGTCAAAAGATCCGTCCTCGGCTGTGGCGACAGACATGCCACATCCGTTCCGGGAGCCATAGGATCCCGAAATGACGTAGTAAGGCTCCTTTTTTGTGGCGATGTTGAAGGCGGAATTTTGACCCTGGCAGGATCCAGAGGTTTGAACGGTGCTAGTTAGTTCGAGGGTGGCCGCATCGTAGCTCGCTAGGCGGCCGTTGTCCATTGAGGAGCCGTAAATGGTTTTCTTGTCATGCTGTGTGCAGCCCATGTCAATGGACCTTCCGCACTTGACACTGGTACGCCAAGCTTTTTAGACCTACGCTGAATGAAATCCAGATATGGCTGTTATTCCCTTCTGTGGTCTTTACCAGGGTCAGCTCATTTGCCTCATCGTCAAACTCGATTGAGTGAATTTTCGGGGGCGCGTATCGGTTTGCAGAAACGAGGTGATGGACGGTGGCGAGGACCGGTTGGACAACAATGGCACCGGTCATCAGCAACACCGCTGCTCTGCTTCGTGGAGCCATCATCCTCGCGCGTTAAATAGGCGTGATGTACGTTTAGTGGCTCATAGAACAAAAGGCTTAAGTGCTGCGAGTAGTCCTGGAGAGTTGTGTTGTCGCAATTGTACGCAAGATAACTAGAGAGGGAGCATATTCGTCGTCGTCGATCTTATCAATCCCTACGAGATCATAGTTTTTACCCGTAAATGATGAGCAACGTCAGGACGGCACGCAACATTGCGTGCTAGAAGGACCGGTTAATAACAAGATATATTACTACTATGCTGACAGCCCGTGATCATAACCCAAGATAGTTTACTGGTTGATTTATATCAATCTTATCTCTTCGTTGACCTGGACGCCGAAATGGATAAACTTGAACTAGTCCGGCGGCCTTCCATCCAGGCCTGAGGGTTCGACAGGTATGAATACAAGCATACGCTGAAAACTTCAGACCCCCGGTTGCTATGTTACGAAGCATGTAGCAAAGGGATGTCTTCGGGATTGGTCTTGCAGATAGCGCAAGATATTCTCGGATGAAGGATAAAGGCGAAGGAGGAAAGGGAGTTTTCCCTCACCCATCTGCTTGACAACGTCAAATAAAATTGGAGTTAAAAATTTACATAAAAATAAATGAAAAATAAAAAAGATAACAATGGAAGGTCTTCCAACTCTACGATTACTGAACAACCGAATTCAAACAGGCCCAACTGAGAGAGCCTCCCGAGGCGGTCTAGTGCTTCAATCGAACCTCGGTCCAAGATCTGAAGGCATCCCAAATGCTCCTTACCCGGCCTTTACTCTTTCGGGGTTAGTCTGCGCCCTTTCAGCAACGTCTCCCCAGACCCCGGATTCCAAATCCTAGTCCAAAGAATCCCAATTGAAAGGCGCAATGCGGAGAGGCGGCAATAACCGATCAATTCCGGTCAATGCCGATCTCGGCAAAGTCAGTAACGTTGATCAATCCTTATCTTTATCTTTCCTTTCCTCCTGAATTATCTTCGTAGTTGCATCAAGCAAAATTTGACGCAAACACGGGGGCATCGCGAGCACCTGGAAGGAAAAGAAAAGGAAAAGGCAGAGAAATAAAATGCGCCAGAATCTGCTCAGTTTACCGAGAAGGGCGGGCCTCTCCGGTCGTGTCCCCTTGGGTGCCTTCATCCGCACCGCCAGCACCAAGGCCGAATCCGGGGCCACGGGAGCTACGTCATCGACCAACGGAAGCAACGGAGATGGAAACGGGAATGGCAACACGCTGGACTCACGATGGTTCTCTAATTTTCGGCACAGGGTCAATAAATTAGACAATGCGAAGCTTCCGGCGGACTTGGCTGAGAAGAGGTCGGATTTGGTTCGCTATGTGCAGGACCATTGGGTAGATCTCCTGGCTGGCAGGGAGGGATACATTACGAAGAAGGAGTGGAGAGGGCTGGATAGCCATCAAGTTGCGTGGGGTGAAATGGTGAGTAAATGAAGGAAGGCATAGGACTGTGAGAGATTATGAGAGATTGTGATTGCTGATTATGGATCCGGCGCCCCTCAACAGGACAGCATGGTGAGTTTCCCCTCTACCTCTTGGAATGATCAAGTTTCTTCGTGCTAACTCGATCCGCAGGGTAATTCAACCTTCCACGTTATCTGTATCCTTTTATTTCTAACGTGCTTTCCCCAGGACACATAAACAACACCATGTATAACCGATACGCAGAAACGTCGCGGGTGAATTGGATCACCCACCATGGCCGCGAGGTGAGCCTAGAGGAAAAGATGAAGTGGGAAAATATGGTGACGCCCCGTGCCGTCGGCCTCATCATGAGGAGCATCATGACGCAGTACAAATTCGTAAGTTTCCGAAGGCGCCCACCAAAAGTCCACATTTATTCCAATTTAACGGCGTTGGACTGAATCCTCCTCTTGCAGCCTTTGACCTTCCCCGACCGAGTCATCGTCCTCCACAGACTCTCTGAGAAACCCACCTCTGCCTCCGACCACATCAAGCTCGAGGCGTTAATCCTATCCGAGACCTACCAGAGGGTGGCGGCGAAGTGTTCTGAAGACAACGTCATTTACGATTACCGGTCGGGCAAGAGGACGCAGTTGGATGCCGATATGGCGAAGACTTTTGGGCACACGTATGATATGCAGGAGGAGACGAGGGCCTTCTACGATGCAGAGATTGCCAGGTTATTCAAGGTGTGTGAGGAACTGGAGGGAAATATCCAGTCATAAAACTGTTCGGACAGGCGGCTATTGTGTGCTGGGACCTTCATTATAGACTAGATAAATTTGGGTGGGAATTTCCTTTTCGATTTCTAGACTTAAGACTGTATTTGTTTTCAATTTAGATACTTTTCTTTGGTCATTCACAGCACTCTCAAACACGAGTGGCGCACTCCCTTCACTCCCATTTCCCCTCCTCGTGATACCAAACTCCTCCGCCTTCACGGTTTTACAACCCGATTCATCATCGGGATGGCAAATCTTGAAGATCCCATTTGGTCAATAGATAGTCAGCTTAGACCGACCCCGTGGATCTTTCCATGAACCTTCTGATTCTTAAGACGCGTAACCCAGCTGAATAGCGGCGGGGAAATTGGGCAGAAGCCAAACGACGCGTGGCATCATGACATTCAAAAATATTATTTGGGGGGCTTCCAACGGGTAAACGACATTCTGGAATTCCCCACCTGGATTTCACGTCTCGGCCTTTAGTACGTCCAATATAAGGTCCCATTCATCTGGTACCTCACGGCTAATATGCCTGATAGGTTGTAGGCATTACAGGGCACCAGGGCACTTTCGTCTACATTGGGGCCATTTGACGTCGTAGCTCAATGCCGACTTTTCCAAGTGAGAGACTTTTTTCGGAGCTCGGTTTCATTTCGAGGCAAAATACCGGGTCTCCTATGATTCGATATCGGCGTGGAAGGCTTGGAATGCCATCGCTAATATGAGCAGATTGTATAATAATGGCTGGTGTATACACCAAGAACGCCCTGAACACCGTACTCTCTCCTTTTTCATCTCTAGGTAACTGCCCAAAGCGTGTTAATTAGAAAGTCTGTTCGCAATGCGCCGGTTCTTCTCCCACGCAGCATTCGCCGCAATGGCAATGACGGCCATCGCAGCCTCAATTGAAGACCTCTGCACCACGGACAACGTCCAAAACATTCTGCCCGCCAATGGGACGATCCTTGGGGTCGATCTTCTCCCCGCATCGGTTTCGACAATTGTTGTCTACAATGCGACCGCCGGGGGTGGAATAGGCGGCGGTTTCGGTGGTCCGACGAGTGACGGTGGCCCAAGGTACACCTACTGTAATGTGACCTTGTCCTATACTCACACTGGAAAAGATGATACTGTGATTCTCAAGTACGCCTTCCCCGGTCCCGACGATTTCCAAAACCGGTTTTTTGTGAGTGGTGGAGGCGGCTACTCTCTATCGTCCTCGGCCACTGGAGGTCTACGATATGGAGCCGCCAGTGGTGCGACCGATGCCGGCTACGGCGCGTTCACGACCAGCTACGATAAAGTTGCGCTGGCCGGAAACGGCTCAATCAACTGGGATGCCGCGCACATGTTTGGATACCAAGCTCTGGGCGAGATGATGGTGGTTGGTAAAGCTCTTGCCAGGGGCTTTTACGAGTTAGACGGCGACGCCAAGATTTACACCTACTTCGAGGGATGTTCCGATGGTGGCCGAGAGGGAATGAGTCAGGTGCAGAGATGGGGAGAGGAGTATGACGGCGTCATTGCTGGTGCACCGGCCTACCGCTTCGCTCAGCTGCAGGTCTCCCATCTTCATCCCGGCGTAGTTGAACAGACACTCGATTACCACCCTCCACCTTGCGAGCTAGCCAAGATCGTCAACGCTACGATCGAAGCGTGTGATACTCTTGACGGACGAACGGACGGGGTGGTTTCCCGGACCGACCTCTGCCTGCTCAACTTTAACCTCACCTCCATCATCGGCGAACCGTACCACTGTGCCGAGAGGAACAGCACCTCTCGCGGCTTCGGATTCGATAAGCGTCAGTTTCCGGGGGCCGTATCGAGCTACCAGCCCGAGCAGGAGGGAACCGTGTCGGCCGAGGCTGTCGCCGTCGCCCAGGCCATCATTGACGGTCCGATCAATTCCAAGGGAGAGCGAATCTACTTGTCGTGGCAGATTTCTTCGGAGTTCTCCGACGCCACGACCAAGTACAACGTCGAGAGCGGCGAGTGGAAGGTTCCTATCGTACCCATGGGCGGAGGGTACGTGACGAGGTTCATCCAACTCCAGGATCTTGACAACCTTCCCAGCCTGGAGAACGTGACATACGATACTCTGGGCGAGTGGATGAACATTGGAATGATCCGGTACATGGACAGTCTGCAGACGACGCTGGCCGACTTGGAACCCTTCCGCTCGTCGGGCGGAAAGCTGCTCCATTTCCACGGCGAATCCGACTCATCTATCCCCGCTGCTTCGTCGGTGCACTACTGGCAGTCCGTCCGCTCCATAATGTACCCCGACCTCTCGGACGAGGAGGCCCTCGAAGCTCTGCAGGACTGGTATCAGTTTTACCTCGTGCCTGGAGCAGGCCATTGCGGGAGCAACCGTCTCCAACCAGGGCCTTATCCTCAGAACAACATGGATATCATGATTGACTGGGTTGAGAACGGAAACACGCCTTCTCGACTCAATGCTACGGTGTCGTCGGGAGTTAATGCGGGTGAAGTCCAGCTGCTGTGCCAGTGGCCAACTAGACCTCTGTGGCAGGGGAACAGCACGGAATTTGAGTGCGTGGAGGATGCAGAGTCGATTGAGAGTTGGACATATGATTTTAATGCATTCAAGATTCCTGTTTATTGATGCTGGTTTGGATATGAGCTTAGAAAAGAACAAGAAGATCAATATTAAAAGATCGAGCTTCGCTCGCAATTTTATTCTTAGCTCATCAACAGTTCTTACATTCAGGGCGAATGGACTGGAAGACTTTTGTTCCAGCCGAATAAACGAATAGCTCTTTTCAATAGATGAAACAAGGATGAAATTAGAAAAAAGGCTCAGTTCGTTCGACCCGCGTCCGATCCCGATCCTACCAGTCTTTCGACGCACCCCAATGAACCAGGAATAAGCTCTGTATCACTGAGAACGATTGGCCAATTGAACCAAGGGAGTGTCAGTCTCGGATGATGCGCATGAACCAACAAGGGAAGATGCGGGATGTGAAGCGGTGGCTGAAACAAGGCCTTCCCGATTTCTGGGTTGAAGCATCTCAACGATGAGATTGAAAAGGAATCATGTTCCGGTCCTAATAAGAAGAGCGTCGCCCATAAGTTGGTATTCCTAGGTGCTGTGTTCGAATCCTCGGATGCTTCTTCCCTGCTTGCTGTTTAATCGCGGCGGCTTCAAAACTCACCAGCTCTCCCTCTCGTCTTCCAAGATCACGGTTTGCGACCACCAACAAGCAACTACCCGCGAAAATGGCATCGCAGACGATAGATTTGTATGGGCTCGTCAACGGCCAATGCCCGCAAAACCGAACCATCCCCTACACCATGTGGCTATCCTCCATGCCTCGAAATGAAATGACGTGCGGCCTCCCGCTGGCAAAGGGCAACCTCGACATCTTCAAGTCGTGCTGCAACACGACCGACACCCAACAACAACAAGACCTCATCATGCTTTCCGACTCGGAACACTCTTTAAATCCGCCGTGTTGGGGCTACTGCACGTTGGGGGAAACGACGGACTACGCGAATCTCCAGAGTCGGAGGGAAGCCTTTTACGACTGCTACGAGAGGAAAACGATTGAAATGAACAGGACGAATGCGGATTCGGACCATATAAAGTGCTTCGGGGACTGGAAAGCGTTGGACGAGTTGAAAAGGATGCAGACTCGCGTGGAGGACGAAACAGAAAACGAGGGACCAGTTGAACCATCGACGCAGATTAGTCTGGGAACCAGGTTCTCGCTGATCCCGGGTTTGTTGTCCATAGGGCTGCTCGTGCAACTGAACGTCTGGTCCATTTAGCAGAATCAAACATTTCCCATCTCTGTCTCCGCTTTCACTTCTGTTGTATCCGAAACGCAAATTCTAATCTCTCCACGCTGGTGCCAAGTCGCTAAAACTTGCCCTGGATCTTAGTACTCTCCACTCCCCCTATCATCCCCTTCTAGGGCTATCAAACGCATCAGAACAGGAAATCCCCCGTGACGTCAGGGGAGGTTAGATTCGGTTTAAGCTGCGCACGTGTCCGCTTCGACTTGCCTGGAAAACTTTTCCCTGTTGAAGCGAGGTAGACGGCGCTATGCTTCTTTCGGCTATGCGGTGGTGTTGTTTTGCGTCACCTCGGCCTGGTCAAGAAGCCCATCTCATTCCATCATCGTTCTGAAGACAGGAGCACCTGGGTAATAGACGGATCCGCAGTTTGATAACACTCCCCTGAGGCTGGATACCGTCTATCTAGAATCCGTTTTGTGGCATCTACTCTCGTGCTGAGATACGGGAATAATATTTCGTCGCCTCTTTCGTACTCGGCTAGATCAACTTTAGGACAGGGCCGCCACAGATTCTCACCGTGTGTGGGGTGTACTAAGAGTCTTGGTAACGGCGATGGAATTTTGATTGATTGCGACGCTAAAGACTTTTAAAAGAGCGAGGCATCCGACCGCCGAGCCGGAGCTTCTCCTCGTTTGAATGAAGAGAACAAACAAACAGAAGGGGAGAGAAATTTCCCAAGATCCGTCGCGAGATCAAACGGCGCCTACCATGGCAAGAAGTCCAACTCGTTCGCCTCCAAACATCCCCTTTGATGATATTTCCCTGAGTTCGCTAGCCCGTACTGGGTCAAGCCACATCATCCACCGCGCTTCGATACCTCCACCGACGGGGAGGGACATCGAGTTCCAGCACGATGTGCGAGATCCGCTGAATCTCTCGTCGCGCCTCAAGGATGATGCCGAGATCAAAGCGAACAGCTCGCGTCGGCGTAAGCCGCTCTGGAGCAACCAAGATGAGGTCCAGAAATTTTACAGGCTTCAGAACGAAAGCATCCGCTCCATGCTGAAATCGGTCGATGAGCACGAGCAGGAGGTCAAGGATGAGCACGGAAAGAATAACTTCATGTACTCCATCTGCGTCAAGGGCTCTCTCCTCGCCAACATCATCCTCTCAGGTCTGCAGTTGTACGCCGCCATCTCGTCGGGATCCCTCTCACTCTTCACCACCATGGCTGACTCGGTTTTCGACCCCCTCTCCGGACTGATGCTATATATGTCTCACCGAGCCGTTGACAAGGTCGATGAACGCAAGTATCCATCCGGCCGCGCTCGCATCTCCACGGCGGGCAACATCGTCTTCTCCTTCATCATGTTCTCCGTCTCGCTTGTGCTCATCGTCATGTCGGCACGTGACCTCGCCTCGGGATCCGACAGTGAGACGAAGAATTTCCACCTGCCCTCCGTCATCGCCGTCGCCATCGCGTTCGGCACGAAGCTTTTTCTCTTTTTCCTCTGCTGGACCGTCAAGGACATATACTCCCAGGTCGACATCCTCTGGCGCGACCACCGGAACGACCTGTCCATCAACGGGTTCGGTATTCTGACCTCTGTGGGAGGCAGCAAGCTCAAGTGGTGGATCGACCCTATGGGCGCCATTCTCCTGTCGGTCTTGATCGGCGGACTTTGGTTGCATACGGCGTGGGACGAGTTTCAGTTGTTGATTGGCGTGACGGCCGACAAGGAGACTCTTCAGCTCATTACTTATATTTGTGGGTTTTCCTCATCATTCCCTTGTCCATTTATTTAGCGAAGAAAACGCTAACCTTAGTAGCTATGACCCATTCGCCTCTGGTCGAGCGTATCGACACCGTCCGTGCCTACCACAGCGGTCCTCGTCTCGTCATTGAAGTCGACATTGTCATCGACCGAAACGAGAGGCTTGAAGTCGTGCATGACGTCGCAGAAGATCTCCAGATCAAATTGGAGAGGCTTCCCTGCGTCGAGCGGGCCTACGTTCACATCGACTATGAGACAAGCCATAAGCCGGTAAGAAAGATCCTCCCGAGGATTCTTTTTTGTTGCCTTGGCCATGCTAACCAGTTATGTAGGAACACGATCTCAAGAAGCTATTGTAGGATGGAGGGGAATAAATAATACTTGTTCATACATGGAAAGTGCTAGGCGGAATAACGAGTACCCTTTTGTTATAGTAGATTGGGGTGAAAACGGGAAAACATTGCATGCGGCGGTTGCATCCACCTGGGGACATTGGTAGATTGGGATGTAAAAGATGTGAATCACTCGGTGTTACAAGTGCTCTCTATAACTAGCTTAAAGCTTGAATATTCATGGTTATTCTGACGTGTGAACGGTGCTAGTGACAGGATTGCGCGCCTTTTAGCCACGAGGCGTGGATGTTGCCGCATTACATTATCTAGAAAATGCAGAGGAAATGCCAAAAATGATGGAAGGAAAAGAGGAGGAAAGAAGAGAAAAAAAAAGAAGGAGATCAGGTCCAACCAGGATTCGAACCTGGGCTTACGGAACTCTCAACATTCGTCAGAATCCGACGTCCTAACCAACTAGACCATTGGACCGCTCGTGATGCGTTGTCCGCCTCGCATCCTGCGCTAAACGCTCTGGGGCTAAATTGGAAGAATTATCGCTTGTGAGAGCCATCATCTCTATCTTCACTGGGTGTATTGACCTTGCTGGCCGAGAGTTTAGTCTTTAGAGGTGCGTTTGCTTTTTATTTATCCTTGTCAAGCTATTTACTTGTCGTCACCGCTGTAGTCTTTCCCAGTTTCTTTCCCTTTCCCTTTTCCTTCTACTTCCTTCCCCTTTTCCATCGGCTTCTGGGCATAGAAGACAAACCTTTGCACAGCTCTAATGTTAGCAGGATTCTTTACAGACGAGCGGGAAAGCGGGCAAGACTTGCACAGGCCAGTAGGCATGAATTTCTTCATTCTTCAGATCCTCGCGGAGGTCGACAAGAAATTCGTCGAGCTCTTCCTTGGACCACCCAAGGAACCTAGTGAAGATGGCGTTGCTGATTGCCTCGAGCCCGTTGTTAATGTTCTCATACGCCCATTGGCCTGCAGGGTGTCAGACGTTAATTAGCAGCCTCCCCGTAACCCGCGAGGGATGTTTGGTGCACAACGTACCTAGATCCTTTAGCTTCGGCTCCTCAGGCCATCGATTCTGCGGCCACTGGTACTTCAGTTCCACCACATCCTTGAATCCCGCCTCTTCCATCTGCTCTTTATACTTCAGCGCCGCATCCAGGGGACGGCCAAATGTCGTCGTCCCCTCCAGCAAAAGCCTCGACCACTTCCCCAGCGCCGTGTCCTCTGCCATGGAGCCATCGTCCGACGTCGGCGGGAGAACATCAACGACCTCGAACCAGCCGCCCGGCTCAAGGTTATCGTAGCATTGCTTGAATAATCTTGGCCAATCGCCGATACATGCCGTCAAAAACCGCGCGTAGATAAAATTAAACTTTGCCGAGTACGTCCACGGGTCCTCTACGTCATCGACGTGAAAGTCGACATTCGGGGGCACGTAAGGAGGCTGGATGGGACTGAGATCAACTCCCGTAATGTGCGCCTCGGGAAATTCGGCAGCCAACTCGAGCGCCCAACAGCCCGTGCCGGTGCCGAGATCGAGCACACGATCGATGGGGTACTTCAGGTCCTTCCCGGCCGGACAGAGATAGAGGCAGTCGAAGGTGAGAATGCACAGCGTGTGCTGCAGCTCCAGCCGCTCCTGTTCCGGATCGTCGTTGGGACCTAGGTACATGCCGTCTTTGTAGGCGTGGTAGGTGCGGCCGTTTTCGATGCGGTAGCGCATGATGCTGCTACTGAGGGATGCGGAGGAGCTCATGAGACTTGAGGCAGCATCGGAGAAGAAGTCGTCGGCCTCGATCAGATCGCAATCCGGCTCGATGCGGATCGGGTCGTGGCGCGACGATGACGAGACCATGGTGGACGTCCAAGCGATGAGACGGCCGGGGTTGGATCCAATCCGTTGGGAGCACGGAAGAATTTGCCCGATTTTGGAAGGCTACCAACCAATCTACCAACCAATATTTTCACTCTGTGTGACGGGGAAATTCGGGCCAAGAAGGTGTGGCAGGTTGCAGGTTGCAGGTTGCAGGAGGAACGCGTTTTCGGTTTTCAGGTTTTAAGGTTTTTACGTATGGGGGGAAATTCATCGCGCTGCTGCCGTACGCGCGGATCCCAGCTGAAAAGAAGTTGAGCGACCCTTGTCGTTTGAATGTCGCTGTGACGAGTCATTTTTGCAGCATTCGATTTAGAGATTAAACAGTACTAACGCGGGCTAATAGCGCAGCATTTAGCACCGGGGAACCGGAGATGCCATCCGATGCAGTTCGCAGTTGCTGGAAATCCATCAATCCATCTCTGGTTACGCACTGGACGCATCTCCCCGCATTTCTTTGTCGCTTGTAATTAGCAAGGACTCACCTTGGCTCAATTGTCAGGCCCAGACAAAATCTGCTGATTTTACAACCTCGACCCGGGCAACCGGGACATCGAACTGGATTCTTGCATTGCTAGCGACATGAACTCAGGCACCACCAGTGCAACGCAACAGGGGATCCTTGATGAGACTGTGGGCCGTTTGTAAGGAGGAAAAGGGGCAGGAGAAGAGCATCCCTGGCGATTGGGTCATGCCAATTTGCCAGGTTTATGATTCTTCACTGCCTAATGGTCCCGAAGCTTAATCAAGAAGAAGGCATTTTCTGCCCCTTGGACCCGAGGCCAAGGCGTCGGGATTCACGAAACCCAGCTGACCGACACCCCCCGAGGCAGACAGACCCGCACCGCCGATAATTTGGACACGATGTCGTCACCGTGGACAAGCATTATGGACGGCCGCAGCGGAACTGTGGAAATGAATCGACCACAAGTATATCATTAGAGGCCTTGCAATCGCCACTTCATTCACACATCGACCTCGAGTGTCTCCTCATTGTCCGAAACAAGGAAACGGCTGTCAAGATTGATCCAAGTGAGAGTTGCTCAGTCGTCGGTCACAAATAACTCACCATTAGCCCAAGCCTTATCTTATTATAACGCAAAGCTGCGGTGAGACAAAATATTCTAATCGATCTTTCTCGTATCTAAGGATCATTGATGCTCATCGCGCTTCGTATTATTGATTACGATTCCGGTTGGTCCCCTGAGAGTCGCCATCAGCCCCCCCGCCAATCTCGCTGAACTCACCAGTAAATGTCGATGGTTCGAGCAAAAGAAATTGTTTTCTCTGGCCCATAAAACAACCCTGCCCGGCAGGAATTATGTAATGCAAAGCAATAATGCCCAACTGATTTGACATGTAACGAGCAGGCATCAAACCCCTCCTCGGAGCCTTGGACAACATCGTTGCAGTGACATGAGCGGATAGCGATCTACGCAACGATGACGGGTCTAGAGACATTAGCCGCTGTTAGCAGCATATTCCAAGTAATCAGTTTCGGCCGGGAGACGATAAGTCTGTGCAAGAAGATTTATCGCACTGGAAGCGGTGTCGACTCAGAGCTGGCAGAGAATGCCGCCTTCCTCGGCCACCTCTCATCCCAGATTTATCAGCTAGAGGATACCACGAAAGCGACGAGCCGAACCAAAGATGACCAGTCACTCGACGACATCCTGAAGAAATGTCAGACCTCCTCTCGAGACTTGCAGGAGGAAGTTGGCTTCATCACCGGCCACGCCAAAAACGGCAGCCTGGCCTCAACCCTTAAAGTAGCAGCCAAGACCACCTGGAGGAAGCGGAGACTTGACAGAGTGGAGAGACAACTGGGCGATATCCAGAGACTTGTGGAGGCAGGGCTGCTTGTGCGAATATGGTAAGAATTTCAGTGAATGCAATACCTTGGCATCACGGGGTTTATGAAGGGTAATTCACTAAATACTTGCAGCAGCAACCGCGTTGATCTCGGCCAACAGCAGTTGGATGCCTTGGACGCAGATCTTCGGTCATTTCTGCTGAAATACCAGGCAGGCGAGCGGACCGTGACGGGTCTCATTTCAACAGAGTCGTTAAGAACCAGACATCACATCTCATCCGAAGTCTCCAGACTTGAGGGAAGCCTGAATCTCCACACAGCCGAAACCCGGAATTCTGCAAAAGACGTCAAGAAGCATGTCAGTCAAACAGCTAGCGCGACTATGGAAACTTTTACTGAGGTTCTACACAATCTCCACTTGGATGACAAACGACAGGAGAACCGCGAACGTTTTCTGAAGAGCTTGAAATTCCCGGGAATGAACGAAAGGCGCCAGCAGATTCCTGAATCGTTTCCGCGGACGTTCCGGTGGGTCTTTGGGGATGAAGCCTTGGGAGATGGTGCCCTCGGGGAAGACGTGAAGATTGATGACGACTGGGAGAGCGGCACCGACTGGGGGAGTGATGTTTCTGTGTATAGTGATATCGACGAAGAAAGTGATGACAGTGGCGGTAAGGTAAATAAAAACCCTGAGGGCAGTATCCTACCCAGTTCGAGGAGATATCAAGTCGCCTCTATCTCCGGAATTCGCGATACACCATGGGACAACTTCAGCGACTGGCTTCGATCAGACAGTCCTGTCTACTGGATCTGTGGAAAACCAGGCGCTGGGAAGACAACTCTCGTCAAATATCTCCTCTCTGATTCAAATACAAAAAGAGCCCTCGACGTCTGGAATAGCGGAGCTGTTCTTCTCTCACACTTCTTCTGGCGTCCCGGATCTCCGATGCAGCAGAACATAAAGGGTCTTCTGTGCTCTTTACTATGTCAGTTGGTAGCGGCCAACGATGCATTAATCGAGCACGTCGCATGCCACTTCAATGACGCGATGCGGAAAGAGACTTATACTGACTGGAGTGTCGCAGAGCTCAAGCGGGTCTGCGTTCAAGCTTTGCACAGTTTCGGAAAACCGCTCTGCGTTTTTATAGATGGGCTTGACGAAGTGGACCCAAGAGATGGTATTTTCGAGCTCTTTGAAATTCTGGACATGATCAGGAAATCGCCATCAACCAAACTGTGTCTATCCAGCCGCCCGGAGCCACCGATTGTGAAGCGCCTCGGAAGTAATCCCCAGCTACGCATCCAGGATTTAACATTGAAAGACCTATGGACGTATGCGAATGGTAAATTAAAATTTCCGCCTCTCTACTTGGGAAACCGATATGAACGAGACCGCAATGAAATTGTTTGGACACTTGTTCGAAAGTCTGAAGGCGTGTTTCTCTGGCTGTGTCTGGCTGTGAAGAGCCTCAACACCGGACTCGACAACGAAGATAGTCTGGAAGATGTCCTCATGCGGGCGGACAGCTTACCCCCAGACCTGGCTCGCCTCTACATGGATATGTGGTCCCGATTCAACGAGAACCATGCAGTCCATCGCCAAAGCGGCGCCTTATACTTAAAGCTAGTTATTGCAAGCCTCAGAAATCCAGATTGGAGGGTGGCAGAGTTTCCACCAAGGAATAGATGGATTTATGAAGCCGTGGGACCGAATATAACAGTATTCGAGATGACCCTAGCGACGGCGCCTCTCAATTTCCAGCCTGACGTTGAAACATTGGTCGCCACTTGCAACGACACTGCCCGCCTTATTCGGACACGATGCGCTGGCTTGCTTGACATCGTCCTCTCGAAGAAGACATGGCACAATCCGAGGCACGAGCTCGGCAACCCATTCGGCGACGGGGTTCTCCCATTCTGCAACGGATCGCAGACTATCAGATTCATCCATCGAACTGCGTTTGATTTCCTCACAGACACCGAACAAGGGTTCAGTATCCTCAGTGCTGATGCGACAACGGACCAGTCTCTGTCCATGAAGCTTTTCAGAGCAGGCTTATCGAGGCGGTATTTATTCCCAATCCAGAGACTTCCAGGAAGGCTAGAAGACTATATCAAAGAACTGTCACAATTATGGGGCTGGAGGGGAAAGGATGCCTTATTACCAGCACAATTGCAACAAATCGCAACACTTTTAGAGCTTCTCGGTACCTCGGGTTCTGTGAGCCTCCATTGGAGAGACGAGGCTAAGGCTCTCCGGAAAGATGAATTCCTTGTCTACGCCGCTTCCTTTAGTCTATGCAAATATGTCATGGCGGCATTAGCTGAACGAGCGACTAGTCATCAACTCAAGTCCGATATCCTTCGTACAATTTTAGCACGAATCGCAAGTACTCAGCACCCTTCGCAAGATGACATTGAGCTAGTAGAAGAGTTACTGCATCAGGGAGCAGACCCCAACTTCAGGGGCTGTGATCCGTCAAATGACCTCTTCTTCGAGACGGATGCAAGCCCCTTTGTGATTTACTTAACAAAGATTCTAATAGCGAACTTGCACTACACCCCGAAGCTGAGCATTTGGAGACTGTGCCATGTTATGGACCGCCTTCTATGGTATGGAGCCAACACGTCAGAACTGGTGCATGTTCGATTCTCTATTCGAGATTCTGGAGAAGTGAAATTCGTCTCAACTTCCGACGAGAATGAGGGAGGCTTGTTCAAGATTTACAGTCTTGTCCCAGCATTCATTCTCGTTGATGCCTTGACATACCGGTTCGAGGAAGTGCGACGCAAGACTAGACCTTCGGGAGAAAAATGCTGCGACATTGACCATGTCACCGCCATTCGTGTTAAAAGAAACTTGGTCAACGCCGCTACAAAGCCACGCGTCACTGCACTGTCTTGGGGGGTCGCCGAAAGGAGTTGCCATGCCCTGCCTGACGAGGACTCGATTTATTTGAGCGATACTGTTGTTAGACTGTTGACGAATCCTCGACCACAAGACACTGCAGCGATACTGGGAGACAGATTCCTGGAAGTGTATCAGCGGAGTGAAAGAAGGCTCACTTCCCAAGGCTTGGATGCTGAATGAAGAAATGGGCGACATTCCCGGACGGAACTAATGTGAACGATGCAAGTGGAAGGAGGGCGAAGTAGGCTGAGGTGGTAGGAATATTACCCTTTATGCTCTCTAAAAATTGAAAAATTGAAAAAAAAGAAACTAGTTCTTCATCTCTCGCTAGGGTTGGGTCTACAGCTTGACTAACCTTGACTGAGCCGAAGACAGGCTTCCCTGTGAAATAAGTCGGAACGGAGTTTGACCACGAGGGCGAAATTGCCTTCCTCGATGGCAACCTGTCCCCTCTTCTCGAACTTCAACGATGCCGATGCCCCCCTCCGGTTTTCATGCTTCCGTAGCCTTGCCTAGCTCCTCCTTCACGCGGTCACTCATATGGAATGATGTCTACTGGCCAAGCTGTCTAACGAGCCCGGAAGGGAGTCCGAATGCGAGGTGTTGAAACAGGACGGGAGAAGGGATATCATTCTCAAATATATTCAATCCCTCAGACCCAGAGCTAGATTTCCTCGGGTCTCAGGAGTCGGTATGACAACATTAAATCCTTAGATTAATTTGCCTGTGAGAATTAACTGAGTCTAGCGCCCATGGCGAGGTATAGTTAGGAAAAGTGCTAACTTAAAATTTAAGATGCTTGTTCTCGCTATCCAAACCTTGGAAAATGTGATAAATTTAGGAAGAGCCCTCGTCCCATATCCACTGTCATAGACTAGTGACTGCCAAGAATACAGCTTCATTTTATGCCTACTGCCCATTGACTTGTTGAATCACAACCTGATCAGGGATATCAGGAGTCTTACTTACTTCCACCTCGAGAGAGTCGGTATTCTTCTGTTCATCCGTAGTATCTCCAACCTTGACAGCCTCCACAGTCCCCGGCTCAGCAATTTCCTGCTCGGGAGTACGAACGGACGCGTCTGACGCACTCTCAGAGCCAACAGAGTCTTTTCGTCCCTCGGCATTCTCGGGAGTGGCCTCTACAGTTGGCGCCGGGATGTCAAGAGGGGCGTCCACTGGTGCCGTGGCTTCCCGAGTCTTCTGCTCCTCTGCAACCGTTTCAGCGTGTTTGGGATGCTGAGGTGCTGCTTCGACCACTGCGGGTTCCGGAATGCAAGCCACTGGGTCTTCCGCCACAGTTGGTTCCGCAGGTGCGGGTGTTTCAGTCCCAGAAATAGTCACGGTAGCCTCCGCAGGGGTAGTATCGACAGGGGCTGCATCGATAGGAATGGTCTCCTCCACAGCGATGGCTGCAGCCTCAACCGGAGCAGCTTCGGAAACGGAGCTCGCCGGAGCAGCCTCAACAGGGCTCTTCTGGGCATCCGCCTCTGCGACCTGTGCCACCTCCCCATCTCCGCGCCATACCGCCTCGATAACAGCAAAGAAACTATGAGCCTCGCCTTTCACGGCCGACACCTCAAACCTCGCATCCGCCTGACGAATAACATTCTCCCACGCGCTCACAGGCCTCTCCTTACCGTTAAACAACGCCATGAGCCTCAAATCCGTCGCGGTGCCCATGTTCTGAATCGAGCGCGGTAGCGGCGGACGATCCTCGTTGTCGCTCTGGTTCCCGATGTACTCGAGCAGGATGACGCGAGCGCCTGGCTTGAGGGAGGGGATCAGTGCGCGCAAGATACGGGCGACTTCGTGGTCGGGCCAGTCGTGGAAGATCATCTTGAACATGTAGATGTCGCCCTGCACGGGCTGAACGTTGAAGAAGTCGTGCTCGATGAAGGAGACGCGATCCTTGAGCTCGGCGGGGACGGTGGCTTCGAAGACGGGCTTTACTTCGGGGAGGTCTTCGACGGTGAAGGAGAGGTTGGGGAATTTTTTGGCGAGGACGATGGCATCATGACCGGCCGAGCCGCCAACCTTAGAAACGAGTCAGTTTCATCTCGGAAAGTGCGTATGGGAAGGAATGTCACTTACATCAACGACCATGGCATTTCCAGCTCCAGCCCAGTCGTAGCAATCCAAAACGGTATCCTCCAGTCGGAAAATCTCCTTGACATATCTCATAAACTCGACAAAATTCCTCTGCCTCCACCCTTTCCTCTCGCCCTCACCGTCATTCTCGAGCAGCTCCCACGACGTCGTGTAGCTTCCGTAAGGCCCACTTTTATGGAACAGAGCAAACGCCGACTCGGTGACCTCCTGGGTCAGCTCGGGCTTGTTCTTGCTATACCTCGCAAGGGCTTCGTTCAGGACCATCATCGGCGCGCCCGCATCGTCAAGGATCGTAGACACCAGCGCCTTGAGTCCGGGATTGCGTAGGAGTGCGGCGGAGCGGGACGTGTGGCGGAGGCGCGAGGCGGCCTTCCCGGGCTCGGTCTCCTCGAAGAGGCGGAGGGTGACGGCGTGTTGGAGGACGCGGTAGACGACTTCTTCGGGGAGATGGGTGTGGGCGGCGAAGTCGGCGTAGGAGGCGGTGCCGTCGAGGGGTACGGCGGACCAGAAGTCGAAGTAGTTCAGGACGTTGAGGGCGGCAGCATCGGGCATGACCTGTCATGGGGAGGCAGTTAGGATTTCTTTTTCCTCCATTTTTCAGGTTTGATTATTTATTTATTAAGGAAAATTACGTACGCTGTGGACATAGTTGAAAATGCTCTCGCTGGGACCCTGGGTCAAGTACCACATGTCCATCAGAGTATCCGTCAGGATCTGCCGCGTCATGAACATCTCGGGCGACAGGTTGGAGTAGCTGGTCGGGCTATCCGCGGCAAAGGTCGGCGTAGGGATGTCATTTTCCTTCAGGTAATTCGTTAATGTCTGCGATAGCTCGGTTACTTTGGCTGCGAGCTCAAGTAGTGTGGGCTGAGGTTGAGAGGGCTGCTCAGATGTCGCCATTGTGGGAACCATAGATGATTGTCGGCAGTATGACAGTGGTAAATGTGTTTGATTATTTTTTTCTTGTTTTTTTCAAATTGCGTTTCGCAGATGCCGTGCCCACACTCTCTCCGTGGATATGGGAAACTCTCCAAGCTCTTCTGCAGCATTGGGACGGGAGAGCAGAGGAATATATGTCGCGACAGCTTCACACCCTCCCCACATGCAGGCTGCGCAGCTGCACCTCCTCCCGGGCTCAGTGGCTCACATCTTCTGCAGTGACTCCGCTGTCGGAAGGCCGAGCTTACTGCGAGAAGCCGGGCAGAGGGCAAGTCTACTGGGAGCATCTCGGTTGCACGATTATAGTTTCAATTACCTAAAGAAAGACCGGATGGATGTGACGACAGAGTGACACCGAGAGATACAAGGGGAGCCATAGAGTTTCACTCTAAGGTGGAGGGCAAGGAAAGACTCGAAGCAAAACAGGCAAGCTGCTCAAGCTTGATAAAGTAAAAGGGAAAGAGGGTCGGAAAAACGTGGAAAAAGTGGAATGAACCCCTCTGATCTGCGAATCTGATAAGATTATCTCGGGATCATCAGAAATGGATCCGCTGTTACCCCCACATCTCCAATTCTCCATGTCACCTCGCTAAAACAGCTGCCAGAGGAGGAATGAAACCGCGCTGATCCCAGATCTAGGGCAAAGGCTTCGTGGCAAGACCAGGCCGTGATGGGCAATGATGACCGGGTATAACCGATCGCGGCGGCCGAGGAGATCGATAAGATCTCCACTGATGTGAAAATTTGTGGAAAAGGGGCCTTCTCTACTCTGCGAACCGGGGAGCCGTGTTCGTGTCCGCGTGGGCGTGTGGGAGACGGATAGAGGGGCAGAGGTGGAGAGTGGAATTGGATCGACAACAAACATACACTCATCCAGAGAAGTGGTCGTTTCACCAAGACCGGATCCACACCAGAAGAGGCCCGGAGCTTCCTTGAAGAGAGATTTTCGTCGGACTGTACTCTCCAATGCGATTCGTACCTACATACTCCCTAACGGGACGACAGAAGGCACGCAGTCCTGTCCAAAGCACACTCGGATGTTGGACAGAGTCGTAGTGAGACTGCCGCCCATTCTCTGCCAGGCGAACTGTTACGCCATTCTCATTCTCACCTCCATTCCACGCTGACAAGTCGTCATCTTCTGGAGCCCCTTGTCATGCTAGTCTTGTTGGGCCTACACTAGTCAAGGCTTAATGACAGAAACCCACACACCAAGGGGACGCTAAAGAGAAAGGATTCTCAATTAGCCCGAGTTCGAATAATGCCTCGACCGGCTTCCCCTGCAAGGTGGTCTCTTCCCCCACTCCCTGGATTTGCAAATGCCGTGTCCAATGCCTCTCCCCTGCTCTGGGCTCCCCTCTTCTTCCCTCCCTCCTTCAGGTTTAGGCCTAGCAAAACGTAGCTCCCGTGCGACAAATTCTTGGTAAGGCAAAAGTCCCGAGAATGTCTGGGTCGATGTCGCCTCCTTCTGTCGTGTACTTCGAACGGATAGCTTGCATGCAGAAACAGCACTGGTCGTTTCCTTCGTGCTTGTACCATAAAGTATATGCCAAGACCGACCTGCAAATTTCTCTTTTCTTTTTGTTTTTCCCGCAAAATCGACAGAAGGGGTGGTAGGGTTACATCCAAAGCCCAGAAACCAAGAGCACATCCCACGCATCCAAAACGAGATGGATGTGCAGGAAGCCACAAGCACAGTGGCCTGGTCTGGTCAAGGATCAAGTCGTCTCACTCACGCCATGGCCAATAGACACCAATGTTTTATTATTTGCTCTTCTCGTAGTTGGCACAACCCAAGCCCAGGAGGACGCCTCGTTTTCTTCTCACTTTCCAGATGCGACAGGGAAAAAGACCAAGTCAAGCCATGGCACAGGAGCATCCCGGCCATGATTGGACCCCGTGATGAAGCAATTGTGACCCTGGAGATGAAAACATGCACGGCACTGCCTCCGAAAGCAGGCTAGATGACCGATGTGAATACTACCGTGACCCTTATTTTTGTTCTTCATGACGCGGCTCCCAAGTGTAGCATAAATGGACCTCCGAGGTGTTTCCCGACGTTTCATGGATCCATTGAGTAAAGTTTTTCACTCCACGCTCTCTTCTTTTCTTCGGCGATGAGCTGCCACATTTTCTCCCTGATCCCTGCCCCCATTCTCGAAGGATGAGAATCGGTCAACTGGTCACAGAAGCATGCTGCGTGCATTCCTCATTTCTTCCCCCCCGCCGCATGGCCTGATGAAAGATGTTCCCACTTCGGCAACCCGACAGTGTGCGTGCCCTGAACCTCAGCCCGAGCCTGCTTGCTCTGAACCCCCCCCCCCCCCCTTCCGAGCACGACGACAAATTTTGAATCGGCCAATCGCCATCGCCAAACATGAAGCCCACGAATATGCGCGTGCTGACGCGGGCACCACGTCTCGCGGCGTCATCACGGACAGCCAAGCTTCCTAGGGCTTATTTAAAACATGCAGATTGATTGAAAAGTTGACTTCTAGCCTCTGCTGTAGCGGCCATGATGTTCCCTTCTGCGTCTTAACACCGTGCTTTGTTGCGACCGCATCGCTTCCGGCTTCGGAGCAGGATGACGCCGAGATTACTGACTCGAAGCAGGAATTCCAAGATGGACAATGGAGAAGGATCGGGTAACTTTAAAATAAGTTCCCTACGACAGATTGATAAAAATTGATAATAATCCTAGGAAGGACCGCAGACCCCTTCCAGCACCTTGTTGATATCCTTTGGATGTCGCTCGGTCCGTGGAGGCCACAAGTTTGATGCATGCTCTGTAAGAGCTACTTTATTCAAAGAATATCTGCTTCGTCGGTAACTCACTCTCAGATGGTCATACGAGCTCTCTGCACCGCATGGGAACCTCACTTGATTGGACTGGCTTACATTTCCCGCATTCCTTTTCAAGTCAGCATGTGAAGCGCGGTCCACACCTGCAGACTGTCTGCTCGCCTATGCGGTGCAGGGCTACTGGAGGGACCTTGCACCTGAGAGGCTAATAGGCGGGACACCCTATGCTCAGCAGGTAATTCTTCCGGCGGCGCGAGTGTTTTGCTTGTTGCGTTGCCCTCGTAAGGGAGCTACGCGGGGGGCGGGGCAAGAGGAGTTAGGATATGGTAAGAGAGAAGAGCTAGTAATAAGATGACAACGTAAACGTAGACCACTGTTTATCTATCTTTTGATACTATTAGACAACAGCGGAATATCCCAGAAGAGAATTCGGCTTAGATTGTCATCTGCAAAGACATTTCCGAGCCCGACATGAATCTGCCGTGATGGGAGATGCTAACGTAGAAGCCTCCCTTTACCTTCGACTAAACATTGCTTCTAATTTCTCGTTAAGGAGTCCTTCACGGGTCCGGCACCAACTTGTTTGACTCGGAAGCAGATCCGACCGATCTAGAGCTCATCAGGTGCACAGAAATCCATCTTCCGCTCGCCAATCCGATACCTTTAACGCCTTGTGACTCTAGGTACCCCTTAGCGACCGCTTAGATCACAGCTGGGCCATCAGCCTTCTTCAATTCCTAACGGGGGTGCCTGACGATGAAATGGATTAGAATGCGTGGTGCCTTTACTTTCACCAGATCATCTTTCTATGGGACAGCAACCAATTTCCAATCCTCATATTCTACGACATCTTCACAATTCCTTAGTTTATCGTACATTCATAAGATGAATACTTATTTCCTTAAACCAAAGATAGATCATCGCCTCCCGATCCCTTATCCGTCCATTCCTTTCCGTGTCGCCTTTTGAAGTCCCCCCATGAGTCCAATCAATTGTTCAATTAGTCGCGGCTTGGGTAAACCTCCATGGCTCGCCCTTAATATCTCCATCATAACCTCGAGGACTCGATCGGGATGGCATAAGTAGACCACGTCCCCATGAGTGTTCCCATCGCCCTGGAGATCCGGAAACCCTCTGACGCAGGGATGCCCCCTCCCAAACTGCACGAACCTCTGAATTGCAAGGCTATCTACCTCATCCAGACAAACGGCCTGGGGAACCCTCACAGAGACGTCGCTGCCGTCATTTCTGTCCGGCACGTCCTGGGTTCCTGAAAGCAGTCCGTAAACCCACAGCGTCATGCAAGCGTGGTAGACCATGATAGCCGTGGCGCGTTGCACAGCCGTCCTGGGCAGAAGCCGCGCCGAACGTACGACTTGACCAGCATGCCATACGGCCTTTCTCGCCGACTCGCTTCCGACCCATTCAACGAGAGTGGGATAGACTATCCTCGCCTGCTCCGGCCCATCCATGCCTGCGAATAGCTGGATGTCCTCGAAAGGGACCTGCAGATGGAGAAAGATGATTTCCAACCTCATCGTTAACTCCGGCGCGTAGGGCGACGCCACATCCATGCATATCTGGAAGTGGCTGAGCAGCTTCAAGAGCTCTTCGTGGCGAGACGCCATGATGAGCGGGTTCCACCGATGGTGTGGTGTTTTCTGAAGAGACGATAGCTGGATATACTCCCATGCCAGGTTCCAAGTGCAAGAAAGGAACGCGAGGCTGCCAAACGTCACGTCGATATTGGCAGCGAGCGTGTGCAGGCCGTCGGGATTATCTAGAAGATCTGTGACGGCTATTGGCCACGAATCTTCCTGGGCGAGATATTCCGCCTTCCAATGATCCGCCGTCGGCGCACTCCATAACCTTGAGGGGGACGGCAGAGGAAGTTGCACTTCCGCATAAGAGATCAGAGGATTGACCAATAGCGCCAGCGATGTGTCTGAGTCATGTTGCTTCATCCTCAGGGCAACTCGCTTGAACGACTCTTGGTTCACCCAAGAGTGCCACGTCTGCATGACCGACTCTGGCTCTTCATCTGGTTGCAGGATGATTTTGGGATACGCTGATCTTCGAAACTTGCCGCCACGTCTGACCATGGTGAGGACGGGTTGCAGGAAGCTTTCGGCAATTTCGACCTTTCGGCCGTGGCCGCTCCATAGGCCAATCTCTAATGAGATGAAAAAGGCTTGAACGAGTTCGAGGTCCCTGATTAGGCTGTTGTCTCTCTCCCACTGGAAATAGACACGAAGGAAAAAAAAAATATTAGAAAGGTTATTCACATTCACTATTAGCACACGCATGCAGCTCCACTTACATGCTTCGGTACCGCTACCCTGATGCACTCTTGGATGGCATACCCGAGTTTGGTCAGCGCCGGATCCGCCGTCATCACAGCTCCGGCTGCCGCCATGGCCGCCACTAGCTCAGGCCTCTTCTTATTCGGATCAAACGTCGCAGCGTGGATAAAAGAATCGAGCCGCGCAACCGGAGCTGTGAGGGAGTACTGAAGCAGGGCGTCCAGTAGCTCGACCGATGGAAAACCCGCGACCGCTCTGGAGAGGTTCTGCGGTCGGCAGCTTCCAATCACCATCGTCAAGATCTTGTCACGCGCCGGGACGCCAAGATTCGCGCATGTCGCCCGCTTTTCCAATCGGATCCGGGACTCCGGCGACGCGTGGTCAGCGGAATTTTGCGGCAATGATAAATTGTGTTCCTCCGCTCCGCCGTGGTCATGGGCGTTCGGTCGAAACCTCCAGTGCGAGTTCCTGAAGGCTTCTGTGCAGAGTGCTGCGGTACGACAAGGGTCCGACGTATTCTCGACTGGGAACGTCTCCATGGATCCATTCCTCGAGTCACTGCCAAATTCAAACGGGACCTTCAAGTTATACGCGTCGAGGAAGCGAAGGTCCATGTCGTCGAGATCAATGTTCGGGGCTAGGTCGAGGTCTGAGGGGCCCATCGGGGTCCACTGGCCGGGTAAAAAATTCCAATCCGGGAAGAATCCGGGGATAGCATCCACCATGACCGTATCGTGAAGTGTTGGCGCTGGAGGCAGTACGTGTTAGACAGATAACGGTTTGAAGTCTAGAGAGCTAGGATCACATATTACCATTTATACTCGCCATATCTGTTATTTCGGCACCCGTATGATGGATCTGCACGTGCTGCTGAACCGAAGGCATATCCTCAACTTGAGAAAGTTGGGTAGGCATATCGAAAGCCTCGGTCGCCTGAGAGATGGTGCTTGGAGGGGGTGTGATGACAGACTCAGTCTGTTGATTCCATTCGCATTCGATACCCCTTGTTGTGCATCGATGGCAAGGCTTTTCCTCCGAGCATCTTAGGTGATTCGAAGAGCACGCACGACAGGCCTGCGTCACTCGCCCCGGGGCATCTGTTAGATCCCGAGAGGCATTCCTCTTGGGACTCCGGACTTGACCTTGGCCTTGGGCCTCGTGACCCGCAATGTGTCGCTTTAAAATATCCCTACAAGGTGTGGCCCGTTAGCCTGGCCCATAGCACCTACGACGGAGAACCTATAAACGGTTCTGGCACTGCATTCATGGGGACGTATCGCCGCCTACGTTCGAGCAAACGCCTTGTTGCAGATCTTGCATGAGTACGGTTTAGTTTGCGTATCTGAAGAAATGCACCGACTCTATTTAGCAAACTATCCCATGACATCGGCGGGTAAACGCCAGGGAGACTTGTTCCAGAGAATTTCAACAAAAGAGGAAGCCTTACGAGAGCGCACGTGTCGGGCTAGATGATCCAGCCTCTTGTACTGGCGCTTGCATGAGCCACACTGGAACAGCCCGGTATCGCCGGTGGCAGTGGCAACGGTGATTGTTGCGTCAGCCATCGCCACAAAAGCATTAGGAACGGCTCGGTTCAACGAGTGGGGGAGCAGTAGAAAGAGAACCCGAGGAACGGACGATGCAGACAGCAAATGCGCCGACTTCGGTAGAGATGTGGGGGAATGGCGAGATTCGTCTCTGCTCCTCCACCGGGGGGGCAGGGGTGAGTTTTATTCTTTCCCGCGTGGAAACCAAACCAGCAACGCGGGAAAGGGAAACCCCTCATGAGTAATTTGGATCTGGGGTAAGAGATCACTCATCTCTTGGGATTCCTCGTTTGGGGTTGGTGGCGTCGAGCTAGCGCCCTTTACCCCAGACACTAGTGCTGCACTCCACCATTCCGCGGAGAGGGAAAGACTGGTGAGAAGTGAGATGGAGGGTTGCAGCGGGAGACTTGCGGGGGAGGGTCTGGGGGAAGACTGGAGAGACTGGAGAGACCGGAGAGACCGGGAGAGACCCGGGGAGAACTGGTCTAACGAGACGGAGAACAAGCCAATGCGAGACGCAAGCGAAATGTACTCCCGAAGCTTGGTGTCAATCCCATCCTATGCGTAGAGTAGACAGATCACAGATTCTGATATCTGCCGGCCTTTGCCATTGCCCAACGGCGAATATGCTTTTTCCAGGAAAGCATGACCGCCGCCAAGTTGGGGCCAGGGCAAATCGAGCTTCGCGTCGTTGTGGCTTCGGGTCCCCCACCCACACCCGGTTTGATCAGCAGCCAATCTTGTCGGGAAGTTCCCCCACATCCCGAACTGCTTCCTCCACCCACTCGATCTCGAGAGCCAGCGTCTCCACGGAAGTAGAGGAGGCAGGAAAATAATGCCGTGCTACAGTTCAGACAACGGCTAGTTACGAATAAAGCGTAGATACTACATGTAGTTAGATACTCTTCATGCCCAGTATGTCCAATACTGCAATCTCAGCTGAGGAAGCAGCATCAACAACCGACAACATGAGTAAGTCTGGCTGCATCACCTCATAACTTCACAATCATGCTAATAGATGCGCGCTGGTAGGCATCACGCCAGTTTACTTCTTTTCCCATGGCTCGACCATGATGCTCGGTGAGGAGAGTGAGTCGGCAGACTATTGGAAAAAAGCTGGCGATGAGGCCCTCGCGCACAAGATCAAGGGCGTTATCATGATGGTTCGTTGACTGGCCCTTCGGAAAAATCGACTGCGTCTTATGTTAACATCAGAGTTTAGGGAGCGCACTGGGATGCTCTCGGGGATAGGATTGAAGTCGCTACGAATCCCAAACCCGAGAAGTCTCCCGTCGCCTACGTACATCCCGCCAAATACGTCGACTATGAACTCAACCCAGATCTAAAAACAGCCGAAAGGTGCATCTCAATCCTATCCCAAGCCGGTTTCAGTGCCTCCGGAAACTCCAGCTTCGATTGGATCCATGACACCTACCTCATCCTCATCCGAATGTTTCCCGACTGGTGTCCCCCGACAACGCTCATCTCCATGAACAACCGCTTCGATCCCCACTACCACATGAAGGTCGGTGCTGCCCTCCGCCCGCTCCGTAAGGAAGGTTACCTCCTCATCGGGTCCGGCGGCGCCGTGCACAACCTCTACCACAACCACTGGATTCCCATGCTCCGCTACTCCGACAACTTTGCCCAAGAGCGGCCTCCAGAGCCGTGGGCCCTAGAGTTTCGGCAGGCCGTTGAGGATGTCATCAAGAATAATAGTGGACCCAACCTCCGGAGAGCCATGACACGCTTAATGAAGCACCCATTGTATAGGGATGCTCATGCCACAGATGACCATTTCATGTCGGCCATGTTTGTGGCCGGGTTGATGGGGGATGAGGAGGATGAAGGCGTATTTGGTGAGCTGAAGGCGGAGACTTGGGAGCTGAGGAACATGTGTAACAGTCAGTTTATGTTTGGAACTTGGCCGAGGACTTTAGCGACTGCTAGCTAGATGGGAATGACTGGCGTGTCCTTCTGGCGGGTCCAAGAATGTTTTTTCCACTGAGTGAAACGGAGCTGTTGAGGAATAGCTGGTGAATGAAGGTAGCAAGCGCGAAGATTATCGTCTTTTCACAACTTATTCGGCAAGTTCTGGCTGTGTTGAGTTCTGACAAGAATCACTGAAGAGCTCCCCTGAGAAAGACGTTAAAACTACTATTACAACTGGAACTAGGCCTTGATCAGAACCGGTCTCCCTTCTTAAAAATTGGGTTGAGGCACTAAAATTGGCGGATCGCCGACTGTTTTGACAAGTGTAAACCCTAATTTGGAATTAGGCCAGCTTCTAATTTCCATCTTTTTAGCACTTCTTTTTCTAACCTTTCCTCCTTGTTCTCTTCGAACTTCGGTTTCGTGTCGGCTGCCCTGCTTCCTCCTTGAACCGCTATGAATACCGAAGATAAACTCAATCAAGGACGCACAATGCGTCTGTCTGGTCATCACGTGGAATGCAGAAGATCGCGATTTTGCGTTTCACTCTGACGAGGTCAGCTTCATTCAGGCGGATATTTATTGGCTAGCTGAGATGACCTGGTGATAACCCCTGAGAGGTCTGAGAGGGGTACAGTAGATGACCGCACGGCGGCACCCAACGACCTCAAAGTTCCGCAATCTATCTTATCATCGGGGGCTCATTCCCTCTATTCCTTACTATTCCTTAACCAAAAGCTTCTGCTCGCAGAAGGTTCCGGCACCATGGACGAGGACCAGCATCTCGCAAAAGCTCAAGCTGAGCTTGACGAGGCGATACTCCTACTCAATAAAAAGGTCGCAGAACTTGCTTCAGGGAAGAAGAATCTGTCTACCCTCAATGATCCCCTACCGGTGTTTCCGAAGCTGGACTCTTCGTCGGCAGAGGGGGAGCCAGCATCGGACCTAATCGACAGGTTTGTGAATTTCAACCTGAAGGACCTGGTTGAAGACAAATCGTCACAATCATGGAGGAGCAAAATTAGCGGCATGGTCTACAGTCTGCTTCCACTGTCAGCGGTAGCTCTTGGTTTCGTAGGCAAGACGATGGAAGGGTCCACTCTATCCCTCCCCGTCTCGGGAATCGCGAAAGGCGCTTGCTGCGTGGTGACCTTAGTCCTCAAAGAGCGGGACCGCCGGACTCAGTTTCTCAACGAAGTGGACCGTATCTCGTACCAAGCTCGGCGCGTGCATGAGATCCAGCGCCAACCCGACACCGTGCTCTTGCCACTGCTGCGCGAAAAGGCGATGCATATGCTGACGGCAATAGCGCTCTTCCTTGTCGGCACCATCGATTTCCTTGGCAGGAACATCTTGAAGCAGGTCACAAAATCTGTCTTCCGCGGTACCGATGCCTGGAGTGAAAGCCTGACGTGCCTGCAGCGCGCCTACGAAGAATACGACCAGGCGCTACTGCTGCAGGTCGCCAGTACCGTCCTCACCCACCATGCCCACGCGCAACAACAGGCCGACCTTGCTGTCGCCGAGGACGCCGCGTTCAGGCAGTGGCTGCAGCCATCGTTCGCCGAGAATGAAGCGAGGATGATGGCCAATCTGGGCCAGCGGGCTGAGGGAACGCTGCGCTGGGTCTTGGACCTGCCCGAGCTCCGGACGTGGAGGATGGGGGATGCGTCGTCGGAGGCCAAGACGCTATGGCTCACGGGTCTTCCCGGGGTCGGGAAGTCCTGCATTGCTGCGTACCTCTGCGAGTTGCTGCCCCAACAGTATCCCGACGATATCCACCTCAGTTTCTTCTGCAAGCGGGGTACGCCGGAGCTGACGACAGCCTTTGCCCTGCTGCGGACTCTCTGCTACCAACTGACACGCGAAAACGCCTTTTACCGAAAATTTCTGCAGAAAATGCCCAGCCTGCCGAGCACGACCGGCAAGGAGGGCATACTGTTCCTCGTTGATACACTGCTGAGGCGGCCGCTAGCTGCGGGACTCGGGGATTCGGCCATCTTCATTGTTCTTGACGGCCTCGATGAATTGGAGAACACGGCCGCTTCTAAGGGGCCTTCATATGACGGAAAGACGGATGTTGAGGTTCTACTCGGCCAACTGATAACTCTTCCGCGGGTGAAAATCCTTGCGACGAGCCGAAGCCTTGCAGAGCTTCACGGCACCCTCTCTGACTCTGGCGATGTGCGCCAGATTGGTCCGGGTGACAACGCCATGGACATTGAAAACTACGTCGCCCATCGTGTCGAGAAATCCGAAAAACTTCGAACCGGGTTCTCGGATCTCAAGATTGACCCCGTCGAGTTCTTCTCTGGAAAGGCCAACGGAATCTTCCTATGGGTTGCCATCGTTCTTGATGTACTTGAGCGTGCACCGTCGTCCAATTCCTTCAAGAAAGGGCTCGATGAAATCCACCCGACGATGAACAGCATATACGATGACATCTTCGCGGGAGCAGAGCAACGACAGACGCTTAGCCTCATGATGGAAATTTTGAACTGGACTCTCATTCTACCCTCACCGTTTACGGCCCGACAAATGGCCGTCGCGGTGGAGATTTCTCTCGGCGACAGGGTTTTGAAGATGGAAGAGTTCTTGCGTACCGAGTGTGGTGCACTGCTCAATCTCATTCCACGGCTCGGTGCTGATGCTGTATCGGGCGAGACTTTGGAGATTCACATCGGGCATGAGACGTTTCAGACATGGCTGGCAGAGAGGCTTGGCGAGGATAAGAGACGGATGGCGCATGCTCGGGCGGCGGCGACGTGCCTGAAATGTCTTCTTGATAAGAAACCGGATCCGAGCCTTAAACCTTATGCCCTGGAGAAGTGGAAGTGGCATCTGCGGCACAGCTTGGGGGCGGGTGAGCCGCAATTTGCGGATCCCATGGCTGGCCTAGAGACTGGAAAGTCTGTGCCGGCTCCTGAGGCGATCGACTTATTCCACCATCTGTATTTGTTTCTCTCGCGACCGGAGGCGGAGGCATGGATAGAGGAGAGGATGAAAAAGGTTCATTTTGATCATGTGCTGTTCTGGGATATTCATATGACGCAGCTTGAAGTCATGGCCTGGTGTGGGACGAACTCAGCTTCCCTCTCGGACGACGCCGTTGATGGCCTGCAAGCAGATGACGGTATCAAAGAGCAATTAAAAATATGGCGAGACTCCCTAGAAGATCCCCGGATAATAGCACAGATGCTCTGGCCGCGGGTGTGCCACGCCTGGCTGTGGAACACGTCGCTAGACTGGTGGACGGTCTTATACATGGCAGAGGTGCTCACGAAGTTGTTCCATTACGCCTATGGGGAGGGCATCTTGGAGGAGACGCCAGAGGGGAGAAGTCTACTGGATGAGGAGACCAAAATCGCTCAGAACAATAAGGGCTCAGCAGTGAAGAGCGGCGGCCAGCTCCTAGGGTCTCTCACGATGCACCTGGCCAACACCATGGCTCGGTCGAACACCCGAAAGTACACAAGCGGGCCCATCACGGAAGAGTGTCTCGAGGCCGTGAAGAAGGCAGGCCGATACAATGAGCTCAGCGGCGTATGCGCCGCGAACCTAGCTATAGCCTACTTCCAACAACAACGGAACGCGGACGACAAGGATGCCCTGGAGAAGTCTCTCGAGTTCGGCCAGGAAGCCATTGATGACGACCCGGATGACGCTCCCCGGAATTACTATCACCTCGCCCAAGTATACAAGACGATGAGCTACAACGCGCATTTTGAGCATGAGAAGGAGCGGTTGGAAGAGCAGATGCTCGAGAGCCTTCGCGACGCCGTCGCCCGAGACCCGGACCACAAAACGGATGCGCGCTGCGAGCTCTACCAAGCCGAGGTATACGGACTCCTCCGCGACCCTCCAGACGTCGACGGGGCCATTGCGAGGCTGGAGTTCGCCATTGTTGACAACCCCGAAGAAGCGTGCAGCCGCTGGTTCCACCAACTCTTCAACCTCCACAAAAAGCGCGGCGACCTCGAGGCGGCGCGCGAGACCTACCGACGCCAGATCGCCTTCGACCCCCCATCGTGGCACACGAGATGGAAGGACATCGCCGACACCTGGATCGACGACAAGCAGTACCACAAAACGCGCACGTTCGACTACCGCAACTGGTGCGACGCGCTGCTCGAGGCCATCGAGCAAGACCCCAGCTACGCGCATAGCTACTGGTCGGACTGGGCGTCCAAGGCCGAGAGCTTGGTAGGGTACAACCACTTCGGGTTCGCGGCGGAGATCCTCGCGTACGGGGTCGAGAAGAGCGCGGAACGGACCGATCCGCAGGGGCGCCGGGCCTGCGCCAAGTTCCTCCTGGAGCTGGGCGAGGTACAGGGTCAAATGTTCCAGTGGGAAGAATCCATCGCGCGGCTTGAGGAGGCGTGGGCGCGTGAGGCCTGCATGGACGTTTGGGAGCGGCGCAGCACGTTGCAGTATCTAGCATGGGCGTATATGGGAGCGCAGCGCTGGGATGATGTGACTGCTGCCGGGGAGAAGCGTCTCGCGCTGGCGCCACATGAGAACTGGGGGGACAATACGAGGTATAACGGACGGTGGTGGAAGGGGGAGGCGGCGCTGCTGGGCGGGAAGCCGGCGGCGGCGGTTAAGGAGCTGAAGAATGCCATTGCCATGCTCGAAGAGTCGCTGGCGGCTGACCAAAAAGGCTCGACGAAGTCTTCAGCCGCAGCGCCTCCCATTAAGCCGATCCTTAACGAGGATATAGGCCTCCTCTTCATCGATCTTGGGCACGCGTACGAACGCATGGGGCGCGAGAAGCAGGCTGTAGCCATGTTCAAAAGGGCCATTCCTCACGTCGAGTACGAGATGGAGCAGAGGGTGCAGTTCCGCACGCTGCACAATACCATGTGGCGGCGAGAGGGGCGGTGGCGCATGCTGCTCGGATGGCTGCTCGAGCGAATTCACGGGCGGGGCGAAGATGCGCGGGTGCTTGAGCTGTACGAATTTGCTGTCACCATCTTCGAGGCAACCTGTTACGTCGAGGACGACTTCATTGAGATTGCGGACCTGCGGGACGCGCGGGAGGCGGTCCAGCGTGTGCGGGCCGGGGTGGCGTGGGAGGCGCCTTCGGAGGAGGAGTTTCAGAAGAGGAGGCTCATGTGGAAGATAGCGTTTAAGAGATCCGATTGGGCAAATGGTCATTTCAGAGATGAGGTGCAGAAGACGCGGCGGAGGGGATCCGGGTAGATTTGAGGACATGGTTATCACTATTAGGAAAAGATCGCAAGGGAGGCTATTACATGTGGGGCATGGCTGTTTCCAGAGGGTTGTCAAGTATTATTGAGGTAGCGGATCAGACATGATCGGAGGAGCATGGCTTTCTCTTCTAGCAAATACATAGGCCGGCCTTATTCATTCGTGAGAGTCACTTTAGAGGTCAAGAGTGAGGCTCTATATCGGCCTTCGTTCGGGCATTCCTGAAATTGGACCCGTTCGCCTCACCGACGCCACCCAGGCTGGCCCAGTGCTCATCCTAAATCGTGCACTTTTCGCTTGCGTTTCGTTGGAATCTAGCACTTGATTTTATATCTTTCAATATTTATCCCCACCTACCTCATAAGCCGCGACTCTCTTACTCCTTCGGAGGAATCACAGGAAGTGTAACATAATTGACAAACTGCGGTCCAAAGTGAATGTGATTTGTACCCTGGAACTTCTCAGTAGACCTAGAAAGAGGAGTGTCAGCTCACCTTGTAGTCACCTTTGTGGAGAACGCATTGGAACTTACCTGTCGTTGGGGTCGTCGTGGAGGAAGATACCCGAGCCCTGAGTATCCCCCGACGCCACCTCGAAGATAAGCTTGCCGCCCTTCTCGACAATAACATTCGTCGGCCACACTTCAATATCAACGGCGTAAACCTCGCCCTGGATGACGGGCAGGACATCCTTGCTGGTATAATCCCTATGGGGCAGCCATTCGCGGTGTTTGGGATGTTCATTATTGACCTTTCGCATACTTACCCTTAGCCAGCCCTTCGTCAAGGGAACTGGGTCCCCGGCAGTGCCAGTATAGAACACTTCGTTTCCATCGGGTCCGATATGGCGGAGCGTTACGAAAAGGTCGATATCACTGGGCGTAGGCCCAGAGGGGTCGGGGCTAACGGAGACGTTAAGATGTGCGACAATGTGCCCGGTGATCTCTGTCTCTGTCCCAAAAGGTTCGGTGGCAAACTGGATAAGTTCGGGCTTCTCCATGGTACCTAGTGCACGGTACGACAGTTTCTTCCTCTCCTGTGCAGCCGCCTCATCCAACATCAAGCCCTGGGATGCTGTGAGAAAGAACTTCGTATACTGGGTGCGCGCAATCGGCCACTCATTTTCTTGTCGACGAGAATACGCCTTCTCGGCCTCCGCGTCATTGAAACCCACGTTTCCTTTACGGAGAACCAGGTCTACCGGCGGGACTTTTCCAGGGACAGACCACCCGACTCTATCTTCGCCTTTGAGGAAGGCATCCAAGAAGCTGCGCTGCACTTCGACTTCCTCATCATAATAGAATGGAAGATCATGGCGACCAGTGATCATCCGAAGATACTTGAACTTCGAGCCAGCATGGGTGTAGCCCTCGACATTGCCACGCAAATGAAGGAGGATACCTCCCCAGTTGCCGACGGAGAGGAGCGGAACCTCGATGTCGCCCATATCATACTCTTTGGAGGCATAATAAGGCTCATCACGAAAGCGATTCGCAGCAGTATCCGTCGTTTGGTCATTCCTGTTGGCAGCGAGTTCCTCCTCGGGAAGATCGCCCTCAATCGTGTCGGGGCCCCAATTCCTCGCATTTCGCCCCGGACGTCCGTACTGGTTCGTAATCACCTGCCGGTTCCACCAGAATTTAATGAAGCCATTGGACAAGATGCCTCCGTGGCGGCATCTGTCCCTATAGTAATCCGACATGCCCTCCCACGGGATGATCGCGGCAAGACCCTTGGGTTTGCGGGCGGCCACGCGCCACTGGCTGCCTGCGTAGTAGCTGATGCCGAGAAGACCGACCTTGCCCGATGACCATGGCTGCGAAGCTGCCCACTCGACGACGTCGAAAAAGGCTTCGCTTGTGCCGCGCGACATTGTGTCCAGCACGCCAGGGGATTGGCCGAGGCCCCTTTCGTCGGCGCGGACTATGGCATAGCCATGCGAGGTCCAGAAGCCTGGGTCTGGGGTTTCCCAGGCTGAGTGGTCGGATTTATGGCTGGGGTTGACCTCGGAGTAGGACTTCGCGTGAAAGCTGTTCGACTTGGTATTAATTGATTTTCTTCGATCTCTTTTTTCTTTTCCTTCTCTTCTTCTCTCTTTTTCAATATTCTATAATACCACTTACTCCTTGTAGTGAATATCCTTTCCATACGGTCCATAGGTCACCAAGACGGGGACAGACTCAGAACCTTTGGGTCGGTACACATTACACCGAATGAGCCCATCAGCTACCTTGAGAGGCACAGTGACATTTTGCTCGAAAATGTAGGGGAAAGAAGTCTCGTCGACAGTGCGGATATCCTTAATTTCATTCGGCATGGCTGCGTTGGTGTCTGTGTGTCCTTTGATGGAAGAATGAAGACGGAAGCAAAATGCAGGAGAGCTGCAACAATCGACCGACCAGTCAACCTCAATACGAAAAAAAGGGAAGTCCCTTGTCCAAATACCGACTTGGCCCTCCTCACGGGAAAGAGAGATTCGAGAAAGGAGCGTGGCTCGGGCCCAGAGAATGCAAGTGCGAAAGCAAAAATTCGGGTCTACCCCCACCGGCCCGGTGCTCCCGGATGGTCGCACAACATCAAACAGATGGACCGACATTCAATGTGGAGCCGAGAACGGAAGTAAGTCGGCACAGAGTTGCATCGCCAATTCCTTTAGTGCCTGGCGAAGTCTTGCGCACGGGCATCGGGTCCTTCTGGAGGCCACCTGTGAGGTGAGGAGACATGGGTGGGTGGCAGTGTGTGTGTGTGGCACAGCTGCAGGTCGCCTTTTCCATTTGAAATAATTCGAGGCTGCCTAATATTATAATGAGTTGTATGAGTCTCTGTCTGTCCGAGTTCATTAGTAGTCTCTGCTTCACGAGATCTCAAGACACTCAGAACATTGTGAATGTTAATATTGGAAATAGAATCGATCGTATTCGCTAAATCATGGCATCTACAACGGCGGAAGGGCTCAAGGTGCTTATTGTTGGAGCAGGTAATTAAATGCCTCATACTCTTATCAGGAGAGCTCATATTAACGATAGTAGGTATTGGCGGCCTCACAGCAGCGGTTGGGCTGCGCCAGCAAGGACACAGCGTGACGGTATTATAATAGACCCTGCCTTTTCTTGCTGTCCCATCCGTCGTGGACAGACGAGAGGCGAGTGGATATGCTAAGATCTTGAGATTAGCTCTTCGAGAGATCCGAGCTCGCCCAGGAAACCGGGGCAGCTCTGCATCTGGCCCCAAACTGCCATGGATTGCTCCGTCGATTCGGAATATTCCCTGAGACCTTCGGCGCAAACCCAGTCCAAGGGGTAAGGAATGGATCTTCTTTTCCTCGCCTTAATTGTCTCCAGACCTAACCAAAACGCTTATTTGCATAATTCGGGCGTAGTTCACCGAATATAGCCTGGATGGATCCGTCCGCCTGGATATTGACCTCAAAGAGTCTTTGAAAATTTGGGAATTTGTGAGTTTCCTCCGCCTGCCCTTCACTTAATGTGAGAACTAACTCTAGTTGTGATTTTCAACAGCCCTGGGTCCTAAGCTACCGTGTTGGACTCCATAACGAGCTAAAGAGGGTTGCGACAAGTAAGGAAGGCAAGGGGACTCCTGCTGTTCTCAAGACCTCGAGCCAAGTCGTCGATGTCGATGTTGAGTCTGCAACCATCACCCTGCGAGATGGCACACGAGTCTCAGGCGATATGGTCCTGGGAGCAGATGGTGTTAGCGTAAGTGCCCATATTGACTAAACTCCTCTCGGCCTCTCTTGTCTTGACATAATTTGTAGTCCATAACGAGGAAGGCAATCGTCGGCGAATCCCACAAACCCTTCGACTCGGGCAAGTCCGCCTTCCGATTCCTCATCCCTCACGAAAAGATTCGGGAAAATGCCGATACCAAGAAATTTACTGAGCGAGAAGGCTACATGACGATTTGGTACGGGGACGACAGGCGTCTGGTCATGTATCCCTGCAACGACAACACGACCATGAACTTAGTCGGTATTCATCCAACCGAGTTGTCTGCCTCCGAAGGTGAAGGTATGTTGAACCCATACGCTGCCGGCATTTAGAAGATATTTTCACTAACAGAGACCAGGTTGGAGTCGAGTCGGTAACAAGGAGACGCTTCTCGAGACCTACAAGGACTTTGGACCCACCGTGGCTTCCTTGCTTCAATTGACGGACCCCGCTGAGCTCAAAGTCTGGACATTGCTTGATATGGACCGTATCCCTCGGTGGACAAAAGGACGACTTGCGCTACTTGGCGACGCAGCTCATCCTTTTCTCCCTCATCAGGGACAAGGTGGTAAGCGAGTTGATTTTGTCTTGAGGACCCCGCTAGTACTGATGACATCATAGGCGGTGTTGCCATCGAGGATGCAACATCCATCGTTGCCCTCTTCCCCCTTGGCACTACGCGCGATGAAATCCCGGAGCGTCTCTCACTTTACGAAAAGATTAGAGACGAGAGGGCACACAAGATCCAAGAGTTCACGCGGGTAGCGGGCGCAGATCTCAACGATGCCACCCGCAAATCATTCAACAGTAAGGAAACACCAATCCCTCCTCAACTAGATGCTCTCCATTCGCTAACATTTCAAAGTCATGGAATATTCCAAGTACAATTACGGCTTTAGCGAGTGGCACAATTCCACCCGCGCCCTCAAGGAACACCTCTGGGCTCGCAACGGCCCAACGTACTGGCGCCAGCCCATCTCCTTCGGGCCCATGACGAGCCCGCGACAAGACCACTACGGGCGCCTCATTCCCTCGGACAAGTCTAGATACGTAACCCATTCTCTCCGCTTCAAGACTTCGGCGACGTACTTGCAGACGCTCTTCCCTACCAAGTCGTTCAGCTTCGTTTCCCCGGGAACCGTAGTCGAAGCGAGCTTCCAGTGCACCCAGCTCGACAAGATGGGCTGGCTTGGTGGTGGCGGCTATCACTACGCTGGTCTTTGGATTCACGGGGTTCAGTATGAGAAGAAGGACGGCACTAAGATCGTCGGCTCATTCCTCCCTGTTCTCTTTGAGTCGCTCACTGACCCCATCACCACCGGGCGAGAAGAGTTGGGTATGCCTAAGCTATACTGTGATATTAACGTCACGGGGACAGAGAGTTCAAGCCGTGTTGCTTGCGGATGGAGAGGTGCCAGTTTCTTAACCATGAAGCTCGACGATCTCGCCGATATGCCTCTGGAAAACGGAACCCACAGCGCGAACTGTAAGACCAGTGATCAACCTACTGCTGCCCCCAGTCAGGCCCCCAAACCTGTAGAGCAAGGTCTCTTCGTCTACAGGTACATCCCGGCCGTTGGCAAGCGAGGCGTGGCAGACGCTGAATATCCTGTTTTCATCGACTATAAGAAGGCAACGGCGACTCGAGTCGCAGACAAGACCGTTTGGTCTAGAAAAGGAAGTATTGAGGCTGATGGGCGTGACTGGGAGTCGCTGCCTACATTGCACCACATTGCTGCCGGTCTTGCTGAAGTCCCTGTTTATGAGGTTATCGAAGCAAAGATTGAGGAGGGTCACGGAGTTGAGGATCTCTCTCAGGCGGAGCGTATTGAGTGATTTGATGGGGTAGAACATAGAGTAGCAGTAGGCTGAGAAGATTGCTTGCAATGAAAATGCTTTGTTTAATATATAGCTCTCCTGAATCTCTTGCTCTCTCTTATGATAGGTTTATTCAATACTTTGCTACACTCGGAAAGCAAGGGCAGTCAGGCTACAGCCAAATTATAAATCCCAACTCGGTATCCAATCATCTAATCATACCATCCTTGAGCTGGCAGCAACCGACCAACACATTCTCCAAAGCCGACTCCAGATGAAGACTCCCCCGCCACCGCCGTCATCCGCGCAATATCACCATCCTGCAGATACCTCCTAGAAGATCCATTCTCGAGGATAATAGGCGACTTTCCTCCCTCTGTCGTCTCCAGCAAACACCCATGCGATCCCTTTTCCGGGCCACTAACGGTCCCAGTCGCCATGATATCTCCTGACCTCAAAGGTGCTCCGGCGCTGGCAGCATGGGCTACCATGTGCCTTGGGGTCCAGTACATGGTCTGAACGTTCGACTTCCCGGTAACGGTCGCCGAGTTTTCCGACAGAACCTCGACTTGCATGGCAATGGAGTATGTGGCGTTTTCGGGATCATCTAAGTAGTCCACCAGGGGCTGCACCCTGGGAGGCGCTGCAGCTTTAAAAGACTCGAGGGCGTCGAGGGTGACGATCCACGGGGAAATCGAAGTGCCGAAGTTCTTGCCGTTCAGAGGACCTAGAGGCATCATTTCCAGGCCTTGAATATCCCGTGCTGTTCCCGAGGCTAATTAGTGCAACGAAGGCGACAATGACTTCTTGGTTGTTAATCTTACCACTCCAGTCGTTGAGAATCACAAACCCAAAGATGTGCTTGTCGGCATCCGTTGCCAACAACCTCTGGTTCCTGGGCAGCGGTCGACCGATAATCGCAGCCAGTTCCATCTCATAGTCGACAGCAAGCGACGGCCGGAGGACAATGTGCCCGTCTGAGGTCGTATCACGATACTGCCCGACAGGCCTCTCGATATCCGTACCGGAAACGAAAACTGAGCCGGCGCGTCCTTGATAACCGATCGGCAAATGGAAAAACGCGGGCGGTGGACGCTCGTCGTTGATGATAATGCGGCCTGCATTCTTGACGTGTTCAAGAGAGCAAGAAAAGTCTGCACCAGTGGGTTACGCGTTGTCCACTATAACGATAAATTGAAAGGATTGCTCATTCTACCCTTCGATCTGTTGTACACATACCTATGAAGTCGCCGACATTGACGGGCATGTGCATGGTAACCCGTCGGATATCCTCGCAGCATCCTGCAGGAAAGGCATCGATTCCCCCTTTGCCAAATGCGTCTCTGATTATGTTACGCACAGCGCTCTGCACCGATTTCGGAAGTGAAGCGAATTCATTAAGTGTTTCCTTGGCAAAGATCCCTTTCGGTAAGTCATGGACGATGGAGAAGGTGCCCGCTTCTGCGAGGTCGTTGAGGAAGATGACGGTGTTTTGGAGTCTTGTGGCAGCTTGCGGGGCCTCATGCGTCGGGGAGGACGCAATGCCAAAGGGAATATTGTCACGGGAGAAGTGGTGCGCGTACTCTGGAGATGTCATGGCGATTTGATTGTTGGGGAAGTCCGTATATTTGATGCACGACTCGCAGACGGTGTGTTTTGTTTTTTCCCCTCCTGGTCCTAGGAAATACTCAGCCGTCCTAGCTGGAGATATAGTTCAAGATCTGCTGTTTTCAGTCAGAGAGAGCTGGAGTGGAGTCGATATTCAGTCCTGCCAGTCGCTTAGATAGATATCAATCTAGTGTTTTCCATCAGTGCCAGGCGGCAACAAGTAGCTCGTCGCCTCCACATGCCCCACGAATAGACGAGAGGAGTTACAAACGACTCGAGCTATGCATGAAGGTCTACGAGGTTTGCCCAAGCTTTGACTGTGGGGGACTTCTGCTTCTTTCCCGGACCGGCTCCACGGACATCTACTTCAGTCTATGCATTCCCGTGCCCCTCACTCTGTCCTGTTCGAAAAGCAGAATGCTGCATAAGATAGGTCAGGATACGGGGCATTAACACCCTCCCAAATCCAGCGGTTCCAGGAGAGCAACGAATTCATCAGTTTTCACATGCTCTGTCTCACCACTCACCATCAACCCCTCCCTCCTGTCTCCTCCGCTCTCATCAAATCCAACTCACCAACTCACCAACCCACCAACTCGCCAAGATCTTCATTCACAAAATGGCGTGTCAAGGCAAACTCTCACATCCCAAACGCTTCATCACCACCACCGACAACAACGGCAAAGCTATCTTGGACCATTCCATCCCCGCTGAAGCCCCCTTCTATACCCTCCCAGAAGGCGATGTCAGCTTTGCCCAATGCTACGTCACGAACGGCTTCCCGACCCAAATTAACAACGGCGCCGACTTGGAAGTCTACGGCGACTTTCTCAAGAGCCCGCCCGGACTGACAGTGTCCAACGGGACCGTGCTCCGCTACGTCGACTTTCCCCCGAGCTTTCTGTGTCCGACTCACGTTACTACGAGCCTGGATTACGGCATTGTCATCGAGGGCGAGGTTGATCTCGTCCTGGATTCTGGGGAGGAGCAGCACATGAAGCGGGGCGACATATGTATTCAGAGGGCGACGATGCATGCTTGGAGGAACAGGAGCGAGACGGAGTGGGCGCGTATGTTGTTCGTTTTGCAGCCTGTTCAGCCCGTTGTTCAGGGTGGAAAGGAGCTCAAGGAGGATCTCGGTGATATGCAAGGTGTGAGGGCCTCGACGTAGACTGTATTGATGCCACACCTACGGAGGATGATCTAATTTCAGCGAAAATCGAATATTATTGACATTTTGCAAATTTCAAATGGCAACAAATCAAACCGCATTTTGAGTTTAACTCTGCCAAACAATCGAAGAAACACAGAAAATTTTGCACTTGAAAAATAAACATCCTAGTTTCTGCCGTATATGCTAAGTGACAACAAGATCATCTAAAACTCGCCGCCGATGGGGTACCTGAAAATTCGCTTCGTAAACCTCCCACCCGTCCTCCTCCATTGCTTCGCCGCTGTCTGCATCCCAATCGTTAACTATGCCCTTTTGTCTCATTCTAGTTGCTCCAATTTCATGTGCACTTACCGCATTTATGAACACACCCGTGAACATTGTAATGATAAACGCTCGCTCAATCCCGCTCGTGTATACTCGAATCTGGCTGTGGTCGCGATTCTGGTCGACAGGCCTGTACGGGGGTATCCTCCGCGCATTAGTCGGCCAGTCGGGCGGGTTCGACATGCGAGCCGGCCCTGCACCGTTAGAATTCGAAGAAGAGGGCTCCGCGGCGCCAGAGTGGTGAAGTTGGTAATCTTGTAGAATTGTCCGCGCTGTCCGCGTTTGGGTGATTGTTTCGGTGGTGGACGACATGGTGACGATGTGGTGTTGAGAGAGACAAACCCTCAATGCAAGACCAAAAATGGCAGAGGCGAGGGTGAATTTCAGGGAGTTTTTCGCGGGACCATTACTTACTCGCGATTAGCGCACTCAGTAGTAGAAGAGGCCACCCTAGTCCTGACTCCTACGGCTGACCGGATCCTCCATCATCCGATGCAATGTGCGTGTCGGGATGTGGGCGAGCCCTGGTCGAGGGACCAGAGTCAGCGATCGGGATGTGGGCAAAGTGTCTGGAGGGTGCAGTACCATGCCGGCAAGTCTACTAGGTAACATTGTAGCAGTGAATGTTTGGTTCTATCTTCGCTTTCTCGTCAGACCATGACAGACTGTGGACCGCAGCTCATGGCGAAGCGCGTCTCTGACCGTGATAAAGCCCAATATCATTCCCAATCATTCTAGTCCGCATGTGGCCTTGGGGGCAATGACTGAACCTTCTCAATTCGCATCATTCCAACTGATCTCATCTACATTTCCTCTCTCGTCGCCGAAGCCAAGCCCCCACCACCATGCCGAAGCCCTTCAGCAAAATCAGATCCGCTGCCATCGATGGTAGACTCCATAACCCCATCTACCAGAAAATCCAGCTAAAAAGCCTTCATGACACCTTATCCCAGAGCCTCGATGAGCTGCAAAGGATAATCGCAAGGGATACTGGTCACAGCCCCGCCGAGGTCAAGCTCGAGTGCTGGCTTGCTCTGCGCTGCATTTCCGAGGCCTACACTGCGATTGATCCTGCCAAGGCCTTAGAGGATGAATACGCTATCGCGTCGCGGAGGGATGCCTCTGACGTGCGAGAGCCTGTGGGAATCGTCGTGATTGAGCCGACGACGCATACTTTCTTTTACTCGCTCATCAGTGCGCTCGTGCCTGCGCTGGCTGCGGGCAATTGTGTTCTTATCCAAGTAAATATATCCATTGCTCTAGGAATAATTTCGTCCCGAGAATTAACTGGCGGGCGAAACCAGGTCGAACAATCCATGCTCGAGACACCAACATTTGTTTTGAAACTGATCCAAGATGCCCTCGACGACGACATTCTCTACATCTCGAGGATCAAAGTCAACACTATCGACCTTGCCCACCGACACCTTAAAGTCCTCCAAAACGGCTCCCCAGAGACCACCCCTCTCGCCAACGAAATCGTATCGCGATCAAACGCCCTCGTGGCCGCCATCGTCGAGCGCGATGCTGACATCCAAGAAGCCGCCAAGGCCCTCGTTATGATGCGCTTCAGCCTCCGCGGAAAGTCGCCCTACGCGCCCGACGTTGTGCTCGTCAACGAGTGGGTGAAGAAGGAGTTCTTGATGGCTGTTACGCAGCACTCTATCCGGTTCATGTCTGATGCGGGTGAGAGTGGTACGAACTCGAGGAAGTTTGAGGGTCAGGGCCTGCTCGATGAGATTGTCAAGGAGGGTTTTGCGAATGTGATATCTGCGGGGCATGAAGGAATTATACTGGATATCGGGAACAGGTGAGCAATTGAAAAAACCAGGCGCTTCCATTGCCGCCTCCCTTAGTTGCTCACAAGAAGAAAAGAAAATCGTTCTTGACGCAGCGCAAGTTGCGGGAAAGATGCTTCACCGTGCTTGCCGTGACGAGCATGGATGACGCCATTGATGTATCCAAGGGGTAAGCTATAAATCCTCGCGATATTAAGACAGACATATTCACTGGCTAACTGCATCCACTTCTAGGCTCGGACGCCTTTCGGCGGCGTACATTTTCACATCTCCCACCGCAGCCAAGTACATTTGCCAATTCGTCGACTCTGATCTCAGTTTTGTAAACCACGTCCCCACAAACCTACTTTGTAAGCCCACAGGAACATCCAACTCTAATCATAAAGACATATTGCTAATTCCTACTTTCGTAGTCGGACCCGTAGCGCCAGAAAACAAGCCTTTGGACTACTCCCAGGGTCCTCGATATCCTCAGGTGCTCTTCACTGTGCCTAAGCCTCAGTACATCACCAAGCCCGCATTGATCTCACGAATCGAAGCTTTGCTGACCGGCGCTGCTTCTCCGCAACTTCACAAGCTTGACGCTGAGGCGACCATGGCCTTGCCAGAAATGAAGCGGGCTGAGAGGGCGAATGGCATCGGCTTTTTCCAGCAGGGTGTCGTCACCGGAGGGATCGTATTCTTGACCGCCATTGTCTCCGCAACGGGCGGGCTGTGCTATTGCTTGGTCAAGTATGCTTGGCCAGTTGCCTGGAGGACTCTATAAACTTAGAACCCATGAGTGTCTATAGGAACGGGAGTTTGAGTTTTTCTATATGCTTTGCCAAGTCACTCAATAAACATCAAACAGGTGACACTAGAAGATTCAAACCAGACGTCCAAATGTTCTCACGCTCCTGTGCTCTTGCTTCAGCTGGCTTCGTTATTGATAACCAGCATCAAGTAACTGAAATCACCCCTCTATTGATGCAGCACGCGTTCCTCCCAACCTTCAAGAAGTGCGCTTGTGATTTACTCCGCTAGGTCCTCCGTCCATCTCAGCTTCTTAGTGAACTAACTGGCTTGGTCTCTTTCGCACTTCCCTCATGTATCCCAGCGCCCACGTGTCCCCTAAGCGCGGCTTCTTGGCGATGGCGGGGACATCAACTATAAGGAATTTACCGCTTATTTACAAAAGATGGCTACCTCGTGTACCAACTCTTCGGAGCCGACTCTTTTCAACATCCCCGCCCGAGACAACAGCTCGCCTGATACATGAACCCATCGAGGAGGAGCTGCTTTCGGGTGATCGGGTGAAATACTTCCATCCAACCCGGCCTGGAGAAATATTAGACGGTAGATACACGACAATTGCCAAGTTCGGCTTTGGCACAGGGTCTACAGTTTGGCTTGCAGATAATCTTGAGTTGCAGTTATAGACCTCTTGTCCAGTTGTTGGCTTCATGCGGTCTCCTAACATCTATGCTAGTAAGCGGCGGAGGGAGTTGGGTCCTCGATATGTCAGTAACATCCCAGCTCTTGATACGGACGCATCTGGCGAGTCCACGTACGCAAAGATCATTGAGGCTGCCAACCCGTCCCATGAATGTTTACTATCCATCCACCTTCCAGGCGACCAGTTTTCAGTTAAGGGGACCTCGGGGAACACATATTTGCCTCTTCTATGAAGTCATGAGAGAGACTCTATTCGACTTTCAGCGTAGAATGCCGCGAGAAAGACTGGAAATGCCGTTGTTTAAGCCTTGGATCTTTCTGCTCCTTCAAGCCTTAGATTATTTGCACACCGATTGTCATATGATCCATACAGGTAATATCCTCGACTCTCGACCTGCTCTTCCGCTCGTGTGATGCCACAGCTAACTATGAAAACCCCCTTCCCTAGATATCAAAGATGGTAATATCATGGTGACGATCGAAAATGATGCTGTCTTGTCCGACTTTGTCCACTTTTACAAGGCAAATGCCCAGCCGAAGCACATCCGGGCCGAAGATGACCGTGTGGTTTACCTCTCCCAAAATGACTTTGGCCCCTCGCGCGACTTACGAAACGGCTTCCTACCCTAGTTAGCTCATTTTAATTCAAGCTTCCCTGGGTTAGTCGACGGTCGTGGCCACCTTCTCCCATTCAGTCTCATCGGTACCGAGCCCCAGAAGTATTTCTTGGTTACCCGTGGTCTTATAGTGTGGATATCTGGAACCTAGGCCTCCTGGTGAACCCTTCTTATCCTCGCCTACCCGCCAGTACAAGAACTAATACTGCCGGTAGATGTGGAATCTTCCGGAAGATGTAAGCCTTTTCAGGCCTGCCGGCGATGACGGCGAATATGATGCTCACGTTCATTTGGCCCAGATGGTGTCTATCCTTGGAGATCCGTCGAGGAAGTCATCGAGAGAGAAAGAAGGTATCGCGACGCTAAGCTAGGGACACCAGTCATAAACCGACGGGGCAGTAAATGCAAGACAATGAACGAGTACTAGGGTGGCCCTTTTTTCGATGACGATAGTAAGTTGTGCAGGACGTTCATGATGAAAGAGATGACAGGGAAAACTGACGTGCTGCTTTGCTACAGACCAAATACTTCGCAAAGATCTTCTGGGCAAGAGGAAATTGGTAGACACGGTGATGGAACTAACTGGCGATGCAAAGGAGGTATATCTCGACTTTGCATCTTCCATGCTCCAGTGGTTACCCGAGAAGAGAACTGCCAAAGAGTTGTTGGAGCATCCTTTTATAGAGTCCGTGAGGAAAGAGCGTGAACGATACTTGCAAGATCCAGAAGGATATTAGCAAGGTCTAGAACGAGGTTGAATCGACGAGACTGATATTCCTACTTTCCTTCGTAAGAAATCGAAATTGCGACGACTTAGCTCGGTTCACGGCTCTGTCTGACACTATCGAACAAGGGCAATAATATTGTTAGAGATGAACGTTTGTGGCAATTGTAACTCTGACCCACGAATATAGTCATGCGTGGTGAACTTGGACGAGAACCCAGACTGATCCGTGCTTGCAACCTATGGCTCTCTAGACCTCATATCCTGTATATCATCGCAGAAATCCCTGCTTTCAGAGATGGCACTAGCCCTGAGCGCTCTTTTATTTGCATTCTCCCTTATCCAAACCTCGTCAGATTTCCATGGATGGACTTAAACTTCGGTAATAGGAATGCCCATCCGCTGGGATACAATGTTAATGACACTATCAGCCGTGACGATATTGGTGACAGTTGGCCTATCGACAGCAGCGTTCCACATTTCCATCATTCGAATAGTCATCTTCTGCAAGGGAATGACGCCATACTTCAAACCAGCAGCCTTGATGCGGTCACCATTATACTCCGCAAAATTCAAGCGTTTTCCCAATTCATCAAGCTTCGCCTTAGCAAAGCCGAGTTCCTCGTGGCGCTTCCTTTCTCGCTTTTGCTGCATTATGAGCAGCTCCCGCTCTTCCCAGGCCTTGCCAGCATCCATTTGTGCCTGTGCGAGGAGGAATCCAGATTCCCTGTCTTTTTCCTTCTCTAGGGCATTGATGTCAATGGTCAATTGGCAGAGCTTGAGCTCAAGAGACTCGATGATTTCCAACCGAGATTGGTGGGCAATCCGTACGGCTGCAGCGGCCTCTTCAACAAGGTCTATGGCCGAGGCGGGTAGACGACGAATAGGGTACCTAGCGGCGAGAGTTGCGGAGGCTCTTAGGGCGCTGTCGAGAATTGTCACACCATGGTCCTGGTCGTACTTCTCCTTGCGACTTCGGAGAATGGTGATAGTCTCAGGGAGAGATAGCTCCTTGATCATTATCAGATGGAAACACTGCTCGAATAGCCCCCCACCCGTCCCAATACAATTGTTATAGTGAGAAGGGGTAGTAGTGCCAATACAACAAAGTTGGCTGCAGCCGAGTATGGACCAGAGGAGGTGAGTGGCATCCACGTCGCTAGCCCCTATCAGAAGGTGGATCTCCTCTACACAAAGAATAATAGTCTCCGGAGATTGCGTGATGTCATTCAGCACTCGCTTCAGTCGCCCTTCGACTTCCCCCCGCTCAGTATTGGCGATAAGGGCGCTGATGTCGAGAGACAGGAGCTTGCAGTTCATGAGGTGGTCCGGTACATTGCCGACTGTAATGCGTTGAGCAAGGTCCCTGATGATAGTGGTCTTACCAACACCGGGTTCTCCAATAAGGAGGACGTTATGCTTAGTTGGCTGACTGAGGATACACATGGCTCGGCGGATCTCTTCTTCTCGGCCAATTATGAGATCACAGTTGTCGCCCGTGGCCGCGGCAGTCATATCGATCGTGAAACCGAGCTCCTGGGTGATAGTGCAGATGGCGTTCTCTATTAGGTCGGTATTGAGAATCGTGGCCTCCCGTAAGGCAGTCTGGATGTCGGCATCTTGGCAAAGCGCTATGATAATATGGCAAAGATCAATAAAAGAGTGCCGCTGGAGATTCCGAAGATTGTTGGCTTTCTCGAGGACAGTATGAGATGAGGGAGATACGCTGACCGTGTATGGAGGAGGGCTCCAGCTAGGGAGCTTGGTAATCGTCTTCTCCAGCGCCCTGTAAAAAGCCCGAGGGCTGCCGTGAGCCAGCTCGATAACCTGCTTGAACATGGTATCGAAGTTGATGGGTATCACATTCTGCGGTCCTGGAGGGGACTCGAAGAGGGAGACCCATGCGAGGTGCATGGGGAGGACTTCCGAGTGACCGAATTGCTGCGCTAATTCTATGGCATTATTCCAGACCGTTTGGGCTTTGTTTGTGAATAGGATGTTGGAATCCATGGTGTCGAGTTGACGTGCCCTACAATTTCTTGTCTTGTTGCTTCGAGGTGGCTCGGCGGGAACTGATGAGCAACACCATGGAATCCAGTTCCTAGGAAATTGCCCCGCTCTTGAGATTAACTCGATCAAGAGGCTCACGTCGACGAGATGTTTATAATTCGTTGGCTGTGTCACCGTGTGTGACGACCAACCCCTCACTCTAAAAGACCTGCACGTAACACCATATCTCTCCAGGCTCCCAACAGTATCACAATCGTATCGTGACCAGCGCAGTAGCCAACAATAAAGAAGTTAAGGCTTCGCATTGGGAACATAAGTAAGGAGTATGGATGAAGAACCAGATCAGAGTTTCGCTTTCTCCACCGGGCGGCTGCCCCCGGCCCTTCGTCTTGGGTTTAGGGCAGGGACAGTCACGACAATGATAATGCGTTTATGAAGATGACTCTTTTCTGTCGTCGCGGGGATCTATCCCAGTAATATATCCCAGCAATGTATCCGTCTCTGTCATGCTCGAATTAGTTGTCATGCCTTCTGCTTCAAATGCAGTGACACACCCTGCCGGGTCTCAGGGCGGGTTTTTGATGCGGCGCAAGTAACTGAGGCATAGCTTCTTTAATCGTCTTTTGAATGAAACGAGAAAGGTATTCGAAGCAGCTGCAGGTGTCCGCATGGAAGAGGCCTCGACCGGCGAAGGCTCCTCAGTAATGGGGGCGAGACTCGTAGTACCGAAATTTGCCACCACTTCTCTATTATGCAGGAGTGTCTGCCGATATGGGTTCTCCCGATCCAGGGCAATCATGTCGTACGACGTGCGGATTAAGTAGGGCTCATCGCCTTCATCATCATGGGCATCTGCTTCTTCAGCTGAAGACGCAGGTAAAAGGGTCTCATAGCATGCCTCGATTTTCTGTAGCCACCTCTGCCTTTCGTGACCCAAAATTCGACCATGCGCCATCAAACTTTCGGCTATATCTCTCCTAGGTCGATCTCGAAGAAAGGGGGGACCTTTAGGACGAGTGTACTTTGTTGAGTAACGGGAGACTGAAGTCTCCAAAAGTGACCTAACATAATCGATCCCCGGTTGCGTCTGGCCTAGCTTCCGTTCGACGTAGAGTCGGAGGCCGCACTGCACTGCAAGGTGCATAAAGTCGGTTGGAGGGCCTGGCGGCTCGATGGGCCAGCGTACTGTGTCTTGAATCGCGGGTTGGTTTGTTGAGTGGTCCGGGGAAAGAAGCGAGCCATATATTTGGCCAGTTCATCCAGCAAGGCAACCTGTGAGGTCCCTTTCACCTCTGCCAGAGAGGCGAACTCAAGAACCCAGAAAATTGCATTCCAGGTCCCTTCTGGCACACGGACGCTAAAGTTGTAGTGGACACACTTGAGTTGGTGAAGGTAGCATCGAGCAAGGGCGAGATGTGGGTCAAAATCAGGATCCGTGGCCGAGGAGATTGCTTACAAATATCGCCCTGGTCAAGGAAATCTTTAACAGTTCTGTGAAGATATTCAACGTCGGCATTTGCCAGCAGATCCCCATATTCGGGCGGAAGCTGTCTATAATCTCTCAAGACTACCATATCACTTTCCCCAGTGCTCACTGGAGGAGCAGAAGAGCTTCGCAGAATGCCGTCAACCGCATCTACCCGTCCTGCAACAACGTCAGCGGGATCCAAATAATCTCGACGGGGATGTAACAGGGCGTCCGCTTTGACCCAAATAGCTCCCGTCTCGAGGAGGCCCTTGCACCGGCTGTCAAGACGACGTCTCATATTAAGGGCGCGGTAGAATCTTTGTCTTGGGAAGAAGAGGGACGGCTCGACGCGCTGCCGGGTAGCAAGCCCCGCGTCTTCTTCGTCCGCGAGAGACAAGCAAAGGAGAGATAAGGGGGATGGAGAGGCTTTCACCATTTGAAACAGCGCGGATGCCTGTTTTATGAGGCGGCGATCGAAATGGTGCAGTATCGTTCGAAATAAGTCATCGAGCTCGGGTGGCAGTGAATCTAGCCGCCTCTGGAAGTCCGGCAGCCTGTCTCCGTCTCTTAGCCCTTCCATCAGAGACCGAACAACAAGGACCACCCATAAGAAGACTCCCGAAGCTTTCTCGGATACACTCTGGATCAGGAATTCGCTAGCTATTTCGTCCATCATCCGGAGTTCTTTGAATGCAACACTCGAGCTCAATTCAGAATCGACAAACGACTTGATATCGTGGAAAGTGAGGTCTTGCAGCATGAGGTGCGGTTTCGAATTAAACTCGTCCTCGAATATCATCCAAGGCCGGCTTGAAATGCAAAACTTGAGGTGAGGATATTCGCCGACACTTCGAGTGAAGGAAATCAAGTTCGATTTGTCTCCTTCAAGCTCGTCAAGGCCGTCGATAAAGAAACAGAATTTCACGGTCGTCCCCCGGGTCTCCAGCAAGAACCGAAAGGCAGTTTGAAGCTCAGTTAAGGTCCAAGGGCTGTCCCGGTCCCTGGAAAGGGCAAATGAGGTCCAAAACTGGATGGAGTTTTCGGGATCCAGGGCTTTGAGCATGCTTAACGCCTGATAGATGTCCGAAGGAGGCCGTCCTGGGAATGCCGCAGATTCTCACTCCCTGCCAACCAGAAGTAGAAAGATGCGACAATGAGAGGGGTTCCTTTCGCCCAGACCTCTAAATGACGCCTCGTCCGTACGTCATGTATTATGTGTTTCATGAGAGTGCTTTTCCCCGATCCCGCCTTGCCAGTGATCCAATACAGGCTGCTATCGTTGCTCTCAAGCCATCGTTGAAATTCATGCCGGTGTTTCGATTCCGGTCCGGCGGCGCCATATACCCATTCGAACGTTTTGCCATACGCCTCGGCTACTCGACCTTCACGAATGGAGATTGCCGAAAACTTCAAGTTGTTGAGAAGCTGATCAAAGATACTGTTGGCGACATCCGTTTTTGACCACTGGGGCATCTTGACTAGTCCCGATCCATTGACTATGGGATACATGCTCCGGGGGACTCCTGGACCTGTTTGAATGCAAGATTAAGGTTGTCTTGCCAGTGCTTCAGAGATTTGACCTGTTCCAGAATTTGTTCCCCGATCCCTGGTGATTCAGACCATATTCGGCTCCCTTGCATTTGCTTCGATACCGGTTGACTGGCAAAATGCTTCATATCCTCTCCAAAGGAAAGAATGGAAAAGAAAGGTTACAAGTAAGTCCGGAAAGCACTGGCGTTAACTTTGACACGACTTACCTTAGGTCGAGAAGCACAACGTACACTAACTCCTCCCTGACATCGCGTATCTTCTGTTGGAGGGTCTGCACAGTTCTGGCGTTTAACGAAGCCTTAAAACTTGCGTAGATTTTATTCACTACCGAGGCTGCTGTGAGATCCGAAGGGGCAAAATGGTCGAGAGCACGGATCAAATCATTGGCAATATCAACACACTGCGTAGAAACGGCGATGACCTGCTGCTCAGACTTTGTCGGCGGCCTGCGCAGCATGTCTTGCGATAAAGATTCCCTTAAGCGAGTACTTGAGGAATGCAGCATTTCCGCGGTTCCCAGAATATCTGAATAATCCGGTAGAGAGCCACCCGAGTCGATCGAGCGATACGCTGCGGTGATTCCAGCCAGACAGCGAACGCTAAAGTCTAGGAACTGAATGGCAGCGGCCGCGACCGAGAGCGCTGAAACTGGGTCCATCGCGACGTGCACCGGTCGTTCCAGGCAAAGCGGACGTCGAATTGAAAGTTGCGACGAGTTTTCGGTTCGAGTCGTCGAGCCTTCGCTCGCCCCAATACCTCGTCAAGGTAGTTTTTTGGATTGCTCTTTCCAACCTGACGACGCCCTCTGCTGCTGGGATCCGAACAAAGGTAGATTTGGGGCTGAGTCTCTGGGCGGGGAAGAGAGCTCCTCGCCAATCGTCTTCCAACATACACACGGACCAGCCCTCAGCCTCAAATCTACATGCAGGGGAACTCTGAATCGATCAAGGTGTCAGGGTGCCATCAAAATCCGATTATTCCCCGTCTGGGCCTGGATCTAATAGTCAAGGGGGAGAAAGGCTAGCAACATTTGTATGCCTCGAGTTCTAGTAAACTAATATCCATCAACCTTCTATCTTCGTCCAAATCCTTAAGTATATTACAATATGTTAGGAATGTCCTCGCCAATCTGTGTTTCTCACATCTTTACAAATTTGCTACGCTGCCTTAGGCTCGGGCCAAATTTGAATAGGAGCCACGGGATTGGAAGCAAAAGAATCGAGAGAAACGCAAATAAGCTCCCAGCCCAGTGAACCCCGAGATTCTCGTACATCTGGAAGGTGAATAGTGGGAATACGGACCCGAGCGTGTATCGCAATATGCCGTTCGCCGCAAGAGCTAAAAGTCCATGGTATGTTTAGAATATGTGGTATCAACAGACAGGGGACGACACAACTAACCTGACGCGGCACTTTCTCTGCCGTAAAAGTCAACCATGTACGTAATGACAGAGAGCTGGACGAGTTAGTAAAAACTCAGGGCAGAAGAGAGCAAATGTGAAGGCTCCCTAGAGTCTAGACTTCGACTTACGAAGAGACCAAAGGTGCCCAGGCCAAACGGAATGCCCGCAGCCACCAGCACTGCCCAATTGCCGTTCTGCTTTGCCGCCCACGCGTACCTTTACGTAGAATTGATATTAACAAGAGCTAAGAAAGACCTGTAGTTCCCGATCAACGTACCAGAACAGGCCGACCGGGATGAAAATACTCCCGGCCATCCCAGCGTAAAGTCGATGCTCTGGCCCCGTCCTCCCATCAGGGCTTCGCTTCCTCGCCCGACCGTGCAGAGTAACATCAAAGCCGACAAACATGATACCACCCAGCAGATAACCGATGATGATACTAATAAAAGTCAATCCTGTTTGGCGGGGGTCGAAGCCGTAGAACTTCGGTAGCACATATGATGCGCTGGCAAAGTAGCTAAAAATCATGGCGTAAGCGAAGGCCGAGTAGATGGCCAGCGAGGACACGACAACTTCCGTAAAGAGCATCTTTGTCGGCTTGATGAGTGCACCGACGATGAGGGAGGCTATCTGGGAACCCGCTAGGGTTATCTTTGAGCCCTCGTCGTTGCGCAGAATCCACTTTTGCGAAGTCTCCTTCATTACAAGGCAGCCCAACCAGACGGGAGCTCCGACAATCAACAGGAGGTATTGGGTCCAGCGCCAGTCGTATCCGTGATCCTTGAGTACGTATGCGCCAGCCAAGGGCCCGAGTGTCGGACCCAGGAATGGCCCTAATATAAAGAGGATTGATGCTTGCGCTCCACCCTTGTGCAGTTGCCAGACATCGACCACAGTTCCTGCCCCAATGGCGATACCTGCGGACCCCAGTAGGCCGGCGAGGAATCGGCATGCTAGGAGAGCAGAAAAGTTATTGGCGGCGGCGGAACCTCCAGTGAAGGCGAGTAGGAAAGTTGTTGTGATGAGGTACACCCATTTTCGTCCCCAAACTTCCGAGAATGGTGCGACTAGGAGCGGACCGAAGCCGAGACCCAGAGTATATATGGTTATTGGTAGGAGTGACTGCGTTCGTGAGACTTGAAAATCTTCCATGATTAACCCGGCAGCAGGGACGGTGACAGACGTGGAAAAGGTCCTAGGAGTTGCAAATCGATGATTAGCCACTAGTAGAATACATAGGCGCAGTGTCTAGGCCGGGAGGAGCTGGACAAACATGAGGAACGACAAGCAACACGGCACCGCAGTGTGGAAGATCCTCGATGCCATGCTCCAATTCCATGGATTCCGCGGGTCTTGCTCATATGGGATCACTTCCTGGGACTCAGTTTGAAGTTCTGGAGGAGTACCGGGCGTCTCCGCGAGGGAGCTAGCCTTTTCGCTGTCCTTTTCGGCTGGTGATACTGACATGGCTGATTGTTTGAATCAACTGGAATCAGAGATGCTTGGTGTTAGTCGATTGAGATTGGATATCTGCGCTTGCTTTGCAATGTTGCATCCAACAGAACCTCACTCCAAGGGAAGCTGTTTTCTTTAATATCCAACCCCATCGTGATCAATTAGATATCTGAGCCCACTTTCGAAAAGGCCAGAGTTGAGAATCGTTTGACGGTTGAACTGCCCACGGGCGGATTGGTAATTCACCCGGATTAAACGACATCTCAACAAAAGGGCGTGTTAATTCTCGATCGGAGTGATCAGTAAACAAGGTGTAAACTGAACCTAGGCCGAGGTATCCACCACTCGCTAGCGCCCAGCGACCCCGGAAGCACGGCAGTCTGCAGCGGTGTTGAGGTAATTGGGAAACGGATCGAAACTACTTGAAATCAGCCCTACAGACCATGCAAGGCTTCTTTTCAGCGGCCCGACAAGACTCCACCTATGTTGGTAAAATTACGCCATCTCGAGGATGTTAACGATACCTGCTAGCCTGTGGCATACACAACCCTAGTCTCATGGACACGCTCTAGCGTCGTTCGAGTAATAATAGGCGAGCCTTAGCTTAGGAACACTTGTACACTGCTGGCCTTGCGGCGGATGCGGAGCAATTAGCGACCATAGGAAGAACTGCGCTGCGTGGAAAGCGGGCTGTCCTTTGGGGCCTACCAATGGCGCATCACTTGAAGTGTTGGGCACAATACAGGTGGGTGCATCGTGATTCATTTGTGCGATCCCTCACTCCGCACTCCTACTTTCTCGGATACATCGGATTCCCAATCGGGCCTGGTGGTCGCGTCATCCTCGTCCTCATCCTCAACGTGATATCCTGGGTATTCCCTTCAGAGAAAGATTGCCAACTCCCCGACTCAGTACGAAGCCTTAGAGTTGTCTACAGCAAACAAACTCAGCATTCAATACCGCTCGCCAGGGTTCGCCTAACAATTGGACATCGCAGATGGTACGAAATGAGTGCATAATTCTCATTTCCTTTCGTTAATTAACAGATTAAGGGCATCTATTACAGTCAAGCACCCGCCCAAGCATCCAGCCACGGATGTTTCAAAAGCGCCACCACATCGGGTCTTTCATTAGGGTTAATCCTCATCATGAGACGTAAAAAGGAGGCAAATTCCTCACGATCCACTTCTTTCAGCCCCAACATAAACTCTTCAGAAGAAAGACGCGGCCGGTCCAGTTGAGAAGGGTAACCTCGGACAGTCCCATCTTCGCAGAAGGTATCTTGAACAATCTGCGGGTCGCCCTTGTCTAGAAGCGACCTCGGGAACGGGCCAAAGAAGTCGACAATCTCGGCAAGATGCTCGCGGAGTTCGTAACGGGCCTTCTCGTCAGGGCCGACAGCTTGGCCGTTGAACATGCGGACGGCACGGTACACCTCCAGGAGGACTGCACCAAGGTTCCACCAGTCCGTTTGGGTGTCCCAAGAGGCTTTTATGAGGACTTCGGGAGCACGGAGTGCAACAGGTTGAATGTTCTCTGTCAGGTGCTTCGTCTTCCAGCTTGCGACGCCCCAGTCCCCCAGGACCACATCGAACTCGTCGACTTTAGTTCTGTCTTCTTTGGAGAAGTAGTAGTTCCGCAGCGATTGCGACGGAATAGGTTTGTAGCGCGGTTCTTCGCGGTCCTGCTCCGGCGGTTTCCTGTGTTCCAAATAGCGGCCCACTTTTGTGAAGTCTCGGAATTTTACGAAGATGTTGCTCGGCTGGATATCTAGATGTCAGGCAGGCACCATCGCCACCGGAATTAGACATGTACCGTTCTACTGAAATGGAATAAGATGCCTGAGAATTTAGGTACCGGTATGTATGACGCCCTGATCGTGGGCGTAGTCCAACGCGAGGATGATCTGGATAGCGAATCGCCGCATGACCGTGTATGGAACCAAGCTGTCCTTGAACCAAGCGCCGAAACTCCTCAACGTTTCACCCATGAGGGGAAAGACGAGGCAGACGTGCCTGCCATTCGGACCCTGGTGCTCAAAGTCATCCAGTAAGTGGCAGATGTACGAATGCCCGAGCGGACTAGTATTTCCATCTCGAAGATGCCTGAGGATTTCTCGCTCGAATATGGGATGGTCAGTGAAGTAGCACTCGGCGCTCAGAACTTTGAGTGCAACATATTCATATTCGTGACCCTTTCTAGAGACCAAAATATTAGATTATTTTTTTGCCTCTATTCTCCCTTCTCCGAAACTGGAAAATTTTTCGCTTACTCGCGTTGCGCGTCCTGGACAAGCCAAACCGTTGAATACGCTCCATATCCAATTTTGTTGAGAACGCGGTAGCGGCTGTTGAATATGTCCCCAACGTAAACGGGATGGAAGCCTCCGATATGGTACGCATTGCTACCCTCTTCGATATCCGAGTCATCGTTGCTGATTTTGGACGAGTCCATCCTTCAATGACGCTGTTCTTGTCAACGATGTGTTTTGGGAAGAGATGAGAGCGAGTTTCGGAGTGCAGTGGTTGTTATTCTGGCAATTGCTGATTAGTGGCTGCAGCTGCCGTTCTTCAAGTCCTGCTCCTTGACGAGTCAGAACGGCATTGAAAATAGCAATAAAACCCCGACCCTAAACTTCTTCTCATTCTGAAAACTCTCTGCCTCGGTGTAAGGTTAGCGACTGAAGGCCCCTCCACCCTGTGAATGTTACCCCGAATTCGCATATTACCTCTCAGACAAACCGGCGCTGAGCTGTTACTTCCCTCCCTCGACGGCCGCCACCTACCGTCTTCCTCAGGATCAACGCAACGCTCCTACGCGATTCCTGTTGGGACACACATATTAAATCTTAACAAACTGAGCCCATCCGTCCGTCCGATTCCCTGATTCCCCACTTCCCCTGTCACTCTCTAGTCACCAGAAGTCGAAGACGCCGTTTCCCCGGCATCGTCATTCAAACGCTTGTCGTGGAAAAGCCTAGGTGGATGTTCCAGACACGTTGGATGGGCCAGTCCTTATTTTCATGTTTCTGAGCCCACAGGTGTCATCGAGTTTCCCAATACTCTACGCGTGCTTGAGCCCCCCCGACAGTAACGACATGCTTTGTGATCGGGGGCGTCGAGTGGCTGTACCGACGAGTCTCGAAGTAGCCTTGGAGACGCTGATGGTTCCTTAGCACAAAGGCCAGTTGGATCTGCTCTTGCATATCGTCCGCGATAATGTCCTCGCCGGCACCGACCAACGCCTCCTCGAGCCAGCCAAAAGAAGCTCTTGCTATCAACTGCCGTCGATATTCCTCAAACACATCTCACTGCCCACTTGTCATAGTTTAGATGAGAAAAGGGCTTCGAAGACACATTCCTTCATGAAAACGTGTTTCTAGAGAATAACTTTCTATAACATGGCGACCGAAAGCGATCTATTCCAGTAAACCAAGTCTATATCTTGCCCTTATTAGCGCCGCTGCGAGCACCCAGATTCCTCGCAGCCGAAAGAATCAAACACAAATGCGTGCTAATGGCAACAATATCTCCGTGCATATCCATGATGGCAACATCCAAGTCGAACCTCCCATTCTGGATAGACTTGGCACTCGTCCTCACGTAAACCCATTCGTTCTCCCCATCCTTGAGCTCCTTTTTGACGTCGAGATTTAGAGTGACCGTGGGGTACCAGAACAGTTCGTTGTGCGGGAACGGAATAGGTTCCTCGTCCTTCTTCGGCCTCCAGGCCTCGACAACGTAAGGGAAACAGTCCGCCACAAAACCCAGAGACGCATTCGTGAAGCCCTCCCCGGAAACCAGCCGAATCCACGACTCTTCCACCCCGCGTCTTGGTTGACCCCTTCGCGGCGAGAAAATTTCAATGTTCGTTTGAGCCCGCGCGTAGGAGTTCGCTCGAGGGCTGGGCGACTGCGGCCTCAGCGCCCAATTGGGATCCTCTCCGCGGGCCATCTTCACGAGGTCTACTGGTGGTGTGGGAGGGTCGAGGGTCCAACCGGTGGGCAGGCTTAGGCCCTTCTCGAGGGAGAGTTTCGTGTTCGTGAGGAAACCGATGACTTCCTTTCGGGATTGCGACGTGATCCAGGGTGCCGAAGTCTGCAAGTCGTTTTGGTACAGGGTAATTTGGATAGTGGAGAGGGCGCGACCGAGCTTGACATCTTCGATGACGAGGATGGCTGGGCCGACTTCGGTCCGGTTGATGTATTCGAAGTGCGCAGATATTACGTCGGGCTGACCCCGAGCTGCGAGGTATTCCGACGCGGTGCGCAGAATGCAAGAGGCGACGTAGCCGCCATTGGGTACTACAAGAAGGAGTTAACGATGCCCGGTTGACGAGCCAGTGCAGTAACATGCTCACTCACCTGAACCAATGCAGTAACCTTCGACGAGGACGGCGGAGTAGACATGAGAGTCAACCGCCGTGACACGCGCTGCGTCTGCAAAGGGAACAATTTCCAACGTATCGCTCATCTTTCATTGGTGCAAGGCAGAGGTGAAGGAATCAATTGATCACTCAATCTGTTCACGTATGGTTTGAGACAGCTCTTATTTCAATATATGTTGTCCAAGTCTCACATGTCTTCCTCCTCAGCCAAGTCGGATTTAGACAGGTCCCCGCAAAGTTGCGACATCCCAAAGAGTGATTAGTGAACATTAGTGAACATTGTTCTCGATCGGAGTCCGGTCATTGAGCCTCGGCAACTTCATCGCGACCCACTTTGGACAGCCTGGGTCTTGCACAGGGATATAGTTGTCACGTGATTTGTAGATCACGAGACTAGCCTCATCTTCGAATCCTTTTCAGCAACGGACCTACCACTCACTTCCCAGGACCACCACTAGTGGGAATCTAAGAAAGTCTTCCCCGCGACCCAGACTGGGCTATTGTGGTGAGCCAAGTGGTTACTATGGGGCGCGAATGACTTCGGTCGTCGTCGGAGAGACCAGTAAAGGGTGGCTGCTGCCTCTGAATAGGTGCTCTAGAGTCGTATCCAACAGAAGCCCGTCTTTGCTCGGCCCTCTGGCTTGAAAAAGGGAGGGGGGGTTACATCACTCCCCATTTGAAAGGGCGGAAACTTTGGTATCCCGAAATACTAAGTTATTCGAGCGTGTTTATGCAGCTAAAGAATAGAACTCCACCCCCATTATTCGTTCAAGCTCTGACTAGCCCTCTGGTTCCTCCTCGTATATCTCAAAGGAATGGATATAATGCGGGTCCTTTTCTTCCACAATGTCATCCAGCTGGTAACCCCTCGGAGACCATCCCCAGCGGCCTGCTCCACCGGAGGTCCTTCCGAAATCCGCGTCCTACCCCTATAAATCTCAGTCCTATGGGCATTGCCATTCCCGTTTGATGATTGAGGCAGTGATAAGGAAATTTTCCGCCTTGACCAATGAGCTTGTCTCAAGTCTTGCCATCGACGCTGCCTCTCCGCCTCGGCTTGGGTCGCTACTTCCCGCTCATTGTCGGGCAAGGCCAATATCTCATCACGGATCTGATCTCGTCTTGCTAGCTCTCTTTGGACCATCTCGGGATCGAAGGCATTTGGGGAAGTTACTGCAGCGATGATTAGCCAATACCCTGAAATATCGAAAGTAACACTTACCGTCTTCTAGATACTCCTGCTCCAAAACATTTAGGCCGTCACCATACCGGCCGATGAGGCGGATGTTGCAAAGCTCAAAGAGGTCCTCTTCCGAATCGATATCGAAGAAGCATCCACCATACTCTGAGAAAATATTCAAGTCGAACAAGTAGTTATTGCTCACGATAGCGTCCACGGAGAGTTCCTCCAGCACATGGAAGTCGCACCGAACCGTTTTCCCACCAACTTCCCATGACGCGTCTCGTACGACGCCACTAGTCCAGGCGGTTGTTCCGTCGGCGAACTCAACCTCAAGCCAATTCTCGAAATCCCGATCGATGGCTAATCCAATTTTCCGGGCATATGCACTAGAGACGAGTATAATATCTGAGCCAGTTCCGGGCAGTGCTGCTGTAGGATGGATGGCCGTCAAGGGATCCCCACAGACGCTGCTTCCCCTCACCGAGAAGACTTAGCCGCAATCTCCTCGGTAACTCCGTCAGTTTAGATTTGATGCGACGAGTGAACCTGGTGAGTGTTTGTGTCGCCACTAGGAAAGGACATCCCAGGACAAGATCATGGACGCATCCCGGGAGGATCCAGCAGTCCAGAGTGTGGCTTCTCCGCTCCTCAACAAACCTCCACGGGACCTTGACCATGCCGGGAGATTCGACGTGCTTCTTATTGGCGAGGACGATCCTCTTCTGTGTCCCATCAGCAGGGTATAGGCCGAGATCAGAGGCGAGCCTTGGCGACATGAAGCATCTGTCCGCACCGCTATCTGGGCAAGCGTCTACTAAGGTGCCATCCACAACTCCCTCCACAAAGTGTTGTTTCGAACGTGAGGTAAAATTCATCACTGGCGGTTTGTTACTCGCAGAGGGGACGCTTCCCGGCGCTGGGGTAAGAACATCCGGACGGATGTCGCCGTGAAACGTGATAAGCTTTGGATATCTGGCCAGTGTCGACTTGCCCGCTTCGGAACGACGGCGGGTAGAAAGGAATTTCTCGTAATGGGACTGTTCTTGGACGACTCCTGTCACAAAGGGTTGGACTAATTCGTCGACTACGTAGGTACGCCACCGGGCTGGATGGAGCGTCTCGTCGAAGGTCACCGTTTCACCGAGTCCCCAGCTCGGAAGATTGTCGGCATCGCCGTTAAAGCCGGGGTCAGTTTGAAGCCCAGTCGCCATCAATGTAGACGTCGCAAGCGACAGGGTCGCCACAACCCGAAGTCCAGTGCGGTGTTCAACAGGTGAAATTTTTCACTGGAGTTTAGCGGCTTCAAATTGACTAACGGTCGTTCAACAATCAAAGGTTCAGCGGCTTCCACGACCTGCAGTCAGTAGGCCGAGGGGTCTGGAAGGAAGGAAATGGAGTGGTGATGTTGAAGAGCACCGTTCTAGCGAAGAGCGATGGTTTGGGCCGAGCATGAATTCGACAAGCGGTGAACAGAGGCCTAAAAGCTTTTTTTTTTTCTTTTTTTGACAGAATGGAATCGAGAGGGGGAAAAAAGGATGGAGGCACCTCTCCAATACAAGCTTCACATTAATGTTGGATTTGCACAAGCTCTAACACTGCCTGCCACCTCGCCTCCTTGGTCAGACGATTTAGTTGGTCACTAAGGCATCCTGCATCAGCTCTGCCACCGCCACGTTCGTTGGGCGCTCTGATTAGGCAAACACTGTCGCCGACGACCCAGATTCGTAGCAACTGGTCGCCAGATGGCTCGTGTCGATTTCCCGTTGATAATTCGAAACATCCAAGCAGGACCGAAGCAGTCGAAGAAATCACATCTGCTTCTCATCCACCTAGTCCCAACCCTACGCATGTCACGATCTGCCTAAAATACGCGTACGTTGCGATATCAACCCCTCCTTCCCGACTGTGGCCCATGAATGTGAACCCAAATTCAAGGCATTGTAATAATTCGGCCCCTCCAAGTCATCGGAGGGAGGGATTTGCCGACGTTGCAAGATAGATAACGCTTGACCCCGACAATGAGACTCTTATCTACCGTAAGTTCGATGAACTCGCGGCTCGAAATCTGCTTTATCTGCAGTCGGAGCTGCTTGTTCTTGAGAATCAACTGAACGAATTGGATATCCGTGATGCCCTCAGCGAGGACATGGATCTAAAGGATGCCGCCAGGACGTGGGAGACAATGATGCACCGGTATGAGACTAGTAACGAAGAAACGCGAGTTCGTATGGACCTCATTATGAGGATTCGCACGAAATTAAAGGAGTATCGTGCGTTTGCAATCTCGTGACCGCCCCAGGAAAACGCTGACTGTTACCTAGATGAGGCGCTGTTGCTACAGAGTGAGATCGCGAAATTGAAGAAGCCCAACAAGCGTGTCCTTGAAGCATACGCCCGCCCGGTGGTTTAAAAAGCCGTACCCTGCACTCGGTGGACGAGAAGACCTTCCTAGATGCCCCAGACGATCTCGTAGCGGTTAATACGCCGCCGGAGACATATTATCTATCCCTCTTCTTGAGACGCCACTGGCCGGCAAAGGCAAGTGCTCCCATTACGGAATTCAGGGGAATCTACTGACATGCCACAGGAAGAACTACCCCGGGACGGTCTTCACCGTATAGGGCGATTTAATGAGAAGTCTATCTCCCTCACGGTTGCCGGTATTAGCATCCTTGTCGCAGCGCTCCTCTTAATTGGCTCCATCACGGGTCTGTACCTCGTCACCAACGATGCTGCAAAGCTTGGTATGCTCGCTGCTTTCACAGTCGCATTTGTCTTAAGCGTCGGTTTGATGACGAACGCGCGACGAGCCGAAATATTCGCGGCTACAGCAGCGTAAGTGGTGTCTTGGTTATTGTTATTAGGCCACATAATACTGATTCAACCTTAGGTATGCTGCTGTCCCTGTGGTGTTTGTCAGTGGAAATATATCAAACTCACCCAATGTGCCCGGAGCAACGTGAGGACGGTCGGCGTCATCACCCACAGTGCCGGGTAGCTGAAGAGATAACCGGCCGATCAATTGCTGGAGAATGGTGGTGCCACGTCCGCTTCGACCCGCCCTCGGGTGCCAAAACGGATGGCTGAGGACAGCTCCCATTTCCAACTTATTCCCAAAACGATCGTTCTATCATTTATCTGTACAAGCCTGCGGGCGGATGCGGATGGGGGTGGGCGCACAACAGCTGGGACATGGGCACTGTTACATCTCGCGATTCGCACACAGGGCCAACCTCGATCTATCTCCAAACTCTCTCCCTAGGTCACTGGACTTGAAGAGAGTGCCGCTGCCTTTGCCTCTATTTTCCATCCAGAATCCCGACTTCGCCTACAATTCGGCCAACGGGAAAGGGTCCGTTCTAACCTCAAACCGCGGATCTCTATCTTATGGCCAAATGGGGGGCGGATCGGCTCCCTTTCCCTTGTATAATCGACCCCGCTAGGACCCTTCCCATGAAATACTTAATGTTTTGGTGACCTGTCACTCCCAGGCTCCGGTTTCCTGCCGGCAGATCTTACCACCTTCCTCCACGTGAAAGGCACCGAGGTTTCCACCACTTTTCGTTTTTTCTATGATCCATTCAATTCCGAGCACGCAAGCCCTTTTCTGTGATGACGTCTTGTATCTAGTCTGCTCGGTCCAAGTGGCATCACTTCTCCATTGGCTAGAGGAGGTATATCGGGGCCAAGAGAAAGAAAGGAAGCCTGCAGGATTAATAAAAAGGTTGCGCAGGCTACAGCCTGGCTGGCTGTCTGTGTGGTGATAGATTAGACGCATTCGTATTGGTTCAGATTCTATGAAGGACCGTCTAGCGAGAACACCGAGAAACAGAACCTAAACGGACACTATGAGCGGATTTGGTGACACCACAGCACCTTGTCTTGCCCCGGTAAGCATGAGTATAAAGATCCCGGACCCACAGACACACCCGCCGACACTTGCCTACTGAGATGGGCAAGTTTTCCGAGCCCTCCAACTCCTCGATCACTCGAATATATTGTCGTACGGAGGGAATGAAGGGTTGGTAATACGACTCGCGTCATGATGACGGCCGGACTTCTCCTTGTCCGGCATGCATGTGCGTCGGGGTCGGCTGCACCGATAGGATACGTTGCACCGCCTGGGTTTGCGCGAGGATGGTCGATCCGTAATTGCAAGTCTTCGGCAATGACATGATATACAGCAAACCTCCATCGTCTAGAATACTTTAAGAGGCGCAATCGAGCTCACAGTCTCTTCCGAATACTCTGTTCACCAAGCTCCTGAACCTCCACGGGCGTCTGAGTACTGACGACACCCCACTACTCTTTCGATTTATAAGAGAACATTGAACCAGCTCTTGACAAGGCTTGGAATCCACTTGACTTGTTCTAACAACTAGAAGAGTTCATCATAGCTGGAACCAAGATCATGCTACCGGCCGATCATTGCGTATTCATAAGGAGATGGAGAAAGAACGGATCGAGTTACCAACCAACGCAAGTAAAAAAAAAACAATCAGACCTACGACGCCGGAGGCGGTTGAAAAGGAGTAAGTCACCAATCCCCCACCCGCTTTGAGGGCACACATGCCTAAAGTTGGCTGCAGAACGATTTCCGATGCCCTCCGCCGAATCCGCATGGACAGAGTAGAGTTTGGGAAGCACGGAATAAGGAGAAATCAACGCCAGGTTACAGGGTTCGATGATAGCTCATTTACATTTATAAAATAATACTCTAGGTTTTATAGCCGCCTCGCTTCAATGGAGAAACTTTCGTAATTACTCCTTTTCTTCCTTGAACTGAAAGACCACTTCCTAGATTTTCTCTAGACCGTAAAAGTCGTTTACAGGCTCTGAAAACTTTACTCCCTCTAATTCCCATTTGAATGTTCCGGCTTTGCTACCCAGCTTCTCCCCAACCTATATTATCTTTATAGACTATAATTCTTATATATAAAGTAGATCTATTCTTATTATTTTAATATCTTTATATATTATTTATCACGACGTGGCCGCGACCAGGTCACGAGGAAGCGGTGTGGCACGGCAGAACTATTAGTCACGTGGTCGTTTTTGCCAAGAAGCGACTGATCGGTCACCTCGACAGATGACCGATCGATCGTAGACCGGAGCGACCAGTCGGTCGACTCGAGAGCCGACCTGCACGGGAGAGCTTGGAAGGGAAACGTCTATATAAACAACGGGTTCTACCATGTATCTAGTTTGTCTTTCAAGACTCTCCAGTAGTCAATTCAAGTACAACTACACCCCTACACTTGAATACGCACTTCTCACCCATATCTTGTGAACACTGCTTGACTGCCTCACTCTACCACGAACAGACAACCACCTCAATCCTGTCACCAGTTGTATCCACTTGATACCGTCAACGGGCTAGTGTTGGGATTGTAATATACCTCCCTGTGCTGGGAGACGTACATTTGAGCGCTTCGGATATCTTTTTGCGTGTTTAGCACTTCTTCTTAATATAAGGCCGAAGGCGGGCTAACACCGCACCGGCATATACCTGGTGGAGTGTAGTCTCGTATTGCTTTGCGGGCTTGTGCAATATTTCCAGTAGCTTTATCTATTTCGGGGCCCCTACAGCCTTAAAAAATCAGGCAATCCTATTTAGATCTTATATATTTATATATATACTACACGCTTTGCATTATCCTCCTTGTTGATATTCGGTTGCATGCTAACATGCGGGGGAGCGCCTATGTGCGGGGGAAGGAGAATCGGGATGTCGTCGCACTGGGGCCGATGTGGGTGAGAGATCGGGGGTGGGAGGGGAGTGGATAATCAAGTCTTGATGTTGGTCGCTGCTCTCCCGAGATTGTGGAGAAGAAGGGTAAGGTTCTCGACCAAGGGAGGAGGAGCTTCACAACCACGGAAGTTATCGCTTAGTATCTCTTGTACCACATTGACCACAGCCTCGTGATCCGATAGTGGGATAGCCGGCGTCATATCGGGGTACGACCCTCCCCCTCGAGGCTGGATCACGCAAAGTCCCGGCTTTCCCCGATTTATAAACCGTTGAATTGCGGGGAGGTCTGGTCCATTCAAGCAAATGCTTAGCGACGCGAGATTATCAGGGTTACCGAACAAGGAAGGATCTGTGCCCTTGATTTGCGGAGCGATGCTGTAGACCCATATGGTGAGTGCTGCTTGGTAGACGGCGATTGCAAAAAAGCCGCGGAGGTGCATAGGCCGGAAAGTCTCGGCTGCACGCAACACTTGGCCGGCATGCCAGACGGCCTGGCGGGAATCTTCGTTATCGAGCCAAGCGCGGAGCTGTGGCAAGGCCCTTCGAGCATCGTCGAGCGTCCGCTTTCCGGCAAATAGTTCCACCTCTTGGAATGGCATGTGCAGGTGCATATATAGCAATTCGAAGAGTAGGGTGATTTCGGCCCGCGCGGGAAGCTCTTCCTCCTCTGGCGCGTTGATTCGAAATTGTTCAAGGATTTGTAGAATTTTTTGATGGTGAAGTGATAATCCGGCATTGGTATCTCTGCATTTGCCAAGGGCTACGCGAAGTTGATGATAGTGCCAAAACATGCCCCAAACGCCGCAAAGGATGATTAGTTGGCAGAAGTGCACATCATAACAGCCCTGAAGTTCGACCGGGTCGCTTAGGTACTCGACAAGACTCAGAGGAGTAGATCTTTGCGGAATCTCAAGATAAAGTGACTTCCATTCTTCGGCGCTTCTTGCGTGCCAAAGATACGCCGAAGTGGGCATTGGGGCCTTCAGTTCGGCAAATGATATCAGCGGGTTCGTGGATAACGCAATACTTGCTTGAGAATCCGAGATAAAGGCTCGGTAGACAAGTCGATTGAAACTCTCTTGATGAATCCAGCCCAGCCACTTTTCGTGCAGGACGGCGCCGACGTCTTCGGGTAAAGGGGGAACATGGTGGTTTGGCGGGCCGTAAAACCTACCGCCTCGGCGAATCATCTAACGTATAAGCATCAGAGTTAACGCAACTTGTTATATTCTTGAGGTAGTCCCAGAGAAATACCGGACACACGCATACCGTATAGGGGTGTTGTCGGTGGCTTTCTGATATTTCAATCTTTCTTTTAATCCCGCTCCACATACCAACTTCAACGTGGCACAGGAAAGCTTGCAAAAGCCAAAGTTTTCTCGTTACCGCATTCCCATCTTCACAAACGCGCCGCAGTGATGTGCGTAGCGTCTCTTCCATGGCAAAACCCACCATATGCAGTAACTTGGAGTCGGTTAACGACGCGCCCGAGGATACTATGGAAGCCAGAAGCTCCGGCCTCTGCTGGCAGACAATAAACGAGGGTTCGTGCATAAACGAGTCTACTTCATGACGGTGATGGGCAAAGAATGACTGAATCAGCGTGCCTAACAGGCCCGGTGTAGGAAATCCCTTCGTAACCAACTTCCACCTACTAGGCTTACATGATTCAAGTACCATCGACAAGATCTCGTCTCGAGCCGCTATAGGTACCTTCTGGTCCAAATGTGACTGATCGAGTCCGGGCTGTGGGAGGCTGAGGGATTCCGGCGGGCTTGGGCCTAAAGCAGATAAGCTTTCAATGCCAGAGCCCCCGTGATCATGTTTTGAGGGCTCCCAGACACCGAGAGAGGATTGCTTGTACGCCTCGATGCCTAAAGCAATGTGCTTCTGTTGATAGAAGGCTTCCCCGGAATTCACTCCAGGTCCGGCGTTTAGTGGCTGAATGGTTGAAAAATAATGAGAAGGGCTGGTTGGCAAGTTGGAGAGGCCAGCGGCTACATCCTCAAATCCAAACTCGCCGTCTATCGTAAAGTCGAGTAGACCGTGGAGAGCCAGTGATGGTTCGAAACGAGACTCATCGACAACTCCGATGGGAGGTGGCACGTTGTCGACCTCCATTGTCACAACGCCTCTCAAGAAACTGGAGAAGTTGTGTTCGACAAACTGAGGATGTTGTTGCTGCTGCTGTTCAATCGAGGGATGGATAACTGTAGGTGGCCGGCCTGATTCTTTCCAGTAGTTAGTTGGCAACGTGTAAATACAACTGGTACAATGGAGCCGCACCATGGCTCGTTACTTCAGTGGACTCTGGACTCAAACTTTGCGCGTGGGGGATTGGTAATATTGTCATATTACTAGCCTCAGTACTAGGTGGACTGAGAGCGAGTTCGGGTTGTCTTGCTGCATCATGCTTTAGTTATAATTCCTGCCGTCGAGGCAGGGGAAATGCGAAAATGAACAACGCATCTTTGGTCTTAAAACGCCCTTCTCTCGTGAAACTTACTAGAACGGCGACTTAAGGGCCTCTGTGGTTTTTCGCCGCCGCGAGCTTCACGATCGCAATTGATCCCTCTCCGTATACAGCGATTGCACTCCTCATTTTCGTCGCATTTCAGCTTAGTAGCCGCGCAGGCTTTGCAAGCCTGGGACACTCGCGGTCCTTGGTTCGACTGGCGCCGTTGGCGCTTGCTTCCGCGAGTGTCTGGATCATGGCATGTCATATGCCTTTTCAGAAGGTCTCTGTGTTTGGATTTAGCTCCTTTCTAAACTCGGCAGCTGGGATATCGGGGGGCGGCTCATACTGGCGTCCGAATGCCTTGTTACAGGTCTCACAACGGAAGGGTCGGTCCTGGGAATCTGCAGTAGAGGTCAAGGCGTAAGTCTAACAGCCCTATTTTCAATGCGATGTCTGTTTCTGATGAGGACCTACGGGAACGCACATGCCGGGCCAGGTGATCAACTCGGCTGAAGGCACGGTGGCATTGTGAGCACTGGAAAAGGGGTTTAGGCGGAGACCCTGGCTCTTGTTGTTCGTGCCGCGGATTCATAGTCAAGGGATCATTAAATCATACTTAGGCATGTAGTTGTAGGGACGCTGGACGTTCAATCATGATAGATGATATGCACGCGGTCAAAGTATGTCAATGTCAACCATGGGCGGCGTCGTCTCGGGTCGCCCCAGATCTTGACATCGGGGTTGCAGGGTTGGTCTGTTTTGCGGGGTAGAATCGACTAAACTATTTTGAGGCAAGAACTGTCTCGGCTTTACCAATCAGACCGTCTGGAAGCTGCGCGAGCTCTCGTGGAGCCGGCAGTCGGCTCCACAGGGACACAAAAGAATCGAGGAAATGTCTTCGGAATATCGTCGTGTTCACGGATGACAAGTGCAGAGGGAAGAATGAAAGCAGGTGAGCGTCCCGCTCTTAATATTTGTATTCATATTAGAAGGTTGACTAGAGCGCCATGGCTTGTCCTCATATCCCGAAATAGTCTCAGCAGAGTTGTCCTCCATCGAGGACAACGCCGTAGTAGTCAAAACTGACCGTTCGGTGCATCGGTGACAGAGCTCCCGGGGGCATATCGACAACGCGGAGGACGGTACCTATATAATGCTATATTAGAAATCCACCCCTGGGCGAATATTCCTGTTTCTACATAAAGATATCATCACACCTATCGCGATTGTTATCCCTGGGAGGTTCTGGGTATAATGTTGGTACGTTGAGATGTCGCTGTCAGCTGAGAAGGAGACGGGGAACTTGTTTGTGGCATAGCAGAGAGCAAAATCCACACCATCCGGGAGAGTCTGGAATGGTGCCTCCTCGGACAAGGTGTCTGAGAATGTTGTCTTGGCCTCGACGTCGTGGGTTGTAATGAAGCGGCTTATCGGCCTGATATCCTTGGGAATTCTTGGTGTAGTCGTTTTAACGTTAGTGCAAAAGCCTGATGACTTGTCGTTTCTAAATGACGGTGAGTAGGAGAGAACGATCTAAAGTTTATACCTCTTTAAAGAGGAGTAGTAGATAAGGTGTTCTTTATGAGGCTACCAACCGCACCACCAGCAAGCCGCCCGCCCCCCGCGCTACCCAGGTCCAGGTCCCGATGTGGAGTGACATAATGATTGATAATGCTGGTGCAAATCCAAAATCCAATCCGTTCTCGGCAAGTAGATCGGAGATCGGACGTACCGGGCCGGTATGGAGTAGCTGCCGCGGTGGGGTTCGACGAGCTTCAAGTGTTGGCTCGAGAGCAGGAGTAAATCCAGTACTCTGTTGCTTGAGCTGAGAAATACTACAGTTGCTTCTTCACTTCGCTTCCGTCTTATGCCAGCAGCCGCGACATTAAATTCGTCCGGCCAAGCCATCTTCAGAGTTTACCATAGATGCAGGCCGTGCCGAGGTAGACCACTTTATTTCCTAGCTTTCATACAATCTGGTCCGCAAGGAATATTACCTCAGACCATGGAACACACCTAAGGACGGAATCAACTGTCGCCCGTTGCAACTGACGGGAAGAGTCGATTGATTGACATGGACACATATATATACAAGCTAGAATAAACAACTTCTTTGAAATGGAAAAGGTTCTAATACGTTTGACTGGCGTTTTAGGAGAAAATGAACACATGTAATAATGGGAGTCTAGTCTAATCGATTCGTCTCGCGCTCGAAACGTCTGGCACACCAGTTCCTTCAACTACCTTTGCGCTAAGGACCTCGTAAACGGGCAACTCAGCAAGTCGAGATATAACATGATGCAATGTAGGAAGGGACTCCCAATCCAAGGGATCCAAGGAAATGGAAGCTTTATCCGCCGTGTATACCTTGTGGACTCGGCTAGGCACAACCTTTGCCTCCTGCGCGTGCGACACGAACGTAGCGTGCTCGACATCGGGAGCTCCACGATCCCCGACACGTGGAATGTACTTGTACGCTATAATACCTTGGTCATCTTCTCCGCCAATAGTTCCCTTATCTTCTGATGGATCTACTTCCTTAAGTCCATCCAGAAGGAAAGTGCCAAACGTCGCTCCTTGCCATCCTGCCTGGATCCTATAGCTAGTCTCGCGGCGCCACAAGTCAAGGGAACAATAGAGTTTAGGCATTCCCAACTCTTCGCGCCCACTGACAATGGGGTCAGTTAAACTTTCAAAGAGGACAGGCAAGAAGGTTCCATCTAGGACTTCCCCGTTCTTCTGGACGTATTGGACGCCATGTATGTAGAGTCCAAGGTGGCGATATCCTGAACCACCTAGCCATTCCATCTTGTTTAGTGTCGTCTGGGAGAAGCTAGCATATGCAACAGTCCCAGGGCTCTTAAAACAGAATGAATGCGATGGGAATAGATTCTGAAGGACTGTCCTTGAAGTCTTAAACTTAATCGAGGCTGTGGTGAATGTTGAGTTTAGAGTGTTCCTTGGGCTCCCTTCAAAAGTCTGTCGAGGACCGGGCATCGGACCAAATGATACGGGCATTCTCCAGTATAGATGTGGTTTCCTAGCCCAATCCCACCTCCGGAAGGCGTTTATCGAGTAGTCCCATTCATCGTGACCAAAGTTGTAGTTGGTATACCCCATCACTTTGAATAATGTCAGTTGATATCTTGATTCCTGGGTGGAAGTTGGCATTCACCTACTGTCAAGTTTTCTTTTCCCAAGGTCCAGCCCTGCTATGCGGGAGTACTCTTGCACTTGGTGAGCCCGTTCCATGCGGATATCCTGATAAAGGCGGAGTCTTTCTGGAATGTTCTCATAACGCACACCACGCTGAAGAACAACACCGAGGGAAGCAGCGTCCTCGATGGCGCATGCACCTCCTTGTCCCTGATCTGCCTGAGTTGTAAGCTTTCCTGTGCACAATGAAGGGTTCCGATTTCCATTCAAGCTCCCAGGCTGAATACACTTACGAGGGAGAAAGGGATGAGCTGCGTCTCCGAGGAGAGCCAAGCGATCCTCAACCCATGTGGGAAGGGCGTCCATATCTAGGAGCTCCCAGACCTTCAGCGAGTCCGCATCTGCCTTGTTTAAAAGTGCCACAATTGAGGGGTGGAAGTCTTTGTAGACTTCTAGCAGACGATCCTTGCGCACCGAGAGATTCCATTCTTCGTTGCGGATTAGTACAATTCCAAATCAGTGGGCGGAAATTGCAAGGTAACTTACCCCCTTCCGCTATTTCTGCGGATTGGCTTTCTTCCCTCGGATGTATGCATACAAAGTTGAGCTGCCTGTTTGAGTCGCAAGGATACATGACAATTCGCCTGTCTTCGCCATACCAGATAATGAGCTGGCCATCTCTGGTTGCGAAGTCTCGAGTGACAGGATCATCCAGAGCGGTCTGGCGAGGTACTAAAAACCGAAAGGCGTTTTTCCCGGATGGCTTTGGTTTGATGTCGCCCCCGACAAGCTTCGACCGAGTAACAGACTAAAGACAGAAAATCAATACTACGGGATTCTCCACGGGTCTACAACAATAAGAAAGAAAAATAGAGTGGGAAACGGGCCCACCTTGACACCATCAGCGCCGAGGAGAACATCTCCTCGCACGAGCTCGCCGCCTTCCAATGTCGCAGTCGCCGATGCAGGATCAACTTCAATAACGGGGCATGCGGTACGAAGCTCGACTGGATATCCGTGGTATTCAGTGGATGTGGCTCTTCTCTTAAGCTCCTCGTGTAAGTGGACACGATGGATTAGGCTCCACTCATGTTGCCATAGTTTGTTGTTCTCTGTCAAATCGACATCTCGCTTCAAGGTGTTACTCATGTCGTATTCCGTGACCTACATACGTAGCGGAGATGTCAGCTTATCTATCTTCCTACCGTTGGATTACTGGTAAATACTTACCGATCTCATGAGGGTACCGTTTATATGGTGGGCGTATATGCCGATTCTCTTCAACAAGCCATGTGAATTAGGCGCAATGTGCAGCGCAGCTCCCACTTCATTGGCGAACCGCGACCGCTCAAGTACGGTGATCTTGTGACCCTGTTCGCGCAGGAAAATGGCCGCACTTAGGCCCGCGATGCCAGCGCCCACGATAACGACTTGAAGGGGTTCGGGAACTGCTCTGCTCCGGGTGTCATTTGCACCGCCGTTCGATGACATGATATTCAGGGTTCGTTTCGGGTACAGATGATGACGAAAGTGTTTCAAGGATGCCGACCAGAATCGAAACCAAATCAATATGTACAATACCTAAAAGAGCTAATTATAGTCGTAGGGCAATGAGGTACGGTTTACAATCTGTATATGGAGGAAAGGGACAGCAGATTGATATTATTATATTAGCAGCCGGTTGTCCTTTACATCCCTAGCCTGTTGTCCATTCTCGTCTTGAGGAGTGCGCAGTATGTGGGTCGACAATTCCATTTCGGTCTGGTGTCATACTTGACTCGTCACTTAACGCTCCATCACCGAATGGCCCACGTCGGTCGGCATGTGGGGTTTTGAGGGGGCGGGGAAACGGGACAAGCTACACTAAGCATTGCTCCCCTGAACCTATCCTCGGTATCTGTAGACATGGGTCCAGGGAGTAGTGTAAAGTCTTCATTGAACTTCGGCACCTTTGGCAAGCTATTTGTCCGCCAGCCTTTTCGAACGTTGCAACTCGTTAGGGCGTCCTACCTCTATATTCCCTTACACCTCCAACAACGTCCCTCGCCTCTCCGACCGCAATGTCATCACCCAAGGTTGCCTTAATTACAGCTGCCAGTAGTAGTCTAGGTGCTGCGATTACCTATAGTTTAATTATTCCAGTTCTGCCGGGACTGGCCGCCCGGTCATTTACTTGGTCACGCGGGGTGGTGACACTTCTTAGGCCGGGAGAACGTCATATCAGATGCTCTATCCCGGAAATCATCCGAATTAGCTATGTAGAAAGTGCGATGAGAAGTAGTGTAGAATAGAGTACTACTAAGTCAGGATCTAGTAATTAATCCTATTAACCATGTAGTTGTAGTTGGTCCTTGTACAGGACCCGACTTCGGTAGGAGGCCGGGGCCGCATCGTGATGTGGTCCACACTCGGCGCTCCACATTTCCCGGTTTTCCTTAGGCTATCTCGACTGGGGACTAGGGATCTAGACCCTGTCTGAAGTGGGCCAGGGAACTGAAACTTGGAGCCCGGGTCGTTCCCGGTTACGCGGCCACAGGAGATGCAATGCGGGGGTTGAGTAGTAAATTAGGACCTACTAGCTCCAGGATTTCGGCGTGGGGAGGAGATTAACCTTTTGGAAATCTGGGGAAGCTGAACCAGGTTTAGATCTACGGTCGCGAAAAAGCTTGTTCTCCAGCTTCCCCGCATTCGAACCCTGCATCTGTTCGGAAAGCTGGGTCGGCAACCACCAATGGGTCAAGAGCAAGCGCTTGAGCCGGCCCAACCACGCCGGTCAGGTCAACCATGTACTCGTTTGCGCGAGGCTGGCTCTGATTAATATATAAGCTGTGTTATTCCTGGATCTCGATCTGTTTTCCCTTTAAAACTTCTACTTGGTACTTCACTTCTGTCGATTTCCCAGGTCGACTTCGAAAGAACTTTTTTGAGCCTCGGCTGCTTTATTTTGAGAGACAACATCGTTCACAGCGACAATGAAGCAGTTGATTGTGGCCGCAGCGGCAGCCCTGGTCCTCGTGGTGGCGGGTTCCGCAATGCCTGCCGCCCCGTCGGTCGGCAGAAGCGTGTCGACATGTCGGAGAGCGACTGCTCCCGGGACTGCATGACGATAATCGTCAGCAAGATCCTGAAATCCATGGTGGCGCACGACCCGGACACTCTGCCGCTGGCACCGGTCTACCAGGCGACCGAAAACTCGCACCCGGCAGCGCTCGGCATGATGACACTGTGGCGCACCGTCACTAAGGCAGGCAAGCCCAGCCTGCTGGCAATCGACACCACGACCGGCTCGGCGTACTTCGCCCTGGACATCAACGAAGGCAGCGGAAAGAAGCAATCGGTCCTCTGGGCTCGAATTAAGGTGGTAGACAAGCAGATCACCGAGCTAGAGCTGTACGTCAACCGCTCCCGCGGCGACCACGGCTTCTCCTTATCGCCCGAGGAACTTGCGAAGAACTACAAGCTGGTGGATGTCGCCGCCGGCCGATCGGCAGAAGGCGATCCGGGTACAGTTGGAGGGCCTGGGCGAGGCGGCCTTCGACCCGAGCAGCAACTTCTCGGTCGGCCTCGCCTCCGACTGCCAATTCACCGAACAGGGCTGGAGCGTCATCGATCCCGGTCCGGACGGAAACGGTTCGACTACCCCGCTCGGGTGCAACTGGCCGCAGGATCGCCCCGCTGATACGAAGGCACGAGCGAACCTGGTCATCGACGAGGAGACCGGTATCGTCGTTTCCGGCGCTCTGATCCCGGGCATGGTCTACCCCTACGGGAAGATCTCCGCCTTCATCCCGAACGACATGAAAGCGGCGCAGGAAGCGCAGGACGAGTGGCTCGCGAAGAAGAAGGCCGAGGGTGGTATGTCGCTGCTGGCTCCCATCGCAGCCACCGGTGAAACTCTCCAAGTGCTGCAGTACTACAACGGCAAGCTCCAGGGCCAGCAACTCAATGTCTACCTGAGCGGCCCGGGGATGGGATCGGCCTGGACGCAGTAGGTGTCGATGCTTAAAAGAAAATAAGCTATATATATATATATATTTCATTCTTACGGTTTTCTATGACCAAAGTTTTAACATATAGTTAGGTCGGCTACAAATTTTAGGAGATGTCTAAGGTATCTAGAAACCTTATTCTCTCTATATAGCTAAGATTAATTTTAAAATCCTAACTTTTTACTTAAATTATAAAATATTATAAAAAATATACTAGTTGTCTTTTCATATAATAGATCACAGATCAAGCTTGAGCACATAAGTTCATGTCAATATCAAGGCATCCCGTGCCTTCGACCCTGAACAGATACCGGTCTCTTTCTCAGAATTGCTATATCGGAGGCTAGGTGAAACTTTCCAAAATCTTTAGCACAGCACTAAAGGACGAGAGACCTGATTGTGTTGGCAAGCGGCGGAATAGAAGTCAGCGACACAGTTATAGTTCCGAACAAGCCCATAGCCAAACTGGACATGGCAGCGGCTCGAGGATCGGACTGGAGAAGGAGCGCAGTGATGATGGCGCCCGAGTTGGCACCTAAGGTAATTCCGCGAGTGATGAAGTCCTCTACCAAAGCATCAACATGTTAGTCGAGGGTTCGCCTCTTCATATTTGACGGGGATGCAGAAACCTGCCTTTGGGAACCCTCATCCAAGTCAACATACGCCGGCCGAAAAGGGCGCCCAGAATGCCGCTCATGACCGCAACGGCGGCCACAGTGTTGATATCCCCGCCTAGATTCTGCGTCGCGGGTAGAGCAAGGGCGAGCGTCAAGCTGCGGGATGCCAAGGCGAGAGAGCGCTGTGCGCCAATCCCAATGGCAAATGAGGCAACTGGGTAAGCGAAAATCGAAGCTACCGATAAAGCGAGGGTTGGCAGCAGAATGACGAAGAAGTGTTCTCGCAACTCTCGGCGATATCGGTGCATGGGTAGAGCAAGAGCGACAATCCCGACGTCGAGCGCAGCGCCAAAGATGTCGCCAGCCCCGGGAGCTCTCCGTTTATCAGGTTGAGAGAGAAGGGAATAAAAGTTGACTCCGGTCTTGAATTGCCGTAATGCGGTGTGCAGGCTATCACCCCGGATAGCTGCGAAGGCCCAGATCAATAAGACGGACGCTGTCGACGAGACTAGGAGTGGATGCAGATATGTCCGATGCCTTGCGGGGATGTACAACGAGGCGAAGTAGGTCAGAACGCAGCAGCTCAGGTGCAGCGGCATAGCATACCCCGTCGCGTAGTACACGGGAATTCCGGCTAGCAAGATTGGGGCATATATGAGAGTATTCAGGTGGCCAGAGATATGAGCCGCCCATGATGCCACACGAGGCGACAACGCAGGCACAACCTCTGGCTCCATGTAGCCGGTCTGCGCGCTGGCGGGATCCCTTGGATCCGGATCCGGAATAGAATCTTGGGTGAGTTGAGACTCTTGTCCGAGGTCCCTTTGTCGGGGAATTGGCGCCGTTGAGCCTCCAAAAACGGTGGCAGGGCGAGTGGGCACAATTGGGGGATCGAGGGTCGCTTCACTGACACTGGCTGGCACGACCCCGACTAGCTCCGTACTGGTATCGTCTTCTTCCGGCGATTGCTGATGGCTCTTTTTTCGAGAGCCGAAGAGCGCTTGAAGTCCTCGGGTAAAGAAGGCTGTAAAAATGACCGTAATGACCCAGCCCAGCACTTCGTACTACCCAGTCAGCATCAGCCAGCCTCGAGGTTGAGTCTCCTGTTGGATAAAACGTACCGAATACCGCAATGATCTTGGCGACCTCCACGCCGCTGATTGGCGTGCTGAGAGGGAGCGTGATGAAAGAAGGAGCGAAAAAGAGGTTGATCCACCTCATGGCCCAGCCTCCCTGCAATAAGAACTGAGCGTCCGAGGGCAGAAGAGAAACATAAGCATTGTTAATCGATAACTTACTGGGATATCGACAATGGACACAAGCCTTTTCGTGCGAGCATTTCCTAAAACTGCCTCCGACAGAAGTAAAGCGATGAACAGAATAATCAAGCCGGCGACCGAAGGTGGAAATGAAAAGCCAGCGAGCTTTAATAGCGCCTCGATCCCGAAGCAGTACGCAAGGATGCAGAAAACGCCGAAGGGAATTAAAATCAGAGAATTAAGCAGTTTTATTTTGGAAGAGACAAGTGCCTGTATGATTGTTGAGCGTCAGCCGTGTTTCGAGGAGTGGATCTTACATTCTCAAGTTTGGCAGGACAGCGTAACTCACCAACTTCAGGGCCGGGAACGCGTCGCACGCTGCTCTCCGAGCTCTTTCAGCCCGGCTCCGAGAAATTGTCGCCGCCATCACCAACGTTGATACTGCCTTCGCCGAGTGGTGGTACGACACGGTTGGCTGTACTTCCTATAGTATAATGATACTGTCTTGTGGCCAAGGAGGGATTTAATATGGTGAGAGGAGGCCGTACATACGCCGGGCCGCCTCGGCCGCACATCCTCTTTCTCAGAGATGAGTCAGGATTCTCGAATGCCGAGGGTGTTGCAGCAAAAATGGAGAATAGCGTACAGCCGTATAGCCTATCGCTGTCAATAACGCCCTTTTCCTTGGTTTGTAATCCCCAGACTAAAGCGTGTTTGGGATCGCAACTCGGAGACTACTTTAGCTCCGTTTCATCTCCGAAGAACCTGTGTAAGTGATAATTCACAGGCACATACGAGTGGATGCCAGTGAGTGCAAAAAGAAGTGGGAGAAGCGAACAAGAATCAGAACAACTCGAATTCAATTTCCAATCTTCATAATTCAATGTTTCGAACCAAGCTCTTGGGAGCCGCTTTGAATAGAGTGGGCTCCAGTTCCTGATAAGACCGCCGATTTTTATGTGACACGTGCAACTCGATGCTGCGGGCGTAGAAAGAACGAAAATGCCGCTGAAGTTGCCAGAAATGTAATACCATCCTCCTTTCAACTCCACCAGCTATTGGGTTCCAACACTCGGTCGTTCCCCGCTCGTCGACGGGCGTACCATACCTGCCTGCTCAGGACCCACGATTCCCCCAGGACTGCAGGTTCCAACTTGGCAAATACAAAAAGGTGACTCGAGGAACTCAGTTTTAATCTGCAGAGAGCGAACCCACGTATCTGAGCTGAGAAGTTGATCCGTATTACGAAAAAATTCTGAGGTGGAACTTGCTCACTGTTCACTGTTCTACACGTTCACGAATTTGTACTCTTATTAAGTGTTGGGTTTTCATGTCATTGATTGACGAACTAGGTCTATCTAAAACTATCTAAAACATCGGAGACAAAGGAGAAACAGTACATATTTGATGAGAGTTTGTGAAAATGGAGTCTATACAAATGAAAGTCTGTGTAAATGAGAGTCTGCACAAATCAAAACCTATACCTAATCCAGCCAAAAAAAATGTCCCAAAATACCTCCATAACCAAAGAAGCCAACCCATCTTCCCATTCCTAGAACCAACTCTTGTAGATCTCACAGGCAAAATATCCTGTTTGATATACACAGTGACCGAAGCAGTGTCGCATAGTTGTGCCGTGCGGCTCCAGCAAAGAGACTAAGATACCATTCCAACACGAGCGGCTGGTAAGTTAATGGCCTCGTCTAAGTCGACGGCGGCGTCGGCGGCAAATGTCATTGGACCAGACAGCACTACGATATTAAGTGTACTTTCGGCAGAATGGACGTAGGTTGCGGGGACAATAGTCTGACTCGCCAGGGACTATTTCGGTGGCTCTGTGTCCGCAGGCGTACGCGGTGGTCACCTTAACGAGGTAGCACATCTTGACAACATGCCCACTATCAGCTCATGAAAACTTGACGTGCGGTGTGTGAGTCTCACCAACTTCACATAGAAAGGTTGATATTCGACCCAATATCCGGGGGGGGGGGGGCTTAATACGTACCTTGAATGGTTTCGAGGTGGACAGATGGCTTCACTGCCTGTTTTGGTCCTGTGTTGAATTGATATTGGTAATTTCTCTCTTTTGGCTCACTGGGATTTGGTGCCGCCGAGGCAGTCGGGTAAGATGTTGCAGCGAATTTGGTGTCTTAGAGACAATGGGGCAAGAAGTGTAGGAGGGATGTGAAGTATTGGGGTAAACTTGGTAAGAAAGACGGGAGGATTGAATGTCTTCGAGGGGGTTGGGCTAGATAGGAGAAAGACTCTAAGATGCCAGCGGGATTCTCCAGCTAATATACCACAGATTTCATTACATAGTTCAAGCACGAAATCGACCGAGTGGTTCTCCTAAGCTGATGGGCAGATGGAAAAGGCTTGGCCTCATCATTCCCACGCATCTCGTGGCGTAATACCATATCTGAGATTGCCTTGCCCATTTGCCTCGCGGCACGGCTTATAGCGAAGCAACCATCGCGACAGGTACATGGGCGTACCACGAGAGAGTCGAAAAAAAGGTGTATTATTGCTCCTGTGATCACTTTGTGTAAATCCAGTTCATATCCAGACAGTCGCAATACAGAGCAGGTCTTCTAAAGGGCCTCAATCGTAATCTTAGATTCTGGGCATGATAAGTGATAAGGCGTAGGACTCGAGTATCCAACAGGTGAGATCATGGCCCATGAGGTTGCTCGTGTGAACGTCAGGCGCCCGAAGAGCAGAAAGCCTAAGGACGGCTGTGCTTGACCTCAACTGTAAAAAAACAAAACTAGAGTGCAGTGTTGACATCACGATCATCATTATTTCGGACAGCCTAGGAGTGTTGGTAGCTCTCAACGACTCAGACCCTCTCACTGATGCCTGATGACCAGGATAGTGGGCCAAGTCCAAGTGAAGCTTGACCAAGACGCGACAGGTTACACGAGCAAAGGCCGCGCTAAAGGCCGAGGGGTCGTGGCTGCGTAGCACACAGCCTTGGTCGAGACCCTGAAATTGTGATTCAGTCAGGCGAGGTGCACATTGTTTGGGCTGTTTGTCCGTCCATCCCAAATGGATTTCCAAGCTCCATCGAACGACAAGGCATAGATATTCCGTTGGTAGTCGAAACGGTGGCCTCGACGTTAAGCCTGCATGCTGTCTTGCAGCAACTGACTAATCCAAGCAACCGCTTTTGACGCCTGCTGTCGCAGCCCCATTCTCAAAGCTCAACGCTCAAAGCTCAAGATTAGGCAACAACCGCGCCCGCTGTCCCCGCCTCAGATCTTGCTCGTCGAACTTCCCCCGAGCTTTATTTATGTCCATCATCCCAACTTGCACATCGTGCGATTGACTTAGTCTTTGGTTACTGCTAACCCCAATACGTCAACAAGTCAGGGACGAGCACTCGGTTCCGATTTACCATCATCCCATTGTCATGCCTTCCGATGAATTGAAGGTTCTTCACGTCGCACAATACGACGATTTTTACTGTACAGCGTCGTATGTGTACAAAGGAAGAGAGTTCTGCATCCTTTTGTGTGACGACCCCCCACGCCCCGGATACGACGAGCAGAACGATATCGTGACGGACTACCTCGAAAAAATAGACGATGTGTCTGCCCATGACGGAACCAACGAGGAAGATAACATTCGACAGGATGAGTATCTGCGGCAAGCCGCCGAGGAAATTGGCGAGATCGTGCTGCCGCTGTTGAGGGAGCTTGCTCCCTCGCTCCCAGTGGTAGAAGTCCCTCCGACAGAGGCCGACCATTCGCTATACGGCACATTGGAGGAACTCCTATACCCAAGCATCCCCGAATGCGTCAAGCTACAGCTGGTAGCTCTCAACGGCCGCCTCACATTAGCCGACGACCACTATGGTGCCGACATACCCACGAAGGGCAAACCCATGACTCGTGAGGAGATGGAAGACATTGGTCCGGAGCTTGAGGATTCCAAAGTTCGACGCATCCGAGATCCTTATCACTTCCCGTTACAAAGGCGGCGTGTTCGCCCACGGGGGTTCCTTACGAGGGGAAGAGTGCGTGTGCAAATTCGTCTCAAGGCTGGCGGGGACCGGTCATTTCAGAGCTGCCTGTGCTTATCAAAATTCAAAACGCCAATCTAGACGCTTAAGCACGAACCTCGGTGCTCAAAGGTGCTTTTTTTTCCACGGTATTTCTTTTCTATCATCTACCGGATGGTTTCGCTAATTCCTTTACTCTAAGTCTCATTACCTATCGGGAAGATATAATAGGCTTCGCCTTGGAGAAGATCCCTGTAAAATTCACGTCGTTAGGCCAAGTTGTGGATGGTGAGGCAGGAGAGGTCCCATCCGCCCTGAAAGAGTAGTGGGTTGCTCAAATCGAGCACACTGTCGCTGAGCTACACAAGAACGACATCATTTGGGGGGATGCGAAGCCGGAAAATGTTCTCATCGATGAAGACGATAATGCCTGGGTTATTGATTTTGGAGGAGGCTTCACCTCGCCCTGGGTCGAGTACGAGAACCGCCAATCGCGCGAAGGCGACCTCCTTGCATTGGCGAGAATCAGGGAGAAGCTCCTTTCCAGTCCGTAGCTTCAGCATTGTCTGGTTAGCATTGAACCACAGAGCTTTGGAGGATCGCATACAAGCCTCTCGAGTCGGGGAACATTGGGACCTTGAGTCCCCGGCTAGTTTGCTTGAAGGCGAGAGGTCGGCTGGGTGGCGGCGTAGAGATCTGTTTTCGGATCTTTTCTCCGTATTGCCTTCGTGTTCTTAGTTGGGTCTAATGAGCGTAATTGCGAATCCCGAGTCTAAAATAATAAAATTTGATAACATCTAGTCTCTACGACGAATGAATCCAGTAGAAAATGACCCCGGCCTGCACTCCGAACCTCCCGAATTCCCCGAAAACCAACCCAGTCCCGAATGCAAACCAAGACAGCTCTCATGACAAAATGAAATAACTCCAGATGCAAACCGACCCGTATAAACTGCCGCTCAAAGGAGGAAAAACGCACAATGTATAAAACTTACAAAATTGGCCCCCTTATCAAGACAACCCATCCCTCGCCTCGCCTCGCTTCGCCACTTTTCCCTTTTCCCAAGCATGAAGCGCCTGCTTAATAGGGAAAATCACCGTGAGATGGAAATGACAACTTCCACATCAGCCCCCTTCTTCTTACTGTCGTCATCATAGTCAAATTTCGTGTGACGGTAATTGTTGTGTGCGAAACCTCGCAGAGGTGGCTGCGCAGATTTACTCTGGAAGAGGGGCCTCAGCATAGGGATCGAGGCAGCAATGATAGTAATAGCGCCTTCTGCGGCGCCAAATATGAATAGGTACACGTTCGACGCTTGTAGGCATTGGCAGAGCTTTGATATTGAAACCTCGGCCATGTTAATACTTACCGATATTTGGGTCCGAGATGGCATAGATACTAGTCAACTTAAGGAACGAGGTAATACCGGCGCTAGCAGCGTGAAATGCAAGTTAGCGCCCAGCTCAATCCGACCTGACCGCCCCTGCCAAACACTCACAATACTCCCATGCTCATTGCGAACAGAGCGCCGAGTTTCTCCTTCTTATTGATGGACACGTTCCATATTATCTTCCAAGGCAGCATCGCCAGCACGATGTCCACGACGCCGGAATAAACTATTATTGAATGAGCCGCCAGCGTCCCTGCGTTTAAAATTCCCATTTGCCTCAACTCCTTGCAGGGCTTACCAGTTCCTATCGTGCCGACCTGTTCGACCGTCTCCCTCGGCCAGCAAGACCCTTTCACCGTACTATCCCAAAGCCTCTCTACCGGCCAGCACTGGACCCACTGCGCCGTCGCGTTGGCGCCCAGAACGAGATTTGTCGTGATGATGATGAACCACACAAATCTTTTTGTCCAACCACTCGAGATGCAAAGGAGCGTGAGAGCGAAAGAGAGCTTGCTCCAGATGAGGGCAAGGAGAGAGAAGAATCCCGCCATGTATGAATACATGTTCATTTTGTTGAGCGTGGCGAGGTTAACGGCATAGTTGGGCTTGCCGAGGTCGAGGGCGACGCAGACCGACTGCAGAGAAGTCGACACTATCAGTGCAGCCTAGGAAAATCACAGTCTAGTCTCAGTGTCTCACTCGAAAAAGTAGCTACCCAGGTGTGTAGAAACTCACGAAGCTTGCGACGAGAAAGTGGTCATCCCACCAGAGCGATCTTCCCCGCGACACTTTGGAATAGATCCTCAACCCAAGAAAGAGGGCCGCGATGCTTGCAAGCAGCCATATTGTGCGATTCAGCAGCGGCCCCAGATTGGGAACGTCCATCTCTGAACTCTGCTCTTGGTCCATGGCTATCGCGTGTTGTGATTGTCATTCGATTCTCGCCAAAAAAAGAAATCGAACAGAAAAACTGGAGAACAGAAAAACTGGAGAACAGAGAAAAGAGTGGAGAAACAAACCCAGAATAACAGGAACGGAATCCCTGGTGCCGATGGGGATATTAGACCGTTTATGATGCCAAGTTCTCTGCTCCTCTAGTTCTCCAGTCATGTGGGAACTTGGGGGTAATCATCGCCAATTCGTGATCCAGTAATATGATTCAAGGCAAATCTCCCATTTATACCTCGGGTCTATCACAAGCCGTGTCGCGACATGGCTGATCTCTTGCGGGGATGGAGAGGTTTAACAGGTTGACGCATTGTCGATCCGACTTGTATCAGACCCCATCGGACCAAAGTTTGGGGTCTTTCTAGAAGCCGCCAAGAAACCGCACCGGGGATGAAATGAACTCATTGATTCCAAGAAATTGGAAAAATCTTAGTTAGCCAATATTGTTTCAAGAGGAGGGGGCCAAGCCTTGTAAATAGAAATCCGGCTAACGCCCCACGAAGGGGAGCTTGTTCCCCTCTTCCCCGGAAATATGAGCACCCGATCGTGGTTAGGGATATGAATTGACGTCTTGCGCTTTGACGGCTGCGAGGGGATGCGAGGTTGAGCTCTGGTATTTTTATCCAATGACCCGGGAATTCTTTCAGATGAGAGATTGCAATTTTCGCCTCCCGCTCGCGCTGCTCGTTGCGGCTGAGAGACGCCACTGCTTCAAGCTGGCGTTTCGCCTCTGCATGATGACGCTGAACACAGTTAGTGCTCTCCAGCACCTTGTAGTTCACGGGTATATCGGATGTCTTGCGCCCGTTGTGGTGGGATTGGTATCGTGGACAGGACAACAATTGATGATTCAGGCGCGGTTGTGTTGCAGCAATTGATCTATGCAACGAATACTAACACCACGGATGGGATGGCATCTGTGCCCTCAATGCAACCCTAACCCTATTTGCCAGATTTATCTCACTGGGCGATTTGCTGAAGGCTATGACCCCGTGTCCAGTGAAAGATGCTCGCTAATCCCGGACGAATGCGCAAACCCGGAGACGGTCCCGAATATGACCGTCACCTGAAGTGGGAGCATCTGAGCGATGACTGCTCAACCTGTCGTCAGTGGGGTTTCTCGATTCCCCTTCTGCGCGCCCCCCACTTCTATGCGGAGCTTCTTTCGGGGTGTTGACCAGATTTAGGACGTAATTGTCAGTTCTACCAGAGGCCAATGGTTTTGAAATAATAATACTGACGTTGCTGCGGAACCCAAAATGGGTGGTGATGCTCCACACCCTCTCTTATCAGGACAGCCTCTAGCAACGCACATCATGCCTGAATACTGCTGTTCCCTGCTAATATTTATAATCCTCTGCCTCTGTATTCTTTCCCAAACATTACTCCAGCAGCAGTAGCTAGTTTACTAGTTTGGCCGGTCCGGGCATTCTCGCCAACGACTCTACAATACGACGTTGTGCTGGTGACCGGCATGCCCTAGTTAAGCAGCTCTCGGATGAGGGTGGAATACGTGGTGTGGGTCATGAACTGCATGGCCAGCAACTCATATGGTAAAAATCGCATTTTTCACAAGGCAAGAACGCAGCCAAGCACTTGGCGGCCAAATATATTCACAGATGGGTCGACAGACCTCCACCATTTCTTGTTTAAAAGTGGAAATGCTGGCTTCTTATGCACCAATGCTCCAACACCAGGTTGCGTCGACGGCGGGCTGCATCGATTGTTCGGCCTCTCGGCGCATCGAGGTGAGGTGAGCATAGATGTAAGTTGGATGGTTGTTGGCTAGAGTAAGGGATCCATTCTTCGTCACCCAGATACAAATAGAGGATTTGTTCCTTCCTGCTTGTCCTCCGGGGAACCTCTACATCAAGTAATTTAACTTGCTGCATATTTCCTGAGAACATACACTATTAGCGACCGTACTTAGAAATCCCGGTCATGACCATGCTCCGTCAAGTGGCAATCATCCTCCCCGCCTTGCTGGTATGCTAAGCTCACGGAAGTTGGTTTAACCACATCTCATTAATGTTTTAGGTCGCGGCGTCCGCATCTCCCGCCCTTGGAGCCGAGAGAAACCGTAGGGAATTGCCCTGAGAACTTTGGCTCCCCTTATTGTCGACGATGATATCAGTATGCAATGGACCGGATCCATCTTTCCCGATGAAGACTGTGGTTTTGTACGGCACCATAGACGTATGCGGCTCCTTGCCAACTTCCATCGATTGCGAAATCCGTCTAATGAGACAGATAACTATCCGATAGGAAATATACGATGCCATCATCTCTGTGAACCCCGATTACAGCTCTCCTAAAGTTAGGGGTAGAGATATTAGTGTAAGCGGTATTCAGCCCCGGGCCAACGAACGCCTGACTTGCGCAGTGATGGCTACTGGAAGCAAAGCCGAAGGAGCGGTTCGTTTGGGCGAAACTGGCTGATTTCCTCTTCCTTCCAAGCATTGGGTTCTAACCATTCCACTTGCTCCATTTTAGAGAGGTTACAATCATCTCAAGCCAATCCGTGGCCGGTGCGGCACCCCGGGCAGAGAATGCCGCCGAACGGCGTGCGATGGCACCACTGGTTCATACATATGCAGTGTAAGTAACAGTGAGCCATGATCTGTCATCTTGATACGCGTATACATTGGGTTTTGTCATCTCTGACTTGTGTTTTACTTGTTCTCCCCTCATCAGGAAGAAGATGGCGGTCACGAGGAGCCCTGCGAGTACCTTGGGGCCTGCATTTTCGTTATCGGTGCGCACTGCTGCAACTCGGAAAGCATGTCCGGCCACTGGTACGAGCTCAACTTCTTCAGCCTGTGGGCTGGCTACGCAAACTGCAGGGATCCTCCAAACAAGCGTCCTACGGCATATCCGTACCCTGGGAGCTCTCCGAATGGTCTGTGTCCGAAACTCCCATAACACTAGGTGTTCTAGAGCTGCAGCCTTAGGGTCTGATGCCTGCGTATAGAGTGAAAAGCTATGCCACAAACCGAGAGTATGCACGGCAAATTAAGTAGCGGTGTGGTTACGTGGGACAAGGATGTATATGTCGATGTAGCTTCGCCGTACTTGAGCTTCCCCAACTTTCCCATTCCTGAGAACTATCGGTGCGCATGGGGAGAAGAGGTGATCTCATTTCTAACTAAAACTCAATTCGAGGGGACAACATGTCTACTTGTAAATAGAACTACCTTAGAAACCTCCAAATTAATATGAAGAGACTCTACTGTTTTAAATGAGGTTGTCCGGATACTTAATCCAGGCGGTGTCATTCACCTCGCAGCATAGTATACCTTATCCGGGATTATAACTTCACGGACCCGGAGCGCATACGTACGTTCACACCAAGGGCGCTGACCTCTAGACCAACACTGTTCAGGGCGTGGGCATGTCTTCATCAGGGTAACTCGAGTTTAGACAACTAGTCTTCCTCAAAATTGTAAAATTCACTGGTGTCTATGACCAACCATTGCAAAGCCGGGATGAGAAGCAAGCTCGAGATCCTCGAGGTAACACCTTCTCCACTCCCTGCCAGGGCCTCCCGCTTCGGTTAACCGCTGTTCCCATTCATACCGGTCAGCCGTGTTTGGCCCGAACTGAACAAGACGTACTGATTGACATTTAGCTCATAAGTGCCTCCCTAAGCTCATCATGAGACCAACTAAGCCTGCCCTTGGAGCTCTTCTCCCTCGCTTCCTCATACACTGGCATGAAGTCCTCGACAATGGCCTTAGCCTCAACCTCTTCAAGTACCTTCACTCTCTTCCAGTCTACACAAATTAGGCCGTCATTCTCGACCTCTTTACCTTTGTCTGTCGCCGCGGCTTCAGCAGCCGCAGCGCCCCTGCCAAGTTTCGACTGGGAAATCAGGTCATCGAGTCCGGAAATTTTCTCCTTACCATCAAGGGTCATGTCCCTGAAACCCTCGAGATCTTTGACAATCAAGTTTCCGTCTCCTCCTCGCGTCACGAAGGCATAATGTGCTTCGGTGACTTCAAGGTCGTGGTTGCTTCTGACAACCTTGGTGAACAGGATCAAAGTCCACGAGCCGGCTTGGACCCTTTGGCATCTCGGGATGACTTCGTCGCCAGTTCCGATTTCGCTGCACATGTAGGCATTTGCCGGAACGGGGTAGATACGCCAGGGGTCCTAGTCGAGAAAGGAATGGGTTAGCCGATCATTAGCTGCCAGGGACAAGAGGAAGGGGGGGGGGGGGGGGGGGGATAATAGAACCATACCTTGATGCCGACACTCAATGCCATTGCCCACTGGTACGGGACATCCTGTGCATTCATCATTGTCGACTTCTTCTGATGAACAGCCGCCTGCAAGATCTGCGGAAACCACTCGATTGCATTCCGAACACCAAGATCCACGTCGTGGACGGGTATGTTGCGGAGGACGGGCTGACTGTAGCTCCTGAATTCGAGCCCATCATCGGCCTCCCCGATCGCTTTAGCAGCGACTCGCCAAGCCATGCCAGACGGATCGGCGACGCTGGACTCGGGAAACCCCTGGAGTATGAAATGCCCAGCCCATGAAAGGTAATGGAAGACTTGCGTGACGGTGTTGTTCGAGCGCTTCACGTCGGCCAGCATGTTTTCGAGGCTGGAGGCCTTGATGCGAGGAAAGACTTCTCCATTGGCGAAGGGCGCTCGGAGACTTGAAGAGTGTTGGATGCAGTATGTGTTGTATTTATCAATGGATGCCTTCAAATCCTTGAGGGGTAGGGACGGGGTGTTGAGGGCGATGATTGAACGAAGGTTCGGGCACAGTTCCACGAGGGATTTAATGCTGGCGGACGTAACGTGGGGGTTGTTCGAGATGTCAACTTCGACGATCGAATTGGTCTTTACATTCTTGACGATATCGACAATTACCTCGTCCGTCAGCGAGGGCCAGTACGAAAGGTCGAGGGTTTTCGTGTCCGTGTCCTTCAGAGCGTGCGCAACGAGCTGTGTTCCATTCGGGCGGCCATCAATTAAGCCCGCATTGTCGCGAACGTATCGAAGGAGGCGGCTCTGGAGATTGGGAATTTCAACCGAAGTCAGAGCTTCCAACACGTCTTCGCGTTCGAGGGCCGTCTCGACGGCCACCTTCAGGGCGAGCTCCGACAGTGACGGCTTAGACTTACCCACGCCTGAGCCCGAGCCCGAGGCTGAGATGGACTCGTTTGTCGGAACAGTGTCAGATGTTTGGCTTCCACCGTCGACAGGAGAATCCCTCCTTGCCGACCACTCTCCATCAGGCCAAAGGTCGAGAAGCGAGGCAGCATCGATGAGCTTCCACGGAGCCATAGACGGCGGGAACAACGCTCTCGATTCAGCGTAGTAGTCGAGGTATTCCTCGTCGGTCATGGGCATACGACCTGTCGTCCTGTCGTCGTCATCCTCTCTATACGATAGCCAGGGGTGCAAGAAGCAGTATTTTGGCGAGTCGATATCCGTAATGTCAACGACGGTGAATCCGTCGTTGTTGTCCGTCTTAGACCAGTCGGTGCCGATATCGAGAGGGTGCACCCTCGACGCGTACGGACGAACGGTATCTGAATTGCGCGGTTCATAGCTGCTGGCGAGAACGAGGCAGACGAGCAGAAAAGGAAATGGGATCGCCGATTCCAACGGCTTGCCTTTCATAGCCTTCTCCCGTCTGTCGGCCCACCAAGCATCGTCGTATGTGGCGGCATGGGTGAGTTCGTGGCGAGCGAGTCTCTTGTTCTCGGGGTGGCTCAGAATGTGCATCAGTCTCCACGCAGCCTTGATGGGGAGCGTGCCGTAGGCCCACTGATGGTGGACGACAGCGAGAGTGCGGTAGCGACCGCCAACCCGGCCAATGATCCAGAGCTGATGGCGCTGCCCCATTTTGTTCCCAGGGTGCTTTCTCTCACCTTGGACGGATGGATGGATGGAATGTGAATGGCGAGGAGTTTTGGCGATAAAAAAAAAAAAAAAAAAAAAAAAAAAAAAGAAGACAAAAGGAAAGGGTCAAACGCAAGATTGATCTTGGTTTTGCTGTTGTGAGGGGGACCAGCTGTTGCCTAACTTCTAGCTTGTTTGCTTGTTGCTTGCCCTGGGTGGAACTGGAGCTGTGAATTGTAGCTTGGTCGCACAAACTGAGGGGCATTTTCCGCAGCGTCCGGTCTACCCCTCCAATCTGAACCCCGCTTAGTGGCCAATAGTATTCTTTTCATACAATACCCCGATATATACATTAAATTCATTTATGCAATTTTTTACTCGAAGATCTTTCGGCCCGGTCGAAGTGCCGCTGGAAACCCGGTATTCCTCTGGACAACTACCCTTCACCTGGCTTTCGTTGATTCCGGAATTCAGTCCTTTCTATGGTTGTTTCGGCCGATCAACTCATCGTTGGGGGCAAGCGCCTGGTGGGAAATCGTATCTCTGGAAACACGATGTAACCTCACATTTGCTCAAGCTACTCAAGGTTCCGTCCAAAGTAAAGGCCATGTCCGTGTGTCTAAAAGACCAACACACTGCGGGCATGTGGCGATGTATCCTAGAGCCTAGTTACTCTTGCTGGCGGTACAAGAGACTGTGCCGGGAGGGAAGCCCTCGAGGTTGTATTGCATGTCCCCAATAGCGGAAGGCCATGACGGTCGAGTCGATAGGTATAAGATGTTTATTTTGAAGAGTATCGATCAAAACAGTTGTATCTTCCGCCGCATTGGCTGTGCTCGAGGCCGGGAGACGTCAGAGAGGAAATGTTGGGACGTCCCATTATGGACGACATTTTTCACACGAGATGTATATCTTGGCGTCTACCAATCCCTCCAAACTTTCTTCTCAAGCATCACAGCAGGAAGAGAACGCCCGCAATCATAAGATCAGACATCTTTTCCCCTTTCCGGCCCGAGCCCAACGCGAACCCGGCCTGCGGGGCAACCAACCAACCCGAAGCCAGGCTTGAGCTTTCCCACCTGATTTTTAATTAGTAAGTGATTTAAAATGAAACTGAAAAGAAATAACTATAGTTTAAACTTAGATAATCTAAAATTAGCAATACATAGGGTAAAGCCAGAGAACATAGTGAATCCGTGACGCCGGGGAGCCAGGGTTCCTGGGGATTCCTATGGTAGCCGTGAACCGGGAACCACGGTGCTAAGCACAGCCACATCTCCTATCATCCCCCACCCCCCCCCCCCCCCCCAAAAAAAACAACCACGGTGTCCATGGAGCCCTGGAATTAGGCCATCGCAAGAAGTGCATTGAAGTGCGATTTGGATGAATATATAAACCATGGCTGATTCTTCTCGATTGACAAGCAGTTCAAAATACAACCGAAAAAGAAAACAAAAGAAAATAGCCAAAGTTTCTCGGCAGATTCCTTCCCTTGATTCAAACGTACCTCAAAAAAACTTCATCTTCTTTACCTCCCTCCTAGTATCCCAGCACCCCAAATTTCAATCAAGTATAGCATCGAACATGACATCTTCACACAAATGGTTCATGTACAGGGAGAAAATCTGTGGCCTGTCCATTGTTCAATCTAGAAGAGATGTCGTAGGACAATTCCATCAGAGGCGATTTAGTATTATTATGTTAGTACTGATACTGTTCCGGATTTTCTAGCGTATTTCTGACTCTCAGCTAGTGCCATACAGCGACGTAATGGATCCAGACGGGAGACTTTGCGAACTGGCCGATTGATGAGGCGCAGCAAGATCCTATGGTCGAGAATGGGCCAAATCTATGCACAACAAGTTCAGGCCCGCATCACGACTTCGAGCGTCGAACAGACTCGCTCCACGACTACAACACGCTACATACAGCGCAGGGCTTTCCTTCATCACTAGTAGTTAGTGGAGATTGAAAAGCCACTGGTTTGAGCGGATCCTATGACCAAAGGTTAGTCTGTCCTCATCGAAACTAGATTGCCGAGTCAGATACTAATTGTATTTATGGACTTCAGTATGCTTCTTATAGCTCCCCTCTACTCTTCTCGAGGAGATGTTGGTTTGGGTGTTTGGTTTGATTTGGAGTGCCGAAGCAACGTAGTTCAGAGTTTGGTGCGAGACGTAGAAGGTAATGGCTGGCCCTGATACCTAGGATCATTTAGGTTTAGCAGTGCTTTTTCTTTTCTTTTTCCTTGCTTGCTTGCTTGCTTCGTTCGTTCTTTTCTTTTGTTTCGTTTCCTCTCTTTCCCTTTTTTCTTTTTTCCCTTTTGTGCTCCATGTTTGCTGTTAGCTTTTCCGTCGCTTAATATATCTTCCCCTAAACCCCATTGGTCATGAATATGCATTATCGTCAGTGATCCACGCTTCAATTCTCATACACAGAACGTAGAAATCAATCAGAAACTTGTTCCCGGGCGCTACGGACGCGGAAATGCCCCTTGACCCTCAGATCGCGAGCGTAGAATATATCCTGATAGTTGTTTAGTTTACAGATGTTGCGTTGTGAAACCTACCGTCAGATGCACTGTAGATATGGCAGGAGTGTTTCCATATCGTATAGTCCTCTTTATATCCTAAGAAAAGTCTCTATAGTCACGAAGCATAAATCACGGAAGAGACTGAAATCAAGCAAACGGGCAAGGCCTCGATACTCCGCTTCTCTGCCTGGGCCCTGAGAAACACTCCTGACACAGTTGACTTAGTATAGCGACGTTACCAGACGAGCAGAGAGTTCCTACTACGACAAACGGAATTCCCCGACGGCCGCCCAGACTCGCGCTGAACGCTTTCCTATACCTGCCAACAAGCTCTGCCGAGCTAGAGAACTCATTCAGTTCTCTTCTCAAACATGTATCGAGCATGTCGAACGAGATCAACTATCTCCAACAACAAGGCGATCTTGCCACCACAGCCCTCACGTTTAAGCTGCAAGCGATGAAAATTGAACCGTTACGGGCAGTAGCAGCAGATACCTCACTACATGAAGAAGCTGCGACAATGTTGGACAAAGGAAGGATTGCTTGGAAGGCATGCGGGATCGGCCAAGTTGCCCGTGGATTGCCCCTACCTATCTTGATGAGATGTTTCACTGTCAGGCACTTTTGTCCACAACAGGACAAATGTACAGCTCAACCCAGTTTCTCGCCAACACACTACTCTTTTCTTTCCTGTAGCCATGGCAACAGCTGAATTATGCTCGGCCATGCCTATGAATGGCGCATTCTACTGGTGGACTGGAGCTCTGGCTCCGCGACTTTGGTCCCGTCCATTAGCCTACTTTTCAGGCTGGTTGAACGTTACGCAGATCATGACAACCCTGGCTAGTTTTCTATTTGCAGGCGCACAAGCATGGACTATTTGCATTGGGCTGTTTCACCCGGATTGGATAGCTACTCGTGGACAGATGATTGGGCTTGGCGTTGCGATGGCTGCGTTTTGGGTCACCCTATGCTGTCTTCGAATGGAAAGAGTGGCGATACTTTTCATGATCAATTGTGAGCTTGCCGCCGCATTATTATCCCCCACTTCAGGTGAATTAATGCTGCTTTTGCAGGCGGTGCCATGTTGGTCCTGCTGGTTATTTTCGTTGTCTGTCTTCCAGCAACACACAGAGCGCAGGATCGCCCTTTTTCTAGCGGTGGCGATGTTTTTGGCACCATAACAACTTTTCGGACTGGGATAATGCCGTCGCTGTACCTATGAGCTTCATCGCAGTCGTGTGGTCGGTAACTGGATGGTTTGCTCCGGCATACGTGGCTAAAACCACAAAAAACTCTCGAGTCGTCTCTGCCAAGTCCATGCTGATCACCTTCGCTGCTACCGCAGGGATCGGATTATTGATTAATCTGGTAACTGCCTTCTGCATAGAAGACTTGGGCGCTACTGCAGGTGTTCTAACGTACGTACCCCATAGTCATACTCCAGCGAGCGAATAACTGATCTAACCTGGATCTAGCGGTTTTCCACTTTACGCCATGATAGTCGATCACTGGGGGATCACCAAAGCGGGGGCGTACTTGATCATTCTCTACGCTCTCAGTACTTGGGGTACTGCATCGTTATTATACACCTCCTCCTGCATTGCGGCCTCCTTTGCGAGAGATGGTGGCATCCCGTACGGTGAGATCATCGGACGAATCAATACGTCGCTCAACATACCCGTCTATTCGATCCTATTTCTGGCTTTTGGTGGCATTTTGATTCTCCTATTCGGCTTCTCCGCGGAGGCGAGCTCCGTCATCTACTCTTTGGTAGTCGTTGCGGCCATGCTGAACTTCCTGCCACCCATGATTTTGAGAGTGTACCAAGGACAAAACTTTGTGCCTGGCCCTTTTAACTATGGAAGGTGGAGCATACCGATCCATTGTTTTGCAATACTGTTTATCGTTTGGATTGTCATAATGGAGTCATTTCTTACGACATCCAACTGGACAGCAGCTACCTTCAATTGTAACTGGGTTGTGACTGTTGGAGCGATTCTCTTGTCCGTCATTCTATGGTTCCTTCATGGAAGCAGGCATTTCGAGGGTGTCAAATGGGAGACTGTGGTGGCATTGAATGTCCTACGTGATGGACCGGCCGGAATCCAGTGAGAGGAGTTAAGGGCACCAACATTAGTGCCCTGGGGACGGGATCGTTATAGTAATGTGCTGACGCATCCGATTATCTTTAAACATTCGTATTTTTCTACTCATGTTAACGCTTGTTTATGACGAGACTTATATATGTGGTTCTGACTTTAATATCATCTAAAAATCCAGACAGTACCGGCTATGGCATACATCTTCACATACGGCTTTTGGCTTGAGTTCGTTACTATGTAGCTAAAAGGCATTACTTCCAACCCTGTGGCTTCGCTTCCTGTTTTTGGATACTCGTAGTCGACTAAGAAGGGCTACTCTCTGCGTCTTGCATCCTGATGTATGGCGAACGAGCAAATTGCTTAAGCCCCAGGGAAGCCTCTGCTAGTAAGAGTTGGCCTTCCGGTCGTGTAAGTCTGTGCAGCTATATCGCAAGGTTGATTGGCAGTACCTTGTATGCCTATGAATCCTACTATACTAGTTAAACCCTCTCTTAGACTTACACTTGCCCTTTATATTAACATAAACTCAGCATGGGACCTGAGCCCAATAGTTAGAGCCCTACTGTGAGTGCATAACTTTAAGCTTTACACGAACTTATTACCCCCAAAAAGCGCCGTCGGCGTAATCTAGTCCTACCTTGTGTTTTTACACGGAGTTTGCCAGACCGCCAGCTCCAATTTCGCGTTTACATATACTGCAAGCCGCCGCAGAGCGTATTGTACCGGCGGCTGATTTTATGGAACCGACTCATCCCGATGCAGATTACGTCAAGATGTGATTGGGTCAGACCAAGGTAGTAGCAGAGTCCTTCAGATGCTTCGGCCTTGCCCCAGGGCGACTTCAAGGACCTGCTCAGTCGTCGCCACCGCTTCGAACTTCCCGAATGGGAGATTAGCGTTCATCTGTGCAAAGCGAGTGCGAGCGTGCACTCTGTTGAACTCGTATAAAGCTAGGTATTCTTCGGCGACACCTGGGAGGTTCTCTATTGAAGCTCTGTCTAACACCACATTAGGAAAAAGAGATACTGTAAGTCATCCAGATTTTACTCTGAACGCGTCTTCTTGCGCGTTCAAAGAGAAAACAGCATCAACCAAGCCGCTTCTACGATGACCGCGATGACTGTTCGCCTTCATCCCGTATCGCCCCTCACTTCCGAGGAAATCCGGACGACGAGTACTCTGATTCGATCGCACCACACGCATGATGCTCGCTACATCTTCAAGACTATCACTCCGCCTGAGCCCGAAAAGCAGCAAGTTATGAGTTATTTGGATGCAGAATCCCGTGGACTCACTTTGCCGCCAATTGATCGCGGAGCTTTCGTCAATTATTATATCGGATCCACGGTAAGTTCAGCATCTGTCTCTGTCACAAGATGTTGCCCATTTGTTTTGACTCAGAACAACAGGGCAGTTTGTTTGAAGCCGTAGTGAATTTGACTCAAAGCTCCGTTGAGCGCCACGAGGCCCTTGGAGCGCGAATGCACGGATCGGTCGACTTCGAGGAGGCGGAGGAAGTTGAGAAGATCGTCTTGAACGACCCAAGTGTCCACAGAGAGATAACTAGACGAAAGGTAGATCCCTCTCTGGTCGTTGTCGAGCCCTGGATATTTGGTAAGCCCACAGACCTGTCCTATTGATTCTTCACTGCCCTATGAAGGGTTTGAGTGGGACAATATGCACTCCTACTTAATTACAAAATTACGACACTTACACAAACTTCTATAGGGTCTGATGGTGTCGACGATGAACCCCGCCAGCTCCAGTGCTACATGTTTCTCCGCTAGAGAGGGGCCCGTTCTCTATAATGTAAGTTTACGCATCCTGCTGCCTCTCGAATACTAATGCTTACCCTTTGAAGGTCCAATATGACAATCGATCTCTGTTCTACAGAGTTTCGCTCTCTGAGATGAGCATACCATATGCTGACCCCCGTCACCCGTACCACAAGAAAACCGCTTTCGATCTGGGGGATCTGGGAGCCGGCGTCACGGCCAACAACTTGCAACTAGGGTGTGATTGCCTAGGCTCGATTTATTACCTTTCCGCTTTCATTGCAGATAGCCAGGTAACCCGGTTGCCCGGCCCAACTGTGTCTGTGTCCACGAACAGGATGCCGGGATTGGCTGGAAACATACGAATTACCGTACCGGCCGTGCTGTCGTTACAAGAAGCCGCGAGCTGGTTCTTCAGACCATTATGACCGTATCGAACTACGAGTACATACTAGCGTTCATTTTGACCCAGGCGGGTGATCTCACGTACGAAGTCCGCGCGACTGGCATCCTATCAACGCAGTACATCCATCCGGACGCTAATGCCAACCGGGGCACTGTGGTACACCCTAGAGTGCTGGCTGCCCATCATCAGCATATCTTCTCCCTACGCATCGATCCGATGATTGACGGCTTCAATAACACCGTCATGTACGGCGAAGCGGTAGCAATACCCCGCTCAGAGGCGAATCCCCACGGCACTGGATATTACGAAACTCAGCAGGTCGTCCAGGTTTCTGGCGGTTTCGACTTGGACATTAGTAAGAATCGAGTCTTTAAAATAGTCAACAACACTGTCCGGAATGCTATCAACAAGGAACCTGTCGGGTATAAAATCATGGTGCCCGATTTCCAGAAGCTGCTCGCCGACACCGAGTCTTTTCACTACCGCCGAGTCGAGTTCGCCGATCACAATATTTATGTGACAAAGTATCGTCCACAGGAGCTATATGCTGGTGGGCAGTATACTAACCAGTCCGGGGGTGGCCACGGTGTGAGGTCTTGGGCGGCGAGATCAGAAAACGTGGAGAACGAGGATATAGTGGTTTGGGTGCAGTTTGGTATCAATCATATTCCTCGGATAGAGGATTTTCCCGTCATGCCTTGCGAAAAGATACAGTAAGCCATCCCCGAATTACACGATGCAGATTTTCTCTCTTTTAGTCCGGTCCACTTTCTATGTTCTTTCCACTTCTCCAGGATCAGTACTAACATCGGCTGATCTAGAGTCATGCTACGGCCAGTGAACTTCTTTACTAAGAATCCGGCCCTTGATGTTCCGCCGTCTGAACAAAGCACCAATCAGTCAACCCTGGCTATGCCCTGTGGCCGACCAAGCTGTTGTTCCGGGGTTGAGAGCCTCGGGCCTTAGAGGCTAATAAGTTGGCATAATGGTCACTGAGAAAACATACGATTCCAAAGTATTATATAAATCCGCGATACAAACTTGGCGGCGTATTCTAATCAGTAGTTCCTAGGCAACCTATCTTTATAGGAGGAGAGTTTACATTCCCTACTGAGAACTAATACCCTACTGTACTAAGGGTTCGTTATAATTTACCACATTATATAGTTTCCATCTGTGCGCACGTCCTTGAAATATGACCCCAATTATTTCACAGGGGCGAAGCGAGAACCTGAGATTCTGCGTTTACCTAATATCCTCTACGAGTATTCCCGTCCTAAGATCTGTTTCTTCCTTCTTCTAGTTATTCTTTGCTACAGTGTTGTGTAATTGACTGCTAAATTTTAATGTCTGATACAATGCTCGTTCGGAGGCTGTCCCGACTAATCTCTCCAGGCGCTTTCGAAACTGGTTAGATCGCCGAAATTGATCCCGCCAGGTAAGTTTATTAGCGTCTGCACTTGATCTTTAAACGATGGAAGGAGGAATATGACGATATGCAGGTTCTGCACTTTGCCTCAGTCCAAAGGATGATGAGAGCCTTCAGCTTTTGTGGCTGGGTGGCTATTTATGGTAAAAAGGCGCGGTGGGCTTCACGACTATTGGATTGCTCTCATCCTTCGAGGGCAAAACTGGTAGAGCAAAAAGTCGCAAGCCACATTCGGACCGGTTTCGCAGCATATTGTGGCAGAAGGCAGTATCTTTAATGTAACCTCGAACATAGACAACCACTCAGCGCACATAGTGGGCACCACCCCTGTAGCATGGATCGGCAGGTGGCTGGGGAGGATTGAATCAGACATGACAGGTCTCGTCAGATTGGAAAACCTGATTATTTCGGGCCAGGCGGCTTCTCGCTGAGGTCTTTTCCCGTCTCCCAAGCTCCTATTATTATCCTCGTCCCGCTTCCCCCTCGTCGCGTCGAGGACAGAAATGACAAGGAGAGGAATGATAGACAATTTCCATTATGGAACACGCACCACCAAATTCTGAAACCCACCAAGATCCAAACAGACACTATGAGTACTCAACACTCCCTGAAGCGCTTCCAGAAGAGCTCCAGCCCGGGGGATTCATCCAGCGCGTACCGCTCGAGAATGAAGCCGAGTCCAAGATTGCGTACAATGACGCCGGATTAATCAAAGTCGACGACGAGGAAAAACCAAAGGACACCCCGATCCAGGAGAGTCTGAACGCCACACCGCCAGTCCAGCCCTGGTGGAGACGACGGTTAACATGGATAATAATAGCAGGTGTCGCGGTGGTTGTAGTTGGCCTCGTCGTGGGATTGACGGTAGGCCTGTTGACGAAGAAACGTCGAGATCAACCAAAGTGAGTTCGGCCCGAAAATGCAATCCGCCATCTTCAACAGGTAACTCATATGAACTCCCCTTTCAGACCAGTCGATACATCTTTCGGCACCCCCACAAATTTCACTTCCAGTAGCACATCCCGTGCCTCTTCGTGCCGTGGCGTTGTTTGTCCGTCGATGCTCGCCGTAGCTCAGGTAACTGCCACGAACGATCTAGGCTTCTTCATCTTCAGCCGCGGATCCGATCGCGCGATATGGTACCGTCGAGGGAACCAGACCGCCTGGGATGCCGACTGGGCCAGTCTAGGAGGCGAATTCGACAGCCAGCCATCCGCCGTCGCAATGGGCGATGACCAGATTTACGTTTTCGCCGCGTGGTCCGACGGTTCTGTGCGGTCCAAGACATATCGGAACGGTCAGTGGACGCGGGACTGGGAGAGTCTACAGGGCAATAAAACTATCAACGCGCCATCTGTCTGCTCCTGGGGCCCGAACAACATCGAAGTGTTTGCCACGGACGAGGAAAATCTCTTGATCCACAGGCGGTTCAATGGCGTGAAGTGGGAGCCTGCAGTCGACAACCCCTGGCAGAAATGGGGAGGATACACTAGCGCAGCGCCTGCGGCTGTCTGTCCTGGCTCGGGACGGGTCGATGTCGTGAGCTATGGTGGATATTCTGACGCGCTTCACGATGTCGGGTGGATGCATTATAAGGACGGAAAATGGATTTTGTGGGAGGGGAACAGTCGTCCTAACGCCGATGTGGGTTATCTCGGCGATCCGACGCTGGTAATAGTTGAGGATGAGACCATAGCTGTCCTCGGTGTTGGATCTGACAAGCAGTTGTACTACACCGAGTGGTCGCCAACTGCGAACTATAGTGTAACGGAAGATCTCGGCGGTAGCTTCGAGTCGATGGCTAGCGTTTTGACTTCCTCAAGTGGGAATTTGGATGTCCTAGCCGTCGGCAGAGAAGACAGGCTCATGCATAAAGCTCGCGTGGATGGAGCGTGGGCCAAGGATTGGGAAGATCTCGGTGGTTACTTTAACAGCGCGCCGTTGCCCATGCGCCTGGGTGACGGTCGGATCATTGTGTTTGGTCTCGGCCCCGACGGAAACATGATTCATGGGAAGTGGTCGCCCACGCACAGCTTTGCTTGGGGAGAGGGCGAGTGGTTTAATGACTCGGGCAGCCTGGCAACCGGTTGGCTGAGAGCCGGGCCGGCGTAATATTCACATGTCTATGATCCGGCACTTGTCTGCTTCTATCTGCTTCTATCGGTGTGACTCGTGATTTCATATGTTTGAAAACTCAATTCCTACACCTTCCTTCATGTGTAGTCCATCTAGCTGTTCAGACGTGAACGGCGACTAGACCAGCTAGTCCAATGGAACAGTATCACGTTCAGCTCGCCACACCGGACTTTTCCCCCAGACTCTCCTCCTCCCAGACTTACAACACAGGCCTTCGCGAGGGTATCGTCCGAGCCCAGTGGATGGCTACCATGTTTGCTCCACGTCTGGGATTCTGAACACCCGCATGTTTTGCAAATACGGGAGTAATCCGGAATCGACGAGGGTGGTCGCATCCCAAAAGGTATATCCTTTCGCCCGGACGAAGTCAGGGGTCGCAGGACCCCATGACATCGACCACCGCTGGTCCCAGAGAGCCACCCAGCCCAACGGCGGCAGGTCCTCGGCATCCCCCTTAAACTCCATGGCCTGTTCGGTCTTTTCCCATCGGTCTCGGATATCGGGGAAGCGTATTTTCCGGAACGTTTGCTTTCCGAAAGTCTCGTCGAGGGGCGCACCGGCGTCGGCAAAATCGAGGACGTTAAGCGGCTTGAGGTCGCCGCTCAACAGAGCCGTGAATCTCCGCAGGCCCATGCGTATCATCTTCTGTTTCCAAAGATTGCACGCAATGTCTATAATGAGTTTTTTTTAGTTTTAATGGCCACTCCTTCTTATTTTTTTCCACTTCTCCTTTCTTCCTCTTATTCTCTCTGGACGGGGATGGACCGGGATGGATACTTACAATCTTCTGAGGGATACCACCTGCGCGATTCCGTGTACTCACAATCTGTGGACGCCCAGCGGACGATAACCCCTTCATTATCTTCACATTCAGCAAGAAGCGGCGCCAGTTTTATTCTCCAGAATACCTTGTTGTAATAACTAGCAAGGTATTCGTGGACACAGGCCACCGACTCCGCCTCCCATGGATGAAATAACCCAAAAAAGAGGTGGAGGATCCTTGCCGGACGCATCCGCCTTGTGCGCGGATCGTCTCGGGAATCCTCGTAATCTTCGCTAAACATCATCGCCCAAATGTCCAATCGATAGAGAGCGCAGAGAATCCTGCGCTCTTCAATGACAGTCGGGCGATGGTCTAGCGGCAATTCCCGGAGAAATCCCGCGAATATCCTCGTGGCTGCTAGGCGAACGACGTGGATATAACTTTGCTGCATGCGGATCACATCTTCCAGGGTGCATGACCTGAGGACCGTTTTCTTGTTTCTGACTCCGTATCCTGCAAGGGTCAGAAAGGCTTCCGCGACACCGTTGTCACCTCCCACATCCCTGGATGAAGCCCGAAACTGCGCAGCTTTGGCGTGGAAGTACATACTTAGCATCACTTCTGTCCCAAACTGCCGAGTCATGATGTCTAACAGAACCCGTCGCTTGTCGTCGTCGTAGGCGGCTTTCGCATTTGGCGAAGCCGTCACAACTGCCCGCAGGTCGTTCAAGGTTGGCAAGTACCGCAACACCTCTGATACCAGGACGAGCGGGAGTGACTCCCAGTTTGGGCCCGGCTTAAAAATGTCCCAAATATCGCAATCGATAAGCATGTTGTAAAGATGATGAATGACACTTGTTGAAATTGTGGTACTCGCGGATTTATCGCTCGCAAGGGTCAGGGTGTCTTTGATGTCGAAATAGATCAGTGGCTGAGGAGAGATGCTCGAGAACGTGGTGTAACAAGTAGCCGATCTGGCTGAAGTTGTTAATAAGTGTACGTTGTTGATATTGATGTTTCTCGTAGGAGGTTGGAAGGACTTTTATGTACTTTGAAAATGAAACGCTTGCTATGGAGTTGAAGTGAGGTTCAAGTTTGGTGATGTGCGAGAAATTTCGCAGATTATATAGTCGAGGACGAGCTATTGAGCCTAGAGACATTGTGAAGGTGTTTTGCCCGCTCTCATTCAAGAGATACGCTGTGAATGTCGAGTCAAATGGAATAAAGGTGGTAATGGATTGCTCCAGATAGTCAATGAGGCCGATATAGATGTCTGTCTTTGAGGTGCAAAGACAACACAAAAGCTAACGGCCCTTTTGAGGTTATTGTTCTTGCAAGTCACATGTCGTTGGGTCTTTCAATCCTTCATTCCACGCGAGATAATAAGCCTGTCCGGGCATCTAAAGAGCTCGGGCTAGAGAAAAGGCATGGCCTTTTTCGTGTTTAGCATGCTCTTATACCTCAAGTAGCTCTAATAGCTCCATCGTGGCCCGGAGAGGAGTCTAGAAAACACGTCCTGTGTAACACCTCGTGGTCAAGGAAGTCAGAGTCTGTTGCCATGGTGGCCTCGAATAGCAATAGCTGCATAGCCGCAGAATAATCACGTAGCTCCTATTGTACTATCATGAAACTCGTGAAGAATTGACGAGATTCTGAGTAGTTTTGCCATAGAAAGTGGCCTTTGAGGTTCGGATTATCCGAATAGCCTGGCCAACTCATTCCGAAAGCTGGAGCTGCAGTATCGCGAATTTGCTCCAATGTTTGGCTCATTCGACGTGCTTGATTGAGGTATCACTCGCCCATTCATTCTATTATCGTTTCTGGGTTAACTTCAACCATGCACCGATAACTACACCACGTTTTGCTATGGTTTGTAGCTTCCTGCCAGGAGCGGGGTAGCACGTGAAGTGGAGCAAGCTGTTCATTGCTTACTGGATCGCAGACGAGTTAAACGTATAAGTCGACATAGAGAACAATCAAACCTGGCGTGGTGAAGAAATACCTACGCTCATGCAGATGCCAGTCCACCTGCTTGTACGGCCACGCCTCGAGAGCTCGCCCGTCGCCGGCCAGCGCCGTGATCTGCTTGTCCCGAAGAAACTCGAACAGGTTACGAGTTGGCTCAAAACCCATGGTATAAAGCTTATGGGTCCTTTGTAAAGATCGTCGAGACGTTCCGTTTTGTCGTCGTTCACGGTCTCGTAGTGAAGAATGTAATAGCCAAGGCAGACAAGAAGGATGTTCCTACGAATGTTCTACCCAGGGTGTAGATCGCTGCACTATTAATAATAACATGCACCAGTAGATGGAAGCCCTCGCCTTGCGCCACTCGTCAAGGGCCAATCTTGGTAGAGGGTTAACCGCTCATCCATTCGATAGTATCCATGGAAGCGTGATTCCCCCCGCAGGTTCAAGTAAGCTTGTTCCTCTCCGGTTTCTAGCCTCTTCTTTCCTGAATCAATCAAAACTACAAGCGAGTTAAAACCAACCGACGTAACCTTGTTACTTGTTCATGAGTAATACTCATTGGCATAGCTAGACAGATTTTCCAATCCCACCGTCGAAGAGTGACCGACTTCAAAAGCGAATGGAGAGAGTTATTATCGCTCTGATACACTTCGCCATCTTGGCCGGAGCCAGCGACCCCGCTCCGATCACGCCCAGCCCCTCCGAAGACGACGCCCCATCATCCGTGGACATCTCGAGCGGCGTCGGGACCTGGGTCGCAGCCGGCGTCGCAATCGTCGCTCTCGTCAGCATCGTCGGCCCCTGGTCGGTTCTGCGGCAGTCTTCGCGGGACTGGCGCCGCGCCCTCGCCGGCGTCTACGATAAGGACGGCACGTACATCGACTACGTCGTCAAATTCCCCGGATCGAAATACCGCTTCTGGCGGATTGAAAGAATCCCTGACCTCGCGCCCCTTCACGACGAAAATTCGCTGAGCAATCCGCCCCTACTCGCCGTGCGGGAGGTGTCGGGCTTACTTGACTGGGAAGCGCCGAGTTACCGGCGTTGGGACACGGGCTGGTTGAAACTGTGCGCGTTGATCGATGGACTTTCCATCGCCGGGAATGATACCACGGCAGAGAACGCTATCGCAGGCAACGCTACCGTAGAGAACGCCACGGAAGAGAACGCTGCCGCAGAGAATGTTGCTGCAGAGAACACTGCAGCGCAGGCGACGAGCAAAACAGCAACTAGACGCGCTACAGGGAACGACGGAAATTCAGGTGAGTTCAGGCGAGGATGTCTAACCGTTCAAGGCTTCGTGTCCAGTCGGTTGTCTGACCCCGTTCAGACGAGGAATTAATAGCTGCAGAAGGAAGTCATGGGACTCGGGTTGAGGCGCCCGAAAGCAGTAACCAGAGCAAGAAGCTTCCGGATTTGCCAGCTCATAATACCGTGCTAGGTCTTCTTTATTATCTATAATAAAATTTCTAGGTTTAATATCTATATAGTAAGTATTTAGGTTACTATATATATATATACAAGTACTATAGACATTTAGCAGAACTACTTAGCTTATATCTAAAGAAGAATATAAGTTTCACTTAAATTTACTAATTTAATAATATTAGTAAGAGAGCCCCTAGTAAAGAAGATTAATAGATAGCTAATAAGCACTAGGTAACTATCTAAGCTGCAAATAAAAATAAGTATTTTAGGAGGTAATTAAATATTAGGATAAGATAATATCTTAGTAATCAATTTATACTACTACTAAGTCTCTACTATAGTATAAGCAAGCTTATTATTATTATTATAAATCTATAGGTAAGTTTAGAAGTTAATACTTTTATAGATAAATATTTCTAGGTCTACTAAGCCTATTTAAACTTATACTTACTTACTATAGCCTCCACCACCTATTATCTTAAATATAATAATATCTAAGATATTAATAATAGAAGGATAATTACCTTTTACTAGGTTGCTTAGTGGGATTATGTGAAGGAGATCGAGGTATTACCTAAATAAAGGTTCTCGATAAACGTGCTAGGTGATTTCCCTAGTTTTAGCTAAGGTAATGTCGATCACAGTGCCTGGCTTAAAGAGTATGTGCTCTATACCGCAGGTGGGCCAGATTTCAGTAATGGAAGACTAAATGACGCTCTGCATGACATGTCGGTCTGGGAACATGGATGAGGCATCATCTAGTACTTCGATGTCGTGGTAGCATCTGACAATCCGACTTGAGAGCGACTGGAGTGGGTTGGTAGGGTCTAGGTAGAAATGGAAAACGAGGGCTGGTCCATGTCTAAGGGCTCGAGCATAGATAGTGGTTTCATCTTCGTCGCCCCAAATGCTGTCGGGTATGACACCATCGGCTGAGGACGCTTAACAGCGCTTTCACAAAAGTTCTCGACTAACCTCAACTTACTCATCTAGATTAACCCATGTTACGTAACTTGCCGGCCAGGCTTTGGACGCTTGTGGGGTCGTTTGACTGAAACTTGTTCAACTAAATGGAAGATTCATCTAGCTCGAAATCTAACTGTGACAGGCGGGCATTTTTCTGCTCCACCTAATTGCCTTCTCTTGTCAAGCATGACAGCTATCAACAATGTATCTGCAATAGACTCGGTCAAGATCTAGGCAGAAGTGTTGTATCAGGAATGCTACTAGAGTCCGCATACCGAGGGGTTTCATGGAGTCTTAGCCCCGCAAATATAAACACCCAAATGAACAGTGAAGGCTTCACGTCCAGCACGTTGTAAATATTATGTGAGCGAATTGTGAAGTATTAATGAAGCGATGGGGTTAGACTACAGGGGTTCCATTACGATCAGCCTTTGGCAGAGAAAACATTGAGAAGGTCGTCAGGTACGTATGTCGTCATGGTTGTGAAATGCCGCGCTAGTTCGACGTCCCCCAATCGTCAAAGGACGAACCGCCACGACGGTAAGAATGGCACGAGAAACGCTTGTCAGGTAGCTGACCTAAAGGAAGATACTCTAAGGCTGAATCTGAGGTTTTATATTGCTGAATCGGGCGTCAAGCTCCGTAGTTGATTTGTTCAACAAGTGGTCGATTATTTCTCATCATTGGCGGGCTGGTGTGAATAGGTCAAGGTTCTCGGAAACCATCGAACGCAGCGCCTCTCACATTCATAGCAAATAGCCGCGCTTCCTAGTAAGTCTATCTGTAATGAGCATGGGTTGAAAACAATGAAGGATGTCTGACTTCGTCCGACGAAGTCCAATCGAAGTCAGTGTCCGATTCGACCTTTAAGATCCTACGTCTTTTTCTTGGGCGAGGATCAGGTTGCCGATCACATGTCCTGTGCTTCTCAAATTCCTCGTCAAACTTTCTCATCGTACTTAGAGCGTCCCATAAATGTTGCTTCTCTATATCGGCTCCTTCACCAATAGCAGATGCTTGGGCAATGCGAACGACATCCCTGATTTGACGACCATTCAATTCCTCAGAAGCTAACTCCTTGGTGATCGGCTCCCAATGGCTAGGTTGTTGTCGAGTTTTTGACACTCTAGACAGGAATACTTGCCACAGCTTTTGTCGACTGTCAAAATCCAATTGGGGGTAGTGGATGGCTACCTGGATACGAGATTTGAAGGCCTTATCGAAGGAACTGACACGGTTCGTAGTCAGAAAAAGGACGCCGTTAAAATATTCTAGAATTCGGAGAAACGCTAACACAGATTTAGAATTGGCTGGCCAGATAGTCTCGGAGTTAAAGGGGTTTCAGTTGACGTACCGGTAACGAGAGAGTTTTGGGGGTTGCAGCAGTCAGATCGCGACTCTAGAAATGTATCCGCCTCGTCTAAGAGTGCCACTGCTTCCCATCTTTCCGCGAGCTTTAGAACGGCTCGCAAGGCATCTTCAAAGGGATGGCCTAGACGCCTCGCGTCAATCCTGAGGAGTGGTCTCTCGCAGCACTCTGCAATGCTCTCTTAAAGAGAATGTCAGAAAGCGAGCCGAGACGGTACGCGGAAAGAGTCATGAGTTTTTGACTGTTGGATTGTGACAAACCTGCCGTCATAGTCTTTCCGACCCCGGGCTCCCCGTGCAGCAGAAACACGACTCCGTCTCCCTTGCCTCTGATAACATCCCGAAATCTATCCTTGCACTTGGCGGACTGCATCTGGATTAAAGAGAGCAACGCGTTTTTGTACTTGGTCTCCAATATTAAGGAATTTTTAAAACTGTTCTTGTCGAAGTCGACTGGTTCGAGTCGTTCAACCTCGAGAAGCCTCCACTCTCTCTCGGCGAGCGAGTATCCTCCAATATGGCCGCTGCAAATGAGATAATGCTCTTCCTCAAGAGCTGCTGTTACTGGAATAGGGTTGCCTACCGGCTCAAAGCTCTTTTTTTCGTGATACATTTCCGGGTCCACCATAACCCGCTCGGAAAACTCAGTGGTCTCCTCTCATTAGCGACTCCCCTAGTACTGAAGAACGAAATTACCTTGGCGACTACTTACCGGTCTTGACGGCGGTTCGTACGGATTCTCTGATGCCGAACCGCGGGGCGATACCCCACTAACAATACGCCGGTAGTGGCATCCCTGAAGGGCAACAAATTTCCGACCTCTAGCAATAAGGCGGGTTCTGATAGAGGATTCTTGCGGATGAAAGCGGAGAGGTATCACGGCGAGGTGGTTTAGTCGACGAAAGCCAGCAAAATACGTGACATCGTGGACCAGAGTTTTGTTGCCCAAGTTTACCCCATTTGTGTCAAAATAGGCCCCAGTCAACGTCCAGATGTGCGAGATCCGGTGTTCCACGCGATCACAAGAGCAGCTGCTAGCGATCGATTCGTATCGAACAACAATATCCGCTCCATTTCTCGAAGACGCCGCCGGAACAAACACCAAATCGTTTGGCTTGAAAATAGTCCACAGATGGGCGAAGTCGATGGACGGCTGGGACTCAAACTGAACGTTGAAAGTGTATGCAGTGATGGCGTCTGCGAGCTCTTGTTGAAGATATTCCATGAGTAAGGAGACATGTCTTTGGGCTGTTGATTGATGTCCCAGAGACCCTCCATATGTGAAGAGCTGATTGCGGTAATGGAATAGATGTCTAGGCTTGCCAAAGTAGATGATATGGTTGAAGTCAAAATTTCGATGCATGTACTCGGGGACCACCGCTTTTAAAGCCGCTTTCATATACGGGGACCGAATTTCAGTCTGCACCAATCCCTTTATACCTGTCAAGTCCCAAAACGTGGTCCGGGCGATGGCCGAATCATCCTTGGCGTGCTTCAACAATCCCAAGCCGTCGTGAGTGCCACCTGGCACGACAATTTGGACGCCTTCTGAATCGGGGATGGAGTCATACTCGGTTATCTCGCACTTCATACTAGAATCAGCATCTGTGTCGTCGACTGAAGCCGGTAGAAGCTGTTTGACATAGTCCTCAAACGACAAAGTGAAATCAACGACGAGGGAGTCATCAGTGATGGGGGAGTCCATGGTTTTTCGTCTCTTTGAGTACCGCTGTTGGAAGGAGAAGGAAAGTTGGAAGTGCCGTTGTGTTACTGAGGTAGTTGGGCTTTGAGTAGGATTCCAGGACCAGACAGGTTAATTTATACTCTATCTATCTCGGTTCCGATTGCCCCTCGATGTACATGACATGGCACTTGACTGGCTGGAGCCTGATGCATATCGGGCGTGAGGCGGACCAGGCGGACCTTGCCAGTCGCCAGACGTTCGAGCCGGGGGTGATGTAGCCAGTGCCGTGAGGATTCCAGCGGACTGTGTACATGAAACAAGCGCGAGGGCTACAACTTATTCAGGATCTCGCCATCATTCTCCATGCCAGAGCCGTTTGAGACCTTGTTCGCGAGGCCAACCACCAGCCCATGGAACGGTTCGTTCTTTGGGGTTTCGCAAAGCCATCTTTCAAGTGCCACTGCGGGGGTAGTTTTGGTAGTAAAATGTGTGTATGTTAAATATTGCTGGGCGCTCTGAATAGCCACGTAGAGTTAGAGCAGGAGGTTTTTAAACGCTTGAAGGGGGCCCATACAAGTATTGCGGAACTAGATCTGGCTTGGGGCATTGAAGTGCTGCGCTTCGCGCGAGAGTCCATGTCTGTCTTTCTTTGGTTCTTGATTGTGGTCTAGAGGATCGGAAGAATGTACCACTTGGGTGCGTGATGCAATAGTAAGAAGAGTAAAGTGGAACTGCCCAAGACTATAGATTTCAGAGCGACTGAGCATTCAAATACGCTATCATCATGGAGCGGATACGCTCCTTATTTATCATCCTTTCTGCGTCCTGTTGTTTTGCAGGGCATGGCTTTTTGGGCGTACACGAACTCTTGCAGACTTTTTGGAACTCGTCAGCCTGAAGTACCGTTGTAGAATCTCAATGGCTAATGTATGGCTCAAAGTCTATGGTAGTTTAAAGTTGGACCTTTTTGGAACTTCATGGTTCCGTCAATAATGCAGGTCATGTGTGGCATATCTCCCGCCTTCTTCAGTTTGTGAGCGGGAAGTGACCGTTTCATGGACGAATAGCACCGATGAGTGGCCCGATGATTCTGGGGCGCCGACCTCCTTGCCTCAGTACTGGTGAATTGATGTCAACATCCTTGTGGGACCTTTTTGGAACTCCCACCCACGGAGACCCTTGGGATCCCATGTAACCATGTACACAGTATGCGTGATGTCTCGTTTAAAAGCGACATGCATAAAACTGCACCTTTGCTCAGGAAGAAGTCCCAACTTTTGTGAACTTTTCGTGGCGTTTTGTGATTCGCATCTACGAAGTAGTCGCGCCCCCTTTGTCCCTTCATGCGTCACATCATCCTTTTCGGAACTTTTCGGAACTCGATGCTGCCAAGACCGCAGCTACAGACAACTGATGGGAGAGGTCCCTCACCCCGTTTTTGCACTTTTTGGAACTTGCCTTTCCCTTTTTTGCCTCGTCCCCGCACCCGGGATTCGATTATAACTACTACAAGATTGCCTAATTATTTGCTTCTCCCATTCTTGGTCTAATCAAACACGAACCTCCCCTCCGGGATGGCGCACTTGAGCGGTGGTTTGGCAGAGTGGGGCCTCAGTGCCTGGTCGTCAGGCGACGCAATACCTAGCGTGAACCATCCACATGGGAGAACTACAACGCTGAATCCTGCAGTGCCATTTGCCCCAGCCGGCAATGACCATTTATCTCTCCGCCAGGTTGCACATGATGGGCCGCCAGTTGCATCGGAAACAGTCGCCAAGGGGAGGAATCGGTGGAAGATTTCGGACAGAGAATGGAACATGCACAAAGAAAAGATACGCAAACTCTACGTCGAGGAAAACAATACTTTAAAGCACACCATGGTAGTTATGGAACGGGAGCACAAGTTCTTCGCCTCGTAAGTCTGCCCGGCCGGTCGATGAGGCAACACCATCCAGCACACTTCACTGTACTGATAGAACATAGGTCAAAATTATACAAGGATCGGCTAAGGTCCTGGGGCTTTTCCAAAAACCTAAAGCAAGCCCATGTGCGCGACATTGTGCAGCAGACCAAGCTGCGCCACGGTCGCGATACCGAGGTCATCGTCGCGGGACAGAAGGTCGCACTGGATCGGGTGCAGCGATCCTATGATAGGCTTCCAGCAGTAGAAGCCAAAGCGCCTGGTAGGTAAATCGTCCACGCCCACTTAAAAAAAAAAAGAGGGGGGGAAGAAAAGATAAGAGAGAGAGAAAGAAATAGCGGAAGCTGACATGTCGGTTTTGCCTGGACAAACAGTGGCGGATATTAAGAGTTCCCACTGCAATGATGAAGTTGTGGTACGTACTCCAGCGGCGACGACACATTTGGCTCTGGATGAGCTCCAATCCAGCGATAGTCAAGGGCCAGATCCCCTACCAGAGCTGCAACTATCCTTTCTATGGGCGGCTAAAAGTCCGTTTGAATCATGGTTGATCCGGGATGACGGAAGAGGCCTACCCTTGAAGACTCTTACGCAGCTGAGTGTTGACGGTCGAGAAGCAATGACCAATGGGGATCTAACGAAGGCCATCTCCAAGTTTCGACTCGCACTGAGTGGCCTTCTGTATCTCTTTAAGTCTACTCATCCGCAAGTAGTCGAAACTACCTGGGGCCTCGCCAACGCTTATATACTGGACCGATCTTTCGACAAGGCGGATGAATGTCTCAACTGGATGTCAAACGACTTTACTGCTGATTTAGGTCTCTGGCATCCCCGCAACATAGATTATCATATCCGAGTGGTGGAAACTTTGCAAAAACTTGACCGTGGCGGAGACGCAAGATCAATTGGTTGCCGCTTCTATGAGGCTCTCAAAAATGACAACTCCCATCAGACTGTCCCGGTCGTACAGACTAGGGCATCGGAGGATCCATGCAATATGCCGAAGGGAGACGATATAAATGAGATTTTCACGAAGCACCGCGACAATCATGAACCAAAGGATGACGAAGAGACTCAGATACAGCTCGACCAAGAGATAAAACTGGCAAAACTTTGGTCGCTTGCCGACCTTCCGGGTATGGAAAAGGCCCTGCAAGGCCTTATTGAGCGTTTCAATTCGCTACCATCACCGCTTGCGAGTCAAGGAATTAGAGTTAGATGTGTCTTGATTGGCTGGTATGTTGCTCACGGCGATGCCGATGCCGCTTCTGTGCAATGTAAACTTGCTAGAGATTCCCTCGCAAATTTTGTTCTGGAGCTCAAGACCACGCAACTACAACAGCTCCTTTCCTACTCCTTGGAGCTCTCGGAGGCCCATTCTTTGAATCAAGACGACGCAGGCAGTCGCAGAGTTATAGAGTGGACAACAAATAAGCTACAAGCCATGGTGGTACTGCCTTCCCTCCAAGGATACAACTATACTAATATCCGATGCATTATTGACTACCTGGTTCGTGCTAGCGTGGCCTGCCAAGAGACTGGAGGATGGAATGCGGGCATGGAGTGGGTTGGGAGAGCTTACGGATTGTCAGTGAAGCTTCTGGGGAGATCTGATGCGAGGACAAGTGGGTTAAAGTTAGCACTAATGTGGAAAAGCTGCGAAGGGTATAGGCGCTTGTTTTTAGACACAGGTATCTTGATCTAAACCACTTGAAGCAGGCCCAGCCGTACCTACCAGGATATACAAACCACATACCACTAGTGTAGTTACTCCCGGCAATTACATTGAAGGTTGACCCTATCTTAAGGCTATACCAAAGCTGATGCCTGTCAGACAACCTTACACTATGGCAGGTTGGATTGGCCAATTTCGCTACACCTTTACTTATCTACACCTACTTTCTACCGCAAGATTAACTCTCCCTTTTTAACTAAGTGGGCCACCTATAAGACTCCTCTGCGGAAAGAGGTGTACAAAGTGCTTTTTAATCTTTTCACTCGGCCTTACTGGCAGAGAATGTGGATCTTGCAAGAGGTTGCTATGGCTCGGTCTGACGCACTGGTTCTTTGCGGAAGGCATAGCATAACCTGGAGAGATGTCTACGACGCAGCTCGCACTATTACTCGCGATGAAGGCAGACTCGGTCGCGATATCGTTGCTAGTGTTCGGCCGAGGAGAATCCAGGCTTGGACCTTCGAGTTTGGCAGAAGCAGAGTCATACACGAGAGGCAATGGGCTTCCGAACGGATGTGAGGGCTGCTGGTGGAAATGGCGCAAGTCCAACGCAGTCAAAGGAAACAAGGCAACACCAAACTGGCCGCTGACAAGTTCCGACCGCTTATTCTTGCGAGAGATGCGGCTGTCTCTGAGGAAAAAGACCGCATTTATGGAATCCTCGGGTTCAAGGAGATTTCTGCCAACGTTACCATAAAACCCGATTATAACTTATCACTGCGCAGTATTTACCTCAACTTTTCGGCCAAGATACTAACCACTGGAGATTTAAATATTCTGCGACTGGTCTCGCGAGAATCAGGCTTCATCAGCGCAAGCTGGACTCTGGAGGAACTTCCACCTTCACTGAACCATTCCTGGTTTACCCCAATTGTGGGCCTTCTAATGAACTCAGTCACGGCCGTACACAAAACGACGCGAGTCAACACGGAATGCAGCCATGATCTTCCCAGTTGGGCTGTTTGTTGGGCATGCAAACCTCCTCCCATGGCGCGACTTCACGGCCTATACGAGGCCGGCGGCCCAGGAACCCTTCTAAACGTTTCAAACATCACAGTGTTGACCTGTACGGGATACATATTCGACACCATCGGATCTTTGGGCTCCTTCCATTATCGTGATATGGATAGCGGCTATCCCATCAGCGCCGACCAAACCTCTCGTAACGCGTATGGAGGTCTAGAAGGCACCCGGACCGCTTTGGAAGACCATCGTGGCCGACACTACGGTAAGAGGAGGTGAGCGAGCCCCGGAAGCGTATGCCTGGCTTCTAGATCCTAGAATATGGGCCGATGGCGTCGCGGACGTACGAAACAATGATTTTGGCCTTAAAGACTTAATGGTGCGAAATCACGGGCTTGTTTTATGCGGATACACCCTCCAGGAGCTTATTTTTGGCGCTAAGAAGAAAGCGTTGTGGCGGGAAAAACTCCGTCATGGCCAATACTTCAATCCGACAACCGAGCAGTGTGAGGCATTAAGCTGGGCGGTAAACACCACAGCCTGGAGGAGGTTGATGGGCACGGAAAATGGGCGCATGGGGTTAGGCCCGGCGGCAGCGAGGGTTGGTGATGCGATTGCTATCCTCTTGGGTTGCAGTACACCTATGGTTCTACGCAGAGATCTAGATGGTTGGACGGTCATTGGTGAATGTTATCTCCACGGAGTCATGTATGGAGAGATAAATCAAAGCCTGGATGGCTGCAGTACTATTAAGTTATATTAAGAAGGCCGTTATTTCCTGGCTTTCCATTCTCGGCCCCGAGTCTCGAGATATATTAAATAGGATGCCTTTATTAAGTGCCCAAGGGACTATCGCGTGTTTGTCGTAATTATCAAGATTTACTAAACATCACCAAACCGCAAGATAGACTGAATCGTTGGAAAGTACTTCGTACTTAAGTTTTAAATTTCCGATGCTATTATTAAACAAGAGAACCATGTAGTTTATAACTAGAGAAATGCTACCAAGGTACTGAGCCTTAAACTTAGACGCAGCTCCACTGTCATAGGCCGACCTTTATACAGGCCCTAAAAGCAGTAAAGCACAGCAGAAAGCCATAGCAGGACAGCTGCACACAGCCACCCGACAGATAGCAGGGAAGCAATTAGAGACATAGGAAGTAATCAGTAGCAATCACTCCTATAATTACAGCAATTACTAAATAATTACTTCTAATTAATTAAAAAAGAGCTCTAATTATCTTAGAGAACTTAAAAAAAGATATCTATATAAACTATAAATTCTATTATATATTTAGTTTATTTTTTTAAGATTTTCTAATAATTAATTTAAATATAATTATATATTTATATTTAAATATATACTTTTTATTTATATTTTATAAATATTATTTAATTATTTTACTTTATTATAAATAGATAATTATTTAGAAGAAGAAAAAAAATTAAATAAAAATGACAATAGATAGGAAGAGGAAACAAGATACCAAACAGGAATAGAATTTGTATTTTGAAATAAAAAGGACGCAAAAAAAAAGGACAGTGTTGATTCGGCCCGGGCTCGATCCGGGGACCTCTTGTGTCCAGCACCTTGTAGATGTTAGACAAGCGTGATAACCAACTACACCACCGAACCAATGATTTTTCTTAAATACGCCAGCTCTGCCGGTGGTTAAGTTGCGTTGCTCCGAGAGCGTTCTGTACACTAACGCTAAAGGGAGACGACCCACTGCGACTTGGCGATGCGTCCACTGCAATGAGTTGGTGACTACCTCCGCTATGGAATAAGACGGCTGAAGGACCAGGAATGTAGCGGCAATGAATGGAATTCGAACTACTTGAACCGAAGAGAAACATTGACAAACGAACCAAAGAAACAAAGGAAAAGCAACGACAGGCGGTTGTCAAGGTCCTATATAAAACAAGATCTGGGCCTCAATGATACGTAGACAATATGGCAGATATGAAAGACATTCAAGGAAAACATGGCCCAATCAACACATACAGCCCTTGGAAAACGGGGCCTCAACACTCAAAGTAACAAGTCATACCCCTCGTCTGTGTCGTTCTAGTTAGCGTCGAACTTTATGTGGAATGCAGGGAACGGAATCGAAGACAAAAAAGAGGACGAAAACACTTACAGCAACGGCAAACTTGTCCTCGGTAAGGAACTGCCTCTTCTTCTTGGAAATAATGACATTGCCGCAGTCGACGTCCACATCTCCCTCCCAATCATTTGTCTGACAGAATGCGCTCGATTGCACATCGCCATCCATGCTGGTCCAGCTGAGCCCGCCGTAGTTGAAATTCACGCTGTCTTTCCCATCCGCGGCGATGCTGAGCTCGGCACCATTTAGCCCGGGAACCTTGAGGGGTGATCCCCCGGAGATGACGGCCTCGTTGGGGTCCTCGCGGCTGGCGGCGTCGATGCGTAGCCCTCCAGCGTCGCGAAGGTCCACGGTCACCTTGAACTCCATGTCCTTCTGACAGGTCCTGTACTCATTGAGGTAAAGACTACACTGATTCTTAGGGGCGGACTGGGTTGGGGGCGCCGGAGCAGGGCCGTTAACCTGTTTGAACTTGGCAATGAGGGCGTGCATGATAGCCGTGTGGCCAATGCTTCGAGGATGGAACGTCTTGGCCCATCGAGTGGGGATGTTGGCGTCGATTTCGGTCCCGCGAACTTCGTCCTTGTATCGAGCAGCGAGGCAGAACCACCTGAACATAATGGGATCCCCGCCGTCATCATCCGTCTCGCAGGTCTCCGGGTTTGGCAGGTCGCCAGTGTACTCATCAGTCTAAATAGGTATGAGTCCGTTAGCTTCAACATTCTACCAAGGCTAGCTTGTTTTTTTCTTGGTAAGAAACTCACGTCCGGGACAATATCCACTTTATATGCGTCAAAGGCAGCCTCGTTATCATAGGCAGGTGGAGGCACTGAAGGGTCCGAGGCGACGACGTCAGGCCAAGCACTCAGGAAGAACCATTCTCGAGGGTTCTTAGAGTCGGGCTCCTGAACTCCCTCCTCACACCAGCGGCGGCCTTCGAAAACGGCATCGGTGTCAACAAAATATATGCGATCCTTGGACCCGCCGATTTCGGTATTGACCACCTTGATCACATCCTGGATAAGGGCGTTGGCCTGCAGAGTGTATGTGTTGAGGCCGTTTCGGAAATCCCGAGTTAGGAAGATGCACTCTTTGCACTTGGACGTGTCATCGTAGTGCATCGGGTTCCAAAAGCTGAAGGTGACCTTGTCGCAGTATTCGGTGTAATCGTTGAAGAACCTGGGGTACCCCGTGACGTAAAGTTGGAAATCCGGGTTCGTTGCCTTTGCGAGGAGGGCCTTGTAAGTTGCCCCGAGTTTCTCCCGGAACGAGCCCGGCCCGGTGTCCGTGAGCTTCTTCTCCAAGGCGGCCCTGGTGTCTTTGCATTCCTGGACGTACTTCTTTCTGTTGAAAGGTGTGACGATGCACTTTTCCACCAGGTCGGCAAAGTTGAGATCGTTTCCGCCAACGGAAAGCGTGGCGAGGGTGGCGCTTCCGGAATCTTTCCAGTCATTGATACGCTTGTTTGCGCCATCCGTAGTGTCGCCGGAGCAGTAATTGTCGCCGAAGGTGTGATCCACGTGTACAACACTGGTCGTGTGGAGGCTCAACTGACGGCCGAAGCTACCGGTTCCTTTGCGGCATGAGCTCGCCGGCCAGGGACTCCAAGAGGTCGAGCCGGCGCCCATGCCCGCGGCGTAGGAGTCGCCGAAGGCGGCATATTGCGCGCCCTGCTTGATGGGCCAGAAATCCCTGTCGTCTCGTGCGAGAAGCTGGAACGGATGGGGGGAAACAGATCCAATCAACAGGCCAAGAGTTGCCATCTTGCCCCAGAGGGAGAGGGGGTCTTGACCGCCGGGTCTCATGTTTGCGGTAGTGAGAAGCGAGGGGTGTAAAGTGAACTGAGAATGTAAGTGAAAAGGAAATGACTTGCTTGCTACGTTCTCAATGGCGTTGTCCAAACTATCTCGAGATTCACGATGCACGGCGAGAAGAACTGCAATATTTATATTCTATTCCGACGGTCGTTCTCTCTCTATCTCTCTATCTCTCTCTTCGTCTGTCTTTCCATCCCAATTTCTCACATCCGATCTCGCAGCCTCATTAAGCCTACATCTCCAATACCCCTTTGCTGAGCCCTCCATCTGATGAGAAAACAGCCCCCCCACCTCCTCGCGAATCCTCCACATCCTCATCAATCACGGTCACTTCGGTCGGAATAGTTCTGTCCGGAGAATGACGCCTCTTGACTGCAGAAGGATGGGTGGCATGGCCCCTCGATGGAGGCGAGGCTGATTACTCGATATAGATCTTTGGGAAGCGCGCTAGAATAGACGCAAGTCCATCGAGTGTGCCTCGTCGACGAAAAAATGTGGTTGATTCAGCCGCCAGGAGCTCTCGGTTAGGCAAAATGAATGCGTTGCGCGGATAAGAAGAGTGGCAAGTTGGCAACCATATGGGGCTCTCCCCCTTTACAAAATTCGACAGGATGCCAGTCTGCTAGCCGAGGACTGCGTCTGACAGACGTGGGAACTCGGTTACATTTCTAAATGGGGTCCCACCCTTGCGTCAGACGGCTTTGTGAGCCTCATTTGCCCTCCGGGTTCCATAGAGCCATATGTGGAGTAGCCGGGTCGACATCAACCCCCTGAGTCAAGCCACGATTTGGCGCCGGAGTAATTGCCGAGTTATATTTTAAGGGCGGCGCAACAGGATGATCCCCTTGGGGGCAGCTTGGGGGCCGCTTAGGGAGGCCCTGAAGGAAGATGGGGGCCGGATCCTCGCTATTTCACGCGCATCTGCGCCTCGTTATCTATAAATGAAGTACATATGGTGGCTTCGCTGGGCTGAAGGCCATTCGCTAAGTTTATTTTAGGCTCCTACGTTATCTGCAGCCCACGGCACAGTTGGATGTGCCGTCTGGGGGCCGGATCCTGGATCCCATCTGTTTCATGCACACCTGCGCCTCGTGATCTGTGTAACCAACGGCAATATATCCCCACATATATGTTCCCCTCACCTTATTTTTAGGCTCCGAGATTATTTTACCTATTTCATCGCCGCCCCCCAGCCAGGAGGCCAACTCAAATAGAAATCTCACGTCGACTTCACTAGTTACCTCTCGTCGAGACAGGTGAAGGGATAGAATAACGTTGACGCCTGCTTCCCCACCCTCCAATTCTTCCCTTTCCATATTTTGCTCCCTTCCTTACCCGCAGCTCGTCCTCCAAGACATCTGATCTAACAACACGACTGCACTACTGGCAACTAAAGCGAAAAACGAAAAAACAATTGGCGAAATCAGTATTAACCACCGCCATGGGCGTTTTAACTATACTGGATAATATCATCCGAGCGTGCGTCTCCTACTCCTCTCTCTCATCCACCTTCCTTTCCCGCGTGCTCTTTTGATAATCGGGCATCATATGATTCGTCCCAATTGGTGTTCTGCTAGCTAACATTCGAGAGGTAACAGGGCAATCCTCGTCGCAAGCATTTTCTCGTTTTATCCACAGATCAACAAGATCGTTTCGACCGACAATGCCGGGGGTATATCTCTTTTTTACCTCCTGTTCGGTACAACGTCCGCCATGGAGCAGCTTACGCTGTATTTGGGTCACTTCCTCTTCCACGAGTCTTTTCCCGACAGTGAGGTGAACACGCCGCCAAGCGTGGGCGACTGGCTGAATTTCTTCCAAATCTGGGTCCTCCTTTTTGGGAGCACAACAACGTAAGTGACCATTACACCATTACATTACGCGTGACTCGTCGGTCTATCTTCATATTTTTGTTAACCTCTCGTCAACCCCATCAATAGATTCGCAGTTGCAATCTGGCATCCGCCCAGCCGTGCAATCGAAAAATCTATTGTCATTCTCGCCTATATTGCCTGCGCCTACGGTTCCTTCCTCCCGATCATCCCGTACTTTTGGAAGCCTAAGTCCGGAACAGGCCAACTCGGCCCTGATATGTTCCTCGCAGCGCACGCTCACTGCGTGAACTGGTTCGTCACTGCCGGTATCTTTCCACTGTCGCTTCTCTTCGAGTGGTTTGCTCTACGGGGCCATCCCGTTCCTGGCGGCTTAAGCATCAAGGGACTGGCCATCCAGGCGGTGGTGTTTATTTTGATGGGTATCTCCTGGACTTGGAGGATGACAATCAACGATGTGACCTGGGTGGAGTGGTACGAGTTCGTCGGCTATCCCGCCGTGGATAATTTCCTATTCGGCGTGGTTCAGGCTCTCTTGTTGGCGTACGTAACTTGGTGGAGGGCTCCGAATGCGGAGGGAGCAGCACAGGAACACGGGGCTCCAGGCGAGACTAGCCCCCTCCTTCCTAACTGAGTCTTCATGGCTGGCCATAGCTTTATCGCTTCAGGTCGGGGTATCGCTTATAAACGGGATTTTGGGAGGAATCAATGGAGCATTGCTCGGACTGTGCCGTATAGGTTACTATTATAGGGTAGATTGGTTGCTAAGTGAATACTAACGACGTGTTGCTCTGTGTGGCGTATGAGTGAATCTATCGTGGAAAAGACAATCTAGTTTCTACTATATGCCGAGAGCCTAGGCCGAAGCCGGCCGAAGCATCATCATTACCTCCGGCTTGGTTAGTATTAGCTTTCAACTCGAAGACAGGAACAGGGGGCTCCGTGAGATCGTTTTAGCAGTCCGAATTCGGATGTGCAAATGTTGCGCTCCCCCACGCGTTGTAATTGAGGATCTTACGAAGAGGAATAGCAACAAAGCATCTCGGTAACCACTCGTTCTCGCAAGTCCTTGATCTCGATCGGAACATCCGAGCGCACACGGAAACCCTTTCTACAAGGTGAGTCGCCGGGTAACTGTGCAGCTTGAAGAATATGCTAGCTTCGCATCGGGATCGAGAATTCCAAGAAAGAGGGCACAGTTACCACTAATTATGAAGAGGGCACCCTTTGTGGTACGAACTGAACACTGCTCCTCGGCGAACATGTCTACTAGGCTCTCCAAGGTGAGGCAGGTGCCAGGAGTTAGACTAATATCAACTTGATAAAACTGTGGCTTTAATCCCGCCCATCCTGTTCTGCGGGTTCAGTCGTGACCGAGCTACGATTCATAACACTTCTCCCGACCGCTGTTTTGCTGTTTTGCTGTTTTGCTGTTTTGCTGTGCCGAGAATAAGCGTCCGCGCTGGCTCAAGGATGGGACGCATCAAAACTTTGTATGACGCACAAGATGAAATGTTAACAATGATTCTAAGGGGCTCATTGCCGTCTAGCGATAGAATTTAGTTAATAGAGGAATGGAGGATAAGTGTGAGGCTGCTTGTGAAGTGTGATATGTCTAATATCTCTCAGTGAGTGAATGACAATTTTGGCGGCGGTGAAGAGAGCATCAGAGAATGTCACGTGATTACGTGATTAACTTTAACACTCGAAAGGTCGCGGGTGTTTTACGTACGAGGGGTACAATGGTACAAGCCACTTTAACCCCACCAACGTATCATTGATGAATTGATCTCAATCAATTGAGTCAACTCTGCCCAGCTCCTATTCACCAAGTTCCAAGTCATTCATCGCCGGACCTTTGACACTCGCCCCCTACAATTCACACAAAGCAAGACCAGTTGAGATCAGTTGATACGTCACAGCCGCGAAAATGACTCCCTCGCTCCAAGACGCCAAGATCTGCTTCATTGGCGGCGGAAACATGGCCGCCGCCATCATCGGGGGTCTCCTCTCCAAGGACATCTCGAAGCAGAACATCTTCGTCTCCGAGCCCTGGGATGTGAACCGCGAAAAGATGGCCGCCATCGGCGTGCGCACCACAATCTCCAACGAGGAGGCTTCTGGCGACGCCGACCTCGTCATCCTCGCCGTCAAGCCCCAAGTCACCAAGGTCGTCTGCGAGGAGCTCGGTGCCGCCTGGGCCAAGCGCGAGAGTCTTCCCCTTGTCATCTCCATCTCTGCAGGCATCACCCTGGCGAGTCTTGCTGCGTGGTTTACGCAAAACGGTCGCGCTCCTCACATCGTGCGCGTCATGCCCAACACCCCCGCTCTGGTCGGTGAGGGAGCTTCGGGAGTCTACGCTGGCGAGGGCGTAACGGAGGCTGAGAGGAGCTTGACCTCTGCTCTCCTGGGAAGCGTTAGCAAGGCCACTGAGTGGGTAGATAAGGAGGAGCTGCTCGATGTTGTCACTGGTCTTTCTGGTAAAATATCTCATAACCATCCTCCGCACTGTAAAATTACTTCAAACTGACAGACTGAATTAGGCTCCGGTCCCGCCTACTTCTTTGCCTTCGTCGAGCACCTCATCGCCAGCGCCACCAGCCTAGGTCTCTCCGAGGAACAGGCTACCCGCCTTGCTAAGCAGACCTGCTACGGAGCCGGCAAGATGCTGGTCGAATCGTCAGATGAGCCTGCCCAGCTACGAAAAAACGTCACCAGCCCCAACGGTACCACTTACGCCGCCCTGGTAAGCTTTGAGAACGCCGGCCTGAAAGATATTGTGGATGGTGCGGTCAAGGCCGCTACGGTCCGGGCTGAGGAGCTTGGGAAGAACTAAATACCCGGAGCGTGTGTCATCTATCATCCTATAGAGTCAGTTGATCTGGAGAGCTGAAGGCAAAAAGTAATCATTGCATAATACACTACTTCGCCTCGTTCAGCTGGTGCTGGTGGTGTGTCATGATGAATTCCTGCGTTGAGAAAGGCCCATCCACTGCGAAGCAGCACGTAAGCCCAGGCAAACACCGCATGGTACTGCTTCGCAGGGGTCAATACTATAGCAACGTGAGGCAGAGTTCCTCGTGTGCTTGAGGTTTGCTACCACATCTGCTGTGCCTGTCTCCTAAAACTAGGGCTTCTGGTCGTGCATCGCTTCTGGTTAATCGCATCGGACAGTTCCCTGGCTGTGCGATTCAATACAGATCATTTATTAAGTGTGCAGCTGTTGTTAAAATGTCGAGGTTTTAATAAGAAATGGGAAAAAAGAAAACAAAACCAAAAAGAAAAGAAAAAGAGAAAGGCCGGATTAATACCTGTGTACGGATCCTGGAAAAAGGACGACAAAAAAGAGGGGGCAGAAAAAAAATCGATGGAAAAAAAGAGTGTGATAAGAGTGAGATTCGAACTCACGCCCAGTTTCCTGGACCAGGAATTTACTTGTTAAGGTAACCTTAACCTGGCGCCTTAGACCGCTCGGCCATCTTACCGCTAGTGGTTGTTGACACCAACCCGTAGGACGATCCAAGTTGTCTGGGTGGAAGCTGGGCGAACTAGCTCAGGCGGCGTTGAAGACCACATCCGTCGCTTCGAGGGGCATGTTTTGAAGAGTTGCCAAAAAAGGCCAGAACTGCATTCGATCAGACAATGCCGGATTTCTGAAATCAAGGGTTTTGATTTTCTTTCATTTTTTTTTTTTTTTGTATTTTTTTTTATTGTTAGCAGGATTTGTTGTTGTTGGGCCAAGTTGTTAGAGTGAATCCAGCGTGAAGGTCCAAAATGCAAAGTGATGGTCAGCGTAAGCTTTTTGACTCTCCCCTCTTCCATTCTCGTCTGTGCCAAGCACTCAACCGGGAACTTGGCTGATGTGGCTTGGTCCAAGTCCAGCACAGCGACACTTCCCTGGACGAAGAGAGAAAAAGTTGAAGTGGAAAAAAGGCGGGATGGTCGGGTCAGAATCCTATCAGTGTATTGACCATTAGCAATGCTCATCTCTCACAGGGATTGTGAGTGTTAGATCAAAGCTGAAGCTCCCCTTGACCAGGGTTCCCTGCAAGTACTATCCCATACTAATTTCTAGGTGTGTTGACCTTCGGGCTCTCCTTGATGAGGCGAGACAACCAAGTTTGCCTATTTGCCAGAGACCAGGCTCGCCTTGATAATATTGAATCCCTTTGGGCGCCAAATGTAGAACCTCAACTTCCCTTATTCCATAGACGAACGTTTCGAGTCGTGAAGTCCAACAAGGCTAATCCAATGCCTGCCCGGCCTCGATTATTTCCCAGTCGTTCTGCAATCGAACCCTATGACAAGAATTGATGGGTAGCCGCCGTTTTAAGAAGTCTGTGCCGGCCGACGCGCAATGGCATCCCCGCCCCTTGGTTCCGAAATACTTTCGCCCGCGAGTGGATCGAACCCAGCGGCGGAAGCTAGGCCCACAAGCTCGGATCACGTTCCGGACCACATCCGTCGCTTCGAAGCCGCAAGGAACGCCTTCCTGGCGTCACTGTCACCACAGGATCGGTCCCTGTACTCTCCCTGCGCGTCTTTTGACGAGTTGTCCAAAACGGTCGGGGAATTACATTTGATCAAGGAGCGCAAGATTGTCGGGACCAGACTTTTTCAAGTGCTTGGGAAGATTCACGATACCCTTGAGCCATATTTCAAGGTAGTAGGAATCTTCGTTTCTTCTAGGCCGGAATGGGCTGCCCTCGCTTGGGGCGCTATTCGCCTTGTTTTACAGGTTAGTCTGTTCCACGACCCGTCCGCCCTATCTGGAGAAGCTGAAGGGACGGCAGAGAGGTCTAAAACGGTGAGCATTATTAGTTGGCGTCGAATTTCGTGACCTTTTTCGACAAGTTTGTCTCGGTCTTTGAGGAGCTCTCGTTCGCCTTTCGGCAGTTTGAGGAAGTATTCCGGCTCTGCACAGGAGATGCGGGCCTCCGCCAGTCGCAGATCCCCAGGATCCTAGAAGCCATCTACACCGATATCCTGGAGATATTTAAAGGTGCTATCCGAGTGTTTACACGGGGTGATGGAAGTATGGCCCCCTGTGGACCCTTGCGATTTTGTGCTTCGGAAGTTCAGTCTAACCCGGCTCGTCGCAGGGATAAGAAGAACTCCCGAGGTCATCGGCCGCTTGATGTGGAAGCCGTTTCATAGTCGATTCCAGGACCAACTGGGAAATTTATCCTCCCACCGCACCAATTTGTTCGAAGAAATAAGTATTTGGCACGTCCAGGAATCGAACCGAGAAATGGCACGAAATGCTGCCATGCAAAACGACTTCCGACGCTATCGAGATCTCAACACGGAAGAAATGGAGAAGGCGAGAGAAGAACGCCGCCTTGCCCAAGAGGAGCGAAGGTTGATGGCCTTGGACAGACGACAAGCTGCCGATGACAGACAACAGACACAGGCCTCGTTGGCAGAAATCCGAAGGGCGTTGAAACAATTGGAATCTGAACGCATGGGTAAGGAAATGGCTTTTCTGTCAGCGTTTCGATAGGTCTCTCTGACTTCTCCCATAGATAGGGTCTACCTAGACGTCTTGATGTGGGTGTCCGCACCTATTTTTGTCGACGCGATCGATCTGGCCCGGAATTTGCGACAACAGGAGACTGCAACCTGGATTCTAGAGGAATTGCAATACAAGAAATGGCTACTTGACGACCTTGAGGCCGCCGTGCACGGTGGCGGCTTTGGTTCGAGTGTGCTATGGATACATGGTATGAGTTCCCATGTGCTGTTCTTCTCCCTCAGCCCTCTTTCTGATCTCGTCCACTGCAGCAAATCCAGGATCCGGTAAAACAGTATTAGCATCCTCTATTATCGACAACCTAGAAAGTCAACAGTATATGCTACCGGAATGTGACCGCAAAGAGATCTACTACTACTTCTTCGAGTGGAAGTCCACGTCCAACGATTCGGCTTCTTCCGCGTACCGCTCCATTCTGGCCCAGGTATTGTCCAAGCATGGTGGCAAGGGGGAAGTGTTGGATAAGTTTTCATTTGCCATGGATGACCCCCGAAGGAATCCCGGCCAACCCAAGGCCGGCAAGTCGATCCTTGTTGATCTGCTCAGAGTCTGCCTGCCCCGCGATTCGATTCTGATCCTGGATGGTATTGATGAGTGTGTCGATTGTGATGATTTCCTCACCTCCCTTGTCAACATATGGAAGACGTGCTCCCCACATATTCTCTTGTTGAGTCGAACCAACGTTGCAAAACTCCAGCGAAGCATCCCGGAGGGAAATCGGTTGGGCATCCCCAAAGAAAAAATATCGAGGGACATCCGGCTGTTTAGTGAACATCAGCTCGACCTCCTATTCGATGAGGGCATCCTACCGACCTCCGCTCACGCCCAGAAAGAAAACATGTTAGAGCGCATGGTCCGCGGGGCGGATGGCATGTTTCTTTGGGCGCGGCTAATGATCAACTTTCTTCGATCACCGTATATCGATACCAGCCAGCGACTACGTGTCCTTAGTGAGATCAACACTCCCGAGGGTTTGGAGACCATGTATCGCCGCATCGCCAAACTCATCACAAACTCGGGAAAGTTCGCAGAGACACTGGCATCCAAAGTGCTTATGCGGCTCATATACGCCGCAGTCCCCATCTCGTCCCGTCAACTACGCCAAACCCTGGTTGTTGACGAGGTTCTGCAGCCGTATCGTGACCCCATGTGCATCAAGGAGTTTGAAGACTGCACGATCATGGCGTGCGCTGGGCTGGTAGAGCGCACCGTCCTCTCCGGAGGGCTGCCTTTCCTCGACAAGGAGCCAGCATTACAAGTCATCCACCTTTCGGTCAACGAGACATTGATGAAGCATCATTCAACGTCGTGCATCCAATGGAGGACTTCGACTCCGCATTCCCAACTCATACTCGACCCCGTCCTTGGCAGCCTAGATTACGCCACGAATTGTGTCAAACAGCTCTTATTCCACACGCCTCCGCAACCTCTATCGGGAACGCTTGGTCGAAGTATCCGCGCTGCGCACTTGTACGACACTTTCTGCTTCACTGACTATGCTGCCGTCAGCTGGCTACTGCACGTTCGCAGTTTCGTCAACTCAGTGAATGAACACCGCTTGATTCGTGGATCATTATCACAGGATTTCCTAGACTGCTTTTCGGAGTTTTCTTCACGCCTTCTTATTTTCTTGCGAAACCCCAAAGCAGTGTCAGTGTGGCTGGAAGCCTTTTACAGTTCCGGATATATAAACGTCCACCATCCACCTAGTGATGCGCTCTGTTCCTTGGCTGCCTGGGCAAAAGACTGGGCACAAAAGTCCATCGCCGAGGGCGCAGGACTGCCCATCGATACTTCCCTCATTGAGCAGATCGAAGGCTTCAAGACTGAGGTAGACCAGGTAGTGAAAATATGGCGCGACTCCTTACGCGATGCTCCGCACATAGTCTGGGATGAGATGACAGGGTTTTTGAGTGGCAATCACTACTTCTGGTCATCTCAGAGCACTAAAGTGTCGTACCAGAACGCTGCAGTTCCCCTGTCTTGCGCTCCCTTCCAGGAGCCTGTCGCGAGTTTGTCAAGGACTTCTGACTCGGGCGAAATGAAGGCTACGTTAAACATCTGGGCCAACCAGTGAGTAAATCCCAGGGCAACAGTAATTCCAGTTATTGGGGGCTAATAACGGACCTGGGTAGACACTTCCACGATCCGGCATATAAAGAAAAGGTTCTGAATGCGACCTCGGGTTTCGATCTGACTGAGCTTTGCTCAGGATGGTTGGCAACCTACGAGGTATGGGCACTTCAGCCTGAATCGATCAGGCTGGCCAGCGCCCAAATTTCCATCCCTCCGCGGGAAATGCTCATCCCGATCCGAAGCTATCTTTATTACCGCTATTCTACGGAGATCAACTTGCCCATGGCGATTAGCGCCGAAGTCGATGCATTCTCCATACTAGAAACTCTATTTTCTATCGATTCAAAGGCAAATCGGTCTCGGCCAAGATGCCTGCGATGCATACTACCCATACGGGAACCAGCCTCCAGAGATTTCTTCTGGGCTGCTCTGACCGGCCCATGTTATCAACGACGGCAAGCTATTTACTCGGTGGCTTTCTCCAAAAACAAAAAGGATTTGGCTGTCCTAGAGTGGGACAACTCTGGTGAACAGCACATTACGGTCTATCGATATAAACATGCCTACGACCTTTGCTTGTTGGAACGAGGCACTATTCTCCTTCAGTTCGGAATTCGGAAAGTAGCGCGCGTCTTATTCCACCCCAACCGCGAGATATTAGCATTCTGTGCCCACTCCACTCGGGGTAACCCATGGCAGAATGCCGCTTTCATTTGGGCTTATGGGAAAGGTACGTAATTGACCGTATTTGGGCAGTTAATGGTAGTGGCCAAGCTTTCTCACAAGCATCCTCAGGTTCACCAATAATTATTCACTTGGAGCGGGGCAACATCTTCGAGGCGATGGACTTCTCTGCTTGTGGGTCTTTTTTTGTCGCCCGTTATAAGCTCGCGGACAGCCCCGTCGTCGTTCCGATACCACAAGAGCTCTTGAATCGCACAGAACCTTCTCCTGCTCGATTTGTTCAGCATGAAATGTCACTGGTTGAAGCGCCGCTCAGCGCCAACAGTCTATCGTATCTTGCCTCTGGGGCCTCAAGCTCGTCTCAGCTCTGGCATGTCGATCGCGGCGGAAGCATCTCAAGTCTAACTGTCGAGGCATCAGCAAGCGGCATTTCCCTGACTGGAAGATCTGATCGGAGAACTGAGACCGCAAAACTGGTTACATTGCCCGGATGGTCGGGGGTGAGCGAGACGAGACAACGGATCATTCTCCCCAAGTTTCAGGGAGACAGTTTGAAAATCAGCTTGGATGTAGATAGTCAGAGCCTCGACACCTCTTCAGCGTATCAGTTGGCGAAGGCGGGGGAAAACGTCCCCCCAGCCGTAATCTACAGGGACCCCAGATTTATCATGTCAGGCGGGCGCTTGACGGGGCTGCCTGACGCAGCTGAAGGCCCTCGGACGCACGATCCAAGAGGGCTTTTAGGGAAAAGAAGGCCTCTAACGGCGGACGCTGAGAAGACATCAGACGAAGGATTCTCAAAACGCCCGAGGCAATTATAAAAATGAGCTTGGAATAACTGCGCGTTACTCTGGGCGCATGCTTACCAGAATACTTGATAGAAAAAAAACTGTGTAAAGCCGCCAGAATTTTATCGAAATGGTAGACGTTGAAAGCACCATTGTAATAGCGTTAACTTCCTTAGGCCTTATGGAGCGAAAGAGCAAGTACCCAAAGTGTGTCGACTGCTAATCCCCATGATATGCTCCTGCTTGAAGAGTATAGCGGTGGCGTTTAATATGCGGATCCGTGTGAGCTTGACAACCTTCGGAGCGCAGAGCAACTGAAACCACGTGGCCTTGATCAAATACCGTCCAAATACATATCAGGGGAGGAGGGCTTGGCCTTTGCAGAATAACAATATCACGACGGACGGCGAAGACGTATCCGAGGAGATGGAGTCCCAGATATTGAGGATGGGACCGGGCCAGCGGTCATGGCCGCTGCAAAAAGGGCAAATGTCGAGGTACCCCGCTGGCCCGCCCATCGACAATTTGCCAGCAACGCATCGTGGGGTCACTCCACGGATCGACACCATGCACTGCCTCGCCGTTGTCAGCGTGCCATTGGGCGACCCTCCAAGGACCACGGCGTGCTATCCGCACTGCGTTTAGTACAGGACATGCGAGTCCACTCACTTGCCAAGCTGTTCTCGACACGAGCTTACCTGGTTGTCGGGTCCAGGAACCCTCTCACAGGCAGGCTATCTTGTGGGTCTTGGATGCCTGGAATCCAGGAGACTGAGGGACGGCAGGAGACGCGAAGCATTTATACGTCTTCGAGACTGCAGGAAATCTTATTTCTACGTGTACAACTCGTTTCCGAGCGGATCTGAGCTTTCTGTGCCCAAGCTCAATCAGCATCCATTACCGTTCTTCCTTCATCTTTCTCATAGAGTCGGCGAGGCGGTCAAAGTATCCTCGTTGATTAACATTTGCCGTTCCCCAGTTTCCTGGCATCGAGTATTTGAGGGCGGCGGGAGAGTCGAGCTGTTTGGAGAATGCCACCAGAGTTTCTGCGATGGCAGCACCTGGCACGATCCTGAATCTCGACCGAATCCTAACTATCTTACGGGTCGACGTAAGCTAAGAAAGGCGGAAATTCAAAGGGATGTAAATTAAAGGCAGGGGCTCGGATGGCGGGTGGTTCAGCAAAAGCCCACTCGTGACAAGAATCAACGAGCGTCAAGGCAAATCTCGAGAGACATCCGAGATGAACTGAGGTTCCCCCATGGCGTCGCTACAACGCATGATGCATGGACTGCCACCCTTTCTCTCGAGAGCCAAGTCCGCTAAATAATTCCGAAGAGATCGTCCGCGAATAGTGGATCATTGAGTATGCAAATCGAAAATAAAAATTGTTTTTAAAAAAAGAAGGAAGGCGAAAATAAACGTAAAGAAGAGAAGAAAATCTGGACGTGTTGTTTACTGGGTTCAATTTCGGGCCTCTGACCGCACCTTCGGAACTGTCAAGCAAAGGCCGACTGAAACTGTAACTCTTCTCCCGAGGACTTCCGGTTGGGGAAGAGACAGAAGCACGCACTTCTTGGTGTGCCACCGACTAGAAGGAGACAGCCCGAGCCTAACGCCGAACTAGGCCATTTCTTCCGAGGACTGGACCTCGCCCTGTCGACCAAAAATCACCTAGTCCCCGTCTACTATGCCAAAGCGGAAACAGAAGGGCCAAACCTAGTTCCAACGTCTTCTCAGAAGGAGGGGACCGCACGAAGAGAGAAAAGCGGAGTTACCTCTGCTGTACAAATAACGTTTCGGATGGCTGCATCGGGCACTGAGTTGGGTGGTTTGTGCTGCACAGAGGGAGACTTTTACCTTCAAGAAAAATCTTGGCGGAATATATTCCACTGTTTACGCCGTTTCTCGTCGCTGATTGCCTGTAAATGGAAGAAGAGCGACGTCGGAGCGACCCCGGGCATCAAGTGTCACCACACCACATTGAGGTAAAATATGATGGTGAGATGTGCCAGTCGTTGCCAAAGGTGGACTACTCCTGCGACGCAGCACGACTTGTTAAGCAAAACATGATTCGATTGCGTAATCCATTTATAATGACAGATGGACTGCTCCCATGCAACCTCGCGAACTAGGGTCGAGGGTCGAGAATGCAGTGCCCGAGTCCAGAGTTGAGAGCCGAGCTCGAGCGGGGGAAGAGTCTCGTCTCCCGATGGAAGCCCTACGACGGACCAGGAGAGTTTACGAAGCAGTGTACAAAGTACACCACTAAACCCGATGAAATACTTGGGAGGGAGGGGGGATATCCCACGTTCTGCACCCTTGGCATCATCTAAAGCCTCGAGATTCACGGTTCCGCTATTGTGCAGTGGATCGACCAGTCCCAAAGCTCTAATGCAGTTGAACTAGAAAACAACTACCACTCACCTGGCAGTGGTGATCGTATGGAGTCTCCAAGGACGGAAATGGTGCTATCAAGAAAATTCCCATCGAAGAAAGGAAAGAAAACTGGGCCAACGCCCGGTCTCCCCCGATGTTTTTGGGACAAATGACGCGTGGAGAAAATTGATGAAAAATTTTTATCAGATCTGATTTGATCAATCTGATAATCGTGACCCCCACAGCTCATGTCCTATTCGGTCGTAGTGTCATTCCACTGACCAGGGTATAGCTGTGATGGAGGGAAGAGAAGAGGGGGAAGAGCGTGTTTGACTGCTGCGCACATCCCGTCATTTGCAAGGGTAAAGAGAGCAGATTGGTCGATTTTTAACGTAACACACTCGCATGCCCACCAAGGACGAAGGAGTGCAGGTACGAGGGATGGGAGGGATGCCGTGGGATTCGTTGACATTGATACTCACGCAAGACCTGCTTCCGTCTTTCTTTCTCATGTTCCTCTTGTTATGAGGGTACAGGGCTCTCCGCGAATACAACAGGTAGTGCTACTTCGTAGTCGATGCCTTCTTTTCATCTTCCGCGTGCTTGTCGTGCTTGTTCCTGCCATCATGTTGCATCAGCCAAGCCCGGCCAATAAACCAGGGTGTCAAGGTGCATCCCTCAGCGGTCGAGATGCCTTATTTGGACGGGAAGACATGGTGTGTTTCGGCAATAGGGAAAAGGGAAGGGAACGAGCAAAAAAAGAAGAGCGGCAAAATACCGACGCGGCCTTCCCCTCCTTTGCATCGCTGCATGACACTGGACTGGGACTCTGATTCAATCTTTGGCTTTAGACCTGCTCTGCCTGCTTTTTTCTACCTTCCAGTGGGCTGGGAATCAAGCCAAAGTTTTAGTATGATTTTTGATATATTTCTACTTCGTACTTCGGAGACCGTTGGTTTTCCAGTCACATTGCGCGGTCGTCCCACGCTCTGCTGCATCGAGCTATCGCTTCATACCATCAGATAGATGAAATCTTTTGCTTCCTAACCACCTGATCTCATCTGTCGACCTGCATCCTTGAGCAATGTCCATGCGTTGAACCCTATCGACTAATGCCAATGTCGGCATTGGTCGGGAAATGGCGCCTCCCCCATCCTGCCGCTGCATCACCAACAAGCTCAGCCCAGGTGCTGGAGTTGGTGGCGTCTGTGAGCTAAGTTTATGATGCTAGTAACGGCAAGGCTCTGTTCATCCATGTCCTCACCCCATTCTCGCACACACCCATTTCGAGGCTCCCGTCTTGGTGACCCGATTTCTACAGTGCCCACACCTTGGCGCCCGAGCTCCTTTAATCTCGCCCCTGCTAGTGGACTAGTCCAGTAGCTTACTTGGGCAGCTCCAAGCTATGCCCTGCTTCCCACTTTTTTCCCATTCACGTCTTCTTACCGCGTTAGTGTATTAGCTCGTCCTGATCATGTGCTGCTAAGAAACAAAAACGGCTTGGTTTCTTCCCTGGGCGGCGCCAGCAACCACGCCATGCACGCCCAAAACTGCCGGGGCCATAGGCCGCAAATAGCAGATTAGCGTGCAGATCCCCGAAACCGGAAGCCCATCCACCTCTGATCCAGGCAAAAGTAAACTCGGGGTGGGCCACGCTAATGTAGCTCACCTTGCCCGGTCACGACCGATGAGCTCTGTGCCTCCACGCCAGCATTCGTCCCAAGCCCGTGTTTAGCTTTTGTGTGTCCCACGAAATATGGGTACTTGGTAAGAATTATTAGGCCATCCATTACTTGTAGATTGATACATTCTATTGCCTGTGGAACGACTGAGGAACAAGCTTAATTGTTAGCGAATGCAAACCCACCGTCGACTGCCTCTCAGTCCTAATGCCCGCGATATCTGGCTCTCCTTCCTCTTTCCTCTTTGCCTCCCAGCCTGATTTATACACTGGTGTGGGCGCAGGTGCTGGGCCTAAGCTTCTCAAGTTATGGCCAACTAAACCTGTAGTACAAACAGACCAGACTACGAACCTTCCGAGCAAGCTCCGATGCCTTATCAATCTCTGATTTCCAAGGGTCCGGGTTGTAATTCTAGTTGTCCATGCACAACCCTCCAACCTAGTGCGTAGCGTTGCATACAGACGTGATCAATAAGACGCGTGAAGCAACAACACTAGTGCTCATCGAGGTCCCGACCGAAGCTCTAGCCCTCGCTCACGATGTCTGCTCCCAATGAATGCAACCATGGTCGCATCCCACTCCCACTCTGACTCCCACTCTCACTTCATCCCCCCTCCACTCAAGTGGGTACGACAGCGATGTCTTCTCACACTACCGTGGAAGAGCAGAACAAGAGGGTGGGATGTGATTAACTGATGTGGAGTGCGACATGCGATGTCTGCAGTCCCTGCTGCATCTCCATCGAGTATAACAGGCGACGTGCTGCTGCTGGCCCATTTCGATTGCGCATTTCATCTGCATCACCCCGCCATCTTGTTTCCTTATTTTGGTTGCTTGTTCTCCCCAAGAGACGGTTGAAGGATTTCTTTATCAATCAACCTGTTCCCCCGACCGCGCTGGTTGCATGCGAGGTTCCCGTCACCCATATTAATCTGCACCTCCACCCTCCTGAAGTAAGCTTTGTAGTATTCCGAGGTGTGAAATACCACTTACTCCTACTACTTGACTTTATTTCACAACACAGCCGTCATGGCCACGATAGCGACACAGCCCGTCGAGAAGCTCGCCTCGACGCTCGCGTCGCAGGGCCTCGACATTGAAAAGACGGTGTCGCACCAGCAAGACCTCGGCATCAAGGACGATGCCAGCTCCGACCGCAAACAAGAGGGTGTCAAGGACATTGAGGCCGTCACCACCATCTGGGACAAGAGCGTGCTGTGGATGATGTTTGGCCTGTAAGTGAGCTTCCTTTTTTTCCGCTTTTTTTCTATCCCAAAAGAGTCGCGAGTTCTCTTTTGCTGACCACCGCCACCATAAAACAGCCTCTATCTCGTTTCCTTCTCCGACAAGCTTCTCGTAGACGTCCAGGGCAATCTCAACCCCTACGTGACCTCCTCATTCAACGAGCACGGCCTCACCCCGACGGTCAACATTGTCGCCTCCGTCATCGGCGCCACCTGCAGTCTCACCATCGCCAAGATCATCGACGTCTGGGGTCGTGTCGAGGGTTTCGTCGTGCTGCTCGCCATCAACCTCCTCGGCAACATTCTCAAGGCCGTCTGCAAGAACATGTACACTTATGCCGCCGGCCACACGCTCTACTGGGTCGGCCACATCGGTCTCCTCTACGTTATCGACATTATGCTCGCCGACATGACGACGCTGAGGAATCGTATCATCATCTACGGCCTTAACGGCACGCCAACGATCGCGACCACTTTCGCCGGCCCCAAGATTGCTGAGCTGTTTTACAACGAGGTTAACTTCCGCTGGGCGTTCGGTGCCTTTGCTATTATCCTTGTTGGCTTCTGCATTCCCGTCATTACTGTCTTGCTCTGGCACAAGCGCAAGGCTATTAATTCTGGCCTTATTTTGAAGGAATCCTCTGGAAGGACTACGATCCAGTCCATCTGGTACTACGTCATTCAGTTTGATGGTAAGCTTGAGCTTTAAATGCCTTGGAAAGAACCAAGACGGAACAGCGGACCGATAAAGAATTGTACTAATAATTCGTGTTCGGACAGCTCTCGGTGTGCTTCTTTCCACAGTTGGCTTCGTCCTCATTCTCCTCCCCTTCAACTTAGCCTCTAACATTGGCAAGGGCTGGGGCGAGGGTCGCATGATTGCTATGGAAGTTGTGGGTGTCGTTCTGCTCGTCGCCTTTGCTCTTTGGGAGAAATACTTGGCTCCCGTCCAAATGTTCCCGTTCAAATTCCTCACCGATAGGACTATTATTGGCGCTTGCTTGCTTTACTTTTTCATGTTTGTTTCCATCTTGTGAGTACATGCCTTGCATTACCATCCCAACGAAGATCTTCTCGAAAGCATTTTCTGAGTTTCATTTCTTCTTTTCGCTGACCACGCAAACCGTTTCAGCTGCTGGGATGCGTACTATATCTCTTACCTCCAGGTTGCTCATGACCAGAGTATCAGCGCTTCCGGGTATATTCTCAATTCCTTTGCCCTTACCTCGGCTTTCATCTCTCCTTTCATTGGCCTGTAAGTAACCCCCAACACTCAAGCCCAGTTGCCTGTCCACTCCTTCTTCAAATTAAAAATCGCAAATCGCTAATGCCTGACTCTCTAGGTTGATCCGATACACCGGTGACTTCAAGTGGTTCTCCTACGGCGGTGTCCCCTTCGTCGCCCTCGGAACCACCCTCCTCATTCACTTCCGCAAGCCCGAAACCCACGTCGGTCTCCTTGTCATGTGCCAGGTCCTCAATGGCATCGGCACTGGAATCTGGGCCATGTGCGGTGAGCTCGGCATCATGGCCAGTGTTTCCCACCAGGAAATCGCCGTCGCCATCGCCATCTTCTACCTCTTCGGCGGCATCGGCGCTTCTGTAGGCTTCGCCATTGCCGGTGGTATCTGGGTCAACGTCCTTCCCAACCAGTTGATCAAGCACCTTCCCGATGACGCCAAGGATCAGTGGGCGGATATTTATGGCTCTCTTGTCATTCAGCAGGAGTGGCCCGTTGGTACCCCGATTCGCGACGGCATCATTGCTGCTTACGCTGACGTGCAGAGGAAGATGGTTATTGCTGGCTCGGCTTTCCTTCCTATTATGCTTATCTGCATCTTCTTGTTTAAGAATATCAACGTCAGGAAGCTTGAGGAGGAGAAGGGCAAGCAGACTAAGGGTAACGTCTTCTAAGCAGGGACCTGCGATGTGTCGTTGTTTATCTTTGGATCCGGCGCGTGCAGCAATTGTTCCGATGGTGTTTTTCCTTCCCGGATGCGGACGGCCTATTATCGTTCCGCTGATTATTCTTTGTGGTTAAATCGTTTAATTATTCTTCATGGCAATAACGCATGACGTCTGATTCCATGATGAGGAAACGTTTGGCGTGTAGTAGCTAGCCTCTTAAAGAGATACCCGTGTTTACCCAGTTTCTTCTGTTTGTTACTTTCGGCAGTCACCCTCCTCCTACTCCAGACAGGGGGCTTGGCTCCCTGGATCCCAGTCTCCTACATTTTGATTCAAAGAATAACAGGGAATGTGTGAGGGTACGAGCTCGGCTGTGAAGTTCCAGTGTTTCCTTACACAGATCGCTTCGAGAGGCCGAGATTTCGTTGGCCCGTCCAAAAGTCTACATCGTCATCACTGACCGGCCTCGAGAGACTAGCTGCACTCCGCTGTTACCCTAAGAGTCGAACGGAGGACGGATTTTGTGAAAGAAGCGAAAACCAGGTGTGCTTTTTAACATACGCCATATCTTCTAGTTCACAATCTATTAGAATTCTGCCCAACGAATCGTAATATCCATTATTCCTGTAGAACTATCTTAAACACTTAATTGCCTGCACCTATTGATGGAATACCTCATACCCTCGCGATGAGATGTCGCGCTGTCCCGTTGAGATATCTCATTTTCTCGCATACCTCTTCAAGCCTTGTCCTCACGACGCCTTCCTCGTATCTCTCATTTTCAATGATACTTGGCTGGATCCCAAGACGCCAGTAGATTTGTGTGTGGTCTGCGGTTTCAATATCCTCTAGTGACCAACCCTCTTGGAAGCGGCTGTTTCCTTATCCCAATGATCAAAGATCAAGTTCAAATTTCCCAAGGCAGTATTGAAGCCCTCATCACGCATAATGGCCCGAGTCCGTTCTTCGCCTTCAGCAATAGTGGTGAGCCTTAGTTTTCTGTCCTTGATTGTCTTGCTATCCAACAATTGATCGAAGACGGACAGCTACAGTCTAAGTTAGGGCCGTCTCGTGGGGAGTGCGGGACAGATACTTAAGGATTCTGCTTACAACTCCGGTGGCGCCGCCCACCTCCTCGTTGTCGGTACTACAAACCATGGCAAATACTCCAAGTCTCTGGTAGATGGGGAGCACGGGATGATATCCTTTACGATAATTCTCTGAATAAACGCATCATTGACAAGACCCAGAGCTACACTACCACAAAGTCCCTCATTAATTCCCTGTGACTCTTCCCACATTGATTCTCTCTTTCAAACATTAGCTGGAGAAAACGTCCATCCATCAGCTCATCGACAAACGCCTCTCCAAGAGCTATGTGATGTTCACCCGAAGTCGAAACTGTCCTCAGAATATGCGGCACCCTAGCGCCAGCGATAATGCCGATGATGTCACCCTGCTTGGTGCTGTTTGGCACCAAAGCCATCCTCCCTCCCTCGGTTACCGCAAGCCTTCTGTTAGACGCCCACATGAGTATTGTAGATTCAACCGCAGCGGTATGTCTCCGTCCGACGTCGCCGTAGCTCGATTTCAAATACTTGTGGAACCACAAGCCAAAGTCGTGTGGTGCTTGGTGACCCTCGCCTGTCAGACCTGCCGTTATAGTTCTCCAGAAGGCTTTTCTACAGGTGTGGTTGGAGAATGGGCCCTGGTAAATCCGGTATCCCAGGTCCAGGCACTCCTTTAGCCATTTCTGGTTGGCGGTCAGCTTCTCGTAAGCCTCGGCCTTCGTGAAAGTTGAGAGAGGCCCAACTGCCTTGACAACATCGACTACGACTCCAGACAATATCAACTTATCATCGTCGGTAACTCTGGGACGATAGCCGACCAAAGCTGAGGCTGCGCTGAAGGGAATGATGTCCCGGTACCGAACAAATGGCGTTTCGTTGTCAATCCTCGTCCAGTCAGGTACCCAGGATGGGAGTCTATCAAGATCTTCAACCGCTGGGACATCGGCCCTGGTAGTACAAGAGAGGATGTCCAAGTCACCTCGCGCAACGCTCCACCGTGCAAATCTCGTGAACGCGTCCTTTGGACTCGCGAGATAATCGGGGCCGAAGATGTCAATGTCCCTCTCGGGATCGTAGTCATCCGCCAGGTTCAGGGTGGCGTATATCTTGTCCCGAATGTCTGAGCACTCCGCAGCGTGAGTGGCGAGTAAAACGGACAGTAGTCTGCGTTTATGCCTAGACATGGCAGGCTGTCGAGCATTCTCCATTTCAATCACAGACAGTACACCAATCTTTGCCTTGTCTGTGATTGAATCCAGAGCCATTCCAGAATGGTACAAGTCTCGGACTGGCCTTGCAAGGAGCTTCCAGTGGAGGGTGGCCCTTCCAGAAACGAGAGTTACGTGCTTCGCATGGGCGACTTCCTGAAGAACCCACAAGCGTCTGAACCACGGCCGCTCAAGTAGTGTTATCAACGGGTCCAGACCTGACCTCAAGAGCTGGCTCTCATCTGCCATGGCGAAGTTGAAGCCAATAGTTCGTTGATCGAGATCTGATGCTGAAAAGTAGGATGGCTTGAATCCGAGTGTGAGCAGATTCTTTGGCTCAACGAAAGTCGGCTTAAGTTCTCGAAGAATATCAAAAGCTTTGCTGATAGCGTCATCCTCTGGGCCGAGCCACACCAACACCTGTCGGGCTTGGGCATAGATCTGCTTCATGTTCCTGACCTGATGACCACGCTCACTGATATCGTCTTGATTGATGCACAAGGCGTCGATCCAGAGGACTCTTTCTCTGTCAGCGTCTCGCAAGTCTAATAGAGCCTGGTGCAGATTAGAGGCTATTCCAATCTCCTTGCCGTTGCATTGGACCTTTTCGACTTTGGTGGCATCACCCCAGGCATATGATAGCGCCGTGTATGGAATTTTGGCACTATAGTTGCAAGTACGGAGTTGGCACCTAATCTCGTCGTTTTTAATGCCGGGTTCGAGAATTAGAAGACGGAACTCATCGCTCTCTAGTTGAGTGTAGATGTTTGCTGGAATTTCACGCTTCCTTAGCAGCCTGGCTGCCACCTTCTCTTCTATGGCAGCCTGGCACTCCCTGAGGTAGCTTGATGTAGTTTCGACAAGAACATAGCACCCGATCGGTAGGTAGAGTAGGCTGAGTGGTAGCACGGCGATGGCGAGCACGACGGCCGTTGTGATTGTTGCGGTTAGGAGTCGTGATGCAACAAGTTCTGCCCGGCGGGATGCTCGTCTCTCTGTAGAATAAAACAGACGCGGCAAAATGACGAATCGAGACTGAATAATAGAGCCAAAAGCGGCGTTTTTGATAGATGGAGGAGTCGGGGCCTTGTTTGGGGAGAACCTTGTAGCCGTCATCCAGGGAGTCGTATGTTGGAGGGTTTTGGGTGGAAACACAACATGAGGTACCCGGCGCCCTCGACGAAGGCTCTTGGAGGACCACATCTACGCTGCTTTGGTTTATATACGGCGACGGAAACGTTCCTAGTGCCGGAGAGGGGAAAGGAATCTTTCAAATTTACCACGTCCTCAGCTGATGAAGGCAACCGGCCGTCTGTCGTGCCTATTGGACAGTGCCAGGGGCTTGAGGTTGATTGGGCGCCAATCGCTCATTACTCAAACATAAATTAGGTAAAGTGCTGTTCTGCCTAATTTTCAAGCTGTGCTGGAGGGGATTCAGTACCTTTCCCCCTTCCACAGAATGGTGCTAGAACCACTTCTTACAGTAAAATACAAAAATGTCCCCCAACAACCAGTTATCGGCACCTAGAGAAACTGAGAACAACTGCGATTCATATCTAGAGGGTATATGGAGACTCCTGGACCCAGAAGCCGGAGGGATGCTGGACTTTCAAAGCCTCCAGAATGGGCTGAGGGAGATTGATCATCGTGAGTTTGTCTCCGCTCCCTTTGCCATATTTTAACAGATATGCTGACAGCTACTTCAGCCATGGCGAATGCAGACCAGCAATTACAGGACCTTATTCGGAGGATAGATACAAATGGAGACGGAAAGATTCAGTACCAAGGTGCGAGATTATTGTCAGAACGAGAGGCGGACGAAATACTGATACACCCTTCAGAATTCGAGATGGTTATGCAGAAAGCTCGTTCAGAGCTCATAGCCTTGTTCCACGCCATTGACCTAGAACACAGCGGAAGGCTAACGAGGGCCTGTCTTGAAGCTGCCCTTCGTAACGAGAGCCTTGAAGTACCTACGCACTGGCTTAACGGGTTCTTCAGTGACGTCGATTTTAAGTGCGATGGCTATATAACTTTGGATGAGTGGCTGTGAGACTCACGACCTTCGTTCCTCCCAGCCCAGCTCTTTCTCTTGTAGTCTTCCAAGTTGTCATGAGCCTCAAGCCGGCGACCGACTTCACAAGCAAGCAGTAAGACCTAGGCTAACGGAGCTATTAGTGACTATCTGCTCTTCTTCCCGACTCACGGGCACAGCTCCCCTCTGCACGCCATCTTCCACTCGTATTCAGCCGTTGTTGCCTCCCAGCCCTCGCACAACCTACATAAGACCACTGCTGAGCTTCAGGAAGCCTTGTCACCGTCTAAACCACAACCAGTAGGCCCGAATGCATTCAACATGACGGACTTCGTTCCGAGCCCGGGCTATTTTACCGCTGGCGTGATTGCTGGGGCCATGTCAAGGACAGCTCTTGCTCCTCTTGATAGGTTGAAGGTCTACCTCATCGCCGATACAAAAGCCTATAGAAACGGAATCGTTCAGGTCTCAAAGACTGCTAAAACGAATCCTAATATTCCTATTGTCAATGCTGTAAACAATTTGTGGAGATTGGGCGGATTGCGCTCCTTTTTCCTCGGTGCGTAATACGCCATATCTCTTTCAGCTGTATGCTGATGTGGTGCATCTAGGAAATGGGCTAAACATTGCAAAGATTGCACCCGAAAGCGCCATCAAGGCAAGTTCAATAGTGATATAGATGAGGCCCGGGCTTACCGCCAATTCAGTTTGCAACATGGGTTTCTATGAAACAGATTTTTGCGAATCTCGAAGGCCATGGCGATGTAAACAAGCTGACAGCGAGCTCGAATTTCATTGTCGGGGGCATCTCGGGGATGGTTTCATAGTGAGTATTGTTATTTTTCTTTTTCCATATTTAAATGCCAGGAGGCACTGAGCTCATCAACTTAGCTCCTTCGTATACCCTATCGATACGCTCAAGTTGTGGTAAGCTTGCATGACTGTTACAAGTTGTGGAAATGCTCATGAAAAATAAGGTTACAATGCGAAAGCCTCGAGGGCCGCCCTGGTCCGAGAAGCCTCCTCGCACACACTGCCAGCGCGATGCATAGAAATGGAGGTGTTTATGCATGGTATCGCGGCTTGCCGCTGGGGCTTCTGATAATGTTTCCTTATAGTGCCATCGACATGGGCACTTTTGAGTTATCAAAGAGAGCCTACAGGGTTTATCGAGCAGAGACGATCGGTGCCAACGAAGAGGATGTTGAGCTCGGCAGTGGCGCCACAGGAGTTATTGGGGCAGTATCGGGCTCATTGGGCGCCACGATAGTTTATCCGCTCAGTCTAATCCGCACCCGCTTGCAAGTCCAGGGCACTCTTATGCACCGTCCTGTCTATGCGGGCATCTGGGATGTTGTCAACAAGACAGTGAGGAACGAAGGCGTCCGAGGCATGTATAAGGGCCTCTTGCCCAACCTAGCAAAGGTCGGCCCTGCTCTCAGCATCACGCGGCTAGCATACGAAGACGGGAAACAGTTGTTTAAGTTGTCCTGACTGGATGGTTTTAACTTGAAGTGGGAGAACCCAACGGATCCTCCAGTAGGGGAGAGGAAATACTGCGGGTGCAATTGCAGGCCTCGCCTGGCTCATCTCGCTGATTGGTGGAGGAAGGAACTGGTTGAAATAGTTGAATCTAGCCCACTCTAGTGCGTTTATGCACCATGGACGCCGTCTTTCCGCAATATTGATCTCGCGATGACGGCCGTTAAACCGCGTTCAGTAGTCATGAAAAGGGGGTTCGGCGTACGGTTGCCCAAGGCGTTCAAGATTTCTCGCGTATCGGACATCGATTCAGATCAGGGAGATGTCAAATAAACAGTGTGTGTGTTGAGAAATAAGTAGAAACTAATAGGAACTATACATCGCTCTATGAATTCCGCCATGTAGTCACCTTCTCCATGTACAAATTGTAAACGCAATCCCCCACATTGGTGGAGGAGTCATTCGAGGCTTTGGAGGCTGAGACTGGGTCCAACGGGAGCTAGGATAAGGCGTATCGAGTCTCGTAAATTTGGGTTCAAGGAGGTCGGATTCTTGATGTGGGTAAATCTAGTAATACATTCAGTTCGAACTATTTCCCGCACCAGCCTCTCGCCTTACCTTGGCATGAACTTCTCCAATCTCGATCAATCCATCCCCCTATGCAATACCTTTATATCACTCTTGTTTCATAATCCATCAGATTTCAGAATCTATATACTCCCTTTTCTCTCTCAGCTCTCATCATGACGAAAACTGGCGATGTCGCAGATTCAGCGATAACCGTTCTTAGAGACAAGACGCTTATGGTCGTAGCCATTGCGTAGGAATCGTCAGACTTTCTCCCACAGCCTACCTTGAGTCAGGTACAGTCTGGCAGCGAGATAGAACGCAGTTCCAGTAGCAAGCAAGCAGCCAGTAAAAACTTGGAGCTTCCAATAGCTCCCATCTGCTCCCGAGATTAAGGCTCCCCCGATTGGGCTGCCGGTGAGGGCGGCTACAGACATGAACGCGTACATGGTTCCGGAACGGGTGCCGATCTCCTTGAGGTCTGAAATGTGCGCTACCAAAGCCGGGCTGATGGCTGTATAAGTGCCGGAACTGAACCCAAACGAGGCGGCAAAAGCGATGGCTGACCCAGGGCTTTGCCCTGGCAGCCACAATGCCAGCACAAATATGGTCGAAAGAGTCGCGGCTGCCATTGACACGTTAAAGCTGCCAATTTTGTCTGCTATGTATCCCGGTAGAATACGCCCAATTCCGCTGTTGCAGTCAATATCATGTCGCTAGGCATGGGAAAGAGTAAATCGACGCCTTCTGCGTAGGTAGATATGGGATGCCCAGATTTTACTCACCTCGCCGCATTGAAGATTGAGACCAGGTACCCAGCCATATCATCTGAAAGGCCGACATATTCGCCGTAAGTCACCATGAATGTAATGGGGATGAACATGCCCATGGAGTAGAAGAAGCCCGCCAAGGAGGTTAACACAAAGGAGAGCGACGTAAAGGGTCGGAGATAGGCCATGATGCCGGTCTCCCTTGGTTGAGGTAGGACTCGTGATCGGACGGTTAGATTTGTCAAGAGAAGCAGACCGAGGAAGAGGAAAGCGCAGGCACGCATCGTCCACCCAAACCCAATACGCGGTATCAAGCGATTGACCAAAATAGGCAAGATAGTGCCGCCGAGACTTGAGCCGCTAGCTGTGATTCCCAGGGCCAGAGCACGCCTTTGTCGGAACCAGGTGGTGACGCAGCTGAAGGACGGATACAGAACCATGCTTGCGCCCAGGGGGCTGCAAATCGCCTGCGACAAGATGAACTGGTAGTACTGAGACGATATCGAGGCCATCATCAAGCCAAAAACGTGTAGCAGTGTCCCCACGAGGAGAAGGTAGCGCGGGCCGAAATTGTCAAATGCTCGCCCCACGAAAGGTCCCTGAGTCATAGCCTGAGCACACGTAAACTAACACAAAAGACTTGAAATCAAGACCTACAGTGATGAACATCATAAACATTGACAAGGCCGGAATCCATGAAACAGTGCTGGGCGACAAGTCCCGCAACTGGTTTGCCTCGTAGTATGCCTGAAAAACGCCGACGCCTGCCCTTACATGTTAGCGATTCGGAGTCTTATATTCTAGACAGCAACATTGGGGGAAATTGTCGCACAGTTGGTCCAGCCAAAGCTGACAAAAAGTCCACAAAAGGCCCCCAAGACAACCAACCAAGCCTTCAACCCCCCATCTGGGAATTCGATATTGGGCTTGGGTGACTCCGGTTTCGGTTCCTCGACCCTTGGCTCTTCAGTGTCCGGGTCCATGGCTGTTCTGTCAAGCGTTTGTGGAAGTTGCTTTGATCGAAGAAAAGTATAACAAATAGACGAAAATTATACCAGCCAAGAGAGTCGAAAAGGATATTGAGAACGTATATCGCGTGAATCACTGCGAAACTTCCAGGTGCAACATGCCGATATAAATGGCCGTTGCTAGATACTGCCTCCGCGGCCCTGGCTGAAATTACCCTCGCCAGAAATGCATCTAACTCGTCGCCGGGAGGGCGCGAAGTGGAGGCTCCGCGGAGGCCCGAGTCGGCCAATGGCAGCGGTTCTTCTCCGTGGGGCTCTACTGGCGTTGAGTCATTGCCTCTTTTAGCAAGCCGCTCGGGGGTCCGAATGAGTTCAATGTTCTGCTGAATGTTACTCTCCCGATCCTCTCATGCCACTTCGGCGAGCCAACGCAGGACCTTACCTTGCTGCCCAAGTTTCAGCCCCCTCAAAGACCAGATGAAGCGCTCGCTATCGGAAAGCAGACGCAGCGCCTGGCAACAGCCGGCTTCTTGCGAGTTCTGCCGCTCGAAAAAGATTCGCTGTGACAAGAAACGGCCTTGTTCGAACTGTACGACTAGGCAGCTAGAGTGCCGATATATTTCTGGTATGTTAAGACTCCAGAGCGAAGGAAAGCTCGTTAACGTGGCGGGGTGCTAAGAAAACCACGCAGAAGATGCAAACCCGATCACTGAATCGGAGAGAGAGAATTATGGCGCCGGATACTTGTCGTTGAGACGGTAGGCTTACGGAGAAGACAATATCACAGGTATGACATATTTCGCTAATGTTCAAAAGGGATGTCCAGGAATTACAGAGTCGAGTCCGAAAACTGGAGAGCATGGTTTCCTGCCAGCCTGGATCCGCCCTGAACATAGCGCAACATCGCCCTGAGGAACGAATCTCCACGGTCGGCCGGCAAGTAGACATATCCCTTACTTGGAAAAATTTGGAAGAATTCGCAGCAACCCCCCAAGCTGAACCCGCAGCGAAGCCATTGATCTCGCTCGCGCCAAATTGTGCGGGGCCAACAAACGTCGCGAACTCTACGGGAGCCAGCAGCTTGATCGCCGCTCAGCTCCCCCCTATACGGCTTGCCCGACTATTGTTCCAACATTATGTGCAGACAGCCGACAGCTTGCATAGGGAGATACACATTCCTTCCACTCAAGAGCTCTTAGAAACCACGTATGCCCAGCTGGTAGCTTCATTGCCTGTGTCCACTGAGACCTTGGTCTTATTCTGCAGCATCTTCGCCTCCAGCTCTTTCTATGTGTGCCATAAACACTCACACCAAGTGCATCGCGAGCTCAAGGATGCCCGTGAGTTGCATCCTGTATGGAAGAGGATAGCACTGGAGTCAGTCATGGGTCACGATGCGGCTGCCTCCTTGACTCTGACATCGTTGCAGTCCATATCCATCATGATGTATTTAACGTGGGATTCCGAAGGCCAGTCAACGACATTCCATACCCTACGGAGTCTGGCACATACGAAAGCTATCCAGATGAAGCTTCACCGACTGGATGAAGATATGGCAACGGATGTCGTCCAAGCTGAGTTGAAGCGACGACTGTGGTGGCATCTTGCAGCCACAGATTGGTGTGTAAACTCGGTTTCATTCTGCACTTGTAAGTCAATGCTAACTCTTAAATAGGTTAATTGCCAGCGTGCCCGGTCCGCAGGAAGGCATATATAGCTTCCATACCAAACACATGCGCGTTCGGTATCCTGCCAACCTTGACGACGAAGACATCCGGCCAGACGGGCTTTATACAGAAGGCCTCCCAGATGATCAGCTGACGCAAATGTCATATTTCCTTCAGCGGTTGAAGTTTGCAGAGCTCTGCCGCGACGTTATGGACAGCCTCCCAAGCGGTGACGCGAGCCTGCCCTATGATCAGGTCTTGAAGGTGAGCAGCCGCTACACTGACTTCATGGACCGTCTTCCCTGGTTCTTTTGCGCCGATGAGAAAAGTACAGCCCAGGCCGCAGTTCTAGCAAGCCGACGACCTTATCTTCTCCGCCAGAAATCTACGCTGCTGTACGGCATATATTCACGCATCGGTCGTCTATACCGACCGTTTCTGCTACAAGGCACCGACGAGAAAGAATCCGTTTCTGTTTCTGATTCCTTGGCCATCCAATGCGCTGAGAGAATGATCGAGATCCGACGCATGGTCGAGCCTGGCGATCTCTGCCTGCACGTCCATTCTCACAGCATGGACCAGCACACGTTCAGTGCGCTGCTGCTGTTGTCGATGGGCATCTTGGGGGAAAAGGACACAGAACTCGCGCGGAAGCGCAAGGCGAACCTGCTCCCCATTTGCAGCATGCTAAAGGAAAAACAAGGATCGCTAAGCCGAGCCGGCAATGGCATTTCTGCTGCCATCGACCGCTTGGTGGAGATTTTGGAGAGGCCGAATCCAGCGCGTGATTGGTTGGGGGCTCACCCAGACGGACCGTCGATCCAAGATGTAGCCACGCTCTGGGAGGAACTAATCAAAGACCTGCCCAGTCCGTCAGGCATTCCATGGGACGCCTTTCTCGACTGGCAGGGTCCTTAGGCTCACACTCCTCTATGAAATGGATGTGTTACGCCCGTTAGAGTCATGGGCAACTACCGCTTAAATGCATGCCCCCTTCCGTCGCGTATCTTTCGCTACTCGTCTAGCCCTTACATAATTTCCTGCTTCTCTTTCCCCTTGTTCATAGCTTCCTGTCGCCGAGTCCTCATGAGGTTAGTGGTAACAAGTTGTCCGTGAAGGCCTCTTCTCCAGGTAGCTTTCTATCTCCAGCCGCGGGTGCGAACCTGCCGTCACGGCACGATGTGGATGGGTTAGTAGGAGAAAAATGGGGGTGTATGGTTGTGGGTGGGTTAGGTCGTTTGCTGTCCTTCGTCAAGCCGTCCTGTTTCCATGGCATATTTGATGGTCGCCTGCACTGTTACCGTGTCAGGTGTCCAGTCGTCCGCATCCGTCTGTGCCTTCTCTCCCAGGTGGATGGACACACTGCCTGTTCTCGCGCCAGTCTCTTGCTGCATCTCTCCTCGTTGCGAGATCAATCTCGTGCATCGGAAGAGAAAATGGTTTGCAGTTTCTACGGCCTCTCCTCAAGGGCATTCGTTAGAGGGTACTGCGCCAATCTTGCACAGGTAACCGTTCAGCCGCATCATCCCCGTTCGTAGTTGTGCTTGCACTCTCGGCTTGCGGCGCCGTCAGCGCGTCGTATACCCTACGCGTGTGCTTTCCCGGTAGTGTCGTGTCGATTCTCCTGAGTATTTGGCCACCTCATCGGATATCGGGTATGGTCTGGCATCCTGCTTGGTCTTTTCTCGCTGCCGCGACCGCTTCTCTTGGCCGCCTCCTTCGCTGTTCGCGTGGGGTCTCCTTCGGTCTCAGTGGGAAACCCAGGACGCCAACCGGGAAGAGATTCGCAAGTGGTCACTTAGTGCCTCTTCGTTTGCGATGGCCAGTATTCTCGGCTCCGCAAAGAACTCCAGGAGATGAGGGGGGAAAGCGCACCAATAATGTGTCGAGTCCCTTGCACACGGGCAACACGGTCGGTTAGCTCAGTTGGTTAGAGCGTGGTACTAATAAACTATCCGGTTTATATGGTAAATGCCAAGGGCATGAGTTCGACCCTCATACTGACCATCAACTTTTTTTGTGACTTTTTCTATTCTTTTCTTTCGTTGCTTCTTTCCTTGTCCTTTTTTTCCCCCCATTTTCTTCGCGCGTTCGTCAATGAGACTAGTCGGGTTTATTTTGCATCCGTGAGGATGAGAGTTAAGCAAGAGCTGAGATTAGTTGGCTTCAAACAACTTGTTTCGATAATGTCAAAAAACTAAACAATATTGAACTCTTTCTCGTTTCTCTAGCACACAGAAGGCATTTCTGTAGAGGGAGAATGTTGTATGTAGCAGTCATGCCAGTCCAGAGGTCCCTTGGGGCCGACACCAGTACAAGTCGTGGAAAAAATAGAAGCTTCTGTATCAAACTCCTCGAGCTGATCAAGCCTTGCATCTCTCCCCTCATCGCACTGACCGCGTTACGGGGTCCTCATCGAAACAATTTCTTTTCCATGAAGCCCCGGCACACGGTATTCGAACATTGTACCCCGGCCTTGGAACGCCGACAGCATCGGTTTCCACTCCACATCTATCCAGACTCGTCATATGGCAAGATTGATGGGTATCGCTTCGACTTCGACTGATCGCAAAAAACAAGAAAAGGTCTTAAAGAAGCATCATTTCCTTGATGAAGTCAAATTAAATTCCTAAGATAAGTTCTGGCTCCCCTGCCTGAACCAGTTTACATTCTCACCATTCATTCCCGTCAAATCATACACAACCACCTCGCCTCTTCTAGTCCCTATCCTCAGGATGGAACACCAAAGTCCGCACCTCAATACTCTCCCTCGTCGGCACATCATCCCCAGCCTCCGGATCCACAAACGCACTATGCGGCACCCTCCTCGCCCTCCCGTCCTTCTTGCTATCGAAGCACTTAATCAACAACACCTCATCCGGCGACAACGCCGACTTGTAGAACCACTTGTTCGCAGGATTATACCGCACGCTGTACGTCTCGCCGTGACGCGTCGGGTAAATCAGCGAAATGGGGACGAGGTCCTCGTCCGAGACAGTATCGGCCTGGGCCACGGTGAGGGGGTCCTTCAGAATCGTCTTGATAGGTCGCCAGACGTTGATGATCTGCACGCGGCCCTTGAGGAGCTCTTCGGCTTCTTCGGGGAGGTGGTAGGGGACGCGGGAGAGGGCGGCGGAGTAGGATTGGTCGATGTGAACGCGCTGGACCGGACCGCGGAGGCCTGGGTTGCGGCTTTGGGAAGAGGGGGATTGGCGGCGGATCGTGTGGTCAAAGATGAAAATCTTCGAAGCGCCGGTCCTGCAAAACGTGTTAAATACTTTTATTGCAATCTTCAGAGCTGCAAGGAGCACGGAGGAGCAGAAAGAAAATATCCTCTTACACGTCCTTGAGCAGCTGCTCGACCTCGGGGTAGTAAACGGCCTTGATGTGCTCGTCATCGACGAAATCCTTCTCCTCAGCGGGGCGTTGGACGAACTCGAAGCCATCACGATCCAGGGTATAATCGGCTTCCCGGCCACGGACATCATGGATGACGACGGGGTGGGCCTCGACGGGTCTCTCGTAGGTCTCGGGACGATTTACGTAGGTGGGGTGAGGCGCCGAACCGTCTTCCGGATCCTTGAAGAAGTGCAGTTCCGTGTGGATGTCCCTCGGCTTCAGGGTCGGTTCGCGATTGGCAATGCCAACCTCGGGAGCTGAGGGGACTGCCGCGCCGAAGGGTGTCGCGGTGGGAATGTGGGCTACTGCAGCTGCCATGTTGTTTCAACATCAATGGATGGATATTATATATTTACTAATTTTCTACCCTTGCAAATTTGTCGACTGGGGTTCGATTGGTACTTTTCAAGAGCTTGATTTAAGCTCCAGGAGCTCTCCCCGATATATAGTCGGAAGATCGGAGCCGATTGCTAAGATGGCCCCCGTCCCCGCGAGCACGCCATCATGTCGCCATAAATCCTGTGAGACGGGGATTGATAATCAGCACCAATGAAGTCAACGGACGCCCGCGTTTTGCGTATCGCTATACGGCACAGTTCAGAGGGTTTCAGCACACACTCAGTAGATCTTGCTGATACTGACGGCTGTGGGTGTGGCCTATCGTTCGAGTCCTTTTAGAGATTAGAAATCAACGGCTTCGGATTGCTCCGATGTCATTCAAAAATACGCTCGACCTGCCGCCGCCATGGCCGAAGGAGACGGATTATCAATCCCGTCGCACAAGTCGACGCCATCCGAGCTTACGGAGTAACCGGTCAGGTCCAGAAGAGTCGCTGGCAAGGATGTACTATTTTCACTAAAGACATGCAAGACTGTGACGTTCTGGGTGACAAAGAGACTAGCCATGTAGAGCTAGAGTTACCTGTTGACGTCAAAGCTTATCTAAAACTCGTAATTGCCTTTCCGGCGGGAATCCCAAACCTCCGTGATACCAGTCAACGGTGTCTACGTCTATTCCTGGTGCACATGAACCAATCGTGTAATCGTTGTACCGTCCTCCAAAACGCCCGTTTCTTCCGCCAGTTTGTATCCCCCAAGTCTAGGTAGCAGAACCGTCCAAACGTACCAATACAGAAGACCAAATAAAAGACTTGGCAGAAAGAAGTTAGCAATCCGCCCAGGGGACACGTCTGCCAGTGGGGGCTAGATAGAACTTACATGCTTATTCCTACAATGGCGTATGTAGGGAACCCTCCAGGGGCAAAGAAAGGCGCCGCAATCAGGGAAATATGTAGACACAGCACCAGGAGTACGGCGGGAGTCCACGCTTTGTACGGTCGACGTAGATCTGGGCGCTTGAATCTCAGCAGGATGAGACCCACGCCGATGGCGAATGAGATTATTTGTCCCGGGTATCCCTCGACGGAGAGGATGAATGAATATACTTCTTTTGAGGGCGGCAGGACGATGACGAGGAACGAGGGGATGTAGTGAACGAGAAGGCCGCCGAGTGGTGAGTTGAATGGGCGGGTGGAGGACAGGAAATCGGAAAAGGGGAGAAGGCCTTGGCGGGCAATTTCTTGCTTGAGACGAGACTGCGATATTACGTGTGAGCAAAGAGTAGCCATAGAATATGTGTCAAGTTGGAATGAATGCACTGCCTACCTGGGCAAAGACGACGACCATGACGTTCCCACATGCCGAAAGGGCAATAGCCAAAGGCAACACCACCCTCCCCAAATGAGGCCCAAACAGTCTCTCGAAGAAGAGGGCTGCAATCATCTCACCGCTTTCTTTAATCTCTTGTACGGGGACGACCATGAAATACGCCACGTTTATCAATGTGTAGAGCACACCAGCGGTCACCAACGCGGTCGATGTAACGGAACGCAGCGTGCGAACAGGGTCCTTGACCTCGTTAAGGATGTTGTTGACGTTATCGAGGCCTGCGTACGAGTAGGATATCTGGAAAAAGGCCACGGCAATGGTGCCCCAGTTCCAGACGGAGCCCTCCCAAACGTTATCCCACGAGGGCGCGTATCGATCGCCGTGTATGTCGGTGACGCGCTGAAACGCGACGACGTAGACTCCCGAGAGGATCATAAACACGATGATCCCGACCTTGATGTATCCAAGCCAGTTTTGGATCCGTATGCCCGACTTGGGAAAGCAGCCGTGGATTATCGTGATGACTGTCAACAGGGCGACACTGACGGATTTGCGGAGGAAATCGCTCGCCTCGCCGTCGATACCGAGCGCGAATAGCAGATATCGACTAAAGACGACACAATTACTCGACGAGAAGCCCAGCATGATTATGTGCACAGCAACCAAGGTCGAGGCGAGGAACTTGGGATATCTGTAGGTGAACTCGAGGTAGACCTTGTAGCCCCCGGACCGTGGAAGCATGCATCCATACTCGAGAGATACGGCGAGTCCACACGCAGCCACGAGGGCGCCCACGATCCAGAGCACGAGTGCTATACCGGGGCTGCCGACCGTTCGAAGGATGGAGCCGGGCGTCGCGAAGATGCCGCTGCCGATGACACGGGAAATAACGATGACGTAGGCGCTTCCCCACGTTACGGTTCGGCCGAGGGGTGAGGTTTCGGGGAGGATGTCGTCTTCTGTCGCTCGAGAGGGCTGGATGTCGGTGACGGAGCCGGCTTCTTCGTCGGTCGAGGATTCATCGGGTGCTTTTGTCGCGTCGTATGGAACGGTTGTTGGTCTCGGGGTGATGTCGTCTGGATCGACCAGAAGCGGCCGTGCCTCGTCGGCGTCGGCGTCGATTTCGTCTGCGTATCTAGCCATGGTCGCTTTTGGGATCGAGTCTGATACGAGAGGATGCTTCTACGCCGGGCGTTTGGCCCGTGGATGAATTCAAAAGAAGATGGGAGGTGTTCATTTGTCAGGGACGCAAAGCTCCCTTGAGAGAAGAAACAGCGCAGCTCTCAACACCACTTGTCGGATAGATAACAACATCGATGACATGATACGTTATCAACTGCCCGAAAGCATGTGGCAGCCAGTTATTGTTCTTTGGGCAGGGCGCGTTGATCAGTGGCTCAGTTGGGCGTGGGTGAATCGGAAAGGTTGCCATGTGGTGCTCGCACGCCATCGTTTCGGAAATTGACGAATGTCAGCGCGTTCTGAGACAGTGGCACGGAGATGGACAGGACCATTCCACAGCTTCCGAAGCCCTGCCAAATCACAGGGCCGGGATCACAAGGACCACTAAAAAAACATACGCCCTTTCCTTCGCTCGCAATCGCACGTGTTCTGGGTTGCGTAGGCTTTAAGTCCTTTAAGCTTTAACTCGTTCCGTTCAGCTCTGAAGTCTGCCCGGATCGGAAGCCCGCCAAGCTCCACCCGTGAATGCCCGAATTCCGGCCCCATCCGTCGGAAGGTTTCACGGACTTGCTAAGCGCAACTCCGCTGGGGGTAATGTTACGTTACGCCTTTGGGGAATATCTTACTGCGAACGTCGAGGGGCTCTTGTATTTCGGTTTCTTATATTCAGATCCTACTCCTGGAGCCGTGTGCGACACTCGCACCTACTGCGTCCATCCTCTAGGCGATACAAGTGGGCTAACGGGTTTCAAAGTTAGCTTCTGGAGGTATATTTATGGTCGAGTTATGAAAGCTAAGCTGCCAATATTTGAAGCTAACGTGACCGTCAGTCCAGCTTCCGAAGCTTCGTCCTCCGAATCAACAGCGTCTGGTCAAGTTTCACCTCACCACAGCGAAAGGACCCGACCGAACATGGCTAAGCAATGCAAGATTCGGAACCCTAGTACGCACTAGAAGAACTATCCTTCTTCGGTGTAAAAGCCACCAGCGTCGGCTCATCCGTGATTCCCCTCTTGACTGCCTCCTCCATGATCGCCTTGGTAGCCGTCGCACCAATTCTCCCAACTCCGATTGCCATGGCCTGGAGCAACTCATCCAGTGTCCTGATCCCTCCCGCCGCCTTGATTTGCACGCCGGGCCTCACATGCTCCTTCATAAGCTTCAGGTGATGTATCGTCGCGCCCTGGTAATTGTACGTGCCGTTCGGCTGCTTCACAAACCCGTAGCCAGTTGACGTCTTGACAAACGCGACTCCAATGTCGGAACAGATTTCGCAGAGTCGGATGATGTGGCTGTCCTCGAGGTAATCATTCTCAAAGATGACCTTGAGAATCGCGCCCTGTTTCGTGACCGCGTCGTTAATTCGACGAATCTCGTCGGATACATAATCCCATTGTCCGCCGAGGGCTTTGCCAATATTAATCACCATGTCGATTTCATTGCCCCCGTCTCTTGCGGCGGCCTCAGCTTCCAGGATTTTGATTTCCGTGCTGCTGTTTCCGTGGGGGAATCCGATGACGGGGCAGAGGAGCACGCCAGAGCCCTCGAGCTCCTTCTTCGCAAGGGGAATATGGTATGGCTTGATGCAGGCGGTTGCGACATTATATTTCTTGGAAATGGCCAGACCCTCGAGGACGTCAGTGTCGGTCATTGTGGGATGTAAGAGGGAGTGGTCAATCATTTTGGCGATCTCGGAGAGAGTCACCGTGATTGAGTTGGGGTTCTGGCTGTCGGCCATTTCCACAATTCGATGCTCGGAAAGGTATTGCCCGGATTTAGAGGCGAGTTTCCAAGGGAAGCAAATGCTGTTTTCACTTTACTGAATATTGATCCTCACGGTTTGCAAATTGTCGAGTCAATCTTGGATCTTGGCGGGTTCTGCATTGCTTCTCCTCTATTTTGTGACCGAGGCCTCAGCTGATATTACCTCGCCGGCGGCGGCTAAACTAGCCTAAGAATATTAATCCGATGGAACCCTCAAATCTTCCCTTCTACCACTGTGTTCGCTTCCCGGCCTGGCGAGCCATCTGGGCCAGTAGTTGTGCTGTTCTTCAAAGCCGTGGCCAATTGGACCGCCGTCGACGTGCGGGGGTGGCTCAGGCTGTCACCCACTGCAGCTCCATAGGCAGCTCGACACTGCACTGCTCCCCGAGGTTCCAGCTGCAAGCAGCTCTATTGGAGGCGAGGATGGACGCGCGATGGTCTTCGACGTTGAATGCAAAATCCTGTCCGAAGATGATCAGTAAGCAGCTATCACTCTGTAATAACAATGAAGTGGATCCTACCTTGATACTAATGTAATTCTCGACACCGAAGGACAGACGAGAGGCCGTTGACCTTGGGAGGATGCGTCCAAGCCAAAGAATGTCGTTGATTAGGTCAAAGGACGGATGAGGATAAACAAGCAATCTTGAGTCTCAAAGTCTCCCGATATGTTATCACTTCCTTCATTTTATGGCCTACCGGCTCCAAGTTACCGCAGTTCAAGATTCCGCAAAGCTCGCATCTTCTCGCCGGCCACAGTTGTGCCATTCGCCCAGGCATCACACTCTGTCGGCAAAGACCACGTCGTCTCAAGTACTCAATACGGCGTAAGGCGTTCAGGTCGCCCACGCATATCGGAAAGAGGTCGTGTTGGAGAGACTGGCGTCGGCGTAGATGCGACCAGTGACGATTTTGTCCGCCTGGTGAGGAGTGAGACAAGAGAAGAAGTTCCGAACCTTGGTACGGCCGCGCGGGGAACGGTACCGCGGATCGAATACAGGCGGCCTGTTGGCCTTCAGGCAGTGAAAGTGCGAGATGAGGGTAACCTGGGGAAGTGCCTCTCTGACGGCCTCGATGTCTGTCCACTTGCAGGCTAGGAGAGTCCCGACCTCTATTTTTGGGCGATTGGCGCCCAATCCTGAGGGGTGAACCTGTTTCTTTTTCGGGAAATAATTCGCACCATCATTATCGTCGTAAGCGGCTATCAGGAAGAAAGGATAGCGTTCGGTTGGGGATGCTGAGAGGAGAAGGGATGTGTTTGGAGCTCTTTGTTTACTTCTCTTGCTCCAGTTAAAACTTAAAGCCAGGTATCCTTGAATGGCGAGAAGTTAGTTCATCGTTGAAGTTATCCCCGCGACACCAGTCTTCCTAAAGTAAACAACAACACTAAAGCTCCTACCTATCTCTCACTTATACAAGTTACTATAGAATACCCTAATAAAACTCTCTTATTATAATAGTGTCTCAACTGTCTAATAATCACAAATAAAGGCAATTTTATAAACTGAACGTTTAAGATAGAGACTGATTAATAAATTATATCTCTTTTTAGATAGAATATCTTGTGGTGCCACAAAATCAGTGTGACTGAATATGAAGTCGCCAGGATTCGTTACAGGGAATATTCCTGCCAAGTTGCGCTGGATCTCGACCGTTGGGGTACAGTCAGTAGGCGAGGAGGAGTGGAGTCTTACCACAAGGGGGCGTTTTTACGTATGCAGGAGCTGTGGAATGTGAGCACTTGGCACGCACACCCCAAGCGTGGGCGATCCTTCCAGCATGAGTGGCTGGTGTTACTCGATCATACGTGCTTCTCTTTTGGGCGCAGCGGCCGAATCCTGCACCTGTCTGACAATCATCCCTCTCTAGCCATCCATAGGCTGGGAGGGAGGAGTGAACGATATTGATCGCCAAACGATTACGACCATAAGCTGACGGACCCACCACGAAGCAGTCCGACGTTGAATTCCGTCTGATTGAAGAGCTGTCATTTAAACACTCCCCAAATTCGTCACCTCCCCCATAAACATCCGAAAAGCGAACACTCCCTTCTATATTTTCCGCCCTCGAGACTAATTCCTCATGGACTCTCAGACCTTGGTGGCCGTTGGCGTCACCGCGGCGGCGGTCATCATAGTTTCGATGACCGCTTCTCGATTTTTTAAGGCCGCCCAAGCCACCGAACCCCCGTCTCTCACCCCAGCTAGTTTCCCAGAACCGCCAGATTACGTTAAACGCTTGGCATCGGAACTGCCGGATAGCGTCGTGTTTCCTCGCGACACGGATGAATTTCAGCAGGTCTTGGGCCGTTACTGGAACCAGATAAATAGGGAAACGCTCCCTGTGTGCGTGGTTCGCGCTAAGACCGCCGAGGAGCTCAGTGTCGTGGTAAAACACCTCAAGTCCGAGTTCGCGGAGAGAAACAATCCGCGCGGCCAATCTTTGTTTGCCATCCGGAGTGGAGGCGCCAATCCTGCCTGCGGTCTTTCTGGCGTAGAGAATGGCGTCTTGCTGGACCTCTCGTTGCTCTCGGATGTTGTGTTTTCCGAAGATGGATCCAGGGTTGATGTTGGGCCGGGAGCTTACTGGATTGATGTTTGCCAAAAGGCCGAAGAGAGAGGCCTCGCCGTTGTTGGCGGCCGTTCCGCCCCAGTCGGCGTAGGTGGTTCAACATTGCAAGGTACGTTGGGTGAGGTTAGGTGGTCTTAAATCTGCTTATCCCCAGGCCCGAAAGCTGACCCTAAACATCGCAAACGTAGGAGGAATGTCGTTTTACTCGCCGAAGCGTGGGTTCGTCTGTTCCAACGTCATCAGCTACGAGGTTGTGCTTGCCGATGGCTCGATTGTCACCGCCTCGGCGGACCAGCATCCCGACCTATGGCGTGCGCTAAAGGGCGGTGGCGGGAACTTTGGAATCGTCACCCGCTTCACCATCCCAGCGTTTCCCGCCGGCAAGATGTGGACGGCCTCCCTGCTATCTCCGGGCTTTCGGGCGGCCACGAGCCTAACGGCCTTCCACGATTACGGAAAGAATGCGACGTCTGGCGAGCCGGGCGCTTTCGACGAGAACGCAGCTCCGGTTATCCTCGCGTTCGTTTATCTCACCAAGGTGGGACTCTCGCTCTGCAGTACGGCCCTTGCGTATACCGAGTCGGAGAGCAAGGCGTGGCCCGAACACTTTCGAAAGTCCCCTTTCAAGTCCATCTGGTGTCTCCATAAGGCGATCAAACAAAAGCCACCCAGCCAGGAGATTAAAGCTTTCGGCGATATGTCACCAGCGGGTTCACGCAATGTCTACACTACCACAACTATAAAACACGATTTCAAGACTCTTCAAGACGTATACACCATTTGGCGCGAGGCCATCCCTTCCATCAAGCACGTGGAGAACTCCAAGTTCGTCCTCGTCTTGCAGCTATTGCTCCCGCAGTGGCTGAATAAAGGAGACCCCAACATACTGGGCCTCGAGGACTGCAAGGACGCTCTCGTCGTTATCGAGATCGTCAGCGACTGGAAGGACCCCAAAGACGACGATCTAGTGCGGGCGACAGCTCGTTGTTGCATCGAGAAGATGGAGCAGGTTTCTGAGGCGAACGGAGCAAGCCATCCTTTTCGTTTCCAAAACTATGCAGCGGAATGGCAACGACCGGTGGAAGGATTTGGGACCGAAAACGTGCGGTTCATGCAAGGCGTGAGCGCAAAGTATGACCCAGATGGTCTTTTCCAGACGGGGAGCGCGAGGGGGTTTAAACTCGATGCTAGCGATAAGACGGCGAAATGAACTCTGGCGAATGGGCGGTCTAGCTGGTATTTTCACGTTTGAATATGTCTTTTTCATCAGGATGCTGGAGGCTTCGAGAGGAGAGTCTAGCAATACCAAGCTCCTTCCCTGGCTAACTGAGGAGCACACCTGTCAGCATCTGTGATCGCGTGTACCTACATAAGCTTACTAAAATGTGGAGGAGCAGTCCTTGAATCTATTCCTACAGCTCAAGGCATCCCCCAGGAAACAATAACACCAATACTCATATCTATCCCTCCCTTCTCCAAGTTTTTATGGAAAGAAAATAAACGTATTCCATTATTGTGGAGTGATAGCATATTGGACTCTAAATTAATCCCATTCTACAAATTTAACCTTACAGATCGGATAGAGACCTGAGCCACCTCATCGAAGGTAAAGTGGTGAAATTTGCCGGTGGTGGCGGCGGTTGAGTGATCTTCTGCGTGACGATGGGAATCCCGGCTTTGGTACAGTTTGTATAGGTCATCGCCTTGCATACCCTATCCGGAACGCTTTAGCTCCCATTTAACTGGCTCAATTGTGCCCAAGATGATATTGCAATAAGCGTAGCGGTCGTTTTCCTATTCTAGAACTTTTTCTTCGTTTCCTTCCGGCTCTAAAGCTCCCTCCTCGATGTGCTCAAGTATGTCCACAGCTCCCAGTAGGGTCTTTATCGACCGCAGCCATTCATCGTAAGTTTTCTTGACCTCGTAGCATGAACCGTTATCATCTTCGGTTGGTGCTCGGCAGGCGGGGTTTGCATCGCTGCCAACTTTTCTCGTATCCCTTCTCCGTGGCTCTCCATACACTCGGGGGTGGCATTCATCTTGGCCAGTAGGCCGTTTGCGCTGGCCTCCATCGTGAGGGGATGACGGTTGATTCGTTCAAAGAAAGAAGACGGGGGTTCAAAGAGGAAAACGAGGGAAAAAAAAAAAGGCTTTTCTGCTGGCCATCGGATACTCTTGAATTTATTATATATTGTAAGATTTCTAATACTCCCTTATTCTAGGCTAGATGATCTATCCGCTCACTTTACGATGGAGCGTACCCTAATGTGCTCGGGTTCGAAACCGCTGATTCTAATGCTGGATGATATCTGCGTGACGTAGAGCGAGCAGCTGCTAGCTGGCAGCTGGTGCTTATGCATTTATGCAGCTCACGTGGATTTCGGACCAATGCCCGATACACTCGCTGGCCTGAAGGTGAAGGATAATGCGACGATGAGCGTAACGAAAAAAAAACTGCCACGGTCTGACCCAGAACCCGCTATAGTATAGTAGTCATGTCCACGAGTACTGCCTTCCAGCACTGTCGTCTGTCGTATGCGCGCTCAATCCGACTACTAACACTCCTCCCATCCTCTAGCCTCACGGCCGCCTTGGAGATTACCTTGACAGAGGCAAGCCTTGACAGTATTGTCTCACCGGGGGGAAATGGCTTCGAGGCACTTTCCTACGTCTGGGGGTCGCCATTTGGTACGGTGCCTATTTCATGTGACGGCCAGCAGCTATTGGTGACGCCAAACTGCGAGTCTGCTCTTCGACATCTACGACTGGCAGGCCAAGATCGTGTCTTATGGGTCGACGCAATCTGCATAGACCAGGGCCGCAGTGCTGAGAGCGTGAAGGAGCGTAACATACAGGTGGCGCTCATGGGAGAAATATACCAGAAGGCCGCGCGCACGCTGTGTTGGCTAGGTCCGGGAAACGACTTCACGACGGAGTTAATGGCGCACCTAGAACGCATAGGGTCTTGTCCTTCGCAGCGCGTCTTGAAAAAGTTGTTGCTATTTGACTGTACGTCAAGAAATCGTCCTTGAAGCTGATGCATGGTGATTAACGCATTTTACTTTGGCGGAGCCGCAGCAAAACTCAGACAGCAGGGGAAAATAGACTCAGACTCTTCTGCTCTCAACCACATATTCTGCCACCCCTGGCATTCCCGCATCTGGACAGTACAGGAGGCGAGTTTTTCTCGCGACTGTCGCCTTGTGTGCGGAAAATGCAGCATCTCGTGGGATACCTATTCCAAAGCAGCTCATTTTCTGGTGTTTGAAGAATTCATTGAGGAGCTCGATCCTCAAGCACACAAGAGCTATATTGGAATTGGCATGCGGGATACTCTACGAGATTATCTTTGGGGCCAAGTGCCCCCGGAGCTGGACCCTAGTCGAGAGAATCTAGACGATGAGCGAGACCGAAAAGTCGTATTCCTATCCTCTTGTCTCGCCGAATGCCGCCATCTCCAGGCGACAGAACCGAGAGATAAGATCTACGGGCTGCACGCATTGTATACGAAGCTGGGCATTCGGATGCCAGCAGTGGACTATTCGAAACCGCTGCCGCGCGTCTATGAAGAAGCTGCCGTCGCCATGATCATGTGGTCACACACACTAAAGGTTCTCGGGGATGCGTGCCATAATCACACTTCTTTCCCAAGCTGGGTACCCGACTTCTCTGATGCTGATATCAAAATCTCTACACCGTCGGGTGACGCAACGGGGGGTTCCAAAATTACCATACAATTACCGACAGTACTGAATCCACGATCCGGAGAGCTCTGTGTCAGAGGCAAGGTAGTTGGAAGAGTTGTGACTTGGGGGGGCGAAACCCCGGCTACCATCGTCTTTCCGACGCGGCCTGAGCAATGTGAATTGGGCATCCTGACCAGGCCGCTTGATGGTCTCGTGGAAGAAGTTGATACCTTGCGTCTCTTGGTCGATAAAATTAAATTCTTTCGCCAGTTGTACCGTCTCTTGAAAAACAACATGGAGTACTGCGGCGGAGACGTCGAAGAAACGTTTCTCGACCTTCTGAGCCAGGACAGCTATTCCGAACCAAGCCAAGTTTTCAACATCTGGCTAGACATTCTAGAGTACCCTGACACGAAATACAGCCTGAAGGCTGGGGAGGACCAAGTGGCAAAGTGGCAGAGGGCCGAGGCAATGGCAGGAGTAGCAGGGTGGACTGCAGAGTTGACAAGCTGCGCCATCATCGCAGCTTCGTTACTATCTAATCTGATTCGGCATGGCGAACGTCTTCTGGATTGTACTCCAGATATTCTCAACATGATCATCCACTTGTCCGCCAATTTGAATGACAAGGCGTTGATATTGGTACGCCTCGACTCTCTCCGAACAACGGCCCTCGCCACAGGAGTTTCCTCGGTGCAAGATGGAGACTCTGTGGCGTTGCTGGAGGGAGCCGAGTGGCCCGTCATCCTGAGGGAAGCAGGGAAAAGAAAATGGTATTTCGTTGGCCCAACGTTTGTGCCCGGTATTATGGATGGTGAACTGTGGCTGGATGAAATCAGAGAGGTCGGCGGGACGACCGACTTCTGCGACTTTTGTCTCGTCTAGGACGTTAGTATTCAAAATTCTCGATAAATCCGGTCACTGCTTAGGTATTGTTGGAGTTAGAGTTCACGCACAGGAAGCGCGAGACTTCAGTAGACCTTATTTTTGGAGGCATTGCTAAACGCCTGCTACGGCCGTTTCTTCCCAGCGCCCGCCACGGCGCGGTCGTCACTACGATGCGGTTGTCCAGGGTTAAGATCGGCCGCCTCATTCTCTGGGGAACCTGAAAGCCCTCGAAGACGGCCGCGGAATTCTGTCGCACGCATCGAGTCGGCGAGGCTTGCATGAAGGGACGTCCACTGCCGTCGTAGAGGACCGGGCTTTTGTATAGCCTCAGGTATACCTCCATGCGAACTAAGGCCAACTCAGCAACGCCGAGGCCATGTACGAGCGAGCACTCCGAGGTCGTGAGAAGGCGCTTAGGCCGGAGCATTGGATTGACGACGAGGGGCTGGTTGGGTAAAGATTTATATCGGGCGTGAGTCGGCCTCTCCTCAGTGGGTTAAATGGTCCCGAGGTTGGTAGATTTGTGCCAACCATAGAATGGTAGGTATCATCTAGGTATCCTACATTTAGAGTCTTGTTAAATGCAAACACCTACGAATGACGAGACTGAACCTTGGGCTCGTTGGGCAGCAACTCAATCGGAAGCCCACGTGGCAACGTGGCCAACTTTGTAAAAGGCATGCTCAATCCCACCGTGAAACACAAAATCACTCAGTAAATCACCATCATCAACCATCTCACGTCTGTGGCTCATTCCCCCTGACTGGTTACAACCCCACCTCAGCATGGCCATGACCGTTCCTCGCGAACCTCCCTTTGAGCCATTACCCGCAGACACTGTGCGGACGATCGTGCTCCATCCGGGGTCGCAATCAGATCCATTACGTTGCCATTTCAGGCTGCAGAAAATTCCCGCATCGGAGAAAGGAGATGTCCGGCTTCCATACGAGGCTTTATCCTATACTTGGGGAGAACCTACGTTCCCCCAGCGCATTGCCTGCAGACCAGCTAGCTCAGCACCCTCATCCTCATCCTCCTCGTCAAGAACGACGACGATCCTCGGAAAACTCCGCAGTGGACAGCCGTTGAAGTCTACTGAACTTACAATTGCCATAACCCAGAATTTATATGATGCACTGGTACATCTACGGCGACGATGGACACCCCGAGAACTCTGGATAGATGCCATCTGCATCAATCAAAAGGACGAGGCAGAAAAGGCAGCACAAATACCCCTCATGGGTCGAGTCTACTTCCTCGCTAAACGTGTGATCATCTGGCTGGGACCTTCCGATGAGCAAACCACTCAAACACTGGCACTTATAGAAATGATAGCCATAACTGCCAAACTTGAGACTGGGCTCCGCCGACCTAGGCTTGACGACCTCGAACTTGAGGAATTTAACGAAGTGACACATGCGCAGAGGAAATTGCCATCGTGGATACCTGAAATAGAAAAGTGGCAAGCACTCGGCGCTTTTCTCTCCAGGCCGTGGTTCTCTCGTACTTGGATCCTGCAAGAGGTCATCCTAGCTCGTGAAGCCCTTGTTCAAGTCGGCGGTAACTCAATAGATTGGGCAGACCTCTGTACAGCAGTAGTATTTCTCGTGCAGAAATATTTCTACGCTTCTATACCATCCCGAGCAAAGGAATTTAAGTCTGTGTCTAGATCGGCTTCTACTCCCTTGCTCGATTTCACGATGCATATGGCCTACCCTATGGAGCGATCCCACAGTACGTCCAATGGATCTTTGTTCGCTACTTGTGTCTACCCACCAGTACCAAGCATCTGTTCCAAGGGATAAAGTATATGCGCTTCTGGGATTGGCGAACGAATCCGATGTCCTTATTGATTATGAAGTGGAGCTTCGGGAGGTGTATGTCGATGTTGCGCGCTACCTTCTTCACCAAAGCGATGTCAATTCAAGATCGACTTGCCTGGGATCAATGCATCACTATCCCGACATTGATTCTGAGATTCCGTCTTGGGTGCCAAAATGGCATGTTCAATTACGTCGTGTTATGATTAATGGTGAAGCCGCAGATGAGTTCAAGGCCGGAGGAAACAAGGATGTCGAGATTCCGAGACATCCTCTCAATCCCTCTGTTCTGGAACTCACTGGATTTATACTCGGAACTGTCGAAATCTCACACAAGATTCAAGACTCCAATGATACACCACACATCTGGGATCTCCTCATCTTCATGCGCAATCTCCTCCACGATCATACGAACCATCCCACAGGGGAACCACTTGACAAGGTTATCATGTCCACGATCACCCGAGTCAACGAACGTAATGAAATTCGGTCGTTCCATGACTTCTTTGTTGACGCCTACTATGACATGCTAGAATATCTAGCCTCCGAAGCAAAAGAAAATGAAGCCGCAGCTATGAGGGAAGAATGGCAGGCTGAAGTCTCCATGTTCGTGGCAATTTCTCAGGAGCCCCGGGACCCCAAACCACGGGAGACGTTCCACAGGGAATACAAAAACACGTTAATGGAGAGGAGTATTTTCCGGACTCAAGAAGGCTACTTGGGGCTTGGGCCATATATCACACAACCTGGAGATTTAGTGTGTGTTTTGTTTGGCCTGAATGTTCCCTATGTGTTACGAGCTGTGCATGAGGGGTTTTTGCTTATAGGTGAGTGTTATGTTCATGGTGTAATGCAAGGCGAGAAACTTGAAGAGGGTAGGTGTGAGGAACGGGTCTTTAAAATAAAATAGGCATATTTTCTCTCCCCTTTTGGACTATAGGAAGTTTGGTTGTTTAATATACGATGAGGTAGGACTGTCCAATTCCGCGGTCGTCCCAATGTTGCAAAACAGCCATTTAGTAGAGGAATGAATCATTGAACTTCATGATCGGCAAACCATCGGGGATATCACGGTATTGCTGATTTGGGGAGTTCGCAAGAAGTAAACCTATACCAGGTTTTAAATGTTATTTTGAGAGATCAGATCCACCACCTGACCTATCAAATGATAGGTACTGAATAAGTATTTTCAAACAGAAACTATTAGATGATATACTTGATTAACACTCGATCTAACATATGCCCGGTGGCAGTGAGGATCTCTCAAGCTAACGTTTAAAACCCTGGTATAAGGTTACGAAGTGATAGCATATTGAGCTCTAAGTTAACCCTACTCTACCAAATTTAACCTATGAAGATAGGATAGAGACTGATGAATAAATAGTGTCTCTTTCGGACGGAAGATCCTCAACTTTTTATCCCACGTCGCTTTTTTTTAACTTTTTAACAAAGACAGCAACTCATTTAGCCTCAGGAACTGGCCGATGTCCGCTCTTCGCGCAAAACTCCGCCATCTTCTTCATCACCTCAGCACTCCTCGAAGGCCGAACCGTTTCCATCGCTTGCCGAAAGTGCGCCGCCGTGGTCTTCCGCAGCGGAATGCCCCCCTGGACCTCCCCGCGCGTGTGGCTGTCGACGATTTGCTTGAAGGGCACCCACTCGGCATACGCGGCCGCGACAGTAACGAGCTGTATGAGTTCCGAAACCGAATAGACGGCCGTGCTCGCGGCGATCCCGTCGATGCTGATATCGTCGCCCAGAGGTTCGCCCTCGAGACGGGTGCGGAGAATACGCTTGCGGGCTTCCACGTCGGGGAGGTCCACGTAGGCTCGAATTGTGAGACGTTCGAGGACTGCTTCGTCGATCTCGTACGGGCGGTCGGAGGCAAAGATCACGATGGGGTTGTTGGTGTCGGAGGCGCTGCGAAGGTCGGCAAGGAATCGGTTAACGAGTCGAGTGTGTTGTTGAAATGGGAGCCCCGAACGGGGACCGAACAGGGAATCCGCGTCGTCGACGAAAATTACGCTCGAGGGCTTGCTCTTCGCCTCGAGAAAGATGCGTTGCAGCTGCTTCTCCATCCCAAAAGGCGTGACGGATTGAATGTCGGCCATGGTAAGAGATACGAGAGTGGCGTCGAGGAATTTGGCGATTTCTTCAACCATGGTCGTCTTGCCGGTGCCAGGAAATCCATACAAGAGGAGTCGAGGAGTGGGTGCTCGGGCAAGCGCGCCGAAGGCATCTTTGGAGGGGACGCCACGCACGAGGATGGGCATCAGCTGCCTTGCTAGCTGCCTGGTCATGCGCGTGTGCTTGAATGACGCCCAAGCACGAGTCCGGAGGATGTTGGCGAGTCCGGCATCCATTTGGGCCAGAGTATTGGGGGCCCGTGGGCTGCCAGGGGAGCCCGGTGCCAGGTTTGGGGAGGCCATGGTTTTCCGTACGCAAGCACCTTGATGAGATTAGGATTAGTGATACGATATGGGCGTCGATATGGTAAGGAAATAAGTGTAGGGCCTGACTTCGAGGTCATGGTGAGTATTGCAAAGCAGGAAGATGTTGGGCACCGCAGCGGATTTCTATGCTGTCGTTTCCCATACCTCGAGAAAGCTCGGGATGGGGGATATTTGATGGTAGGCAGGTGTATCCTCTTGAACAAAGGACCCTCAAAAATCATCCGTTGTAAGAGCAGCTAAAGAAGTCTCAAAGCTGGGATTGAAAAGTTGGCCATTCTTTAACCGGGTTCAATTCTCGTCGATAACAAAGGGGCGTGTACGCCCAAATGCGGTTTGCCATCTTGGCCTGAGATTGAATGCTCCTCTCGCCTTCTTTGTCCTGGCAAACCCGTCTTGGATTTTCTTTGAGCGCATCAACAAATGGCCAACGTTGGAGGCCTGAAACTTCCCAAACCACCCTGCTTGGTGTTCCAATCCGTCAGAGCCAAGGCATTCCAGTGGTCAAAATAACGCATCTGCAGGGCTCGCTGGCTCTGAAGTCTATGGGTAGAAGTAGAATACACGCTAATATCATCGCTAGCATAAAGTACAACCGGGGCCTAGCCTCCACTAACTTTTTTCTCCTTTGTTCTTTTCTAGACCTTATGGCTTCTGTTTCTCGCCTCCAGTCCTCAAAGTTAGACAGCCCCCCACCTCTCCGTCGACGGCTGATTCTCATGCTGCTGAGAATACCGCACAGTCACCACATCCGTTCTCACAATAACGCCGTCGACTGGCTTCGTCAACCTCCCTGTACTATCGCCGGGTCCGATCTGATTATGATGGTTATTCTCGTTGCCGCTGAGGATGTCTTCCTGGCTGTCGTCTTTGACGATGGTGAGACCTAGTTCGTCGCGGAGTTTGGACTTGGGTTTTCGCTGGCCGAGCTCGTAGCCGGCCTTACTGCCTGTGCTGTAGTCTTCGAAGTAGCGGGGAGTGCGTTTGGTGGACTTGTTGGAGCTGAAGGGGTTGCGGCGCATGATGAGGTCCATGAGGGGTTGGAGGATGGGGATGGAGCAGGCGACGATGATGGTGCTCCCTTCGATGCTGCGCACGGATTTTCGGTTAGAACGGTGATTTTGATTAGAGATGGGTTGGTACTCTTGAATACTTACACGGTCCAGATGACGAGGTCGGCAGTATCGTCTAAGAAACTGGTTAGTATCCGCGGTTATGAACGATGTCTGCGTTGACAGTTGGACGTCTGCCTAACTTACACGAAAAGTCTGGGCTCTTGAGAGAGGGAATTCGAGTCGTCTTGTAAATGGCAACGACTCCGGAGCTAAAGAAGTATTTTAGCAATCACCGTTCTGAAATAGCCAAGTTTGCCCCCAGAGTTCGACGTACATGGAGCCAATGCCCAAGGCAACACAGAGCGCAATTTTCTTGCGAAGAGAGAGTTGAAGCTGGAAGAGGACGACGGTCGGGTAGATGGCGAGGTAAAGGTCAACAAAGGCAGAGAAAGCTAGAGTCCTGTTAGTCCACCGCTTCAAATGGAATCGATCTCAGGCGCCTGGTAGCGGAAGTCAACTTACAACCGGCATAGATACAGTAGCCGACCAGAATATTCGGATCGAAACACTTCCCCTCGACAGAAAAATCCCAAAGGGCTCGCGCAGGCATGCATCGACCTAAGAGAACGCCAACGGTCGCAAACAAGGTCAATTGGCACCAGATACCCATCCACCACAGAAACCACCGATGATAACGTTGCGGATTCAACAGGCGCTGGAGGAGCACGACGACCGCCATCTTGGGGAGACCGAAGGACAGGACGCCGGGGCAGAAGGCAACAGTCGTCCAGAGGATGGCGCCCGTTTTCTGCTCGGTCGAGAGGAGGGAGAAATGCTTGCCGTTACCGGATGCCACTGCCATGGTTGAGAAGGCGGTCGAGATCCAACTGCATATCTATCGAGAAAGAAGCACGCTTAGCATCACCAATCCACCCTATGCAGGTACATAGGTCGCAGAGGCACGCCAAGAGAGGGCTCGGACGGTATTCGGATTGGGCTGGCGCGCTTACCTGTGCGGCGACAGTGAACCAGTCATCGCTCTGCAGTTTTCCCATAATCTTTCCTCTGACGTAGAGACGGGCAATGACGAAGAGGGTGCTGAAGGCTGTGACGGCCCAGCATATGGCGATTGTGTAGGGACCTTTGTCCTGGGCGGCCCATTCGGGCGAGCCCTCTGGTGGGTTGGCCATCCGGGGCAGAAAAAGAATGAGCGGCTCTTCCAGTTGATGGATACAGCCTCGGACGAACGAAAGGAAAAGAAGTTTAAAAGTTCTCAAAATAGGCGGCACTGTTCTCGGCTTTAAAAAAGGAAGGCAAAGGAGTCTAGCCGCGTCTTAGGGGGCGAAAAGGAGAGTCTGGCGATGGTAACATTCCCGGATTCTGTCAAGTCTCTGATTCCTGGGTATCCTGGCATCTAGATGCTTCCAGTGTATCAGTCTTTTTTCTTGATTTATATTTCCCGTCTTCCTGGTTTTGAGAAAGCGAGGTTCCTTCCACGGCTGGCCAATTGACAATGGATTTTCTTCAGTGAGAGACAGTGGGACAGTGGTAGCGGGAAGAGGTTAAAAGGTCAAATGCCGATCCATATACAATACATTATGCGACACTCGAGCTTCGATGGAACCTCGTTAACGACCCAAGGCTCGAAAAAAAAAAAAGAAAAAACCGAGAAACAGGATAAAGATGCTGGCCTATTGATGCTGTTTGGTTGAAGGCCAGGAAGGCAAGTGTCATATCAGGGGGAACGGCGAGGCACGGAACGCATGGGTTGATGGGCACCTCGTCATTGGCCTTTTCCAGGAGTCTTGGCGAAGGGAAAAACGGTCTTCTAGCCAGGGCTTAGGGGAGAATGCCTGTCCGTCATCACCTCACACTTGCTCCCCGGGGCTGACCATTTCCTGGTATTCCCGACTCAATGTCCGATGTGCGTGTTCTCTTCGTGGTCTCCAGTACCTGTGATGTAGTAGTTGCCAGTGGAGTGAAACGCAGACTGGGGTTTGAAGCAGGTAACAATTCAAGGTAATGACAAAAGGCCTGCCGATCATCTTCCTTTCTGGCAGGATGAGGCTTCAGCACCCAGAATAAGTCCTCAAGGCGACTAAGGAGACACAGGATCAAGTTGTCACATGTACGGAAGCCCGGTCCATGGAGAACATACTACACAAATTCGGTCGAGGAGAACAATATTTCTTATCTTGTGCAAATTATCCTTCAAGAATCACGCTGATTATGCAGGAGAAGCAAATTCCGCTGAGGCGAGAGAGGAGGGTGCCGAGATACCGACGAAATCTACCAGGATTCACAAAATACCAGGCCCGTACAGGGAGCCGCTGTCGGGGCCTTGTTAGAAGCTTAACTGAACGGGGAGGGTGGCGTAGTTGGTGGCTGACAGGACTGGCTGGGAATTGCTGTCAAGTTTCCTTCCACCGCATTCATCGTCGATGTATCCGTGCTTCCGGGTGGAGTCGTCGTTGACATTTTCGGAGAAGATGTGTGCGTGAAGTACTTCGTACCGAGGATGGCGGCTGGGAGGGGTTAAAGCTGCCTCTTTGATATCAGCTCACCGGGGGTCTCCGAAGGAGGCAGTAAGGTATTATTCCGAAGTTCCTATCTGACAACAATAGAAATCTCCGTTGTCATACCCTCCACTGACGTCGATTTGGGGTGTTCGAAGCAGCTCAAATACGAAGCTCGAAGTACAGCAGACTTGTTAGTTTTGACAAGTCGTGATCCAGAGGCCGGGTCCACCATGTTTCTGGTTGGAGACAAGCGTGATAGAGTTGGATATCCCCTCACGTAAAAGTCTTGGCATGCTCAGCTATTATTTATGGACGCAGTTTTGTAGCTGGTCAATCAGACCTTGACCCCTACTGGCAGGTCCCGCTGAACTGCAAGCGGAAGAATCGAATATGGTCGTGCCGTTGGCCCATATAGCTGACCAATATTCACAGGTTCATTTGAGTTCGGATCCGCTGCCAAAGCGTTGCTTCTTCCGGCCAGTCCGCTCACTGTTACAGGATAGAAAAAGACATCTCTCCCGTTAAGTCCACCCAACATTATCTCCTTCGGATTCTGCCACCTGAAGGCCCTTGTCGGTATCCTTGGCGCTAGAGGAAGATTAACACACCCATCTTGCCTATCTAAAAGCCCAAGTCCCGAGAAAATGATACAACTCATTACCGGGTATTCGCCTCCGATATTTTAAACTGGACTGGTGGCTTGTCGTCTCGCTACTCGCTCCAAGGACCGTTTCTCGAGCAAACTTTTACTTCATACTTCGCGCTTGTACCCATTGACTTGAGGTCCTCCAGAAAGGGCAATTTGGGGGAATAAGACATCCACTAATACACCTTCGTCCCCACTGCTCGTAAAAGACAGAGGACTAAGACCAGGGGGACCTAGACCCTTAATCCTTGAAATTTGGGCGTCCCCGACTCTTCCGCGGCCGGGGAAGAATTGCCTGCGTTCCAAGTGGAAAAAATTGGTTCCCTGCAACCGCCCTTTCCCTCTTTCGGACACCGTCCCTGCAGCGGAATGCAACTCCCCCGCCGCTGGTGCAATAGCCGAAGGATGAGAGGGAGGGCTAAGAAATAAGGTGGGCAGATGAACTGGACCAGAACCAATTCTAAATCACTAGAGTCGAGCTAGGACGGGTAACACCCGCCTACTTAATTTTTGGGTCAGGTCCACACTAGCGGCCGGTTGGGTTCGAACGACCGTTTGACTAGGTGCTAGAAGGATGGAAGGAATAAGAGCAGAATGTGGTCTAGATCAACTGCCTTCCCGTTTCTTTCAAAGATAATACTTAACCCATCTGTGGGAAGAGATGGATCAGTCGAAATGAAATGCGTGCGATCTCTTCAGTGCTTTGATGGAGAATCTCGGGGCATTATAAGACCGGCTTAGCCGGCGCTCCGCTTCAACCTTCGACGCGTAACCTCGTCCCCCTCTCCACGTTATCCACAACAATGACAAGCGTCCCACTGGGAGAAACAAGTTTAATTTTCTCTGAGGCTAGAGGTACCAAGGTACACACCGCCTGTTCTTAGGCAGCTTGACAGTTGGGAGCTGGATCAGCGAAATCTGAAATGTGACAGAAGCGTTCTGCCTGCCCAAAGAAATTTCATAGCGTAGCATTCCCCGTGAGGTTGCATCAAACTGATAAAAAGGCACCTCGACTTCGGTCCTACAAGTTTGAGGAAACGTTCATTTCTACAGTAGTTGTCCAACACGTGTTCAAGTCATGGAACATGGAGCGTACTTCGTGCAATGCGGAATAATTCGAGTCTCGCGGATGTCAAGAAGCAATCTACGAGCCTCCAACATTCCAAAAATAGCCCGAAACCTTGAAATACCTCTACTATGGCTCCTTCGGCTCGTGCAACCCGACCTAATCAACAAGCTTTGAGAGGTTGCTCCATGCGGGGAACCCATTGAGTATGTCTGCCTTTGCGTGTCACATCATCCACCGTCATCACTCCAATCCCCTTTCACCTGCATGCGACGCATATGTTCCCTGGTATCCAAGCCTGCCCCCACCACCTCCCCTCACGAAACCGGCTAGCCGAGTAGCATCAAGGCAAGGGTTAGACGTGTGGAGTCCCGCAAGCAATTTGATAGTCGAGAAAACTGCCACTTTCGTCGAGGCCTGGAACTGAAGCTCTCCCTCACAACAGCAAAGAGGCAAGATCCCCAGCATCAAGAGGTGAAAACCCAACGGCAAACATTGACATCCCAAAATGTAAGAGGTGATTTCGGATGGACAGAATGAGGATAGCATGTTCTGTCTCTTCCAAAACGGGGTCCTATGAAACTCCGACCACCTGAGAATGGTACCGAGGACGACCCCCACCGGGTCACTCCCTCTCTTTTATTCTCCTTGACGTCCTCCCCCTTTTCATGGAACGGCGACACCATCTCGCTTCACCCGCACTTCCCCGTCCCTCCCTGTGTCATCTCGTATTATAATCGTAGTATCTGGAACCCTACTCATCCCGCGTACATCCACCATCCTGCAGCGCAGCCTCGGGGTATTATCAAACCCAAATTAAGAAACCGGAGAATAAAGCAAGCATGGCTACCAACGGCACGACCCCCAACGGAACCAACGGCGTCAACGGCGATCAGCCCTCCGTCGACGTCTCCATCGCCATCAGCCCCAACAACATCGATGCCGTTCCCAGTCTCCTCAAGGACATCACCGCCGGTGTTGCTGCTCTCGAGACTGGCGGCGACGAGGCTCGCCATGACCTGCTTATCAAGGCACGCACTCTCGTGCAGTCTTTGGAGACGCCGCGGGAAACCATGGTCAAACACTGCTGGGCTCAGGTAAGAGGGTTCTCTTTTCCAGCTTCCCCACATGGCTTGTTCCTTGTGACCGCTAATATGCCATGTTGCCTGCAAGACCGGTGCCATGGCTGGCCTTTGTTTCGGTGTCGATGCTGGCTTGTGGAAGTTGATGGCCAAGAACGGTGACAGGCCGCAAAAGGTCAGCGAATTGGCTGAGGCTCTCGGAGTTGAGCCACTGCTTTTGGGTGAGTTTCTTTCCAACCCGCATCTCATTTCGGTCCACAAGCAGGTCCCGGGATCTATGCCGTGGATATGCAGGCTGAGACATCCCGCAGGCCGACTCATGCGCCATCTTGGTGCAATGGGGTATGTCACTGAGACTGCCATGGATGAGTATAAGCCTACCAACTACTCAAAGGCCATGAGCATTCCCATTATTGGTGACGGATATCTCGCTATGTAAGTAAAAATCTTCTGCATTACCTTTCAAGCAACTGTCAATGACTGGCATTGACTAACCATGTCTTGCGTTCCGTTCCCTCCCTATCCAGGCTCTCATGCACCAGCCAAGGCCCCCTCAAGTTCCACGAATACAGCCGCAAGCGAGGATTCAAGAACCCCACCGACGCCAAGGACACCTCCATGATGTACGGCTACAAGACCGACATGGACATGTTCGCCTGGCAACAGTCCCTCGGCTATGGACCGCACTTCAACAACCACATGGGTGGCTACCGCCAAGGCCGTCCCCCGTGGATGGGTCCCAACTTCTACCCGGTCAAGGAGCGCCTTATCGAGGGAGCTGACACTAGTCCGGAGGCGGCGTTCCTGGTTGACATTGGTGGGAGCGTCGGTCATGACTTGACGGAGTTCCATCGTTATCATCCCGATGCTCCTGGCAAGCTCATACTTCAAGATCTACCTGTTGTTATTGGCCAGATTCAAGACTTGGATAAGGCCGTTACTCCCATGGAGTATGACTTCCATACCGAGCAGCCCATCAAAGGTGAGGACCAAGCAGGCACAGCTCCGAAATATTTCATGCCATTCCAGTTTCGCGCAACACAAGTGGAAAAGTTATTGACTCACCTTCACCAGGTGCCCGCGCCTACTACATGCACTCAGTCCTCCACGACTGGCCCGACAGCGTCTGTGGCAGCATCCTAGGCCGCATCAAGGACGCCATGAAGCCCGGCTACAGCAAGCTCCTCATCAACGAAAACGTCATCCCGTCGACGGGGACCTACTGGGAGACTTCCGCCCTTGATATGGTCATGTTGACTCTCTTCTGCTCTTCCGAGCGTACCGAGACTGATTGGTATAACTTGCTCGAGAAGCAGGCTGGGTTGAAGATTGTGAAGATTTGGAGCGGTGGGAAGGGTGTTGAGAGCTTGATTGAGTGTGAGCTTCCTTGATTTTCAGGGCACTGAAGCAGGATACCGTTTGGCTCCGAAGGGAGGGAACTCGAGCACACGCACGTTGTATACCCGCCGACATAAGAGCAAACTTAAATGTTAAAAGACAATGATTGATGACGAAGGATCCGTCTCATGAAGTTGCGCCCATGATAAATGAATGATGGCAGAGGATCTTAATGCATATTTCTATTCCGCTATGGATGCGTTGAGGTACGAAATTACTTCTCCGAGGGAAGAGCATGGCTATGAAAGGTGTCTTGTGCAGCCATGTACATAGTCGACTTGACTGGCCGGTCTGCAGTAAACAAGGTAGCAACATTGAGCGAGACTAATTTACCATCTGACTTCCGAAGACATGTATCGGCACATGACCGAATCGCTGTGAAGTCATGAATTACCTATACGCGTGCAATGATATGGATTCAACAGACAGATCGACTGCGTTGGTTGTTGGTCCAGCTCTGTGGTCGAGGCCCCCGTCACGGACTCATGGCCCAACTAAACCCAGCCATCAGTGTGCGCCCAAATCCTTCGAGCGGATTTCCGAGAGCTCGCTTTATTTGGTGAGGCTCCACGCACGCCTTCCAGTCTCCTTCCAAAATCGCCCTCGATACAGCATATTCCTACACCGCTTCCAATGAAGGGTCAGTCTCGGTCACCAACACAGAGGACGGGAATAATTCACTTGCTCTCCAAGCATCGTATGTACTCCATCTCTGCGGAGGTCTCCACAGATTTAGGGTAGTAAGGCCCAAGTCATAGACGCCACAGGAATGCCTAGTCGGCCTCTGACAAGCACATCAGGCAGCACAGGAGACTGAAAAGCTCGCACCAAGACATTGTGCTTCCAAGAGCTCGGATATTTGCGAGAATTTTAATGGCTTTAATCTGAGCGTCTACAAGGCGAAATCAGTAGTGTGATTGAGGTTTGAATAGCTTTTTACAGGCAGAGGGAAAGAGAAAAAGAGAGTTGGGGTGGAAGTGGACAATAAGAAGAGGAGAAATTGATCCTTCATTACCATGGGGAAGGAGTATTAGGCGAGGATTCATCCGTGGTAATCTGATCTCATCTGCACCTTCCACCATCTCCGAGCACACGGGAGGAAAGGGATATTACAGGAAGGTGTGCAGCGGCTTGATGCTCGCATGTGCCTTCTACATTGTTCACGCTGCCTGCCTTCCTTCAACTTGCTGACTGCCTTGTGCCCATATCAACAACCTCTCCATATCTCCATAGACACCATGAACATCCATATCACTTTGATTTCATGTATTGGTATGTTGTTTAATTCGGCAATAATTAAATCCGATTATCATTGATTTCTAACTCTAGGACTGAGGTATTGTCCAATCCTCTCCTATGAGTACATCGAAGGAATCAGCGTAGACTAGGGGGTTGGCTACACGGGGCTCATAGTTGTCTCCCATGGGGTCTGCAAAGCGCACCATACCGCAGACTTCTCCACGATTGAGAACATCTGCTTGGGTCTCTTCTGCCCTAGCGTCCCATGAGCCTGTTCTCGCACACCACGCCGTCGTTCAGCCGCATCAGGGCAACATCGCCATCGCCCATATTCTCTCAGAGATAGCCGATTGTTGTGCCAAGAGGGTCGTCCAGAACGCCTTGCACGGCTCGCAAAGTTTTCCGCGCCGCTTAGTCCTCCTCCCGGACGAGTTTTGGAGGATACTTCCCGTCGTGACCTTCCTAGGTGTGCTAGGAACATGTGAGGCGTTTCTCCCTATGTCTCTCCACCAGTACACCGGCGGAGGTCGAAGAGTATACTCGTCCCGCCCGGTCCACAGAACTAGTCATCGTTCTAGGATAGAATTTGCCTAATGTGAAGAGACCAATCCCCTCTCGTTAGTCTTGTTGGGCCGAAGAGTACCGGGATAGGATGAAGTAGTAAAGGACGTACCGTCAGATTAGAGGTAGTCGGTCTTGTCGGCGACAAGCTTGTCTAAGACTGCCCCGTTTGGAGAGGCGATTCGCCTCCGTCTTTCCATGTTTGGAAGGGGACCATTGTGGTATTGCAAGAACTGATCCACGCCTTCAATACGCCCAGGACAGCTTTCAAAGCGTGCTGCGAACTCCTCGTCGCTCGTTTTGGGCAGTTCAACGACCAATGCTTTCCACATAAAGGACAATGCTTCGCAATCGGGAAACACATGATCTGCGAGGAAGAGGATGACGTCGTCGGGTGGGATTGTGCGTTCTTTTAGCGCCTCCACGATGGCTGGGTCCTCGATCTGAGCTACCCCCCAAGACCCCACTCTCCTAGAAACGGATGAAAGTGCATATCGTCAACTAGCTTCCAGATCACGATGAGACCAGCGACGGAGAATGGCCTTTCATTGGGGATAAGGATGTCACCGTCGCAGCCAAGTACCACATACGGCTCAGAGTAGTCTACGATTGCAACGTTAAAATGACCGCTGAGGTAGATGTCTAATGCCCTTCTGTCATCTTCGGAGATGTTTCGTAAGCGGATCGATCCATCAGCGCCCATGCAAGAGAATTCTTCAAATTCGAGGGCCATTGGTGCTATTAAGGGTAAACTTGAGGGGACGTGGTTCGCCATGGCGCTGAACGAGCGATCTTATGAGACTTGATGCGGTGAATCAGAATGTCGATGGAAGCCACACTCAGCGGTCGAGAAGGAGGTGGACACGGAATATGTAGAAGGTGTGGGGGAGAGAATCCGTCGACGCGATACGGGTAACGTAATTTACGGACTCCTCAATGAGGCGGAAGCGAAGGGTACTTGTACATCAAGCTTACGGAAAATTTGCATGTGATATTTGAGTACAAGTATGTACAGAGGTAGGGTTACACAACATGATGGATCAAGGACCATGACCGCTATTTTCTCGCTTCAGAGGCCGTTTTCCTGTTGTCGATTTGCCATCCGGCGGGGTTCCTGAGCCAGCCTCCTGAAGCTTTTGCAAGTAAATCTCTCAGTAACATCTTTTTCGGCCCCGCAATATGTGGCGATGCTAAGTGCAGTTCTGCGCCTGGTGTCGAGATAAACTAAATAAAGAATATCCGAGCAGCGTCTCGACTTTGGTCATGGGAAGACTGCTCAGTAACAGCATCTTGTATAGATAGACTCTCCGGCTTACGGAGCAATATAGCATTCAAGGAGCTCCAGGTCTTCAGTACAGAATCCTTTTTGTCACGAAGTAACTTAGTTACGATCAGTTAGTTATTTATACCTATAACTGCACAGAGCTCTATATCACCCTATAAGAGGCGGCATGAAGAATTACAAACTGTCATAGTATCTTTGGCCACTATCTATTATCTACGAGAGGTAGGTGGGTCCTGGGAGGCAATAACTTATGCGACTTATGCGCAACGCATGAGGCAACGGCGTCAACTTCTCTACCAATCCCCATTCTTCCATCTCCCTCACCCCTCACCCGATTGATTTTTGTGAGGCTGGATCCGCGCGTTTCCTTTGAGTTCTTGAGCCTGGACCGTTTGATCTAAGGTTGAATTTGTACCGGTGATTCCTCGAGGATTTAACCCATGCTCTGAGCTGGTCTTTCGACCACCTGGGCGGGAGGCTCTGGCTGTGTCGGAGAGTTTGACCAACTCGTCAATTTGATCCTACCTTGCCATATTAGCTTACACATAATAGATGCAACCGGCAGCAAGATCGATGAGCAAGGAATGCGAGAAATATTGTGTGGGTTGCGTTTGCAGGACTCATGTATGGGACACGCTCCATAATGTAGAAGAAATACTGCATCTCTTGAAAGTCGTAGCCAAGTTCCTGGATGGCTTCTCTAAGGATCTTCCCTCAACAGGGAGGTAGTGCAAATGGAAAAAGTTCGTTGTGGCTGTCTCTCTGGCCGCCTGCACAGCCCCGACGCGGAGTTCAGCTCATGTACCTCCTCTCACTCCCCCCTAAATCCCGACTGACATGGACACGAACCGCCCGAGGCGTACTTTCGGAGGCCAGGCTATCCCCAGAATGCACGTGAACGACATCTTGAGCCGCACTTTGGCTCCATCAGAGGTGGACAAGACGTGATGGTGGTATTATCCATGTCAAGTTTGAACGTGGGAGGGAAAAGAAATTAATTCTCTTTGGTCCTCAAGGTGTTGGTGCAACCATACAGGAGCACCACTCCATGCCACCGTACCGTACTCTATCATTGGAGGCTGCCTAGTCGCGTGGTATGATAGGCTGCTTCCTATCCTCCAGAGCTGGGAAAAGGGCAATGATGTGTCACACGAGTCGTCAGTGATGAAAGTAGCCCTGCCTTTTGTCATAATGCTGTTCCGTAGGGTAGGGCCAGCTGTTGAGCCAATTGTAACGGCAGCAGAGCAATCCTACTTCTAGCTGTGGCTAACTTGCCTCTTGCCTTCATTCTAGGCAGCAATGCATATGCGCCTCTCCCCTCCCTAGTATTTCATCCCCCTCATCCCCAAGACATCCATGGAAACCTGCGAGCGCCTGCCAACTCGAGGCTCGAATGTGAGAACGGCGGCTGGAAAGACACATTTCAGCAAACTTAGTCAAGGTGAGACCCGATAAATTCAGAACCAAGGGAAATTGGTGTGGATAACAGGACGGCTAGGACCCTCGATTAGTCTTCCATAATTAGTCCACCGTTATAGACACTGTTCGAGGAGCAGTGACGGGGCTATCTTTCCCGATTTCAGATCCCAGGTCCCTAGCATCAGCAAGATTTATTCAGTTCGCTATGTGCCTCCAAAACCCGAACAAAGAAGCCCCTAATACGGGGCCGGCATCCGCTCAAGAAGCGAGGCTTGAGGGGAGTCATAGTGCATCTGAATGTTCTTCGGTAGCTATGGGTGAACCCATACGAACCGAAACCACAATTTCACCGTCGAGTAACGAGCCGCTGTTGCCAGAAGAGGACAGCAATGCCGGAGAAAGCCCTCACGTGTACTCCGCCCTAATGAAACTGGACAAACTTCGTGCGGCCGACCCTCTTCTTCAAGATTCAGAGAGAATAAAGGACACCATAAATGAAATATTGGAGCCAGTGGATAGACGACAACCTTCCGGAGGATCTTCGGGGGCGGAAAAGAGTGAGAAACGAGACCGCTTGAACGGGACTGTGGTTGGATTCCTGCTCCGGAGATTGTCTGTTCTCCAAGCAGGCGAGAAATTATCATTATCACCATCGTACTCGCCTGACATCGACGATGGATCGTTCTCTGCAATCATCCGTGGCCAGCAGACCATGCTTGCGTTGAGCACTGATCCCATTCTTGGAAGGATGGGGATCATTGAACGATACGGATATACATTTGATGGAATTTGTAAGTACGAATTCTCTACGTGCCTGGTGTAGCGTATTCACCTTAGCCTGGGTAGGTCGTGTCTCTCGAGAGTATTGCCTAGATACTTGGGGCGATGCCTTTTCTGAGCTCTTGAAGGAATCTGACATAGAAGTCTACAGTAGTAAGTTAGTTCATGTAGGATCTTATGGTATATTATCTCAAGCTAACTGCCTAGGTAGCCGACTAAAACTACCTATAAATTTGCTTGGATGCGCCAACGAATTCAACATTCTAAGTGACTCCCTCAATTTCGCACCTTTTATTAGAGTTCGATTGCAGTCAAGGTACCCCAATGGACTAGCCAGAAGGGTCTTCACCGGTGTTGGTTCTAACACCGAGACCCCTGTATCCAAAGGAAAAGGTCAAATGTTGGAAGATAACTCCTCATTCTACCGTACGCTTCGATGTCCCAGAGAAAATGTACCACTCTATACTAACGGGAAATAGAGTTATCGTTCTTCCTGCCTTTAATTGGTTTTAGAGACAAGGCCGAGAGTATTGTTGATAACTTAAATAACTTAGCCAGCCAGCAAGGGAAAACTTGATGGTCTAAAAACGAACCGCGTTCTGTTACCCGAGCTTAATGTCAGCCTTGAAGAAGACCAAAATCTGTTTCATATGGAATACGATTGTCGCTCAAGGAAGGTCGTTCTTTTCTTGACGAAGTCTCTGGCACATCCTTGGAGAATTACAGAAATATGTCAGAGAAGCGCAGATCTGGATCTAGGCGGAGATTGTTTTGCCTTCCTTGTCTAGGTCCTCTCAGCAGTCGTCGGTGAATTAGGAATAACTGGCAAGGAGTATTTTGAAAAGCTGGAAGAGGCGGTGAGTATTACCTTTCAAGGGTGCCTATTCAAATTCTAACACGTCTACCGAGTTTAGGAGGCCTGGATCCTCTCCTTGAATGAAAACAAGATTGATCTTGATCAAGGGCTAAAAGCCAAGCGTTATATGCTTGAACTACGGAAGCTACGCCCATTTCAGTCACGTATAATCAGCGGATACAAGTGTCTGCAGAGGGTGGCAAAAGAATCTATTGATGAGCATGCTTCGGTCCGAGAGTTTCTTGACATCCCGAAGTCAACGTTTATCCGAGTCGATAAAAACCTTCGAACAATACTGTAGCATCATGGGCGGACTCGATAGTGATGGATATGGAATCAGTCATAGACAGAGTGGAAAACTGCTTATCGACGGTAAGTATATAAAGAAGAGAGGTGAATAATTATTCCAAGAGCCCTAACGGTTGCTCCTACTAGCTATCGTATATTTTCAATTTAAAGCACGATCAGGCCGTCGATGTCAATACGGATACGATAAGAAGGATAGCGGAGAGCAGTCAGGATGAGAGCTACACCATGAAGCAGATTGCCAAATCCACAAAGCTCGAGAGTGACGCGATGAAGTCAATAGCCGTCCTGACAATGTTCTATCTACCGGCAACCTTCGTAGCGGTGCGTCTATCAAGATTGCTCATTTGCAGAACTACGGCTAATTCACCAACGATCCAGACGTTTTTTAGCATGGGGTTGTTCGATTTTAAGTTCAACGATGAGGGCGGGGGAATCCAAATCGCCCCTCAGTGGTGGGTGTACTTCTTGGTGACTGTGCCATTGACTATCGGAACCTACATCGCGTTCTACATCGCACGGGACAAACCACAGAAGAAAGGGTCGGAGTCAGTGGGAGCGCAGAGAATTCGGTAACAGGGGGTAGATCTCGGAGTTGGAGCTCGAGCATTGGAGATTCAGCGGCATATATTTACGGATGGGACCAGCTGTTTACTTGGTTCGGTCCACAGAATCAGGGCCCGGTTTGGAGGAATGGTAGCCAGGCTCCGGAGTCTAATAAAATACAAGGGAAGCCACAAGAATCATGTCCGCCCATTCTGCATTGTGCGGACAGATTACGAACATTCCGGGCTGTTAATTGTCGGGAGTATAATAACTATGCCTACCTGTTTAGAGGAACATGTATCATCACAGTCGATCCGATCCGCTAGAGCCCTCCAGCGCTCCCCGAAGGCGTCACAAGCAATTGTATAAATTGCATTGAACGTTCCAGCCCCGGTAATTCCGACATCCACCATCCGAGGAAATGGCTTTACCTTTAGAGTGCGGAAAGTATGGTGCTCCTGACCATTCGTTCAAATCGCAGGACACTGCGTTCAAGCCATAATCAAACTTGGCCTCTTCGTGAGGCAATGGACGGGGTAGTTTACTCGACAAGCCATACCTTCCGAGTCCAAGATACTATAGAATTCATCAGCGATAACGCCATATGTATGTCTTGCGTTGACTTTGGGATAGAGTATTGTTCGAAGGGCGCTTCCGGTTATTGATGGTTCCTAAGGGATGCAGACGATCGCGACAACCCGTTAGCCTTGTATTGTGATTGAGGTCGACTGTTGAGTCCCGTGTCTAGAAGTGAACTGAGGTTTGCTGGACTGAGTCGCGTAGGATAAGCATCATAACAGATGACTGAAGTACGTAAATGGTGTCATTGCATTCCCCAGCGAAGGGTTTGGGCAAAGCCAATAGCTCTTGTTTATGATCCTCAATAACGTCGCAGATCGGTTCCTCTATGTGAATTCTTAAGAACGTATGGTTGGAGGTTGTCAAGTGCAGATGCTGGGCGAGAGGAGTCCCACGAGGACGCTCTCGTGCCTTCAACATTGAAACGTGCGCACCCACGAAGCTTGTCGAGAGGCGTATTAAAACGGGACACACACAAGACGGTGACGCTTGCTTTCCCGTGCGTGCATCCGAAGACGCGCAATTTCCAATTTTCTTTCTGCAAGTGTCAAGGTTTTTGGTTTGATCATACCGGGGGTTCGTCCCGGACTGCCCGCGGCACGTCTCACAGCTGCAGGTGTGGGCACGGGCGTCAAATCAGAACCGGGGTAGACACCGACACGAGAAGAAGAAGCGGGAGGGAGGGGATCAGGGGATGGCTTAGGACAGCGTGAAATTCAGAACAATTGAATGAAGCAAAAACGACTGCCTCCACTTGTCGTCCTTCGGCTCCTCTCCACATTCTTAATCCCTGACTCGAAGACTAAATAAACTATATACCTATTTCCCCACAAATGCAACGACCTTCTGGGGAAAGAAATAAACTTGGCTCGAAAAGGGTTAGAATGTGGAGCCGATTGGGCTTGATCACTGATGGCTCTCACTCGAAGTTGGTGGCAGGGGAGCCCTTGCGCCCAACCCGGTGGGGTGGCTGTCAATGGTTTCGAGAACAGACGGGGCCTCGCGGGAGGCTTCCCGGACTCGCATCTACCATGGTAAGATGCAAATATTGGTTCGAGACATGCATGGATGAACGCTGCGCGGAATGTGGAGCCGTCGATACACCCATCTCTAGCTATATGTTTCGAAAGCTCCCGCGTCTGCATCTTAGGGTTTCATGACTTCTTTGCTTCTTTATTTTCTCTTCTTTTCTTCTCCATTATGCATCTCCTCTTCGATCCCAATTGAACGAGACAAACGTCGAGATGTCGTGGAAGTACGCGTTTTCGCTCTCCAAGCAGGAGGTCAAGGATGCCACGCCTCCAGGCACCGTGAGGCTAGTCGGTAAGTTTGGGATACTAGATCGTTAAATTGATGAAATTAGGTCCTATTAGAAATTATTTTATTTTTCGGTCCCGTTCTAACCGCTTTTCCCGTCCGCCCATATGAAGCCCACGATCCTACCGACGTCGAGCACCACCACGACGCCATCGTCAAATTTCCCATTCCCAGCGCAGACCCTGCGGATCCTCTGAATTGGCCTGCTTGGCGGAAGGCGGCTGTGCTGTTCGTCGCATCGCTTTACGCCTTTGTCGCAAACTACTGCAGCTCAACTATCGCGCCGGCTCTGCAATTATGGTTTACCACATTTCCAAATGAGCCGAAGCCATTCTCCAAGCTGACGCAGCTCATTGCCGTACGATAACTCTTTGACGACTCCTTTCCTGGATGAATTTATTTTGCTTTTCTTGAATAAATTATGAGTGGAAGGAAATCAAATCTTTCTAACCCAATGCTCACTAGGTAAACATTTTGATGCTAGGCGCCGCCAACCTCTGGTGGGTACCACTATCGAACTGGGCCGGACGTCGTCCCATCCTTCTTGTTGCCACCCTCCTCATGACGCTGTGCGGTATGTGGTGCGGGCTTGCAACGTCGTATGACTCTCTGCTCGCTGCGCGTCTTATCCAAGGTATCGGTGGTGCAGCCGCTGACACTGTTGCTCCGGCTCTGGTGGGCGATGTATACTTTGTTGACGAGCAAGGACGAGCCATGGTATGACTTCCCGCTACGGCGCGACACATTTCAACCGTATGGGAGAATTCTTCTCGGTTTGCTAACCCCGAATTTTCTTCTCTCTTCCAGGCCATTTACACCGTCATGCTTTCCTGTGGATCCATCGTCGGTGGCATTGCTGGCGGATACATCGGCTTTCGCCTCGGTTGGGCATACCTCTTCTGGGTGTCCGTGGCTCTCTCGGCAGCCTGCTTCCTCGGCGTATTCTTCCTCGTCCCCGAAACACTCTACGATAGACCGGCCCCTCCCGTGCAACCCAGCACGCCCTCGGAGTCGGGTGAGAAAAAGGAGGTCGAGGCCAACCACGACGAAGAGACCCGAGCAGAGACCTATCGACCGTTCACCTTTCCCCGATCTCTCACCTTCGGCCCCATCCGCGGGAATCTGGTCTCCCTATTCATCCAACCCTGGCGCACCCTCGCCCTCCCCGGCACCTGGGTCGTCATGCTGCAATACGCCGGCCTCGTCGGCGGGGTCATCACCATTTCCATCATCGGCGCCCAGCTCGTCTCCATGCCCCCTTACACCTGGGGAGCCCACACCGGTCTCATCAACATTGGAGGCATCATCGGTGCCTTGTTGGGCTGCGTGTACACGTACGTGCTCTCGGATTTGCTTCTGAGGAACCGCGCCAAGCATGACAAGCATGGCCTCTCCGAGCCGGAAGATCGCCTGCCCGCCGTGTTCTTCCCCTTGACTCTTGCCACGTGCGGATTCTTTATCTTTGGGTTCTGTGGGCAGTATCCTGGTGAGAATCGGTGGGTTGGGCTGCAGTTTGGCTATGGCATGATAGCTTTTGGATTGATGCAGGCTCCCTCGATCGGCTTCAACTACGTAGGTTTAAATCTTGCTTCGCCTGAAAAATGAAGAGCAAACGATACAACCGCTAGGATAGTGACTGATGTTTCTAAATAGCTCTTCGACTCCTACGGCCGTCTTGCACCGGACTGCTTCGTCGTCGTCACGATTCTGCGCTCCGTCATTGCGTTCGCTTGGACCTTTTTCGTGTCGGATTGGATTCAGCTCAGGGGGGCCGCAGAGGTTTTTGGCATCTTGGGCATGTTGATGGGCATCTTTGGTCTCTTGACGGTTCCCCTTTGGCTATTTGGAAAGAGGATGAGGATTGCCAGGGCCTACAGTAACTGACGATCAAACTTCCATTGATATACGTCTCACCCAGAAGAGGAATGTACGAGATTTACCATTGACTTGTCGAGCGAGATGGGGTAAATACACGTGATGTAGCCTGGGATTTGTTATCTCGTCATGATCGTATATTTTCAGAATATCAACAGAGTCAGTGATGCCTTCCAGTTTGTACTGGCCTGTTTCCCAGCTCCTTTATTACTTTCTACTATGTAGATTTCCCTTTCAGTCATACGTGTCGGATTAGATGGTCTTGAAATTGACAGATTTGTGCCAGCCGTAAATGGCAGCCCTGGATTCCGAAATGCGGTGGCCCCGGTGAACCGGGTTCCGCGGCGGTGGCACACCAGGGCTTCTCCCACCTTCCGTTTCCACCACCGTCTCAAACAATTAACCTAACTATAAAGCCCACCCCCAGGGCCACCTTTGTTTTAACAACGCTTACTCTGGGTCTCGTCAGCTGTCATATGATACAGCCGAAGAAGAATTGAGCCCCCTTAATTCTCGACTTCCATAAGACGAGTGGGACAGTGTTGGCGCGTGCCTTGGGCAAGCGCGGGCATTCCTAGCGATGGTGGAGACATGTCATCAACCAGTCCGTAAAGCGCAAGAAGTTGTCGTCTGAGCCGGCCTGTTCTTCCATGTCATACCGCCCAACACACTTGGCTGCGGCGTTGTCTAACATAGAAGTATAGAGTGGTCTGCGTCTAATCGAATCGGACGGGACTCGGTGCTCGCCAAGCCGCGCAAAGGAGAGCCGTGGCTTGCTGACACCTTCAGGTGCTTTCCCATGTCGGATGTTTTAACGTCGTGTGGGGCTGTCGGGGGCATGCTGGAGGCTAAGTTCTAGGAAATAACCCCTAGGAGCCAGGACCATGAGAATATCAGTGGAACTTGGCAGGAAGAGCTAGCTGAGTTCATACTAGAGCTTGATCTTAAGTTGACATTATTCGGAGCTGGCACTTCACTACCTTGGTAATCATTACCGTGAATTTAGGGTTCCGCTACAGCACGACCGCCCTTTAATGACTGAAAATTTGAACTAATCCAAAGAGGGGAGGAGTGCCACACCCATCCACACACAAAAATTTGTATCTTTATGCAAGTATTGAAGTTGAAGATTGTCACACGGTAGAGAAAACGATGCCTAAAGGTCTATGCCTGCATTATCCCTGCCCTCATCGGCGGAGGCAAGCTGGGTGGCATCGTCGACAGCAACATCTTCTTAGGGAGGGAGGCGCCTCATGGCTATCGCGGCTACGCTTGCCTTGTCCTGCGGAAAGCGTACCAGAGAGGCAACATTGTTTGGGCCATGATGACGGAGGAGGAGATTAGGGCGAAGTAACGCTCAGCTTGCCGAAAGTCGTTGGGCATCTTCTGTGATACTTCCTCCTCCCGTCTTAAACGTATCTCTCAGGCGTTTTCAGTCACGTAAGTAAAATTGTGTTTAGCTCGCTCGTTGAATCTCCAGATCCGACCTCTCCATGCATGCTCCCATGGACATAAGATTCCCCCAACAACTCGAATTCGCCCGTCCCCCGGGGCCGCAGAAGGTAAGGCGTTTGTGCGCCGGGAAACACCCAGACTTCGTCTCCGACCTTCAAATCCTTCGTCCCGAGACCGAGCTGGCCCTCCTTTGTGGCGAAGACAACCTTGCCCTCCCTGTTATACGAGATGTGCGCTACGAGCTTGTCCGCAGCATCGTCGTCGCGAAGAATGCATCCTGTTAGAATCGTCTGCCATGATACATTTCCCTCGATGCTCGCCGCACCCACAGCCGCCTTTGCCAATGACCTCCCTTCGGGGCATACTTCTCCTCGCGCCCAAGCCGAATCCAGATAGGGCAAGACTTTCTCCATCTGTGGTGGGAGGAGGATTCTATCGTCAAGGCAGATGTCTTCCCCGTCGCCGCCGTTCAAAAGTAGCAGTTGCGTAGTGTACATTCTGGAAATCGAGACCTTGAGCTCCTCCCAGTCGTAGGCGCCCGACGTCTCGGACTTTTTGAAAACGTCGCCGAGTCCGAGCTTCGGATCCGACATCAGGCCCGCACACATGACAAGAGTGTTGAGGGAATCCCTCCAGGCTCTTGTGAACAACTCTGCCGTGCCAGAAGACGCCGGATACTCTCTTTCGAAGGAATCTGTCACCAGCGTTCTCCAGAATACCTCGAACCGGGATTGCTCGGCTACGGTCCCCTCCCCGTCGATGCATACAACGTCGCTAGCATCCATTTCACCTTCTTCTTTCATTGGCCGGCCGGCAGTCTGCAGGTATAGTTTCAACTGCGGAGTTAAAGTGGGGATCCTTATCTGAGAGAATTTGGGGATGTTTTGAAGCAGAGATAAGAGAGACCCGTTGCCCTCGGTGGTGCCTAGATTGGGAAATCGTTCGAATTCGTAGGTTGCTACTACTTCCCCGATGCGGCAGCCCTGTAATCTGAGAGCGCCGTTTTCGAGAAACTCCAATTTACGATTTTTTCTCTTGAGCGAAGTCCCCGCCGTCCACAAGTTCGCCTTGTAGTAGAAGCTCAGGGGCGTCGGGACCATCGCGACCGTGAAATCGGGCACCCAGGATGGGAGGCCGGGGATCCTCGTCTGCGATGACGTCTCCTTGAGACTCAAATATTTGATCCCGTCATCGGCCGAGCATAGAAGATGCCGCATGGCGTCGGTGAATACCCCCTCGACGGACCGTCCGTAGTCAACGCTTGGAAGTTTGGGGGATTGAGTCACGTGGTCCAGAGCCTCTGCGAGCCCCAAAAAGCCGTAAATTTTGTCTCTCGGATCCGTGGCTACCGTTTCTCGAAACTGCGATACAATCTCGCCGAGGCCGTACTGTTCAGCTCGGATGATCGTACCTGCTTGGTAAGAGCGGTGATGGTACCCGAGGTGCTCAACGCGTAGGGAGACTATATCGGCGAGGAGGGTGCAGAATTGCATGTCCTGGTCGGGTTGGTAGATAGAGATCCTTTCACTTGTCTGCTCCTGAAAGGCGCTAACCTCCAAGCTGAAGGCGGTCGAATGCCCCAGAAATGTTCGCGCGTAATGGGACATGATGTATGCACCGCACGTTTCCCTGAGCCTTTCAAAGGCTCTCGAGATGATCTGGATGGGAAAGGTGGCGAGGCCGCAGGTAAAGGTGAGGTTCCTCGCAAGTGCGACCTCTTGGATGGCCCACGTGCGCCGGAACCACGAACGGTTCATGAATGCGTACGCCGCCAGCCACTGCCGGGGACCGACGGGCTCGACGCCGGCGGCACGGAATGCGACGGCGTCGAGGAAGTTCAACGGCGTGAAGAGCTTCATCGCAGTTTCCTTGTCGATATTGGTGGTGAGATTGACCATGAACTCCAGCCCCGACGGCGAAAAGACGTCGGCGCCGCCGAGCCATACCGACACCTTGGCGGCCTGCTTGTACACGCGTCCCATGAGCCGGACCTGAGCCGCGCGCTCTCGCACGTCGGCCTGGTTGATGCAGATTTGATCGATCCAGATCAGCGGCTCCAGAGCATGGTAGTCGGCCGCATCGGGCCTCTCGTCGCCATCACCGCCTTTCCAGCCGCTCCGCACGCGTCGGAGGCCTGACGCTCCCGTCCGGAAGCGAATGCTCAGCAGCGCCGTGAAGAGGTTCGTCGTGACGGAAAACGGCTGCCCGTCGCACGTGATATCGAAAGCTGGCGCGGCCCAGGCGGCGTCGGAGGATACGTCGCTCGGCTTGGAATACACGGCCACGGGACTCCCCCACGTATAGGACAGGGCGTCGTAGCGCGGGGGGTCGTTGAGGTCGACGGTCTCGAGGTTGCAGTGGATGGGGCGGTACAAGTCGAATTCGTCGTTGATTTCTTCTTCTTTTATGCGCAGGAGCCGGATCGACGTGGGCGTGGGTAGCGGCGTGTAGGCGAACGGATGGGGCCTCCGATTCTCGCAGTTCTCCGGCGGCCTGATCAGTGGGACGGAGAACCTACCGAGCGGGGGAAGGGGCTCGTCGAGAGTCCTGATGATGTGTCGAAGCCGGAGCGTTTTCCTCAGAAGACCGCTTTCGGCGCTTTCTGCTCTCGAGCTCATGCCGTGCAATTGCAATTGGAGATTCGCAGCCGTCTAGTATTAGGAGACACGGTATAAAGGGAGAATAGGGATTGAATTTCGGGTCTTGTCTAGCTCTTGTTGATACCTCGTGTTGGCGAGCCTTACTCAGCCATAGCTGCCTAACGGGGTCGTTGAGCGGCAGGGAGGCATGATATTAATGTGCTTGGCCCCTGTTTTTCATCAAAAATAGTAGCGGTAAGTCTCAGTTCCCGGTTTTCTAGTTCTGGTACTAAACTTTCTACTTTCTATCAATAAAAAATTTTTTTTTTCACATAAGGATGGTTTCGGACGACATCAACTCTAAGCGCATCCGGACAAAATGTACTTCTTCTTCTGTTCTCTCCTGCCCTCCCTCACTCCTTCCTCCCATGTTCGCCCATTTTTCTCCAGGACTGCAGACTTAAGCTTTATATACCCCCCAAAGGCCAAAACTCCCAGCCGAGCGAGCATGGCAGTGCATTACCCGTGGCAGTGGCCTCCGCGGGTCGCTCAATGGTTAGAACCCAACCCACTTCCGGGGCGAGTTTCGTAGCTTCCGACGGTTCGATCCCGATATGGGCCTTAGGGGTGATCTTTTTGCATTTTTTTTTCTCCCCTTATAAATTTAATCTGCCCATGCATGATCTTCAGGTTCTTGACTTGTCATTTACTATTTTATTTTATTCCTTTTTTGTTTTATTTATTTTCCCCCGTTTTCGCGAGTAACTTCGTCCTCCTTTTGGTTCAACTTGCAATTTATTGGAGCTCGTCTTGATAATAACCGTCTAGTATTTTCGGATCGGCGACTGATGGGCTAGCTAGGACAATCCGTCGATCCTTTGTTCAGGGCCTTATTCAAGCGCGCAACATCGCGTTCTGCCAGTTCCAGGATATGGAGGATTTCGCACCGCCTCCCAGCCGCCCCATACAATACCGTCTTGCCCCGGACAGTCTCCGAGCTTCATTACACTAAGGTGCCTTCCATTGCGCTCCTAGATCTCCCTTATGCGGCTTGATGGCTTGAGGTTGGGCAACATAATCGAAGTATCCAAGCCACCTCAGCACTCCCATGTGCTCCGGGCCGAGGGCGGCAAAGCGATCTGGATTGGTAAAGTTATGCGGGAACCCTACGTCGAACTCATACCCTGTTTCGATCTCTTTGATATCCTCGGGCGTAAGCTCGAGAGTAAGGGCCTCGATGTTGGCTTTGAGATGCTCGACTTTTCGGCCACCAATGATGGGGAACATCTGAGGCGTCTAGAAGTAACAGCATATTGCTTGTTAATAACTGCGTGCACGCAGAGTCGTTAATGAAGAAGTGTTTAGTTTAGGATTTATACCTTTTGCAGAGCGTAGGCAAGAGCAACAGAAGTGAGCGGCACTCCATGGCGCTGGGCCACGTTGTTCAATACTTCGCACACCCTCTCCTCGCGGCCGGTTCGTCCAATGGCGGTATTCCGTCCGCCTTCCTTTTTCTCGTCAGAGCCAGGGGTGCTAAAATAACCACGACCCAAGACGCCCCAAGCATGGACTGCCATTCCTTCGTCTCGACACATCGGGATGACGTCCCGCTCAAGATCTCGCAACTGCACGGAATAATGACCCTGGTAAACGGAGAACGGACGCAGGCCATGTTGGCGAGCATAGGCGTTGGCCTTCACAACGACCCAAGCAGGTGTGTCGCTGATGCCGAGATACAGAACCTTCCCCTGCTGGACTAGATGATTGAGAGACTGCATAAGCTCGGGGATTCCGGTAGCAAAGTCGTAGACATGAACAAAATACTAGCCCCCCGTTAACGCCCATTCCTCCGAATAGGATCCCAAGTGGGAAAAAGGGGAGAAAAAGAAAAGCAGAAAGGAAGGATATACCAAGTCAACATAGTCAGTCTGTAAACGCTCCAGGCTCTCGCGAATGGCAATATGCATGCTTTTCGACCCCGCACCACCAAAGTTGCTCCCCTGGCCAGATTCACCCATCCTCGGGCTCGCCGTGTACTTGGTAGCGATGACCATTTCTTGTCGCCTGCCAGTCTCTCGCAGCCATTCTCCAATCCATCTTTCGCTTTGCCCGTTATGATAATTGTTTGCCGTGTCGATGAAGTTCCCGCCGAGGTCGTAAAAGGTGTCCAGCAGCTCAAAGGCGCGCTCCTTTGTACACTCGCCCAAGAAACCTCCCCATTTGTCACCGAGACCTACTCGTAGGTTAGTTGTTTCCCAAATTTGACTAAATATCTACAGACGTACTCATGCCACCCAAGCACAGAGGGCTAACTCGGACTGACGCGTTGGGAGCCAGGAGCCGGTGTCTTCCAAGGGCGCTTTTGGGCGGGGGTGGGGAGGGGAATGCCGCCATGATTCCGTTTCAAGGTATTATTTGGGGACTACGCAGGGAGGGTTCCGTTGGGTTTCATCGGGGTTTCGGGGAAGTAAAGAGGCAATGGGCTGGTAATTTTCAGAGAGTCCACCATGTGGGCTGGAGGCAATATTTGTAGCTCGTAGGCTGAATATGCCGGAAGTATCACGTCGCGGAAATATCCGACGTGACTGCTTCGGAGGGGAGATAATATGTTAACTCCTAGACGCTATGCAGATTATTAAACCAGAATCACTTGGGCAGAGTCGGCGAGTTCTCCCAGCGAGAAACGACACGCACTGCTACAGGCTTCCCCGAAACTATTATAGTCGCAGTCACTAAGGAATGGAAGTTCGATAATTAGAACAGCATTTGGCTCGCGTAGATGTGAAAATCCATTACAGAGACGTTGCGTCTTCTATGGCGGAAGCAAGAAATAAATCCTCAGCATGTAACAGGATGAGAAGTAATATCATGTCTCTGTCAAGCTATCGAAGGGCTGTCCTCGACCGGTTTACAGGTAACTTCCATCGGCACGAGCAGTTGTCTCGGCTTGCTAAAATCGTCTCCATTCGACTTGCCCGTCTTGTACATGGCGGGCGCAATCACCAAAATAACGCACCCGCCATCCAAAGACGGCTGCTCTCCCCTGTCCAACGTCATCGTCTCCTGGTTGAAAACAGAGTCTCCACCATTTCCAAAATCCCACGTCACGTCGGCAGCCTGTTTGCATATGTTGTGATCTAACAAGGTAGCCCGCTTGAGAATTGCCTCTAGATCTTGGTGGTAAGTTGCGAATCCATCGTGGTCTCTATCAACCTCAAGGAACGGGCCGATAACGTCGTGGGCCAGTTCCATCTGCTCCCGAAGTAGGATGTTGCTCCTTTTCTCCTGGGTAACTCTGTTCCTTTCGCTCTCGACGAGGTCGGTCACCAGCCTAGTGGTAGCAACTGTCCACAACCTAAATCTTTTCATAGCCTCGGCATCCATTATCGTCTGCTCACTCGGAATTTCTAATGCGGCGGGCAGACAAGCCGTTAATTAGCGATATGGTTATATCTCTTCAAGGAGTCGCAAGGGTGGTTAAAAACCGACAGATTTACGAAAGACATACAAAGCAAGAAAAAAGAAGAAGAACAAGAAGGAGGGAAAAGGTGGGGAGAGAAATACCGGATTCTTACCTCGTCGAAACCTGGAGTAGAGGCCGAACACTGGCTCGGAAAGTTTACCGGCCCAGATAAAGTTAGCGAAGATCCCTCGAATAATGAATCGCCAGAAAAATGCCTGGATTACAGCACTGCGCCGAGACGGGGATGCCAGAAAATCTCGAAAGTGTTTGCTGCCAGGGGTAGCCTCCGCCAGGTAGCCGGACACGACAGCTTTAGCACATTCCTGCTCGGCCTGGCGAATATTTACCCGGGATTTTCCAGACTCGAAATATTTAATGGCGAAATTCCGAATGTCGAATCGAAGTTGCCTGACCCACTGGATGAGGTTGTCGTCTGTGATCTGGACTGTGGTTTGAGCGGTCCGAGTAAGTTGTCGAAGCTCCTTGACCGAGCTTTTCCATCTTTTCCGGTAGTCGTCCCTCTCTGCCTCGGCGTCTTCTAGCCGTTTCCTTTCTCGATCCCTGTTAACCCTCTCACTTTCCATCTCTATGGCAATAAGTTTTTTTTCCGCACGCTCCCTGTCAAGAGCCACCCACAGGGCGTCGACGGTTTCCCTTAGAGATTCCTCCACATAGCTGGGATGACTTGTGGCCGATTCTAGGTCATCGCTCCGGACAGCTGTCTCTCCTACCCCGCCTTCCATCGATGCGCTCTCCGTGGTGAGAACCTGTTGAGGCGTTTGGTTCCCTTCTTCTCGGGCTACCATGTTCGTAGAACAACCCTTTGCCGATTCCAGGCGGGCATTTGCAACTTCGAGTTCATGCTTATAACTTTCTTTCATCGCACGCTCAGAGTCCAAGGCCTGCTGTAACTGCTGGATAAGCACACCAACAGCGTTGGGGTTCTCAGTCGATGGGAGCCCAGGTGCAGTCACGGGAAAGTTCGAGTCAACTGTTCGCATCATCTCGTCGCTACCGGCGGCCCCAGGCAATTCCATCGGGCTTGAAAAGGCTCCAGTAAATCTCGAAGATATAGCGGACGCCGGTTCCGCCATGGGCGAAGGGATCTCCGTCCTTTTGTGGCCCGGTACGGCTTGCGGAGGTTGTTGGGCAACGTCCCGAGAGGAGTGACCCGTCCGACGAGATAACTGGGACATCTTGTGGCCACTACCGATCGATCAAGACGCGGACGACTGTGGATTGACAGGGAAGCAAATTTCGAGGCCGTATTTTCGATTGTTTATTTTAACAAACAGTAATAGAGAGAATCAATGGGATTAACATTAACTACTAAGAGGGGAAAAAATAATAATGAAAAAAAAAAATTAGGAAACCCCAAAGTGGCGAGTGCGACAGCCAAAGAACCAAGGGTTCCTATCTCCGGCGCCTGTCTACGCGCAGAGTAAAGCTCACTGCTCTTTTTTGCTTTCTTTCTTTCTTTCTTTCTTTTGTTTTTCCTTATTCCCCCTTTTCCCCCCTCTTCTTGTCATTCTTGTTATGAGCTGTTATCCTTGCGACCTGGTCAGGGAGGGGTTTTCTCATCGCCACATTGCCAAGCCGGAGCCTTGCGTTTGTTAGGCGGTACTGGCAGCAATCCACCCCCTCTCGATGCAGCTCGTCACAGAAAGGATATGAAAACGCCAATGACCGCTAGCGAAAACTGATTCCTGGTGTTTCAACCCACTTCGATATTTGGCGTGGCGTTATTTCATTGGCCTTGGGCCGGCCGCGGCGGCGCGTAGTCCTGCACGAGATGACTGGGCGTCATGGATGTGGCGGCTGTGCCTGTTTATCAGGTTGGCCACATCGTTTCAGTGGATCTGGCTTGCTGGAGAAGGCCAAATGCCCACAGGACAGACGCTCCGTGAGTGGCGAAGCGTGAGGGGCTGATTGTGAATCTCGATTCCTCAAGTTCAGCAGGCTGTCGTGTTGCAGAATCTCAGTCTTCTCGGATAAAAATCACCGAAGAGCCCTCAAATACCGGATCACGCCCTCCTAGTATTATTGCTACTTCTTAACCAAGCACGCAACCTAACCGTCGGCGCCACAATGACCGACTCGCTTTCGGCCCTCTTAGACCGGATCAAGTTGGATGGTGGAACCAATGTCGAGGATCTTCTCGTTATTGGAATTGATTTTGGAACCACGTAAGTCCCCGTGCTGGCCTTTCTGGCCATCTCCTGCCTTTATTACTTTCATGAGGCTCACTCGCAGCCAATTCCTAACGCATAACTCCCTAGCTTCTCCGGCGTCGCCTGGGCTACAGTTGAAGACTTTGAACAGGAGGGCATTAATCTCATCAGGTCCTGGCCTGGGTCGGGACGAGAGGTCGGAAAAGCACCGACCGAACTCTTCTACGAAGATGGCCAGGTGATGTGGGGTTTCGATGTGCCGCGGGACGGAGATCCAATCCGCTGGTTCAAATTACTTCTCCTTAAAGACGAAGACATTGAGCCGGAGATACGGTCGTCCGAGTACTTTCTCAGAGCTCGAAGAACGCTAAAGGAAAGCGGCGAAACGGCCATCGACGTAATTTCAAGTTATCTGGAGTGCCTATGGAATCACACCATTGAGACGATTGAAGCAGCCCTCGGCCAATCTGTCGTCGACGCGTTCGAGTTCCGCGTGGTCATCACGGTCCCCGCCATCTGGAAGTCCTACGCTAGGCAAGCGATGAGGGAAGCGGCTGATCGTGCCGGCATCCTCGAACGTCGACCTGCCGGGGATACCCAGCTCATGTTTGCGCCCGAACCGGAGGCGGCAGCGTTATCCACCCTTTGCGAGAAAGGTCGCAGGCCCCAATGCGGCGATATTTATGTCGTTTGTGATGCTGGGGGCGGCACGGTCGTATGTTTACCGGAGAGGCGAAATGGACGAGCTGTGAGTTATGAAAGAAGACATACTAATCGCCCCTGTAAAGGACTTGATTAGCTACGAAATCTGCGACGTCAACCCGATCCGCCTTAGAGAGGCTGCCGAAGGTGCAGGTATGGGAAACCCCCTTTCTTCGTTCGATTCTCCGGTCTCAGGAGTCACATTGATATGGGAAGCGAGTGCTCAGTCGGCTGAATCCAACCCCTGCTAAAACAATAGGTGCCCTCTGTGGCGGGATCTTCATCGATGAGGCCTTCGAACGAATCTGCAAAGCCCGTCTAGGCAGAAGATGGGACCGTCTCAGCAAGGCAGGAATCAAAGAGATCATGAAGGGAGAATGGGAGTACGCCATAAAGCCGCAGTTCAGCAGAGACCAAGCGAACTCGAGCAAAAAGTATATCGTCGGCATCCCGGCTGAAGCCTTCGTTGGCTCCGACCTTGACGATAATTCTCGGGAGCCGCACATAAAAAATGGCCGTATTCATTTCAACGGGTATGAGTTGCACTCGATAGCTCTTACATTAGAAATGCGCATTCTTACTTACTTGATATCGTTCCGATAGGTTGCATATCGAAGGCGCGTTCAAGGAAACGGTGTCATGTATCGCTGAGCAGATCGACAAACAAATTTCCAAATCTTCGGGTGGAGGAAAAGCAGTAACGGTATGCCATCTATTGTATCACCCTTCTTCACTCATTCCAGACCCGAAGCTAAACGTCGACACCTTAGGGCGTGATTCTCGTTGGGGGCTTAGGTGGGAGTCGGTACTTGTACCAGTATCTTCAAGAGAGGTATTCGAGGAGCGATATCAAGGTCCTCCAGTCTCGAGGGGAAGTACCGTAAGTTTTCCTTGACCTTTTCCCCCTCGTCGCCAAGAATACGGACTCGTTATTCCATTCTTCGCCGTGGGCTGTCGTGATTGATGTTTATTATTTAAAAGGCGTACGGCTATCTGTCGTGGTGCCATAATTAAGGGACTCTTCGGCGAAGCCACCAACGGCTTGGTGGTTTCAACCGTACCTCGTGCCAGCATTGGTGTCGATAAGATGAGTCCCTGGGTCGATGGTAAATTCCTCGAGGAAGACAAGAAGTGGTGTCCCCTGGAGGAAGACTATTTCGCAGATAATCAAATGGACTGGTACATCGTACGGGTATGTTCCTTGAAATCCCAATGCGTCTTTGCCTTCTCTCTCAGTTGAGGTAATAACTTTAACAAACAGGGCGAAGCGGTCACCCCATTGGAGTCAGTTCGATCCTACTATTTCCGGGTATATGAAAAAGACTTTGGCGGGTCATTTCGGACCAGCATTTATGAGTGTGAAGACGAACTTGCCCCTACGCGTATCACGGGTAGTGTCAAGCGGCTTTGCACAATAGAATGCAAGGTCGATACGCCGTTCAAGTCACTGCCAAACATAGAAGGCCCGAATGGGAAGAGGTTGAAAAAACTTCAGTACGAAATCGAGGCGATTCCGTCTGGGGCGTCGGTAGAGTTTGCTGTGTATGTTGCCGGAAAGAAGTTAGGGGCTCAGAACGTTGACATAAAATTCTAGTCTCATCCCATGGATCGACGGCGTCTTTGGTCATAGAGTCGAGAGGATATATTGGTAGCATTGAGCTATTCGTTCAGAAGCGAGGACTTAGCAGAATTATAACTTGCTGTTCCTTCAGCGGGTCCGGCTCTTCCGAGACTGCCAAGAAGACTCCACATTCTCTTCACAACGTCGAACCCATCCATCGCACAAGTCATCGCAAGGGCTTGGATGCTCATATCACTCCTAGAATCATCGTGGCGATAGGAGCCAACGAGCAAGTGCCCCTTAGCAAAGTGAAGCGTCGTCATCTGTCATTCGAATTGGCTTAGCCATGTCTCGCATTCTTCAAGTTGCCAGTCTGTCCAAACGAGCTAGTGCGTTAGCAGTCTAGCCTGGCTCTAGTCTCTAGGCGCAAGCGAAAGAGGATGCCGACTATCCGCCACCTTGCTCCTCAAACAGCTTCGCCTCAACTTTGTACAGCCACACATACACGCAAGAACTCTCACTTTGACTGATGACTAAGACTGCACAGCCTCCAAAGCTGGATGCGAATCTGGCCGAGGGAGCCCACGTATCAAAGTATTGAGCTTATTATTTCAGGGTCATCCGCCTCTGTCAGCTCATCTCCTCATTTTAAGACAAACCTCGTTCCTTCTTTCTTCTTCCCCAAGCAGAGCTTTCTTCGTCGAGGTGTTCAAGAGTTCCAACCCGATATTCAATAGTGCCAGGAGCAGGGTATTAACTCTCGATAGCGAAGTTTAAACCTCTCTCTTCAAGCGAGGCAGTGCGGCAATGTCAGCTCAGGGCTATTATGGCGGGGGAGGGGGTCAATATCCTCCCCAGCAACAGCAGGGCGGGTATGGACAGAACTACGGCCAACAGGGCTATAATCAACCCCAAGGATATCCCCAGCAAGGTTATCCCCCACAGGTTCGTTGAAATCCCACCGATCCGACCGATATTCTGGCCATCAAACCCTAACCAAACTTGCTCTAGCAACAATATGGCGGTCCCCCTCCGTCCCACTCACCCTACAATCAAGGGCCCGGATATGGCCCTCCTCCAGGCCAAGGATACGGCCAAGGGAATCCTCAGCAGCCGAGCTACGCTCCTCACCACCAACCGCCCAGCTATGACCAGCAAGCAGGATACGGCGCGCCGCCCCAGCCGACATATGCCGGCGGCCCTCCACACCAGCAGCAATACTCCTCCCCGCCTCCGCACCAGGGCTACGGAGCGGCCCCTCAAGACTACGACAAGCGGGGCTCTTCTCCGTACCCTCCCCAGCAGCACTATCAGGGCGGCCAAAACCCCGACTTCGGAGGCCAACCGCCTTATCAAGGTGGTGCTCCCGCATATCCCGGTGGACCCGGTGGACCCGGTGGCCCTGAGGGAGACCGAGGACTGGGTGCAACTCTCGTCGGCGGAGGCGCCGCAGCTTGGGCGGCCCATAAAGCTGGAGGTGGTATGCTAGGGAGTCTTGGCGCTGCGGCCGCTGGAGCAGTCGGTGCCAACCTGATTGAGCACAAGTTCAAGAAGTGAGTTTTGTTTTTCCCCGTCTTCCCCAGAATATCCCACCAGAAGAGCGGTTTGCTCATTATTATTTCTAGGCACAAGAAAGAGAAGAAGCACAAGAAGTATAAGCAGCGGGGTGGCGGGCATGGCTCGAGCAGCAGTGACAGCAGCGACTCGGATTAATTTTCTCCCCTTCGTGTAGATGGGCGTTGTGGAGGCGGCCTTAGTGGGACTTCTTAATGATTTCCTTTTTGGGGTTTTTTTTTTTCACGCTATTTTGGATTTCTCTATTTTGCTCTTCCATGCAGTATTTCGGGGTTCGTTTTGGAAATATATCGAAATGGAATCGCGCTGAATACCGCAACATGCGACACTAAAGGTTACCCTCAGCATTTTCCATTGCTGTTCACTTTCCTGAGCTACAGCTGGGCTGTGGTGAATCTCTGTGTGAGCCTAGCCTACTTCGTTAGATGGAACCCCTTCCATCCCTTTCCGACTCCGAAACTGACTCTAGTTTCGATCCCCTCATATCTTCATCCGACGGTCACTCTCCGCCAGCTATTATTGCCGCCAAATCCTCATACCCAGCCTTACGTGCGTACGTTTCAGGGCTTGCGCCGTCCTCATCAACCACAGTCCAAGAAATGCCCCCAATCTCCTTAGATATTTTCACCAATAATTTCACAACACCCCCATGGCCGTGAAGCGCCGCATAAGACAACGGACCCCGGCCGTGGACATCCAGACTATCCATTTGAAACAGACCGCTCTCGTGTAGTAGCTTGATCATATCCTCATGATTGTTCATCGCAGCGTAATGCACCGCCGTGCCCCTGTCGTAGTCGATCCTGCTCGCGTCGAATCGCGGATCCTCAAGCAGTCTCTTCATAATTTCGCAGTCACCATAGGTGGCGGCATAGGACGCGGGCACCACGCCAGATTCAGTGAATTGGAGATCGATGTCCTTGTGTGCTAGGAGTGCTTCTACACACTCGGGCACGCCCCAGTCGCAGGCGCAACTTAGAGCCGTCATGCCTTCGGACTCAGTGATGTTGGGGTTGACTCGTTCATCCGCGAGCAAGATTCGAGTAACGTCAGGATTCTTGAGATGAACCGAGTATATCAGCGGCGTGCGTTCTGAAAGGTCCGGCACATTAGGATCGACTTCGGGGACGGTAAGCTTTAGTTTAATAGCATCCTCTTTTCCCGATAGCAGGGCATAAATTAAAGGCGTCACCCCGTTTGCATCTGCAGCCGTAGCGCTACCCCCAGCATCAAGCAGCGCCTAGATGTTTTTAACAAGGCCGCTGGATGCCGCGAAGTGCATTGCAGTCCGCCCGGAATGGTCGACTGCGTCAACTTTAACACGCGGATGGGCAACCAGCAGCTGAACGACGCTTGCATTATCCCTGAAATCATACACTGCCCAATGCAAAGGCGTGATGCCGTCGTCACCGCAGACGTCAGGTTCAACCCGGGGATCAGCTAACAGCATCCTAACGATGCCCTCGCTGTTGTAGTAGGCGTTCTTTATCGCGCAGATCAAAGCCGTGTCACCGCATTCAGCGATGACGTTTGGGTCAACGCGCGAGTCTTGTAGAAGCAGCTTCGCCAATGCCTCGTTGGCGTTCCTGGCAGCAATAGAGAGTGCCGTAAAACCAGGTCGATTGCGTGCATTGACATCGACCCTTGGGTCATCAAGGAGCAGCTTGACGATCTCGGCTTTGCCTAATGACGTAGCAGTGCAAAGCGCTGTATTGCCAATGTTGTCCCCCAGGTTGAGATCAGCGCTATCAATCTCCAAAATGGCCTTCACCACCTCGACGCTGCAGAATGTAACGGCATAGATAATGGGCGGCATCGGCATCCAATCCACTGGTTTGCGAAGCATAATGTCGGCCCCGGCGGCGAGCAGTTTTCGCATCGTGTCGGTGCGTTCGCGGGCCATCGACCACGAGAGAGCCTTCGGATGCCGGCTCTCGACATGGCGCTTGTAGAGATATGGGTTGACTATACGATAGAAGCGGGCATTCGTTTGCGAGAGCGAATTCAGATCCTTCTCATGTTGAAACCATTCAATCAAGTAGGTGATGACATCGTCCGATAAGCTCTCCAATCCCGTCATGGCGTCGACGGCTGGCTCAACAACTAATTGAGGGCGAGAGGAAACGGTAAATGCACGTGTTAATATTCCTTGATCGTGTAATTCTCAAAAAAAAAAAAAAAAAAAAAAAAAAAGGGGGGGGGGGGGGGGATTCTCCATCTTAAAATAGTTTCTGGCCGCCCAGAGAGAGGGCCGAAGGCGGAAAATGCGGCGAACCCCCTCCTCCAGCAGAGTTAACCTACATACGTGGCCCGAGTGTAGGCGAAGTTTTATACGAAGTAGTATTTCTCAGGTTAGGCAAGGAGTGCGGTCGTGGATGATTGGCTCGCAATAATCATAAACCCTGAGCAGATCGTTAATAAGACCCATCTCCAACATCAGGATGAGTCTCCAAGGATTGTAGCACCGTTTCGTCATGGGCTTGGAATGTCGGACTGTTTTAGTAGAGGTGAGAGATGGGAAAATGGATTCCATTCCCAGTATCAGAGGTATGGGATTTCCACACTAGTTCCAGTTAGTCGAGCAAGGCAACACAATGGCGCCTTCCCCGAAATATTTGACATAATAGCCCATGATTCTCATCATCGACTTGAAAAGACAGAGGATTATTCCGTATTATTAGTTTAGACGGTAGTCTAAGTCGATGATGTTATGGGCTCCCACGTCAATAGCTAGGCAACTCGTATATAATGTATGAGACTATCTCCTTTTTCCCTGATTACATGAGGAAGTTTCCTGACGTAAGGGTCTTTTCCAATTCTAGGTCAGGCTGGAAATGGCAGTATAATCCCTCCTGTGAAGAAGTTAGCGGACAGTCTTGTAAGAGGAATATTACGTGGAGGGGAGGGGGGCACCGTACAGGATCGCTCGCTGCCTTAAAAGTGAACCGAGCTGCATCCTCGTTGACTAGAATCTTCTCATTACCCGTCCCCGCGGCCGCTGCATCGGCGAGCAGCTGAACCTCGCACGATCTCTCCATCAGAGTGTAGAGATAGGCGGCTTCATCCACCGTCTGGCCGACGGTTAGTAACCCGTGGTTGAGAAGGATTAGACCCTTGCCCTTTTCTCCGAGGCACTGCGCGAGCTTTTCACCCTCCTCATCGTCCAAGACGACACCGCCAAATTCGTTGTAGACGCCATGGGCGTCACCGTAGAAATACAGAACATCTTGGTTGATCATGTCCAGCCTCTTTCCGAACGCGGAGTACGCCTTTCCGTATTTGGAATGAGTGTGGCAGGCCGCGTTGACGTGAGGATAACGCTTATGAAGGTGGGAGTGGATCTGGAACCCGGCACGGTTGCTAGGAAGGTGAGTAGCACCACCGACGGGCTCCCCCTCGTGATTAAGAAGGATCAAGTCCGAGACTTTGATCATACCAAAATGCACCCCGAGCCTAGAACAGACATTGTGAGCCATGGGAAACCACGGGCCAAGGGGGATGCGGTCCATGCTTACGGGTTGGTCCAGAAGCAATCCTTGTGTTCTTTGGAATTGTTAGTGATGACATCGGGTAAGGCTGGCTGATATTATCATTAATATCCGTCTCACACTCACCAGGATCACGAAGACTGATGTGGCCGGCAAGTCCCTCACAGAAGCCCTTTCGGGCAAAGACGCGAAAAGCGCCAGCCAAATGTTCGAGCATCCATCGACGCTCCTTCTCGACTGAAGTAAAAGACGGAATGCCGGGAAGCATTGGGCCATGCGAGATGCGCTGAATCGCGCTCTTTTCCTCTTCGGCTGCCCTCTTGTCCTTGAGGATGGTGGACAATGACATGGGCTCGGTGGCCGTAATGGTCGTGGTCAGAGAAGGAGCCATTATCGTTGAGAAAAAAAAAAATTGGATAATAAAATAAAAACCCTGTTTTATCCCTAATTGCGAGAAGCACTTTGAAAAAAGAACAGGCTGGACGCCTGGCACATAATATACCGAACGATGCGACTCGGCCGCTTGTTATTAATTACTGTTTTCTTAGGTGTCGACTCTGATCAGTGTTAACAGACTCTTTCGGAGTTACCCCAACGGATGCATAAAATGATTTCGATCGCTTTTGGAAATTTGGAGTTCCCTACCCCGAGTCGTCGGGGTAGGATAGGCTTGTAGATGACGACCCCAATGGCGGAGCATGTCCACTTGAGGCGGCAGATGGGGATTGAGCTCCAGGTCTACGTAGCATTCTAATGGGTTTTTATTTCTTATTTTTTATTTATTTTATTTTCTTTTTTTATGCCTTATCACTTTTTGTTCCATATTTCTGAACGATTCAGCGATTCAATTACCACGGCCATTTACAAGCAGCACAGTGGTGGCTGTTTTATCAAATTTGGATCTAGATTCTTATGCCCTAAATACAATATAATGGTAGAATTGGCAATGCGTCCTCTGGCTAATACTCAAACGCGAACTACGGCGTTGATAGGCGTGCCTGCGACATAGCTTGAGATCCCTTTTAGGATAGCATTCTGGAGATTTTGAATCGACTCCGCAGAGAACCAGGCGATGTGCGGTGAGAGGATGAGGTTCGGAATCGTCGCGTCCAACAGCGCCGACACTCCCCTCTCGGGCGGTTCCGTTTCGTAGACGTCAATGGCCGCGGCGTTTAGTCTGCCCTCTTTCAGAGCAGATGCGACGGCTTTCTCGTTCACGATTCCACCTCTGGCAACATTGATGAGAATGGCATCTTTCCGCATGAGCTTGAACTCCTTGTCCGAGATCATATCTAATGTGGTGTCATTTCGCGGAACGGTGACTATAAACACTGTTCCCTGCCGCAAGCAATCGTCGAAGGATACTCGGCCCTCCCTAGGCGACGATGGTGCGCCCTTCCTCTCCGAGACGAGAACTTTCATCCCCAGCGCCCGGCCGATTTCCGCTACCCGTTTCCCCAAATGGCCGTTGCCGAAAATGACAAGTGTTTCGAGAGAGCAGGTGCGGGGAGGCTCGGGGAAATGATGCCTCAGAGTCCGCTTCTCTTTGTATTCGTCGGTATCGATGATTCTATCGTGCAAATCAACAATCTTCCGCCTCGCAGCGAAATACAACGCAATGGCATGCTCGCTGACAGAAGACACACTAATTTGCGGTGCGTTGATGACGGTGACGCCGCGCTTCCGGAACTCGTCCTTGTCCACCCAGTCGACGCCCGTCGACATGGCCATGATGCACTCGAGCTTCGGGCATGAATCTAGATCCGACGCTGTGATGGGGAGCGCGGTCGTGATGGCAATCGTTGCATCCCGGAGCTTCGTGGCGACCTCCTCGCGGGTGGAGGAGTTGTATCCCGTGTAGCAATGGGGAAAGGAAAACTGCGGCATCGGGCAGTGGCACTCTTCCAGACAGACAATATGATGCTCGCGCGCGGATTGGGCCATCGTTACCAAAGATTCAAGAGGAAGGTAACGTCTCATATAACTGCATAAAAGCGGGCGGGAGAACGACTGGACACTGAAGGACAGTCTGGATACCCAAGTTTTTTCGAAGATGCAGCCGTACCGTACGGGATTCTAAAGCCAAAAAATTCAAGGCAAGTAAACGAGACGAGAACATCCTGTCTGGGGATGTAGGTGCTAGCCGAACATCATAATAATAATATAATAATAATAAATTGGCCATTTTAGATTGGAGCTAATGCACTACACTCCTCTCCTTTTCTGCTCCAAGATCTTGGCCTACCCAGGGGAGCTACTTCCCATTCCCGTTGTTCGGTTGATTAACGGTTAATATTTACTCGGAGCTCGGCAAATAGTAGCGGGAATGTGTGTGCACCCCAGATTCGAAAAGGCGGAGAAACCGATGGGCCACAAAGGCCCCCGCAAGTTAAGGTTACAAGGTGCCCAGCCGCGTTATCTGTATGCTGCGAGCCAAACCACACTTCGCCTCATCTGGGGGCGCGCAAATTAGAAGTTCCTTTATATATCTTGACTTAACCAAGAGGCCACAATGCGGCAAAAGACGGAAGTGCCGGCTTGCAGATGGTGCCACAGGAGGTTTGCAAGGCGGGAGCATCTCCATCGTCATGAGAGAACTCGTGGGTATCTCACTAGTCCGGCCTGGAGTCCTGGACGCCCTCCCCCTCCCCTTTTTTTCATGGCCCCTTAATAATTATTAGACACCAAGGAGAAACCTCACGTTTGCAAGTGTGGGAGGACGTTTTCAAGACGGTACGAATTTTAACCCAGCTACTAAATCGTCATCACCAACTCATCAGAGTACCTGCATATTATGTTTTATTATGTTCAATCGTGCTGACCGGTGGCGACCAGGGACCTTCTAACTCGGCATCTTAAGCTGGCTGAAAGCCCCGGGGACCATGTAGAAGTTGAAATGGAACAAAAGAGCTCGTTTCCCGAGCTTCAAATTTTAATGGGAGCCACTGCCTCGAACTCACTCGCAGATGTTCATCCGGCAAACGCCAACACGGCTATTCCATCGCCCATGTCGGCGGTTTCGGCTGCCAGCCACCGCGACCTCTCGATAGCGAATGATCCGAACATCATAGATTTCGACGTGAGCGCCTCATCCGATCTCGATCTACTCTGGGAGAATCTCGAGTTTCATCCGGAACCCATGGACTATACCATGTTCAGTTCCGGGTTTCCCTTCAACCCGGAAGCATTCGGGCACTACGGCATACCCGACCAATCCGCCCCTTCTCATACCCAGGATACACTCCTAAGGTCAGTGGAGGAATCTTCGGACGACCTCAGCTGGCAGGATACGTACGCTTCACGTCTTCCATCTCTGCAACCGAATCAAGACGAAGATATTTCGGCGGGACCAACGCCACTGTCTTCCCAAGCCCATAGCGATATGGAGAGCCATACGGCAAGAAAAATTCTGTATATTTCGCGCGAAGCATACAATCGGATTCGAGGTCTTGTAGATGCCGAAAAGCACCACCTCCCGCCCCGGTTCCGGCTTCCCTCCAGGCATGCCCTTTGTAGATATGTTGAAGGATTCTCAGGTTTTCAGGCTCACGTTCCCTTCCTCCATCTCCCCACTATCGACTTCATGCAGATGCCTTTGGAGTTGACCCTGGCAATATCTGCCATCGGAGCCCAATTTCGCTTCGAACGGCATGAATCTTACGCCCTAACCCAGGCCGCCAAGTGTATCATCAATCTGCGACTGGAGCTTGACGATGCAAGTTCCTGTGCATCTACGCCCCAACCGACGCGAATCGCTTCCACCGGAATATTTAGCGCCGGACCCCAGAGTGCCAGCGACCATGACAGCTACCACACTGAAACGGAAGAGACACCGTCGAGGGTGCAGCGGCAGCAGCCTTTAGATATACGGACTTTGCAGGCCATGATCATCGTTACCTCGATCTGCACGTATAATCACCACGACCTCCTTCCCCACGCCTTCGTGCTGGCCGGTCAAATGGCACATCATTTACGAAACGGAAGTTATCTTGGCGTCGACGCAAACCTGATTACCAACGATTGGCACGAGTGGGTCCGAGTTGAAGGGCGCCGTCGAACCGTCCTCACCGCATTCTTGTTTCTTAATATCCATACCGTTATCTATAATATCCCCCCGCGGCTGATGAATAGTGAAATCTGGTCCGTCCATATACCTCAGCCGGAGACGCACTGGCAGGCTTCTACGTCGAGGGAGTGGGCAGAGGCGCGACGCCAAGACGCACCGATAAATGTCACTTTTGGCGACTCTTATTCGGATCTATTTGCATCTGGGCTCCCCCAGAGTCGAGATTACGAAACCTCGGCATTTGGAAACTTACTGATCATGCATGGTATTCTCCAGCAGATCCATCTTGCAAAGGAGGCATTCATGGGCCTCGACATTACTTTTCGGGAACAGTCCGGTTCCCAACTCCCCGACGACATCGCGAGGAGATTCAAGTCTGCGTTGCAGCGCTGGCAGCACAAGTGGACGATGAACAAGGAGTCCTCGACTCGGCCCAATTCCCCAGTAGGGCCCTTGGGATTCAATTCCACCGCCTTCTTTCGGGTCGCCTGTTTGAGAGTAGATTTCAACATTGGCTCGTATTGGAAATTCGAAACGCGAGATGCGGCGGTCATCGCCGATGCGTTCAAGCAGGCGCCGAGGCCGCCTCGTTCCCAGCGCCTGTACGCCGCCGTACTCCAGAGTGCTCATGCCCTCAGCATCCCCGTTCGACTGGGCATCCAATACGTCGCGAAGACCCAGACCCTTACCTGGAGTATCATCCATAGCTTGTGTAATTTGGAGTGCGCCTTGTTTCTGAGCAAATGGCTTCAAAATCTTGCCATGGAGGACCAAACGCCGCTAAAGGAGGAAGAGCGGCTGCTCTGCATTATCGCTGGTATTTTACAAGAGACGCCCTTCTTCGAGACATCTTCGCCGTTGCCCTTCAGTGGCGCGGTAATCAGGCGCATGTCTGCTGCCATAATCAGGTTAGTAGCAGAGCTGTCTACTGGCGTGCATGTATCTGAGTTCATGGACTCCTTTGAAGAGGCTGTCAAACAATATGCCTCGTATCTCGAGAACGCTGTCGAACTCGAACAATGAACCAGAAATGGCATCAAGCATACGCATTTTCTCGACTAAGAACTCAGTGATGCGAAGTCATCATGGCATAATGGGCTCATTCTCTGGCATATGACCGAAACTTTCGATGCTGACATTCGATTTCCTCCCTTCGGGATTTCGTGCCGATGCCGTAACGTGCGAACTCTTAAAGCCTGGCGGTAGAGATCTCGATCTTATATGCTGCCTGCCCCGTATTCTAATTACCGACCTCCCCATTTACCAGGGAGCCGAGGGGCGTGGGCTCGGACCCTGGTACTACTCGAGACGTAGAAAGGTATCTTCCTCGTATAAAACGGGACGGAGGTACTACATCTGCCGTCGTCGACCCCGATGCTGCTGCGTCACTCGGGGTCGTTCGGGGTCGTTCGGGGTCGTTTGGAATAGCCTCGGGGTAACTCCAATCTTAGCAGGGAGGCTAAACCCCACGGGGGTGAGCCTTCTGGAGAGAGCGGAGAACCCTGGGGTGCATGCTTGGCAACGTACAAGCTGCTCCACTCGTGGCTTTCTGCAATATCTGGGGTCCGGCCAATCAAGAAGTGGGTGATTATACGAAGGAGCTTTGTCCGTGAAGGAAGAGAAATGGGACAAGGGCATGAGTATCAGGGGTGCCAAGTTCTGCAGGAAGCTATAAGAACAATCTTTCCTTCGCTTTCAATGTCTGGCTTTTACGTTTCTGCCCTGGCCTGCCGTGTGCCACTCTTAACATTTATTCGAACTGAGAGTGTTCCCCCCGATCATTAATATTCGGCTTTGCCTTAATCCCATTCCGATCACTATGGCGTCTCTCGAAGCCTGCGAGGAGAAAATGACCTCGAGCGTATCGGTCAAGACCGATCCGGAGCACTCTGAGGTCGCTGTGTCAAACCCGGTGCCCGCGTATGACGAAGCCGAGACGAAGAGAATTCTGCGCAAGGTCGACTATCGCCTCGTCCCGATGCTGGCCGTCATGTACTTGCTCGCCTTCGTTGACCGCTCCAACAGTTAGTAGATCATGCAACCTCCGCAAGAAACCCCTTTTCCTCCCCCCCTCCTCCTCCTCCATCTTTCTCCCCAATTGACCCAAAGGTTATAATAGTTGGAAACGCAAAGGTCGCCGGGTTGAATCAAGACCTGCACCTCACCGGATCACAATATAACATCGCGCTCACGATATTCTTCGTCCCCTACATCATATGCGAAATCCCCTGCAACATAATTCTCAAGCTCACTCGGCCCAGCATCTGGCTGCCGTCGATCATGATCGCTTGGGGTGTGGTCTTGACCTTGACGGGTATTGTTAAAGATTTCAGGGGCCTTGTTATCTGCCGTTTCTTCCTCGGAGTTACAGAGGTAAGGCTTCACTTCTTCTTTTGTTTTGCCCCTCGCCTCCACCTGCTGATTCTAGTTTACCAGGCCGGGTTTTTCCCGGGCGCGACGTACCTCCTTACGATCTGGTACCTCAGATACGAAGTTCAGACTCGCATGGTTGTCTTCTTCGCCGCCGCATCTCTGTCTGGTGCCTTTTCCGGACTTCTGGCTTATGCTATCCAACATATGGACGGTATTGGAGGTCTTCGAGGCTGGCAATGGTAGGTCCGACCGTACTACGAGAAAAAGAGAACCCCCCAAAGGCGGAGGACAGGCAGCTTACCTTTGTTTTTTACCTGTACGACAAAGGATTTTTATCCTCGAAGGCATCGCCACCGTCGTCATTTCTGTACCCCTCTACACATTGCTTCCCGATGACCCTTCGACCGCCAAATTCTTGTCTCCGGATGAAAGGCAGTTTTTGGTCCTACGCCTTCGACACGAGCCTGGACAGGTACATTTCCACGCGGAGAATTCTGACAAGATGTCATTCCGTCAAGTGTTGGCTGCCCTCAGAGACTGGAGGATTTATATTGCGGTGGTATGTACTGGGTGTCCCCAATACAGCTATAAATACCAGGCCTGGTAAAGGATGTACTCGATGACTGACAATGTCGGCAGATCATCTACTGCGGCAACACAGTTGGCGGCTATGCGTAAAGGCCTTTCCCAAATACAAATATCCAAGGAAATGAGGAGAGCGTCTTTCACTAACTAGCGGACACCGTCTAGTTTTTCCTTCACAATTCCGAGCGTTATTCGCGAGTTGGGATATAGTGCCGCAAACGCCGTATGTACTCTCCTCGCCGATGCTACCTTGCCCCCCCTTCCCGGCGGGAGTTGGGAGATGAAAAATGTTGACCGATCACTAGCAACTATTAACTATTCCGATCTACGTCTTGGCGATGATCTGCACAGTCGGCGTGGCCATAGCGTCAGACCGCGCGAAGCAGCGATACAGCTACATTCTTCTCGGCGCTGTGGTGGCATCCCTGGGCTTCATCGCCTTGATCGCATCCCCGCGTCCAGGCTGGCCAGGCTTGACCTACGGCTTCCTCTTCTTAGCTTCTAGCGGTGTTTATTCCTGCATTATACCTACTATCTGCTGGATTGGTAAGTTCAACGCTGTTCACACCAGAAAAAGAAAAAAAAACAACGAACACAGATTCATGTCGGCCGAATGCTTACACGCTCTCTTTAACACATGGATAGGCAACAACCTCGCACCCTCTAGCAAGCGGGCCATCGGCATGGCGGCCCTAATCGGCGGAGGCAACCTCGGCGGCATCGTCGGCAGCAACATTTTCTTGGAGCAGGAGGCGCCTCAGTACTGGACCGGCTACGGCGTTTGTCTCGCCATCAGCCTCCTGGCCATCGTGGCCACGCTTATCCTGCGGAGGGCGTACCTGAGGGATAACCTCGCCCGCGACAAGATGACCGAGGCTGAGATCAGGGCGAAGTACACCGACGCTCAGCTTGCCGAGCTGGGTGATCGCAGCCCGTATTTTAGGTATACTCTGTAAATTTCATCCCTAGAAAGGGCAAAAAAAAAAGAGTCCACATGTTCCTCGTCATATGGGTGTTTGATTGGACTTTGTGGCGAAGGGGATTGCGGAGATGGAATTCCCTTGGCTACAATTACTTTATCTTTTATACCGTGAGAGAGAAAGATTACGAGAAGATGTTATTCGTTATTATAAATTAGCAGATGTGATTTTAAGACACAATCTTGGCCTCATCCTTGAACATCTGTTCTATGGCGTCTAGAAAAAAGTAATACAGCTAAAGATCAGATTGGGGACCTGTATGAAACCGTAATCCGGTTCTGTATTATGCACGTGGTATCAGCATGTATGCCATATCTATGGTTACATGTTAGTTTGAACGAACTACTATTAAAACAACTAATACCTGATGAGAAAATAGTAGGATTATAGTATTGATATATGCAATTTCTCCCATAATTTGCTAGACTTCTTCGTTGACCAGTCTTTAGTAATTCTACTGTGAGGTCTGAATATCATCATCACCAAAGCGCTTTGACAAATTGAATCCTTGCCTCGATGATGGCGGAAAATTGATTGCTGGCACGTCCAACTTGGGGATGCCACCGAAAGTGATACACGGAGGCGAAAGGCCATCATACAAAGGTCTGAAAATATAGCCCTAGTTTCGAGGTTGATATATGCTGAATTCTCTGGTCTGTAATATAATGGAAAGGGTTCATTTTAAACCCATTAACTACTTCCTCGAAAAGTATGAGCGTAGGAAAGTACAGTCCTCGGGGCGATCGCTCATCTACAAAGCGAGCGATCGAACATACAGCGAACTAGAGGTCGCTCTAAAAGCGACCAACCGATCGGCCACTAGGGCACATCGCTGATCAACTGAAGATAGATGGAAGGAAAGTCTATATAAGCTACGGAACCCTCTCGGTATCTAGTTTGTTCTTCCAGACTCTTCAGACTCTTCAATAGTCAATTCAAGTAACACTTGCACTCTACACCTAAATACGCACTTCTATACAACATCGTAAAGCTACTGCTTGGCTGCCTCGCTTATCTATTAACAGGCACCTCCGGCCCTAGGCCCCACGGAGCCCTTATTGTGATCCAGTGTTAGGATCATAAGAGTGGGAACTTAGAGAAGATGGGGTCTTCACACAGTCACAAGAAATCAATGGTTCGGAGTCCAGTCGCAAAAGCAACAGATTCCAATCGCAGAATTACTAGTAAGACTTCAGCTTAGAGAACGAACCCAAGATTCGTTCCCAAGCTCCTTTCTTTATTCCCCAAAAGCTCACCGCTCATTCGGCTATCTGAGGCCCATCGTTTCAGGTCGGGCGATTACCCTGCTCAACCTTTGCTGAGATTGTACGGTTTCCTTGCTTCTTCTTGTGAAGCTATAGTGTTTTAGGTCTAGTCGCCTGATCCTCCGAGCTCACACTGTGGGTCGACAATCCCTACAGCGCCCCTCGGCAGTTGCCGGGCCCGCCTTAGAGTCCTTTCCGGGTCATCCCCGATAGCACTCCTTACAGTAGTACAAGAGCCATCTAGTATTTTTATATAATAGTATTATACTAATTCTATAACTACTCGACCTCTTGTAGTAATAGACTTAATTAAAACTTATTATATTTAATAACTGATTTAAAAGAAAGAGAATAATTCTACGAAGCATAGCTCCCCTTATTACTTAAGGGGAACTAATTTCCGTTCCGTTAGCACACTATTCCTATTTCCTCCATGGTTACATTAAGGAACAAGGGCTCCCCACCGTGACTTCTTGTAGCACCATCTTAGTGTTTTCTAGTCCCTAGTATCTATTTCTTTCTTAGACTTCCTCTAATGCCTGTTACTATTGCGGCCACCCCTCCTGCCCTGTCTGCCCCCCCTGGAGCACTTCCTGGTAGGACTGGGACGGACGGAGGTAAGAAGGGTAGAAGGAGCGGTGACTGAATTGGTGGAGCTTGCAGCAGGGCCTGAGGCAACTGGAGCGGAGGGGACCTCAGGGTCATTGGAAGCAGAGGAAGTAATGGCAGTAGGCTCAGAAGTAGCAGGAGCGACGGACTCAGTTTCAGCCTCCACAGAAGCAGGGGAAGAACCAGCGGTAGAAGAAGTACTCTGCTGAGGTGCAGACGAGGAAATAGGAGAGCTCGAAGTATCCGGATTGCTAGGAGGAGCAGAGCCGCTGCCGCTGGACATGCAGGCAAAGGAAATCTTGTCGGTAGAAGAGCCACGAATGGGGCCGCTTAGGTCCCAAGTCATGCTAACGTAGGGCCAGCAGATGCGGCCGTCGGCCATGGTGACCATGTCTCCGGCAACGAACGAATCAGTAGATTTAACGGGAGAGCCAATCTTTTCACCCTTGTTGTTGACGAGCTGGTAGAAAGTCCCGGCAAACTGACCTCGGCAGCCCATCGCCTCGAAGTCGCAGGTGGGGTTTTCGATCTCCTCCCAGGTGATCAGGGCATTTGAACCGTCAAAAGCTGCCACATGGGCGTTGGAGCAATCGTTGGAGCCTTGGGTAATCCAGTTAACCTGCGAGTCAGCGTCGACAGCACCGACGACGGAAGTGGCCTCTTCACCGTCAAGAGTGAACTTGTCGGAAAAGGTGGCGATAGCTACGTTACGGTTGTTGGTGCGGTTGTGAGCTTTGGTGTAACCAGTGCCCATCCACTCATTCGGTGTGAGATCAATGGCACCGCGGGAGACCCAGGAGAAGATGTAGGAGTCCTGATCAATGAAGCGAGCGAGGGCGCTGTAGGAGCCTCCCATCCCTCCCATGGGCTCGTTGCTGGCGCCATTAATAACTTTTTCATTAGCAATCTTCACGCCAGCGGTGGTCATGCCTTGGCCCTTGGTGTTGAGCCAGATTGCACCCTGATCCTCGGCGCAGATAGAGGCGAAGGGAGCGGCATCAGCGGCTTCGAAGGCGATGCCAGTGTTGTGGGAGCAACCCCACGAGCTCGATGCGCCGTCGATTTTTTTGATGTTGCCATCGGTATCAAGGTAGCGGATGGCGTCACCGTAGTGGCCACTAGCCCCACCCTCGTAGGCCGTGACGACGATGTAAGCGGCGTAATAGCCGGCCTCTGCGGAGAAGACTAGGTCACCGTTGATATCAGGGGAGGCATTAGAGCCATCAGAGTCGACGCCCGGCCCACCGATGAAGGTCTTCCAGGATTGACTGCCGTTTTTGAATCGATAAATGACGGGAATGGGGATGTCGGTGCCGCTCGAGGAGGAAACCTCATTGGTTAGGAGGGCGAAGCCGTCATCGTGGGCAACGAGGCCACCAGCCTCCTTACCACTGGAAACGCTCACGGCGTTGCCAACACTGGCAAAAGTAGTAGGATCGATCTGCTGAATGTGGACACCGGTGCCGCTTGAGTCGAGGTAGGCGAGGTAAGCGGTTTTTCCGTCTGGAGAAACAGCAAAGGGGGTCCGGCGGTGGTGAGGATAGCCAGTCCAGTACGCAGAGATGACGGGGTTGAACGAATGGGAAAGAGTGACGCTGTCAACGTGTTTCTGCAGAGAAGACTCACTCAGACCAGAGATGCCCTGGGCGATGGCTCCGATGCTGAGGGAAAGAAGAGAAAGAAATTGCCTCATTTTCATTTCGACTTGGAAATAAAAAGGGCCGTTGGAAAGGAATGTGGTGAGAAAGAAAACTAAAGGAAAGAATGTTAGTTTGTTAAACTGTTGAAAAGAATGGCTGGCCTGCGACTGATAAGGAAAGGCAAAAACGAATGAGATCGAAGTGAGTGCGAGTCGTTTCTTTATAAACCTAGTCTAGCCGCACACACCCAATACCTCCTCACCACAACCTAAAAACAATCCATCCGTACCCAACAAGTGAAACGGGTAGCCGGGGTAGGCTCGTAAAGAGAACAGCCTGGGAGGGTTAAGCCTAGTACCCAGTCACTGGCCGCCTTGGTCCTTACCATGTCGTGGGCCGACCGACGATGACGACTGGCCGTGAGCAGAATGCAGAAGAGAGGGCCTACGCTCCATAATTTAGAAGACGTCAGCTACAATCTGTTTCATCTCATCTGATCTCATCTGTCAAATGCTAATACGGCGCTGATCGTCCTGGAAGGATGATTAACGCAGGGGTCGAGGTGGGCCATGACCACTGTTTCATTTGGGCCAGGGTGCTTTTTCACAGCTAGGAAGTTCGTGTTTCTGATTCCTCCAAATTTTGTCATGTGGGGAGGCTGTCCGCCCTCCCTATGCTGTTTAGGTGCCTGGCAGACTTTCGATGTACTATCAAGTACCATTGCCCTCCTCAAGCATGTCTTCGATTCCACATCGATACAACTTCCAACCCTTCCCTCTCTCTGACCTTGTTGGCACCCTTTATTTTGGAAATCCCATATCCGGACCAATAGCAGAAATACCTCAGTTGGAGAGTGTCAAAGCACAACGTTGTCTGGCACAGACTCCATCAAACTCTGGCCAACTTTGCAGGCGGCAATGCTGACATCATGCTTTAACATCGCACCACTCCTCCTGGGATTAACAAGCCATAGCTTCGTCAACTCAAAGCACTAGCATTGGCGATACTACGTAGAGCCTACCAGGCCCTCCAAAGTCGGCAACAAACGCCAACAGCCAGATTGTTCACTCCACCAGCTCCAGGGCCGAGCCATAAACGACGGGAAATCTATCACCAAAGACCCACGTCCTAGCATAGCCGATGAAGGCGTGCTCAAAGGACGCTGTATGGTCCGCCGCACCCACCAAGGTTCTGCCTTCCGCGAAATTGTGACTTCCTGATTTCCTAGAGAGCTGGGCCATATGTAACTCGACAGACTTGTTTTAATGTAGGTATTGAGATGCATTTAACATAAACTCTAGTTATGGCAAACACTCTGCAGAGCCGGAGATGAGCCCATGCACTCGGATCTCGAACCTCCTTTTGTCTAAGAAGTGCACGTTCCACGCTGCAGGGTGTGACTGTGACCCTTTTGAGAAGAAATGAAACTTTATTTCAGGGTTTATTTGGAAGCATGTTGTTGTTCTAGGCGCTGGTAGAAATTATCCAGACAGACTTGCATCAAAAGACCAGGTATCAGCGCATTTCAGTTTCATACTGGGATATGAGTGGGTCTGTAGAACATACTGCTATGTAGACGATGAAAAAGGGATCTATGCGGTTCTTCTCAACAATCTCGCTCGCGCCCCATCCTCTACCCCCCTGTCGCGGTGAAAGCGACGACTATGGATATCAGTGTAAGATGGGCTGAAAGATGTCGATTACGGACGGAAGTCGGGAGCGCATCTCTGCTATTCTTTTTCCCAAGCGCCAAGATGTCGCTGATTATTGAGTGAAAAAGGTAGAAGTCAGGCCTGCCTGCAGTGGTGCGGTAGCTCTCGCTCCGAATGTAATGGAGTCTTAGTCTTGGGAGCTAAATCTTCCCTCGCATGTATGAGGGGGAGTCAATGCAACCCTGAACATCACCACTTGTCACAATCGAGAAAGGTGTGTTTCGTGTGGCGCAGGTGTCCGTGGTCCAATTTCAACCCACAGGCGCAGAAGATCCCTTTTCGTTGTTAGAATGCCTCTACGGCCCAGAGGCATATCATCGATATCTCAATATACGAAGTAAATGAGATAGTAGCTCTGGGATCTTTTGGCCATCTCTGCCTGAATACGAAGTAACGTAAGACCCAATGCCCAACGCTCTCTACAGAAGTGGAAAGGAGTTTGGAAGGAGTGCCAGAGACAATCATTACAGCCACCTCACCCACCCGGACCCGGTAACCTGACTGTTAAGTTTGGCGATGATCATCTCCTGAGTCTTCTAGATGACCCAGATCCGGCCGATTCCGAAACACCTTTCCAAAGGGAACTTTTGCTAACCTGGAAGTGCGTGAGCGACGACCACCAGACGCAATCACAGAGTATGAAGGGTTTCGGGTCTCTACTGGGGCCATGGGAGTCTACAGCGATAAGGGTCCATTGTCATAGCATCCCACAGACCATTAAATTTAATTTCTCTGGCTCTGCGTCTTGCAAGCTAGAAGTGTCCTTGTTCGTCGGGGATAGAGATCATCACACTTTGATGTCGTCAGGATATGTACATCAAGTCGTACCCCTAGGCTGATCAGATTGAGCCCGTTCGTAGAAGCCCGGGCTCTGAGAATGCACCGGGTAGACGTCTTGGATAGTACGGGAAGAGTAGAACTCGAGGTTTCATAGTAAAGAGGGTACGGGCTTTCGGAGACATAGGATTATGGAGGGACCGCGATGAGAGTAATTCTAGTGATGGCGATTTTGTCCAATAATTAATATTGGCTCCTCGGCGGCATTACTCTTCCTAGCTTTAACATCATACACAACGTTGGCATCGGCTCCCCCATGGCTCTTCTCGACGACGGAGCTTCTTCCAGGACACTGGATTGGTGGGCTTTGTTGCGTGTTAGCCTGAATGGACTGATAAAATAGTAATAAAACGACCGATGCTTGATGAGGAGATGGTGGGGCTGTGGTATTAACACACGCAATTTCTCCCATTGTTCGCTGGACTTCTTAGTTGACCAGTCTTTGGTCTCTCTACTGCGAGGCCCGGATATCGCCGTCACCAAAGAGCTTGAAACTTTCTTATTGTTCGGATGACCTGGTCCTCGGCGTGTCTAAGAATGTTAAAGAGCTGCCTGGGCGGGGGCATTTGGTCTTCCAAACTCACTCATTGACGGAAGAAGAGAACCCACTAGAGAGACAACGATGAGAGTCCTCCAACCTCCAGCTTAACCGGGTTATTTACCAAGGGCGTACGGCCGGCGTACCTAGTGACCCAGCAGGGACTTCGTCGGGTCTTGAAGAGTTCGGCGGCCATCCACCACGGAGTGGCAGTCTCATGCCACCTGGTGCATAAGTAGAGAAGTAGTTTCTGGGAGTGTGGAATGACAGGCACGAATAATGCCACCCGTCCGCCGGGCATACATTCGACCTTCCTCCTTGGACGTGAACCTGACCATTCCGTTCTCGTTTCCAGGACGAATAGCGCAAAGCCTAACGACTGCTGCTGGTCCATGGTCCATGGGCTAAGCTTAGCAGAAATTCATCGCCCCAAGGACAGTACGTTCCCACAGCCATGTTTTTCAAGGAAGTAAAACCGACAGATTCAAAATGAACCTTTTCAACCATATTACAGACTGGAGAATTAGGGATGCACCAGCCTCGGAACTCGGGCTGTATTTTTAGATCTCTCTATGACGGCCGTTCGCCTCCCTACGCCCCGTTCAGTGGCATCCCTGAGTTGGACGTGCCAGAGATCAATTTTCCGCCATCACAGAGGCAAGGATTCACTTTTTTCAAATGCCCCAAGGATCACATAGGTCTCACAAGGCCCAATCGGGGACCCAAAGACCAAGTGGAGATGTTTGGTTGACTCTGGTTGACTCTGGGGTGCGCAACTGCATCCGTCGGCGCATACGTATTATGATGCCGGATGCATGCGGTAGGTTGCAGACCGTAGGGCAAACTAACGTCACCCGATACTAAAACTGCAGACTGCACGGACAGAGGCAAAAAATCCCAACCGTTGACACGATTCGTGCTAGTGCATCTTCATTTTCAGCCGTCTCAACCAACGCCACGACGTTATGGCTGCTCTTTGTGGGGCTTCTCCCCGATCCGCCACAACTGAAGAAGAGCACACGCAAATGGCACTCTTGAATCATTCTGTAGACAGCCGCTATCACGGATCGCCCGACGGCATGTCAGAGTTGGATCTAGAATGAATCAATCGACTATGGGGTGCTGGAAGGGCGCAGGCGACAATCATCAAGATTCAAGACCCCCGGCTCGGGCATCCAATGAACCTCCACGCCGCGTCACGATGATGAGACAGGGCTAACAAAACCTTTTATCATTTATTTACTTATTCCTTCAAGTGAATAGTCAAATCAGGCGACGTGAGAATTGACCCCGTTGAGTCCAGCACAGCTGAAAGTCCAAAAGTGCGATCCAGGAGCATCGAGAAGGGGAGAGTACGAACCCCGATATCTCCAAAGGGAATTCGTTAAATGCTTAAATAAAAGTGATAATTCAGCATTTGCATCAAAGTCAGGTCTATCTGCGACAGAGTATTTGGCCTAATCAAGGTTTGCATTGCATTTATCGTCCTTTAATGGATATCTGATTAAAAGAATATGTCCAGTCCCAATTGCCAAAGCCGCGACCCAAGTTCCAACGAACAGCCTGAAATATAGGCTAAGATCTCGTCCTCACAACCGCGCGGGGATGGGATTTTCTATCTCGAGAAAAGAAAAAGGAAAAGCATTGAGTAGAGTAATCGAAGAAGGTTGAAAAAAAAAAAGGAAAAGAGGATATGTTCATTCTATAGTCGACTCTAGTCTTCTCTAGCGTGCACTGCCCTACCCATGTTATATATACCAGCAGTTTCCGTTGAACAATAGTTATTGTGATGAATTTGATCATGCCCGATTTCTCAAGTCATTAATCATCCCCAGCACGCTGCTGCTGCCAGTTTTTTTTTTGGGGTTCCGAGAACAACAAAGGCATAAAAGATTAACAAAAGAGAAGAAAAACAGAGACGAAAAAAGACCAGTTAACCGCGCAACGTGTATATAAGACCCACACACACAGAAACGCCCTGAGAGTTGCTCGCACACTTAGACGGAGAATCGGAACCTGGGGCTCTCCTCACCCATGGCCTCGATCTCCTCGTCGGTCTTGCCCTCCATGAGGTGGTCGAACTTGCCCTCATCGCGGAGCTTGTTGATGCGCTTGAAGTGCAGGTGAAGAACGAGGTTGATAGCGAAGGAGACGGCCAACATGCCAATGCAGACGGCATAGCCAACCGTGAACTCCGGGGCCCACTTGTTGGCGAAGAGGAAGGGGGAGGCAATGCCAGAAGAGTTACCGAAGGTAAGGTGCATACCGGTGGCGAAGGCGCGCTTGCCGTAGCGGGGGTTATTGGTGGGGACCCAGGCGAAGGCGATACCGGGCGAGACGAAGATACCGACGGCGACGAAGAAGGTGCCTGCGTAGGACACAGCGGAGCCCTTGTTGGCGAGAAGCATAGCGTATCCGACCATGGAGACAACGATGCCGCCCATGATGAACGGGCCGCGTTGCTGGGTCTTATCACTGTACCAGGCGCAGAGGACGTAGACAACCGCGCCGACGAAGTAGACGGGGACAGTCAGGGCCTGGACCTCAGCAGCGGACCAGTGGCCGATACCCTTGATAATGGTGGGGAGGAAGACGACGAAGGAATACAGCATAGTGAGCATAGGGAAGAGGGCGAGACAGTTAGCCCAGGTCTTCCAGTCCTTGATGCCATCGATGACATCCTGCTTAACCATGTTGTGAAGGTTGTGGGCTTTGCCGATCTGCTGGTGGTGGATCTTCTTAAGAATCTGCCTATCCTCCTCGCTGAGGCACTTGGCAGTGTCGGGGCTGTTGGGTAGAACGAACGGAATGACGAGGCCTGTGAGAACAGTGGGGACACCCTCGATTACGATGATCCATCGCCACGCGCGCCATCCGCCAGCATGGTCCATGAAGCTGATGCCATAGGCCAGGAGACCACCAATAAAACCCGCAGCAGCAGCTGTGGCGTAGAAGAAGGAGATACGAAGAGCGAGCGTCTTTCGGCCGTAGAACATGGAAAGGTACAGGACGACACCGGGGAAGAAACCGGCCTCGGACAAGCCGAGAATAAGACGGCAGGCAACGAGTCCACCAAGGTTCTGAACGAAGGCGCTAAAGGTGGAGACTAGGCCCCAGGCGATGGTCAAACCGGCGAGGTACCGAGCGGGATGGAGACGCTTGATAATCATGTTCGAAGGAGCTTCGAACAGCTATGGGTTCAAAACAGTCAGTCATGCGGAAAGAGAGAAGGGGGAGTGCACTTGGCCTTGTCAACAACCGGGGGAAAGATGCGCTCGGAAACTTACACAGTAGGTGACGAAAAGCAGAGAGACGGCCAGCTGGAACTCATTGCCCTTGAGCTTCAAGTCACTCTCGAGACCGAACAGACGAGCATTTCCGATGTTGACTGGACAGGGAAAAAAAAAAAAAAAAGTCAGCTTGGCCATCGGAGGAGGGGGTGGACTACGGATTCCTTTGAAGAAACGTACCTCGATCCATCATGTTGTTGAGATAGACCCACATAATCATGGGGACGATGCGAATGTCGAGCTTCCTGGTGACCCTCCTGACGGCGACGGGATCGAGGACCTCAGAATCAGCGGCATGGGGGGCGGATTCGATCTCGCCGACGCCGGACGACGAGTCCCAGGCTTGACCGGCGGTCTTTTTCTCGTTTTCGTGTGTCGACATTGCTGTTGTGGTGCACAAGTCTTTTTTTGTCGTGGTTGGAAGACTGAAAAACCGAAGAGAGATATAGTTTTGGAGGTGGGTTGTCCTGCCTCTTTATATAAAAGAGAGAAACCGAAAAGAAGTGAAACTTGGTGGGGGGTGCGGAACTGGACCGGGGGACTGGAGATGAAAGAAGAAAGAAGAAAAAGGTCTCGGAACCTTTTCCTTTTGTATCAAATTATTTTTAGGTGGAGCAAGGAATGGAAGGGTAGGGAAGGGAAGGAAGGACCCAGAGAAGTGCTGATGTGCAGTGCTGCTGGTTGCAAGGGATGATGGAGGGGGGAAGAAACAAATTGCAACGGAGGCGGATGGGGCGTTTAAAAAGACCGAGACAGCGTCTGTATGTCGCTCTGTGATCTTGCGGCTATCCTTCGGCTGAGAGCAGAAAGGATCAACGGATAAAAGCAATGACAAGAGATGTGGGATACATTGGTTCGTGAGGAAGAGGCGTGAAGAGAGAGGTGTGAGAGGTGTGAGAGGCGTGGAGAGAGAGAGAGAGACGTCGGAATGAAGCCAAATCGGGCCGCACCCCCGTTCCTCCCGGTGGGTCAGTCACTTAACTCCCACTCCCCGTGTCTTGTCCCTCTCTTCCCCAGCCGGGGAAACTGGGTTTGGGTCGCAGTACTAGGTTAACGGACTCGCAGGAAAGGATGGGGCGAAATGGGGCAGATGGGGCTAGGATGGGGCAAAGTGCTATGTTAGAGATGGGGGGAGGGGGGTCGCGAGACGTGGACAGGGAACATGGACATGGTCAAGGACATGGATAGACAAGGATGGACAAGGATGATGGGTGTGGGGATATGGATACGGGACGAAAGGAAGTTTCTTTTTTGGAATTTGGGATACTCAGATTCGAACGAGATTTCTCTCAGGGTGTGGGTGTGGGTGTGTGCGTACGTTGCGCAGTGTACGTGCAGGAGTGGGAGGCAAAGGAAATCTCATCTTCTCAAAAATCTCAGTCCTACCTTGCGGGCAGGTTGAGGAAGCACGCACGAATGATGCATTTGGCGACCTGCGCTGCGATGCGCCCAAGCCACGGCCACCGGGCATGAGTCGCCAAAGAACGCTCAAAATGCCAAATGGCAATTGGCTCCGGAGGAGCAGAAGGAGTGAAGATGGTTCGTGATTATCCACCGCGAATGCTCCGTCCCTCTCGACTTGCATCCGCTCGTGCTGCTTCTGCTGCTGCTGCGTCTTCTTCCCACATCTCATTCTTGGTCCCGGCTGGCTAACAATGGTTGAACAGTGTCACCATGTCGTCTCACATCTCACTGATTCGAGATGCCGCCAGGGTGGCGCACACGAAATGTCGGGAAAAGGATACGAACAGACGAAGAGCTATGCAAAAACTATTACAAGCCATGGGCAGGAACGCAGGGTCGGAAAGGACGAGTCTGGGAGTACTTCGTACGATGGTGGTCACGCCGGCCCTGTCAAGTTTACCATGTGTCCGCTGTGGAGCTGCACTAAACTACACTTCTCTCTCCGCAGTGGGCAGTTCATGGGAGCATGAGTTTATGGTTAATGAAACGGAACGTACTAATACCTGCGCACTAGTTTAGTACTAAGTGGACTTCGACAGGGGAGAGGGGGGAAAGGGAACGGGAATGGGAAATCGAAAGAGAAGAGAAGGGGATACTTGGATCTGGGAATGAAGGATGGAGAATGGGGAAATAGTAGTTGGTCCCAGCTCTGTCGTCGTTCATTCTCTCCCATTTGCCTGGTCCAAAATACGGAGTGTTTATTTGCCAAGCTAAAAAAGTAACATTGAGCCAAGCACGCGAATCATGCATCCTTCATATTGTGATGCTACCCGCAAGGGCCAAGGTCAGGTCAGGTTGAACGCCATTCATCATTCATCCCTATCCCTTGGCGCCGCCAAGCCCAACGTAGCCAAGCCCTTTCCCCAAAGAGCCAGGCCGCGTTTTTGTGGTTCATGTTTCCTTTTTTTTTTTTTTTTTCGTTTTATTTTTTGGGGTTTCTATTCGGAGGATAATATCTCTGCCAAGGGACGGGTCAAAAAGGCAGGAATGGAAAAAAAATAAAAAAAAATAAAAAAATAAAAATAAAAAAAATAAAAAAAAAAATTAAAAAAAAAAGGAAGTTTTATTCTTCGGTTTATATCCTCCCTCCGAGTTATACCAAATTTTTATTTATGTCTTCCGTGGCCTCCCGCTCCGATCATTACGGGATTGAGTCAACCGCATCGCACAAGCTCGGGTCGGTGAGCCCCAAGTCATCTCGTCTGCGAAGTACATCGCCCGCTCCACAGTACTTTCGCGTATACTTTGTACTCGGTAATCTGCGAAAAGTACGTTCTTTGTATGGTCGCATCCCTCCCCCAGGTTCCCTGCAATATGGTGGGTGGCGCCCCCTTCTGTCCTTGTTCCCCGGCGTCGCCCGCCCCGAGTGAACCAGATCTCCTTTTTTCTCCTCCTCCGGTATTGCATCTATTATCATACCGCCACCCAATACATGCATCTACATCAGGCAGGGACAATCACCCGTCTTTTTAAGCCTCCACGGCAAAGTAATCTAGATAAACGGAATGTGGAGGTAGATTCGCCCGCCCGAAGTGGTGGATACACCGAGATAGACTCAGCGGGTAAAGATGGAGAAATGGAGAACTGGAGACTTGCCAATCCCGTTCTTCTGGTTTAGCGCATTCGCATTTGACTTGTTCAAAGTAATTATTTTGTCGCATACCATCTGCAAATAAGACCAATATTACTCGGTCACGCAAGATTAGCTCACGGGCGGCCGCGTCCATATCTCAGGTGGGGAGGAGACGACGAGAGGGGAAAAGAATTTGCGCTGATCTTCTCCTTTCCGAGCGCAAAGACACCACGTATTTTCGTACTACTGCATCGTTACTTCGTAAAAACAACGAACTATTGAGGGAGCACAAAGAACAAAATTATAATTCCTGATGGTGGTGGAGTGCACCGAATGAAAGGATACACCGAAGAGGAGCAGAAAAAAAAAAAAAAAAAAAAAAAAAAAAAAAAAGAACAAGAAGAAGAAGAAAAGAACTGAAACGGCGGCCACGTTGGCGTGGCCCGCCTTGCCTCCTACTCTACAGCGAACACACCCCCGTATGCCCCCTCATCTTGGCGTTGCGAGTTCGAAAGTACAGATGCATAGGATTACAGGTACAACAGGTACTTTTGTTGCTGTTTAGAACAGAAAAATAAGGCCAGATCCTGCATTCCACACACCCAATGAGAAGGTCATGCGGGCGCAAGATGGGCAATTTGGATCTGATCTCACAAATAGGTTGCAAGTGGCGAGCGGTGTACCATTCCTGCTTCTCCTCGCAGGAAAGTGACTTGGCTTCGGAGAGATGCGACAGTGGACTGGGCTGCGCATACCGCAATGGGCTGGTGCAGCGCACGAAGGAGGGTAGGAGAAAGGCAGAGACAGGGCCACGAACGGTTAGTAGCTGAACTTGGCCATGTGGCATTTCGCCGAATAAGCCCATCTCCAGTGGTCCAACTTAAGATTGCTGCATTCTTCGAGATTCGCGACGTCCTGATTGGTCTGTCTCTGGTTCGATCTGCGTCCCCATGGGCCATGGACAATTTTGTACAAGTTACGAAGTGACTTCGTATGGAAAAAGGAGCGAGACCAAGGAGAGACCAACTCTAAAATGAAAAGACCTCGCAGTGATTGGCCGGACGAGAGGCGATCATACAATTGGACTTGGCCACTAACTGTAAAAAGCTGACATGCCCCCGGACAGGACAGGACCAGGCACCTGGGTAGCATTGAAACACTCTGGGGGAGGAGGAAAAGAGGAAAGGCGGAGAGAGACTACGGGAGGAGGGGAAATGGGGAAATGGGGAGGCGAATACAAAATAGGAATAAAATGGAGAATAAAATGGAGCATAAAATGGGGCATAACATGGGGCAATGCGACATATATGTCCATACAAAGTGCGCAGCTTGGTTAATTAAATTATTTAAATGTAACAAACGCGGTCCAGAGTCTTGGTATCTTTCGAGGGACATAAAATTATATCATTTGCGAGTCAAAATCGTGATATAATCGAATCGCGACGAAATATAGCCCGTAGGTGTTTTAAGTCCAAGCACCGAGACCGACACATCCTGGCGTCACCAGGTCCGAGTCCGAGACTAAGACCGCTTCTTGCACACAGCCGGATTTCTAGAAGACCAAGAACCGCTTCTGCCCAGCTTCGAAGCCACATGGCTCGGAGGAGCATCCCCTGCCTGGGATGCCTGGTCAAGCCGGGTGGCTGCATCCGCCAAGCAACACCACGAGTCTTGGACAGACACACTCTCCTCTCTCACACACACACACACACACACACAGACACAGACACAGACACAGAGAGAACGCACACCCCCGCCCCTTGTCATTGTTCCCAATCCCACGCAGCCTTCCATTTTGCTTTCTCTCTTCTATCCTCTCCCCTTATTTGTTCTAGTGTCTGCTTGGCACTGCGGCATTGTGCCATTCTCTTCAAAACGATTGGGCATCCCCCCCCCTCGTCGAATCCGTAGAACCGACGCCGGTCAAAGGGAGCACGTGGGCGTTGTAAGGATGGCGGCAGGACACTTTATCTTTTTTTGGTCTCCCTGGGAAGATGTTCGCCCGGATGCCAGCAGGGCCCTGTCGGTAGATGCCCGCGTGGCCTCTCCGGTCTTGGGAAGCTTCTCCCGAGTTTTATAGCGTAGTGTATTACTACACTAGTGCAGGACTCGGCCACGCGCCCGTGGGCATTGACGTTGAGCCCTTTTTTTTTCCGCTTGGCACTTCGGAACACGGACGTTCTACGATGCGAAAGAAGGAGAAGAATGAAAAAAAATTGAGGGAAATATGCAGTGTGATGCCATGCTAGAAGCCGCACACCATAGCCGTCGAATCTCCCCTCCCACTTCCCACCGACGTCTTGGTGTCGCAACCCTAACCGAGTCACGATTCACGAGTCACGACC